TTCATGAAATCCCTCCGCTGAAAAGGGAAAAAAATGCCAAGAAACTGAAACTTGTTTTCCAAGAGTTTTAGAGCCTCGCATTTGCAAGCCCAAACTTTAAAATTATATTTCTCGAACATGAAAAAAAAAAATCTGTCTCGCGCTCCAGTGTCCCAACATCACCCCCCTCCCCCTCCTCCCCCCCCCTCCCCCCCCCTTCTTCCGAAGAGGCTTTCTTTCTGATGCCCTGTCTGTTATGCAGTTGCAAAGTGTATCTACCTTGAGCCAAAGATAGCTCCAAAGGGTAGGAGAGGGGGGTGAGGGGTGGCATGTATGCCATTTGTTGAATTGCCTTGACTCGAGACAAACCAAGAGAGGAAGCAGGCTTGATAGAGAGAAACACGGCCATGTGCAACGTTACTTGGGCACTGACACATTGGAAATTATTGGATTGACTTGTTTCTCGCATATTCTGCTTCTTTTGCTGAGCGGCTGGCCAGCTTTCGCAGAGGGTGCGGGTTCTTGCCACTTTGATAGTGAGGCATCGACGCGGCCGGGAAACAGCAATGTCAAGGAGCCTAGTAACCTGATGAACATTTGCCTCCCATAAAGCTGAGAATGCAGCCAAGGTAGCTACCGATAGCTCTGCTAGGCCGACGTTGTAAGAAACGGCGGTGGATCTGGACATTCACGTCAACGTCACGTTGTTGCGCATAGATTTCATGGTTCGTAAGTAACAGAATGAATGAGTTTGCTTTCCTAGTGTCAACCGATATACACCACCAAACAGCGGCATGGATACACAGGCACCAAAAGGAGACAAGACAAGTCATGACTCGGGTGATCATCAGGCCTGGACCAGGAAGGATAACAGAACGCCAAAAAGCAGCAAGAAATACGAGAAAAGGGGCACAATACGCATTAATACATAACATCCAAGTACCAACGCCTAGCTCCCATCTCCGGTGCAAACAAACCAAGGCAACAATGCGCAAAACGCCGCGGTGCCGAAGCACTCATTATGGACGATTATGGCTCTGTGTAAGACAAGAAACAGTGCAAGAGCAAGTAAGCCTGTAACGAGGTCACGAAAGAGAACAAAGAAAACAAGGATATTCAACAAGACGCCTGTGCCAGAAATGGCTCTGCAGCCGAAGTCGCCGGCATGGACTCGGTTCCCTAACCCGTTACGCTCGGCTCTTCCTTGGGCTGCGGTGGTTCGAGACCAGCGTTCTGCGCGACACGCTTCCACGTCTCGAGCTCGCGGTAGAGACGCTCGCACTCCTGCTTGAGCTTATCGTTGGACTGGCTGAGTTCCGTGATGGCTTGCTCAGTGAGTAATTTCTCGAGCGTCCACTTTTCGATATTCTGCTGTTCGTTCTCTTTGAGTTGCGAGATGAAGCTGACGGCGCGCTGCAAGATGGAGCCCTTGTTCTTTTCGCAGCCAGGGACAATCTTGGCAAGTTCGTTGATGCCCTCGTTGATGGTTTCACGACGACGGCGCTCCACCTCCTTGTGATTGTCCTTACGCAGCTTATGCCACTCGTCAGAGCCCACAGGCGGCTTGGCGCTGCCCCCTTGTGACGATGTCGAGTAGTGACGCTGCTGCTGCTGTCCCTGCTGTTGTTGCTGTTGGCCCTGCTGTGGCGGCGTTCCATTCTGCGACTGGTGGGCGACTTGGTCCATCATGTCGTGCGTGATTTCGGCGTTGAACTCATTCGGGTCGTGCTGGTGCTCGCTGCTGTCGGCAGCCTGGGCCGCAAACTGCTCCTCGGTAGAGGGGGGCACATGCAGCGTGGGATACATGCCTAGGGCGGCCTGGGCTGTGGTGGTAGCATCGCTGCTGGCGTGATCGGTATGGTCACCGTGGGTTGCCTGCTGCAGGGCATTGAAATCAGCTACATTGACACCATTTGCGGCGGCGGCATTGGTTGCCTCGATGGCGTTCTCGATAAAGGCAGCCGTCTCGGCGGTCATGGCCGCAGCGGGCGCCATGCGCTTGTGCCGTTGTGTAGGACTCTCGACCTCTCTCTTGCGCTTCTGGGTAGGAGACGCAGTGAGGGCAGTGAGGTCTGGATGATCTGAGAGAGGATCGGACATGGTGTCCTCTTGTTGGAAGTCCAGCTTTACTATGTGTCTGTGATGTGGCTACAACTGGCAAATGTTAGAGAGCTGGAGAGGGGAGGGCGACAGAAGAGGGGTAGAATGTGTAGCGATGGGAGACGGGGAGCGGTGCGCGTAGAGATGACTGTGCTCAGTAAGGATGCAAATGCATCTCGGCTGTTATAAGCTGCTGCGAGTAGAGTGTCCTCGGTTGGATAGTGATGAAGTGAGTTGAGTTGCGACGGTGATGTGATGAAAAGAGGCAAAGGAAAATTTCGCCGTAGCCTTTCCGCTGCGTGCAACGTGCCGACACGAAGCGCGGCATCAACGAGGACGTGCAGCGGCGGCAAGAAGATGGACTTGACTCATGATGACACTCCAATCGAGTTGGACGGGCAGCATGGCCGGTTTGTGGGCGACGCAGGAGAGGAAGGGTAATTGGAAATTGCTGGGCAGACGGGTGGCGACGGTCGCAGGGAAGCGGGCAGCGATGACGGTCGCACTTGCGGCATCAAAATCCCGAGGAGATGGTGATAAATTCATCAAAAGAGCGGGCGTCTTGGTGCTGGACGATGCACTTACCGGCCTGATCATGTGTTTTCTGGGCCTTGGGGGAGTAGATCACGGGTTTTACCTCACGTGTTTTGTCCAAATCTCGTGATGTCGCGACAGGATATAAGTAGGCGGGCGCGTAGCGAAAGGGGAGGGCCTGGGGCGACGATTTTGGGGTATAAAAAAAGGGAAAAAAATCGGACGGGCAGATGCGGTAGATGTGAATGGATTTAGTGATGAAAATGGTCGAGTTTTCAATTAAGATAGGTGAATTGTTGGTCCTTGGGCGGCTGCGTTCCTGCGCTGCAGGCACTCAACTCAACGTACCAAAAGCGCGTACAGCAAACGGGCGGCAGCGTGGCAGCAGCTGGGGTGGCCAAGTCACGAGGATGGAGGGAGGACCAAAACACGTGCAGTGCAGCCTTGCTGGGGGGGATAAGTTATGTAAATATATGGCGGCCTGGGAAAGGAGGGGCGAGAGAGGAATCGTTGCCTAGAATATGAGGCAAATAGTTTGAGGGTGCGATTTCGCTCCACCCAATCACAGCAAGCTAACCAGCACGTCCGCAAACAAGCCAATCAATCTCAAGCATCAATCAGGCACAATCTGGCACGCACTCGATGGTCCTGTTGCGATTTGCGATTCATTTATATAGTCCTCATTGCAATCTGATGACTGCAGTCTCGAAACAAGGACGAAAGACGTGACCAGCAGAAGCAATCACACTGAATGTTGGGGGCCGAGCCCTATCCTCTTGGACATATTTCCATCTGCAGCAACAACAGCAAACAAGACAGCCCCCAAATGAAAGCTCCAAGTCGGCGCCCGCGGCCACTCCGCAGTCGGATGCCAACACGAGCAATCCGTCCTGCAAGCCCAACGCCCTTTAATTTGAGCCACTGCAGCCAAATCACAATTTGGGAGGGCTTCTCGGGGAGTGCGTTTACCTCTATCCGGGACGGCGAGAGCCCAGACTGACCTGACTGATTGACGATGGATGGATCGCCATTCTGTTGTAGGCGCATACGCACCGCATATGGGGCCGGCAGTCTGTGTCGACCCAGCGAGGCTGCTGTCGTCTCGGCAGGCATAGCTTCCCAGAGGCTGGAGTCCGGGAGCAAGGCGGGCATAGGAGCAAACGTGTGTGTAACCCGAACACACTGCGATGGACATGGTGAGGCTCTCCCTTTCAACTGGATAGGTTGGTTCGTTCATCACGGGAGATTTATCGATGTTCCCGAGTGAATCGGGCCATAGCCGTGTTTGATGGGTAGGGCAAACAAGTTCGTTAATTCCGTCATTCAAGCGTCAGTAAACGAGGCATGGTAAGGCTTACATACGGATACTTGCTTGCGCAGATGAAATCCTCGATACCCGCACTAGGCAATCTCGAGATGCTGCGATGCTTGAGTGCAAAAGTGGTAAAGCTGGCCGACAAACACGACGTCAAGGTAAATCATGCATCTCGCAACTCAACCTTGCTGTAGTTCGACAATCCGGCTATATTCTCTAGATCATCTTGCGGTTACGCAATTCGTTCACCTTGCCATTGGAAACTCGAATGAATCCCGGTCTGGCCGGCCCGAACCCCGCCGCCTGCTTTCACTACCATCATGATCACTATAACTAATTTTACCACCATTTTCCGCCGGCTCACAATGGGCAGTAGAGTACTAAGCAGGGTACCACATACCTATGTAGGTGTAGTGCAGTGCTTGACTTTCAAAGTCTTGTGCATAATCTGTTGTATGTACCTCGCAGGCCTCTTTTTACAGGCGCTGCCCCAAGACGTCCCCTGGAACGACACCTGAGTGTCGCAACCACAGCGGTTGTACAACATTGCACATTAACAAGAAGAAATCAACAACGTATGAAGAATAACCGAGGGTCTCGTAAAACCACGCACAATATTTTCTAATTTTATCTGCCTGATAAAGACTTATTCTTATTGAATCTGGTCCATCTTTGTTGCTGCCATTGGTCGGGGGGCTCCGCACTCGGAATTGCCATGGCCAGCTCGCCGCTACGTAGTTCCATGCCCGACGACAGCAAGGTGCAACCAACCACATTCGACGTCCATTTCCATTCCCGTTTCCTTTCCCATCTTCATCGCCCATCCGCATTCTGCAGCAGGCGTCTTTTCTCCCCCATGCCCCCATTCAATCGATCCTCTCGCCAGTCCATCTAGCAAAACAATGGCCGAGCACGAGCAGTCCACCTTCAAGCACGGCGAGCACCTGCTCCTCGTACGTCCTCTCGCCCCAAACCGCCAAGATGGCTTCATCATCCGGATCGCCCGCCTCCCTCCTTTGCTAACTCTTCCCTCCCCGCCTGCAGGACCAACCCCTCCTCCGACTCCCCAACGAGCTTCTCCGTAAAAACTTCCGCTCCGCCCACTTCACCATCGAAAAGGACACCACCGCGCTCCGGGCGCTGCTCCGGGACGCCGCCACCTCTGCCGCCTCCGGCCGCGGTGCCGCCCCGCAGGCCGATGCCCTGCGTGCCCTCGACGCCATGCTTGGCCGCATGCGCGGCGTCCGCCGCAAGCTCGCCGCCCACGCGCGCGAGGAGGAGCGCCTGCACGCCCAGACCGCCGCCCGCATCCGCCACCTCGACCAGCTCTACGACATCCCGGGCGTCGCCGGCGTGACGGAGGATCCCCGCTACGAGGCCTGGAGTCGCCGCCGGCTCGACAGGCTGCTCGCGGACTACCTTCTGCGTCGTGGGTACGGCGCCACGGCCGAGCAGCTGGCGCGGGAGCGCGATATTGAACCGCTGGTCGACATCGAGACGTTCCGCAGCATGAGTAAGATACGGGAGGCTCTGCTGGGCGGCAGCATCGTCGAGGCCCTTGCCTGGTGCACGGAGAACAAGAAGGAGCTGCGCAAGATGGAGGTTCGTCTCCCCCTCTCCCCCCCTCTCTCCCCCTCTCTCCCCCGCCTCTCGCCCTGCAGTAACAGGCTAACCCGGGCTGCCAAACACAGAGCAAGCTCGAGTTCCTCCTTCGCTTCCAGCAGTACATTGAGCTCATCCGCGCCCAGTCCCAGCCCAAGCTCATCGAGGCCATCGCCCACGCTAAGAAGCACCTCATTCCCTACTGGAACACCTATCCGGCCGAGGTCAAGCAAGCTGGCGGCCTTCTTGCGTTCCCGCCACCTTCGGCACCCTCCTCCAGCAGCCGCCACGCCCACACCCACGCCCACCACCGCGGCGCCAGCGTCAGCGCTTACGCCGACCTCTACAGCCCCGCGCGCTGGGCCCAGCTCGCTGACGTCTTCACCGACGCGCACAACACCCTCCTCGGCCTGCCCTCCGCGCCGCTCCTCCACCTCGCGCTCTCCTCGGGCCTCTCCGCCCTCAAGACCCCCGCCTGCCACCACCGCCAAACCACCACCACCGCGGACAGGAGCGGCGGCAAGGGCAAGCACTCGCGGCATGCGGCGCCGCCGCCGGCGACGATGGGCCACGGCGGCGTCTGCCCCATCTGCTCCGTCGAGCTCAACGACCTCGCCCGCAACGTGCCCTATGCGCACCACACCAAGAGCCACGTCGAGCACGACCTCGTCCTGCTCCCCAACGGCCGCGTCTACGGCCGCCAGCGCCTCCTCGAGCACTCCAAGAAGGCCGGCCTGCCGCCGCAGCTCTTCAAGGACCTCCTCACCGGCGACGTCTACCCGGTCGAGTCTCTGAAAAAGGTCTACATTACGTAGTCGTCGTGCGCTGACATCCTTTGTGCTGTTCCAAACTTTGGGTTTCCCTTCTCTCTGCATGTATTAGCTTGGCGCTTGGAAAGTTTTGTGCTTTATTATGGAGCATTGCTGGACGGAGTTTTGTTTTCGTGTATTTATTTCAACACCAATAGCTCTATCACGACGTTCATGTACACAACATACACTCTCTTTATTCAAACGAAAGCCAGTGGCCTCTACTCATGAGCCGTGAGATGGTGTAGAGAAATTAGCGTGCTATAGTAATTGTACAAAACTATCACGTCAACTAACTGAATAGAGGAAAAAGACAAACCAACCAACCAAGCCAAAAACCGCCCTGCTTACTTGCCCGCCATGACCGTCCCCCCTCTCCCGTTTTGTGTGTGCACAATGAAAGAACATCCGTAAACAGATACAAGGGGGACAAAAGTGAAACGCCAAGACCCAAACGTCTAGCTGCCCTTCGTTTTCTTCTCATAATATGCATGGTATAGAAAATAAGAGGAAAGGGAGCCAACAAAGAAACCTCAAGTCTTCAAGGAACCAAGACAAATCCAAAAAAGCAAACATAAAACCGCACGCATCTTCCTGAGACGAGCCCTTCTTCGTTAGTACAACCCATTCTGCATCTTCTTCCCCGTACTATGCAGACAGCACAATAGCCAGCTGTGCCGGTAGGGTTCACCGACCCTACCTGTTGACCCCGGTAAATGCAAAGCTGCCAAATATGCCTCCGCCACCACCGGGGGTCATGGGGCCCATGTGGCCGGCGCCGTTCGTGCCGGGCCCTTGGTTGTTCACGGGCGTCGACGTCGCGAGCTGGACCGTGTGCGTGTTGGGCGTGCGCGGGGTGCCATTCAGACCATTGTCCTCGCTGCGGCTAAGCATCGACGCAGTCATCGTGCCGCCGTCCGGGATACTCAGACCCCATACTTTGCCGATGTGCTCCGCGGGGATGTCGCCACCAAATATGCGGTCGCGCATCGAGAAGAATACCTTGCCCGTGAGTAAAGAGTCGGATCCGGCCTGGTGTGCGGCGCCAATACGTTTAATCTTAAGCGTCTCGGCCATGTTTTCCAGGCCCGACTTGTGCTCAAATTTTTGCAGAATCTCGGTACTTCCGGGATCCGTCGGTGAAAACGTCCCCTGGCCAAGCATCCGGATAGCATATTTCATCAGATGCTTGACATCGTATGTCGACGGGAAGTATATCTTCATAATGTGCTCAAAGTCGTGCTCGTCGTTGGGGAGGGGTTTGCAGTGAAGAACCTTAGTTAGGTAGCCAAAGTCATAGCCACCGTGAAAGGAAATCCATTTCACATCGGGGTAGCAGACTAGGCCGGACGGGATCATCAATGCGGCGAAGGCGTGAGGGTCGATGCCGTCTCGCTCCAGGGCGTTGAAGTCGATTCCAGCTTGCTGGAGAGACTCGATTGACTTTTCGTTGTACATATCCTCCTTCAGTGAGAATTTGAAGTTGAACTGCCAGGTGTAGGGAAAGGGGCCTTGGTTGGCACTCCTTTGCGCAGATGGCCCAAGCCCGTGTTCCGGTCCTAGTCGGGCGGGTGGTGTCTCGCCTTCTTCATTGAAGAATGTCAGGCCAATTTGAATAAGCTTCAGCATGTCCACGTTGGTGCGCAAACATTGGTAGTGGTAATCACTCTTGCCACGGAAGCCCCCCATTGGCCGGGCTACAATTCCTGGAAATTCGGTATCCTAGCATCGTTAACAAACGCTCTCCATGGAGCAAGGAAAAAGTGCCAGTACTCACCATGGCAACGTATTGGTATTTCTCTACAAGGTCTTGTATGACCTCCATCTCCTCCTTCAAATTGTGCTTCCACACCTCTCGTATGCGCCCCCTGTTCTGCTGAGATCTCATCGTCGGGTGCTCCATCAAGGCGTTTTGCTGTAGTTGTCCCGTGTGCTGGGGCGGTTGCAGGCCAGCCGGGCCGTGTGTGAATCCCATTCTCGAGGCTTGGCTGCCAAAGCCGGTGTCGGTGAAGCTCCCAGCGCCGTTGAGGCCGGGCACGTTGAAGTTGCCGTTTGCGCCACCGAAGGGGTTCATCTGATTGTTGGCATTGATATATTGATTGCCGCCCATCGGTCCGCCTTGTGGTTGCCCGTGTGACGGGAATCTGGGCTGGTGGAACGCCGCCGAGCCAACACCACCGGGACCCGCGCCGAAGGCTCGAATTTGGGGAGCCATTGGGAATTGAAAATGAAAAACGGACGGAAAAGGACGAGCTGGAACCTGTATTTGCGGCCGCGGTGGGGGTTGGAACCTCGGGAACTGATTTATTGGATTCAGGCGAGGTGGCTGAGCAAGTGGCGGGGGATACGGAAAGCCTGGCCGTGGTCCGGGAAACACGCCTCTCCTAAGCTGGGTGTTGCAAGCGGCGGAGTTCCCTGTCAACGGATTTTGAAACGAGCTGTAGTCTGCAGGACGGGGCGGGTTCTAGGAACGAGGGTTGTTGAAAGGAGGAGGGTGTGGCGGCCCGTGATTGGGGTTCATCTGGTCGTGTGGACAACGCGAGCTTAAATATTGGCGATGACGCGCGCAAGCCGCCTCTATCCAACGTAGATTCAGGTCCGGGTGCACTAAGAGGACTGCCTGATACTGTTTGTGCACTAAGATATGCTGTGCTATGGATATTGTGTGTCGCGAGCGCGGGCAGCCCGAATCGGGGAGGCGTTGGCTGTCGACGAGCTTGAGGAGTCGTGACCGCGACGGCGGGGGAAGTGCTGTTGCGTCTTGGAATAAGAAGATGCGGAGTGAGGACTGCGAGCTGCTCCAGTGCTGGCGAACAATAAAACCTTGGGCGTTAAAGTTGAGTCGATAAAACGATGTGTGGTGTTGCTCAAAGGAGGGAGAGGTTGCCAGCAAAGGCACAAGATCCGGACATGGTTCGTGCGTTGGTACTACCAGGCTGCAGGACAAAAGGCAGAGCCCAAAGGTAAGGTAGCTCAGGAACAACATTATTCCGAACTTCCGCCCAATCGCGCAACAAACAACCCAGCTTACCGTCTGCATCTTCGCTCCGCAGCTACTTTCAATTCGACAATTCCGGCTCACGAATTCAGGCACAATGCTTCCCACAAGGTGCGATCCCGACAATCACAGGCAGAATTGGCTTTTCTCATCCACGAAAATTACACCGTCTGGCCTCCTCCGAGGCCGCGCGCGCACGAACCCGAAATGGACCAAAACGCTAACGTACCGGTGATGGGCGCAGAGTACTACGGGCAGCCCAGGGCGGCAAGGCCAACATCACCGGCTTCAGCCTGCGCGCCTTCAAGGAGGCCGCTGGCAGCAAGGCCCGCTACGACCCTTGGGAGAGAGCGTACGTTATCAACCACCCCCAATTGGACGCCTCCTCGACAAGCCCGCCCCCGAACCGAACATATTGACTGACCCTTTCTCTCGTCCTCGCCTTATAGTGATGCTTGGAGATTTCAAGGCCCCTTCACCCGCTGGAACCGCTACCGCGGCACACTCCCCGGCCTCGGCACGGCGACCGTCCTTTTCGCCGGATACTGCACATACGAGCACTTTTTCCTCCAAGACGAGCACCACCACGGCGAGGAGGCGGCGCACCACTAAGGGATATTTTGGCAAAAGGGGGCTGTTGTGGTGTCGAAGCAGAGAGGCGGTGGGCTATTTCGCATCGGGGGAGTGTATAAATTTGACAGAGATGCTTTGTGTCTGAGGAAGGACACTACACGTACTGGGGACGGTTTCTCCCCGGAGAAGGCATTGTGGACTCGTGGAAAGTCTACAATTGGGTTGCATCACATCATGTATTCCTTGTTTCGTTTGTTCTATGCGTCTGCCCATGTAAACTATCGTTCGTGGGGAATAAAGAAAATGAAAAACAATGCGCAAACCACGCCCTCCTGAAAGAACAGAGCCATCCTCCATGTAGGAAGATGGCTTCATATGTTTGCCGAACCAACTAGTCAGGTAACTTTATGTGTACGACATCAGCCGTAGTAAGTGATACGAGCATTCGGGCCGGCCCGAACAAGACGCCCTTCGGCATCAATGACATGAGATTCACCCTCAAGAGCCTAACCATGTTGAACTAAGGAAATATATATTGTAGAGTAAACTCTACTTAGTTATGTCGTAAGCGTGCGTGGTCATGGCCGCAGGCTGATTAGTTAAAGCCCAATCTAAATAAACAAATAAGTAACCCAATCGCCTTTGTAACGCCACATATGTCACATCATTGTGGTAAATGAAGAGCTCGCAGCTCATAATTCTAGTTCCAGCCCGTTCACTATATCCAACGCGTCGTCGAGCGCCGATTCCAGCTCAGTGACTCGCATCTTCAGGCCACGGTTCTCGTCTCGCATCAGGCTCGCTGTGTCCCAGGCCATGCTAGCGTCTTGGCCCTGGCAGTTGCTGCACTCGGTGACGGTTCGAACGCCGGTGTCGCCCGACATGCCCTTCATGAGCTTGCGAAAGGCCGTCATCTGTTGTGGTCTCTGAGACGGTGTGGTGTGGGTGGAGGTTGCGGACAGGGATACCCGGCTGCGAGGTATTGGCTCAACAGGCCCATTCTCAGACATAGCAGTCGCCAGAGTCGGACTTCTCGAGCGGGAGAAGATGCTGGCGTCGGCCACACTCTCTGCGTCTGTGTCAGAGCCATGCTCACTCCTCAAGGTATCGCCACTACGGCGCCACCTCTTGTTAGCCTGGTCTTCCTCCGCGCCGAGGTCTTCGGTCATGATCATAGGAGAATGCGCATCCTGCATGAGTGCTATGTTTTCACGCCGTAACTCATCAATATAAGTCTGCAGAGCGGCTCCCCTTTCGGCCGCCTTGCTGGCGACCTCGTCCAATTGCAGCTTGGCGTGTCTCGCGCGGGTCTCTGCTTCGCTCTTTTCGTCCTCGAGGGCTTCCTTTTCGGCCTTGAGCGTGCGGAACTCAATCGTTTGGCTCTGATAGGTGGTCTGGAAGCGATGGAGGAGTCCGAGGGCGTTCATCTGCAGGTTCTTATAGTCCGCGGGCGAGATGACCTCGCCCTCTTGTGGCGCGCCGTCCGGGAAGAGCGTCGCTTCAATATCCAAGTCAATCAGCTCATCCCCGCAGCCGTTTCCGGTGAGGGACGGCGACGCCAGAGCCTTCAGAGCGGCCATCTTGGAAGCGAGGAAGGAAAGGGTCGAGGCCCCGGGTGTCGTCGGAGTTCTCGACCTAAATGAGGGTGCTGGTGACGACTCCCGTGTGGCGCGGGCCCTAGCAGACGTCGTGTAGACGGTCGGAGACTGAAGGTAACTGATGTCGCGAAGGCGGCCAGCGTAGTGTGACCAAGTTGATTCTTGCCAGGGCGAAGTAATGTCGTCGGGCGTGCGAAGGCCAGTCCAAGATGTGGTGTTATTGTGAGTGGACTCTGCAGTGTCGTGCGACCCTTGTCTAGTTCGGGGTGGTGCACTCGGGGTGCCCGCCAGCAACCTGGGCTCAGATGAGTCGGTGAGATTGGATGGTCGGGTATAAGTCTGGCGCTGCGGCGTACAGGGCTGCTGTTCGTTGCTGAAGGAGGCAGTCTCGCTCCTTTGGGTTTGCGTGGTGCTGGATGATTGTGAAGGAAAGGAAACGGCAGGACCAGGCGGCGGATGTGCAGCGTGGTGCAGGTCCGTCATGCGCCAGTGTCGCGGCTGTTCATGCCCCTTTATTACTGGGGTATCGCCATTTGCAAAGGCGGAAGCAGAGATGCCTGCCATTATCCCACCAAAAGCGTCGACGCCCAGAATTAATATGCTCCAAGTGGGCCGCGATGTAAATTAAGGTGAAAGGGGGCTGTGTGGAGACTTGTAAATGTGATGAAGATTATTGCTGATCAATTGCTGTACCAGTATATCTGGTTTTCTGCAAACGGTTTTGAGCCGGTTGAATCTTCTTGTGCGTGATCGTTCCGATGTTGGTAGTAGCGGCGGCGCGGCACGGACGTATGTATGCAAGTTGGCTGAAATGGCTGGCACCGGGTGAGTTTGGGCGATGAAGACCAAACGTTGCTGCCTGACGGATTGTAAACGAGAAGCCACGTCAAATCTGTCTCGGGGTGGAAGATTGATTCGACTGATTGACCGATACAAGATGAAGAGGAGAGTAACTACGGATAAAAGGAAGGCATTTAAATGAGGCGACTGCGCAGGTAGACATCTGCAACGACTTACTGATAGACCCCTCGTGAGGCGTGAAGTCTGAGTCAACGCCGACGAAGGGAATTCCAGTGGCCGGCCGGAGGATAGTACTGGAATGCCACCACCACCTGGTTCTTCTGTTTTTTGGTGTGCTAGGCATGCCGCAAGCGGAACGACCCCCCTCCCCTTTGAAGAGCCGGACTTCACTGGTGTCTCAGTGTGACTGACGGCGAGATATGATTGGGTACCCCTTGGAAGAACGTCCAAGAGCAGGTCGTCCATCATTTTGTGACCATGCTCGCGTCGACAAGTCTGCTGTGCGTGTGCCTTGATTCTGGCTGCGTCAACCCCCTCTTTGAAGGTATGTAGGATTTTTTCTCAGCGAGTAATTGACGTGATTGCGCCCAGTGTTTCGAGATCCGTGGTATCTTTTCTCCGTCTATGTGGGACTAGAGTTGATGGTGCATTAGAAGGGATGGTGATGTGGTGATGCTGATGCTGCTCCGTTTGCTGTTTGTAAATTTCGGCTGCTTGACAGCTGCCGATTTGGCCAGCTGCCAGTCGTCCTTCCAAGCCGACATAGCCATCTCAAGCAGAGGCAGATAGATGAATTCTTCATTTTTCTCAACATGCAACTTGTTTCATGCGCCGCGCACCACAGCCATCGTCAACTCATGCGCATATGTTATAGCAGCAATGCCGATATAGGTAAGTGCAGGCATCCCAGACGTCCCAACGTCGCTCTTCCAAACCTCTACTGGTCGACCACACATTCTTCGTCGCCACCTACCGTTACCTATTGCAGAGACACCAAACAGCTTTGGAGTATAAGACCTCCCGTCTCCCCTTGTAGTGCTAGCTACTCGGCAAGAATTCAGTTGGACGCATCTATGCGCCGTGATTTGCTGACCACAAAAGCCTCTAGAAACCGCAACGGTGTCACCAACATTCTTCGCGCCGGGACTGGTCTCAGATAAGCTCGAGTCGGCAACCAAAGGCCACTTCGGCTTGCCATCGATCAACCAGCCGAGGCGTCAAGTGAATCATTTCACTGGGGGTGCAGCTTCCCCGGCTTCCACGGTGGTGAGGCGATCATTTTTAATTAGACAACAAGAAGTCGCGTTGAAATGCTTCGTTTCGCGTCTGTTCCCTTATTAAGCATACGTTGGCTGGCCGGGGAGTTATCTCCTCCCGGTAAGCCGGCAGTAGTAGCTGCTTGTTCTTGTAATAGATCTGGCACCGCCAGCTCTTGTCACTTCGTACAAGTCAAAGCCGACAACAATGCGCAGGAAGCGCTCAGAAGCAGGATGCCTCCAACAAAGCCCGTCGCATGTGCATTCCAAGCTGGTTAAATATGTCTTGCATGATGCTGTACTAGCACCCAATAGTTATTCCTCTCCTCTTCGTCACATCTATTTACGGTTCGCTAATAATAGCAGCGTCGCCAACCGCCGACCGCGCTTTAACATTGATGAAGCTGTCAAGCGCAAGACAGTCGCCTTATCCAGGAGATTTTTTTTTTTTTTTTTTTTTTTTTTAAGAAGAATATCTGTACCTCTACACGACAGTATTCCACCTCAACATACCTACCAATAGCAAACTCTTCGCATACCAGTACAAGGGCTGTGGCTCCGACCATCAACTATACTAAACACGCTGTGATACTAAAAAACGGTTCCCAAGAAGAGTAACCAGGACACATGATGCGGTGCTCCGATCTAGCCAAATTCAGATGCAACTAGATGTGTACTAATCTAACTCCGTAAGCAATGCCAAACAAAATAATATGTACGCGCTGGCACAATACAGCCAGACATTACTTCGCAACATGACACGCAGTCATACGTGCATCCATCTCATCCTCCCACATCGTCTGCATTCTCCCGTGACACTTCACAGCCTCTCGGTTCCTCCCATCAGCGCATCTCCAAGGCGGGAAAGTAGCGAGGCCCTGCAAAGCCCCGCGCAAGGACGGCCTGTATGTCAATGTTGCTGTCCGGGTCGTGGTTGGAGCTCCACATTTTGAGCAGGATGAAGCGGCCAGACACGGGGGGGTCAAAACGCATGGTACACTTGCTCTTCTTCTTCTCAATGTGGAAGCGAGCGTGTGGGGCAAGTAGGGAGCCGCCGCCAACAGCGCGGCCGGCGTCCTGCGTGGCGCCGGTGTGCGCAGCCCAGGTCTCGGTGAGCGCGGCGCTGCCGTGCGATACGCCGGCATTACTGCTAAGGTTGAAGCTGGAGCCGCCGCCGCCGCCGCCGCCCGCCAAGCCCGGGAACTCATCCAAGTTGACGTCAAGTAGGTTGGTGGCGCTGGTGCTGGCTGGGTGGCGCGGGCGTCTGGCACTGCTCTCGTGAAGAAACAGGCTGTCGGAATTGTCCCAATCAAGGTCCGAATCGGATTCCTCATCATTCTCAAAGGGCAGCGTGCCGATGCGGTTGGGCGGCGGACGGCGGAGGATAGATACCGGAGCTGCGGAGCCGCTGATGGCTTCCTCGTCCTCATCACTAAACTCAGTGCTGATGCGAAAGTCCGGCTGGCTGGTGCTGAATTCCCGTGGCATCTGTGGCGCGCGGATGCCGTCTTCACCAGTGTAGAGAAAGGAGGTAGGGCCAACCAGGATGCTTCCCGGGTAGTACCCGTATTGCTGCGCCTCGTGGTTGAGTCGTGTGCGGGAATCCGTGCTGGTGAATGTCACACGGTCGCGCGCAGCGGGACCGGTAGCAGCCCTGGCAGTACTTGGCGTGTACTGAATTTGGTACTGGGTAGTGCGATGCAGAACGTCGTCATGCTCCATGGAAATAAATACCATGCCTTCGCGGACACTGTGGTGAGATGTCAATGAAATTCTAGGCGTATTTAGCGGGTGTCGCATTGTACATACGGATTAGAGTAGTTCATGGAACCGGGGGCTTTGATGATCAGTTCCGAGAGCGTAAACGTCGTGGAACCTCGATGACGCAGGACAATGTTGCACCGGTTTCCCTTGGTACAGTAGACGGACTGGTCATCCTTGAGGATGTTTTCCGCGGCGTAGGACGAGCCATTGGAGAACATACCGCCATCACAGCTGACCAGTTCCATTTCCAAATTGCCAGCTTCCACTTGGCCGTAGTGGCCGTATCGGAAGCCCGGTACGACGGTAGCGTACTTGTCCTCATCGACCTTTCTGCGCTTATTGCGCTGGTTATCATAGGTAAAGTCATGCGCACGTGTGGATGGCGCATAGCTAGGCGAAGGGTTTGTGGGCAGAAGCTGGCGCGAGACACTGTTGGCCGAGGTCATGTCCAGCAGGGCGCGCAGGTGTGCGTTGGCCTCATCCAATGTGCGGTCCAGCTGTTCTAGGCTGGCCATACGATGAGTATTTGGAAACCGCGAGGCAAAGTCAGCGCCGGAGGAGGGTGCAGGCAGCGTTTGGGGTGCGGCATCGAAGCGTGAGGGCGGTAAGCTGGGGCGATCCTGGTGCCGGTGCCCAAAAACACCGTGACCAAGCGGGGTCGTCCAACTTTCGCGGAGGAGGGAGCTCAGTCTCTCCCGGGTGGCGTTGTCTATCCGGCGTTCTCTGTTGGCGAGGTGCTCCAGGTGTTGCAAACCATCCCATTCCAACCGTTCCAACCGTTCCGGACGTTGCTGCGCACCTCTGGGCAAGGGGGCGGCGTTGGCGGCCAGGTCGGCGCGGGATTGCGCCTCGTCGCTGGGCCGTGACGTTGTGAGGCGAGGGCGTGGCGTTGGCCGTGAAGGGTTATTGGAATTATGCCATGACATTGCTTATGTTTGTTGTGAGTAAAGACGCATGCCACGCGCCCAAGTTTGCGGCAAGAGTCGAAAGTAGAGGAGGGGGAGGTATGTGAGGGTCCTAGCCAGGCTGGTGGCGCTTTTACGGACAGCGTTGCAGGGGGTAGGCGATGCGATGAGTGAGGGCCTGGTGGGAGAGAGCGGCGGGCAAGGCGGGCCAGAAGCAACTCAGGTAGGCAGGTTTGGGCTGACGGGTTGCTATTAGCAGAGAGAAAGAGATGCAAGATTTGTGATGCCACCAACGGGCGTGATTAACTGGCTGATGTGGCAGATATGTGATGAGATATGGCCACGGTTCAGGCTGCAGTAATCAATATGAGAGCCGTGCAACGTCGGGTGAAGCTGGGGCACGGAGTAGCGGAGTAGCGGATGTCTTGAAGCTGCTGACAGGAAAATAGGAGAAAAAAAGAAGCGTGTGTGCGAACGAGCTGGAACAAAGCACCGGAGGGGTTCGGTGGGAGTCAGTTCGATGGCCCGAGCCGAGGGCGTGATGACGAGAGAACAGGGCAGCTAGAGGCCAGGCGGCGAGTAGCACGGCAGAGGCCGAGTCAGGCCAGGATGAGGGCAGAGTCGGCCGACGGCGCCTCAGAGCGAGTTTCGGAGCTTTTCATGGACACTGTGAAGGCACAGGAGGTAGCTTGTGGTGGTTTGATTGGGCGAGCCGCAGCAAGCATGTGTCTCGGTGGTGCAGGTAGGTGGTGGAAGTGGTGGAAGTGGTGGTGGCGAGTGCAAACTGGCGAACGACGTTGCGCGGCTTGGAATCCGAGTCGACTCGGAGTGGGTTGGACGTGATAAAAAGAAATAGGAGGAAAATAAAGGATTAAAGAGAATAATAAAGATAAGTTTGAGGTTTGACGCTAGGGGGGAAATGGCGTCAATGGATGACTTTTTGAATCACCGCATCATGTGGGCAAACAACGGGTAATGGTAGTAGTGGGCGCCGTTGAAGCAGAAGGAAGGGAATCTTTTTGTACCAAGTATTTGGTCAGGCTACAGAGGGAGTTCCTCGTTTGCAGGCAGCCACAGGCAGCCATAGGGCGCCACAGGCAGCTGCGTCACCAAACCATACCGCCAGTAGTGCAGGTGGTATTCGGTACACTGTACGCAGTAAATATTACGATACAGTGCGCCGGCTACAGTGTAGCTCGATGCTCCTCACGACCCTCGTAGATACTGCAGTGTACTTGAGGCCGTATGTCCGCTAAGAATCAATAACTGCTGTAATAGTGTTTGATCCTGTCCTAGTACTACCTACGCTATGTACCTACTTACCTAGGGCTCTTAAATTTTTATTCTGTGGTTTAACACTTGTTCACCCGATTCAGCATCGACCATCAACATGCAAATCGCAGGTAGCCTCATTCTACCTACCTTGGCTATCAATCTTCACGCCAGCGTCAAAGCGCTCGTGTATCCTCAAATACTCGACACAAGTGACCAAGTAACCAGGTGGCACTGGTTTACCAGTATCACCCTGACTCACCTTGCAAATCAAGCAAAGCTTCATTTGCTGCAGCATTTCGGTGTTTGGCCTTAAGACGGTGGTACATCTTTACACACGAGCCTATTCTGGTCTCGTCACGTATCTACTATGTACAGTAGACATCGCAAGGCGCGCTCACCGCGTCTTCCAAATACTTCCGTACCTGAACTCTAAAATTATGCACCTTGGCATGTTCTTGCAGCCATTTATCGACCGCCTGTAGCCTCCCTCTGCGTGCATCCTTGCCATGCACGGAATGATTAACTCTTGGTGCCAACTGAGCCTCCATGCCTAGTGAATTATATGCCAAAACAGAAAGGAAAATAATTTAACCCAACCAACTTTTTTTAACCGTATCAAAGACAACCCACATCTACTCATTGACAGTGCGTTGAAGCCAAGATGCTCTGGTACATGTTATGCTGCGGGACGCTGTAGGCCCTCTTCAGTCATGTGCTAACAATTTTCTCAGCGGCTCACCAGACACTCACCCGCGTTCTACAAATCACCAACAACCAAACATCACCTCCCTCTCATCCATCCAACTTCCCGCGCACGCTCGAAAGGCATAAACACGGTGGCTCCCTGTGAAGTTTTTAAGCTCAGACATCATAGTCCTGCCCATTGACTCGCCTCTTCTCCCTTTCAGCGCAGAGACGACACTTCACGGCGGCTGTTTGCCGCGCGCATTCACCTGCTCTTCATTCAATTGTCAAGAGCTCTGCGCAACTCCTCACCATCATTTCATCCTGAACCTCCTCATCTCATGTCAATCTCGTCCTTCTTCTCCTTGCTCGTTTTCAGCCAAAGTCTCCGCAATGGATCCCGAGCAGCAGCAAACAGGCGCTGAAGCAGCCCGAGCTCAAGCACCCAATACCAGCGGCGAGCCACAATTCGATCCCAGCTTTATCCCCCAGATACCAAATTCAGATGCTATGGCTGGCATTCTTCCAGGCCAGTCATTCATCTCTGATCCTATGGTTGCGAACTTATCTATGGGCAACCCGTCCATGATGCTTCCCATGATGCTTGCCAACGGCCAGGTTCCTCAACAGGTGCAAGAAGCTACGTCCATATCCGCTGGTAACGCATCCCGATTCTCCTCTGCTCTGCACATTGCCCCAAGGCTAATCGTATTTTCCAGACGAAATTGCTCTGTATGATCGTCAGATCCGCCTCTGGGGAATGGCCGCTCAAGCCAAGATTCAAAATGCCAACATCCTGCTCATCACCATGCGCGCGCTCGCCAACGAGGTCGCCAAGAACCTGGTCCTCGCAGGCGTCAAATCCATCACCCTCCTCGACAGTGCGACCGTCACGGAAGCCGACCTCGGTGCGCAGTTCTTTCAAAACGATGGCGACTCAAACGACGCCACCCAGAGCCACGTCGGCCGCAACCGCGCCGAGGCCGCCGCGCCTGCCCTGCGCAAGCTCAACCCACGCGTGCAGGTCCACGTCGACGCCGAGGGCGTCAAAACAAAAGGTCCTAGCTACTTTGCGTCATTTGACATTGTCATTGCCACGGACCTGGATCCCGACTCCTTCAACCTCATCAACACGGCGACGCGCATCAACGGCAAAGCATTCTACGCAGCCGGCACACATGGCATGTTCGGCTTCATATTCAGCGACCTCATCGAGCACGACTTCGTAATCGAGCGCGACGCCGGCAACGTCGCCACGCACGCACCGCAGCAGGAGACGCGCACGCGCTCCATCGTCAGCGTCCAGACGAAGAAGGACGGCGGCAAGACGATCGAGTCCGTCGCCAAGCGAGAGCTGTACTCCACCTGGTTCCTCGCCAGCGACATCGCCACGCTGCCCGACGAGTACACCGCGTCCAAGCGGCGCCTGCGCGCCGTGACGCCCGCGCTGTCATGCCTGCGCGCCCTCTGGGAGTTTGTGCAGGTCCACCCGCCCGGCGGCCTGCCCGCCACGCGCGACGATCTCAAGCTCTTCACGCAGCTGGCGACGCAGAAGCACAAGGCCCTCCGACTCCCCAGCGAGACGCTGCGGCCCGAGTTTTTGCGCGCCTTTTTGCAGAACCTCGGCGCCGAGGTGGCGCCCGTGGCCGCCGTCCTCGGCGGCCAGCTCGCGCAGGACGTCATCAACGTCCTCGGCCAGCGGCAGCAGCCGATTCAAAACACGGTCATCTTTGACGGCAACACGATGGAGGGCCTCGTCTACGCCCTGCACCCCGAGGGCATCCTGGGCGCCAACCTGCTGTCGAGCACCGCCGCGGACGTGAACGGTGCCGCCGGCGTAATGGGCGGTGTGGGTGGTGTTCCTGGGGTTCCGATCGGCGTCAACGGTCTGGGGATGATGGATCAGGGCATCTTTCCCCCGAACGGCGGCGGCTTCCCGCTCAACAACGGTCTCGGCATGCTCGGTCTGGAGCAGCAGCGGCAGCAGCAGCTGTCGCAGCCGCAAGAGGGCGTGCAGCCGGCGATTCCCGTGCAGCAACCGCCTTCGCAGCAGCCCGTCTCCGCCCCGGAGCAGCCGCCGCAGGATCCTACGGTGGCCGCCTCGGGCCAGGCAGAGCCAACCAGCTGAGCGTTCCCCATGGTGCGGAAAGAGACGCTACGAGTAGGGCAAGCTGTCGGGAATCTAAGAGGTGCTGCTGTTTGCTGTTGGATATAGATGAGAATGACAGGGGACCATGCAGGAGTGAATGCAGTTCTTGACGAAGCCATGTTGGATATCAGGGTTGGAGGATGAAAAGGATATGTACTTTAGTTAAGCCCCTTTTCGGCCCCGTGGAAAATTTCATGCTTCTGCGCTCTTTGGTTTCCTATAAACTGCCTATGTGCTGGTTCATTAGACTTGACGGCTTAGTGCATACTTGGGCAACAATGGAATCACGCAAAGTCAGGTTTTAGGAGCTAAGAGAATAGACGATATATATAAAACAGGATTATATGAATGATGCATAACAAAAAGGAGATTGCCCCAGAAACCAAAAAAGGGAGCACAAACAACAAATGCTCATCCTTCTGCTTCCTGTCAGTGACAAAACAAGCCCCCTCCCCAAAAGTCAAGTGTGCATACAACACAGACACACTCACACAAAACAGAGCATCCAAAAAAAAACCCCGTAAAAAACACGGCTCTATAATTTCCTCTCTCAATGGCCTTCAACTTTTTCCATTCCCCTCCGGTCCCCCTTTTTTTAACCCATAGATCCTGCTGAGCGTTTGTCTCATATAAAACATGGGAGAACTCCAGAAAAAATGACAAGGAGAGAAAAAGACAGATGCGAACCCAATAAAAAGAGAGTAAGAGTACATGGAAATCGATGTAGGAAACGGCAAAGCAGCATCCAAGAAAAATGTGCTCAAGATGAAAAGAAGACTCCATGCCAAACGCCCAGTTTTGATGATGCTGGAGACGAATAATGAAAAAACAACGCGCAAGGAAATGGGGTCAGTGGTATAGGAGACACGAAATAAAAACCCCGCCAAGAAAAACAACGACAGAAGAGAGAAGACAACAGAAAAACGACACAGCCCAGTGCTCATCAGGATTCGTCGACGCGCGCAGCAGATGCCGCCACAGAGCCGCCGGCTGGGGCAGGTACAGGCACGGGAGTCTCACGCCTGGGCTTCGCACGAGTCTGCCGCCTTCTCCTGGACGGAGACGAGGCCGCCGCCGCAGCAGCTACCGTGTTGCGCTGGGCATTGGTCCTCGGCCGCAGACGCTTGTGCAGTAGCGTTTCTTCTTGTTGTTGCGACACGCTTGGGGCAGCCTCGGCGGGTGGCGACAACGATGTTGGCGTTGGCGTGCACAACGTTAGCTTCGGCGGCGGTGGCGACTCTTCCTTTGCCTTTTCTTCCACCACTACCCCAACCTCGCGTGGGAACAGCGGCGGCAGACTCGAGCGCGGCGGCTCACAAAAGTGCACCTTAGGTGGTGCGGCCGTCGCCGAGGCTTTTGGCTTGCTCTTTCCCTTGCCTCTGGTGCCTGCAACCGCAGTGCCGGAGGCGGATGATTGGGACGCTTCCCGACGCTATCTGGAATCGTCCCGATCATTGTTCGACTCTGCGCGTTCCAGCTTCTCCGCCTTGCTGCGCTTGCGCGGTTGGTTCACGTTCCAGCCGCGGATCTGCGTGGGGCCAGAGCTAGGCAGGGCCGCAGAAGAGCCCGTCTCCTTGTGGTCGTAGGGAATTGTCTTGAGCTCTGGCTTATTTGCCCAGTTGCGGTGAGCGGGCACTGGAGCGGGCTGCAGCTTCCTATATTTATTAGAGCCAGCGTCAGACGACCCAGACGGCGTAGAGCGGTGGCGGTGGATGCCGCTGTGCGGTCCATGCGGCGTGCCAGGAGGGCTCTGTCCAATAGAGCCAGGCAGGCCAGGGTTGCCAAATGTCGGCGACAGCACCTGATGCGCGTAGCCCGGTGGCGGCGATCCCATGTAGCCTTGGGTCTGGGGGTTAGGCAACATGCGTTCGGCCGGCATTGGCTGAAGTGGCGCGAGCGGCTCCGTCGGGAACCCGCTGCGCTGGTAGGACCGGGATGGTCCAGGCGGGTAGTAGATACCGCCGTGGATGCTAGGTCGCTGGTCATGCATGGGCTCGTCGGGCAGCGATGGGTTCCGGCGCGGCGGCCGCAGGGGCGGAAGAAGAGGGTCATTCTGTGAGAAGGAGAGCCGGGATGGCGGGGGAGGTGGCGCGCCAAAGTGTGCCGGCTGCGGAATTGCGGGTGGCGGAGCGGCTGACGACTGCCAGTACGGGCCTCGCGAGTACGACTGCGGAGGGGGTGCGGTTTCGGTCCCGTAGCCGCTGAGGCGACGATGGCCATAGCCAAGATCGATCGGGCGTCCCTGTGCCATTGAGTCGCGGGGGTCATGCGACGGGTAATAGTAACCATGGTCCTGTGAGATGGGACCTGGCAGCGGAGGATAGTGGGACTTGTACTCGATGGGCACCGGTGGTGGAAGTCCCCGATCTAGAGGTGGGTACGGACTGCTTTCCGGAATTGTGCCCGCTGATGGTGGCTGAGGATACGCCCGGTCACGCGAAGAGTAGCCATAAGGTGAGTGGTGCTCGACTCGCTGTGGCGGCGGTTGGGCTGCAAAGGAGCTGGCCTGCGGCGTCTCTTCTTTCTTGATCGGACTCTTATACTCGGACTCAAAGGCAATGCCAGTACCGCCAGGAAGGCGAGCTTCCACATTGCAGAGCTCCGCAAGAGTGCTGAGACCAAGAGACACGGGGTCCTGCTGCGGTGCGGAGCGGGGTTGCGAGATCTTATCGGTGAAAATGTCCCTAATAGCGTCATACCGAGGCTGCTTGGGGGCCGGCGGCGCAGATTTCACAGTCTCCTGGGCAGCAACATAGGCTGATGCATAAGTCAAAACTGACAGACTTGGCATGCCAGTCTCGACAACCTCCTTTGGTTGCTCGGGTTCGGCCTCCTCGTCCGTTTCCGAGTCCACTGCCACGATTGGTCTCTTTTTCAGTTCCTTGGTAGCGATGCCAAGGGACTTCTTCTTCCACTCGTTGTAAGAGGGAAGATACTCAGTGATGGAGTAATCTTCCTGGCTGATACTGCCCTTTTTGCAGAAGCGACGCAGCGTAGAACCAAAGGAGAAGCGGAGAGGAACGTCTTCAGAGCGGCGGTGGTTAACGGTGGGGATATATGATCTCGACGCAAATGAGACGCGGCCCGAAGGCAGGGCGATGAAAACGACGGGTTTTCCGGGCATCTTATAGGGGCCACTTTCGATGGGATCGTTTTTGCTAGTGGGAAGAAAAATGCCATATTGCGGGTGCAAACCGTAGTGTTCCACGAGCTCCTGATCGAGGTCGTCGTGACTCATGTTCGTGTAATCGTACCCATTACACAAGTGATCGAAGTGCCAGCCCGTATTATTAGGCGTGTCGAGGTACTTGCCACGCTTGGCTCTGGTGTGACCCTTAGAGGAGTCATTGTAGGTGTCTCTGAAACCAATCTCCCAGTCATTAAAGTCGAATATAGGACGAGCCATGAATCGGCTCGTCATCACTTTTTCACGAGGGCCTCTTTGGTTATATACGCGAACACCGTATTCATCTGGTTCGCCAATATTCTTGGGCAAGGGCGGACTCTTTTCGCGAGCGTGCAGCTTGCTCGGGTCCTTGGCGGCAGCGGATACGCCGTTTGCAGCACCGGTCGGTTCTGGTGACGCGGGCGTGGAATCTTCCTCGGCGACACCATTAGGGTGAGCCTCCGCCTCGGCAGCAGAAGCCAGCAGACCCTTGGCAGGGGCATGGGCAATGTGTTCTTGGAGGCCGCCATCATCGGTGCCGCGTGTCGACTTTTTAGGCGTCGGCTGACCATCAGGCTGTTCTTGAGCGCGGCGCTTGTTAATAGCCGCACGACCGCGACCACGGCCCTTAGTGGTAGCATTAGAGGGAGCGGGCGTCGAGACGGGTTCGGCGGCGGCACGGCCTCGTCGCCACATCTCGGTGCCCATGACGCGTGAGGGGTAGGGGATGAGGCGGCCATTCTTGTAGCATTCATAGAGACCAAACTCGCGGTCAAAATGCGAGTCTGTGATAACTTTGTACTGATGCTGGTCATCACGGATCTGAAGATGGCGGTGTTAATTGAGATTGATTGAGGGTACGCAAAACAACATAGCAGCGCGAAGTGCTAGACCGAGAGTCAGGCAGATACTCACATCGACAGGAAGGTCCTTGCTTCTAAGACTGTTGAGAATGCGGACTCTGTTTTCTTGGCCTTCGTAGGCTTGCTCGTCCAGATCCTCGAGGGCGTTCTAGATGTTGGGTGAGACAGGCGTGTCAGCAAGTGGACGGGACGGATAAGCGACGGCGGGTATAAGCAGAAAGGAGTATGGAGTACAGAGGCAGTAAGGCTAGATACGGCAGCACGTGCGGGTACAGGTACAATAAAGGGAACAATGGAGATGGTAATGGTGACAAAGAGAAACAGACATACCTGAAATTGACTCTCGGTGACGAAGACTTCACCGTCATATTTTTGCTTGGCGACCTTCATGCCCATTTGGCAGCGGCGATCAAGCACGGCAAGCCTGTCGGTCAAGCTTTTCTGCAGGTGGCGGATAATAGGTTCATACTCGGGAACCTTCTTGTAAAGGTCTGGACTTTGCAGGGTCTTGTCGATATTGCGCTCGGCCAATTCCTGCAAGGCGCCCTTGAGCGCGTGGGCAACGGCCTGGTAGTTGGCCTTGAGATGGCGCTGGCGTTCGTACGAGGCCTGGACGTGGGAGTCGGCAAAGACCTTTGCGCGACCTCTGCGGGAGCCTCCGCGGCCGGGTCTGGCCGCGGACAATTTGGCAGCCGAAACTGCGGCTGTGGCTGCTAATCGGCCACCGCCTCTGCCTCGTCCGCCACCGCGACCACCACGGCCGCCCCTGCCGCGGCCGCGAATAGCGGGCTCGCGAGCGGGCGACTCATTCTCAGCAGGCATGGCGGAGAGACGAGAAGCTCATGTATGATGGGAGAGGGGACAGAGGGTATGAGGGAGGGAGAGGGGATGGGGGGGATGTAGGCTGGGGATTGAGTGTGTGAATGAAGCCTTTTGGGATAGTCTGAGTAGGTAGTAGTAGGTTGGTATGGATGGATGGATGGATCGAGTTGTATGGTGTTGTATTAGGTTGGTTGTTTTTTTAGCGCGGCTTCTTACTGGCTGAGAGAAGAGGGTCGCCGAGAGCCAGGGCCACCCCAGTCCGTCTCAAAAGAGTCCAAGGAAAAAGGATGGGTCCGTGATGTCCTATTTGTTCTCTTGGTATTAGCAGAGCGAGTCGAGCAATCAAGACTTGATGAAAGACAAGGGGGAGAGGGAGAGGCGGTTGGAGTAGGTAGGTAGGGAAGTAGGCAGGTAGGAAGGTAAGGCGGTAGAGGTAGGGAGACAGCTCAGGCGGGCGGGCAGTCGTATTGTTTGTGTGTGCGTATGATGATGATGATGCACGTCTTCCCAGCCCAGGCCAGACAACAGAAGCGAGGCAGAGAGACTGGAGACGAGGGGCATCACTGCAATCAACGGGCACAGAGCAGCAAGACAACAGCAATGCATGCAGGCCTGGAAAAATTGCAAGTCAACGAGCAAACAAGGGGTAAGCACCTGAGAACAAATTTCCGGATGAGGGAAGATGAAAAAGAGCCAGCACCGGCGAGTAGCCAGCAGCGAGAGATGGGGTAATAATGTGTGATTGCAGAAAGAAAGCAGATAGTAGGTATGAAGAGGAGGGAAAAAGGGCAGGTTGGAAATGAACGGATTGGTTGGTGGTTTTTGGTAAGACTTGCAATGCAGTCGAGTAGAAATCAGAGTTCGGCAAAGAATACAAAGGAAATGCCGGGGGCAAGGTGGAAGGGAAAGTACCTGTTGCAGTAGAAAGATAGTCGGCGGACAATTCACTGTAGTACAGTGGTGGTGTTTGTACCAGCAGCAGTTAGCGCTCAACTGTGGCTGGCGCTGGTGTAGCGAGGCAGGCGGCGACAGACAGAAAGATGGCTGTAGGCTGCTATCTTCAACGAGAATCACTGCGCATCCGCCGCAAATCGACGCAGATCAAATCACCCGTCAAAATAAAATTTAGAAGCACACGTATCTTTCAACGTATGATTCGACTTTCGCAGGACGCTGATTGCGATGCCGATGGACGTCGCAAAACTCACCCCGTGTCGTTGCCCGTGGGTTGTTGTGTGTTTGCAGAGAGGGAAAAAAGGGCTGCCCACTTATTTGCGTCGGCAAGGTGGAGGAGAGTGACGGGCAGCGAGGAAGGGTACATGTATCCAAGTACACCTTCTATACGGCCTAGCCAGCCTATTTCCCGTCCATTTCCTTTAGCGGCCCATGTACCGAGTACTTCTCTGGCTTCCTATTATGGACAACTTTCCGCAGGGCGCTCTGCTGCGTTCGATTGGCTCTGCAACGGCCTCCATTGTTGCCTTGCCAAGCCCGGTGACAAGCTCTCGTGCTTCATCCTCCGATGACGGGAATGACGATACGGCGCAAGTCGCTTCTTATCTCTTTTCTTTGCCTCCGAGCCTCCGAGCGACGACTTTTCCCATTCAGCGTCGGGCTGCAACTATGCTACTGAGATGTCTTGATGGGCGGCAGTTGCCGCTACCTGTTACTAGCGTACCCTACACCACTTTGAAGACAAACATGCTCGGACAACACAGATCCAAAAACAACCCGTCTTGTAGCAGGCTTGACGCCGAATTTAGAACGATGCAAATCTCTTGTAATTTGAAAAAGTGTGGCTGAATTCCTTTTACCCGTCCTATTCAAGTGTCATGTATGTGCAGATCTATCATCTATCAATGACTACATGCATCATCTGTCGTGCACGTTTTTGAGCAGCAAAATCTAAAGAGCTGAGCTGTATCCAGCTCCCACATACCAGCCTCTCCATACTCAGAGACACTGTCTTCATGACTACTACTGCTATCCTCACCGGCGCCGCCGCCGGCGCTCCTCCGCTCCCGCTCTCGGAGCAACTCCGACCGGTCCTCCCGCCCCCGGAGCACGGCCACCTGCCGCCGGCGCTCCTCCTCCTCCTCACCCCTCCATGTACGTCCGTGCAGGTGCCTCAGGCACGCGCTCTCCCCGGCGTCCGGGTAGTACAGCCACGTCGCCCACGCGCGCCAGCCACCCGCCTTCATCTGGTTGCGCGCCGCCTGGCCGACCGTGTCCTCGATGAAGGCGCCGCGCGCCACGGCCAGCCGCGAGGGGAACACGCGCGCCAGGTAGTGCGCCGTCGCCGCCACATGCGGCTTGTCGTGCCAGAAGAACAGCGGCGTCAGCGGCACGGGCGGCAGGTGGTGGCCGTCGCCGGTGGTGGTGGAGGGGTACTCGCCGGTGAGGGCGAGGGAGACTTGCCGCAGCGCCGGGTAGGGGACCACCTGTTCGGACGTGGCGTAGGAGGACCGGCGGCCGGACGGCAGGCACACGTACCGGATCGGCGGGCGGTCGGCGGCGGTGTCCTCGTGGGGGGAGGCCTGCATGGCGCCGAGGAGTGCGGCGATGGGGATGTCCTGGATGAGGCGCCAGTCGTGCTGGTGAACCCAGACGTACGGCGTGGAGATGGCGCGCAGGGCGCTGCGCACGCCGAGCCCGAAGCCGAGGCGCCGACCGTCCGCCTCGATGAAACGCACCCGCTTGACGTCGGTGGAGGTTATGATCAACGGGACGGGCTTCGTCAGTTGCGGAGAGCCGTACTCGGCTTCGCCAGATGATTCGAGCAGCGGCGGCGTCGGTTCGACTGCGCTCTTGGCAAACGTGTTGAGGAAGAGTGTCTTGACATTGTCCTTGTAGATGCTGTACTTGGCGGCTGTCTCGGGCGTGACGTATCCCTTTTTCAGCCGCGGGGTCGCCGTGATCTGCTCATATGTGTCAAACACAACAATCACGGGGCATTGGAGCAGGGCAGGACAGTGCGTCTGAAACGACTCGAGCACGCTGGAGAGGAGCTCGGTGGAGGGGGCCGAGGGCGTGGGCGAGGTTGTGATGACCAGCGTCAGGAGGTCGGATACGGCGTCATGCCTGGGGACATGGTTCATGTCAAGATGTCTGTTGGGGGAGGGCGTGCTTTTCGCAATGGATGGGCGGGAATAGGAGATTCGAGGTGGTGTTTGGTGTTTGGTGTTTGCTATTGCTGATATACGAGGGGAAATTCAGGCTCTGAGATTTGGTGGCGGGGCTGAGACAGTTTTGGTAGCGGGCGCAGAGGCTGTCAAGGAAGCTATGGGCATGTTGTGATGAACTAGGTAGTGATACGATTGGGGCTGAAAAGGAGACCCCAAAGATCATTGAAATAACATTGAAATAAAATAAAGCGAAACGCACTGACTATTTTGGATTTTCGGCGAACGATTAGAGGCACCTTTTTGGGCATTTCCTGTCGAATACGTAGGCCTCCGCGGGCCCGGACGCCAAGGGCCAATGACCAACTTGCCGACCAAAGCCGCGGCTGATTCGTTCGAATAGACATTTATTAACCTCGTCTCTCCACCAACAGTACCAGCATCACAGTCTCTCAACTTCCGGTTCTCCATTGAAACACGCTGATTCGAGCAAGGCTCTTGACCAGAAACAACCGCAATTGCCGGCCTGTCCTCACCCTCCGCCGAATCACCAAATATTGGACCGTGGACCCTTCACCCGAGTGACACACAAACATCCATCCATAACCCCAGTTACACACACACATATCCATCCATCTATCCACTACGAGCAGCCATGCCGGATCTGCAGTCGGCGCGCCTGCTCGACTTCATCGGCAAGATGCCCATCGACCAGGACGCCCTCGACTTCTTCGCCACCGTCCCCCACGCAAACGCCTACCTCGACCGCAGCGGCCACGACGGCCTGATCCCGGTTCCCTTTTACAGCCGCGCGCCCAAGGTCGACGGCGCCGACACCTTCTTCGGCGAGACGCTGCGGTCCCGCGACACCATCCCGCACGCGGTCCTCCTGCTGCGCGCCGACATTGCGCGCCTGACGTACGAATTTGACGGCCACGACGACGACGACCGCCCGGACACGGTGGCGCTCTTCCATATCGGGACCAAGCTCAACGGCTATCGAGACACGACGCACGGTGGGCTCCTGGCGTCGCTGCTCGACGAGGTCGTGGGCTTCAACGTGGACGGCCTGTGCAGCTGCATCGAGGCGGCGGCGACGGCGGCGGGAGAACAGCAGACGTCGTCGAGAAATAGGCTGTACACGGCGTACCTCAACACCACCTACAAGAAGCCCGTGTCGCCGGGCGCCTACGCGGTGGAATCACGGCTGGTACGGCGCGAGGGCAGGAAGTGGTTCCTGAGGGGGCGCGTTGTCGGTGCCGAGGGCGCGGTGCACGCCGAGGCGGAGGTCTTGTACATTCAATCTCGCGACAGCGTTTTATAGACTAACTACGACATTTCATTTCGTAGAAAAGATGTAAAAGAATATAATGAATTGGAGCAAAGATACGAGTTTCTGTCCTCACGATTTCGTGCCATTCAATAAATAGAAGCGAAAAAAAAAAGAGTTCATTATGTACTTCAAATTGCATCCGTCGCCTCGTGCAGCCTCACCAGCGTCTGCACCGGCGACGACGTCAGCGTCAGGTTGGACTTGATCGTCGGCGACGGGTCCAGGTTCTCGATCGCGTCGTACCGCTGCAGCAGCCTGACCAGCACGTACGCCGCCTCCGTCAGCGCGAACTGCTGCCCGAGGCAGATGCGCGGCCCGCCGTTGAACGGCAGGTACTCCCACCCGACCTTCTTCCCCTCCCACCGCTCCGGGCGGAACTCGGCCGCGTCCGGGCCCCAGACGTCCGGCCGGCGGTGCATCACGTTGGTGCTGTACGCAATCTCGGACCCCGCGCGCACGTAGACGGGAGATTGCCCATCGGCGCCGCCGCCGCGCGGCAGCGTGGTGTCGCGCAGCGCGCGCCGGAAGTTGGTCGGCACCGAGGGGTGCAGCCGCAGCGTCTCGGAGAGCACGTGCTGCAGCGGCGCGCACGCCTTGAGCGACTCGAAGGTGATGCGCGAGGTGTCGGTGGCGGAGTAGGGGCCAAAGTCGGCGAGGACGGCGGCGCGCAGGGCGGTCCAGGCGGCGGGGGGCTCGCGGGCGAGGCGCAGGGTGGCCCAGCCGAGCAGGCCGGCGGTGGTGTCGCGGCCGGCGAGGAGGATGTTGAGGAGCTGGTTGCGCAGGGCGTCCGGGTCGCGCGTCTCGCGAGCGAGCTCGTTGAGGAAGACGTACTGCCCGTCGCCGTCCTCCTCGGCGGCGCGGGCGGGGGAGCGCGCGAGGGCGCGGCGCACGTAGTAGTCGGCGAAGCGGCGCACCTCGGCGCAGTCTCGCCGGAACGTGGCCGGGTTGTAGAGGAAGTACAGGTTCATGAGGATGAAGCGCCGCGTCATGGTCCGGTTGGCGCTGTCAAAGGCCTGCCCGAACGACGACCAGTCCTCCATGTCGTCGTCGTCGGCGGACTGCTTCTCGCCGCGCGTCTTGTGCGCGGCGTGCGGGTCCCCGAGGACCTGCGTGTTGACGCTCTTGCCGAAGAGGAACTCGGTGGCCGAGTCGAGCGTCAGGTTGAAGAAGAGGGGGACGAGGTTGACCTCCTTGGTCCATCCGTCGGCGCCGCGCTCGAAGCGGTTGAGCAGGTGCTGGACGTGAATCTCCTCTACGTGGAGGTTGGATATTTGGGTGCGTGTGAACTGAGGACGCAAGATTGCTCTAGAATGTTGCCAATCCTTGCCATCAGACGTAAAGATGCCCAGGCCCAGGAGCGGTTCCAAGACGTTGTAGCGGATCGGGCCGAGGCCAAACTCCTTGAACTGGGTCGCGAGCATGGCCTTGATGTTCTCCGGATCCGACGTCATCAGCAGCTTGCGGCCGAGCGTCTCCTGGTGGAAGGTGGTGCGGCCGCCGAGGTCCTCGTACGAGCGGACCTCGAGGTTGAGGAACTCGTTGTCCTGCAGCGCGCTGATGGCCTTGTACGTGTGGTCGATGCTGAACGGGAGCCAGCCCCGGCGGAGGTACGGCGGCTGGCAGCCGAGCGCCGCGGCGCGCCGCCGGTGGGAGAGCTCGGTCCACAGCTGCTGGAGGAGGTAGAGGGCGGCGATGCCGGCGGCGATGGGCCAGTACGCGATCAAGTTAGGCATGACTAAAGGCTGTGGCTTTGTCACGGACCTTTGGGTTGCTGAGCGATTGTTGTTGGCTTCCCAGGATCTGAGGGGGAGGGGCGAATTTCTGGGCGGGATCGAGCGCTAGCTTTTTATAATCCATTCAGCGGCCCTTGGGAATACGATCAAACATTACGGTCGGGCTCGCGGCTCTCCCGGGGCGGACGGAGTGGCCTGTTCGGGGCCACTTGAAACGGGTGGCCAGCCGGCTACATGGCCAGCCATTACGAATGCCCTCGACGTGACAAGCCAATCAAGCTGCCAGGGCCGGCAATATGGGCTGGAAATGCGCTGATGGTGCTAAGCCTAATAAGCGTGTTGTAGAGGCTTTTGGCGCATGGCGGCGGCGGCGGACTGCTAAAACTCAATCCCAGCTCCGTCCGTGTGTGGGCAGCAGCGGGTAACTAACAGGGGGCCCGACGGCGGACGGGGCGATTCTTCGGCGCGAGAGAAGGGGAAATAAACTAAGTTATAGTTATAAACAAGGCGGACCCGACAACCACATGCGAATGGCAATGCCCGCGTTCTGTGGTCTTGTGATTTATAGTGAAATGGGAACCCGACAACCACATGCGAATTGCCCCCCATTCTGTGGTTCTTATGATTTATTATAGTGAAATTGGACCATGAACTAGAATCGAGCTATTATGAACGGCCAGAGAAGGAGAAAATAGCTCTAGAGGGACACTTAGGGTACTCTGTGGGTGAAGCGGCATAGTTCAATTCTCCCGTCTTCATCACTGGAAGCTCAGATCAGCCGCCTTCGCCAGAGCCATGCAGCTCGTCAAGAAACCCCAAGCCTGCGCACAATTGAACTCGTACGTTGCTTTCGCATACGGTAAGCTATCCGTTGCGCAGCCGTCCTTCAGCATAACCGTGTCAAACCCTTGCGCATGGGCGTCTTGCAAAGTCGCCCCGACACATTGGTCCGTGTTGACGCCGCAAAACAACAGCGTGCGTAGGCCTTCTCTCTTTAAATATACAGCCAAGTCAGTGTCTGCGTTCCAAAGTCCCGAGTTTCGATTCTTATAGACCAACACATCCGGGCGGGCCGCTTTCTTGCCTGCCTCGTACTCGTCGGCCAATGCACCGTGCAGCGCCGTATTCCAAGCATCTCTCATCATTGCACGGCCTGCATCCACGACGCTTCCATCCTCCAACGTGACGCTTCCAAGTTCCTTGCCGGGTATTTTTGAGAGATCTGGCCGCTCGCCGCACTTGATAAAGTTGGCCGGATCGTTTGGGTCGCCGTCCCGGTCCCCAAAGCCAAAGTCAATCTTATCCGAGTTGGCAGGGAAAGCCCAGACGCGGTAGCCAGCGGGAGGCAAGTTGGAGAGGTCTTGCTCTGTGAGGCCCCAGTTGAGCCAGATGATCTGAAGGCCGAGCTTCCGCGCGGCTGGTATGGCGTACTGAAGGATCGCTGCTTGGGCGTCGTACATGGCGGGGACGCTTTGTGGACCGAGTGCTTTGTGCAGGCCAATATTCTGCATGTCAGTGATGACCAAGGTAGTCTTTTTTGCGTCGATCTTAATGTTGGAAAGCTCGCAGTCGAGGTTGATGGTGGTCTCTGGGAACTCGCTGGACGGGTCTTCTCGATGAGTCAGGTCCCAACCATCCTGGGCCCAAATCCATGTGCCGTCTCCCGTGCCGACAAGAATTCTAGCATGAGAGCCATCCTCAGGGTAAGTTTGAGTATCTTTGTCGATCAGCGGGGTGGCCATTCTCGTAGGTACGGATCCGCCGGTGAGGGATGGAGGGCAAAATCAGAGAGCAGGAGAGGCAAAGGCGCAGGCGCCACCCGTCCTATGTGGTTTTATTTATTGCTTTATGGAATTCCATTCTCCATTGATCAAAGAGTTTGACTAATCACAGTGCACGAAGCACAGTGTGGTCTCGAGACCTTACCCCTCCCGCCTGCAGATGTGACACAAACAGGCTGGCTTTTCTAGCGGCGCCCTGGGCATCAACGAGACAGAACGAGTCATCTCCGGGTGACCGGATTTGAAGGACAAGATGAGGCCTCCGACCAGCCCGTAAGTCAAGAGTATATGAATAGGGGTTTACAATATCATCAGCTGACCATGGCCCGCCAGCGCTGAAAGCTTCTCCCAGCAATGGAGCACCTTTGTCGCTTCGCTGAGCAGTTCTCTGGAGCGTAACGATTCTCTCCGGGTATCGCAGGTCAACTCTTTTGAGAAGGCTCAAGGTCTGTTCACTCAGCCGCTGGCATCGCCACTTCCGGCAGTTGCGGTCCAGGAGCTTACGGAACTTGCCCACACCCTTGAGAAACTTCGCGATTTCATGGATTTTGTTTCAAATCAAGCAGATCCCCCCACCGAGAACTCCAATTTCTGGGGCCTTGTTGGTCTTATTATTCATGTACCAGCCATACCGATATCCCCAATCGAGAATTCAGAGCTTGCAACTGATACCATCTAGCTCTCACAGTCGGAGGATGGTGTTGCGCCGCGGGTGCCTCGCATGATCAACTCTATCTGTCAGGATGTTGAGCTTCTATATAAGTACCAAAAGGCAACATTGGAGACATTGCCAGAGATCAGAGACACTGGATTTCATATCGCAAACTTGGTGGCCCAATTCCTTGTTACAGCGATCAATTTCATCCGGGAGGATGTGGAATACTTCGCAAAAAGTGAGCTCCCGACGTAATACAGTCCTACCTATCTAACGTTTATCTAGATGAGAACGTCTGGGAGCCACTTGAAACAAAGTTTAGGTCCTGCAGGTCTGAAATTGATGAGGCAGTTTCTCGTTTAGAGAAGATGTCCAGACTTTCAGGGCTCAATAATCTGTCTCAAATGCAATCGGCCCTGTCTACCCCGAGCCCGATCTCTCCGATCTCGAACGAGCCTGCAAGCCTTCCTTGTTTTATCTATCCTATCTCGAGAACCCCTCGTTTTTTTGACCGTACCGATGACTTCATTCAGATTGATCGATTTTTCACCAACCGATCACAGGACAGCAGCCAGACATTCCGCTCACTTGCTTTGCATGGCATCGGCGGCATTGGAAAGAGCTCCATTGCTCTTCGGTATGTGGAAATTCGGATTCGTAACAAAGAGCTTGATGCCATGTTCTGGATATCAGGCGAGAAGGCGGCCAATATTCGACAGAGCTTCACGGAAATTGCCCTGCGATTGAAGCTGCCAGGCGCACACCCCAAAAATGACGATCAGAATAGAACAATTGTCCTGGACTGGCTCCAAAATACGGGTGCGTTTGAATCCATATCCCATGTGCCACGCTAATACATGACAAGAATGTAAATGGCTCCTGCTTTTTGACAATGTCGAAGACATGAACCTCCTGATGAAATACTGGCCAGCTGTTTCTCATGGTCAAGCCATCATTACGACCCGCAATCATAGCTTTTCGTTCTATCCATGTGATGGTGGACTGGAAATTAAGGAATGGGACAATGATACTGGCTCTCAATTCTTGCTGCACCTTCTCTCGACGGATATCACCAGTCAACTTACTGAGTCTGAGGCTAAGAGTGCCCAAGAGTTGGCCCATAGCCTCAGTGGCCATGCACTCGCTTTGTCTCTGATGGCTGGTCTCATACATCGCCGCTCCTGGTCCATTCAAGAATTCGTGGAACTTTATAAGAAGCAGCCGCAGAAGGTCCACGGTATTTTTGGGAGCAATTCGATCAATGCTCTCTGGGAGATGTCGTTTCGAAATCTGAATGAAAGAAGTCGCGCAATATTAGGCGCCCTGGCCTTCCTCTCCCCGGACAACATTCCCCAAGCCCTTTTTGAACCGAAGAATACGAATGCTTTCCCGGCCTCCCTCGAGTTTTGCAAAGACGCCTTCGATTTCTCAGATGAGATGGAAACACTCATGATGCTTGCCTTGGTTAAGCGCAACAAAGAAAAGAGGGCTTTGTCGATTCACAGACTCGTGCAAGCATCTTTCAAACATTTTATGAGCCCGGAGGAGCGTCAACGCAGCTTCAATGATGCATCATTGTTGGTATCTAACGCATTTCCGAGGCAGGATGCTGAGTTTGCTCAAATGTACCATTCGTGGCAACAATGTTCTCTTTATCTCCCACAAGTTCTGAGCCTGCGAGACTTTTTTCGAGAGGAAAAAACATCCAACCCGAACTTCTCGGCTTTGATGGAATACTGCAGCCTCAATAACGCCTGCCAACGGTAAGTCTAACCTTGTACCCAGCGCCTGAAAGCACTAATCAAGGCTAAGCTTTCTCATCGAAACGAACAACTACAATGATCTTCTCAACCTCTTGGACGTGAACGATATGGCGATCGCCTCCATCCCGCCCCAACCACCAAGCATCCAAGTTGACCTTGAAGGCTCCTTTGCGTCCCACCGGGGTCAAGCTCTAGAACGAGTAGGCAGGGCTGAAGAAGGCATCCGCCACCTCCAGATCGCGTACGAAGTCTTTGCAACGGACCAACCGCGCAATCTGCGCGAAGAGGCATGGTGTGCAGAGAATCTTGCTGACGGATATGCCTCCACGAACAACTTCGCCCAAGCGGTCCACTTCCAAAAGAAAGCGCGCGACCACTGGCTTTCTTGGGCGGAAGATAACAGCGAAGACAAGACAGAATGGCCAGCAATACTGAAGTGGGGGATGGGTACTAATCTGATATGGGCAGCACAGAAAGATGAATCAAGAAACGTCCTTACGCAAGGCCTTCGCCAGCTTGAAGCTGCAAAACCATACAACTGGGCCATGGTCGCCTAGTACGACCCCCAGTGCCCTCCTATCCTCCTCGGCCGATTTTCTGACATTCGATAGTACTCACTTCTCGCTGGGCACAGTTGATCGATCGGATGGCGCCTTCGAGGCAGCTGAGAGACACTTCACAAAGGCTCACAACACCTGGGTGTCGGGAGACAATCTGCTGACGGATCCGTTTTGTGGCGCATGTGTGTATCGAATGGGCTGCGCAGCTCTTGATAAGGGAAAGTCAGAGACTGCTATGTTCGTCGTCGGGTCCTACATTTTGCCAGACTTGTGGGAGCTAACATGGTTAATAGCAAGCATCTGAGAGAAGCTTCCTCAATCACGGAGCGGCATGTCGCTAGCATGCCAGTGGAGCACGCCAGGTGCCTTTTAAAGATGTCCGAGGCACTCGGACGGGAGCCAATAAGGGACAAGAAAGAGTCGGAGAGACTGCGTGCGGAGGCTATACGGCTTCTGCTCTCTCGTTCGCCGGACGCGGAAAACGTCGATCAGGAAAGTACATATGATAGCTTGGTCTTCATTTGGTGGCGATAGGTACATGAAAGAGCTCAAAGTGTGTCAGGACGAGAATTTGCTCATCTTCTTTTTTACCCATTTCTGTTCCCGCAAGAAAGCCTCGTTTCTCTGCAGGATATTTTCACTATTACTAGTAGCGTATCACATGTGCCGCAGTCTGCAAACATTCGCATGAGACTCTTAGCATTTTTTTGGTACAAGACAGTGTATTGAATAAAACGATAATACGTTAGATGAACTAGGCCAATCTATCAATTCTTCGGCTTAGAAAGATCAACATTGCGGGGTTTCTGGGGCAAGGCTCCCTGAGATGTACCTCCAATCAAGACCGCGTTCGTCGGAGGCTGGTAAGTGGGAGTAGCCTGATACCAGGCCTTCCATGGCTGAGAGAGGTTCGTGGTAGCCGGAGGCATTCTGAATGAGAGGATCCTTTGCCGAGTGGTGCTTCAAGTCTGCAGCGAATGTCAGCCGTTACCACGTGTTCCTCCAGGGAGGCCTCAATACTTGCCTGTGAGAACCAAGAATGGTGCTTGAAGATTGGCTCCTAACCGAATAACTTTTGCAGCAGACGACGGTTCAAATACTTCGAAATCGGGCTGCCGACTAGAAAGAGGGGAAGAGAGACATTGGGGGCGGAACAAACACTGCATAGCTACCCAACCGCTTTCATGTAGCATATCACATCCAGACCACTCCCGGACCAATATCATGGATAGAAACGTGCTCATATCATACATGTAACAAGCTGTATGGCAGCAAGATATCAATGCTCTGCGAATTCTGCATGAGATGCTCCACTTTCATACATTATTTGACTTTCACAATGTTGCCTGTTTGCCTGTTTCCCAGCCGCAGCCTTGTTTACGATGCAAGTCTCAAGCATACCTTATCCAGCGGAACCCATACGCCTTATCGCAATGTATTGCTAGGCTGAAGGGCGTCACAATCAGCTCTGGGGTTCGGAAAATAAAAGCTGATGACCTGGGCTAGTACGATCGCAGCTCTACCATCCGAGAGAAGTAGGACCTTTCAGACAGCATGGTCGAGCTAGAAGCACCCGAGAACTCAAACACCCTATCAATCGATGTTGAGGGGCAGCAGGACAGGATTTCAAAAGTCGATTCGGAGCCAATGAGTGGCTGTCGTGTACAGGCATTGCAGGCCCTTTTCGGGTTCACTTCCGAGGAGATGCATCAGGTCACCAGCCTGCCAACGATTTCCTCTTGGTGTCGCTACCTCGAAGATTGTTTTCAACCGCTTCTTACCGAAGACTACAAGGGCATCTGGCCTGAGTTCGGGCTCTCGCGCCCACAGTGTTCTGCACACTGCTGGCCTTTGTTCAGAGCTGTTGCCAGTGCGATCCTGGACGTTGGCGAGGAGGGGTACAGCATACAGGATGTCTGGAAACTGATCCGACTGTCGACGGGATCTAGTGCAGGTACGGAAGAGAGTGGCTTGCCCACTGCAGCACAGGATGAATGCATGACGGCCGTGTTTGCCGTTCTATGTTGGGGTAGCATGATCCTTCAGCCCCGGGTCACGCGCGACCATCATGCAGCTGCTGCCTGCCTTTCAGTCCACCAGTTCTCTGCCTATCAGGACGGTCTGAGCATGAACCTTGTCTCCCGACCCATCCCAGTGATCTTCCGGAATCTTCGCAAGGCTCTTGCGGGTCGACATTCGCCAAGGAAGCCGGCGACTGGCCAGTCTTCTGTCCTTTGTGTGTCCACGATCAATTACCATTCGCTGCGAACAATTGGCAAGGTGAGACTGAAATGGGTTGACAATCTAAATTGCCACTTGTCATTCGATCTAAGAACTCGGACGCTGGCCCTCTTCCGATTCCCAAGCTTCTGTGCACTTGCAACAATTGCAGGCGACAGGGGCGTTTTATTTGAAGAGTAATGTATCCTTACAGTCTTGACTTTGAGAAATTTCCTGGCTGACCAGTGCTGATAGAGTGGTTCGAACTTTGTTCTCAACTGATGATGAGGATCTGGAGGAGCTGGCATGTAGCCGGCAACTCTGTTCGGAGGTTTTGATGTCCTATCGTCTACTTTTTGGACAATCTCATTCCTCTCGAAAGCTATCAAAAAGCGAACTCCACGCAATGAAGGACGGCCATGATTATGATCAATTGCTGGAGTGCCTGTGCACCAATACACGGAAAGAAGTCGCTAAACGACTGCCCGAGTCTTTCTGGCCGATTTCGTGTCGCGGTCTCGACAACACTCTACAGGAGAATGACTCTTATAGCTCACGACATGATTTTCCCATGTTGGGCTCTCGGTTGGCCGCCATCCAGGAGTTCAACCTCAGACAACAGCCTAGCAGATTACGAGACTTGTGGAGAGATCGAAGGAACCCGCTGCAGTGGTATACTTTTTGGGCAGTCCTAGTAGTTGGAGGTCTTTCTATCATTCTTGCAACTCTCCAGTTGGTGGCGGCGATTGTAGCAGTAGTGCCGCATGAAGACAAGTAGGTAGAAGGTTCTGTTCTTTCCCCAGAGGGGGGGGGGGGGGGGCACATGCGCAGGATCATGTACCTAATTATTCGAGACGAATTATTTTTAGCTACTAATCGCACCATTTTCAGTATCGTCACCTCGAACTTTTTAAATTAAAGCTTGATTAATGAGCGAATACGACTGCTGGACGGCCGTATGCGTAGGTGCGGAGTCAGTCGCCTTGACGGCAAAATGGTCGATGCAAGCTGGCCGTGTCAACTGGCTCAAGACAGGTCTCAGCCAACCGGATAGCTGCATCCTGCAGCATACCCCATCAAGAAACTGCAGAAAGGGCGTCATGTTCCGCGATTCTCTGAAGTGGTGGCAGCTATTTTGCGAGGGATTGGACGACCACTGCAAGCTGTCGCCTCAGGCAGAGTTGGTGGACACGGTTGCCTAGTAGTCATAATATATACACCACGCTGCACCCCCGTGTCAGTATAATACTCCTTAAGATTCGTGTAGAAATTCTGTTTCAAGCTTTCGGTGCATCGCCTTGTAGTCATGCTTCGTACAAAGATCAGATATCTTGCGCGAGATGAGCTATACAACACAGAGAAGCCGTACTCGGCAGACTTCGTCGTCGACGAGCCACGAGGCGCGAAGAGAACAAACATCGTGACCACAGAATGCGACGTCCAGGTGATTCCAGTGAGCAGTCAAGAAGATTTCGATATGGACGCCTCTGGCTTTTGCATTCTTCACGAGGACACTACATTAACAGCGGAAGATGCACTGACTAGGGCCCAAGTTGTTGAGCAGGGATACCAGGCAGAACTCGAAAACATCATTCTCAAACACTTTCCAGAGTATACAAGGCTCGAGAGCCTTGATTTCGTGGTGAGAAGGCCATCGCTTCCGGAGGATAATATCTAATGAATCATGCAGGTCAGGCAAAGACATCCGCACTTCCCCTCCCAGAAAGGCGAATTTGTCAAATACGAGCAACCAGCCGCAATAGCCCATTCCGACTACACACCCCAGGGGGCTATTGAACAATTAAAGGGATCTTTTCCAGGACAGGAGGCTCATTTCCTAGATGAGGAATATGACATGATCAAGTCTGTTTTGATTTTCCTGTCAACTCGCGATGTCCTCTTTGCTGATATCCCTGCTCGTAGTATCTGGAAACCACTTACCGGGCCGAACAATGACTGGCCATTAGCCGTGTGCGATTACTCTACCGTCCAACCATCTGACATTGCGCATGCGGATGTACTGCACGTCGACCGCCTCACGGAAAACCAGCTTTTACATTCAAATGAGCAGCATCGCTGGTACTACGTGCCCAATCAGCAGCCGAGCGATCTCATCGTATTCCGGAACGTTGATAGCACTGGCACACGTGCAGGTTAGTGTTGAAGCTTCCACTTGCGAGTTTTCTACATTGACCAAGTTTGTCAGTGGGTTTTCACGCCGCTGTCCCGAATCCAGGCGCAGCGGGACCACCAAGAACAAGTGTTGAGGTGCGGTTTGTCGCGTTCAGATAAATCGGCGCGACGTCCGGCCATCCGTATTGAAACTTCTTGACGCGACTGTTCTTCTATAAATGGCATTATAAAGAGCAGTGGTTGGAATTCAAGCTGTTGCATGTTGTCCGATGTCTTTAATAAATGCAATCATCTTTTAAGTTTGGCTTAGATGTTGGAGTCAGGGGGTTACGACTTATTTATTAGTAGCTTATTATCCAACTAACTTAATATGCTATAATAAGCTACTAAATACGTCGCAATCCCCCCAACTGTTTACTTTTTAAAGCGCAACTTCTCTTGTCTTCTCTTGCCCTTAAAGATGCATGCGGACCTACGGTTTCACAAGGAAAGCGCAGACGTATACAGACAGAAACAGTACTAGAGAAAAGCTGCAGGAGTGCCAGGTCGCACGTGATTCATGGTACAGGCATATGCCCGTCTTCCACCGCCCATCTTCATTAGAGTTACGGCCTGATATGTCGGCCCCTCGTCAGTTCCTCTCTTCCTCTCCCTTCTCGATTTTCAATACCCTCTAGCACTTTAAGCCACCTTCCTCCTTCCTTGCCATCGCACCATGTCGTCAGCTCTGCAGAAGCTCGAAGAGTTCCTTCGGTTGAATCCATCTGTCGATTTCATTCGCTTTCAATGGGTCGATTACTCTGGTGTTTTGCGTGCCCGCTTCGTTCCCACCTCGCGTTGCCTCCGAATCGCAAACGGCCGTTCGGCCATGTGCTTGGCACAAAACAGCATGATTATACCCATATCCACAGCTCCAGTCATCTTTTCTCTTAGCGATTATCATGAGACTTGGAATCTGCTACCGGATTGGTCTTCCTTGCGCATTTGCGGAACCAACGCCAACCACGCAACGGCCATGTGCTTCGTTGACCAGAAGGACGCGGAGCTTGAATTCGACAAATGTCCTCGCACCATGCTCGTTCTAGCTCTGCGACGACTAGAGCGCGAATGGGGTGCAAAGGTTTTGATCGGCTTCGAGATCGAGATTGTACTACTAGACGACAGCAACAATGTCATTAAACCGATGGACCGACTGAATGGCTACTCGAGAATCGCTGGTCTACGTGCTGAGACGCTAGATCTGGTCGAAGAGATTGTCAGCGCCCTGAAAAAAGCTTCAATCGGTGTCCACCACTTCCATGCGGAAGTCCGGGACCAGCTGGAAATTGCTTTAGCCGCCGAGCCCGCGCTGGAGGCCGTTGACTCCTTGGTCTTAGCCCAAGAAATCATCCGTACAATCTGCGTGCGTCGGAATTTGAAGGCCACCATGGCCCCAAAGCCCACGTTCGCCGGACCATCCAACGGACTGCACCTTCATCTCTCTCTGGCCAAGGTCGGCCGTGCGTCCGCGGACCATTTCCTGGCAGGCGTTCTCAGCCACATGGGCTCGCTCTGCGCCTTTGGCATGGCAAACTATGACAGTTACGCTCGCGCCGTAAGTGATGCGGCAGGAGCATGGATCGGCTTCGGCACCGATAATCGCGACTTGCCGGTGAGGAAGATTGACGATGCGCATTGGGAGTTTCGGATGATGGACAGCACCGCAAACCCCTACATTTTCACTGCAGCTGTGCTACGCGCTGCTATGGACGGCCTTGCGAACAGAACTGAGCTGACTTGGCGCGATTGCAAATTCTTTCCGCATTTGCTGGACGAAAAGAGGCGGGCACAGTTTGGACTGGACAAGAGAATGCCAGCCACACTCAAAGAGGCATTAGAGTGCCTCAAGAAGGATACTGCTATTGAGACCTGGATAGGAGAAGAAGAGGATCTCTTGAAGTGGTACATATCTGTCAAGGATAGAGAGGTCGAGGAGTTTGGGAAGATGGCCAACGAGCAAAGGAGACTTCGCTTTCTGGGGTACTTTTGATGCCTGCTATTGAGACCTGGATAGGAGCTGATCTCTTGAAGTGGTACATATCTGTCAAGGACAAGGACAAGGAAGTTGAGGAGTCGGAGGTAACGGTCAACCAGCAAAGGAGGCTTCATTTTCTGGAGTATTTTCAACGAGCCTCATATTGAGCCGCCGTGTCAAAAACTTCAATCATCCCATCGTATAGAGCTGTCAACCCTTCCGTCGCATGATCGGTTCCCCGTCCACAACTTCCCATCCCTCATAGGAAACAACAGGCTTCTGAGTTTCTCTGCTAGTCCTTGAAGTCCCCTAAACTCTGGTATAAACTCAGTCGTTGTAGCACGAAAACCTTCAGCGTGCATGTCCTTTATCTTGCGTCTTGCTCTGTCCACCGTTCGACCTTCAGTCCACATCTGTAATGCGCTTGTTTCTGGTAGCTGCAGCTGGTTTTCGCCCACAGGAACTGGTCCCTTGCATATTGCAAGAGAGAGGAAGCTGTAGAAGAAAGCTTCCAGGTCATGACGATATGTATGAGGGTTGTCGGGTAGATATGCCTGCAAGACCCCGATCGCCCGGAAAAGTGGCGTTCCAACGCTTTTGAATTGTCTTGATGGCGTCTTCGCCAGCGTTGCAACGTCCAAGTCAATCAAAACCCCCTTGGGGCTGTCGCTATCCCCAGAACCCACGACGCGCGCTGGAGTGATGATGTTTCCCGGGGATATGTCCCGGTGAAGAATCCCACCATCCAGATACAACGAACGATGGGCCTTGATCGCATCTCGTAACGCGTACAGGAGCTCGGCAATCGATTCAAATCGATGGCTGATAAGATTTTTGTTTTACCTCCGATGTCAGATGCTGCAACACAGGGAGGATGGTGCGAAGGACAGCATAGGCGACATGAGAGATGGTCGCATTCCGGGCTTTACCTCGAGCGAGGTGGAGTGTCCATTGTGCTAGAGGTCACTACAAACATAGCATAACTGACTACAGTTAATAAATGTAAAGGTTACACCAGTCAGCCATGCGTTTTGTTGGAAAGGGTCAATTGGATGATTATGAAGATAGGATTATTATTATTGGATATTATGAGGTTATGATATGTGTTCTGGTCCCCCTATTATGGCTCTGCCTCCATCGCTATTGATGGGTGGTTCCTGATAGAAGTGGTTCCTGTTTGATTCCAGCCAATGACCCTGCATTGTACAGGGTGTTTTCACTTTCGAGCGGTGGTGCGAAGCGTGCAATTATGAATGAGTATTGCTATTTGCACGGGAAGCTTTTGCTATTGGCACAGCATCATATCACTGTTTTAGTGCAGTACCTCGCTCTATTAGTGAATCACACATAAAGTAAGGTATCTTTTAAAACAGCCGCCACCGCCATCACCGTCGCCGCTAGCGAGCCCCTTGAGCCTTGTCAACGCTCGCGAATTCGCTAAATGTATCTTCGCTGGTCCGCACAACTGGCCGGAAGAGGGTTCTTGCGAGCGGCGGCGGTGGCGGCGAGGCCGGCGGAGGAGTGAGAGAGGAAGGAAGGTTACTTTACATACATGCCTACTTGGAAAGGTACTTCTATTTTTTAGTGGGAGGCACACCAAAAGCGAGCTACCGCGCTACTGGCTCAATAGCAATACTCTTTGCCGCATCACATCACATCCTTGGCCACTTGGCTCAGAGAGCCGCTGTCGGGCTAACCCTTTGGTCCGTACCGCCGCTCTATTTTGGTTTTTTTTTTCTGCGGGGTAATAATACTGTTAGGCGATTCAGATGACGGCTTGGCTGGCCTTCCCCATTTCTCCCTCCCCGCTTGTCGCCGCCGCCCCCGCATTCTCTCCCCCGGGATTGGGGGGCGCAAGCTCGTTTCTTCGCGTTCTCGTTTTTTTGTCTTGTTTCTTGTTGGCGCTGACTTTCCCCGGACCACCCGAACTAACTCCACGACAATGACGGCGTTTTTGTGTGGCAAGCGAGGGGAAGGGGGGAGGACAAGGTCAGGGTTGGTGAGGCGACAACCCCGACGACCGGAGTTTATAGACGGGAAGCCTATATTAAGTTATAAGAGGTGACGCTGCTCTCTCCCGGATGCAGTGGCGGCAGAGATCTGTTCATCGCAGAATACAAACTGCAAAAAATTTCACGAGATAAAAAGAGAAAATCGACAAATCTGTTCCATCAGACAACCATGGAGATCCCAGCCACATACAAGGCAGCAGTCTACGATGAGCCCGGCACCATCTCGACCAAGATCGTAGAGCTGCCCACGCCCGAGCCCGGGGAGGGCCAAGTTCTTATCAAACTGTACGTCTTGTTCCGTGAGGGGGCTTTCCGGTGTAGGTTTGTCCCCCGCCCGCTAACCTCGGCCTATTTCTTTTCCTCCCTTCCCCAGAACACACTCCGGCGTCTGCCACTCCGACCTGGGCGTCATGACCCGTTCCTGGGCCATGCTGCCCTATCCCACACCCAAAGACCAGGTTGGCGGGCACGAGGGCATCGGCGAGGTCGTCAAGCTGGGCCCCGGCGCCGAGCGCTCCGGTCTATCCCTGGGCAGTCGCGTTGGCGTTAAGTGGCTGGCGACCGTGTGCGGTGAATGCGGTACGTCGCCCATCCTTTCAACCCTCTTGTCTCCCCACAACCCCGCTTGCTGATGACGAAAGCAAAGCACCCTGCAAGGCCGGTCGGGACGGGTGCTGCAAGAAGCAGACCATCTCGGGCTACTTCGCCCCCGGCACCTTCCAGCAGTACGTCCTCGGCCCCGCGGGCTACGTGACGCCCATCCCCGACGGCCTGAGCGCCGCCGACGCCGCGCCGATGCTGTGCGCCGGCGTGACCGTGTACGCCGCGCTGGGCCGCAGCCGCACCAAGCCCGGCGACTGGGTCGTCGTGTCCGGCGCGGGCGGCGGCCTCGGCCACCTCGCCGTGCAGGTCGCCAGTCGCGGGCTCGGCCTGCGCGTCGTCGGCGTCGACCACCCCAGCAAGGAGTCGCTCGTCCGCGAGTCCGGCGCCGAGCACTTTGTCGACATGACCAAATTCCCGCGCGACGGGGTCGACCTCGCCGCGCACGTGCACGGGCTGTGCGACGGGCTGGGCGCGCACGCGGTGCTCGTGTGCACGGCGTCCAACGTCGCATACGCGCAGGCGCTGGGCCTGCTGCGCTTCGACGGCACGCTGGTGTGCGTGGGCGTGCCGGAGCACGACCCGGAGCCGATCGGCGGCGCGTTCCCGTCCAGGATCATCAACGGCAGCTTCAACATCGCGGGCTCCGTCGTGGGCAACAACGAGGACGCGGCGGCGGTGCTGGCGCTGGCGGCCAAGGGCGTCATCAAGTGCCGCTCCGAGGTGGTCGGGCTCGGCGAGCTGACGAGCACCTTTCAGAAGATGCACGACGCCACGCTGCACGGTCGCGTGGTCCTCGACCTGTGGGCATAGAGTCGGACAGGTGCTTTTCCATGACGCATGAGGCCAACGAACGGCATGCTTCGGCGAACGTCAGCGATGAATCACCAAGATGCTTTCAACATTACTGGTCAATATACGTGATTTTTTGTGACATGCCTGCGTGCAAGAGATGAACTGTGTAGGGTGTAGGAAAGAAAAGTTGAGTCGCAGAAAAAAGTTTGAGACAATTTGCCATCAAGGTGTCCAGGGTAACAGGGCGGTGCAGCTCCAGAGCAACCACCAGTCAATTGACCTGTTCACCGTGCAGGCACATCACGCACTATATAACCCGGAACCACCACAGAAGCTTGTGATTATTTCTCACGGATTTTTATGAATTTTTCCTTGGCCAGCTGATTGGTATTCAGAGTCGACCTCACGAGAAGAAATGGCGGTGTTGACGTAGCTTGTACTTTGCGTTTTGTGCTTCGTCGCTCCGTCTCGTCGTTTCTTAGCACGCTACGTACACAGGGGCGACCAAAAAAGTATAATACGCCATAGTGCATGAAGGAAGCAGTGAAATCTAGTCATAATAATAATGGCAACGCTAATGATATGCATTTTTTCCCTCTAGGGAACGAACAGCACCCAGTCTGACTGGCTCGCCTTGCCCGCCAGCCAACATCAACCAGCGACTAGATAAACTGCCACTGCAGCAACGAGTCCGGGAAATGAGGAAGAAGCTCCTTGAACTTGCGCTCTGCCGCCTCCACGTCGCGCACGCGTATTGTAAGAGCGTGCAGGCCCTCGTCCTCGCCTGCCACGACGTGCACCGTCGGCATGTCCTTGTCCTCGCGGTCCGTAGTTATAAGTGTCCACTTCTCCGTCGTCTGTCGTAGGTGAGCGGACCGGACCGTCATGGCTTCGACGCCAGTGATGCCCAGGGCACCGCCGCGGCTGGTGGCGAGCTGCGCGCGGGAGCCGTCTCGTAGGGGCCACTGGTCGGCTGTGTAGTCGCAGAAGAAGGTGTCGAGCCCGGCACCACTGAGCTGCGGCAAGGACGCCCGCGTCCAGAGAAGGTTGCCGCTCGGGTCGTAGAAGCTGTCGTCGGCGCCCATCTCGATGCCCCGGGTTGCTGCGCGCTCTCGGCTCTCGGCCATGGTGGCAGCGTGGGGTGTCAGCGCGACGCCGTACTCGGGCACGAAGGGCATGGCGGCGCAGGTGTTGTTGGTCTGCACGAGCTCGAGGATGAGGTTTCCGAGGGACACAGCGCCGCTGGAGAGATCGTCGGCCACGGAGCGAAAGGGCCAGGCGATGGGCAGACCGGCATTGTTGACTAGTTCGTTGTAGATGATGCTGGCGTTGCTCGCACGGAGATAGACGTGGTCGATAGTGTCGAGGACAGGAGACATGGTGAATGAGCACTGTATGTTTGACTTTGACAGGTGACCAGAATCATACAGATGATCGGAATGACGGATCACATCCTGTATTTATATTTCGACTGTGTTGGCGCAAACGACTTATACCACTTGTTTGCTCGAGTTTGATGAATCGTTTATCCGATTGGGTTTAGCGTGGCGATGTAGAGTCGTATGCCGATTGAGGAATAGCGGGGTAAATTAGACAGGTACATACATAACTAGCTTCTGCCAGCACAGTGACGGACAGCACCAACCTGAATCTCGTGCATGCCAGCGAATCTCTTTCTTTCCCCGACATTTTGAGTTTTTGTTATTAACGCAAGGCTGAAATTGAGCGGGACCTTGGTCACTTGTGCGTGCTTCTAAGTGACGGACCGGCCAACGTGGCATACGCGTGGACCAGACAAGCTACCTTCCACCAAGCGCTATGTGGCATTTTTGGCACGGCACAGCCCACCACTTGAAACATCACGTCAAACCCGTTCAGATATATATTTTGTTTCCTTTCAAGGCCGCTCTTGCAGCGTGGGGAGTGATTCATGGAACAGATGCCGGGGCCGGAGGTGCATCAAAAGCTACTGACGGTAGGGCGCAAGCATGCTGGGTACCAAAAATGTCTGGGAAGCCAGCCCGATTTATCAGGACGTCAACCCGGCAGGGCTGCGCCCCGTCCCTAACGCCAGTGTTCGCTGCCCCTCATCAGTTGCGACGGTTGCCGATCATCGCGTTGACCACTGCTGTACAATGGCGTTGTCACTGACACGGCTTTTGACGGTGTCGCACGGATGGGCTCCCGAAACGGAATGACGCAGTGTCGCTTGACAAGAATAGAACCGGCCACGGGCAATCTGTCTGGGCGTGCCGGTATAGCAACTCTGAGCTTGTGTAGCTGTGCTTGATTGGCGGTGATTGACGAGACAGCTATTCGCATGCGACCTCGAAGACGAAACCCTTTCAAGAATTGAGAAGGAGGCTGAAATACAGCACGCAGCAAGGGCCTTATGTTTCTAGAAAGATCCGCCCACGCCATTCCGCCCGGGGCAGACACAAGGCGGGTCGCCGGCGATTTATCAGCCAGCTCCTGCTCAAAGAAGCTCCGCCCCTCCGACTATTCGTGCACTTGTACAAAGAAGGCTCAATCAGGGTCCTCTCCAAACTCCGCCTTCTCCCGCGTCACTTCTTCTTCTTCATGTTACTACACTTTTTCGCAGCACCCAAGCCTATGTAGGTCGTGCGACCATTTTGTTCCTTTCATCCTCATCTTGAATTTCGAATATTTAACCCGTCCGTCCTGCCTCGAGCTACCAGCAGCCGCCGCCGCCATGTGCTAGACTTTACTAGCTACGCCACGATATCCAACCTCGACCCTCCTGCGTTCGAACCTCTCGAGTCGGCATATATTAAAACCTGCATGTAATTGATGACCGAGTCAACATGTCGCGTGCCCAACAACTAAAGGACGACGGCAACCGCCACTTCAAGAGAGGCGACTTTCTCGTTGCCGAGAGTCTCTACTCGCAAGCGTATGCCCTCTTCCTTCCTCTCGAACGCTGCTTTTTATAGTCGATTTTGGAATCTGCATAGTGGCTGCTTTAGCTCTATCATCACCATCATCACTATCATCACTATCATCGCTATCATCGCTATCATCGCTATCCTCGCTATCCTCGCTATCCTCGCTGTCGCTGGCCTCTTCGGCGCCGGCCAGCGTGACTATGTAAATTTCAAAATCGACTATGCAAAAGCCAGCACCCAGCTTCCAATATCCTAATCTGACTAACACATTTCTACCCGCGCATAGCATCATCGAGGACTCGAATAATGCTACCCTCTACACCAACCGAGCTATCGCCCGCCTCAAGCTCGAGCTCTGGGATTCCGTCGTCGCCGACTGCGAGTCCGCGCTAGCCCTGCCCACCGCCACGGACGCCTCCTCGCTCAAGGCCCAGTACTACCTGTGCCAGGCCTGCCTGCGCCTCGGCGACCCTGAGGCCGCCGTCGCGGCCGGCCTCGCGTCGCACGCCCTCTGCGTCGCCATCAACAGTACATCTCTGGCTGCCGTTACGGACTTCGTACTACACGCGAAAAAGGCCCGCTGGGAGCAGCGTGAGCGGCAGCGCATTAGGGAGGAGGGGGATCTCGAGCGCGACCTGCTGCGTCTGCTCCGGGCCGAGCGCGACAAGGATGCCGCCGCTGCCGCGTCGGATGACGAGCGCAGGATGGTGGAGGAGGAGGCCGCGGCCAAGGAGGAGTCCTTAAGGAACACATTTGAGCGCTCGAGGAAGTTGAGCGGAGAGGGGAAACGCGAGGTGCCAGAGTGGGCGATTGATGACATTTCGTTTTGCTTCATGGTGGATCCAGTCATGGTGAGTCTCCAACGTTTTCCAACGAAAAGCCGTTGCCAGCAGAGAGCAAGGCGCTAAATGTTGGCTCGTTCAACTTGCTAGACGAAGAATGGCCACTCATACGAACGCGTCTCCATCATGAAGTATCTGCGGCACAACCCCTACGATCCGCTTACAAGAGAGCCCCTCGCCCCGTCCGACCTCCGACCAAATAGAGCTCTGCGGGAAGCCTGCGAGCAGTTTCTCTTTGAGAACGGCTGGGCCGCTGACTACTAACTGCTAGTTGTTGTTTTCGCTGTCCTTACTATCTTCGCTGTCCTCGCTGTCGTCACTATCTTCACTATTGGTGTTGAGCCGATAAGAGTTTGTGGGCCAGACTGTACCCCCGAGCACCTCTTCGCCTGTGAGGGCACTGAATTCTTGTTCTATGGGTGAGAAATTCTTTACATGCTATCGCCGAAATTACATGGCCTTCAAGCGTTTTGTCACAGCGTTGTCTCTAGCGTCTTCATCTTCTTGTATATATTCTTTCTCTGCTCACAACAAAAGCAGCTTCTTGACTGTAGACATTAGCACACACGGACACACATACACCTAATTACATAGACTAGATTTCTTTCGGAATTCGAAGGTTTCATGTCATAATATATACAAGCGGTTTGCCTTCTTGCTTGTTCGTGTTTACTGTTGCCCGCGTTTGTTCTGGGACCGTCTAATATAAGAAATACTATCTGTGTGCGTTTCAGTCATGAGACGTGACCAGACCTGAAAACCCAAAGGGAGAAGAGGGAAAATTCGAGATAAAAGATGCAGACATTCCGTTGCTCGTATGGAATCCAACAAGGTGGCCGTCAGGAATAGGGCGTCACAATCCATGGTATGCAAAAAATCCATAACCCAGAAAAAGAAGAAGAAAAGGAAGCGCAGCTCATATGCGCATCGGTTGCTCGCTCAAGACGGACCAAAAAAAAGATTTAAATCAGCAATCCTCAAAACAAGGAGTGCACATTGCGCCAAAGAAATGCAAGGTCATTCTTCTTTTCTTTCCGTAAGAGGACTCAAATAAAGCCCTTCTTGTTCGCGTCATCTTCTTTATACCCTCCCTCCTCCTCGCCGCGTCTCGTGCCGTCTACTTGATTGACGAGGCCCAGACGCTCCTCCTCAGTGGTGTCTGGGGTCTTGCGGAAGACGCGCTGAAACGAAAACTGGCGACGGGCCGAGTGCGGCGGCGGTGTGGGCGGTAGGGTGTGGCCGCTGCCCGCTGACGCGCCTCGATACGCCGTGTCGTGGGGGAAGACGTGCTCGCGCGTTGCGCCGTAGTAAGTGCCCGCCTCATCGTCGTTGTTGGGCTTAGGCAGAACAATCTCGGTCAGCGGCACGGGACGGATGCCCCCAGGACTGCGCATGCGCCCAGACTCTTCGTCACCATATGACGGAGGCATGGTCGCGTTGGTCCGGGAGCGTGCCCTAATGGTGCCGACGATGCTAGAGAACATGGTGCTGGGGCGCTCTTGCTCCTCCATGTCCTCGTCACTCGGGAACCTTGACATGCCAAGGGGCGGGTGTGGGCTTGGCGGTGGAGGCGTGAACGGCGCCGGGCCTGGGGAGGTGACGGAGCGACTCCGTGTGCTTGCGGCCAGGGTCTTGCGTCGTCGCAGTCCGTCCCACTCGAATTCGGCTTGGCCGTCTTCCCTAATCGGCTGTAGGGTATCCATGGACTTTTCCTCGCGCAGGCGGTCCATTTCTCTCTCCTCCATTTTCTGGCGCGCTTGAGAGATTCTGCGCACGATCGCAGCAGTACCACGAATGGCGTCCGCCTTGGGCTCCGTCTCGGGCTGTTCCTGCTCAGCGATCGTCTGAATCTGGTCGAGGTCGCCACGGAAAACGGCCGTATCGGGAACGTCCTTGGCTGACTTGGACAACTGTAGCAGCACAACACCGGAGCAAATGACAAGGAAGCCCATCACGATCGTCACCAGATCCATGGCCGGTGCCTTGAAGCCTTGGAATAAGACTGCTGATGTGATGATCGTCGTGCTTGTGAAGTAGACGTAGTAGGTGGGAGTGACCATAGCGGCATTGAAGAGGTTGAGAGCTTTCTGCGCGGGGGTCAGTATAATCATTGACGAGTTGGATCTTCAGCGACTGACATTGAGATAGATGATTTCAGTGAGTAGAGTGCAGACGACAAAAACGAGCAGAACCCATAGGAACCAGTGCTTGTACTCTGGGTCTCCGCCAATCCAGGCAATGATGGATGCGCCTAGACCCTGCGTCGAGACGACACTCAGGCCGCCAACCCAACTGCAGATGGAGATGTAGACAAGCATATTCTTGTTTCCCCATCTGGGGCCAGCATACCAGGCAGTGATGGTGGAGCCGACGAGAATGACGCCGGCGTAGGTCAGAAAACCGGGCGTTATCGCAAAGTGCTGCATCTGCTGAATATTCGAGACAGACGAGGTTTGAGGGGCATGAATGACAATGACAACAGAGCCAACTATGCAAAGAAAACAGGCGACCTTGCCGACAATACTAAGTCGTTCTTTGAGGAAAATGGCAGAGAGGACGGTGGTGATGACGACGGAGAGCGCGCCGAGGGGGGTGACGAGGAGGGCGTCGGTAAAAGCGTATGCGACAAAGTTGCAGATCTCGCCGATAATCATAAGCGTCATGCCAGCCCACCAATAAAAGTTCTTGAGGTAGCCGTAGCCCTCGCCAGCGACCTCATTATATTTTTCGTTGGCCTTGAGGAGTCCGACCTTTTTCAAGACAAACGAGACGCCGATGAAGCAGCCAGAGCTAATGGCCAAGCTAATACCAATGGCCTTGAAGGAAGCTGGTCGTGCCGTACTACTGCCTCCCAGGCCGCCAGATCTGGCGATTAGGCTGCTGACGTCGAGACTGGAGAGAGCATCGGGGGAGTAGGGTTGGAAGGCGGCCGTCGAGGCGCCATGGTCGTACATGGCGTGAGGGTATGGAGTATTCAGTCGTTTTCGAGGTCAGAGGAGGGGCGGGAGGAGGGGTTGTCGAGTCGAGAGCTAGGTCGAAGTGTGCGACATGGACGGTTTTCTTGATCTCGTCGTGTATCGTAGATTAGGTGTGCGATGCGACAGAGGTTGCAGGGTCTTGGGAGCGATGAGTCGGCTTGGCCGAGTAGAGGAGACGGACGGGCAGGGTACATGTATGTATGCGATAAGCACTATTCCAATCGAAATGCTGGGGACGGTTAGGCGGGTTGGCTGTCGAGCGAAGGAGGCTTAGATGGAGGGAAGTCTATTTTGGGTTGCAGGAGGCGTCGCAGAGGTGGTGTGCTACTAAGAAAGAAGAAGGCTGGGTTTGTTGGATGTTGGAGGGAAAAGCAAGTGGCCGCGAATGGCAGGAGCGGCGGGCTCAGGTTGGTTCACAGCAATGATGTGCGGAGGTGACTGAATTTTCTGGAGATCGAGAAGAGTATTGTCGGATTGAACTTGGTCGATCAAGAGAATGGAGGAGGGAGGGAGGGAATGGATTGAAGATGAGCGTTCGTTGTTGGGCCAAAGGATGGAGGCCGAAAGAAAACTGGGCGACGAGGCGATTAATAGCACCGGTGCAGTATGAACAGGCAAGCAAGGTACTGGGCGACCTATTTTAGTACCAACCTTAGTAGGCTTCGTGCGTAAGATATCTGTGTACCTTGTAGTAGGCTAAATAAGTTACGTACCTACAGAGGGCAGCTGGAACTGCTTCATGCATTTCGAGGTCTAGCGTAAGTGACGACTACGACTTGCTAGCTGGGTATTTAGCAATTAGGGGTTTAATGTCAAGTATCCGTACACCGGCTGTCTTGGATCGCCAGTCCAATATTGGAAGTGCTTTGCATTCGGTCGGTCACAACACCGCTCACTATGAAACACACAGGCTCCCATGCCTTGAAGTTGTACCCTTGACTGGGCGCTAAAAGGCTTAGAGTGTTCCATCATCCAGTGTCGAGCAGGGATTGAGGCACCCCTGTAACGCGTGTAAACCAATGACCAGCAGCCTCGATCGGCCGTCTACAACACAACCAGTCACAGGCTCAGCTAGCCAAGACGGCTGCTGTTTTGGTTACTTGCTGCAATGTTTGCTCAGATCTTATAGCCTTGATGCAATGCTATCCCCTTGTCTGATCCTTGTCTGAGTTGGTTGCGTTCCAGTTGTCTTTATCTGCATTGTTGGTGGGTACCGAATACCTTAAAAGTGGCTGGAGCTTGTCGCCAACGGCTCCATTCGTTGCCTCGGGTACGCACCCGCCTGTACCAGGTATACCAGTTCGCAGTCTGTAAGTGCCCTGTCCAGCAAAATTGCCCTTATGCCTGATTACCATAAATGTTGAAATTTTTTAGCAAAGCGAATTTTATGAATGAAGGACTGTTAACGAAAATGTTGAAACACTCTTAGCTCCCCAACTTCCTCACCGGGAGGACCCCGCATATACGGGCCTGCAGCGCTTATGACGGCGGCGCAGCAGAGCGAAGCGGCTGCAGCCTGTTACCTATTATTAGGGATGGCTGATGCCGACAGCTCAGCTACTGCATGTTTCTCCCCGAACTGTATTAAACTTAAGAGTATGCCCTCTGGCAAAGGTTGGCAGCGTCGGCACCAACGCAGCACTCAGGCCTGACAGTTGATCCCGCCTATCTTGCATCGGCATAGTGCCCTTGTTCGTCTTGTCCCCGCATGTATTCGTAGATTGGGGCCATACAAAGCCTTACACTGTGTCTGGGGCAGGCCGGCGCACAGTACGGTCATTCTCCTCGGCGGAGCGAGCCAGAGTGTTCCAAATTCGTGTACATCCTTCCTTCCGCCGTGCCATGATATTTTCTCTGGCTTTTTATCACCCTATCAAATGAACCATTAAATTCCCTACAAGGGCAGTCGCCAAGGTCCCGCCATCCTCGCATCAATGGCTAGCTGCCTCCAGCCTGATTGGCGTAAGCCCTGTCAGACTGCAGCCTTGTTGCCAAAAGGACAACAATCATCGCCTGCACTCCTCACCCGTCAACAGATTCAGAGACAGAGCCGAGGCAATGGCTTCCTCAACCGCTGTCAGTGCCGCCCCGGAGCGCGAGCCGCTGCTGCCCAATAGCACCAACTCCAACACTGGCGAGGAGCCCATCGCTCAGCGCCGGCCTTGGTGGAAGCGAAAACGAACCATACTGAAGGGCTGCGGTGTCATCTTCCTGCTCGATCTCTGTATATCAGGGCTTCTCTCGCTCTACCTAGTCCTCAGCCGTCGCTACCGCGGTGATGTTGTGCTTCGCTATCCCAACGAGACCATCGTTTGGAAGCCATGCGGTGACACCGAGGGCAAGCCCCTCGAGTGCGGTACTATTGTCGTACCGATGGACCACTTCAACACTTCACGCTGCGGGAACGAAACGTTCACTGTGCCTCTGGTTCGCCTGCGCGGTAGCGAACGCGCCACGCACAACGTCCTGATCAACCCTGGAGGGCCCGGCGCCAGCGGCGTTGACTGGTTCCAAGGATGGGCCGTGAGGCTGCAAAAGGCTATTGGTGACGACTTTCACTTGGTCGCCTTCGATCCACGCGGAATCGGCGAATCGCAGCCAGCAGCCGTGTGCTTCGGTGACGCCAAGACGCGACGGACGCACCAAATTCCCTTCGACGGCAACGTTAACCACGACATTGAGCGCTACATGGAAGTTGGCAACTATGCGCAGGCCTGTGCTGATCACATGGGCGAGCATGTAGCACACGTCAACACGCCGCAGACCGCAGCCGATATGAACACCATACTCGACGCCCTCGGCCAAGATGGTCTTTATTATCTTGGTTACAGCTATGGCACTACGCTTGGTGCGACGTTTGCAACCATGTTTCCGGAACGGACCGAGCGCGTTGTGATTGATGGCGTTCTCGACAGCTTCGCATACTACGACGAGCTCTCTTTAGATTTCTTCTGTGAAGACGATGAGAACGCTCTCGCGGGCTTCTTCGATGAATGCGTCAAAGAGACAAATGACTGCAAGTTATCTGGCTTCGGGCTGACGGGGCAGGATATCAAAGACAACGTAACAACCCTCTTGGAACAGCTGCAAGACGATGGCCCCCTACCCGTCTACATCAACAGCACCATGTTTGGCACCATCTCATACGACTCGATAATTAATGGCATATTCATGGCCATGTACTCATCTAAGCTATGGTACTCACTCGCTGACAACCTGGCGCAGCTCCTCTCCGGCAACACTACTGGGGCTTTTTTGGCGTATGCTGATTCAGATCCTACAGCCGATGGCAGCGACACTATGACCGAGCACAGCCTGTTCGTTATGAACAATGACAGGCCCTCCGGACACCCCGCTTGGCCGAATAATCGCTACGACGTGCTCAAGATTGTCACGCCGGATGCGGAACGGTGTTCGCCGTGGAGCCAAGGCGTCGTGCAAGGTGCAATGCTGTCCGCGCAGTGGAAGGTGCCCAAAGCACACGGATTCATGCCTCGGCGCGGCGTCGAGACGCGCCATCCCATTCTGGTCATGTCTTCCACGTACGACCCGGTTTGCCCCATCTCTGCGGCCAAGAGGGCGAGCGCCAGCTTTGTCGGCGCCAAGCTCATCGAGGTCCGGGGCATCGGGCACACGGCGTTGTCGTTGCCGTCGGCGTGCGCTACGCGCCTCCTCCGCGCATACATGGTCAACGGGACGATGCCAACGGAGGACCATACCCGATGCGACCGTGATGATGTGCCGTATTTTGTGAGCCCGGGTAAGGAGGCCGGCGGACGGGCGAAGGACGCAACCGGTGCGCTGGTTGTCGATGAAGAAGTTGAACTCATGGCAACCTTGAGAGACTTGTCGGGTGCTATTCCAGTGCCACAATTCGCGAGGACACGGTTCTAAAGCCACATGATTGTAGGCTGTAGGACGAAGGAGAGAAGCCTCGCAACTACGGCTCAAGTAACTACTCCGAGTACTTTGTAGTAGACGAGGATACGCAGCTTCAAATACATCACTACATTTATTTGTTTCTGAGATGAAGGCTAGGATAAAGGCTGAGATGAGAGTAGTAGCACTTTATAATGATAGATTGTGTGTACGCAAAATGTTGATGTGTTAACATTGTAGCCCCGATCTTGCCTACTTTTAGCAGCTTTCCATTTCAGCCTCAACGCAAACGCCCCGCCTCAGCCTGCACAGCTAGCTCTACTCTGCACCTTCCAAACTCATTCCAATCCTGTTTTCTTCCATCTCACAAAATGCATCAACGATGTCAAACTCTTATTCTGCAACTATCGTACCTACCTGCGACCCGTTGACCGAACAGCCGCCAAGTGTACGGCAGAAGAAGACGTACACGCGCACCAAACATGGCTGCCGCTCCTGCAAGTCAGTCAGCCCCCGCGTGCCCCTGTCCTCCTCCCTCCGTGAGCGAAGAAAAAGAGCCTCTGCGACTAACGTTGTAGTTGGCGGGCGGGAAAAACAGGTTGCGGCGGGTACGATGCGACGAGGGCCGGCCCGTCTGCCGAAATTGCAGCAAGGCCGGACGTCCGTGCGAGCGCGGCCCTTCGGTTCCGTCCTCCCGCGCCGCCACTGGTTCTTGGCAGTTTAAGAGGCCCCTCACCGTCGCACACTTCCAGGCGCCGCCGTCAGTCCTTTTAGTCGGCCTGGCTGCCCAAGACATGCCGTACGTGGACGCATTCCGCCACCGGCTGGTCGACGACCTTGACGGAGGCGGCCCTTTCGCGACAACGGTGAGGAAGGCAAGCATGCTTCGGGCGCTGCATAGAGAGCCGGCATTTCGGCACGCGGCAGTGGCGTTTGGCGCGGCCTGCGGGCTGGTCGACGGCGAGGAGTGGCCGCTAGAGAGGACGGTGCGGTGGCCAGTTCCGGCGCCGAACAAGACGCTGGCGTTGAGACACTACGGCCGGTGCCTGCAGGGCATCCGCGGGCTGATTGCCAACGGTGGTGGCGGTGAAGGAGGGAATCTTGACGACGCGTTGTTTTGTGCGCTGCTGTGCATCTGCTTCGAGCTGCGCATCGGAACACCTCACTTGGCGCTGCACCACTTGGAGCATAGCTTGAGCATCATCCAAGCCAACTGGACGAATGGTGCGTGTGACATAACCACCGTGTTTTGTTGGCCAACGCCGTGCGGAAGAAGCCGAAACGATGCTAACATATTTGCATTTTTATTCTTTTAGTCTCCGATGACCTGGTCCTGGCCTTTGCCAAGATGGATGTTCAAGCTTCCATGTTTCTCCGGCACCGGGTACCTAGGACGGATATGGCCAGCCTCGCGGCCGTCGCGGACGGAGCGGCGGAGAAGGACGACGCGGCCTTGGCGTGCCTGCTCGGCAGAACATTCCAGCTCATCCGCGCGTACCCTGGCATGTTTCGGCGCCTCAGCAGCGCCATCCAGATCCCTCGCTGCGCAGCCGAGGATCTGGCGACCCTGACGGGCGATCTGCAACGGTTTCGGGCCCGCCACGCCATCCTGGATGTACCTGGGCCGGGTACGACAAAGAGCCTGCCTCTATCGCAACAAACACTGTGGATAACGTGCCTGACCCTGCACGTTATCCTGTCCTCGTGTCTGCGCGGCGATGATGAGATGCTCTACGACGGTTTCTTGGCCCACTTCGAGGCGATCACCACCATGTCGGAGAATATTTTACGCACCGACGACAGCCGGCGCGCGTCCACTAGGACCGGATACAAGACGTTCCGACTGGACACGGGCCTCCTGCACCCGCTGTTTATGACCGGTCAGCTGTGTCGGCACACCGGCGTGCGTCGTAGGGTGCTGCGGCTGCTGGGTGGTGTGTCGTTTGACGAAGGTGTGTGGGACGCTTCGTCAGGCGAAAAGTATGTGCGGATTTTGATGCGATTGGAGGAGCAGGGGTTGGTACTGGCACCGGAGGAAGAAGAAGAGGAGACGGACGATCTGGTAGGCCGGCCACCGAGTGTGATTGCCGAATGCAACCGGACTCGAACGCTAGATGTGCAACCTACGGCAGCAGAGCGGTACTCGACAATGTTTTTCCGCTTTGACCGGCAGACGGGCCAATGGGATGACTTGGTCGAGAGCATCGAATGGTGAGACGAGAGGTGGCGCAGCGAGTGGGCGATTTCTGCTTCTTGCAATGCACTGGTCACTTTCGCGCGCATCTGATTGCGGCCAAATCGAAAAGATTTCCGCTTTTGGCCCTCTCCCCGAAACTCTTTACGAAGGTAAAAAAGGGCTAACTCATCGTGTTCGGCAAACTCTTTGATCGATAATCTGCGCGACGGTGCGGGTAGATGTTGAGCATCATGCCGTTCGGCTGAAACAGAAAACTGCCCCTTGAGCGTTTCTTGGAGGGGAACCCCACAAGTTCACAACTCTTTCTCATTCGATCATAACGAATTATTTCCTCGATCTGAAGGCGAAAATGAAATAGAAACACACCAAGGATAGGGCATAGCTCATGAGCCTGAGTCGTGAACGTGGGGGGCATAACGCAATCTACAGCTGGTACAGCTGCCGCATCTCGCTCAATGCCCATCGACGGAGTTTCTTTTTTTAGCTGCCCAGGCGGGCATTGGAAACCCGATCCCAGTTCAAGGGGGGCGGTTCTATTCGCTTGGGCCAACCAATCTCTTGCGGGCAGCTGCGATAAGAAAGTCCGAATGCTAAGTTACGACTCGCAAGCTTCGGCGAAGGACAGTTAGCTTGCTTGCCCTGCTGCGCGCCTCGACAGAACTCGGTAGCTATTGGATCAATGCTCCATCCTCGTTTATTATCAGATGTCATCATGGTCGGGCCAACCTCCGGCCCAGCTTTGAACATGCCTCCATCCATGCTGCGGCTCCGTGCATGAATCAGTCAAGACGATAGAACCGACAACCGATATCACCGGCATCACGACTACCGCCCTGCTATGAGAACTCCCTAGCCTCTACCAACTCACGTTCCTGAAATGTATATATTTGGAGTTCCCCTCCTCATCATGGCGCTCTATTAGACTCATCCCCTACGGAGCACGTTTCGACACTCCTCACCAGTCAATTGGGACGATTTAACCACCCGCGACATAACCACCCGCGACATATCCCCCCGTCTCACCTCCACCAGAAGCCACGGAACAGAAGCCATGACCAGCCAGTTCCCCACCGAGGGCGCCGGGCCCAAGCTGCGCACCTCGTGCGACAGGTGTCAGCTTTCCAAAGTGCGCTGCAGCCGTGGCAAGCCGTCGTGCTGGCGCTGCAGCCAGAGCGGCGTCGAGTGTGTGTACAGCCCGCTCCGCAAGACGGGCCGGCCACCCAAGAATAGCGATGGCTCCTCCGGATCCTGCTCACCGCGACATCAGCGGCGAGACAAAAGCGCCGCGCGGAGGGGTTCGTCTAACACGGCGCGCTCCGACTCGCCCCGGCGCGGCTCTGTCCAACGCGGCCGGCCGCCGTTACCACAAGAGGGCGGCGCGGGACGACACAGTCACGCATCGGCGCATAGCCTGTATCGAAGAAACGATACATCCGTTACTGGGCCTGTGTGGCACACTGGCATGGATGCGATGGTGTCGCGGGAACCCAGCATGGAACACGCCGCCTTGCTGTCGCTGCCCATGATGCAAGTAGGCGGCAACTTTTCTTCGCTGAGTGTGGCTGACCTAGTTCCTGACATCAACATGTGGACGATGCATTCCATGCCAGAATTGGACCTACATGATGCGCATGCTGATGCTGGGCTACAACCCCTGGCGGGGACTCACTCAGATGAGGAGGCAAGTCAGTTTTTGGGTGGCGCGATGTTGACCCCGTTGACAACGGCTGCGCAAGACACGCATCATGGGACTGGCTATCACGGTCTCCAAGCAAGGGAGGGAGGATTCTTTTCTTCCTTGGAGAGCAGCGCAGTGGCAAGTTCAGCAGATGATGGGGCGACGACGGGAACATACTTTCCCATTCAAACACCCGTGACGAGCTCCCCTAGCTACACGACCACATCCCACACCAGCAGCACGCCCATCAGCCCGGACGAGCGGCGGCGGCCCGAAAAGCCGCCGCGATCCTGCGCGCGCGACGACGCGACGTGCCACCGGGCACTGTCGGACATGCTGATCAAGCTCGGCGACCTCGACCCCGGGACAACGGGCGGCAGTGGCAACGACGGGCGACGGGAGACGCTGCCGTCGCTGGAGGCGCTGCTAGGTATCGAGCGGGAGCTGCGGGGCCGGGCGCGGGCGGCGATGGGCTGCCGGCGCTGCGTGGATCGGCCCAGTGGACAGAACCTGGTCATGGTTACGGCCATGGCGCTGGACAGCCTGCTGGTGCTGTTCGAGAGGCAAGGGCGACGCGAGGAAGAGGGCGAGCCGGCGGCGGACAGAGTAGTCAGGTGTTGCGACGATGTGCTCGCCTTGCTGGCTGAGTTGGACCTGCTGGCTTGCTCCGTCATGCAGGGCGTCAACTCGGTGATTTACAAGCACAAGTCGGAGGATCTGTATAACAGGGCGTGTCAGCTGAGCAGTCGGTTCCTGTGCCAGCTGGCGCCGGGGATGCATGACAGCGACTTGACTTTGCTGTACGAATAGGTGCTCTTGTCTGGCTTATTCATTTTCGCTTCGTTGCAATCACTTTTCATACATAGCTCTTTTTAATGTATATTAATCTTGTCCTTGCCATGCGTGCGATACCGGCTCTGAGCAAGTCTCTGTCCTCTCCGCCTGCTGGGGCATCTGTGCGGGCGCATCGCAGGCCCAACAAAAAAGAGATTTGTTTTATTAATCCTGGCTGTCTCTCGATTTTGGCGGGATGGGTAAAAGCCCGAGATCTCCAATGTAGTAGCCACACTACACCATCACCGGGACCTGCTACAACATGCCAGACATGCAAGCCGACTTGGCTGTCCGGGTGGTTGTTCCGGCAGCCTCTGTGTCACCTGTCACGGCCAAGAGCAGACGAGCCCACGATTGATGAACACATCTATCGATTCTTTGTATCGTGATGGCCCTGATATCCAGCCATTGACTCGGATCGTCGCCCCATTGTTGCTATGCATCCCCTCTGAGGCGGGTGGTGATTGCGATGAGACACGGGGCTGACAAGGAGCTGAGCAACCTTGAGGGTGGGAATAGTGTTGTGTGCCAAGAACTCCCCTCGATCCTGGACGCTGCCAATGGAACATGTCCCAACACGAGAAGAAATGGGAGCGGACGACGGACGGCGGCTGATGTTCGTATCGTATAAGTGGTGTTGCAGGGCCGTGATGGTTGCTGACACACATGTTCCCGACAGATCGGTTGAACCGATGTTTATGAGGCATTTATCAAGCGCAGGTCGGCTGATACTAGGCTGAAATTGAATGTATACAAGAGTATATCAAGGGCGCAAGTACTCTGTCTCTGCTCCTGTCTCGTCTCATCTGCCCAAACCTCACTCACAAAAGCAGCACACATCATGGCCATCACTCTCCCAAAAGGCCTCCTCGCCGACGCCCGCCACATCCGCGCCGCCGTCGGCTTCACCCAGAACCACACGTTCCTCCTGTGGCTCCTCTTCTCCGGCGCCATGCTCGGCTTCTGCCTCTCGCGCCTCCCGCACCTCGCCTTCCACGGCCTCTACTGCGCCGCCCGCGCGCCCCGGCGCCGGCAGGAAGGAGCATCACGGCGGCGCCCGGCGAGTGCTTCTGGTACACCGCGGACGAGCTCTACCGCGTGGGGGTCCAGATGCGCCTGTACGCGATCGTGCCGGCGGGCGCGCTGGCGTGCGCGCAGTTCGCGCCCAAGATTCGTCACCAGTGGACGCTGGCGCACCGCGTCAACGTGTACCTGGTGCTTCTGCTGAGCCTCACCGGGACGGCAGGGGCGGTGGTGATTGCGCCGGTGGCGTTTGGGGGAGGGGGGGACTTGTGCGTCAGGGGCCAGATTGGCGCGATCGCGGTCATGTTCCTGGGCAGCCTGGCGGTGGCGTGGTACTTCATCAGCAGGAGGAGGAGGAGGATCGACCAGCACCGCGCGTGGATGCTGCGAGCTTGGTTCTACGCAAGTCATCCTGAAAGACCGTTCGTGATATACCGTGTCTAACGTGAGCAATGGTAGGCTGGAAGCATCGTCACGGTCAAGCTCGTCATGTCCATCGCGGCGAGGATCGTGTCGTCGGGCGACGGAAAGGGCGGCTATTACGCGGCGATGCCGTGTCGTCAGCTGGAGAGCTACATGGACGCCACGGTGCTCGCAAGGAAATACCCGGCGTGCGCGTCGCTTGACGCCTGGGTCTTGGTCAAGGCGGACATGGGCGCGAGATCACCCGAGCAGATCAGCGCCGCCTTGAGCGTCAGCTTCGGGATGGCCCTCTGGATGGCGTTTATCGTCCATGCTGTCGGTGTCAAGTTTTATGTGCGTGTATTAACGGAAGCAGCGTGGGTTGTTCCAGGACTGACACTCATGATGCATCTAGCTTCAACTCACCCCTGGCGAGACGAAGCGTCTTCGAGAACTCTCGCTGCGGCGAGTAGACTGCAGCGATTAGCGGCCTGCCTTCAAAAAAAACAGTCGTTTCGGAGCAGGGTAGGAAAGCGGCTCAACAGCATGTGACGACATGACGAGGCAAAATTGGGTCAAGGATGCTGCGGATGTCGTCGGTGCCGATGCGGCATTCCTGAGTACGAGACTACGAGGGAGACTGTAGATGTGTCAACGATAAAGACGTGGAACTGATTCATTGACGTATAAAGTCTGGGTCATTCTGGATCTTCCATAACAAGACATGTTCGTCTCGAGCCCGGCCTTTCACCGCAACCCGGCATTCCTCACTGCAAACCCGGCACCTTCTCGCCGCTCGCCGGCGCCCTCACAAACGGCTCCAGCGGCAAGACCTGACTCTCCGGCGTCACCCCCGCGTAGATGCGATCCCACAGCGGCCGCAGCTGCTCCGGCGTGTCCCACGCCAGCTCCTCATCTCGCAGCCAGAGGCGGACCAAGTGGCGTCTGCAAACATCTTTTGTCAGCCCAGTACTTCCTCAATTATACTCCGGTAATCATGTACGTACTGCTTCTCGGGAGAGTCCTTGAAGGACCCCCGCGCGTGGAAGATGCTCAGGTTGTTGACGAACTGGATGTCGCCGGCCTGGAACTCGAGCGCCACCGCGCTGCGCTCCGCCGTGAAGTGCAGCGCGTCCAGCGCCTCCGCCTGCGCCTCCGTGATCGGCGGGATGTCGGCGCTGCGCGGCAGACCCCAGTAGCCGGTGAAGCTGCGGCGCGCATACTGGATGATGAGCCGCTCCGGCGCGTCGTCGGCGTCGGGGCGGGCCGGCTGGTGGTAGAGCAGCGGGCGGGCCGTGTATCCGGGCGGACCCGACTTGCCGAACCTGCCACTCACATGTCAGCGCACACAACAATGTATAAGAAGCCAAGGGTTGATGCCGGCGTACTCGTCATTGTTCCAGGGCTCCGCCAGCGTCCGGATCAGGTCCGGCCGCGTCGCCGCAAGCTGGTTGTACACGTGCCCGCTGCTGGCCAGGTAGCTCTCGCCGCCCTCGGCGGCAGCCTCGAGCGCGAGCAGCGCGATGACGTCGCCCGCGTCGGTGTGGAACACCTGCTTCTCCGTCGTGTACGCCGGCGCGCCGATCTTGTGCGGGTCCACCGTCGCCGTCAGGTCCTTGATGTGCGCCAGCACCACGTCTTCGGCGGAGTCGTCCGGGCCCCGGCGGCGGGTGTCTTGCCGGCCGCGCGAAGGCGCCACGTGCGCGGCGAGGCCGGCGTACACGGCGACGCTCTCCTCGCGCGTGTAGCGCGCGACGGGCACGCCCCGGACGACCTTGAAGCCGTGTCCGCGGTGCAGCTCCCGCGAGACGTCGCGGAGGGTGGCGTGCAGCTTGGGAAGCGGGAAGGTCTCCTGGGAGATGTAGCCGAGCGGCTTCCCGAGGCCTGATGTAACAGTCAGCTGCTGTCGTTGAAGCTCTTCTTGGTGAAACGTACTCGTAAAGTGCTGCAGGGCACTGTCAATCTCGGCAATGTCCTCCTCGGTCAGCTTGTACCACCACTGGTACGTGTCCGACACGGTCGCGCCGTCCCAGACGAGCTCCGACCGCAGCTGGGTGGGGAAGCCCTCCGGCAGCGTCGCCGGCAGCGCCTCGCCCTCGACGCGCCGCTTGGTCCGCGCCTGGTACGTGTCCCAGTTCGGCGCGTACGCGATGTCGGGCTGCCCGGCCGGGCCGGCGGAGAAGACGGGCGGCGTCAGGGTAGCAGCAGCAGCCATCTTGGCGGTGGAATTTGGCAAATATTTTTTTTCTCGAGTTGATTCCGCTTCTTGTTGCGGTTAATGGCAACATATCAATGTACTGGATGGTCTTGCGACGTGCACTTTATAAGTAATCCTGTCCGTCGTCACCGGCATTGCGGGATGGAATGACGCGATTGCGCAATACTGCGGCAACCACCAACCGAGGACGCGCAAAGGACTCACTCCGATGCCATGCATGCGCCCGTCAACGGCAACTAAAATTCGTCATATGCTGCTTTACAAATCAAGCATGACGCAAAAAGCCGTTTTCGCTTCCCCGCATCTCTGTCGCTGATAAGGATAGTGTCAAGGTCGAGACAGCAACACACCGCTACGTGCAGCCAGATGTGGAATTGTATTTGCTCTCAATTTTGTGTATTTAGTCTCTCTATGTAAATTTAATTCGAAATGAATAGGCTGTTTCTACTGTCTGTCCCGTTAAAAAAAAAACATGGCCGATTTCGGCTCTGATACAGCCTGCGCTTCACATTGGCAAGCTCCCGTCTTAGACACTTATCACACTCACGGCAACCGACTGTATAAGCTCGAGCTCCTGTTCATCAACGACCGTCGCACGGGTGCTGGCGGTAGCGGCCGCTCCGGCCGCGCGTACACTGGTGGCCGCTCTGCCATAGCCGGTGCGCGCTGCTGCTGCGGCGGCGGCGAGGGCCTTGAGAACGGTACTGGTGTTGGCCGGCCTTGGTTCGCGGCCGCCGTGGTGGGCATATCCTGCGGAACTGGTCGCGAGATGGACCTCTGCGGCACCAGGTTCTTGTTTCGGCTTGTAAAGATGTTGTTGGCAGAGGGCTTGCGCTTGTAGTAGTAGAGCAGGGCGGCGCCCAGCACAAGGCTTACCAGAGCTGTGCGCTTCGAGTTAGTCGCAAGCGCAATGGGATCGAGATGGAAGGGAACAAGAGAGGCTGCGCGCTTACCTATGCTGCCGATGACGATACCGGCTTCGGCTGCGCGGTTCAAACCCGTGGACGACGTCACGGGCGTGGGCGCTGCGTCTGGCTGCTTCTCCGGCTGCGTTGAAGGGCCCGCGAGCGCCGAGGAGACGAGCGACGACGCCGACGCCGACGCGGGCGGCGTCACGATGGAGCTCGTGCTGGACGACAGAGGCGTCTCGATCAATCTTGTGCTGGGGGGAATCTGCGTCTCAATGGAGCTCGTGCTGGACGACAGCAGCGTCGCAATGGAGCTCGTGCTAGAGGACGTCGTTCTCCCAACGGATCTTACAGGCGTTGGCGTCACGATTGTGGGAAACAGCACCTGCGCACCATTCCGATTGGGCGCGCCGGTGCGTGTCGGCGAGGGCCTCTGCGGTGTTGTACTGGATGGGGACTGTAGTCGCTGTGGCTGTGTTGTGGGCAAGTTCTCGCGGGTCGGGAAGCTGTCTGAAGGGTCTGCGATTGGGTTATTCGGTGGTGGCCGGACCAGGGTGATGAACCGCCGGTCGTGATCAGTGGCGGTGACGGTGGCAGCGGCGGGTGTTGCTGAGATGCTGCCCGCTGGCGAGACGTGGAAAGAAGCAGTCAAAATCTCGATTTCTCGGTCCGTGTAAAATCCAGCCTCAGTGTATGTGGCTGTCCGTGAATCTTCTGGCGTTGAACTTTGTGCATCCTCGGCGTTCTGGCTCTTTGGATCGCCCGCTTCAGAGCCAGAAGGGCTACCACCCTCCGCGAGTTCTGATGTTTTCAAATCTTTTCTGGTTCCGCGTTAGCATTATAAGCAGGCACGTTGACTCAATGGCGTACCTTTTTACCACAGCCATGTCCATGATCTTGTTAGTGCACGTCAAACGTAGGGTCCATCTAAGTCAAAGGCAACCGGGCTGCAGAAACATCTTTAATATATTTCAAGGGCTATACAAGCTCAATTATCATATCCGATCGGCATATAACAATGCCAGGCGATAGAGTGCAAACCTTCCGGTGATGCCTTTTTTTGGCTCTTTTTGAAACGTTTCTCGGACACGGTGAGCAGTAGATAGGCGTGGTGTAGCAGCGACCCCGTGGCCCCGTACTCGGTGTTTATAAGCTGTGGGCACGTCTTGCCTCTGTATGAGAAATATTGTGTTTCAAAATCTGCCGTTTCGGTCTTTTTTGGGGGGCATCCTCGAGATTCTTGGCTGCTACGCACCTTGCGTAGGCTATATGCGTCGACTCTGCAGTCGCAAGGGTAAACAATGCGCGGACCGACCACCAGAGCTTACCCCAGGTGTCGCAAATAGGGTTTCACGCTCTGTCAAGTCAAAGATAAAAAAGATGAACCCCCCCAAACTGTCATTCACCCTTAGTCCTAGTAAGCGGGAGCAGGGAGAAACATGGTTCCTCGGACCGGAAATGACATGATCTGCGTGTGACCCTACTCGAAATTTGTCAAAATTGTAGATTTGTGGCATCGCATCCTTGGCTGCCACACAGGCGCACTTGGCGTCGGATGGTGACAAAGAGGCCACCAGTGTAGCCGCATAACAGGCTCAAAAATAGCATTTAGTCCAGAGTGTCTGGAATTTCATCTGCCGAGAATCTAATGGCAGAAATAGCCCCTCTTACATCAACCTGGAAGCGCCGTTCGTCATGATCCCTGGATCGTTGCCCTGATTGGCCGAGATGCACCTGGCTGTAGTTGGATTAAGCGCCCAGCTCAAGACCACTCTGGAGAGCCTGGTCACGGTCAGCCAATAATGAAAGTCGGCGGCGTAGCCTACCGTCTTCCTTTTTTCCGCAAAATGACACGCAATGTAGCGCTAGAAACGGGTCAGAGATGAGCGTCGATGGCGTTCTCCCTGAGCCGTGACTGGTGGTGGCTTGTCTGCAGGGCCGCTACGCGAGGCCATTCAGAAAGCGAGCGGCAAGAATCGAATACTTGAGCGAGAGGTTCCGTCCTCAACAGTTGGACATTCCTGTTCTCTATTTCTCTCTTCTTTCCTCTCAAGCACAGCCGATTTCTGCGCAGCTTCGTACTTATTTGCCCCTGCATCTTTGTTCTCACCATGTCGCAACTCAAGCATGAAATCTCGTCCTCCGACTTTGAGATCGAAGCGGAGGATCGACACATCGTGCCCAAGATCGGCTTGCTTCGAGCAGTCGATACCCTCCGCACCGGCCTCACCTTGGTGGCACTGGCGTCTGGCGCTGCGGTGCTTGGTCTTGCAGCGCATACCCTGGCTGTGTACAGGGCCACATCGCTGCCTGCCGAGTACCTGCTGCAGCTGTGGCCAGAGGACTTTGATGTCCGACCTACAAACTCGCTGATCGCCTGCGGAGTGCTAGTCCTCGTTGCCAATACCCTGGCACTCGGTATGAGCAAGGTGTCCTTCGTAAGTAGCTGTCATGAAGAATTATGTGTTCTGCTTGCTGATGATGCTGCACTAGGTCAGCTCCCGCTACATCGCCCGCTCGTCCGTCTCTGTGACTGCACCAGGGGTTGGCCTCGTAGGTGCGCTGGTGGCCATGTCCTTCTTTTACGCCGTCAATGCATCGACAAAGACCGATTCGATCCAGAGTTGGAGCTGCCGCTGGGGCGGCGTGGCCATGGATACACGCCCTCACTTTGGTACCCTTTGCAAGGAGAGCAAGGCGGCTCTTACTCTGGCAACGCTGCTTGTGCCGGTCGAGGCGCTGATTATTGGCGTTGCCGGGTACGAAGCAGTGCTGCTCCGCCGCATCAACCAAGGTCTTCATCACTGAATATGCTGGGCTGTAAATATCGACGTATTAATGATGGCGGTGATTTTCCCCGAGCGCTGCAATGAGCTATTTGGTACGCTTGCTTCTTGAGGATGTTAACTGGTTAGTAACTTCCTAGCACAATGGGCCGTTTGGGGCGCTGGATAGCCCCCTTCGGTAGTAGAAACCTTGCTTTTGTTTTGTGTCGCTGTTGTACTTTGAAGTAATGACGATATTGGATTGTTTTAATTTCGCGTCATGCTGCTCGAATTCGTTAAAAACTGAGTGAAGCACAAGGTTGCACTGCGTTAGTTTGTTGTGCAGCATCTGAATTTTGGCTGGCTGCACCACCTATGTACATAGCTTTTTGGCTGTCCTCGAAATCAGGCTTGACCCACTCGGTCAATGTCCCCCATATCTTAATCTCAACGCTACAACATCTCTCCGCCCGACCTCGAATTGTCACGATACTCGGGTCTGTTCATCTTGAAACGCAAAAAGTAAATCCCATCCGTCCTTTATTTATTTGTTTGTTACATATACTGCAGCGATATAATTGTCCCCGCTTGGCCTTGCTCACATTCACACGCGATCCTACAGCGTACCAGCCTCTCCCTCTTCCAGGCCGCCGTTTGACCTCGTTCTTTGTCGTCTGCTCTTTGTCCGAACCCTCCCTCACCCATCTGCACCTTGGCGACACCGATTTTTCTTCTTCATTTTCCTCCCTTTCCCGGTCTCGGTCCCATAAAATGGAGGTATGCCCTTGTTCTTCCTTCCCGTCGTATTGCCCTCCTCGCCCCCATGCAGCGAGATACGCGAGCAGGCTTGGCCGTGGTCGCTCCCGGGTGCTGCCAACGAGGTGACGCACGGCTGGGGATCCAATCACAAACATACCCCAGTATCGGCTTCACACGAACAGACCCAGCTAGCCCTCAGCCGTCATACGCTGCCTTGTCGCCCGCGCCGACCTGCGATGTCTCTTCCTTGTCTTTCGCTTCATTCACACACCTGCGAGTCTCGTGAGAGCCGACGACGCGCAGAGCCAAGCTGAGGTGGTCTCGCCCTCGTCGGCCCATGACACAAATTATGGCCTCTTGACCTATTTGTACTACAAGCCTTGTCGCCCAATACGTCGATATTGTCTGGGGTTCACATCGTCACTTCCGGTCATATTCAGGCCCATTCCCTGCGTCGCTCGCTGTTCCGCGCTTCTCGCCCCAGCACTATCCTTTCCTTGCGCTTTTCTCGCAGTCATCTCTCTCTCATTTCACCGGTGTTTCGTTCGTCCTTTGTCTCCCACGGCTTACCATGAGCTCTCTGCAATCTCTCCTCCTTCGCTGCAAGCGCTGCGTAAGGTCCTTCGGCCTGTCTCTGCGCAGAAAAGCACCCCGCAGATCGAGCATCGCCACCGCCCTAATCACATCCTCGGGCACACAGCAAATGAGCGCAGCACAGCTAACGCTTCAGCGAATCCACGACCAGGCTTCCGGCAATATACCCAAAAAGGATGACTCCAGAGGAGACATCATCACCGGCATCCCCGCAAAGGGCAAACCCCGCCTGCTCCTTATGGGCCAACGAAGGTACATACTTTTCCACTGTCTCAAGCATATTATGCCGGCTAACATGAATTCAGGAGCGGAAAATCATCAATTTCCAGTGTCGTCTTTCATAAACTTCCACCAAACGAGACCTTGTTCCTAGAGTCTACAGCTAGAATACAAAAAGACTCCATGGCGTAAGTTGCACGGGCTTTATCTTCCTATGGCAGCTACTAATATACCCAGATCATTCATGGAATTCCAAGTATGGGATTTTCCTGGTCAGATCGACGTCTTTGAGACGCCCAACTTTGATATGGAGGCCATCTTTGGCGAGATCGGAGCCTTAATCTGGGTTATCGACGCTCAAGATGACTACCTAGAGGCCGTCGCGCGCCTCAACACCACAATCTTGGCCCTTCAAGGAAGCTATCCCAACATTAACATTGAAGTGTTTATCCATAAAGTTGATGGGCTATCAGACGACTACAAGCTCGACATCCAGCGCGACATCACCATCCGCATCCAAGACGAGTTGTCGGATCATGGTTTTGAGAACGCGCCCGTCACCTTCCACCTCACCTCCATCTACAACCATTCCATCTTCGAGGCCTTCAGCAAGGTCATCCAAAAGCTCATCCCGCGCCTCGGTACGCTCGAGGCCATGCTGACCAACCTCTGCCGCACCTGTCGCTTCGAGAAGGCGTACCTATTCGATGTTATGTCCAAGATCTACATCGCTACCGACAGCTCGGCCGCCGACATGGCCAGCTACGAGATCTGCAGCGACTATATCGACGTCATCATCGACATCACCGAGGTCTACGGCACGTGGCAGCGCAGCGATGAGAGCCGCGCGCGCCTCGAGGGCGAGCCCCTCCACATGAAGCTCGAGGACCAGGTCGGCTGCGCGACTGCCGAGAGCTGTCTCGTTCTGCACGACAGCAACAAGCCCATCATGCTTCGCGAGGTTGACCGCTACCTCGCCCTCGTCGCCATCATGACGGACGACTCGTACGAGAAGATGCCCCTGGTTAATATGAATGTCGAGACCGTCGTCGAAGGCATCACCGAGTTTTTCAAAATCACGAAGCCCAAACCTCAGGGCCAACAGTAGTGTGGAGAACTAAGTAGCAATTATGTCTCAAAAAAATCATAATAATCATGTAAAGCTCATATTTGAGGTTGCCCATGAGCCTGGTGGTTGCAGGATGTTTCTATGCTGCCGTGTCGTTATCATCAAGGAGGGTAAAGGTGCGCCAGGTCGTCCTGTTGCTGGCGAGCAAGCATATGCGAGCCGCGATCTGGCCCTGGACGTCATGCTCGCCGTGCACCTCCATCCGCACCGGCCGCATCGCGCATTCTTCTGGCAAACGGCACTCAGTGCCTCCCGTCGCGGCAAGCGGCATGCCCCTGATGGAGTCTGGGGCTGCGTCCTCGACGTACGGCTCATACAGCGTGGCATCCGATTCAACAGGAACCGTAAACATGGCGGGCTTGCTAGGGTCTGCGGCTGCGTTAGAAGGTTGAAAACGGTCAAGAATGAAAACCAAATCTCTTGATTTACCTGTGCTGGTGCAAAGAAGTACGAGGGTCGTTGCATCAATGAAGCCGAGGTCGATGAGAGACGAGTCGCCGAGGTCGATGCAGCGAGATGACAGGCTCCGGTTCAAGCTGATGCCGTTAACCACACTCAACTCCGCCCGGAACACATATACTGTATGCAAAAGTTAGCTCAAAATGTCAACTGACAAACGCTTCCTCATCCCACCTTTGTTGGCCGTCTCTTTGGAAGCGAGAGCCGTGTACACCGTTCCGCCACCGGCCCCCGCAGCCGCCTCCGCCATCTTGACATCCATCTTGGTGATCGGCGCGCCGATTTTCAGCCTCATCGGGACGCCGAAGCGGACGCTGCGCTTCTTGGCGTCCGCCACGTCCTTGAAGATGCGGCCCGTCCACGTGCTCGCGTAGTTCATCAAGAAGTCCACCTGCGGCAGCGCCTTCATCGCCGGCTGGCCAGCCTCGGCCTTCTTGAGCTGCCTGTCGAGGACCTCGAGCAGGCTCAGCCCGTCCTCCGCGTGCGCCCAGTCGGCCTCGTAGTCCTCGCGGGGCACCGCTGCGAAGAAGGCGTCGAGCGGCCCGCCAGTCAGGTACCGCTCGATGTAGGTCAGGACGCGCGAGGTGTCGAGGGTGGCCTCGCGCTCGGTGAGCTCGTCGGCGCCGGTCGAGGCGAGGCGGTCGATCTGGAAGCGCAGCCAGCCGGAGAAGGCGGCAAAGTGCTCGAGCTCGTCCATGACGTGCAGCAGGATGCGGTGGCCGACGAGGCTTAGGCAGCCGACGACGTCGAGGACGCGGCCAACCTGCGTCGCGGTGAAGCCGAGGTCGTCGCGCGTGTCGTAGAACTGCGCGAAGCCGCGGAGGCGACTCAGGATGACGGAGCAGCGCTCCAGTCCGGGGAGGAGGTTCTCATGCACTAGGTTTCGAAGACCTTCCAGGCCGGCCGTGACAGCCTTGTCCCATCTTTTGTGTCCCTGTGTAGCAGATTAGCAAAGATAGAATATCTTTATTATGGCGCCGTGGGTGCTCTACATACTCTCTCGGCAACGCTGTCCACTAGCCACTCGCGCAACGGCTCGTACGCGTGGCCAGTCACGGCAGTGTGATAGAGAGCCGCGACAATAGTTCTAGGTCCGCTCTGCATCTCTGACAGGTCGCCCTGGACGCTCTGCAAGAACCTCTTCGGGAGTTCTCGTGCGTTCTTCCACTCGGTCAGCATGTGCAGCTGCGTCTGCTTAAGATAGCGCAGCAGCGTCTGGAGTGTCGTGAGCTTCGAAGCGAGCAGCGACAAGTTTATGGGCGATGAAGAGACAAATGGGAGGTCTACAGGGACCAGATGTATCTCAGAAGGGTTATTCGTGTCGTCCGCCATAAGCAGCGCCTGCGTGGACATGGTCGGGCATGCGGCGTGCAGGACGAGACGCGGTGCGATGAGGGCTCCAAGGCTAGGGGCGGTAAATACGCCTATCACGAAGGAATCATAGATACTGAGGTGCAGTTGCCCATCGCTAGTCCCAACCACCATAATGTTGACTTGGTCGTATGCAGAGCGCTTGGGTGTCTGGAAGAGAAACTCAATTCCTGTCCGCAGCGTGAATACTGTGGCATCATCTCTAGGCGGAGAGTTAGTATTTACAATTGGGATCACGTAACATTGCGCTCACCCAGCTCCTGCACTGGCAGTTGGCAGCGGACTGATTTTGGGCAGCGCCGTGTCCACCTCGAGAAAGGTCAACTCTTGAGGGAGGTCCAAGGCGCCGGAACCATTGTCCAATATCAGTTCATCCAGCAGCTTCTCGCCTGATTTCGGCGCGTTTTTGCCAGGCTTCTTGTTGATCAAACTGGTGGTCCAACCAATATGTGTTATTTTGGCGGCGTCGTCGTTGCAGATATGCATCTGGTGAACCGCCTTGTTGTTCTCCAAGCCCATGATGCGTACCGCCCCATCGCTCCAGCCAACGGCAAGGAACTGGCCTACATCACCTTGATTAGTTCAACTTGTGTGGGCTTGCGCAATTCACGCCGGTTTGGCGCAGAATGCTTCGCTTACCGTCTGGCTTCCACGTCACGGCTAGGGCATCCGGGGCCTTTGAGCCTAGCGGCCCAAGCTGATGAATCTTGGAGACAGCCTGGTTCGGCGGGCGGTATATAAACAGGTTCTTATCTGAACCGTCCCATGTCGCCGACAAATCGAGTGTGGGACAGCTGACTGGAAATCCGGTTGGCGCTTTGAATTCAAACTCGGCCTCGCTGAGCAGTCGCAACGACGCGTCGCCCGCCATGGCCACTTGCGCAATTCTAGCCAGACGCGTCGATACTTGGCTTCTGTGAAGACTTTGACATCCCTATCAACCAGAAAATACGTTTTATCAGCGATTTAGCGCGAAATCCACAAGTCTGTTGCTGTGATTGCGGGTTGTTGCGATGGTAAACTTCAGTGTAGCATTGAAGTGGGTTGTGCTTGACACCAGCCCACTTCTGCAGGGAAACCTGTCAACCAACAGGCAGCCAACAATGGTAGCCACCAGTCATCGGAACGGTTCGAAATACTCTTTAAAAATCGAAACATGCACCTAGCATATGGATTCTTGTTTCATTGTTCATTGCGCCATTAATATCTAGATCTCAGCAGCATGCGTCTACAGTCACTGCATACCTCCTGCTTGCTACATATCTGCCGTTCCAACACCTTTTGCCCTAAGTCCTGTCTATTCGATTGAGAAATTGTCCGCATTCGACTTGATCTCCTTGGAGAATGTCACTTCCTCCTCTTCTTCAATGAGAGAGACAGAAGAAACCTATTCATCATTAGCGCGAATACATGGCGGAGTGCATTGCGAAAGGGCTTACATCAACATCGACATATGGCGTGGTCTTGCTAAATCGAACGTGCATGGGGAAGAAGTCGTTTTCGTCAGCAGTCTCGGCCTCAAATTCGAAAGCACCGCTGGGGTTCTCGTCATCCACACTGCCAATGTTCCACTCTAACATGTCGCCAGCGACTTCATAGGAAGCGTCAAAGCTAGAAACCACGGGCTCACTACCTTGGTAGGGAATCATGACGCTGACATCGCGAAGAGCGTCGCCGCCAGTAAGTTCGTATTCGACAGTGATGTTATACTTGGATGAATCCTTGTTGATCCAGACAGTAAATGTAATAGGGCAGGTCGCAGGGTCGTCCGTCTTGGGGGTCGCTCTCCAGCGCAAAACGCCAACGGCATTGTTGACGGGGAACCCACGCGCCGTGTTGCTCATCTGAATAACTTTGGAATTGTTGAAGATGTTACGGTCGACATTGGGGTGTGTGCGGAACTGAGCGCCGTGAGATGGCACCGCTTGCAGAGCCAGTTTGATCTTCGTCATGCTAGCTTCCGAAACCCGCAATGTCAGATCACCGGTAACAGCAAGAGACTGCACAGCACCTTCACGGGATAGAGTAGCATTGATAGACTCGGAGATGGTGACGTGAATGGCGTCACGGTCCATGGTGGAGGAGACACGGGGTTCGGCTGGCGCAGCGGAGGCGGGGGGTGCAGGTGCTACCAGGGGCGTATCGTCAACCTCACCACCCATATCGCCGCGCACGCGCTCAAACATGTCGGTAGTCTTGGACTTCTTGCCAAGTTGCATGCCCTTGCCTTTCGGCGCGGATGCCCTGTTTTCACGTTAGGACCTCGATATAAAGTTGGCAGCAGCTTGCTACGTACTTGGTATATGTTTTGTTCTTCTCGGCCTCGTATGAGTCGTATGAGTTGGCTGCGTTCGATGAAGGGGATTGGTATGTCTGGTACGTGGGAGCGCGCGGCACGCTGGTGCGAGAGGTGCCGAGGCGAGCGGCATCCTTGCGTTGCATCTCCAGCTGCTTGGCCTTGCGCTTGCGTTCTTCGGTGGCCTCGAGCTCTTTGTTCTACAAATTACGGGCAGTCAGCATTGAAGGTCCAAATGTGATTGGAAGCAAAAGGCACATACTCTGGCGATGATTTCCTGGACGCGCTCTTCGTGGCTCTCCATCTCCAGGAAAGTTCGGATCTGGCTGATGGTCAGGTTTTCGCGATAGCCCAGAGTGACAATCTCGTCGAAGGCGCTAAGCAGTTCGTATGCATTTCGGAGAATCTCTCTCTCGTCCAAAGTCCGGCAGGCGCTGGCCACGACTTGGGCAAAGAGCTGCAGTGAATTGATGTCTTGCAAAATGTTGGATTGGCGGTTGGTAATGAGCACCATGTAAAGCTCGTCTAGCGGCTGGTAGACGAAGCGCACATTGTCCTGTTCAACGGTCGTATGCTGCGTGCCGCTATCGGTAAGCTTCGGGAGGGATGCCAGGAGTGCCTCTATTCTCGATCGTGGCATGTCACGAAACTGCCTCGAGAGGACAGCTTTCCCACCACGGGTACAGATTGAAGCTGCGAGGACAACCTGCGTCGCCGTTAGCAGAAAACCCGGCATAGGAACAATTCCGAAAAAGGGCGCACCATCTTGAATTCTTTTTGCAGGGGCCTGGTTGCAGTGATGTTGTCAATGACGACCAATATGGAGGAATCAATATGCCCACGCTGAATCCAGGAGCTGGCCAATATTAGGCCAGGTGTGCGAAAGTGGGGGGAAGCAAGGAATCATGGTGGGCGAGTTGAGCAGCCAGGTTAAGTTTAGTAGGCAGCATACCAGTGGGTGTGGCACACGCACTATGGTGGGTGGTGTGGCGGACTTTGGAGTCTGGCAGGTGGCACAGATTAGGGGGATTCTGCCGCGCTAACCTTTTTAGAAGGGCGGTCGCGCAAATGTCCAGCCCCAGGCGGCAACAAGGTCAAGAAACGCTTTCACGTTGTTCATCTTCATCTCGTCACAAAGCGCCAAACGAAACTCAGTTCTCGCAAGCCCTTATAAGAAACTAAGCGGATGCCGAACTTACTCTTTTCTTGTCCACATTACTTCTGCGATCAACATACTCGACGCATAAGTACTTTGGAACCCCCTTTTATTACGCAGCACGGCCTTGCAAACACGTCTGGACTTTCAATCACCTCGAACCACCGCAAGTTTCCTAACTTACAGGGCTTTGAGCTCTTGTATTAAATACGTGGCACGGAGCATCGACCGATAACTCTGACCTGGAGGTTCTCTCCCCTGCATCACAAACGTCGAGATGGACATCGACGCGATACAACAGCCCTCTCTCGAGGTGCATATGGACGACGATCTCATCAACTACGACAGTGACGCGGTGGATTACTCCCTCGCTGCGGACCAAGATCTCGGAAATGGAGCGACCGCCGAAGCTTTTGAAGGTGACCAGGCTAGCGCTAAATCCAACTACCAGAGTGGCGACAACCCCACGAAGGAGGATCCTGAGCACCAACCCATGGATAACCCTGCGCAGCCTATCGATGCCACATTCGAGGAAAGCACAGACGAACAGCATACTATAGAGCAGGCGACCGAGACTGAAGTACCGCTCGATGCCGATGCCGCCGATGCTGCGCTCGACTCGCTGACAGAAACTGTGGCTGACGAGATTGATTATGGCCTTGGAGAGGTCGACTACAATGAGGAGAAGCATGCCGAGGTAGGCAATGAGTTCTATATCGCAGAAGCTGTCCAAGGCGACGGCGTGAATGTCGAAGTAGACATTCTTGAAGAGAATACTGAAATTAGTTGGGAGGATGATGATGCTGATCATGTGGAAATCGAGGCTGAGGCTGAGAAGGAAGGACATGAGGAAGAGGATCAGCATTCTGCACAAACGGAGGCTGTGCAGCCGGGCGATTTGACTGAAAAAGCAAACGCAGAGGCTGAGGAGACTGAGAGCAGAGATCATCGTCAGGACGAGCTGCAAGCACTGGAAAACGTCATCTCCTGGGATGGCAGTATGGATGCGGCTGGTAATCTTCAGCCTGATAATGCTGATTCCCAGTTTCCTACTATCACAGTGCAGTACCAAGGAGACGAATTTCCGTTCTTGTCATCTGGCAGCGAAGGCTTCTTCTCTGAACTGTCCATCCTCGATGATAGCATGCAGCAGGTCTTTAGTGGGTTTCGTTCACAGCTCAAAAATGAAGTGACAGCTGAAGATGAGTTGGTCTTTCAAATTGACGAGCTTGGTTTGGAGTTCACAGAGGTAAGCGACGCCTGAAACAACTGTTAAGAGACAAGCTAACATGATGATAGTCAAATCTCTCGCATAGCTTGACAATGCGTCAAATTTTGGAGGTGTTTGAGCTTCTCATTAAGAATGAGGACCCGGATGGCCGCCGAACTTTGTATACCTACCTTTTCACGAGAGTCAACAGTGCGAGAAGGTACGATTTCCTAGTGGAAAGCGCCACCGCAGGCAAGGGCCTCGAAGAGATTCAACATCTCTTTTCGCAGCATTCATTCCGCAACGATAGCGATGCCGACAACGCAGATGACAGTGCATCGACTAGTGAACATGCCGAAGGCCACGACGAAGAAGCATATGGGCATGACGGCCAAGCTGAACAGGGCGACGACGACGATCATCATGATGAAGACTATGAAGAATATGCCAAGGAGGATGTTGAACAATACGCAGAAAAGGCTGGCGAAGAGCACGACGAGGAATACCATGAAGATTCTGAAGGTGACCACCAAGCTGTCGACTTTTTCGATGAGGCTGTTCCAGAGGAAACTGAAATGTCGCATGCGGATGATTTAGCCAAGGACGCAGACTCGCCCGACAATGTTGACGCAGATGAGCATGACAACAACTTCGCCCATGAGCACAGCAGTACGACTAGCACACTTCAAGGTGACGCTGATGGCACTGCTCTTGCCGATGATGAAACTGCTGTCGACGCCGAAGCCGAGGGCCCAGTGTTTGTCACGGGGGCAAACGACGATGCTGAAATTGATTGGCGTGATGAAGATGAGAGTGAATTAGTTGGCGACGGGGGGTCAGTAACCGGCAAGCGTTCTCGTGATGACAACGAGGAGCCCGATGTGGATGACGAAATTGGTAAGTTGAAGCATGCGCAGTCTGGCTGGTCTCTAAGTGTCTGCTAACTATGGGGTAGACTTCAAACGTCGACGACCTTGATCCACGTCTTTACTAACAAGCAGCAATTGCAATAACATGCCGAACTTGGCAAATACTCAACACACGGAAACTACGTATCAAAGCGCACAGCGCCATAAACCCCATCAAAACAAAGTCACTCGCCTTCCGAAACCTGCAAGATTTGCCAAGAAGAGCGATAGGTAAAGTTCACGGCCAGCCGGCCACTACTAACCCATAGGACAGCAGCCTGTTTTCTTTTTCACCAGCTTATGCGACATCACGGCGCGATGACGGTAACACTATTGCTCCCTTTTTTTCTTATACCCTTTACCCCCCCCTGGAGCAGCGCGACTGCGACGCCACTCAGTAGTTTGGTTTTGGGAGGACATTTTTGTACAGTTGATGGTTATTTTAATAGCCGGGTCATGACGAGATGCATTCTTCTGACATCCGTTCGTTGGACCCGGAGGAGAAGACCATATACGAATGGAACACGGCGTTGGGTGGACCTGTAACCTTGAATTTAGCGGCTTGGGAATTCTGCGGGAGCGAGATCTAGCCTAGTACTGTTGTTTGCCTGATACTTTTTGACACTCGGGCGAGTCGGGCCGGACCGTCCTCTGTTGATTCGGATACTAGTACCCCGTACTTTTACATAGGCTCTCTGACAGGAACATTCCTGTTCCGTCTGGCGAGTTTAATTTACAAGTACTTGGTACTCTGTTTTTAAAAGAAACAAGCTTCCACATAATTATTACTTGCTAGAAAGTGTTTCCTTTGTCCTTTGGCATGGTGGCCGCGGTTTTCATTCACCCTTGCCCTGTCCCCCCGTTTACTCTTGATGCCGCCGTCGTAGCCATATTCTTCATCTCCGCCAGCAGAGAGGCAACCTCATCCTCCGTGAGCTCATCCGTGACGGTGATGCTGGACCGCAGCCCGCCAAACGTCCTCGCCTTGTTCCACGAACGCTCCTCCGTCAGCGGGCCGATAATCAGCGTAGGGACGTCCTTGAACCGGAGCACAGCGCTTGGGATGCCTTCTACCGGGACGACATGGCGCCCCCCCGCGGCCGGTAGCGCGTCCGTGTCGGCGTCTGCCCAGTCGTGCGCCGCGGCGCGCCACTCGTAAAACTCAAACTGGCCGTGGACGGACTCGAGGTTGTCGGGGGCGGGCGCCTCGCCGCGAATGTACTCGAGCAGGGCGGGCGGGTTCCGCGCACCGCAGGCGGGGGCCAGGCCGCGCTCGGCGAGGGCGTCGCCGAGCAGCGCGTGCAGGTCCGGGTTGGTGACGACGCCGTCGACGAGCAGGCGGAAGCCGCGGCGCTCGCGCGGGCACAGCGCGAGCCAGGGGGCCCACGGCGGGGAGCGTCCACGGCTGCAGCAGGGCGAGTGCGGAGGCGCCACCGCGGTCGGCGGACACGTGCTCGCGGAAGACGCGGTGCGTGATGCGGCGCCCGTCGACCTCTGTGAGCACCTGGTCCTCCTCCGGCAGGTCGTCCGCCTCCGACGCCTCCTTATCGTCTGGTGACGGGGGAGGCAGGTCCGCGAGGCAGGCGTCAGCGAAGCGCCGCGCGGCGACGAGAAACTCGGGGACCTTGCGGGGCAGCACGGCGGCTAGGGGCTCCGCGGGGGCGCCGGTCTCGACGAGGGCGCCGGCGGTGAGGGCGGCGAAGGCGACGCCGTCGGCGTCGTCGACGCGCGCGGCGGCGACGCGGTCGACGAGGATCTGCAGGGCGGCGGCGAGGGAGGAGGGCGAGGCGGAGGACATGCCGGTGTGGACGGCGACGCGGCACCGGTGCACGGCGGCGCCGTCGTAGTCGATGCCGCTGACGGCGCGGGCGAGGTCCCGCGCGGCCTGCTCGAGGGACATGGCGGCCTGGGGGTGGTTTTGTCGGGGCTGCCTACGTCTGAGAAATGGGCCGCCGAGGTGGGCGGGAACTTGGGGCGTGTGTTTTTCGGTTGGATTGATGGGGTTGTTTGTTGTGGTTGACGGCTCGGCAGATGGGCCAGCTTTCTGCCAACGTGTGCTACGTGAAAACGTGTTGGTGACATCCAGCTGAGTAAAGCTGGGCACCTGAGTGGCCGCGGGGTACGGTGTATTTATGCCCAATGGGCTGAGAGTGTCTGACACCTTGGGTATTCATGTGATGAGTTTACAGAAAGCGCCACGGGCATCAATGCATAAGAAAAGATACACGCCGTGCTACAAGTTATCCATTCGCACAGAGATCCTGTATAAGTCGAGACGTCGTCTATTAGTCGCGTCCACTAACAAGCGAAGCTACAGGCAAAACAGGGGGTGTGGGCCAGTCGCCTATTTTAATCACTAGTACGTTGCTATCTGTCACCTTTTGTCTTGACTCGTCTCATCTCCCCTTAACTTGATCTTACTACGTTGCAGTACAGATCGCGATACATGCGAGCGACGATCTGGATCGGACTCGGATTGTCGCGAGATTTCTACGTGGCCTGTGTCAATGATGGCAGCCGGTACCACGCGCTACGAGCCACTCGACATTGATGAGGATGGCGTAAAATATCCTAAGCCGTCGCTACCACGGTCGGTGTTCCTAGCGCCGCGGACGAGGAGCGATTGGATCTTTGTGGCGGCCAATGCGAGCATGTTTCTCATCACAGCGCTCTTCTGGTTGTCCGGACCCAAGAGCGCCCTGTCAGAGCTGGAGTGCGCCAACGTAGCGTCTTCATACTGTGAGTCTGTTCGATACTATCTCCGACTGGCCTCCTTGGCTAATCTGTGCTGCTGGATGAGTAGCGCCGGCGCTTCCCTCGTTGCACTTCTGGGAGGGGAACTTCGATAATGATTTCAAGCACGAGAGCATCTATCGCGGGCCGCCGACAAGGGAACTAGAGAAGGCGTGGGACGACCTATGGCATCGTAGGTCCAGTTCAACTTCTAGTCGGGTCGCAAATGACACTAATCGAGGAAACACCACAGACCAAGGTGTTGGCGTATCGCAGCAGGGATTGGTCGCTATGAACAAGACTCATGGCAACTATCTGCACACCAATAGGAGTACCGCGGCAAACCCAGAATATTACGCGTTGGTAGAGATGTTTCACCAACTGCATTGCCTCGTGAGCTCAACCTCGCCAACTTTTTCAATCATCACGTAAGTTGTTAACAGCCGCCTAGAACATCATACGCCAAGCGACGTGGCCGATGGCCCTATACGACAAGAGTTGGGGGGAGGAGCTCCAGCCGATGAACGTGTCGAATAGCCAGGGCCGCGCGCACGTCGACCACTGCGTCGAGACGTTGCGGCTATCGCTCATGTGCTTCGGCGACGTGACACCGATGCTGCTGCTGACCGAGGACGGGACGCTCAACACCAGCACGGCCGACTTTAACGTGCACCACAAGTGCCGTAGCTACGATCAGATCCGGGACTTTGTGGATGCGTCGGGGGTTGATCCTATCGGCTAGGATGTGTATAGAATAATTTTGTCATGTACTTGTAGGAGATGAGATACCAGTGGCATGCCGGTTGGAAAGTTGGGGTTTTGCGTCTCTGGTTCGACTGGGGAGACAGTATCTTGCCTGGAGAGGGGGGCAGGATTTAGCGGCTGCAACCTTCACCGTGTGCGGAGTACGGATACGTGTTTGCTAATTGACAGCGTTTGGCGCATGTTGGATATATTGAGGAGGAGCGGGATCGACAAGGAGGAACGTAGGGACATGGGCCAACAACATAGACATGCCCGGAGAAATATCCGTTATGGCTGGCCCGGTTCCAGAAACCACCAGTCATTCGTCCATTTCTTACTCGAAGGCGAACCGGGAGCAGCGCAGGGGCGGCCTCGGCTGAGGTCGTCGAGTGTCTCAAGTGGATCTGGCACAAGTCTGGTCAGGGGAGCGACGGTTCTGAAACTCTGTGGAGTGGTCTGGTATCGGAGCTTGGTGATTCTCGGCGGTTAACCAGACGGACGGGTGGGTTGCAAGGGATTGCTGTTCGTTCTGTTGGGACGACCCTGGGAGCACAGAGCATGTTGGACAAGTTGGCTGCTGGTGTAATTCGCGCTGCTTTTGATGTCACCTATTTCCTGCATGAACAATCCGGTTCCCTTGCTGTACGGATAAAATCCTTATCGTTAAACAATTAGCAACTTGCTACCCATGCTTGCCATGAAGGATGAACGGCAAGGGGGTTGTCGTATCCATGGCGTCTGGACTGGCTGGCACTCGTTTGAAACAGCAGCGTCAGAGCCCGGGCCGTGGCAAGGCGGCGGCGGCGGCGGGACAGACGGATGAAGATGAAAAGTGCAGGCTTTTTGGCGCTGGATCTACAGAGTTTGAGAGTCCAAGCGGAGCCGGGTCAGGCTTGTCTTTCTTTGCTTTTTTCACTGTTCGCCTTTTATCCCCGGTTGGTGGTCATGGTCATGGCGACGCGCGTTTCTGTTTGGTCCAAGACACCTTTGGGGGCGGTGCGGAAACGGGTAATCTATGGTTACCTGTCCATCCTGTTCGTACCGCCACGGCCCCCCTATCACGAACTTGCTGACTGTTAACTGTTTTGAAAACGGGGCCGTTTACAGTTGTTCAAGGGTTGGGCACCATGTGTCTGCAGAACGTGGATGGATGAGTAACGACGGCGGAGTGGCCTTTCTGCTTTGTCGTGTTCCCAGCGCGCTCATTCCAGTCCCGATGTTCGTTTCGCGGCGCGACGCCAAGTTCTAAAAAGCCGGGGCCTTTATTAAAGCAAAGGCCAGCCTCGTCAAAAGTTGTCTGGACTGCACAGCCGCCGCAGTCAGGACCCTGGTTTGTCCGCAGCCTTGGTACCGTGACAGGCTGCCGACCCTTCTCTGCCTACTAACATGAATCTCCAACTCTCCTCCTACCTGAAGGCTGAGAGGCGGACCCGAGGACAAGCAGTGGAGGGACCTGCACAGACGCTAACTAATTAGCGGACCGGATGCTTTTGGCAGCTTTGTCGGCTTGCGAGTTCTTGTACAGATTAGACTGAGGCTGAGTGGTTTGAAGCGATGGCAGTGGAGGCTAAAAAGTAAAGGCCAGATGCACCAAAAGTCAAATAGCCTCGGAGGTAATAAATCCTGGGCCAGACGAACGTCCAACCTCCATGTGGCGCGTAGCCACTGTACATAAAGATGTGCCTGAGCCTGCAGGGTTTTAGTGGTCCCAAGCGGCTCCTAGTGGCTGTTTAGCGACTTTTAGTGGCTGCGCCTTCTGTGTGACCCTCCCCAGTCCCCCAAACATCCCCAGAACAGCGCTGCTTCGGCCGTGAAGCAGGCACTCCAGTCGCAAATCATCTCCACCCGAAGCCCCCAAAGCCTCCTCTCAGAGTCCATCAGACCATTCTGTCGCTGCCACATCATCCGTCAGCCACTAAAAGCTGCCCTCGTCCGCTCTGAACTCTGTCTCCTGCTCGAGCCCCCCTCACCCTCAACGCACCAAAGTACGAACTCTACGCCACGCCGCCATCCATCTCGCCTTGTTTTCTGCGCATATTTCTTGTCCGGTCTTTTCTCCTTCCTCGGTTTTACATCGCGACCTCAAAACTCGCGTCACGTACACCTCGAATCCCGCACGAGCTCTTGTTCGCTTGCCAGCCCTTCGTTTTACGCCTCCCTCATCGAATGGTGACGCGCGCTCTCTTGCGGCTCCCGGAAACACTACTTGAATCAGCAATTTATGAAAGACGGCAGAAATAATCTCTGGCTCTCGGACGCTCCTTCTCGTCGATTTCGATATTTCTAGAATTTGCCATCATTTCTCTTGCATGCGCTGCGCTTCCACATAGACAAGATCCGGCGGCACTGTGGTACTCTCCCTTCAGTTGAGCGTACAATTGGCATCACTTCTTTCGCCCGTCAGCCAGCATCATCGTCTCTCTTATTGGCAAATCTTGCCCTATCGGTCGTCGTGTTCGGAATATCGGGACATAACGAAGCCCTTTCCCGTGGTTTGCGACACTGCTGTCTCGGTTTCTGCTGCCTGGCTGGGACTTTGGTTGAATAACTTCCACCATGATTGAGGACAAGTGCGTTACTGCGTCCTTCTTGCGACCCGGGTCTTCGACTAACGTGTACCTTTCTAGATACATCGGCCTCTCTTTGGCCATTTCATCTGCCCTGGCGATTGGTATGCTTGTCTCGATCCACGAATCGTAACCGCGGCTAACCCTCTCTATCCAGGCACGAGCTTTGTCATCACCAAAAAGGTGCGTCCGAGCGACACCACCATTCGATTCTCTCCCACGCTCGTTTCAGCGACTAATACATGGATTAGGGCTTGATGCAAGCCGAGGAAAGACACGGTTTTGAAGGCGATGGCTACGTCTACCTGCGCAATCCCCTCTGGTGGGCTGGTATCGCAACTCGTCAGTCCCAGCCTCCTTCTTGAAGCCTTTCAAATTAAACAACTAACCCTTCCAACAGTTGGAATCGGAGAAATCTGCAATTTCGCTGCCTACGCCTTTGCGCCAGCTATTCTTGTCACCCCTCTCGGCGCTCTCTCCGTTCTCATCGGCGCAGTCCTCGGCTCATATTTCCTCAAAGAAGAACTCGGTATACTGGGCAAGCTGGGAAGTGCCATTTGCCTGATTGGCGCTGTAGTCATTGTCCTTCATGCGCCGCCTGATGAAGAGATTGAGACTATCGATCAGATTCTCCACTACGCTGTGCAACCTGGTATGCTATCCGCTGCATGCACCCGAAACCTCGAACCGCTCTAACACCTTCTGTCAGGCTTCCTTCTCTACGCCGTCGCCGTCGTCGCATTCGCCGTCTTCATGATCTACCGAGTTGCGCCCTTCTATGGCAAGAAGAATGCGCTCATCTATCTCTCCATCTGCTCGACCGTCGGCTCCATCTCCGTCATGTCCGCCAAGGCTTTTGGCATTGCCCTCAAGCTGACTTTCGCGGGCAATAACCAATTTAGCCACCCTTCGACCTATGTCTTTATGATTTTGACTGCACTTTGCATTGTCACCCAGATGAACTACTTTAACAAGGCCCTTGCTTGTTTCCCTAGCAATATGTGAGTACTCTTTCCATTCGGCCGGTTTTGCATGTCATCTAACGCATCGCTTCAGCGTCAATCCTCTTTACTATGTCACTTTTACGACGGCCACTCTTTGCGCCTCCTTCATCCTTTTCAGTGGATTCAACACTACCGACCCCGTCAACACTGTCTCGCTGCTCTGCGGTTTCCTCGTCATCTTTACCGGGGTATACCTTCTCAATCTCTCCAGAGGCGACCCCAGCGGCCAGAAGCTCGCCGGTACGCACAACGGCTACGACGCCACTCCCACCGACATGGTTTCCAGCTTCCAGACTCGTCGCAGTATGCAAGCTCGTCGCAGTGGAGATCCTTCGCGCCACAGCATTGGCAGCGCGCATGGCGATCGGGAGGGCCTAATTCGTGCATACGACGAGGAAGAGGCTGCCGGTTTCGGTTTGACCGATCTAGCCGAGGAGAGCGACGATGAGGGTAGCCATCGGCCCAACGGACGCGCCAACGGACGCGTCAACGGACGAGCCAGTAGAAGCAAAGAGGAAGACACCATCGAGCTTCAAAGCCGAAAGTCCTCTGGGCGGTAGAACCAGGGCCAGACCGAGCATTCCACGATTAAGATGACACGAATTTCTTTTTAGTAGCGGACTCAGTTTGGTTCTGCCTTTGATGCCTAAGTCCACAGGTATCTACCCCCGGCGTTTGCGATTGGCTCGTCTCATTGTTCTGCCGATGAGAAAGAGATAAATTCTCACAGCATTATTATGATGGCGCGGATACGACCTGATCTAAACCTTTTCTGCGCTTGATTATGGTTGGGATTGTGCACGTCAACAGTACGAGAAATGGGAGTGATAGGGCAAGGAAACTGGTTTCAAGGCGTTTTTGATATATGTCGTTTTCTTTCACAATGCGTCACTGCGAGGGTCGGGTGGGAGGCTTTTTGCTTTCGCAATGAAGGCTTTTCAAAAGCCCCCATCTGCATGTACGATATTTTTACATTTTTCTGTTTCACCTACATGCATGAAGGACGGAGAGTAGAGTGCTGGCGCGGCAAGAGAGCGTCGAGCACGGAAAAGCAGCCTCGATGGCATTTTTGTTGATATGTACGGGAATGAAGCCTGCAGGACCATCTGGCGACTTTTGCAGTGTAGATAGACGGGTAATCACAGGCAATATTATGGACATTTGCATGTTAGATCGGCACATCGACTGGCAGAAGTAAGCGGTAGCTGGATGAATCTCCCACTACGAGAATACATTGCATCCAGTCTTTGCTTTGGCGAGGCTCCGAGCAGGCGCCCAGAGCTTGAACGATTACGTATCACGAAGCCAGGCCAGCAGTGTAGATTCATGGGGTCTCATTTCCTCTCTATGGTTTCTTCTACCAATACATAACAGATGAAACCGGGCAAGATGCAAATGCTTCTTTTAAAAAGGTTGACGCCCGTGCGACTCGCCATCTTTTTTTTGTCATCCACTGACTGCAGCCCAAACATCTTTGACATGTTTAGCCTTGCACCACTCCCTCTCTCAAGAAACGTGAAAATAAGAAAACCCGTGAGAACAGTCATTAACGAAAGCAGGGCGAAGCCATCACCGCTCGACCTGTGATAATTTATTGAGCAGCAGTCTCGGCCTCGGCCTCCTCGGCGACGCGGGCATCCTGGCTGCTGGTGGCGGCGGCGGCAGCGGCAGCGGCCTTGGCGCCGTAGTCCTGGCTCATGGGCTGGAGGACGGGCTGCTCCTCCTTGGGGTCGATGATGGTGACGGCGTCGGGGAGGGTCTTCTGGGGGCCGGCCTTGCCCTCGGGGTCGGAGCCGCGCATGATCTTGACCTTGATGCCCAGGACACCCTGGCGGAGGAGGACGTGGCGGGTGGCGGTGTCGATGAAGTCGTTCTTGGGCTGGCCGGAGTGGATCATGAAGCCGTCGGTGAACTTCATGGACTTGGCGCGGGCGGCGCGCAGCTTGCCGGAGACGACGACCTCGCAGCCCTTGGCGTCGGACTCCATGATGAAGCGGAGGACACCGTAGCAGGCACGGCGGACGGCCAGGCCGTTGAGCAGCTTGTAGCGCAACGACTCGCACTGGGCGACGGCGGACAGGCCGCGGTTCTGCACCTTGGCTGCGTACAGCGAGACGGAGTTCTCGGGGAACTTGAAGCGCTTCTGGATGAGCGAGGTGAGCTCGCGGATGCGGCGGCCCTGCTCGCCGAGAACCTCCTGCGTCTGGGTGGCGCGGATGATGATGTCGGTGACGGTGGGAGTCACGCGGACCTCGACGCCAGAGTAACCCTCCTCAGCGAGCTCGCGCTGGAAGAACTCGTTGAGCTCGGCGTAGAAGACACCGTCAGCGACGAACTTTCTCCTCTTGGAGCTGTGCAAGAAATACAAGGTTAGCATAGGTTACTAATTTAAGTCGCGCCTCGGTCGTGGCCAGAAAGTTTTCCATCGTCGCCTCTCGGAATTGCGTCGTTCGGTTGCGGTGCGTGTACTTCGGGTTGCGTCCATTCTTGCAGGTCGTCGTAGAATCATGCAACACTTTCACACATCTGAAGAGTCCATTTTGCTTCCTTCATTGAACCAGGAGGGCCGGTACTCCCGCGCAGTATATCCATCCCAACGGCGCAACGGCAGCGATTTCCAATTCGATGAGAGACAACGACGGTCGAGAGTCTGGCGCAGGACACACAAATCAAGGCATGGAGATAATACTCACATCTGAGCACCAGGGTGAGCCATGTTGGATTGATTGGAGAGTTGATTCGGTATTATCGACTCAAGAGAAATGGGCGGCGGATAGGACGAAGAGGACGAGAGGGTGGGATCGCGAATTCAGAGCAGGCCTCTCTTTGGTGGTCTCCGCCGCGGTGGTGCTTTCGCCTGTTCGTCCCGCACTATCACAACGAATTATTTTTTTGGTGTGGGTTGAGCCCTAATCTCTGGCGCGCCCACCTCTTTGGCTGCCGCCAGCATGCATTTTGGTGGGGGCACCCAGGGAGTGGTGAAGGATTATTATTTCGCCGATAACCCGTGCTCCAAACAGGGATAGTGGGGCTTGAGGCTTGACAGGTTGCAGATTTGCGCCTTGCCTGATTAACGTGCCGTCTGTCTGTCCCAATAATAAATGACGGTTATGAGATGAGCTAGCTGCAAATACAGCTGGCGATTTCGTACAAGGATGCAAATTGCCGTAGATAAGCAGACTTAACTTTAATCTTGCAAGATGTAAGGTTCAAGTGCATGACTAGTAAAGGTATTCATTCACCTACTACCTAGATAGGTACTTCCCTCATCACCTGCTGCTGGCACCATGGCTCGCAGTTGCTGCGCCTGACGTACCCTTTGCCCCGCCTTGGCTCATGAAGCTCCCCAGCCTGCGCTTGTCATTCTCCAAGCCAGCATCGTCAAGCCCCATGCAGCTCGCCATATAACTAGCCCGTCCCTTCGTCACTGCACCGCGGACGCTCAACACCACGTCTGCGGCGGCTGGAGCTGTTTCAACAAACATACAGGTACTCTACCTGCGTCTCGTTCGTGGCACCCACAGAGCGCTTGCGACAGGTGTTCCAGCAACATCTCCAGCTATACCCCTCTCGGTACGCTCGGCACCAGCTTCACTGCAGCATACCTCACAGCCAGCCTATTCTCAAGATCAGTACGCCGTCTTCCAGGCATCGGCGGCTCCTTTCTCTTTATGCGACTGTCTCTCTGAGAGCGGCAGCGACTTCCTAGCAGCGCGTGTCCGGCGGATAGGGCTGCAGCGCCAGGCATCTTGACCAGCATGGAAGCCAAGAAGGTCAGCTTACCTTGCGAAGGGCTATACTACCGACCTCTAACCGTTACAGGTCATCGAGAACGTCCAGGGCATCAACGGTGGACAGGCAGCGAATGGTACTCTTCGCCTAACAGATTATCACTTCGTGTTTTGCGCGCCCGTCGGCCCTCCAGCCGATACGTCCGCAGCGCCGCCGAAGACACGGGAGCGATGGCTCACGTATCCGACCTTTAGCCACTGCACCTTTCGACCGACTCCCCCGGGTTCTATACAAGCCGCCTCTATCCGAATCCGCTGCCGAGACTTTACGTTTGTCACCTTCAACTTTGCCAACAACGAGGTGGCCAAGGAGGTCTTTGAGTTCATCAAAGCCCGTACTTGCAGGCTCGGCACCGTGGAAAGGCTCTTTGCCTTCTCACACAAGCCTCTCAAGAACGAGCGCGAGGTCAACGGCTGGCATATTTACGACCCTAAGGCTGAGTTTAGACGGCAGGGCATCAGCGAGAAGCTGCCCGACAAGGGTTGGAGAATCACCCACATCAACAAGGACTACACTTTCTGCGACACGTACCCGGCAGTCCTAGTCGTTCCCTCCAAGATATCGGATAATGTCCTGAAATATGCCAAAGACTTTCGTTCCAGATGCCGTATACCCACTCTATCTTATATCCACCCCATCAACAACTGCACTATCACGCGGAGCTCCCAGCCTTTGTCTGGTATTACACGAAAGACAAACGTGCAGGATGAAAAGCTAGTTGCCGCTTCCTTCTCAGTCTCTGTGTCAGCCAGTTCAGAAAGCACCACACCCATGTCTAGTCAGCTTGATGTTTCAAGTGCAGGCTCTAGCAACGCTGCAGAGCTGAGTGACTCGGGCAACTTTGAGCCTGAAATAATTGCGCCACCTGTGGCCATGTACGATGAAAAGACTGGGAAAAGGCTTGTCTATGGTGCTCAGCAGAGCAACCTCATTGTCGATGCTCGACCGACCATCAATGCCGTCTTAAACCAGGTCCAGGGTATGGGTTCCGAGAACATGGACAAGTACAAGTTTGCGACCAAGATATTCCTCAACATTGCAAACATCCATGTTATGCGCAGCTCCCTCAACAAGGTAGTTGAGGCGCTCAAGGATGCCGATATTTCTCCTTTGCCTCCAAGCAGGGAACTCCTACACCAAAGTAGTTGGCTCAAGCACATAGGTGACGTCCTCAAGGGCTCCGACGTCATCGCCGAACAGGTTGGTATCAGACACTCGCACGTCTTGATTCATTGCTCCGATGGCTGGGATCGTACAAGTCAGTTGAGCGCACTTTCTCAAATCATGCTCGATCCATACTACAGAACGATCGAAGGCTTTGTGGTACTGGTCGAAAAGGATTGGTTGTCCTTTGGTCACATGTTTAGGTTGCGCTCAGGGCATCTCAACCACGATGACTGGTTCCTGGTGCAACGTGACGCCTTTGCCGGCACCAGGGTGAACCCAGGCGAGAACGATGGCCGCAACGACGCCTTCCAAAACGTCATTAGTGGTGCAAAACGTTTCTTCAATCAAAGCAAGGAAGAGGATGAGCCAGATGTAGCGAGTGAGGCGGCATCTGGAAAAGTGGTTGACGAGGAGGCCACCACTCCCAAAATGGTCAGCCCAGTTTTTCACCAGTTCCTGGACTGCACCTATCAGCTCATTCGCCAGCACAAGAACCGATTCGAGTACAATGAGAGATTCTTACGACGTTTGCTCTACCACCTATATTCTTGCCAGTACGGCACCTTTCTTTACAACTCAGAGAAGCAGCGAGTCGACGCCAAGGTAATGGAGCGAACGTCATCCGTTTGGGACTATTTCTTGTGCCGAAAACAAGAGTTTACGAATCCCGACTACGATCCTACTGTCGACGACCGCCTCGAGGGCAAGGAACGCATTATTCGTCTTCGGCCGCAAGACATTCGCTGGTGGTACCAAGCTTTTGGCCGGACCGACGATGAGATGAATGCTACTCTTGACGCCACTGCGCTCAGCGAGAACGAGAGACGTGTAGCCGTCTCACGGCTCCATAATTCAGAAATTGCGTCGCCGAGCCCAAAGTCACCGAGTCTCGGAACGAGCAAATCAGTCTTGACAGGAGTGGACATCTCTCAGGACCTTACGCCGGCGAATCAGTCTCTCAGACGTAGCGTATCGGCCGAAGATGTTGTCACGAACCCGAGCCTCGGCGCAGGCGCCTTTGCAGCACTACGGGATGGCATCGCCAACATCAACATTGGCAAAGGTGTCTTTGCAAACACGTCAACAGAAGCAGCCGGCCAGGCTGGTGCCAATCCCAAGCCAGACCAAGAAATGCAGGAGATGACGTAGGAGGTCATGTTTCCAACTGACCACCACCCGCCCTATGCGATTATAAATACAGAGAATACTCAACACTACGTCCACTCGCCATTCCGCACGCCCTCTATACAATCTCTCTCCACTTCGGCTTCGAGTGCCGACTATGCCATAAGCAACAGCATTTGGGAGCTTGTACAATTGCGCGAAGTGACCCAACCGCCGCTAGCACATGTCACGCCATACCCCCAGCGGTCCAAGTCGATCACAGGCCTCCTGCGGCCGTCGGCCATGGAGATGGGGCCGTCAAGGGCTGCACAGGCGGCACAGGCGGCACAGCCTGATGCCGCCGATGCTGCCGTCGACGGGGCGGAGGGCGCCGCGGAACAAGATGGGGTAGAAGAGCCATGCCAACGGCCACGCTCGGCGCTGGGGTTCGCGCAGTATACGGGGCAGAACATGTGGTGACGAGGACGCAAACACGTTTAGACATTACAGTTAGACTATGAAACAGCGATGCGATGGGTTATGGATTTTATCTTTAAAAGAAGAGGTGTCTTTGGGCTGGGAAAGATGCATGGGTGGACGGGAGTAGACTTGGCACGGCGTACAGGCAACATAGTAATTCATCCAGCATGACCTTTTTTACATGCTAATGCTTGATTTGGGGTGAATATGCCGTTCGATGTCGACACAGTTATGTTTTTAACCTTTTTTTGTTTGCTTTGGCTTTGGCTATTCTAAATGCGCTGGACATCTTTTCCTCTTCCTAGTTCCAAATGCTTGAAATGGGCGTTTTACCAATTGTTCCTTTATTTTCTTTTAAGTCGTGAGAAATTCTTTCATCTTCGTGACTATAGGAAAGCCTCTAGGTTTATCTCCAGAGTACTAACAGCATATCTGAGTAGTAAAGCGGTGTTAGTGCATGATCATTCAGCGAAAGAGAACGGAGCGTACCTCAGGTCAAACTTTTCCAAGACGGTCGGGTGTAGGATGCCAAACTCGCCGATGCGAACCTCCTTGCCGGCGAGGCGCAGGTGGACAGCGGCGGCGTGACCGGGGAAGAAGGTCTCCTCGTTGAGCTCCTCAATCCAGTAACCGTCAGGCTTTCCGGGGGTGTCCGTGCCCTCGGTCAGGAAGGCGGTGCGGAGCATGAGGAGGACGCGGTCGAGGAGGCCGTGGACAGCCTCGAAGCCCGAGGTCTTGCCGCACCAGGCGGCGGCGAAGTGGCGCTCGTTCCGGGCCTTGCGCTCCTCGCGCTCATCCTTGAAGACGACGTCGGCGACCTCGAAGATGCGCATGGGCACGCTGTGGCCCTTGTTCTCCTTGATGGTCTTGAGGAGGCCGGGCAGCAGCGACGAGCGAGCGACCTGGTACTCAAGCGTCTTGGGGTTGGCAAGGCGCACGACGGTGTTGCCGTCATCTTTGCGGTTCAGCCAAGCAAAGTTCTCGTCGTGGCTGCACAGGATTAGGGGCATGACCTCGGACCAGCCGGCCATGGCGGCCTCCATGCGCACGAGATCGCCGAGCTTGTTGATGGGTAGGGGGCCGCCGACAGTGGCACTGCGGTTAGGCTTAGTGCGGGGTAGGTTGTTGTAGCCGTAGCAGACGGCGAGATCCTCCATGATGTCGCACTGGTGTAGGATATCGGCGCGCGTAGGGGGAATGGCAACTTCCAGAAGGTTGGCGTTGGTGCCGGAGGGCTTGGATACATACGCCATCTTTGTGAGGAGATCGCAGAGCTCCTGAGGGGTCTTGTCAAGGCCGGTGCAGCTGTTAAGGTAGTCGACTTCGGCGGTAGTTTCGCGCGGTCGGAGGGACGGCGCAACACGGGTAAGGTTGTTGTGGTCGGAGACAATCTTGACGGGCTCCACGGTAAAGGGCTCGGCGCAGTACATGGAGAACATGGTGACGAGCATGTTGGTGACGATTCCAAGCTTAGTCAAATCGGTGGCCGTGATCTCGATGAAGACGTTTGTGGTGTCGAGGGTGATCTTGGAGTGCTCGCCGTTGATAATCGGCGGCAGGGAGCAGACAACGCGGTTGGCGTCGTAAATGACGGGGTATACGGGCGCATCGCGGATAATGTGCAGGAAGCGTCCCAGGTGTTTATCGTTTTCGTAATAGGCCATGAGCTCCTCGGCGTTCATCTCCTTGGTCTGGTTGAGGGGCTTGAACTTGATGTCCTTAGGCGGCAGAGCCTCGTATGTGAAGGGACCCTTGACAGTGTCGAGGTCGTGGGTACCCATGGAAACAAGGGTTCGGTTGCGAGCCAGGTTCTGGTGCAGCTTGTCCTGCAGTCCGATGAAGGAGTCGTAGCGGTCCTGGGTGAACTTGATGTTGCGGAGGACGGCGCCGGCGACGTAGGGGCGGACCTTGAGGGTTTCGGGGTGCACGGTGATGACCTGCTGGTCGGCGTCCTTGGGTTCGACGATGCGGAAGTTGGGAGGCTGGGTTCGGCCGAGGAAGATGTTCAGGTTTAGGGCGATGCCTTCGAAGCAGAGCATGTCGTATCGGTTGGCGGGGATCTCAATCTTCAGCTGCGGCGGCTCCTGCTTGCCGTCGACTACAGGCCGCTCATCGTCCTCGGTGTCCTCGTCAAGTTCGATGCCATAGTCGAAGCAGAGATCCTCGAACTCTTCGCGGGTGTACCTGGAAAGCGGAAAACACGGTCGTGTTAGCTCGGTATGGTGGGGTGGTAAAGCCGGCGAGGGGCAGATGGGAAGCAGGCATACTTGCGACCGAGAGCCTCGAAGAGCTTGTACTTGTCTACGGAGATGGTCGGCATGGTGAGAGCGAGTCCTCAATGCCTCTCCGAAGTGGTAGATGGTCGTTGCTGGGGTTGTGCAAGCAGCGAGCGCAGGCAGTAAAAAAGTCGGGATAGTTAACTGTAGCCCGGTGAGGACAAGCGATTGAGTCACAGGAAATTTGCGTGGCAAGTTGGAGGGGTGTGGTTGAATCTGGCGGGTAGATCCACAGGAACCTTGACTTGGCGAGGATCAAGGTGCTCAATGCAAGTACCTCGCTAACGGGCCGTCTGGCAGCGAGGGGATGGCGGGGTGGAAGACGGAATATAGATGCTCCAGCCGCAGGTATGTACTGTAACATACAAGGTTGGTTACAGGCACAGACTTTCAGGTGCCTGTTTGAAGCTTGGGCACTGACTGGCTGCCCCACCAGCAATTACAGCGCCTTAGGGGTGTTATTACTGAAAAGATGAGGCCCATGGCCATTTTATTAGCAGCTAAAAGCCACCTCCAGCCACTGTGACAGCCACTGCATTGGCCTTGACACCCCTCAACCAGCAGCAGCTCAACCAGCAACAAGCAACAGCAACAGCAACTCGCCCTTGTTGCTCCGCTCGTGCTCTCTCGCGGGCAGCAAAGCTAACTAGTTCAACCAAGGCCTGGCAAACAACATTGCACTTGATCTGGTATCTGTCTCAACTTGTGGCTTGCTCCGTCATCAAGCTCCTGCATTCTTTTTCTGTTCATCTCGTAAGGCCATCTCTCGTCGCGTGCCCCTCCCTTTTTCGCCTCTGCCCGTTGCCGCCGCCGCTCTGCGCTGCACCACCAATTGCATCACCTACGCACGCGCGATCCACCGCCCGCCTTCTCCTCCACCGCACATCAGCAGCCGCAAGTCCAACCGTCAACACCCTCACGACGACCCAGCATCCTCCCTCCAGCTTGAGCGACGCGCCGCCTCCATCATATTTCGCCATGGCTGACGCGTCGAACCCAAACGATGAGCTTTACCCCATCGCCGTCCTCATCGACGAGCTCAAGGTACGGCTGCCACCCGCTCCTAATTTTAACCTGCCCCCGTCCTCGCGACCCCTCTGTTGACCCCAGGCCCAGCATGACGACGTTCTCCTCCGCCTCAATGCCATCCACCGTCTCTCCACCATCGCCCTAGCTCTTGGTCCCGAGCGCACTCGCGACGAGTTGATTCCTTTTCTTGACGGTTAGATCGCCCGCGCCCGCGCCCGCGCCCGCGCCATCTTCGCAGCTCCCTTCTAACCCCGGCTCAAACTCTAACATTTGCATCTCAGAATCGGTCGAGGATGAGGACGAAGTGCTGGTCGCTCTAAGTGAGGAGCTCGGTACCTTCACCGAGTACGTCGGTGGTCCCCAGTGGGCTCACGTCATTCTCTCCCCCTTGGAGAACCTCGCCGCCATCGAAGAACCCGTCGTCCGCGACAAGGTACGACCGCCGAAGACCGGCATCAGCAACGCGCCGTTTCACTAGCATACTGATCCAATAACAGGCCGTCGAGTCTCTCAACAAGATCTGCGAAGGTCTCAACCCCCAGCAAGTCGAAGAATACTTTATTCCCCTCACCATCCGTCTCGCCAAGGCCGACTGGTTCACATCCAAGGTCTCGGGCTGCGGTCTCTTCACAGCCCCTTACAAAAAGGTTTCGCCTCCGGTTCAGGAGCAGCTTCGCAACCAATTTGGCCTGCTAGTACACGATGAAACTCCTATGGTCCGTCGCCAAGCCGCGACCAACATGGCAAAGTTTGTCAGGGAGATGCCCGCCTCCATCGTCGTCGATGATATGATACCCCTCTTCCAGCATCTCGTCCAGGACGATCAGGACAGTGTCAGACTGTTGACGGTCGAAATTCTCATCGCTATTGCCGAAGTTGTTCCCGCTAACAAACAGTCAAGCCATGGCGTCCTGCTCACATCGCTGCGCAATCTGATAGAGGACAAGAGCTGGCGCGTGAGATATATGATCGCGGACAGGTTTGAAAAGGTCAAGTTCCTGTGGGATGGGATGCTAGAAACCCCAGACAGCATACTAACACGCACAATAGATTGCCAAGGCAGTCGACGAAGAAGTCGTTTCGCGCGATTTGGTTCCAGCTTTCGTCAAGCTATTGAAGGATAACGAGGCCGAGGTCCGCACTGCGATCGCTGGGCAGATTCCTGGATTCTGTGGTCTTGTTGACCACGACGTCCTCCTCAAAGATATTATGCCAAGCGTTGAGGACCTCGTTTCCGACAGCTCACAGCACGTGCGCGCTGCTCTTGGTACTCAAATCAGCGGCCTGGCCCCCATCCTGGGCAAACAAGAGTGAGTCATTTGATCCGGTATACAGTTCCTTGCTGATGGTTGATAGAACTATCGATCACTTGTTGCCCATGTTTCTTCTCATGCTCAAGGATGAGTTTCCTGAGGTCAGACTCCACATCATCTCCAAGTTGGAGCAGGTCAATCAAGGTACGTATCGACCTACATGGCTAGGCCAGGCAGGACTAATCGCCCTTAGTTATTGGCATCGACCTGCTTTCACAGTCTCTGCTCCCTGCTATTGTGCAGCTTGCCGAGGATAAGCAATGGAGAGTCCGCCTGGCTATCATCGAATACATTCCTCTTCTCGCCGACCAATTGGGCGTCAACTTCTTCAACGAGAAGCTCAGCAGTCTCTGCATGGACTGGCTCGGTGACACGGTCTTCTCTATCCGCGAAGCCGCAACACATAACCTGAAGAAACTCACTGAAGTATTCGGCGTCGAGTGGGCCAACGAGGCCATCATTCCCAAGGTTGTGGAGATGGGCCAGCACAGCAACTACCTGTACAGAATGACGACATGCTTTGCCATTTCGGTAAGTAATTTCGTTCCAGTTCCAGCTCAATACTAACATGGTATAGACTCTTGCTAGCGTTGTGAGCATCGATGTTATTGACAAGTCTATCCTGCCTATTCTCGATAACATGGTGGCGGATGACATTCCCAACATCCGCTTCAACGTGGCCAAGACATACTCTGTTATTATTGGAGTGCTGCGCCGCCTACCGGAAAAGGGCACCATCTATTCTCTGGAGAAGGAGGGTGGTGACGCGGAGCCATCCCCTCGGGGGCAGGCACTAATTCAGGAGCGAGTGCTGCCTAACCTGGCCAAGCTGCAAAAGGACGACGACGTGGATGTGCGGTACTTTGCGACGACGGCGGCCAACGAGGCGACAGCTTCGGGTGGCGAGCCTATGAATACATCACCTTAGAGAGTTAATGAGCAAAAAAAAACCATGTTGATTTTTCAAACCAAAATTTGAGTACCGAGAGCAATGATAGCCAAGCTACTAGGTGCTAGTTAAACTGACGAGGTGTATAGAATAGATGATCTTATAGTTTTTCAACTCGATGCTATTGAAGTGTATGCTATGTGTTGTATTCGTGTATATACATGACCAGCTTGCTATCTGGAGGATGACGCTTGGGACGAGACTTTACGGAAGCAGAGAGTGCTTATAGTTTGGCCTGAGACGCCGCCAAAGCTGAACGACCGGTACTTGACCCGGCCGGCCTCCTCGAACACGGCACCGTCCACACCCTCGCCGCCCACGAACCACCCGCGCAGCTCGTCCTCCGTCCAGTTGCAGCTGGTGATCAGGAAGAGCCCGCCGACCGGCAGCAGCGGCAGGACGCGCGCCCTGTAGCCCTCGCATGCGCGGCGGTCGCGGTCGTCGGTGGCGTCGCTGAGGGATATCGCGTCGAACGTGCCCTTGTCAAGCACGACGTCGAACGTGTTCGGCGCGGGGAGGAGGGAGGACAGGGGCGGGCCGTGGAGGAGGTCGCACTCGACGAAGCGGATGGCGAAGGAGGAGGGTGGTTCTTGGGTGGAGGCGGCGGCGGCGATCTGGGAGGCGAGGCGGATGGAGTGCGCGCTGTAGTCGACGCCGGCGAGGGGACCGAGCCAGCCGCGCGCGCGCAGGGCGAAGAGGATGGAGCCGTTGCCGCACCCGAGGTCGACAATGGAGGCAGATTCCTTACACAGGCTGGTAGCTGTGACTGTCTGCGGCGAGGAGGAAGATTCGGGGTCGGAGGAGGAGGAGGCTTCGGAGCCAGAGTCGGGGATGTTGCCGGCGAGACGGTCGAGAAAGGCGAGCATCTTGCTCTCGGCGTCGGAGTCGTCGAACCAGACGGTGCCGATGTCGTCGGGGTTTGCGGCGTGGTTGGCTATTTCGGTCGTGTAGAGCTTGTCCCAGCTATCGAAATGAAGTAAAAAAAAAAAAAGGTCAGCCGAGCGCAAGTTCTTAGGAGGTTCAGGAGGCACAAGAAGGATGTCGCGATGCGCAGTGGGCGTACGTACTACTCGCGGGTGCCGAGCTCAGAAGGGTCGAGGTGCTTGGGCTTCTCCGCCATCATATATAGAGGTGATTGGGAAAAAAAATACAAATAGATTTATGAAACTAGAAGCAAATAAACGTCAAATCATGGGCAGTATGCTGCTGATTCTTCTGTGGTGTCTACAAATGTCGTCGATTTTGCCGGTCCCTGTTAGTGGGGGATGGCACTTTTTTCCGTGTTAGAGGGGTTCTGAGTACCGTTCCGGCAGGCGGTGAGACCTCTCGACCGGGTCCCCCGCCATTTGTTGTCCTTTAAACTTGACATTTACACATTAATCCGTGGTCACTTTATTTGATTTCAATTGAATAAGTTTCTGTTTATTTGAATGACGTTCCACACCGGCTTCGGCCTCCATGTCTAGGAGAGACGCTTCAGGTAAAAGTAGTAGGTGCCAAACGAGTTCATCTTCTTCGAGTCCATGGCGCCGGCTACCAGGTCCTCGTTCACGTAGCGAAAGTAGTCGATGATGGGAAAATCGTCGTAGAGCATGGCCACAGTGTTGTCCTCGCCAAACTTCATCTCGCGGAGCTGCAAATCCCAATCAACACGTCAGCCTCTCTCCCTCTCATGACCGTCACGGATTCACTTACACGGGAGTGGCCCCAGTCCGCGTTCCAGCGGCGCTTGCCGTCGGCGTCGTAGACGACGATGGGGTCGACGTCCTCGGCGCTGCGGAACGTCTTGCCGGCCCAGTTGAGCTCGACCATCTTCTGGCGCGTCGGGTGGCCGGTCGGCAGGTCGGCGCCCTGCCACTCGCCGGCGCCCCGCGTCATGAAGGACGCGGTGACGGGGGGCAACGCGGCGAAGGCGGCGGTGGCGGCCTCCGGCGTGACGGCGTCTTGCTTGGTGAGCGCGATCCAGGCGTCGGCGGCGCTGAAGGGACGATAGTGTTAGCTTTCATGGCTGGGGTTTGGGAGGACGGCGTGACGTACGGAGACATCTTGCAGGTCGGTGGGGAGGAGACGAAGTTTATTGGGCCTTGTGTACAGAATAGCTGGTGGTGAAAGATTGTCTCGGGTTTCCAACAGGCAGCAACAGCGGTTTATATACTTGCCCATCCAACTCTGATTATCACCCTACCTCAGGGAACGTTGCGTTGCATCATCGTCAACCGTGGCTTATGGCAGCGGCTCTACACTAGCAAAAGAAATTAGGCTCTTTGTCATTCTCTAGCGGTGGTAGAAGGGCTCTCCTCCGGGCTTTTACCCGTGGTAATGGGGAAAGTCATGGGAATCTCGTCTAGGCGAGCTTTGTTGTCACTAGCGACGTTGTACTCGGCCCTCACCGACACACCGTTCATTCGCGGAATTTCTGGCATCTTTGGTGCTGACCAAGACTCCACCCGAGACTTTGGTATCTGTATTGGCGAAAAGTTGCACATTTTCCTTGTGCCGGCATCGATCTAGAGCTATTTGTGGAATGGAAAGGTTCGCAACTCGGGCAGGTTGGTAGTCGGAGGAACTTGCCGGTGTCTTATAGTCCCGCGGAACGCCAAGATTCGGATACACGATGCCGAGAGGTGGCGGGTTGTATTGCTCGACAATCTTCGAGTTGATTCTTTCCATCTTGAAGGAGGGCCTGCAAGCGTGATCATAGCCCCGGCACTGTGAGAGTTAGGGGCTGCAGGTAGGTGGTTGGAGTTGGGGAATGAATGTAGCTCGTGGTGGTCAAAGTAGTAATACACGAGGAGCAATTAGCATTACACGAAGAGGAGCCATTCAAGTGGATAATCGTCTCTGTCATCATATATATACAGCCAGCCGTTTCAACACGGTCGACAATCTAATATTCTAGAGCAATATCAGGAGGGGCGCTCTAGGCCCATCCGTGTCATGAAAGCCATGCCATTTTTGCACAGACGAGAGTCCGTGTACAGAAAACCAAAAGGAAAATAAACCGGTAAAGTAGTATATCCCAACACCAAGCCCCGTGAGCAACAGGAACAACAAAAAGAAGTATGTAAAAGCCCAAGTTCTCAATCAACCCAGATAAAATCAAGTTTCGCCAGTTATGATTTTAAAATGCACAAGGTAACAGTGAAAATAAAGTAAAACACAAGCGTCGGAAAGACCTCTCCTTTTTTAGTAGAAGCTTTCGACCATGGTATCCTTCATGCTGGTGTTGATGTTGGCAGGCCCGTTGCCGTCGCCGAGGCGGAAGACGCTCTCGATGACCGAAAGCTCGGTAGCTGTGGTGTCAAGGCCGGTGACGGCGAGCCAGTCATTGACGACCATGCCCGCGCCGACGACGTTGCTGCCGCGGTTGACCGAGCCGGCCACGAGCGGCACCTGCAGCAGGCTGGACAGCTCGTCCTGGTCCTGAATGCTCGTCTTGGGGTGCACCAGGCCGCCGCGGTTGGACAGGCTCATGTAGGAGCCGACGAGCACGTTGTCGGCGACGGTCTGGCGGAAGACCTCGACGCCGAGGACGTCGGCGATGACCTCCTCGGTCTCGCGCTCAATGTCCGGGTGGACGAGCGCGATGTGGTCGTTGGCGGCGACGACGTTGCCGAGCGCCGAGAGGCGCTCCTCGACGCGGCGCACGCGCACGCCATCGGGCAGCGAGTTGCGCAGGTGCTGCAGCTCCTGGTCGGACGTGGTCGAGGGCACGAGCAGGCCCTTGCGGTTGCCGGCGGTGAGGCGCCCGATGATGCGCGTGCCAGCAATGGTGGTGCGCACGATGGGGATGATGTCTTGGAGCTCGGCCTCGAAGACGCTGTAGAAGTTTTCGCTGGCGCCCTGGGCGACGAGGGCGTACGAGTTAGTGAGCGTGGCGAAGACGCCGACCCTGGGGAAGCAAGGCAGTTAGCTGGCAGGTTCTGGAAGAGGAAAGCTAGACGGTGTGCTCAAGCAGTGCCCGTTCGACGCGCGTGGTTCCAGAGGCCACAAAATGCCCCAAGAGACATGATGTCTCGGCGCTCACGCAGAGAGGGATTTGCAAGTTTGCTGCTGCAAGTCGGGCGCGAGGCGGGGTCTTGTGATGGCGGGGAACCAGAAGCGGCCTGACAGAGGAGCAAGGGCAGGCAGGGCAGAACAGAATTGAAGGGGACGTACTCGTTAGAGTTCTCAAACTGAGCGCGGACAGCCATGATTTGGTATTTGTGTGATAACGCTGTGTATAAAAGAAAGTTTCTGAGTTGTTGAGTTCGAAGCTTGGGTGTTGGAGAGAGAAGAGCACCCCGCAGACGGTAGATTTTTTTTTCTGCCAAAAGGTGCTGTGTGGTGATGGCTTTTTTGCTTGGTCAGTTTTTGTAGTGGGGGTGCAGACTGACAGCCTTTTTATCCATCGGAAGGCAAAGGCCTCTCCCGTTTCCTGGTTTCCCAATTTGGATAAGGATATCTAGATTTCGATTTTTCTTTGATTTTTCTTCTATCTTTTTTGTTGAGATTGATCGCGGGTCAAAGATATTCCGCGGCTTCATTTCGAGTCATCAACGTATCCGCGCAGTAAACCTCCCACTCTCGCGCCCGCGAGCCCTGTAAATCTGCGGCTGTCTGTCCCACTGTGACTGCTGACTGTGACTCAAAACTTGATCCAAGACCCGTAACAGCCTCAGCCCCACGCTATCGCCTCAAGTGATGACTCTTACGATGTCGACAGCTTTACCTATGCAGTAAAATCATTATTCGTCATCCTTTGCTTTGCCAGAAGGAGAAATTCCCCTTCTACCTGCAGCTACACTCAGTCAGCTATGTATTACCTTTGGCGAGACGTAGATCTACATCGTTCCCCGTCATATCTCGGTACGAAGACGCCGCTGCCGCGCCACTCATAGACAAGATCAATTCGTATGGAAAATAATGTGCATTCAAATCACTTCCATCCCGTGCACATCCTTTCCCCTCTCCCTACCAAGCCAAATCGCTCTATACACATTCATCTCTTTTTTTTCTTTGCGCTAACCATCTCGTTTTACTAACAAATGCTCCCTCTTCCTGGTATCAACATCTTCCTCCTCAGAGTCCTCACAATAAAAAAAGGAAATAAATCAAGTGCAGTATAAGAAACCTCCCCCTCTTGAAATATGTTCTTGATCAATGCCATGTATATGCTCTCGCTAGATGCTTCAAAGGGTCCTTAAAAGGTCCACACCGGTGCCTTGACCAGCACCTGCCGGCCCTTTACTTCCAAGGCCACAAATCCGGCAAAGCGAACTCTCTTGGGTTCCTGGATGGCACCTGGGCGTATGTTAACTTCCGTTTCGCTGGCTACCTTTAACGTCGTAGTCTTACCTGTCTTGGGCTTCAGCGCCTTGCCGCCCTTGTCCTGCGACTCGTCCGACTCAAGGGCCATCTCAGACTCCTCCAGCGACGGCAGCGCCGCCGTTTCCACCTCCATCAGGTTCGGCTGCAAAATATCGCCTGGCATCGGGTACCAGATGGAAACGTCACGACTCTCCAGCGGTAGATTTGCCGACACACCAATGGCCAGCTCCACAATCATCGACGTACTGCCCTCGATGCCAGGAGGGGGAGGGTTCGTCAGATGCGCTTGAAGGTATGCCGCCAGGTTAGTCGTGGCTTTTTGAATGAGCGCGGCCCTATTTTCCGATGCTTGGGCGTTGAAAGCCTTCTGGAGTCCGTCCAGGGTGGCCATGCGCCAGTTGACAATCTTAGTTGTCTGAGCGTCAAACTCCTCCGGTCGGTGCATAATATGAGTATTGCCGCGGATGCCCATCTCAATATCCTTAAGCTGAGCGCTCAGATGCGGATCAAGATCCGGGTGGAAACACTTGTCGAACAGCTCAGTCACGATCCAGTGCGAGATGACGGCTCGCCCAACTGCAGTCATTTCCTGCTTGCCTGTCTTAAGCGCATCGGGGCTGACAAAGTTTACTAGCCAAGGGGGTATCTTGCTCCAATCTTTGCGTATGTTAAACGACAGGTTATTGATGGCTCCGTTAAGACGGTTGAACCGTGTAGCATATTCGTTGTCGTCCAGGGCGGTCCGTGACTGTGACATGCGCTGGTTGGCAACTGCATTTTGCAGCTGCTCGACTTGCCCATGAAGTTGTTCAATCTGAGACTTGCCATCGAAATAAAGGCGCTTGACATTTTTATATTTCGCAACTGCATATGTTAGCACAGGCCCAACAATGTCTGCCGAATGTAACCGCCTAGTACTTACGCAGTTGTTTAAACTCCTGTGGGTTGTCTACTTCCTTTTCAGAGGTTGGCTGTGGGGTCTCCCGACCCGGTTCGGTCGACTCGAAATGACGACCATCGCCACGGTAGGCGGATTGTCCGCCAGCAGTTGGTCCCTGTGGTGGCAGAGGACTGGCGGCAGTTAGGCCAGCATTGCTATGGCGGTAGCCAGGGGCCTGGCCGGCAATGGGATGCTCGGCCTCGTTGCTTCGTCGGGAGGAGCCTTGGGGAGGCATGCTGGGCTGCTGCTGTTGCGGCTGCGATTGTTGCGACGGCAGTAGTTGCTGGTTCAGGTGCTGTGCAGATCCAAGCTGTAGGGCCTGAGAAGCCTGATTCCGCAGATCTTGTTCGTAGGCAGAAGATTCATGCGAGAGCTGAGATGCGGTCTCGGGGTTCTGCGAACCTGGATAGCCGGCGGGCAGTCGACCGTCTGCCGTCTGTTGAAAGAGGATTTGCTGGTGTAGCTGGTGCTGCTGCGATGACTGCGGCGGAGTGTCAAGTACACCTTGGTTATTGTCGTACTGCAGCTGCTGGTCCTGGGGAATAATGGTCTGGCCCGGGCCTTGCTGCAGAATCTGCTGCTGTTGGTGAGGCTGCAGGTGCGGGGGCGGCTGGTAGACGAGTTCGTCGTATGAGGAGTTATCGAGATCTTCGCCGGTAACAGGACGAACGGTGTTGAAGGAGGGCGGGATACGAGAGTCCTGAAGAGGGCATGTCAGCGGGCGGCGTGTGTAGAAATAAGGCGGGCAACAACACGACTTGGGTAATGAAAGAGACGACAAAGAGCCTCACACCGTGACAGCTCCGTTGGTCAATGACGAAAGCGAAGTGTCAAGCAGCGTGCTGACAAGGCGAAACGGCGTTGAAAGGGATCACAAGGCGATGATGTTTGGCTGGAGAGTGCGAAGGTGTTTCAGGGCAGGTGCTTACCCTTTTGTTTGACGAGCGGCGGCCTAACAAGCCACCGCTTGGGTCGTAGGGCTGGCTGGCGGGATGGGGAGCGGGCGCTGGAGCGTTGTTTTGACTGCTGCTGCTGGCAGTGTCAGAGGTGCCACGGACAGATCCAAAGATACCTTTGATAATGTGCAGCTTTCGGTTCGTGCGGTGCTTCTCTGGTGCGGGCTGCGGCGGCGGTTGCTGCTGTTGCAGCTGTTGGAAGCTTGCGGGGCTGGGCAGGTCGTCGACGGAGGTGGAGGCGATGCCGTAAACCTGCTGCTGATGCGGAGGCAGCTGGTGTTGTTGGAGGAGAGAGCTCTGAGATGGGTAGCGGAGGCTCTGGGATCGGTGGACGGTCGGGTCGACAAAATCGGGATGTTGTTGCTGTTGTTGGCGAGCATCAAAGACGAAATCACCACCAGGGTGCTGCAGAGGCGAGGGGTTATTAGTGGCCGAGCTGGTGGAGGAGGCGCTGTAGAGGTGAGGCGGGGGAGCTGGCGCCTGCGACTGCGACTGTTGCTGCTGCTGTTGCTGCTGCGGTTGCTGCTTTTGGAGCTTGTTGGATACGGAGGTTTGCAGAATCGGTAATCCTTGCTGTTTCTGCTGATGTTGAATATGCTGCTGCAACTGCTGTTGCTGGCGACCGTCAATGGGGTCGCGAGGGCTGCCCGCCGTCGACGACAAGGCAGATTGCGTGTCCAGACCCGAGTCAGCCAGGCCACCACCACCACCACTACCTCCGCCTACAGCCGCATCGCTGGTACCGCTACCGCTACCTTGGGCCGCGGAGGCAGCAGGCGATTGCTCAGGGAGGCCGTGCTGCGACCGGTTGCTGTGCTTGCCTAGACGCCCAAACGTTGGCATATCGGGGCGTGTGCTATCCTTTGCTATGTCGAAGGGAAGGGGGGTCCGGGTTTGCGACGAGGGGGGGGTGTCTGCGGACGGCCCAGGGGCAAAATCGGAACCGGGGAAAATCGTCTAAAAAAAGAATGTTCGAAGATCTTTGAGAAGGATGAAAAGAGAGAAACGAGAGAGCCCCAGCAGCGGATGCAAAGTAATGGAGGAGAGAGGCGCAGCTCCAGATCGTTGGGTGGGATGGTCGACGGATTGAGGCTGGCCAGCTAACTAGCTAGGTGTAGCTACGGATACTGGTAGCAACCTAACCAGATGGTGGTGGTGAGCACGGGGAACTTAACAATTACCCCCAGTTGAATGGGAATTTAATCCACTCTTTTTTTTCAAGCAAGCCTGTCCTTCTTCAGTATTTATCGTGGCCTTATCGGAGTAATTGCTTTTTTACTTGGGGCCGAGTCGCTGGGGATCGTCGCAAGACCTGCAGCAGTCAACAACCATGTCTTGGCCTGGACAAGACGGAAAAGGTGGCAACTTTGTCCAGTTGAAGAAAGTAGTTTCCAAAAGCTCATTCATAGCCTGTCAGCTACCAACGTACTCTACCCTAGTTTGTCTCTCAAAGTGCAAAATACCTCGTACCTAACTACCTAGGTAGCCCTGGTTAAACGGAGTGGTCCATCGATCCCAAGCTTCGTGCCGTCCAATCTAATAATCACCACCGTTACGGTGTCACCACAATTCTTTTTTTATCCCGTTGCTTGTAAAGCTGCACGTTGGCACCACCAATGCGCATCGGCACATGGCCGGTTTGCTTTAGGCTGCGCGCTACCCATACAAAAACCTTGCTGCTTGCTAGTTACGTGTCGCCGTAAACCCCTGGTCACTGCAGACCATGACAGAGTGAATCAGGATTCTTCGTACGGATAGCTCCGTGGCTGTGTTCAGTTCAGCAGCCTCGAATCGCGCTGCAGATTGCCGCTCTACTGGTAGTTACTTTGCACTCATCTCCGCCTCGTATCCATCAGCGTGCACCAAGCCTTGCAGGCCGCAGGTGGACGGATCTACGGTTTCGCCTCGCTCACAGTAAGATTATCAGCGCCGTATCAGAATTGGAAGCCGCGCTACTACGCGGTTCAGGAGCATCATCGCTCCTTCTTTCTCCTCCTTTCGGCTAATGAAGATCCATAGGAACCAAATTACATTGGGGCGCCATCAGATTGAAACGGCCGATCCTTGTATTGTCGCTGCAAAGAAAGCAAAGTGTCCAATTTGCCAGTAAAAACTTATTGTCACACAAAAAAATCGATTGAAGCCTCGCCTGAACGGGTCTTGTTTCTATCTTTGGATGCATGCTGCCTGCTTGAGGCTGTGTTCCAAGCTAGGGGCGTGATCATGTCACCACCGACCAGCGTTTACGGCAAGTTCCTAGGTACATAGCTACGGCTCCTTTTGCATGCGCCAGCTTGGCTGCGTCTACTAATAAAAGAAGTCTCATATTAATAAGCGTTATAGCCGCATGGCAATGCTTGCCCATCGCCATTGTATATCGGGGGCGATCAATCATGCTACCAACTACACGGCGAGATACATAATGAATGCGCATGACGACGCAGTCGTTCCTTACAAGCCCTTTTAAAAATAGATACTGTACTCCGCATAATACTATGATATCTGAGACCCCATCTGCCGGGTAGCACTCAACTTGCATAACACTTCTCAACCCACTGAGCAGAGCCAACCCAGCATAGATCATCAACACGACTATGCTGTGCTGATCCAGCGAAGAATCGGCATCTCGGCACAAAACGTGCCTACTGGCGATTCACTTCTGCAACATGGTCTTTGACCTGCCAGTATTGCACTTGGCCGTAGATGATGGCCGACGGGACGGCGGCGCGCAGGCACAAAGGCGGCCGCTAATGTTGACGACGTCTATGTATGGCTGGTCGAGCGCGGTTGGGTGGGGATCTGTGGTATCAATTTTCACGGTATAGATCCATATTGGAAGCATGATCAGCCAGTTTGCTTACTGTCACGTCCGGATTCAAGGAGTGAACCATCGTCGAGGGTGGGCCATGGGCCGAAGCCACTGGTCCCATACAGGTACAGGGTAGCTAGAGATTCAACTTCGGGAAAAGGCAACATTTAGAGGGTGATGAGGCAGCACGATATCAATTTGCCTCTTATTGGAGTATTTAGTCATGTCTCAGATGAACTAGATCTTGACCGGTATACCTGCTGGAGTTTTACGGCCTTTCATGTAGGCTCAGCTACGTCATGGGTCAGAACTTGCGACACCAACCAAGGACGAACGCAACTCAGCAACATCCCCCATCTCTTTGATCGACATGTATTCGGCGAAATGAACATAGGCCATCAAGTTAACCAACGTTAAATCGCCTATCAATCCCATCATGACCGTCCTCGCACTCCCTTAGCGTCCCACTCGGCATGTTTCTCGCGGGGTGCCTCTCACTTCCATGCCCCTCTCGAGACATATCCGCTAAGCAATTAGAGGCAGTCGATGAGAGATTTGGCTGCAGCCCAATGCACCTATCGACCATTTACCCCGACTTATCTCCCTCGTTGTGCTGAAGTCGTATCGCCATCGCAGCGTTGAGCGGACCCCGCGGTCGCCCGAAAACCGGGGTACAAAGTGTAAATGGCGGCGGGCGGCGATGGTCCGGTCTTGGCCCCGACAACTGCAAGCGTCCCAGTTCCAACAACCCATGGAAAAAGAGGCTTTGTGGAACTGGCTAACTAGTTGATAAGGCGCGCCCCGATTTCGCCGGTGACTACCTGCGCATTGATAGTTTGCCTTCCCTCTAGATATAGATATCCGCAGACCCCCCCCTGCTGTAACTGCAGAGAACAACTCTCGTCTAACTGTCATCTGCTTTTAATATTAGTCGTTCTGATTCTTCTCTTTGCACAAAACGGGGAGTACACCCAAATACCAACTTTAGAAAACAACCATGCTGCTTGCCTCCCCGCTGACCGTCGCTGTCGCGGTGTTGCTGCTGGCGGCGGTGTACCTGGCCCGATGCCTGCGATCGCCACTCGCCCGGCTGCCGGGGCCGTCGATTTCCAAGTTTACGTCGCTGTGGCTCAAGTGGAACGAAATAAACGCGACCAGGACCGTCTACATCCACGCGCTGCACCGCAGGTATGGCCCCGTGGTCCGGGTGGCGCCCAACGAGGTCGCCTTCACGTCGTGGGCGGCCGTCAAGGAGATTTACTGCTCAGGCGGCAGTGGCTATGACAAGACGGAGTTCTACGACATGTTTACCATCTATGGACGACGGTACGAGCTGTGACATCTAGCCTAGCAGCAGTACGAAAGCTGACGTTCGGATAGCACCATGTTCACCACGCTGAACAAGGCAGATGTAGGCTATACACTATTCCTCTATCTGTCCGTTCTTACTACTAAACAAATTTGAAGCATGCAAAGCGAAAACGTATCCTGGCGGATCGCTACGCCAACACCAATATCCTTAGAAGCGCCTCCATGGCCGGTATCCAGGAACGGTCGACCAAGTTTGTGCGCCGTTGTGCGTCGGCCTCGGGAGCCGCTGACGTCTTTGTAAGTGACCTTGACTTGAACTTCCATGGCCCAGCTAACTCGCGTAGATGTGTATGTAAGATGACTGCCGATATAGTCCTCAGAAGTGCTGACCGGTTTAGCTTTACATGCCTACGCTTGCGACTGCATTACCCATCATTTGTTCCATCCCCGCGGCACCGACTGCCTGGAGAACGAGAATGACGAGAACATGATGCACCAAGTAGCATCAGATGACAGTCTACAAAGTGCGCCCGAGCCTCGATCCCTTCATGACCCAGCACTGACCTTGGCAGACCGTCTCATCTCCCACTACGCACCCACGCTGCACCGTCTTTTTGGCAGCGTCCTGTACTTGTTTGCGAAGCCTCGGGAGACACCGCTGGCCGACAACTACGTCCTCGAAACCAGCAAGAGCCACGACCCCGCCACATTTACCCTCATGAGCCGCTTGGAGGAAAAGTCGGCCGAGCTGGAGCCCATCGACATGGCGGCCGAGTGCCTCGACCACATGGCGGCCGGCATCGACACCACGGGTGACGGGCTCTGCTTCCTGCTGTGGGAGCTGTCGCAGCCGCGCTCGCTCCGGGTGCAGGAGCGGCTGGCCGCGGAGCTGCGCGCGAACCCGGCGGCGCCGCTGGACCAGCTGCCGTACCTGGACGCCGTCGTGTGCGAGGGCCTCCGGTGCTACCCGCCGATCCCCATGTCGCTCCCGCGCTACGTCCCGGAGGGTGGGCGCGTGGTCGACGGCTACTGGCTACAGGCGGGGACGATTGCCAGCTGTCAGGCGTTTTCGGTGCACCGGATCAACGATGACTTGTTCCCCGAGCCGGACGCTTTCAAGCCGGAGCGCTGGCTGGAGGAGGAGGGCGATGCGGATCGACGGCGATTGTTGTTCGCTTTTGCAAATGGAGGGAGAGGATGTATCGGGAAGCAGTAAGTTTGTGCATTTATTGTCGGGTGAGTTTTTGCGTGGCTAATAACGGGATGATGTAGCCTGGCTCTTGCGGAGATGAAAACTTTGCTTCGGGACGTCTACTCCAGCTTCACCACCCTGCCGGACGCGTCTATGAAGGAGGAGGCGATGGAAATGTCAGATCAGCTTATTTCTGCCAGGCCGATAGGGCAAAGGTGTCTGCTGCATTTCCGACCCCGAGAGTAAGTGTTGAATGGGTATGTGCGATGCTATATTCTGTCTCACGCGGCTTTTCCGGGATATCAACGGATGCTTGCGGGTTATGTCTGATGCGAGAAGTTATGATGTTAAATATCAATTCTTAATTTCGAGGCGCACTGTCTCTGGATTTGACGAGTTGCTTGTGTGATATCAGCTGCGAAGCTGTGAAGTGACTGAGGAGCGCGTGTTACCTGAGTCAGTGACGACAACGCAGGTCGACGCAGGTTGTAGACAAAGGACAGCCACGTAGCAAGCCAGGCAGAAGTGCGTGCAAGCGCGAATAAATTACTTATAGAGGGCAAACATTATCAGCGGCTGCATTGGGTCACACTTTTCCCGTGAGGTTTGTTGGGCGTTTGTGAATAGACAAAGGACCCCTCTTTCATGAATGGGAAGCGGCCTGTTTGCCGCAGGAGCCCTATGGGCTGCGCATTTAGTGTGATATTGTAGCGTTGAACCGCTGAATGTAACGTATTGTCCACTGAAGAGCCAGCAGAAACGCGTCTTATGCCAGTGCCTACAGGGATTCGAGCGCTGAGGCTTGTAACACCTCAAACGCGTAATGTTTTTGAGATGAAAAAAGAAAAAAATGTAAAAATAGAATAGAATGAAAATAAACATATCAAATATCACAACCGTAAGTGTGCCTCCTGGCTGCCTCCATCGGCACCACCCACACACCACTCCCTGTAACGCCGAAAAACTCGGGCCATACCCGGACTTGCCACATTTCCAAGCGCATGTCATCCGCACTGCACATTTTTTTTCCTCCTCTTTCTTCTTCCTTCTTCACCCAACCGTGCCAACTGCCCGCACAGCGTTTTGCCAATCCAACCAGATCGACACCGCATATCCTGCCTGTAGACTGTTTTCATCGGTCGCAGTGCGTCAAACAGCCTTCTCGCATCGCGAATTTTAAAAATTCAACAAACGTCTCCCCCGCTTCTTCAACCATTCGTCAGTCGTCCGCCCGCCGCGAACTTCGACTCCCCTCCCGTTATCCGATCCGATTTTGCCTGGTCTCTCCCACGGCAGAAACAGATTACCCAGCAATACACCAGCTCGTCAAGACTTGTTTATGTATCAGCACGACCAGTTTAACGTGTCCAGACACATCGTCGAGCTGCAGCTGTTTCACATACGGCGCAAACCCTCTTCTCCCGATATCCATTCCGACGGTTGACATTTGCCCGACAACGCAAGAGTTCATGCCTACCATATCTAACGCAAGATTTCTCCCGCAAAAACTCATGTCAATCACAAGTAGTCCTTTGTGATTCTTCTTGTTGCTCCCAACCAGCTTCCACAGCACTCCTGCCCCGCACTGCCCCTTCAAGTCTTCATGACTGCCTTGTCTGTTCAGATCCCTCCGAGCCCTGTCCATCAAGTCTGCCCCATCCACTGAGAGGAAAATCTCCTCAACCTTGTTTTAAAAGATAAAAAAAAATTAAAACACCGCAATCATGGTTCTTGTCAACGTCAACCGCGAAGTTAGCGATAACTTCTATCGCTACAAGATGGAGAAACTCATCACCAAGGTTGAAGGAAAAGGAAACGGTATCAAGACCGTCATTGTCAACCTCGTCAACGTCGCCAAGGCCCTCAGCCGTGACCCCAACTACGTCATCAAGTACTTTGCCTTTGAGCTTGGAGCTCAGACCAACACCGACCCCAAGGACGACCGTTGGATCATCAACGGTGCCCACGAGGCCGCCAAGCTCCAGGATCTTCTTGATGGCTTCATCAAGAAGTTTGTTCTCTGCCGAGGCTGCAGCAACCCCGAGACTGTCGTCATAATCAAAGACCCTCGCATCATTCTCGACTGCAAGGCCTGTGGTCACCGCACTGATGTCGATATTCGTCTCAAGCTCTCCGGCTTCATTATCAAGCACGAGAGCAAGAAGGGCAAGGGTAACAAGGCAGACAAGAAGGCTGCTCGTCGTGCCAAGAAGGAGGCCGCGCAGAATGGCAATGGCTCTGCCGACGAGGGCTCCGACCACTCCGGCGAGAACGGCACCAACGGCGCCAACGGCCATGATGCTAGCGATGACGAGTTTGATCGCGTTGCTCCCGCTATTGACAGCGACAACGAGGTTAGAGACGATGAGTGGGCTGTCGACATGAGCGAGGAAGCCGTCAAGGCTCGCCAGTCTCAGCTCCCTGACGAGTTCAAGGGCAAGCTCAACATTGACGATGACGAAGCCGGTGGTGAGAGCGTCTACGACGAGCTTGGCCAGTGGATCCAGGCTCAAGCCAAGGAGAAGGATGGCATCGACAACGTTGACTCCATCCAGGTGTACGTCAAGGCCAAGGAGCTAGGCATTGAGGGCAAGCACAAGACTATTCAGGTCCTCGTTCAGACCCTCTTTGACAAGAACATTACTGCCCAGATCCCCAAGCGTGCCGCAATGATCAAGCAGATTGGCACTTCCGAGAAGCATGAGAAGGCTCTCCTTGGTGGTACAGAGCGTCTCCTGGGTTTTCTTGCCGAGGAGAACCCCGACGTCTATCCGCAGATTGTAAAGATTCTGCAGCTGTACTACCACAATGACCTCATTACTGAAGAAGTTGTTCTGCCCTGGGGCAAGAAGGCCAGCAAGAAGTACGCCGATCTCGCTGTCAGCAAGAAGGTCCGCAAGGCTGCTGAGCCTTTCCTTAAGTGGCTTGAGGAGGCTGAGGAGGAGGAATCTTCCGAGGAGGACGAGTAACTTCGACAGAATTCTGCTCGTGCATCGGCCCTCTACCCCCTTGTATGCTTGACAACGTTGGAAGGGGTCTTCTTGCCCTTGCTTTTGCTTTGATCGAACAAAATGCCGAAAATCAATGTGGTGGTGGTCATGTGCAAATTCATGTTTTACTTTGATAGTCAAAATGGAACTCTACTCGCTCTACATGGTCCAAGATACCCAGAAAGTGAATGTGCATGCTATTTTCACGTAGTTGATTGAGTTTTGGGTATCGACGTGAATGTATTGGGAAGTCTCCGTCTGTCTTCTTATTGTACATGTAGCGGCACCTGCTCGCTAAATTATCCCTAAATAGCAAAATATCAACACCAAAAAAGGAAAAGAAAAAGTAAGCTCTAAGTAAAGACCCAACCAGATGAGACACCAGGCTCATTCATATCCCCATTTCATTCTTCTTCTCTATTCTTTTCTCTCTCCCACGCCTACGCATTCGATTCCGGCTGCCCATCGGCATCCGCCATGTCGGCATCGCCGTTGGTCGGCTCCTCTTCCTTCTCGTCATCGCCATCTTCATCGTCCGCGGGGTCGTCTTCAAATTCTTCGGCTTCGTCATCGTCCTCCACAGCCGCAGCCGCAGCGGTGCCGTAGAGGAACGCGCTCAGTTCGGTGGCGGCCTTGTCGAGGCCCTCGTCACCGGCGTCGCTACCCACGGCGATGACGGTGTCGTAGGGCGTCTCCGACTCCTCGGATGCGCCTAGGAGAACGTAGCGCGCCTCAAAGTCCATGTCCTTGGCGAACTGGGCAGCCTACAAGTAGTTAGTACACATATATATGTGCGGCGTCAAAAGAGAAGGACAACGCACCTCGATGTCGAGCTGGAGCACGGGAATCTTGCCAGCCTCCGTCACGGCGTCGATAGCCTTGGTGCTGGTGCCGTAGTCACTGCCGTCGCGCTCGCCGTGCTCCACCAGCCGGTCGCCGTCGCGCAGCTGGCCAAACTCCTGCGCGCTGACGAAGTGGAACGTCTTGCCGGCGGACTCGCCCTCGGCCTTGGCGCGCGTCGTGTGCCGCACGACCGGCGCGAACACGCCCTTGTGCTTGTCCAGCAGCCGCGCCGCGACGGCGCGGAGCGTCTCGGGCTCGGTACCGGTGAGGACGACGGCGGCACGGTTCGCTGGCATATCTTGCTCGGAGGCGACGGCGGCGTCACCGGTCTCGTCCTCGTCATTGTCCTCGGCTTCGGTGGGTTCCGCGAAGACGACACCAATCGCCTTGGAGTCGTCGATCTTGTCAAAGGCGGCGAGGCGCGTGCGGCTGGCGATGCGCAAGGCGCGCCAGCTCTTGCTCCACTTGCCGTAGACGGCGGCGGCGCGGGTCGCGTCGCTGGTGGGCATGTCGATCTCGAAGTCGTCGTCGGCGATCGGCCGCTGGAATGTTTCGAGCTCGGGCAGCTGGTACCGCACGGGCGGGCGGAGCTCGTCCATGGTGGTCTTGGAGGCGGCGCCGCGGCCAAGGAACTCCATGGAGACGGCGCCCATGGGCGTCGGGCGCAGGCGCTTGCTCGTGGCCATGCGCTCGGCCGACGACTTGGCTTCGACAAAGTCGGCCGCCGTCACGGGCTCCCGCTCTATGGGAGGACAACTGGCCATCTTCCAAAACACCCAGTTCTTGTCGCGCGCGAGCACCGTCTCCACCATGCGGAAGAAGTAGGGGCCGTCGAAGCCTTGCTTCAGATACTCCGATATCCGTCGCTTGGTTTCCGTCGCCCATTTTGTCTGCACACCAGGTCAGTTGATCGATTCCAAAAGTGGGAGCCAGTTCCTCCTTACATTCTCTTCACTTAGTTGTGCGCTGTATACGACAGCTTTGTTTGCAGCCGGGAGGCCGGAGAGTTTCTGCTTTCCCTCTGTAGATAAAGACAGCAGGAACTCTGTTATGATGAGAGCTTGCACGAGTACATGTCGTCGAAATGACAAGTCACGTATCTGCAAGTAGTGATTAGTGAGATTCTTGAAATTCAGGGGAATTGCAGCCGCATACTTCGAGCTCAAACAGATCCTGGCTTGTCAGGTATTTAGGGTTGAACGCTTCTGCTATCGTTGCTGTGCCTTCGTCATTGCGCTTGCGCTTTAACGACCGTTGATCGTCCGCATGCAGCGATTCGAAAGCTTTCATGGTTTCCTCTAGACCGCGCTGAAAGTGAGAAAATTTGGCTGGATCGAACAGCGTTGTGGGCTGACTGAAACTCTCCTGGAGCGACCAGAGCAGAGGGTACAGTTCCTCAGAAGTGAGATGGCTCTCCTTGTTTTCCTTTGCGTCTGACTTCTTCTCGCCGTTGGTTGCGGCAACTGGAGCCTCGGCATCGATATCCATTTTGGTAGCGTCGCCGTTTGACGTGACTTCGTATGTCGTAACATTTTCAACGTGATACTCTCCGCGCAGATTAACAGAACTTCTGTCGCCGAGCGGAAAGCACTGAAACATGAAGATGAAGACACGACCGCAAAAGGCAGTATCCTCGGCCCTTGACAGTCGTCGTAGGAGCTCGTTACAGCTGCGGAGTATAACAAGCTTTTTTTGCGTAAAATTCTTGGCAGTCATACGCTCGCGTCGAGACTCGAGAAAATCAAAGATGTGGCGGCACCCCGCGATTGTTTGGCTGTCGAGCAGCTCTTCCACCAACCAAAAGACGAGCGCCGGGTCGCATTGTCCACCGTCGGAGAGAATAGAGAGGATGTCGAGAAAATTCCACATGCGCACGAAATCGGGAGAGTCGATTGGGATTGACGCCTTGCGAACCTGTTAGAGGGCCTGGTTTCGCTTTTGGGACTGTTGCCGACTTACTATCAAAGCACCAAACAGATCTCTCGATGCGCCTTCGACAATCGCAAACTGGCGGCCTTTTAGGTCTGCCGCAGCCGCATCGCTGTCCGTAGCATCCTTGTCTTGCTGCGGCAGCGCCGCGTCCACGCGCGAGGCCAGGTCCGCAAAGTCGGGCTTGGTGAGCGCGGGCTCGATGCTTGATGACTGCTTGGCTGCAGAGGCTTCGTCTAGCAAGTTGGAAAGTAGCTCTACAAAGGTATCAACCGAAGCCACGCGAGGCTTGTCCATGTCGACGGCGGGCATGTCGGCGCAGGTTTTGACGCGCCTCTGGGCCGTCCGCCCCAGGCAGAGGATAGGCGAAGAGCTTGTAAGAAATCCGCCTCCTACTTGCGCATTAATTTGTCGTGCAGTTGAGTTGTTGTACTTTCGACACCGATCGATTCGCTGCCGCGTTGCTGTCGCGCGTTGTTGAGATGTGATTTGAGTTGAGGGTCATGGAAGAAGGCAGCGATGGAGTTTTTGGGGGGGGGGTTGCACACGACACTGTTTGAGTAGTTAAGAGCGCAAATAGCGCAATTTGATGAACAAAAGAATAATCTCTTTTCCAACGAGGAGATTTTTATAAAGCATCAAGGTGCATGTTGTTATTCAAGGTACAACAGGCAGTGGGGGTACCTGAGCCCCCTACACCTAGGCAGGCACGCGTGAGCTTAGCAGCTGCCGCGAGGCTAAAATTTCGGAGTCAAGCAGGCAGTTAGCGACAGGCATGTTTGGATTCCCTTGCCCGCACGACAATCACAATTCACCTTGCTTGCAATCACGCGCGATTCTGCAAAGTATTCAAACTCGTCAACCCGATCGCAAGCTACGCATATCTCATGACGATCGAGATTTGAAACAATGCCTAACGCGAAGCGCCTCAAAAACAGCGCCGCTGCAAAGGCCAAGGCACCCGCCGATCACGAAGAACCTGCCGGCGAGCGCCCGACGCCTGCCGAAGTCGAGGAGGAGGAGCACCAATTCGTGCAGGTGGCACGAGCGCATTGGTTGAAGAAGACAAAGAAGACGACCAAGGTCAAGGTCAAGAACGATGTCATCAAGCAAAGCATCTGGGAGGTTCTCGAGCGAGATGGCTTCCAGTACAAGTCATTGCTTCTCTTGGAAAGCTTGCAGACGCTGGAAAGGTAGAGGATTCCTGAAGATATCGCGAAGAATCCTTGTGCTAACGAGAAAACAGCTATCTATGGCCCGGATATACAGAAGAAGCATCAAATTTCCACGTCCTGTTGATGGCGTTGATCATCAACGTTAAGCGCAGAGAGCACCTCGAGACTTGGAGTAAGTTTGCGCAACAATTTGTCTCGTCGGTAAGCTACTAACCAAATCCAGCTCTGTTCGAACAGAACCCCGAAGAGTTTTCCTCATTCTTCCGTCGCGTACTGTCGCTGACGCTCGATCGAACGCTTGCGACAACCATTCGAACGAATCTGCTTTGCTTCCTGATCCATGCATTCCAAAGCTTGGACTCGAGCATTGTGAGACGAGACTGCGCCCCGCTGGTTTCTATCGGTATCTGGCACAACATCTCAACAGACCAGGAACGCGACCGACTGTTGGACCAGACCCCGCAGTTGAGGAAATCTTGGAGGGCGGCCCAGAAGCGCTTCGACGCTGGCGACGATACGATCAAAGCTCGTCTACGTTTCGAGCGGTCCTGGCTCTACACTCTTCTTCTTGATTTTCTAAGCTTGCTTTACGAACAGAATCGCAAACCAGGTAAGCCGCCGCCCTATGCTCCTTAACAAAAGCAAAGCTAACATCCCTGGCAGAGCAAGATCTGTATTGCGAACGCTTCATCGAATTTATCACAGATTTGCAGAGCCAGTTACCAACAAGGCGATATGTAAATGCTCTGCAAAACGATCTGAACCTCCTTCCGGCGATGAAACTCTCTCCCATGTACAATGACGAAGCGAACGACCTCTTCCGCGATCTCCAAGCTCTGCTTGCTCACTTCACATATTTTGCAATTGACGACCAAACGGGAGCCCAACTGACTCGGGAAGAGGCCTACGAGAAACACTGCAAGTCGCTTGGCAAGCTGCAGCGCACCGCCCTCAAGTACTTCAAGGAGAAGCTCACGGTCCTTGCCCTCTCCAACTACGGTTCCATCGACAAACGAGAGGACCTGAAAAGTCTCCTCGACGCGCTGACAGATGAGGAGGTTGCGTCACTCGCTGGGTATCTTGGCATCAGAACAACATACCCAGAGAACCTGAAACTCCGAACAGGCCGTCAACTACAACTAGAGTGCATGCTGACCACCTTTGAGCGGAAAAAGACGTTCCAGGAACTTGCCCAGACCCTGTCGGCTGTCCCCACGGAAAAGACATTGTTTGATGCCAGCTTCCAAAGAGCAGACTCCTATGACGGATCGCATCCGCTCGCCTTGCCTAAACTGAACCTACAATACCTGTCCGCAGGAGATTTCCTTTGGAGAGCCCTTGTTCTTTACCGGTGCGAGGCTTTCTATGGCATCCGAAGAGATATCGAGACGACGCTCCGCCGGCTCAGACCAGAGACCAAAAAGCCAGGCGAGACGCATTTCGCTGGAACCTCCAAGATGGCTATGTCAATCTCCAAGCCGGCGATCCTCGAGGTTGTACCTGCACTGATTGGCGATTCGAAGCCTTCCATGGTCAAGGCCGAAGTCTCATTTGATGTGCGAAGGCTCAACGAAAACGTCCGCAAGGAGTGGGACTCCCTCCGACCAGACGATGTGGTATTCCTGCTGTCAGTGGAGCCGCCTGCCAATGATGCTATTACAAACGGAGCCCCCCTGAGTGAACTGGAGAAGATTGGAGTTGTGTCAGTGCGTGCTGCCGAGGTCATCCACATTAGCGATGACAAGGGGCGTCACGGACAGGAACCTAGAAGCCGTGACGGCAAGCGTCGTATCGAGCTGAAGCTTGATCCCCACACATATACAAAGGATGCAGCCCTGGCTGCTGCAGGTAAGGGAGACGTGTATGGCAGTGTGAACCTGCTTCTCAGAAGAGGCCGTCGTGAAAACAACTTCAAACCGGTTCTCGAATCTATTCGAAACCTCGTTCTCTCTGATGCGCCTCTGCCTAGCTGGCTGCATGAAGTGTTTTTGGGCTATGGCGATCCAGCTGGTGCAAGCTACAAGAATTTGCCGAACCGAATCAAGACGGTCGATTACAACGATACGTTCTTGGAGTGGCAGCATCTCATCGAAAGTCTACCAGGAAAGATCGTGGAGCCGAGCGATGATGTGGACGGTAGTTTCGGGCCACCTTACGTTCTGAAGACACTGGACAAGCCCGAAGTCCAGGCACCAGCCAAGACTTCAAAGAAGAGGCGCCGTGACGCCGAGCCTATAACGGCAGTGGAGGCAGAGACGCTCAAAGTTACCACGTATAAGCCACCAAACCAGGGCCCTTACCCGATCGACGCACCCAAACTAAACTCTGTTCGTTTCACGCCAGCTCAGGTTGAGGCTATCATGTCCGGTTCTCAACCTGGCTTGACGGTCGTTATCGGACCCCCAGGAACGGGCAAAACGGATGTGGCGACTCAGATCATTCACAACATCTATCACAACTTCCCCAAGCAAAAGACGCTTCTGATTGCCCACAGCAACCAGGCACTGAATCAGCTCTTCGCCAAGATCATCGCTCTCGATATTGACGAAAGACACTTGCTTCGACTTGGCCACGGCGAAGAGGAGCTTGCCACTGAGGGAAGCTTCAGCAAGCATGGCCGTGTCGACTCATTCCTTGATAACCGTGCCCGCTTCTTGTTCGAAGTCAGAAAGCTTGCCAGCAGCCTAGGCGCCCCTGGTGCCCACGACAACTCTGCTGAGACGGCAGGATACTTTAATACGGTCTACATTCAGCCGGCCTGGAAAAAGTTTGAACATGTCATCGCGTCGGAAGAATCGTCAGCGGCACAAATCATCGAAGCTTTCCCATTCCACGGCTATTTTGCGGATGCGCCCCAGCCACTCTTCCCACCAGAGGCTGAGCGTGACCAGATCATTGATGTTGCAGAAGGTTGCTACAGGCACATTGAAAAGATCTTCTCCGAACTGGCCGATATTGTGCCGTTCGAAATCCTGCGCCGGGAGCGAGACAAGGCCAATTACTTACTGACGAGCGAGGCGCGCATCGTTGCCATGACCACGACACACGCCGCCATCCGGAGGGCAGAGATAGTTGCTCTCGGCTTCCACTATGACAACGTCGTGATGGAAGAGGCTGCCCAAATTACAGAGATTGAGACGTTTATTCCGCTGGCCATGCAGAAGCCTGTCAATGGCAAGGTGCCTCTCCAGAGAGTTGTCTTGTGCGGTGATCACTTCCAGAATTCACCTGTCATTCAGAGTCTTGCGTTCCGCCACTACGCCAACTTGGAGCAGTCGCTGTTCTCACGCTTTGTTCGGCTTGGCGTGCCGACAATCTCGCTTGATCAGCAAGGCCGTGCCCGCCCGTCCATTGCCCGCCTGTACCAGTGGCGCTACCCGAAGCTAGATAATCTACCTGATGTGAGCGTCAACTCCGAGTTCAAGCAAGCCAACGCCGGCTTCAAGTTTGACTTTCAGTTCATCAACGTACCGAAGTACAAGGGCAAGGGCGAGATGGAGCCGACACCGCACTTTATCCAGAACCTAGGCGAGGCCGAGTATGCTGTTGCCATCTACCAGTACATGCGACTTCTCGGATATCCGTCAGACAAGATCAGCATTCTCACAACGTACGCCGGACAGAGGGCGCTTGTTAGAGATGTGCTGTCGCACCGCTGCGCGAGAAACCCGATCTTTGGCATGCCCAAAGCTGTTGCCACGGTGGACAAGTACCAGGGAGAGCAGAACGACTGTATGTTTCCTTGGGATGCCTTTTTTTCTCGGAGAACTATGAAACTAACTGCTGATAGATGTCATTCTTTCCCTCACTCGCACGTCGAGGGTCGGATACCTGCGCGACGTGCGCCGCATGACCGTCGCCATGTCGCGCGCCCGCCTCGGCCTGTACATTCTCGGACGCCGCGAGATCTTCGAGGCGTGTCACGAGCTGCGGCCGGCGTTTGACATTCTCCTGTCGCGCCCGGACAAGCTGATGCTCGTGACGGGTGAGCTGTGGCCCACGCAGCGCCCCGCCGCCGCGGAGGAGGACGGCCCGGTCGAGAACGAGGTCGCCATGGAGGGCGTAGAGCACCTGGGCCAGTACGTGTTCGAGATGACGAGCACCAGGACGAAGCAGCTCGAGGCGGAGAATAGGATGGTGGACGTGGTGGAGCCGATTGCCGAGGAACTGGAGGAGGATGACGGCGGCGAGGTGGAGGGGGAGACTCAGGCTACGTACTACGATGATGTGGTGGAGCCGGATATTCAAGAGATTCGCGAAGGAGAGGCGAACTAACGGTCATAGGGCATGGGTGAGGTCAATTTCTGTAATTTTTTTTTTGGCTCGGGAAGCTTGATTTGGCGCTGGCTTGGTTGTTTTATATTTTGTCTCCTGCATGTATGAACTGCTAGACTAAATAAATTGAATGGACTTATTAAAGTGACACTACAATTGGGCTTGTTGCTTCTTTTTCATGCGATGGTCTATCATGTGGCGGGACAAAGCTTTCGTAGTCAAGACGGGTTACCACTCCGGTATTGCTTTCGGGTGCGTCGATGGGAGGCTGTAGGCGATGCCTGCTAGTTGTCGTCGGTGCTACCAATGCTGCCGCGTATAGGTCGTGAATGCGCGCCGCCAGCCTGACTGCGGCCTCCTGTTCGATGCCCTGCTCGCGCAGCAGCGACGGCAGGCTCTCCTGCACGGCGGCCGTCCTCGAGGAGTGGTTCATCATGCTCTCCAGCTCGGACCAGCCGGGGTCCATGTACGGCGACGGCGGGCGAGGATGGCCGACGAAGAGCAGGTCCCATACCGCGTCCCACTTGGAGGTGTCTGAGAGCGGCCCGTCGAACTCGAGCGCTGTCAGCGCCCTCACCTCGCTCGGGCGCAGGTCCTCCGGTCCCTGGCGGCGCTCGCAGCCGCGCTGCTGGATGTGAGCCTCCCACTCGGCCTCCTGGTTCGGCTGGAAGACCTGCCAACAGTTGGCGCAGTACTGGGTGCCGAGGGTGTGGCAGCGGAGTATGTGCTGCTTGACGTCGGAGTATCTGCGCAGGTCGTACTTCCTAAAGCATCGGAAATGAGCGATCGGATCAAACTTGTAGAAGGGACAGGCGAGCAGTGGTCGCTCGGAAGGAGGGTCGTCAGGGTCGTGGCGGGGGGGGTCCCCAACTCGAATATCTAGACCTGGTGGTTGAAAAAGGGTGGCTAGGCTCGGGAGACCAGAACTAGCGATAGCGCTACGACGCATAGTAGCGGTGGCCTTTCCCCGGGAACTCACGGCGACGGCCGGCTCTTCGGTGGACGCTGGCGGGGTTGTAAGAGCCGAGGTCTCCGGGATGATGGTGTCGATGCGACAAGGATCTGCATCGTCCGCGCCTGAGATCCCTAGTAGCCAGTAATCTTGCGGTGCAGGCGGGCGGTCAAAAGCTCTCTGGCCGGGGCCGGGATTCACTCGTGTAGATTGCTGAGGTGATGGCTTTTTTGAGTTAGCTGTGAGGACTTTGGTTTTATGACTCTGTTTATTATTGGGGACATACAGGAGCTGCGGACGACGCCGGTGGTTCGCTGGCTTCGGAGCCAGCGTGCGATCTAGAACCGCGACTTCGTACGGGCCGCGAGCATGGGAGGCCCTTTTCCGAGCAGCGGTCGCACCTTTGCGGATGCCGGCGATCTGTCGGAAGGCACTGGGGAAGAAGGTCAACTGTGAGTAAGGCGGACGCTTCACACATGGGGTGAGGGATGCTGAACAACACCTTCTTCTTGTCTCTTCTGCAGTAATCGCATTTGTAAAACTGGAGCTCACGAGGTGGCCTTCGCGCATGTGTTTGATGAGATTCAATCAGGCCAACCATAGGGGTCAGTTCGAGCAAGATGAATGTAATGCGATCTGGCGCAGCGGCTGAGATGCGATAACGTAGCCGCTGGCGCAAGTCACAAATGTGTAGAGTGTGATGGACAACCTCACGTGACTGCCATGCAAGCGCCCAAGTCCAGCCATGTGCGACGGCGTTGGGCCGTTGGGCACCAAATTTTATGGCTTGTCAGGTAGCCCAGGCCGCCCACTTTCTGCCGTCGCACCCTGTTTCGCACTACGTCGCACTGATAGTCCTTCTCCATCCTCCACAGGTGCGAGTGCGACGCTGCGACGAACCTATTATGCCACGCCTTCGCATCTATTGCTTTGACGGGACTTGGGCGAATCGGAATGCAACGTCAAACAATACTCTAGTTGCTTCTATTCTTGACTATATTCGCAAGAGAGACGACTTGGAAATCAGGTACTACCCCGGGCCTGGAGCACGCAGTGGATTGATTGAAAAGTATATCGGAGGTATTCACAAGCTGTATCAGTCGCACTATGTTTAACTAACATGGCTTCCAGGTGGTCTTGCGACTGGCGAGGTCACGTCCACAATCATTGACGCCATAAGCGATCTGGCCACGAACTTTCGACCTGGCGATGCCATTGTTGTGATAGGATACAGTCGTGGTGAGAATTGTTGGTGCCGAACGCATCGTGTACTGTCCTTACTGATGCATCTCCTACAGGATCATACACAGGTCGAAGCTTTATAGGATTTCTCGACCGCGTTGGCCTACCAAAAGATGGCGATCGACACGTCCTTCGTGATCTTTACGATAAATATACCTCGGGCAAATTCTTGAAGCGAGGTGTTGCGAGCCATCTGAGGAAGAAGTACAACTGTAAGCCACAAACTCTACAATGCTCAATCCGGAAAACCAGGCTCTAAAGATTTTGATTTCAGGTATTCATGTTGAAGTCAAAACTCGTAAGTCATGGCTGAGCCCAACAGCACATGCTCTCTTGCGACTTGTTCAAAGAGATAAATCTCCTACCCTGCACTATGCTATCCCATCCCTGCCGGTCCCTCGGTCATTTCTATTTGTCCGCATGCTGATTTTTGGTTGAAAAAGTCCTCTGTATTGACACGGTCGGCGCCTTGGGCATCCCGCACACCGGAGTTTTTGGTTTCCTCAAGATGCTGTCACCTCTCATCAAGAAGCAACAGTTCATGGAGACAAATGCGGCCTCGAGTAAGTTACGTGAACGCAATTCAGGCGAACATTCGTGCGAGTCTCATCTAAAGCATAATCGATGTTTTAGATGTCCAAGTTCTGCTGCATGTGCTTGCCTTGCATGAGTCACGGGGTCCGTTCCGGCCGACGTTGATGCAGATTGACGAGGCGTCCAGCCAAGTCCTGGAGCAGCTCTGGTTCCTCGGCGGCCACGGTGACGTCGCCAAGGACGACGAGTACGGCTGCATCGGCGACATCGTCCTCGCGTGGTGCGTCGCCAATCTGGAGAAGCACGCAGGCATCGTCTTTGACGAGGCGAAGCTCGCTGTCCGGTTCGACCGCATGGACGCCGACGTGCCCGTCTCGGGCGTCGCGCCGAGCGCCCTTGCCTGGCACGACTCCATCGGCGACCCGGTCAAGGGCCTGTGGCCGCTGATGGGTCGGCACACGCGCGTGCCCAACGTGCAGGCGGCCGAGGGGAAGCGCACGAACGAGAGCGTGCATGTGACGGCTCGGCTTCGCGGGTACGGGAGCAGCCGCGGAAGACCGGCGGTGCCGGGACACAGCCTGGAGCCGCGGGAGGGATCATTTGTGTGGAGGCGAGACGGGTCCCAGTCATCGGATGGTGGCGATGAGTCTTTCATTCTCCACGAAGCGGCTCTAAGTAGCCGTGAAGCTCAGCTGCTTGGGATTTCCCTTGCAACATGACCGCACCAACCAACACATTTACTCTACGGAGATGATGATTTACCAGCAACGACATCGATTAGAACCAGATTGTTCAAAGTAGCAGGCATTAATTAGACAGAAATTCCCTTGACTATTATCAGCACTTATTGTGGCAATGTTGTCCATATTCGTATAGAATACGTCGAGCCTAGCACGCACACCAATTTCTCAGCACAATTGGACAAAAGAATCACTCCAAATTTTCATTCATCAGAAAATTTCTGACTCTGTCGCAGTGTAGGAAGCACCTGCTATGTTTTTGGGCCTTGTTATTGGTAAAGTCGAGGGCTAGTAGCGTCTTACAGCCCATCTTGTAACATGTCAGGCCGAGGCCTGACCCAGTGATACCTGGGTGCTGCATTTCGTATAAATGTGATTTGACTACGACCAATGATCGGCCGGTTATAATTTTTATTCACCATTCTTCTACGGCCCGCTGCTGGCAGAAAATAGTAAATGCTACTGTGACATGGATGACGGCACGACGGCCCGTCAAGCGACTAAATCCTGAATGCAACGCCAGTAGGTGGAACTTGCTTCTCCGAGAACATGGGAGGGTACATATGAATAGTGGCTGACGGGTTGCCAGTGCGACAACCACGGTCTGCCTTTTTCCTTCTTTCTTCCTAGAAAATCATCTTGAGACGCGCCGCCAAGTCTTTCTCCGTCATAGCTAGTGTCACAGACCTCGGATGACCGTGCGCAATAGCCCGTCCTGTAGGGCGATAGGTGCTTCACCTAGCAGTGAATAGTTAAAGGTTGGAACTTGGAAGCCCGTTGCGGACATGCTTAAGCGTTCCTACGTCTGAGGTTGCGTTTACCCGGTTTTGCAACGTTGGAATAGGGGTTCCGGGTGGCTGATAGTTTTGTTTTAGTCGAGTCAATTTACCTGCCATCCTGGTCTGGGTTGTTTCGAACCCCTGCCAAGACGGAAGGAAGATGGACGAGAGAAGAATCCTGCGACACGTCGTGTGCCTGAGGCTGTGCGAGGCGCTACTACTGCTCGAGGCGCCGCTCAAGGCTCTATTGCGCAGAGGTCACCACCACTGGTAGTGGCAGATTCTTCCAATGCCCGAGTTTCTCGCTCCAGTTTCCTCCGTGCCCTTCTTCTCGTTCGCGCTGTATCCTGCTTTTTAGGCTGCTTCGGTTGCTTCACCCTTGGCGGCTTTGGTAAAGGCTTCGGGGCCGGGGCCGAGGTAGGAGCGTGAGCGATACTTTCGAGGGCCGTCAGCACGCTTAGAACATCTCTGTTATTAGGAACCACATGATGGATCTGTGCATCTCGCACCGCAATCATCAGTAGTGCTTTGAGAACAAAATGAGCGTCATTGCCAGCCGCATGCAGGTTATCGAAATGTATCCCGAGCATCTCCACCATGATTTCGGAGCTAGGTGTGCTTTTGCGTCGTAGAGGAAATTGCGACGCAAAGGCCGTGTCAAGAACATATTGTGCTTGCTGGCAGATATCAAGCTGTCGGAGCACCCTCATATCTTCACCGGTGCCGTGAAGAGCGAGTATGTACTCCCGCCCTCCAACAATGGCCTGAAATTTAGGCTTGAGTTCGGAGAAGGCGATAGCTTTGGTGTCACCAAAAAGGAATCGGCCACGCACCCGGCCGACATACTTTACCTGTCCTATTGTAAACTGAAAGCATTGGATCATAGGCTGAGAACACTGATCGTGCGCACTAGCGTCTGTAATGCTGCCCTGCATTTTGCGTGTATCCAACACAGATATACCGATAGAATGCTGTCTCTCGTCACTCAGCACCCGGTATGACTTGAGCGAACCGGTATCAGTATCGACAGACACAACGAGTACATCGGCCAAGAGCGAACCCTCTATTCTAGGCCAAAATTCGGTATTGTCTAAGGCAGCTGCATCACGTAGCGAATAATCGGAATGGTCAAATTCGGGATTATCTACAGCAGATGCAGCACGTAGCGAATAATCGGAATACAAAAATATGCCGCAAGGCTACTGTCTCGGGATAGAGGGTTCCCGTTTGAGCCTGTAGCACTGACTGCCCATATGTTGTCTGACTCTTTAAAAGAATAGATCGCCGACCAAAATCGATTGTTTCTGTTTAACACAAGAGAATAAATAAAATCTATGTTTGTTGATGGATGCACGCTGAAGCGTATATAGGCCGGCTGAATTGGTATGAAGTCGAGTTTAAGGCGATCTGCGTCTGACAGTCTTGTGTGTCCGGGTGGTGATAGAGCAGAACTTCGAGGGCGAGGGTATCGCGGGGGAACGCTGCTTTTTGTATAGTCGATTTAGACTTTGTATTGTCACAGCACGGTGGACGAGCTTGAGTTTGCAAGTCCCAACCAACGGGTCGCGCTTACACGAAGCAATAATCCGCAACGCAGAGAAGACGTTTTGTACCTGACACCAATTTCTGATCCCTAAACCCAAAGAGAGTCTTTTCAGGCACCAAGTAAAAACTGCATCTTCGATAATCGATGGGCTCCGGGCCAAGAATAATAAAATGGATGCCTCTAATAGCCGGCCTTGAACCTTGACATGTTCGGTAGCGCACTCGCCGCTCAGCCCAGCTTGACTTGATCAACATCTCTACCAATCAAAGGAAGCCCATCAGTCATGCATTTTATTGACAATGGTTGCATTGAAAACTGTCGAATTACCAACCCACCATATGTAAAAAGCAAAACCTAACGCTGAATCAAAACTCGCTCAAATGGTACATGTGCCTCACGCTGTTCTCCCCTCCCCCAGTTACAACTTGCTCGTCCGTTTGCTCTCGTGCCACTGCCGATTGATGCGGCCGTTCTGCCAGATCCTGTACGCAGCCACGAGCGCGGCCAGCGGCGGAACCCCCAGCAGCGTCCAGGACCACCACGGGGGGTTCTGCGCCTTGAGCTTCGCGAGGGCCTCGTGCACGCTGGCCGCGAGCTCCTCGCGCGAGCCGTCGTTCCAGAGCACGACGCCGCGGCCGTCGCCGCGGGCCTCGCAGCGGGCCGCCTTCTCCCGAACGTCGCCCTGGCTGCGCACGCGGTTCTCGGCGTCCTCGCGGCTCAGGTGCGGGTCGCGCGCGGCGAGGCGGCGCAGCTGCACCTCGGGGTCGCGGACGGCGACGACCACGGTGACGCCGCAGAAGCGGTCGAGGCCGCCCTCGAACAGCAGCGGCACGTCGAGCGCGACGGCCCAGCAGCCGCGCAGGTAGCACGCGAGCACGGCGCGGAACATGGCGCGGCGCACGGCCGGATGCACGATGGCGTTGAGCGCGGCGCGGTCGCGGCGCAGCGCCTCGGTCTCGCCGAACACGCGCCGCGTGGTCGCGGCGAAGTGTCGCACGATGGCGGCGTAGCCGGGCGTCCCGGGCTCGACGACCTGCCGCGCGAGCAGGTCGGCGTCGATGATGGGGATGTTGTGCGGCGGGGAGGATAGTAGTGATGAAACGGTCGACTTGCCCGTCGCGATGGACCCGGTCAAGCCGATGAGGAGCATCTCGGCTATGGCGTCGCGCGGGGCGGGAGTTGGGCTGGGTAGTATGGGATGGTGCGGATTCGTCGATACGGCGGCCGTTCGCGAGGGGACGATCGATTGGTCGTCGGTAGACGATCTCGTGATCTCTGGCTGGTTTAGCAAACTGCTGGTGAATTGTCGGGAATGACCGTGAGAGCTCGTCTTTCAACACAGAAATCTGGCGCCACTTATCAGTTAGACCAAGGTCTGTCCCGCCCCCACAGCTAGCCGAGGTGGGCGCATTTAAACCAAGGCATGATGATGCCAGCGCCAATTTAAACACAGGAAATAGGAACTGGCTTTGAAGATGGTAGGATTCAATGAACAGATTTGCATGTCTATTAAGTAGACTATACATTGACCTGTAGTGGCCCCAGCTAGTAAGCGACAGCTGCTACGAATGAATCCATAACTCCGGCCTGGATGAAACAGATCGTGGCCATGCAGGCAGGACAAAAAATAGACGAAGCAAGCTCGAATGGGGTTGGGCAGCAACCATTGGACGATTTCAAATTTCTATAGGCATCCGTATCCGTCAGGTAGTTTTGGGGCTTATATCATGCCGTGCGTGCGCAGTGACTCACAGGTGTATGACACGAGCCTCACGCGTCTGGTGCGTGAGAGGATCGCGCGTGGCTGAGTAGACTGGGACGTGGGATGACGCAGCGATTTGTCCTACTGATTTTGATTTAACCATCCTTCTGGGCTTTTTTTCCTTCTTACCTTTTTTCGGCGGGGGATGTAGCGCATGCCTTGTCTTGCTCGGCGCACAGCGATCACATGTCGGAGGCCGGAATAGAGGCGACACTACGGACATGGGTTGGCTAGTATTGGATATTTCTTCGATATGTTCTTCCCAGTTGTCTTCTTCTTCATCTGTCGCCGGCATCACAGCGCCAACGTTCGATTCACAAGGTCTGGCAATGCAAGTACCTAACACGCGAGGACCTGTGCTGGGTGGCGCCAGCGCGGGGAAGTACCCGTAACGCGGAAATTAGGCTAGCGGGTACCTAGGGGATAAAGGGGGTGGTGCCCAAAGTAAATGGGAAAAATTGGAAGATGGTGGCAGTGGTGCATGGGGTGTATTGAAGTTGTCGCTGTTGCTAGTTGGGCGGTAGAATATGGCAAAACATTCTTGTCCTTCCTCGCGCACCTTGTCAGTACGCACTTGTGCTGGTGCCTAGTTAAGGTAGGATTGATCAGTCTCAGTCATTTGCTAGGTACATACATACCTAACAAGTGTCGCCTGTAGGCCAGCCTGTAAAAATGTAGGTATTGACACATTAGCATTGTTCAATTCTAGTGTGGCGCAAGTGTGGCGTGAACAGCCAAAGAGGAAAAAAAAAAAAAGGCGGCCAAGGTAAGAGCCAGCGACAAATGACAAGGCAAGGCAAGGGGGCGTCGCCAGTCCAGTGCGAAAGTGGTAAAAGTGGCCCTTCCTTCCAAACCCAAACCTGCCTGCAAAGTAGGAACCTAGTCCCGGTACGAAAAGATTGTGTGCTGTCTGGTGTGGCTAGCCGGTACCTTCCTAGCAACCAGCGCACACCACACCACCTTTCCCGCACCCGCACCCACCCTTAATCATCTCGCTCGCCCAAAATTTTCTGCGCGACTCCCTCTCTCCAAACCTTCACCACTTCCAATCCCCCCAAACAACAAGGTGGTCCGGTGGAAATACCTCCCTTTTCCCCAGACCTACATCCCTTACCCTTCATCACCAGGGCATTGGATTCCTTCTTCTGAGTCTGCAGTACCAGAAGCTACTCGAGACACCTCCCATCTCGCAGTCCTGTTCGCCACACAGCAAGATCCACGGCGTTTTTTTTCTCTTGTCTTCTCCCACGACAAGAAGTCTCTCGCCCATCTCGCCTGTCGCTGTCCTTCCACCCGACCGACGAGCCCGACCGAAAACTCTCTTCTGACCTCGACCGTATTTTCCTTTCGATAATACAGTAGCGTGTTTCGATATACTTTCCTTCGGCTCGCCTATACTTTGGCATCTTAATATAGTCTCTTTTCGGCGCAAACTTATTTTTCTTTCGTTTGCCCCCCAAGAAACTATTTATTTTCGCTCTTTCCCTTCGGTCGCCGTTCCAGGTCTTCGACCCCAACCGACTTTTTTTTCTCAAAAGCACACCCATCACCTCGGTAATCCTCGTCAACAGTCGCTTACCTCAAAGCGACCCTCGACAGGAATACCCCTTGCGACTTCGGCTTCAGCACCCGTCCTTCCGGTTACTACGCCAAAGTCTACATCTTCCTTGACGACCCTACCTCGCGTCAAGTTTCCACCCTTCACTGTGGTGGCCTCTTCTTCTCCGGCTTTGCCACCGAAGAATGCAACTTTTGCTGCCTTGCCTGTTCCCGTAAACAGCCAGTCAGCCGACGCGCATTCCACCTCCCGCCGTTGTCCGTGGCTCCCAAGGTCGCAATCAACGGCTCGAATCTCTCCAAGAGATACACCATGGCGGCCAACGCCCCAAACACCGTCGCAAATGGCGGTCCTCCCGTGCCCATGGGAAACAAGTCCAACATCCAGTTTGGCTTTGATTCCCCTTCCGTCGCTCACAGCACCCCTCAGTCTGGAAACGCCGCTCCCATTCCTATCCCGTCAGGAAGCAACGCCGGTCGTGTGCCTTCTCCCGCACACTCGCCCTCTCCTATCCCACAGCCTTCGGCCAGCGGCGGTCGCCCGCCTTCCATGCAGGCTGGCGGCCAGATGACCTTTGGCAGCCTGGGCAGCGATGGCGAGGTTAGTACACTCTCTTTCCACCACGGTCTTCCCGCGTCCTCTGCCCTAGAACCCCAGCTAATCCTGCCATTCAGCGCCACATGAGACAGGGCTCTGTGCCTCCCAATCCCAACGCTATTCCCACCCAGCCGGGCGCTCACTTCCGACGTGAGTCGACGAACTCTCTCCACGGCGATAGCAACCGAGGCAACTACCAGGGCGGTCGCGGTCGTGGCTACAACAACCATCATAACAACTACAACAACCAGTTGGGCTACCCCCCTAACAACCAGTTCCGCAACGGCCAGGGTCGTGGCATGCCTCCTGCTTTCCAGCCTCAGGGTCGCGGCATGCCCTACCCTAACTCGCCTCACCAGCCTAACCGCAGCCCTGCCCCAGTCTCCTCCATGCCCAACACCCCGAACATGCCTCCCGCCAACATGCACGGTCACATGCAGACGCCTCCTCAGTACCACTACCCGCCGCCTATGGCTCCTCAGCAGCAACAAGTACAGTACCCCTTTCCCCGAGTTTTTTCAAAATCGCACAAAAAGTACCCCCAACGCCGTGAGCAAGACAAGGTTTTATCAGATTTGCGACGTCAACCAGGCTCTACGGTCAAGTACCATGCCGGCTACATCAATCCGCCCCAGCTCAGCGACATTTCTGAGCAGTCGGATCAGAGACAGCCTCGCATGCACATTTTGCCTTCAAAGCTTGCTGGTGGCCTGACCAACTCTGAGATTCAACCAAAGTCAAACCACAGTGCCCTCCTTAATCATCCCGACTCCAACTCATTTGACCTGTCTCCAGAAAATGGAGGTTTTGAACGACTGCTAACTATGAAACATCAGAACTACGGCTATCCGCCTCCGCAACACGAGCGCTACGGCCATCCTATGAACATGGGCTATGGCTACAACAATGTTCCCCCGTACATGGCTGGCCCTCCCCAGGGTAACACCGGCTATGGCCAGCAGTACCCTCCTGCTTTCCATCAGCAAAGCACTAGCATGTCCCGGAGTCCCTCTCAGCCAGAGCGTCCTTCCAGCGCTAGTCAACCTAATCAACCCGTTGTTGTATCCTCTACCCAGGCTCAAGGTGCTAATGCCGCCAAGGGCGCCAACACTTTTGTCATGCCCCGCAAGAGCGCTGCTATCCAGATCAAGAACCTCGCTGGTGAGGTTGTGGACACATCTTCTTTCAAAGCACCGGCATCTCCTGCTCCCCAGCACGCCCGAACACCGCCCGTCGTCGCTTCGACTCCTACACCGCCTCCCGTGAAGCCTAGCACTCCTTCCCACGGACGCACCGACAGCCAGGCCACCCCGAAAACCGCCAAGGAAATTCAGGATGAGCTTAAGGAGAAGATTAAGCGCGCCACACAGCAGTCCGCTGCTGCTGATGAGCCTGTCACTGCCAAGACGGATGCTCCCACTCCTAAAGTCGCTGAGGCTCCCAAGCCCGAACCCGTTGTCAAGGAGGAGCCCAAGGCCGCCGAGGCTGCCAAGAGTGACGACCCTGATGAGGATGAAATGGAACGCATGATTCGTGAAATGGAAGAGGCTGATGCCCGCCGCGAAAAGGAGGAAGAGGAGCATCGCCAGCGCAGAGAGGCTGAAAAGGCCGAAGCTAAGAAGAACGAGGAGTCGAACCGCAAGGTCAACGCCGAAGAGGAAGACCGCAAGCTGCGAGAGCAAGAGCGTGAGATGGAACGCCTTGAAGAGGAGCGCGAGCGTAAGCGCAATGAGGCTGAGAACTCCGGCAAGACCATGTCCGTTGCCGAAGCCCTCGCCAAGGCTCGCTCCGGCGGCGCTGACGGCAACGTCGACTCGGTCACTGATAAGCTTGCCGACATGAAGATCGAGGGTGACAAGACTAGCGAGAACAAGCATTCCGAGAAGCGCGCTGCCAAGCCCGCGGCGCTTAACCTTGCACCTCTTAACACTAAGCCCGTTGAGCCGCCTCAGCCTACTCCTGCCATGCAGTCCCTCAAGTCTGCCCGCTTCCTGCAGGTCATCGAGCAAAATCTCTACCCACCTGGCATCAACTCGCCTAACCCTGCTCTGAATGCTGCTGTCACGAAGAAGGGCAAGACGTTCAGATATGACGCCGGGTTCCTTTTGCAATTCCAAAAGGTCTTCACCGAGCAGCCCTCTATCGAGTTTCATCAGCAAGTCAAGTCCCTCATCGGTGACGGCGATGGCAACAACCGCTCCTCTGCCCGCACCCCCGCGTCTGGTAACCCTAGACAGCCTTCCCGTGGCGGTTCCAGCTTCCCTGGCGGTCCCTTCAATGCACCCCCCGGCCGTGGTGGTATGCCCGGCGGAGTTCTTCCTGGCAAGCCGGGCAGCATGCCCCCCATGAACTCTTTCCAGCGCCCTGGCGCTCCTTTCCCTGGCCCTGGCGGCATGGTGCGCTCAAGTTCTCAGCGCGGTGCTGGCCCCAACTCTCCTCGCCAGAGCAGTCGCCAGACTCGCGGCAGCCGGCGTAACGAAGCCCAGGCTGCTAAGACCATGCCTCTCACTGCCGGCCAGGAGGTTAAGCCTATTTCCGTCTCCGCCACTGGCTGGAAGCCCACCAGCGTTGGCAAGAGCGCTGTTGCCAATTCTGCCGCGAACGCTGGATACCTTGATCCGGAGATGGTCCAGAGAAAGGTCAAGGCTGCTCTCAACAAGATGACCCCCGAAAAGTTCGACAGAATTGCCGACCAAATCCTCGAAATTGCCTCACAGTCCAAGGATGAGTCCGACGGCCGCACTCTTCGCCAGGTCATTCAGCTCACCTTTGAGAAGGCTACTGACGAATCCCACTGGGCTTCCATGTATGCCAAGTTTTGCAAGCGCATGCTTGAGACCATGAGCCCCGAGGTCCGTGATGAGAGAATCAAGGACAAGAATGGCAATATTGTTAGTGGTGGCAACCTCTTCCGCAAGTATCTTCTCAACAGATGCCAGGAAGACTTCGAGCGCGGTTGGTCTGTCAACTTGCCCGAGGCCCCCAAGGAGGAGAAGAAGGAAGACGCCGAAGCCAAGAAGAATGGTGAGGCGGAGCTCATGTCCGATGAGTACTACGTGGCTGCTGCTGCCAAGCGTCGTGGTCTCGGTCTTGTTCAGTTCATTGGTGAACTTTACAAGCTCGGTATGCTTACGGAACGTATCATGCATGAGTGTGTGCACAAGCTTGTTGACTACAAGGGCATTCCTGACGAGGCCGAGGTCGAGTCGCTCTGCAAGCTGCTGAGAACCATTGGCTTCAACCTTGACGAGACTGAGAAGGGCCGTCCCATGATGGATGCCTACTTTGCTCGCATCCAGACCATGATCGATCTTCCTGAGCTTCCTAGCCGTATCAAGTTCTTGCTTATGGACATTGTTGACCTGCGCAAGGTTGGCTGGAGAGCCAAGTCTCGCGGTCTTGCCGCCCCCAAGACGCTTGATGAGATCCGTGCCGAGGCTGAAGCTGCTCAGGCTGCGAAAGCCCAAGAGACTGCCAGAAGCAACCAGCGTGGCGGCGGCCGTCCTCCTGTCGGCCGTGGTGATGTTCGCACCTTCTCCGCTGGCTATAACCAGCAGACTAGCAACCAGGTTGGCATGGATGACTTGAGACGCCTCAAGGGCTCCATCAACAGAACTGCGAGCTCGAATGTCACGCTTGGTCCCACCTCGATGTTCTCCTCTCGCAGCAACAGTGGTCGTCGCATGGGCCCTGGTGGCTCTCTGGGCCGTGGCGAGGACTCTGCGATGTCCTCCCGCGCCGGCACGCCTCCCACTCGCGAGAACTCCAACACCTTCAGTCTCTTGGCCAATATGGATTCTGAGAACCCTGCCTCCCCGCCATCCGCCGCTGCTTCCCCGGCCCTGTCAAAAGCTGTCCCCGACAGTGACAAGAAAGAGAGCGAATAAGTAATCATTTTTCTGTTTCTTTCATTCTCGGTGTCTTGCATTTCGGGTGATAGACTTGGCGGGACTTTGTTCATCTGATTTTCCCATTCCCACAACTGCATTATTCTTTTTCTCTTTTTGAAAGATTTCATTCGACCGCACTTCATCTACGATACCCTCGCCCAATAGAACATATGAGCCAAATATTGGCACACGCCTTCTCCTAGACGAGGGAGCACTGTCCGGGACCAAAAGGGGAACGCTGTTATTTCTTCACCAATGTGTTGATACCTGTTCGAAATTACCGACCTATCGGTGCGCTTCGCACCCAATGGATCTTTGTTTTTTCCTCTCTAGGAGCAGTTGGTCTTGAACGAAGTCTATTTGCACCAATGGCCGGCCACTCTTGATGAAGCCGAATTCTTGGACACGAGGTCAATGATTGGGAGTCTTTGTTGTCATGTCCAGGAACGAACGAATTTGGCTGCATAACGGTTAATGCGCGACGTACGACGCCTTGGCTTCATGCAGAGGAAATGAACTGAAGAAGGGCCTTTCGAGGAGGAAGACCAAAAGTTTGTTTTTTTGAGACCCTTTACTCGTGGGGGTTGGGTTTCATTTTTTATTACTCTTTTTTATTATTTCTTCTCGTTCCATATAGGATCAAAGTCGTCTCCTTTGCTGTCCTGCCGTGCGCGAGGATTCAAGATGCTGCTCCCCGCTGGCACATGCTTGTTTATTTCTTGGCACCAATGACTTGCCGATTGAGGGCGCTTTCTTGCCGTAAGCTGTTTTTATTGTACACCATCCATCTAATTGCAGAAACAGAAGTAGCAGTAGTGGAGAAAGAAAAATTTATACATTTTGTTCAGACTTGATGATGCTGCTTGTGAACGTGTTGCTGCTCCCATTATGACGTGATTCCTTGACGAACGATTGGCTCACATGAACTTCTTTGTGCCGTGTGCAGCCGTAGAGGAACGAACGTACGTGTAACTCGTGTAAACGTGCAATCTAAATAAGTGCAAAACTATCAAGGAGAATGGTGGTCTGATGAAACCAAGGCTGTAAATGTAAATAATGCAGTGAATATAAATGCTATCTTAATGAATGCCTATAGATGATCCAGGATGACATGTCGTACTAACAAAAAGAGACAGCCCAAGAACATACAGAAGAACAGGCTGTAACTGAACCAACAGCGTCTTCCGACAGAGCGCAAAAACAACAATTCAATTCCAAAAAGAAAACCAGCTGTCCAACAGACTCGAATACCTTGCCTCCCGGTCCTTGCAAACGCCCCGCCCATATGCAGATACGAAAACAAACAAAATACACATGCCACTAAAGCCTTCTTTTCCTTTCCATCATGACACGGCGAGGAGCTTGTTGAAACCCAGACGCGCAAACAGCGAGTCCATGGCTACCCACTGGCGGCCGCACTTGTCGAGGTAGCGGTCCACGACGCCTTTGACGGTGCTGAAGCGCACGCGGTTGTGCTCGGCGAGAGCGAGAACCTTTTCGCGGTCTTGGCTGGACAGCGCGCAGTCGGCGGCCGAGACGCGATTGCGGGCGCGATCCACGTCCCAGAGGCTGACAAAGTACACAAGCTGGTTGTAGATGGCCTTCTCTGTGTACTCGTAGCGCATGCGGCCGAGGCAATCCCTTGCCAGGCCTTTGGGCCCAAGGCAGCGCGTGCCGTAGACGCTCATCTGGCGCGTGCGGTTTCCACATTGTGAGTCATCGCAGACCAGCCAGCCCTCATAATAACGAGTACTCTGAACACGAATGGCATGTTCGACTTGTGCCACAATGGAGATGTTGGGGATGATGGCGTTGCAGGCGCCGCAGACGACGCCAGAGGCTGAAACGCGATCTGGAGCTGCCGCCAGGCCCTCGAATGGTGTCGAGGACTTGCACTTGCGGCAGCGAAGTGAGAGTCGTGTACAGTCCGCAAAACGGACCTCGTCAGGAATCTGAGACTCGAGAGGGTGGATTTCGAGGTCGTCACTGGCGCTGTTTTGCTGAGTCTGCAGAGAGCTATATCTACGCACATCCAACCCAAGCTGCTCTGCGAGCTGGGATGTTGAGGTGCCGACAATGTTGGCGCAAAGACGCTCGACGGGAGGGAAGATTTGCTTGCCAAGATACCACTCAACGTCGGGAACCAGCGTCGCGTCTGTTTTGAGGTCACCAGGCGCGCGAGCACGTTTGGCTGGTGGCTCGGAGCTATTGCCATCTCCTGTGATGACATACGAGACGACATCCCCCCTGCGAACAACCTTGCCACGGGCAATATCGCGGAGTGCGACCTGGACCTGGGGCATAGAGTCGGCATTGGGGTATTCCTTGGGGCCTTTACCAAGCTGCGTGAAGATGATGTATTTGGCAGCAGGAATGGTCTGCTCACGCATCTTGGTGGCAATATCCCTGAGATATTCGTGAATTCGCGAAACAGCAACCTCAGTATCGGCGCCGGACAAGATCTCGTCGAGAAGGTGCTTGGAAATCTCTTTGGACAGGGCGCAGAATTCACGACGTCGCATATCCAGACCCTTGACTTCCATTTGTTCAATGAATTTGCCATCCTTCTCAACGAGATTGATGGCAGCATACTTCTTCTTGGCTTGTAGCAGAATGCGCCGGAAGACATTGTCAATGTCGATTTCCAAAAGCCGGTATTGCTCATTGACGGCCTTTTTGAATTCATTGCCGACCTTGAAAGCATCGGCGACACTGTCTACATTGGCGTTGATCATGACCGAGTCAGTATCACCGTAAATAACTTGCAGGGACTTGCTTTCTGCGAGCTCCTTGGTGCTCCTGAGAATTTCACGACCTTTGAATGTGGTCAGAACAGCGAGGGGGCGCGCGTAGAATCTTGACTTGGTATAGCCCAAGCAGCCATACATGGAGTTGGCAGTGAGCTTCAAGGCAAGCTGCTTGATATCCCAGGTTGCGAGCTGTTCCGCTGTCGCGCTCTTGTCCTTCATGAGACTCTTGACCTGGCGACGTCGTCCAACGAGCGTGGAGATCAACTTGGGGAGGATGCCCTGCTCCTGCTCTTTCGGGACTTCGGGAACAGCGTCTTCGTCCTCGCTCAGGGCAGTGCGGTCGACTGTCGTGAAGCAGATGTTGAACTCCTGAATAATGGAGGGATACAAAGAGTTGAAGTCCATGACAAGGACAAACTTGTCATACAGACCCTTTTCAGGCTCGAAGACGAGGCCACCCTTGTATTTATCTTTTTTCTTGCCCTCTCCCGCTTCTTCCTCGTTCTCCTCCGAAGCTTTCTGGCGACCACGGAAAGTCTGCTTATCCGGGCAGATGTATTTGTTGCGATGGAATTCATGAAGTAGAATGTACTCGTTTCTTTCAGCTCGCGTACCTGTCAGAGTGCGCGCCCAAGAATTACCAGCAAGATTGGTCAAGACCTTGGTCAACGGTAGCATCTGGACGCTAATGGCCAGAGCAGCAATATAATGTGTGTCGGCCTCCATGTGGGTGATGTAGTCCACGAGGCCTTGCTTTTCTTTGGCCCAGCTGTTGAGCGCAGCCTCGTTGTCGACATCGCGGCGACGGTTGTCACCAGTCAGATAGAGGCTACACATCTCCGTCAAGCTCCAAGTCTGACACTTGTACATGGCCGATTTGCCTGCCTCGTTCGCCAAATCGCAAAGAAGTCGGCCTGCAATGATTTGACGCTCGGCAAAAACGCTACCACCCATCTTTGCCATTGCTTGCGGCCATTGGGTCCTCCTGAATCTTCCGAGCCTCGACCACTGGTGCGTCTTCTTCTCTTGTAAGCGATTCAAGAGAACACTATAGTCAACACCTTCAAGCTGGTGACCGAGGATAACGTCAGGGTCGGCAACGTCAATCTGAGCTAGGAAGAAGCTGAGGATATCTGATTCTTGCTTCTTCATGACAATGAGGCCGCGATTACGGGACCTTGCAAGCTGTTCAAAGCCCAGGGGGAAGTTCTGTCCGTGAGGCCGAATGACCGTGAATGTTCTGCAAGGCAACTTCTCGGCCGGGGTTGTGTCGCTGAGAAGCACCTTTTCGTAGATTCTGGCGCTGATGGCGAGGATTTCTTGCTTGTTCTCCTTCGAATTGAAAGCAGTGCGTAGAGAGACACTCATTAGAGTCAGAGGAGGTGCATCAAGATTATCGGACTCGCTCGCAACTGATAGCATGTTTGGATGCTCAGCCAGGACCTCTAATTTGCAGTGAGAAGCATTCTTGATCGCGCCAAAGTCAGCGTCTTCGATCTTGAGCCAGCAAGGGCCCATGACGTTCTTCCAAAGGACAAACTGCTCGAACAGCGCTGTGTTGGAGCCGAAAACATGAGAAAAGGTCTGGCCGGTGGCGTTGGGATCGATTTGTTGCTTGGTATAGGGATAGAGAAGCTTCATGTACTGTGCTTCTTTTGGTACGCCAGGTAGTTCAAAGGCGTATTTCCGAGTACAGGCCTTGATCTTGTACATGCCAACATTCTTTTTGGTCATGATCTCATCGACTTCGTTGTAAACGTCCATCATTTCAACGGTCTCGTCGGTCTCTTCGCCATCGCGAATGCGGTGCTCACGAGGCAGGAAGTAAAGCTTTCTCAGAATGTTGTCAACCTTGACAAAGCAGCTTACGTGTTCTTTTGTTTTCTTGTTTAGGACTTTGCCGAAGAGACAGAGACTGCCGTTGACCTCAGTGTAATCAGTCCAAAAAAAGTTGAGGCTGCCATCAGCCTCAACGGTGTCCTTGTGGTCAATCTTACCCACGCCGCGGGTCTCTGAAGGGTTGCTGACGACGTTGAGCTTCTCTGTCAATTTGTTCCAGGACGAGGAATCAACGTCATCAACCGGCTTTACGGGCGATGAGCTAGCTGGGGATGGGTAGTGCTCTTCTTTGCGCAGCTTCTTGATAGGGCGAGAACTGGCCAAATTGACCGAGGTGGTTGTAACAGCGGCGGCGTGAGCGACTTCCATGGTGTCCTCGTCGTCGGAATCTTCCTTCTTGATTTCTTGCTTCAATTGGGCTTTGCGCCGAGCTACCTTGGCGGCAGGGGACGACGGGGCCGGGTCGCTCATCAATACGTCGCTTGCAGGCATGGAATCGTCTTCCAGAGGTGGCATGTATCCGTCATCACTCTGAGGGAGGGGAGATGGCGGCGACAGGAGTCTAGTGTCAAGTCGCTTCTGCTTCTTGCCAGACGGCTCCGGCGCAGGCGAAAGCGCTCTCGACTTGCGGCGGTCACCTGAGCGCTCCTGTTTTGAGATTCTTGGAAGGGGGGCGGGAATGTTGCTGTCAACCTCGCCGAGAAGGTTTGCCATGAAGTCTTCGTCATCCTCGGTCTTGACAATCTAAGCGTTGCAGCAGGTTAGCCTTTGGCTGGCGGTAGGTGCAGAGTGAGCAAAACTGCGCTGGCGCACCTTTGGTTTTTGTTGCGGCTTGGTCGCATTTTTGGCAAAGTATTCGCTAATATTTCGGTCGTTGGCATCTCGCTTGGCTTGCTCTGCTTGGCGGTTTGCTTTGCCTGGGATGCTTTAGCGATTGGGCTAGGAATGAGGAGGCGTACGAGGCTTACCGGCTTTGCTTGGGCGGCCCCGTGCCGGAAGATCTTCCAGGTCGCTCTCTGAATCATATTGACGGATGCGATCCCAGTCTTCACGACCATCATCGGCATACCCCTCGCCATTGTCGTCAACAACGAAATCGTCCTGGTTCAGGCGATCCCGGACAATCTTTTTATAGCCGTCTTCATCGACTTCGTCGTACAGGGAGTTGACATCTTCCACTTGGTAGTTGTCGAATGCCTTCTTGCCGGCCTTGCGGAGGGCCTTAAGCTCTGCGAGCTTGGCCCTGTGGTTGACCTTGGACATGGCGGGCTGGGAATGCTGGAGCAGCCTCTAGGGGAAGGACGCAGATGCAAACATGGAACAAGAAATGATTGATTAATTGAGGGACTGGGCGATGGGTGGAAGAGTAGAGCCAATCCGTCAGTGAGTGAGTGGTATGTAATCTTGTCAATGGAGGTGATGGTGTAGACGGGTGTGTACCACCACCACTGACTTGACCACAGAGAGACACTGTAATAGAAACCACTTTCAAGGGGCGCGTTCCTTGTTCCCTGTAGCCCAGCTAGCACGCGTCGCGTTGGTGCAGGACGCGACCTGGCCCACTGCAGCTTAAGTGCAGAGTCCACGTAGGGACTAGCGCAACTTTCTACAACAACCGACATGCGGCTGCCCAATCGGAACATTGCGTTCTTTCTAACAATCCATCAACAGCTTGTTGCTTGCTTGCATGCTCGCTTGCTTCCTGCTCTCAAATTGCGGTCAGTCAGTCAGTACCTGCCTGCATCTAGAATCTCGAACCGCCCTTGGTTGCTGTAGCTGCAGTCTCCCGATACGGCTTTCCCACCTCCCTCCACCTTGACCATCCTGCACCTGGAAGCTGGCATCCGCCGGAATCTGCGTCCTTCATCTTTCAGTCAAGTCAGCTGTCCCTTGGTTAAGAACATTGCGTCTCTCCCGCCCTCCCATTACTAGTATCTCAATCCTTCATATATATCCGCCGGCATGACTGTCTTTTTCAAAAAGCGTGACAAAGGCGATGCCTCGGACAAGAAAGACATCGAGCGGTCGACTCGGCTTCAGCCAGAGTCTACTACCTCAACTATTAGCTAGCGGCTATGGAAAGCTCGCCAACGTCCTTCTCATTCGGCTGCCGGCTGCTTGGGACCTGCACGCCCCAGCAATGACGGCCGGAAATGGTTTCGCAGCCTGCACTCTCCTCATCCCGAACTCGGTACTCACTCCAATCGTGAGGATCATGCTGACCCCCATGGTCATGACGGCATCTTGGAACTAGCCGCCGCAGACGATGCTTCTCCAAGTATGCAGCATCCCCTGGCCTTGTCTACTTGAATACTCTTGACAGTCTCTAACAAGAGCCATCACAGTTCCCGTCCGCCAGTTTCGCCGTCGAAAGAGCCTCGGGGAGCTCGTTCAGGGCATCAGAGGAAAATATTCACGCGAGAAAATGCTCAAGGAGGCCGATGCTGATTCCCGTAACACTGCCCAGTCTGGCACAAACACAAACGCGTCAGCTGCAACATCTTCGGTCTTTCAACCCTTGTTCGTCCCAAACGCACCGCAAAACCGCCACTCACTCCCCGTACCAATCCCTGAACGTTCTGCATCCATTCCCTACGAGAGCCTCCTACTTTCTTCTGTCTCCTCCGCACCCCCGCGGCTTGATGCTCTACCTGATTTTGCCCTGGATGGTTTTCAGAAATCCTCTACTTTTCTTGGTGGCCTTGAAAAGGCCGTCAACGATATCAATACCAAATATGGAGATTCTACCAAGACATGCGTTACTTCAACCTCTCCGACAAGCTCGGTTGCAGCTCGAGACAAGAATATCGCTAAGGCTAGATGTATGGTGCCAGTCTATGTCGACACCTCTAAACCTCGACCAGTTATCGGCGAGCTTTGGACTACTCTCAATTCCCACGGCGAGTCTCTACAGCCCTCCAAGCCACTCACGGGAGCACCCAAGGATCATGTCGACACTGCGTACGAAGCTGACTGCAGCGGAGCTGAGAACAATGGTGAATCTACAGGATCTGATACTGGGTCTCCTGCAATCACTCGGCCAAGTACTGCCGAATTGCCAGAGAGCCTGCCCGTTGCAGCTGCCGACCAACCTGCCGATGACAACCAAAATACGAGCATCTCCCACCTCGACAATCCCGTGTCTAATGGCGCTGATGTGGCAACCGATCTCAACTGCCCAGACATGCCTGTTTCCGCAGATATCGAAGCTGCCAGTTCCCCGCCTTTGGCTGGCGACGATAGCGTCTGCTCCAGCGTCTGCTCAAGCTTCTGCTCAAAGGATTTACAGAACACGTCTGCTGTATCGCATAACCCAGCTCCCGATCAAAGCTCTTCTGTAACCAACGAAATCGCTGGCCACGGGCCGCCCTTGGAGGACCCGACGCCAGAAAGCAGGGCCAGCCGGGCAAGAAACTCTTCAGCGCCTTCCGTGGCTGCTCTTGTGAGCAAATTTCGGCGAATGGAGCAGTCTCCTGACAGTAATCATCAGGCTGAGCCTCGAGAGCAAGACCAAGTGTCAGTAGAATCCAAAGAGTCCAACTCGAGATTTATCCAGTCATATCGCCAGCGCTCGGAAGACAGTGACAACGAAGATGGCCTATTGTCCACTGTGAGCAGCGACAATGCTGGCGCCGGGAGACCGAAGGTTGCTGTGTATTGAGCGTCCCCGTCCATGGTGTTGACGACGGAGGAACTATTTGGTATATCCTTAGGTAGTCGCTATAGCAATAATCGGGCTTTGTGGCGTGGTAATCAGGGGTCAGAATTGATTAATATACAAGTGCATTTATTAGACGCTTCTTTATGTGTTTATACATGGCGTGATACTACTAATACATGGGTTAGACTGCAGACAAGTCAACCAACTTTTTCTCATGACGACTAGTTTTTCTGAGCCATAAGAGTAGCCCACAGAGATTGGTCGCTTTGATCAGTACCGCCCGTTGTGGCCACCTTTGCCTTGTCTGTAGGCTTACCGCCCGCGTCGGTTGTCACGTCCCCAGCAGCAGACTTAATGGGGATGAAGACCTCTGTTGGCGCGTCTTCCCGCTCTGCCGGCCGAAGCTTGCCAATGGAAGGGGAGACCCATCGATCAATCAGCGGCTTGTCGGCATCGTCCCTGCTCCCGGTGCCTGTCCGCTTCTCCTGCGCCCTTGTCCCCATCTTCCTCGTGTTCCACACAAAGTCGCCGCCTTGCCGCAGTTTGAGCGAGCGCATGCCGGCCTCGTCGACCTTGTCGTCGAGTGCCGGCATGTCAATGTCGAACACGGACCTGCTGCTGCTGCTGCTGCTGCTGCTGCTGCTCTCCCCTCCGTAAGTCGCCGCCGCCTCGCGCTTCCGGGCCGCCGTCGCCTTGGGGTTGAGCTTGGGCTCGCGCAGCTCCCGGCCGGCGAAGAAGGCGGTGACGCCCTTGTTGATCTTGGCCGAGGCGATGATCATGTCGCGGTTGTCGTTGCCGGGCAGCATCTTCTCCTCGACGACCTTGGAGAAGGCGCCGACCATCATGCGGCCGAGCGCGATGACCTCCTTTTGGTTGTTGTATAGGGTGCCCGCATCGGTGGTGGTGGGTGAGGTGGCGGCGGCAGCCCCGCTCTTGAAGTACTTGTTGTAGAGCCCGATGTAGGGGTGCCAGAGCTCGGCGAGGGCGGTGGCGATTTGCCGGCCGTACGCGGCCTTGGCGCCGACCTCGTCGCCGGTGCCGGCGCGTCCGCGGAAGGCGGCGTGGCTGACGAGTGCAACGCGCAGGTAGAGGCGCATGGTGTGCATGTCGGGCGACGCCGGGGCGAGGCGGGCGCGCATGGTGCGCAGGATGCGCGTGGCGTGCGTCATGACGTGCGGGTTGACATTGTCGCGGACGCAGGCCTCCATGGCGATGCCAAAGGAGCGCGCGGCGACGGCGATGCCGGATGCGGGCAGCGTGTCGAGGACCTGCGCGGCCTGCGCGCTCGACCGGGATGACTTGAGCACGCCAATCATGCGCAGCCAGTTGTCGTCGTCGGGCACCAGCCCGCCGTCGTGCACGAGCAGGTTCCAGTAGGCCGGAGCGGCGCCGGCCTGCCGCCCGGTGAGGAGTGCGGTGAGGATGAGGGCGAGCGTGTTCTGGCCGGGCTGAACAAAGGCGTCTAAGCGGCGGTAGTCTCTCGACATGCGGCGCTCTGACGAGGGTTCCGGTGAGGAGGTGGCTGGAGAGGGCTTCGCCGCGCCTTTGGCAGCGACCAAGTTGGGGATATTCATGGTCTGCTCGATGAGGTCCAGGACGCGGAGCTTCTCCTTGCGGTCCGTGGCGAGGAGCTGCAGACGGCCCATGGTGCAGACGAGCGGTTCATCGAGGCGCAGCTTGCCGCGGCGCCACTTGTCGAGCACCTCAGCCCAGATCTGCTGGCCGCGGGCGATCATCTTGTCAACGTTGGCCTTCTTGGTATCCTTGTCGAGGTCGTTGTACTCGCGCCACACGTACTGGCGCATGCCGGTGAGGATGACGCCGTAGGTGGCGGCGGTCGGCGCGAGCCCCAGCTCCTCGAGCTCGCCGGCGACGAGGAAGAGCTGGTCAATGTCGTGGGCGCGCGCGCAGACGCTGAGCACGGCGTTGAGGTGGATCGTGTTGGGCTGCAGGCGGCGGTCGTTTTTGAGCTGGTTGAAGAGCTTGACAGCCTCGGCGACGGCGTTCTTGGGGTGGTTCGACTTGGCGAGGCCGCGGAACATGATGGTGTAGGTTTGGGCGTTGGGGAATTGGGCGCGCTTTTTCATCTGCGGTTGGCGAAAAGAGAATCGGTTAGCAAAAGAAGGCATTGAGGATCAGGAATTAGCAGGCATACGTTGTTGTAGGTAGTCATGGCCCTCTTTATTTGCTGCTGCTTCAGCGAGTAGTCAATGAGGTGGTTCCAGGACACTACCGTGTCAAGGTCCTTGCTTGCAAGCTCAACCGTAGTCAGGGCATCGTCAAACTTGTCCTTGGCAAGCAAGTCCTCGATATACTTTCCCAGGACCCAGGGATCGGTAATGAATTCGAGTTGCTTCGCGAGGGCCCTGGTCGACGGTTTCCGGCCCGTCTTGGTCTTGACAGCCGCAGGCTCTGCTTCTGGTGTTGCCGCACCCACGGAGGCGTACCGGCGTCCCGCGATGAAACCTGCGGGACGTATAATTCGTGATGTGCGCGCCGCTGCCGCAGGCAGGGCAACTCGGCGCAAGCACGCCGCGACGCCGAGCACACGAGCAGACATTTGCGGTCGTTCGGAAGGTCGTTACCGGGAGCGCATGGACGGTCAAGTCGGGTCGTTAATAATTTGGCTCGAAAAGTAAAAATCGGCCGAAAGAAGACGGGTTTGACGTAAAGTAAGTTGTAACGCCCGTGAGTAACAGATCGTCGACGTGGAAGGCCTAAAATCGCCCCTGGTTGTACTTTTTTCCTCCCGCCTTTATACTCTCGAGTACGATAAGATAAGGCTGTGTGACGGACAACACGCGCCACCCGCCGAGTAGAGTAACTTGTGCTTTGGCTTACCATCGATCACAGCGAAAAAGGCCCGGGAGAAAAATACAAAATAAAAATACAGGGCAAAGACGGGACATACCCTTTTCTCGGGAACACATCAATTGCTCAACCTCGCTTTTCGCTCCTGATTTGCTGCTACGCAGTCTTTTTTGCAACTCCTTGCTATTCACCATGGCGCCCGTTGCCAAGGAATTCGACAAGATCATCCAGGACGGTACGTTTCACGTCCTCTTACGCCTACAAAGTCGACGGCTGACATGTGAGAATAACAAAAATATAGGCCGCGAGCGAAAGAGAAATGAAGCACTCGCCAGCCGAATCTTCTCCAAGGGCCGCCGCCAGAGCGCGCCGTCCAAGCTCAAGGCCGCCGCCGGACCGTCCCTCGCCAGTCGCGTAGGCGTCCGCAAGGTACCACCACCACTCCCTCCCTCCCAGCTTTCGCGATTCCGAACTTTTGTCTGACCGAGCCGTGCCCGAACGATGAATAGATCCCGCAGCGCGCCATCACCTCGGGCCGTCGGGCGAGCGTGCCCGCCGGCAACGTGAACGGAGAATGGACGCACGACCTGCACGACACGGTCCGCGGCGGCGGCGGCAGCAGCAGCGCCGCGGCCTCTACATCCCTCGGGGCGCGCGTTACGCTCCCCGGCCAGAACCTGTTCAAGCGGGCCGTGGCGCGCCAGGCCAAGCTGGCAGCGGCCGCCTCCAACGCCATGGACATTGACGGCGGCAGCGGCGGCAAGGGCGCCGCTGCTGCGCGCGGTCAGGTCAATGTGCGGTCGGCGGCGCCGCGGCAGCAGCAGCAGCAACAGCAGGGGATCTCGATCCGCGGCATCGCGGGGCCGTTCGCCGTCATGGGGCAAAACTTTGCGCCGGGCACGACGCCGGCGGACGTCGAGAGCGCCATGACGCCGATCGGCGGCGAGATGATCCGCTGCGCAGTCGTCAAGTCGCAGCCGTTCCTGATGATGGAGATGGTGTTTGCGTCCAAGGAGGGCGCGGAGCGTGTCATTGAGACGTTCAACGACAAGACGGTGCGTTTCCTCTCTACCGGGCGAGATTGTCTGGAGGAGGCGGGTCTCTCTTTTTTTTGTTGCAGGGAACAGACGCTGACAAAATTTTACAATAGGCCGACGGTCGCATCCTCAAGGTATACCCCAAGGTCGGCGGCTACCAACCCGCCGCCGCCAGCAGCGACGTGATGCAGAGCGTCTCCGGTAACAACAGAAGCGGCGGCGACTTGTTCAGTGACAGGATCGGCGCCGGGAAGCGCGGTGGCCGTGGCGGTCGTCGGGGCGGGCGCATCTAAGGGCATCAAATGCTTCCCACTTCCTCCTCCACCGAGGTGTTTTGTCTTTGGGTTTGGGTTTGGTGTGAACCTTGGGAATTGTTTTTTTTTTGTGTATGCGTGTAATTTGTTGCTTGGTTTTGTTCTTCATATTTGTTGGCGCAAGGCACTTACTTGATTGTTTGTATTTTAAAATTGCGTTTTGTTTTCTCTTGTGGCACCATCCCCCGGGCATTGGCGTTGTGATTATAGAAATATGAAAAAAAGATTGGTTAGGAGCGATGCACGAACAGGCCTGATCAAATACATGTGTGAAAAAGTCAACCAACACCCGGTCGAAGGCGTGGCTCGTGCCCGTCATGCCTAGGATCCTACACTTCATGGAGAGCATTCTTTTGAAGCGATTCTTGTCCCTCTCTCCATTGCGATAAAGGTATGCTATATACGCTATGAGAAGCCTGATCATCGGCATGTTTTGATAGAAATACAAAAGAAAATGAGTTTAAACCCAACGGAAAACAAAGGTATTCTCTGGCCATCAATCCCGTCGTGAATCCACCTCTTGGATCTGCGCATCCAGCCCATAACCGTTCCCAATCTCCCAATGATAAACCAACCAATACATGCCTCCGTAACCGTCTTAACCACATATTTCAAGTTGCCACATAAAAAAAGATACCAGTGGGTGGAGAGGCTCCAAGAATTGCAGGGTTCCAAAGCCGGATCACCCAGACTGGTGGGTATCCTCGCGCATCACCGTTAATCAGCAAAGTCGCGTTGGACCAATCTTGGCTGCCTATCTGCATTGCGACGGTCCATGCATCATGGACGGTTGCAACCTTCTGACTCGTCACGCATCATATATAGCTGCGCATCAAAAGGTCGGAGCTTTCGTCGTGCTCTCGAAGACATGGGGTGCCCTTTCGTTTTCATGCTGTGAGAATGTATTCGCCACGGTGCTGTTGGAGAAGACTCACGAAGCGCAATTTTCGGGGAGTGCCAGCCTGGACAATCTGACCTAGTTGTCGTCTTGTATCCAAAGATTCAATGTCCGAGGCGATCGAGGTTCAGTTCTGTCTTATTCAAAGATGTGCATACTTCCTTCATCTATCCGTAACAAATTTTCAATGCCATGGGTTCTGGCCACCCGTGTAACCCTCTTCTAGGGTCCTTTCTTCGAGGTTACGGATAAAGTCACGGTTGCTTCGCCCTTGCTGCGCACGACTGCCGCGGCGACCAGTCCGCGGCCCATTATCAGTGCCAGGCATCATCTCGCCCGGTGGAGGATAGTAGGCAGGGCTTGGTTGCAAACGAATTGGCTGCGTGGGGTCCAGATGGCTGGCAACACGCTGGATAGCGGCGGGGATACCGCTCTGCTGCTGTTCCATGGTCGAAGCGCGCTGTCTGTTGGTCCGCATGCCTCCTTGCGGATACATGCCTGGTTGGTGAGAATTGCTATAAGGCCCTGGGGCCAACTGCTGAGGTTGTTGAGGCTGCTGAATGACCATTGGGTTGTACTGAGACCCTTGCGGAGCATACGCAGGAGCAACATTTCCGTGCGTGGCCGGTCCTGGTGCGTACATTGGGTTATTCCCGTACATCGGCGCTTGCTGATGGCTAGCTTGCGCATAGTTGCCAGGTGGCATGTTGGCGTAAGCTGGTCCTTGCGCAGCCGAGCTCGCCTGTGCTTGTGCCTGAGCTGCCTGCGCACGCTGTTTGCTGAGAGCTTCGGCTTGTTGTTGTTGGTGTGTCCCCGGTGCTGGCGATCTGTTCAGAGAACTAGACTTCAAATTCATCGGCGGCACGAAAGGACCGGTGAACTTTTGCTGTGTAATGAAAGGGTGTAACTTGGCCTGCTGCGGCGACCATCGCTCAAGCGGGTTTATACTGAGCAAGCCTCGGACAAAATCGATAAAGGCAACCCGGTTTTGCATTTCTATTCATGTTAGCACAAAGTGGGGTCGCTAGAAGTACTGTACAACCAACCTCGATCAATTTCGCTCTGCTTCATATTTTTTCTCGGCATCGGGTAGGATTTGATAATCTCTGGGAGTGTGCTGGCTTGGAAGTACTTTTTGCTGGGCTGCTCCTTGGTGTTGCGCTCTCGAGCGTACTGTTCCATGCTCTTCAGCTGCCAGGTTGGACGGCCATATTCATCTGGGCGCTTTTGGAAGAAGTCACCCGACTGCTTGCCCATGTCCAACATCCAGATTGGAGGGTTGCCGAGCATTTCCACGATGCGCGAGACCTGGTTGTATTCGGAGGAGCCAGGGAACAAGGGCAAACCGAGGAAAAGCTCGACCAGGATGCAGCCCAAGGACCATATGTCAATAGCTGACGAGTATGGCAGTCCAAGGAGGACTTCGGGGCAACGATAGAATCTCGATTGGATGTATGTATAGACGGTCTGTCGTTCGTCGCATGCGGAGCCGAAATCGATGATTTTGATTATTGGGCTCTCCAAGTTTTTAAGCAAGATATTTTCGGGTTTCAAGTCGCAATGGATGAGTCGGGCCTTGTTGAGGAGGGCCAAGCCGTTGAGAAGCTGCTGGGCAAAGACTCTGACAAGGGTCGTGCTGAGACCGCGGAATTGATTCTGCTTGATGAGTTCGTACAAGTTGACGCTGAGAAGTTCGAAAACGAGGCAAAGATGTTGGCGATGGATGAAAGTATCCTTCAACCGCAAAAGGTGATGGTCGTCGTTTTTGTCGAGTTTGGTGTTGAGCTGACGGGTCAATTAGTTTCTCGAATTAACCAAACTGAGAAGCAACATACCAAATCCAGAACCGAGACTTCCATCATGCTCTGGTTGAAATAGGCTGTTCTGTTCTTGATGACCTTTACAGCTACGACTTCTTGAGTCTTGAGATTCTGACATTTCACAACCTGCCCAAACGTTCCCTGGCCGAGGACATCAAGAATGAGGTAGCGGTTCCTGCCACAAGGTTAGCGGTGCTAGGAAATGACGAGAAGGCGCCGACGGGGTATTCATACTTGTGGCCAGCTTCCTCGGAGCCTAAAATATCATTGACATATAGAATGTAATCGCTGTCCTCATTGTCATACCCATCATTCTTGACGCCTTTGCTAGGCTTGGTCAAGACTCTGCGAGGGTTTCGTGACGTCTCGTATTTGAAGCTGGGATTGCAGATTCGATAAGTCGCAGGTAGATGGGCAGTGAGCGCTTGTAGAGGCTATAAACAGAATTAGTACGGACATGGTCGGTCGAGGTGAGCCCGAGTATTCTCAGACATACGCTGATGAAGCCACCTTCTGGGTTTGCGCGTCGAAAGGCTGGCTGACGATTGTTCTTCGGTTGGAGGTCCGAGACCGCGCGCAACTTGCGAAACTCGGGGACCCGCTTGACTGTCGGGGCATTTGGCCGTTGCGGCGACTTGGAATTGAAAGTGCCGTCAAGATGAGCAACCGTCGCCGAGGGGTAGCCATCAGCGCCACCGGGGCCGTAAGGTGACATGGGGGGCAGTTGCGCGTTTTGCGGACGACCAGCGTAGTAGGGGCTCTGAGGGTATTCCGAGGCGCCGGCGGGAGACTGCGTCTGAGAGGGCGGGCCGGCGAATTGGCTCTGCTTGGCGGCACCGTAGGGCGAGGTGGGTGAGAGCGTCTCCATCGGGGAGTAGCGCTGGGCTGCTGCCGATGGCTGGTCGTGAGGCGAGTGCAAGGCGGCGGCACGAGCGCCAGACATGTGCGGCTGGTGATGCGGCCTCATGGCATACTTGATGCCGGCGTGGGAGTCGATGGCGTCGCGCATAGCCACATCGCCGTTTCCGTCGCGAGGCTGCTGGCCAGGGACCAAGGGCGGGACGACGGGGTTCCCGAGGTGGACGGCAGGAGCAGCGGCAGCAACAACAGCGGCGGGGACAGGCGCGGCGCCAGGGTGATACTGGTCGTAAGCGTAGCCGGCGGGCGGAGGGTGCTGCTGCTGCTGTTGCTGGGCAGCAGAAGGCGGAGACATGTGCGTGGTGCCATTGTGACGGCGCGAGGAAGCCCCGGCCGGGTCATGATACTGCTGCCAGTTGGGGTCCATTGTTCAGGCTCTCGAGGGCGGGGGAGGAGGCAATGGGCCGGCGGCGGAAGCGGTTGGGGAACGTGATCCGACGGTTAATGAAGCATTCGCGGATTCGATCTGGCGGTGCTCTCTGCTGGGTGTTGTGGGTGATGGGCGATGAGCGATTCGTGGGTTTGGTGGTTGGTGGTGACGGTGGTGGTGTGGGCGTCCGATGGTTGTGTGTTGTGTGACCTGTTGAGCCCAGCCAGCCAGACAGTAAAGCCACGCACCAAGCCAAGAGCAAGCAACAGGCTGCTGTCCCCCCAGACGGGAAAAACGCAAGCAAGAAAAAAATTAATCAGGGCCGACGGGAAGGATGGTGCGGCGCAAGCGCTGTGAGGTGCTTGAGCAGCGGCGAGAGAGGGAAGAAGGAAACAAAGCCGACGGCAAGGGCCTGCCTGGGAGGGATGGAGTTGGGGAAAGGCAAAGACAGAGAGAGCGACGGCAGTCGAGGAAGCTGGGGGCGAAAGCTGTATAATGGCGCGCGTCACTTAAAAGGCGGCGTGGGGTTTGGTTGTGTTGGTGAGCTGCGGCGGTGGGTGCAGCGTTAGTACCAACCAAGGTGGTGCTTGGTGCTTGGTGCTTGGTGCTTGGTGCTTGGTGCTGGATCTGACTGATGGGCATGGAGCCATGGTACATGTGATTGGCGGCCGCCAGCCGTTGCTAGGGAGGTACCTACCTCGAGGACGATGACGGCGACCTGTCTGGGGCTGTTACCTGAGGGTGGCTTACGGTACAACGCTCTCGATTGCCACGGTCCGAAGCATGTCCAGTTGTCCTCAACAGAGTTACTCAATTACACACTTCTCTCTTCCTTCACACTGACGTTTCACAGCCACGTTCCAAATCATGGTTGGGCAGACGGCAGGTAGGTACCTCGTAGGTAGTTGTGGCCTGCATCAGGTTTAGCGGGCGCATGCTCCATCCTGTGTTACTGGCAGTTGGCAGCACCCTTGACCACTGAACCAGCCTCGTTGCCTTGCTTTGCTGGGCGGAGAAGGCTGCCTGCCTCCTCCTTCGCTTCGTCCCCCGCCACCAAATCCTTCACATAGCTTCCGAGTTAACCAACCAGGTCTCTAGAGCACCCGATCATTGTAAATGTAGGACACTTTGAGCACATTCATTGTTGAGATCGCCTGTTAAAGGTCTATATTAAAGAAATTCTGGCATAATATGGTCTGTTGCCACACATTGACATTACGGGTTAATGGTAGGCAGTGTTGTCACCTCATGGCTGCCCAATCACGACTGGGCCAAGGAAGAGGGGGGTGCCTCTGCTGCAACTTGCTGTCCTGGGCGACGTCGTACCTCCTAGAAAATCCATGAGCTAATTATTAGTTGCACGTCTACTCTCCAGATTCATTGCGCACATATCTATCTGCAATCGAAACTACTGATTCGGAACCTGGGCCGTTGTACGAATTACCCTTGCCCCTACAGCCGTTATACACATACGTTGCTCAGCGGCGAATGTTGCAAGCTCGTGCTGGCGCTCCAAATAGTAGCCAAGGCGACGTGTCATCTCAAGTTGTTAAAAAACTCCCATGATTAGCAGCAGCATGAAGAGAACATTTTCATTGTATCAAGAGCGTGCTGCCGACAGAGTCGCCAGCCTATGCTTCAACCCGCAATATATCCGCCTGAGCCCCCGGCGATCATGCGAAAGGAACTGGCCTGCTAGTACGAATTAGCATGACTTGGGTTATCAGGTTTTACATCACCACAGCAGCACTCAAAAGTTGATATAGAAACCTCATTCATTAACAATCGTGATCAAGTTGATGATGTCGCATGTACGGTTGAATGTCTGTCTTTATTTTATGATCGAGTTGGCCGTCAAACCCCTTATCGGACTCGATCTACCATCACTCCAAATTACTTGCCCTATATATATAAGTTTAAAAAATTCCATCATCACCGCTACCGCCGTCGAAAAGCTCGCGTTGTGCACTTCATGATAAGCTGATGCAATATTGCCACGTAAAAATCCCAGTTTGGTGTGCAGATTTCGTAAAGGGGTATCCAGGAAGGTCGTCAAGAGAAAAGGATGCTGGTCAAGAACGAAGAAGAAGAGAAAGTACCAAAACTTTTCGCCAGCTCTTGATCCCAATCGCTCGGGAATATTGAAAGAAGAAAGAAAATGATATGAGAAAATCTGGCCAAGACACACGTTACGCTGCGGCCACTTGGGGAAGAAAAAATATCAAGGAGAGAGGGGCAAATCAAAGAAGCGACAAAACCCCTAACTAGATCAAGACAGGCGGGCTTCCCAAAGGAAGGGCAGAAATTCGATGAGTATGAAGGAATAAGAGAGGAGACTGAACAAAAAAAGGCATGCAACGTCCAAGAACCACCATGATGCCCTCTGCAAACTATGAGAGGGTAGAGATATGAGAAAGAGGATATCAGAAATGGAAAAGAAGACAATGGAAGCCGCTACCCAACCCATGCGCCCACATTCTGGGCACTCACTGTGGCCTTCGCTCGCCGCAACCAGTCATTGCTAGGGGCTTTTTTCTTCGTCGCTCGAACGCTGTTTGTTTTTTAGGATTGGTAACCGGTAAACTGGCCGGGAGGTTGCGTCCACTGGCCACCATTGGGAGGCTGGCCCCGGCCGTAGCCACCAGCACTCTGGGGAGGTCCGTTGTATCCCATGGGAGAGCCAGCAAAACCACCAGGGGAGCCAGTCTGGGCGGCAGGGTAGTTTCCAGGTTGACCACCGTACTGGGCTGCCGATGCGATCATATCAGCATTGCACTACCTCTCATTGGAACATTGAGAATACTTACCACCGTACTGGGGATAGTAGGAGCCAGCGAAACCAGGGCCTTGGGCGCTCTGAGGGCTGTAAGGCGAGGAAGGGTCGAACCCCTGGTTCGGCGTCTTGTCCTTACCCCACTATTATCCTGTTAGAAATGATGCTCAAGTGGTGGCAGTAAATATTTGTCAACTTACGCTGCATTTGAGCGGCCGTCCATTAACATTGTACCCATTCATTTGACAGATGGCCATGGAAGCGTTCTCGTGGGAATCCATCTTAATAAACGCAAACCCACGATCCGCCTGAAAACGAGATTCGACCACGAAGCCAAAGTTCTGGAACAGCGGGACAACGTCGTTAGGAGTAGTGTAGGGTGTCAGGTTGCCGACATAGACAGTCGTCTGCCAGGTTGGCGTTTGGGCCAAAATGACGTCGTAGCTACCAACACCATGTGTTGGAAATTGGTGGTGGCCAAATGGCGTGGTAGGCGCCAGGCCCATAGCCTGCATCGCCTGTTGCTGAGCCATAGAAGGCTGGCCCTTTTGGTTGGCCCAGTTGCAGCGGATGGCTCGAGATCCAAGCCACTCGCCGTCCATCGAGCTCAGAGCCTTTTCAGCCTCGGGGCGATCACGGAAGGCAACGAATCCATAGCCACGGGAGCGGCCCGTCTTCATGTCCCACATGACACGAGCTTCAGAAACGGATCCGAAGGCGGAGAAGGCCTGCGTGAGAATTTCATCGTTGACTTCGTTGGAAAGATCGCCGACGAAAATATGAAAGTGGCCGGATGTATCTTCTTTACCAGAGGTGTTGGACTGGTAGGCCCAGTTGACGCGGATTTCCTATATCATGTTAGAGGCCTAGGTCGTCTCAGGCTTCGCCTTTTCGTTTGACATACCGACTGATGAACTCGGCGCCCGTTCAAGGTTTGCATGGCACGGTCAGCCGAGAGCGGGTCATCGTACTCAACGAATCCGTAGTTGAAACCCTTAGCCTAGAAGTCAAAGAGTTAGCGAACAAGCCATATCTGGCCGAGGGCGGGGAGGTGTTACATTCTTGTCGGGAATAATCTTGACATTCTGGACATGGCCAGTAGTCTCGAAAATTTGGCGCAGCACGTCCTCGGTGACGCGCTGATCCAGACCACCGACGTAGAGAGCACGCTTATTAGGCTCGGGAGCAGCACGTCGGAATCCTCCTGGGCTTGTAGGCGACATGACTCCGCTATTTTCGCCGCGGGGAGAGGTGATGGCAGTCGGGATCGGGTTGTTGTTTGCCGGAATATGCAGAGGAGGAGGCGCCATGCCATTGCCAGAGCCATTTTGCGGAGGCGCCGAGGCGGGGGGTGCACCAGTTGAGTTGTCAGTCATGTTGGCGATGGATATTGAGTGTCGAAATGTTCGAAATCGTAGACGGGGCGAGAGCAGACCAAAATCAGTGGTGTTGGAGCGACAATGTGTGATACTGTAGTGCCAGCCGAGTTGGGCGTCTAATTAAAATATCGGTGACGGGAGAGGGGCAGACGAGCGTCAGGAAGAGGTATCAATGCCCAACGCAGGGGGAAGGGATGCGGGAAAGCAGAGGGAATTCAAAGTCGCTGGTACAATAACGGACAATGCAGAAGCAACCGGAGATTCGTGCGGGTATGCAGGCCAAATTTTCCGGAGAAAGGGGTGCGGAACGGAAGTGTCGAAAGAGTCGGGGGGAGGGGGTTGATGCGTGATGCCGTGAAGTTGGAGGACGATGGGAGATGGCTGAAGCTAGACGCAAGGAAATGATACGAGAAACCGGAAACCAAGCAGATAAGGTTCTCGAAAACTTTCAACAACGGATACCAAAGTAAGTTGGACGAAAGACGCGCTGCTCGAAAAAATAGAAAAGGAAACTGCCCAATTTCTTTTGGGGTGACTGGTGATGTGATGGGGAGGAAGCCAGACAGCAAAGTGGGAGGATAATTAAAAGGACAACCTGAAGCAGTTAGTGTTATTTCCCCTGTGGAGAGGGCTTCTGTGGTGCCAGGAAGCACAGGCGGTTGTGAGTGAGTGTGGCGAGTACAAAATATAAGCCACGATAGTACGATAGCCTACGGATACCTACCTAGATAATCGATTACCGACTTACATGCTAACATACATAGGCAGAAGCACCTGCGAATACCTAAAATAAGTGCAAAACTATGAGGACAAAAGCTGAATCTCGGGACCATGAGCCTACTATGAATATATGACAAGTTTGAGTCTGGAGCGTTGCTGTCGGGGACCCTGGGAAGAGACACATGGGACGATATCTGAATAGGTACAAATCGGGTCACTCCAGACTACCTATGCGTTTTCAAAGTCAGGCTAATTTATTAATAAAGCTTATCCCGACATGCACTTCGCTAAGCTTAGCACCCTGCATAATTAGTATCTCACTCTTCACACTGCAGTCAGGAACTCAATGAAGGCTAGCGACCTCTTCCCAACCCTAGTCGGATCCGCCTCATAGGTATGTATGTACAGTACATACATGTGTATGTTGCTGCTCGCTGCGAGCAAACTATGACATTGCAGATCTATTGCTTGGCATGAACCACCAGCATCATGTTCTGACGAACTACTTCAGTCAAGCACTGCAAGAGTCACGCATGAACGGTTTCATCGTCAGCATTTTTTCGCCGTCAGAAATTGGATAGAATTGGTTCTTTTTGCGACGATAAAGCACGCCCCGTGGTATGCTTGCAGCCCGTTGCAGATGTCAATGTCGTGTAATGCACGCTCTGCTGTGCTGCGCTTTGAGTGCGAGGCCGTACAAGGACGCAACGGATTCCGAAATTCCTAACCTCAATATACGCTGACGCAGCGCTAATCGGATATCTCGCGAGTTGACATCATTTGTAACGCGCAGGCTAATCAAGGCTCGGCCGTTGTTCATTTCGGCAGTAGGCGAGGTGATGGGGTTCCCGGGCCAGTTCCCGAGCCATGTGCCCATCAATCAAATCCGTGATACTTTCAAAATCGCGCACTACTATTTTACCCCTTCATTTCAGCAAGATTTGCAATTGGCAAAGCATTCTGGGCCTCAAAGGACTATCAAAGGTCGAGTTTTACATAACGAACTACTGTACATATCCAGAGTAGCGTTGACCATCCCAGCCATCATTGGGTGCACCGACCACACTGACCAGAGAAATCAGCAAAAAATAGTTGCTATTGCCAGATATAATTCTCTACGTATATATACGGAGCGGATTTTCCATATTTTCCTCTCCGCCTTCTACCATGTAATCCTGTTCAATTGCCTCTCCAATGATAGGACAGGCTGAGGTCTAAAAAAAGAGCCGCAAGGCTGTGTGGCGGCGACAAGCCCACTAGTTATGACCAGCGCGGAAGCAGCCAAACCTTTGTACAGGGCGTCGCCGCCAACCACCTATGGTCGCGTCATGTCTCGACACGAGGTACCTGTCAGTCATTGCCGCAATCAAGCCCACCCACACCGAGCTAAAGATTTGATTTCCTGCCAGGTACTAACTTGACACTACTAACCCAACAGAACGCACGCTTTCAGTAAAGTACGCTGTAATAATGCCACTCTCCTGACTTATGTCCACTGGCCACAACCATTGCGATTCCGTCTTCTCCTTCAACCAATTTTCTCTCGTACGATTGTTCACGTCTCTTGCAACGCCTACCATGACTTGTCCGCCCTGATCAACCGCTCTCTTAATTCTACGCTAGTTCCCTCGCTTGCTCTCCTGTCGATCGTTTCAGCGCAAGCCGCACCGGCCCGTCCAAACCGGGTCTCTCCCGCTTCGACGACGACGACGACGACGACGCCCATCCCTGCCCTGACCAACACAGCTGCAAACTGCCAACTCTTGCTCTCTCAATAGCGCCCTCCCACACACGATGGAAAAGTTCCCCGAGCTGGATACGTCCCTCGACGTCAACGGCGTGCGCGCCCCCAGCCCCTACAAGTCGCCCTCCGGATACTCAAACGGGAGCGCGAGCGCATCACTTTCCGATCGCGGAAGCGCCTCCTCTTCGGCCAAGCGAGAGAATGGCCACCACCAATTACATCCGCCTCCCGGGCTGGGCGGCTGGAGTAATCACAACGGTGCCGCCCGTGGCCATTCGCGGCAAAAGAGCCTTAGCGACGCCTTTCGCACGATCCGCACCAGGAATGGCAGCTTTAGCCAAAACGCCCACGAGCTCGCCGATGCGCTCAAGGCCCCCGTATCCCCCAAGTTGATCGTACGGCCATCCCCGACATGAAGCATTACTTGCGCGCTTCTTAGTTGTCCCATGCTAATATGACGCTTAGATCCTCTGCATAACATGGTACATGTCGTCCGCCCTCACCAACACCTCCTCGAAATCCATCCTTAACGCCTTCAACATGCCTGCGACGCTCACCCTGGTGCAGTTCGCCTTTGTCTCGACGCTCTGCATTGCCATGGCGTGGCTCGCCACCGTCTTCCCCATCCTCCGCGAAAAGATTACCGCCCTCCAGCATCCCATCCGACCGCCGACCCGCGACGTCGTCACGACCACGCTGCCCCTCGCCGCCTTTCAGATCATCGGCCACCTCCTCAGCTCCAGTGCCACATCGCGCATCCCTGTATCGCTCGTGCACACTATCAAAGGCCTCTCGCCGCTTTTCACCGTCCTGGCCTACCGATTCATCTACAACATCCGCTACCCGCAGGCGACCTACCTCTCCCTCGTGCCCCTGACGCTCGGCGTCATGCTGGCGTGCTCTGGGAAGCACGGCTTCGGCGGGCAGCTGCTCGGAGTCTTGCAGGCGCTCCTCGCCGCCATTGTCTTCGTCACGCAAAATATCTTCTCCAAGAAGCTCTTCAACGAAGCCGCCAAGGTCGAAAGCGGCATCGCGGGCACCCACTCCAAGAAGCTCGACAAGCTCAACCTGCTCTGCTACTCGTCCGGCATGGCCTTTCTGCTCACCCTGCCCATCTGGTTCTTCGCCGAGGGCATCACCCTGCTGCGCGACGTGCTCCAGGACGGCGCCGTCGAGCTGAGCAACAAGCCCAACGCCTTTGACCATGGCCGTCTAACGGTCGAGTTTGTCTTCAACGGTGTCTTTCACTTTGGCCAGAACATTCTTGCCTTTGTACTCCTCTCGATGGTCTCGCCCGTCACGTACTCAGTGGCCAGCCTGCTCAAGCGCGTCTTCGTCATCGTCCTCGCCATACTCTGGTTCCGCAGCCCGATGACCCCGCTGCAAGGGCTCGGCATCGCCCTCACCGTCCTAGGCCTCTACCTCTACGACCGCACGAGCGAGAGCAACAAGGCCGATCGCAAGGCCCAGGCCCTATCGCAGTCGTCCCGCGCGGGGACGCCGCTCCTGCCGATTAACGAAGTGTCTTCAGGCCGCGGACGCAACGGCTTCGGCCAACCGCCGCCCGCCCGCCCCATCTCGCAAGGTTACGGATACTTTGGCCCAAGTGCAGCCGACGCCAAGAGATCCGATGACTGACAGTGATGAGGGATGTGGTATTTTTCTTTCATTTTGGAAAAGCAAAGACCAAGATTCGTTTCTACTTTCTATTTGTGCATTGGCAGACGACAACGGGTTTGCGCTGCTCTCTTCTTACTCTTCGTCTTACCGTGAGACTGTCCTAGGTGCTCTCGGCATTGAAAGAGGCTCCCCCCTTTGCCATCGGCATTGGCCTGGGATGCAAAATTTTCTTGAAAAGACTTTATGGGCGTAGTTGTTTTACAGCATTTTACTTGGGTTACGAACTGAGCGCCGCTGGATTCAATATAGAGAAACAGATAGAAAGAAGTCATTCGACACGTACAACCTCTCTTGTTGCTCCGAATCATACATGTTAAAAAAAAACACGAATTAGACGTTGCAGTTCTTCGATTAGAACATGCTGGCCTGCATCGAGGTTTGATCATGATAAACGCCTTGTCTATGTAATATACATGCTTGTGTCTTGCTGTGCTTTGCACATGTTTCCGTCTCTTTTGTTGTACAGCTCTCTCTACTCAATCAGCTCTCTCTACTCAATCAGCTCTCTCTACTCAATCAGCTCTCTCTACTCAATCAGCTCTCTCTACTCAATCAGCTCTCTCTACTCAATCAGCTCTCTCTACTCAATCAGCTCTCTCTACTCAATCAGCTCTCTCTACTCAATCAGCTCTCTCTACTCAATCAGCTCTCTCTACTCAATCAGCTCTCTCTACTCAATCAGCTCTCTCTACTCAATCAGCTCTCTCTACTCAATCAGCTCTCTCTACTCAATCAGCTCTCTCTACTCAATCAGCTCTCTCTACTCAATCAGCTCTCTCTACTCAATCAGCTCTCTCTACTCAATCAGCTCTCTCTACTCAATCAGCTCTCTCTACTCAATCAGCTCTCTCTACTCAATCAGCTCTCTCTACTCAATCAGCTCTCTCTACTCAATCAGCTCTCTCTACTCAATCAGCTCTCTCTACTCAATCAGCTCTCTCTACTCAATCAGCTCTCTCTACTCAATCAGCTCTCTCTACTCAATCAGCTCTCTCTACTCAATCAGCTCTCTCTACTCAATCAGCTCTCTCTACTCAATCAGCTCTCTCTACTCAATCAGCTCTCTCTACTCAATCAGCTCTCTCTACTCAATCAGCCACTCCTCCACCTCGACGCCGATGCTCCGCCCGATGCCGCGGATGGCCTCCCATCCGACATTGATGCGCCACTTGCCCGAGCGGTCCGTCATGTCGCCCGTGCCGACGCGCACCAGCAGCCGCAGGCTGACGAGCGTCGCGAGCGCCATACCGACATCGCCATCGACGCCGCCGCCGCCGCCGGGCATCCGCCGCCCGTCATCGACCCATTCCCCACGCGCCGCCTCGAAAATGGCCATCATGCGCTCGAGCACAAAGGCGTGCGAGCCGAGGAGCTTGCGCGCGATCCGGCGGTGCTTGCGGGGGCGGCCGGGACCACCCCGGGAGGTGGTGGCGCCGCCGCGCCGCCGCTTGCGGCCGTGGTGGAAGGTGGAGAAGAGGGTGAGGTCGTGCTTGGACGGGTTGTGCGAGGCGAGGTAGGCGGCGAGGAGGAGGAGCCGCGCTATCGTGGGCAGCAGGGACGTGAGCCCCGCGACGGTGCTGCCGCCAGTGTTGGCCTTGAGTGACACGGCGGCGGTCCCAGACGACGGCTTGCCCGGTGCCAAGGTTGTCGTCGCCGCAGCAGCAGCAGCGCTGGGGCGCACGGCGACGATGCTTGGGTTCAGCAGGGACTCATCCTGGAAGTGCACGCGCGCGGCGACAAGCAGCTTGGAGAACTCCTTATTGGTGTGCGTCCCCGCGACGATCGGCGCGACGAATCGCGGCCACAGCGCGCGGCAGCAGTCCCGAAAAGACGGCAGCGTGCGCGAGGCCGCGCGCACCAGGGCGTCGTGCGCCGCGGCGCAGAAGCGCGCCCACATGTCGGCCGTCTCCTGCGGCGTCATGATGGCGGTGTCCGCGATCGGCGCGTAGGGCGGCGGCGTGAGCGCGAGGATGCGCACGTACTCGTGCTTGACGTAGGGCGGGAAGTGCAGGTTGGCGGAGCCGCACGAGCGTAGGAAGCCGGCGGGCGGTGAGGTGACGATCATCACGCAGGTGAGGCAGGGGATCTAGTCAAAAGAGTCAGTGTCAGCGAGAGAACGGCCTGTAGTTGTTCGAGGGGGATGGCTCGATGGTTGCCGCCACGTACCATTTCAGAGAGACGCGCCAGCGCGGGTAAGAGTGTCGCCGGCGCCTCACGCTGTCTGTCTACGGAGTCAAGCACGAGCGCGAACCGCCGGCGCGGGTCGTCTCGCGACGGGCGGTCGAGCATCTCGGTGAGGGTGACGGCGAGCTGCGCCATCGTCTCGCACCGCTTGGGCGCTACGTCGCGCGTCCGCAGCGCGTCCGCGACGGAACCCACGATGCGCTCGTAGAGGTGTCGCGCCGTGATGCACTGCGCCGCGTCGACACGGGCGTGGCGGAGGAGGGCGGCCGGCGCATCATGGTCTGCGTTTGACGTCTGCGGCGGCTCGCAGAGTCGGTCGAGGACAGCGGCTGTGACGCTAGACTTTCCGGTCGCTTCGGCGCCGTAGATGACAAGGTTTCGGCAGGGGATCGCTCCGGGCTGTAATTGCGGCACAGACGTGTTAGCAGGGAGGATTCGCGCAAGCTGAGCGACGATGGGGCGTGGAAGATACGTACGCTGACCAGGCTGGCGATAGATCGTATCTGGTGCTCACGACATGGAAATTTCTCGAATAATGGAGCCAGTATAGACTCCTGCGGTAATTCGAAAGGCGGCTGCATTCTTCATAGGGATCCTCGTGGCCGCTGCGAAGCTCCGAATGCCTTGTTCGGTCTGAAGTTGGTGATGGTTCACGCGGCCCCAGTTAATAAGTTTAAGTGCGAGACGCGTTCCGCGCGTCTGGAGGCAGAACAAGCGAGTCACTGGGATATGTCTACCTGAAAGCAAAATACAAATGGCATTTTCATTTCATGCTATTGCCATGTTCTTCATTTATTGCATCCAATTTATATTCGTCGCTCATAAGTCTCTATTTTTGTCGACAGACCAAACTAGCAGCCGAGATGATCAGAATCGTGCTCCCACGTACAATATGCAAAGATAAACTCCTTCAAAGTACACAAACTCCATAGCAATGCAGATTTAAAACATTGGCGTCTCAAGCCACGACCCTTCTGGAGCATTTTTCCCCAAGTCCATCTTTTTCTTCCACCGCAGCCACTCAGAAAGCTGCCCAATGACGCCTTCAATGAGTGCAGGCTCATTCCATTTCGGTTGCAAAACACCTTGCAGGGCGCCTCCGCCCCGTGGCTTTCCGGGCATTTGAATGGAGATACGCCCTTCCGCCTCGAACCAGCTGCGGTCAACATCCTGCCTGATGTTGTCCGCGAACCCTCGAACATCCTCGTCTGTCACAGCGCTATTTGGCGCGCCGTTGACTGGCGCAGCAGCGAAAATCTCGTCGAATCGCATCCGGGAGCTCCGAAAGCCTTCTTGGGCTAGAACGTCCTTGCCGGCGATGACATACTGGTTAAGCATCTCGATAAGCTCCATTATGTCGCTCCGGGGCTCAAGCAGTCCATCTTGGCCCAATGAATATTCGTAGATGGAAGGCCAGAGCAAGTTGATTGCTGCGAAAAAAGTTCGGAAAATGTGTAGTCCCTTGGCTGTGAGTGGTGCTCGTCCCACGATCCATTCATCTATTCCCTTCAGAACGGCTTGCAATACGGCCTTGACTCCAAAAAGGTCTGCGTCAGTCAATCGATATGTCATGGGAAATCGGCTCAGCCTTCTCGCTGCCACCCACACATATAGGTCCATGAGAGGGTAGGCAACCGCCTTGGAAGCCGTGGCTTCAAGTATGGCAGGCAGCATCTTTCCAATAATAAATTGCGTGATCCCACGGTCTTGGGCCATTCCTTTCCGTAATTTTTTCTGCTCCTCCTGCAGGTCGTCGGATGCCAGTGCCAGTTTGAAATTGTTGAACAGGAAGAAGAAGACTTGTTGAACGACCTTCGGGTCGTCTTCACGCAGGCGTAAGCCATACGACACCATGGCAGCAATTTGCAGCTGAGGGTCTCCAACAGATGGGGAATAGTCCTTGCTGATCTGGTAGTAGAAGCCGTCAATTGCGCAAATCTCAGAGCCATGAGTACGAATGAGGGAGACTATACGTCGGGCGAATGCGACGTAGGCAACGTGGGTAGCTGGCCGCGAGGATGTCGCTCTCAAGTCATCCTTCATCTGCTCCATGACAAGTTTGAGAGCCCTGGAATGCTCCGCTGTCAAACTCCGCTTCAGACTCGCCTCGGCGTCACGGGTCGTGCCACGCATGGCAGATATCGCAAATTCAAACAGCGTGGCGTTTCGTTCGTATTTCTCGGCGCTCGTCTGTCCAATGTCGGCGGGCGGAAGAAAATATTCGCCACGTTGACGCAAAACGTCGGCCAGTCGCTTCTCATACTTATCGACCAGTTGCTTCTCGCGGTTGGGGCCACGGCTCGGTCTGATGAGCACAAGCAACCAGAGCTCACACAAGGTGAAGTCCACATCCGCAAAGTTGTCGATGCTAGCCTTCAGGAGTATGACCACCGCCAATACGAGATACTGTCTTCGATCAAAGTCCATCTTATGGATGGGGCCATCAAACAGTCCGTATTTCCCGCGTTTGAAAAGATCTTGCAGTTTGATCAGACCACCGCTGATGAAACTTGCCGCAAGCCGGACCGCTACGTCAACAGCTTGCTCGATGCCTCCGAAGTCGTAGGGTTCTGTCGAGCCGCGGTCTGGTGCACTGTTGGACAAGATGCATCGTACCATGTGAAAGAACTTCTTTGAGACTTCGCGATCCAACTGCAGAAGGGCATCATCTGCTTGAGCGGAATTGAGAATTTGGCTTTCGCTCTGTTGGGTTTCTTCGTTTTCCTTGAATTCTGTAACATAGCCCACGAATAAATCAAGAGTAGAGACGGCTCCTCGTAGCGTGTTCCAGTTCAGCTCGGGCGGGTAGATACCAAATTGGTAGTATATGTGCTGGAGCTGCAATGTATTCAGACAAAATGTCGCTGCCTCCAGGTCAACAGCATGTTTCATGACATCCAACGACGCGGCTATGCTAGCTCGGAGCACATCGCCAACCGCTTCCTTGTTCATCGAAATCATAGAACTGATCACGTCTTCGCTAACGGTGTGGCGTACTTCGCTTGGTAGTGCGAAAAGCTGCTGCTGAATGTCTGCCGCGGCAGAATCGAACTGTTGTACCATCTTTTGGAAAAACGCGTTGCGCCATGCATGGAACGGTTTGAAGGCTGTTGCCGCCTCGCCCTTTGCCACAACGAATCGCGAAAGTTGGTTCCAGCAGCGAATATTGATCAAGCTTGCTTCCTTGTGTGAAGTCTCTGGAGCCACAAGCCGCTCAATAAGAGCAGGCGGTGGTCTCATGTCCGGCGGAGCAGCCCAATAAAGGGTTGCCAACAGATCATGATGATTTCTGAGAGCCGCCAGATCCCGTTCGTGTACTGTCTGTTCCTTCAAATGCTGTCGGTTGTGGTTAGGAATAATCCGGGCAACGAGGTTGCGAATATCGTTGATAGCACCGGCAGCGCGAAGCTTCTGTATGCTGAGTGCGAGCAACTTGAGAAAGAGGTGGAAGCACTGGTCTCCTGGCTCGATCGTCAGAGAAGGGTGTTCAGCCAGGCTCTCCAGGAATTTCGGGGAGGCGTTGACTTCCTCGTTGCGTAGATGCTCCAGATTCTGGGAGCCAAAAAAGTCAAAGATTGTACCGATGATGCTTCCACTGCGCCGCCACCCCCACTGCTGTACGAGGTAGTGGCATCTTCCTATCAGTGTGCGGCAGTAATTGTTGAAACTTGGGGCTTGTCGATTGTTTTCCCGGTATATTGTAAAGACTTGTCGAAGCAGGGGCTGCACAATGGTCCATCCATCGCTGCTCGACGCATTTCGCTTTCCATGTATCAGAATCCCCGAAGAGCTGAATTCGCTCAACGGTAGCATTGTAAACATCGTCTCCCAAACTCGTTCGTAGGACTGGACTTCGACTACTGAGACGAGGTCCTTGATAGCAAGAGCTTGCTTTAACACGTCCCAGAATGAGCCACGCGGAATATGGCTGACTTCTAGGACTTGCATCACCAGTGACCAAGAGTGAATGGCCGGCTCGTCATCTCGAATCCCTCGCTCACGGGCGGTACTTCTCTGAAGTTGCATGTAAGATTCTTGGACTGGCTCTGTGCCCATACGCAGCAGATTTGATAATGCTCCCGCCGCCAAGCTTCGCAGCAGGTCTTCCACTTGAAACTTTTCCGTCATTAAGTCATTGTCCTCAGTGCAAATCATAAGAGTTACCAGAACAAGAATGAGCAAACCATCATACACTCTTGCTGCAGTTCGAAAGCCTCCGTCTGAAATCGCCTTCGTAGCAAAGAGGCCAGACAGGCGAGTATGAAAGTTGCCGACCACATCAAGGACTCTGGCAATAAACATCTTTATGCTCGACTCGTCTGTAAAATGCAATGCAGTCGTTACAAACGTTGAAACAAATTTTGATGCTTCCAGGACATGGATCTCTCCGGCGGCAGTTATCCCTTCTGTCCTTTCAAGCTCATCGGCCATCAAGTCAACCAAAGTGCCCAATTGAGCGGATGTGCGGGCATTCCAATCGCCCCAATGGCAGGTATCGGCACCCAATCGAAAAGTGACCCTGGGACGTGAACTTAGGAGTAACTGCCTATTTCTGGACTTCTGGCAGCCTTCTAGAATACCACTGCCAAGAAGGGTAGATTGGTGAAAGTAAACCCCTTGGTCCAATGGAAAGATCTCAAAATGTGTCGTGTACTGTGTGCCGTATGGGCCGAGTCCAGCAAGCCTGGCCTCTGCATTGGCGGTTTGCGGCCGTTCAGGCTCAATGTCGACTGTGTATGAAGCTGGGAGAGGGTCTGCAGCGTAACGGAACTGAGGTGCATCCACGTCCATACGCGCAGGTTTTAGTGACTTTTTCGGCCGGACTCTGTGCCTTGGCTGCTTCTCTGACTGGCCCTCCTTTCTAGCTTCTCTCTGAACGACCCTCGTAGAGTTCGCCGTGGAGAGCCTGTCTACACTCACTTCAGAGCGGGCATTCGACACATTGACGGATGAATTTCGCCTGCCGTGGTGGTAGATCCTGTCCAACAACTTCTTATGTTGATGAAATACAACGGGTGCGACTTTTCCAAGTTCTTCCATTTCCAACAACGCAGGGCGTACGCGTGAGCTATCCACCTGCGCCCTCTCGCTCTGTTGTATAGATTGCAGTTCTTCTAGCGGCGACACCACGGCGTTATTGTACCCGATACCTACAGTGTTGACAGAGCCCACACTGTTCCGCTGGTTGTCAGATGGCATGTAAAGAGTAGACCCCCCGCTACTGGTCTGCTTTACAAACTTTCGCAGTTTGTTTGTTGACGCCTTGGTTGGTCTAGATTTGCTGCGTACCAGAGTTTGTTGGCTCCTGGCTCGCACAGCAACAGATCCCGTCGCGGCCTGCTTCCTTTTTTCTTTTCTCGCCTCAGAAACCGCAGGTCGTTGTGGAATAAACCCGGATTTCCATCGGTTGAGCGTAGCAATGGCGTCAAGATGGTCGGTTCTTGACGAGAGGCGCAGCATCTTTTTCGACGGGCTACTGCGGCCTTGATTGACCCGCGCCTTTGCTGTCCGTGCTGCGATCCTGAGAAATCGAGGCGCGTCAGGCTCAATGACATCGAGAACACTCAGTGGTTTGGGCGCCGGCCGCGAAATAGATCTCTTCTTAAAAACGGCTCGATCTGAAGTTTGCTTGTGTGTATATTGGGGCCTCGGTTGGCGGCTTGGTGTAGATTTCGGCCCATTTAGACATGCTGTGATTTTTTGTTGCCGTGGCTTGGTACTCGCGGCTTTGCTGAAGGTATTGCCGGCCTTCTTCGAGTATTGTTCCAGAACACTACTGGAGCGCCGTTGCGTTCTCCCACTAAACATACCATCGATTGTGTCATGCTCTATTATGGAACTTCCGTCAGAAAGATCATCCGTTCTCTGCGCTGACGCTGTCTCCGGTACAAGGATGATTCGAGATTGATTATGGTACTTGTCATCTGTTGTCGGGGGCTGGGATATGGAGTCCCCATCATCTGATTCATCCAATGTCCAAACAGGAGCCGTGGCTGCTACTGGATTGCTTTTTGACCTCGTTTGCGCTAGACCGCGACGTACCTCCTTCTCTGGAGTGCGATGTCGCTGCCGGCCGTGAACATGCTTCTGCGCTTTCTCTCTGCTTGCTTTTTGGTCCAATCGAAGCCAAGAGGCGGGTAAGACTCCTTTTATGCGCTTTTGGTAGCCCACGCTTTGATAGACAGGTTTATCAGACGTGCTGCCTTGTCGTTCTTGTGTTTCTTCGACCTCGTTTCCTTTGCCTTCCGGAGACGAGCTATTATCTATCATCACAATTGTTCTGGTTGGGGAAATGTCGACAGCGCATCCCGTGCTATGCTGGAGGCGTGGAATGGGAGGCAGCGTTCCAGCAGTCGGGTCGTGGACGGATGGTACATGTGCACTTTGTCCGCCTAGACCTGCTTCTACTGGATCGCTGTCAATTATGTCGTATTTCCTTCGTTTTCGAGCAGAAGAGCCCAGCGTGGCATTGAATCGTTTGTTTGAAGGCGAGATCGTAGGATAGGGCTTAGACAGCAACTCATGGAGTGCAGGCAAGTCTTGGTCAGGAACACTAGTATCATCCGTGTCGTCTTGGGAGCTCCCGCGGTTGCTATTCTGTTGGTGGCTGATCCATGGCGATGTCTTAGGCGGTGAGGAGGAAGGGAAGTCAAACATGTCGATGTCTCGGTCCTCATTCATTTCGTTGATATTGGGCAGTTGACTCCAACTATTCGGTTCTGGAAAAGGGTTTCCCTGACTATCGTCTTCAAACTCGTCGTTTCCGTCTTGTGCAGCCTTGGCACGAGCGGCCACCATCTGAACGGGGCGCATGCCATGTTGTCGAATAAGGCTGCTGTATTGCGCATTCTCCAGAAGATACGGATGTTCTTGGATAGGTTTTCGCGGTCGAAGTGATCGTTCCAGTCGCACCGCTTCGCGCTGCAGGTCCTGCGTGGTTTCTAGCAGACCTAGCTCTTGGCTTGGCAAAGCTATGTCTTGGGCGATGGCGGGAGGGGAGGCGTGGTTGGACGGTGTGCCGCCGATTGGCGTCGACGGTCGACTTTTCAATTCGATAACTATTCGCGAGGTGCTACCGCTGCTTGATTCTCTGCTCAAGGCCTCTGGCGCTCTACTCAACTTGTGGCCGTCCAAGAGCATGTCGTCCAACTCGAGCATCCCATCAACGCTTTGCGCAGACGACAGAGGCGAGGAGCAGAGGGAGCCTCGTGGACTCGGTAAACGGTGAATAGCTTCTGCTGCATTTTCTGAATCGGGGAAATCCCAAATATCATGAGGCTTCGTCGCTGAGGCTTCGCGTATGGGAGTTGTGGTTTGTTCAGGGTTGGTCCCCGAGTCCTGGCTGTCAAACGCGTCTTCGTCTTCCGAGTCCGGCACCTCCCCCAGTGATATCCAGTCTGTCATGGCTGACTGAGGTCGTCATTATAAATTGCCGACAAGTTAGTATTGTGGCCTTGAACTGAGGCATTTGCAACGCATTTTCCAGGCTGATAATAATGCTGCTAGTCGCAGGACGCTCTGTGTCGTTTCCAACCCATCGATAGCTTTAGCGGGCCGTTCCTGGGAAAACGCGCCGCGAGTTTAGGAGACGCGTTCCACAGCTCGGTGGTAACCTCACTAGAATTAACGGTACATGGACATGCCCGGGTGGGCTAGAGTGCTACAAGCTAGCGCCGGCAACCACGACGCCCTCTCTGCCAACCCTAGACCTCTCACAACGCAGCATCAGTCTCCCGTTTGGTCGATTTATTGCCGCGACAGCTTTATAGGTTCTGATTTCATAATGGGCGGCGCACTAGAAAGAGCTCTACCCCTGGCGCTGGCCGTCTTTTTCGGTGTTGCTGGCGGTGCGTCACTCTCAGCTTCCTCCTGACAGGTTAAAATTTGGCTAAGTAAGATCCCTCGCACAGGCTTTTACACTTTCCAGCCGATGCTGGCACCAAAGGATTCCATAGGCGGCAACGAAGCCCAACTTACAAAGGGACCCAATGCTACAAAACAGTAAGTCGGTCACTATGGCTTCACACGTCTTACATCCATGTTGTCTAACACTTGGCCCAGGGCCGACGGCAAAGCCTCAGACCACCAAACCAACGCCACGAAGCCAACATGATAGTCTAGGTGATGAAGGGATGCACATAATGCAAAGAGGGTCTCATTTCTACAAATATTCGACTATATACGATAGAACCAAATGCCTGTATCCATGTGGTATCACCTGTAAAATTACACTGTTCATATATTAGCCTCACCATAGATGCTCATGACGCCTTGTCGCCTCTGATATCACTTTGCATGTGACATCACTTGCCAGTCTTATCCGATATACCGCGTGCCTGCAACCTTACTGCATTAAGGTATTATCAGGCCCGTCCACTCAAATGAAAGGCGCCTCCAGTCCATAGAATAGCTTGTCAAAGTCGATAGTATTGAGGTCCATTCTACCCTCGAGCGCCTGCCATTGCTGATCCATATATGACGCTTCGGGTTCAGGAACAAAGCCTTGCAGTGGAATGTTGCGGCGCTGCTCCTCGCGCCCTGCAGAGTCGGGCGTCATTGGCATCGTGACGGGTAGAGATGAAAACATCTTCAGGGCCGGGTGACTTGGCGTGTGTCGCTTCAAGACCTGGACGGATAGGTCAAGCAGCTTGGCTCCGATAGGCGACTGGTCTTTGGCATCGTCCATGATGCGCCAGGCCTCAACAAGATGTGAGTCATTCGCGGGAGTATCTTCGGTTTGCCTACCAATGCAAGCATTGAGAACGAGTGCGATGCTGGCGAGGAACACACTTCGAAGAATAATGACGGATCGTAATCTTGTACTAGAAAACGGTAGGTCTTCGAGTTTCAAGTGTTTCTCGGTCTGTATGATCATCCTGGCAGCTGCCATGCAAGCTTCGTACGAGTATGCGTAGGCCTGTTCCACGGAACCTCTGGCGAGGAATGGCAAATGCAGCTTGCATAGATGCCTGTAAATGAGTAGGTTCAGCGTATATCGCTGGATCGTGATTTTTGGATCACGACGTGGATCTGATGGCGACAATGCGTGCATATTTGTGCTGTCCATGGAGAAGAAATCCGGCAATTCCCGTAAATACACTCTAAATTTGGCATCCATTTCCATCACAAATTTATGATCGGCTGGCTGTGCCTGGAAAGCATATGCGCGGTCTTTGTCAAGCATGTTCTGGCACAATTCTGCCAGCCGAATGCGATAGATCAGTGCCGATGCATCGGTTGGTTCTGTCAATGGCCGCCCAATAACAGGTTGGCTGTCGACAATATCCCCATCATTCACGTTTGACGGCTTTCGTACCATCATATGGAACGGGTGGATAGTGAACGAACCTTCCTGAGGAAAGGCAAATTGTGTGACCATCCTATAACATGTTAGTGACTTTGGCAATGGGAAAGTCCAGGTTGTAGATACACACCAGTCTGTGGCAACAAGGAACCACCATGTCCTTCTGTACATTTCAACTCGGAGGCTCCCCACGTTAGGAATTTCGCGATTACTCGGGGCATCAACGCGGTGTAGCGATAGTTCTCTGGCCATGCTAATTGAGCGGGCGTTGAGGCTCCTCGCGCGGGGCGAAAGGCCTTCAATATTGCAAAAGACGTAGAACAATATGACCATGCCATGGATACACTCCAAGGAGGCATGACCAATGCGCTGCGCATGATCCATGACATCGAGCGCAGCTTTCACCCACCAGAACGCCTGGGCCCTAGCCTCTGCCACAGTTCCGTAGAGAAGTCGCGCATCGTCCTGAGGTGACCACGTATAAGTCGAAGCAGCACACATGCTGAGGAGTAGTGCCATGACGCCGATATCTAGTGTTGTGTTGCTGTCAATGCAATCGTAGATTTGCTCGATGGTGGCCATCAATGTTGGCACGTGTACAACATGATGGAAGTGGTTGACATCCGTTATGTATTTGTGTGTAAGGATGCGGGCTTCATCACGGCGAGGCAACCAGATACACCTTGTTACCTCACCAGAGCCAAACGAAGGGGCGGAAGGGTCACTTTGTAGTACAAAGTTACCCTGTTTGACGATACGGCGTACAGGGCAAGTGCGGAAAGATATTGGATCACAAAGAGGTTCCTGTTCGAAACAATACATCATTAGTGTAGTTCAGTGCGTATAATGATCTTGTCTCACGCGGTGATTTTCGAAACCTGCAGATGCAAGGTTGAAGCTAACGAGACAGTGCCGAATCGCGCACATACCAGCATGGATTGACCTGTAAATGACCTTTCGAGCCACAGCGCATCATCAGTCAACTTTTGAAGTTGCGGTGACATTGGTGGCGCCACAACAGATGGCTGGTTCGGCGGCGGCGCTTCTGAATAAGCCGTGGGCTCTGGTCTATTCAACATGCCTTCCCTATTCTGGGCAGCAATGAGCGCCTCGAGTTTCTCTAGGCGTGCCAATAGCTCGGCATTGGGAACGTCTTTTGGAGCCACCGACTGCTCGCCTTCCACCGTTCGCATGTCCGTATCATCCTGGTCGGACACGCTGACGGGAGCATTAGCACTGGAACTATTAGCCGCGAGACTTGATCTTGGCGCCGACGGCTGGGCGGTTGCAGGCCCATCGTGCTCGCAGACGACCCCACGGCATGTACAATTGGAGCACGGGAAGATGCGGCTACACCGCAGCTTGCGCTGCCTGCACAACTTGCAGGAAATGGGCCGCTGTCTCGGTTGGCGCCCCATGTTGCGCTATGGGTTATATCACTGCCACAATAGAGACGATTCGGGTCAGGTATTCCTTTCTTGGCGCGGACTTGGGGATATGTTCAAGGGAAAGGTGGGTGTGTGTGAGTGAATATCCGTGGGATCCGGAAAGTCCGCGGCGAGGCCCCACGGCGTTTACGACCCCACCAAGAAGCTGAACATGACCAGCGACTTCGGCTCAGGTGTGGAAGGCCGTCCATCAGCCATTACATGCTGTGGTTTGTGAGGCAGTTTTATTAGCAAAGGCGAGGACGCGGCTCTCATGCCTGCAAACGTCATGTCTGGTGATGGCCGCGCGCTTTGGTGAGGAGAATAGGCTGGAGGGGACTTTGGAATGTGCACCTGTGGATCATCAAGCGTAAAATACAGGCCCATTGGAATGTCACGCCGTTGTTAATAAGATACCTGAAAGCGGCATATACCGCTAATACCCTTATGCGTCAGCGATGAAGCGTTCTACGACTCGAGGCGGGTGTATGTGTAATTTCTGTATCTGACGCGCTCTTCCCGTTATATAATTACTTCTAGCAGTCCACCGACCGAGTCATTGTTTCAAGCAGTGTATGCAGACCCGGCTGGTGATAGAGATATAAATATACCTCGTCCTCTGCACCTTGTTTGTTTTGTTTTGCTCCTTTGCTAGAAAAGTATTTCATTGTTGTGAATTGACACTGCATTTTCCCTTTCACTTCTTTACCCAATACAACCAGCAAGAAATAAAATTAGGCCCCTTTGAAAGCGCTGGAGGCCCTTTCTACTATTCTTTGCCGTGCTGGTGTCTGCTACTCGTCCTGCTACTTCTTCTGCTACTCGGTCGGCGGTGCATCTCCTCTGAGCAGTACCGCGGCAAAGGTCAGGTAGTTAGCGCCTTATTGATTTCAATTGCAGGCGTCGTTTGCTGTGTCTATTGCCATTGGCATGATTCTTGCGACCGCAGTTTTCCATCTCTGGAAAGAGGATTTGCAAAAGCACTGTCTACGGGTCAAATTTTAGATTGTAGAGACATGAGCTGATGACGGCAATCACTGGGCTTCATCGGGGACTCAACCAAGTTGTACAAGTGGTGCCACAACGGGGGAGCTCGCCCGGCCCACGTTTCCGTCATTCCCCGAGGGCACGCAAGAGCTCGCCACAGAAAGTCATGCAGTAAAACTGATGCAGACGTGGGAAACGGCTGCAAAGTTGAAGCTTTATTTGACGGGAGGAAGATCGAAAAGGTAAACGCGTCTTATAAGAATTTTGCGACTTGACAGTCTGAATACCTGACGCCTGTTTGAGTTTGGGGACCAGTTGGCCAATGAGAGGTCGCATGATTCCGCATCACGCTTCACGTGACAAAATCAGGCCAGCTTTCCTTAGTCATCCGTGGAGCAAAGCTTCTTCCGGGCGTCAGAAATCGTCCAAGTCATAGGATTACCTCTCGCTCGACAAGCCTAATCAATTTCCCCGTACTCCTACCGCAGAATCGACCTCGCACAACGGCCGACGCGCCAATTGCTATCCATTCCGGCTTCAACACTCGACGTTTTCTCCTCTTCGCGCCCCCTCGATACACAATGCTTCGCACACAAGCCACGAATGCTCTGCGCCGGGTCGCGCCCCGTGCCTATTCCACCCAGGCCCTGTCCAACCCGACGCTCAAGAACATTGAGAAGAGATGGGAGGGCATGCCACTTCAGGAGCAGGCTGACCTCTGGATGGCTCTCCGTGATCGCATGAAGGGCAGCTGGTCCGAGCTGACCATCCAGGAGAAGAAGGCCGGTATGTTGCCTGCTTTTTTCTTGGTTCCTCTTCCTGCTGTAGCGCGGTCCCCTGTGGTTCCCTGAAAATACCTCCCCGGGTTGCCGAGCTTAGCACTAGTCAAACACCGGTCACTCGCAACAACGGCCACGATGAACAATTCACCGTGCAATGCTTGCTGCTGAACCTACCAACTTCCGGCAATGTGCCAAGTGGTTCATATTATGCGAAATAGTTGCCTATTTGGGCAATTCGCTGTGAGGTCAACAGCGCGCTAGTGTTGCATCAACCAGTCTACGTGCATCCGAACTGAGGAAAAAAACTAACTCAAATCCTCTCAACAGCTTACTGGATTGCCTTTGGTCCTCATGGACCTCGCGCTACCGACCCCCCCGGCACAAACGCCCGCATTGCCTGGGGTGTCGCTCTCGGTGTTGGCGCCTCGATCGCCATCTTTGCCGCCATCCGCACCACCGCCAAGCCCGCTCCGTACACGATGACCAAGGAGTACCAGGAAGAGTCCAACGAGTTCCTGCTCGTAAGTCCCCTTGCTGATGAAGGCACAGCCGCGGCACACATACTGACTTTCTTTCCAGAACCAAAACGCCAACCCCATCACCGGTATCTCCTCCGAAGGCTACACGGGCAAGGGTGTCGTCCAGTCTCCTCCCAAGGGCAACTAAATCGACTCATAAAATATGCAAGACGCACTCTATCATTTCCCTTTGTCATAGAAGATCGTGTGGACCGCGGGAAGCACTATAATGTTTCTCGCGTGTAAAATGGGCCCAGAGCGTTTGGAGAACTGTTGGCGGGTTGTCGAGCGAAGCGGTAGAAGGAGGTGTAAATACTGTACTACAATGACAGAATCAAAAGAAGCAATTGTTTCCAATACACAACTCATTTTCTTGTTAAAATTGGACATGGACGCTTGGGATTGTTCGCTATGTATGCTGGCTGGGTCTGCTTCACTATATCCAAAATATTCTCGAAACCAGCGTTGGCTACTCAACCGCCGCTTTGTCCGGCTTCCCGTAGACGTTCAGAGGCTGCCGCCGGCTTTCCACCGCGATCGAGCTGCTCTTCTTCCATTCGCCTGTCCACCTCGAACCGTCCATCTTTGGCCCAGTAGCCCGGCTTTTCGGTGCCGTTGACGCAGCCTTCCGTAATGAGAACATACGGCATCGGTGCGTCGAACATGGGCTCACCCAGGATGCGCTCCATTTCCATCTTCAGCCCGCGGGCGCCCGTACCAGATTGGGAGGCCCTATCCGCGATAGCATAGAGGGCCTTCTCAGTGAAGTATAGACGGGACGGGTACGTCTCAAAGAGCGCCGTATACTGCGCCACGAGACTGTTGCGTGGCTCCGTTAGAATCCGGAACAGGTCTTCCTTTGACAGTGGGCTCAGGGCGCAGATGTTGTGTAAACGTCCGATTAGTTCGGGAATGAATCCGAATTTTTGCAGGTCGGCAGGCGTGGCTAGGTCCATAGGCGTAAATTTCGAAACAGAGTCATGATGGGCCAAGTGTTCGTATAGTTCGGGGGGTAGAGCCTGTTGCTCGCCAGAGAGCGTGGTGCGCCCCTTGACTTCGCCACCAAATCCCATAGTCGGCTTGGCGACCCTTTGGATGACACTCTTATCTAGTCCGACGAAAGCACCGCAGAAGACGAAGAGGATGTTGGTGGTGTCAATGGTATATTGGTCCACTTTGGCGGCGGGCGGTGCGGCCTGAGCTGTGCTGCTGGATGAGCCACTCGCGTTATAATTCGTCGTAATCGGCGGTGCGGATCGGGAAGAGCGGTTGTCTTTCACGTTGATCGTCACTTTGGTGCCTTCCACCAGCTTTAGCAGGGCCTGCTGAACGCCCTCACCGCCGACATCACGGCCGGTCGAAGTTTCCCGTCTGGCAAGTTTATCGAATTCGTCAAGTACAATTATGCCGTGCTCCGTAGCTTTGATATCGTAGTTTGCTTCTATTAGAAGCCTTTCAACGCACGTCTCAACATCTTGACCAATATAGCCAGCTTGCGTTAAAGAGTTGCAATCGCAGATGGAGAACGGGACTTGGAGCTTCTTGCTCAGAGTTCTGCCCTCATTAGCCACCATACCCGAAAAGTCAAAGCTGGGTATCACATACTCGAGAATATATGTTTTTCCTACTCCAGTCGGCCCGATCAAGAGCAGGTTGCTCTTGTCAATTTTGACGGGCTCATCGGCGGCTTGGTCCTCAGGTATGTACAAGTGGTCCAAAGAGGGGGTTTCGGATCTGTCGCTTTCGTAGAGCTCTCGAACAGACTCCGTGTGGCCAGGAAACTCGTCTATATAAGTTAGAGCCACTCGCTTTGAAGAAAACACTGCAAATCCATACCATCAACTGGATGAGCTTCCCGCCGTTTCTGGTGTAACTCTCGATCTCTGGCGAACCGTTGTCGCATGGATTTTTCTCGCAGATTTTGCTCTTCGTGTTCGTGCTGATGCCGCCGCCGAAGATTCTGGTAGTGATTGAAAATAGTAGAGCAGATGGTTTTCTTTGCACGGTCCTGGCCGACGACGTAGTTGTCTACGCGTCTCTTGAGGTCGCGCGGGTAGAATTGGGGTACGCCAAATCGTCGTTTGTTAAACATGGGTCCACGGCCAGATTCTTCTGTAGGATCATAGGTACCAGTGAAGCCAGAGTTCATGTCCGCCTGCCTGCTAGCAAGCGCCGAACTGGTGGTTGACAGGCACCGGGCGCAGCCTTGGTACGAGACCAGCCGCCGAGAACGTCGGCAGCCCAGAGCTACCGGGTATATTGTATGTGGGGGTCGAAACATATTGTCATGTAGTCGTTAATAATATTGGCGCTTGGGGTTCTATCGATTCGTGGATGTAGGGGCCGTTGGGTGGCCTCCTCATAGGAGGCGGAGGCTACCGATGGTGTCACAAGGGCCACTAGGCGTGGTAAGCAGGCGGTAGAGAAACCCTGGAATACTTCAGTAAATTAGGGGCATGACAGTAATTGATAGGCGAAGGTTGGTCGTTCGTTTGGTGGCGCCAATACATCAGCAGTTCCTGGTAGGGTGTGTGTTGAATGACGGTGGGAGGTTCTTACCGTTGTGTCGCCGATCTCGCATCCGTCACGAGCTCCGAGCTCACTCGGTGGAAAGTGGAATGCGGGGGGAGCAGTCCACTCCCAGTTGGTGCCACTGAAAAATGCCAATGGAGCACCATTATCCTCGTAGCAATGGCAAGCGCCGACGTGATTCGCATCTCAAAGAGCATTACAAAGTCAAAGAATTTTTACATTTTCGTGTTTGAGCGATTCAAAAGCATCAAACCTCGCGCTATCACAACCCACCCGCTGCAGTTTTTAGCTTTACCTACATATGTAGATTTGTAGACGCCCCCTACCTATGTAGACATCCTTGTGTCTGCCGTTGACTGGCGGCGAGCGCACTCTCCGAGTCCTATCTGTAATGCAATCGTCTTTTGTATTACCTGGAATTTCTACGCAGCTGAAGGCACCTCAAATCAAACCACAGTCCCTTTCACATAGCTTGGAGCACTGTGTCACTGTTCACACTCAAGCACTGTCCGATGAGAATCCGTTGGACACGTTGATATCTACCCAGTTACAAGTACCTAGTTACCAGCTGTGTAAGTAGCCTTACCTGGATTAGCGACGCCACTGATGCGAGATGGGCCGAATAGACAGGGTGCTAATTTGCCACTACAAGACAAGTCGATTTGTTGAGCGATTAGATAGATTCCTATGAAAGCGCTGTGACTGTGGCTAACTGTGGCTACATAGTACTAACGAGGTACCTACAAACGCCTCGTACGAGCTACTCCCAACGCAGTACCTGCCTGGGTAGCTAGTTGCCCAGGTGAAAGCTCCCTAGCGTTCAACCCCAGAGGAATTGCCCCTCGTCCAGAATCTTGTTTCTTTGCCTGTCGACCAAGAAAAAACTCAAAGTAGCTCAATTCAGCTTTGCTTCAGAGAGTTTTGCATTCTTCAACCATTCTCCTGAATTCGAAGTCAATTCCATCGAACAACCGCTTCCCCCGCAGCGCTGATATTGCCTTTTGCTACCCCACGTCATTAATACGTTAGCTACCTTGCAAGCTAACTGGAGCATCGCTCACCACTCCTTGCAGCTATCATGGCAACGACTGCTGCGGCTTCTGAAATACCGGCGGATGCCACTGGTTCGTTCTTCCCAAATTCATCACTGGCTGCGCTGACACGTTTTAGGCGTTTTCAAGCTGGACCCATGGCTGGAGCCATTCAGCGATGCCCTCACACGTCGCTGTGGCAAAGCACGGGAATGGATCAAGAAGATCGAGGAGTCTGAGGGTGGCATGGATAGCTATACCAAGGTACGCTATGTACAACGCTCACGGCTACATTCCAACAGCTCACCGAAGCTTAGGGATTTGACAAATTTGGATTCAATGTTCTCTCCAATGGCGATATTCGCTACAAAGAGTGGGCGCCCAACGCGGTCGAAGCATATTTGATCGGTGAATTTAGTAAGCTGTTGTCGAAACAGGTGGCGACCGCGCAAATTAACCCGGTCAATAGATGATTGGAATCAAACCTCGCATCCTATGTCAAAGGATGCCTTTGGCTCATTCTCCATTGTTGTGCCCTCGAAAGCTGGTCAGCCTGCTATTCCACACAACTCCAAAGTCAAGGTTTGTTGGCAAGCAATACAGCTCTCACCGCAACCAAAGTCTGACAGAGGTTGCAGATTTCTTTGATTTTGCCAAGCGGTGAACGCGTGGATAGAATTCCCGCCTGGATCAAGTATGTCACCCAAGACTTGAGCGTGTCGCCTGTGTATGATGCTCGGTTTTGGAATCCGCCCGCTTCAGAGAAGTACCAGTTCAAGCACCCACGTCCGAAGAAGCCTGAGAGTGTACGCGTTTACGAAGCCCATGTTGGTATTTCGACGCCCGAGCAACGCGTTGCCACTTACAAAGAGTTCACTCGGGACATGCTGCCCAGAATCAAGGACCTCGGCTACAACGTCATCCAGCTCATGGCCATCATGGAACATGCTTACTATGCCAGCTTTGGTTACCAGATCAACAATTTCTTCGCAGCCAGCAGTCGTTATGGCCCGCCTGACGATCTTAAAGAGCTCATTGACACAGCGCATAGTATGGGCATCGTCGTCCTGCTTGACGTTGTGCACAGTCATGCGTCGAAGAATGTCTTGGATGGCCTCAACAATTTCGACGGAACTGACCATCAATACTTCCATGGCGGAGGTAAAGGCAATCACGACCAATGGGACAGTCGGCTGTTCAACTATGCTCACCACGAAGTCATGCGTTTCTTGCTGAGTAACCTTCGCTTCTGGATGGACGAATACCACTTTGATGGTTTCCGATTTGACGGAGTCACTAGTATGCTGTACATCCACCACGGCATTGGGGCGTAAGTTTTGCTTCTATCTGCTGTTGCCGGTAAGCTAATAATTACAGCGGCTTCTCCGGGGGCTACCATGAATATTTTGGCTCAGATGTCGACGAAGAGGCTGTCACCTACATGATGGTCGCCAACCAAATGCTTCACTCATTCTACCCAGATTGCATCACTATCGCTGAAGATGTATCTGGGATGCCGGCTCTCTGTGTCCCCGTGGGGCTTGGCGGTGTTGGGTTTGACTACCGCTTGGCCATGGCGGTTCCCGATATGTGGATTAAAATTTTGAAGGAACTGCAAGATGAGGAGTGGGATATTGGCAACATATGCTTCACTTTGACAAATCGACGACATGGCGAAAAGACAATTGCATACTGCGAGAGCCACGACCAAGCGTGAGTAACCGTTGCCTTGCTCTAATGACGCAGCTAACACGGGGTAGCCTCGTCGGTGACAAGACCTTGATGATGCATTTGTGCGACGCGGAGATGTATAAGAACATGTCTGTTCTGTCGCCACTGACTCCAACTATCGATCGTGGTATCGCTCTGCACAAATTGATCAGGCTGCTCACTCACAGCTTGGGTGGTGAGGGATACCTGAATTTTGAGGGCAACGAATTTGGACATCCGGAATGGCTCGACTTCCCTCGCGAGGGAAATAACAATTCCTTTTGGTACGCCCGGCGCCAGCTTAACCTTACTGAAGATTATCTCCTGCGTTATCCATTCCTGAACAGATTTGATGGCTTGATGAACCAATGCGAATCAAAGTATGGATGGCTCCATGCCCCCCAGGCATACATCTCCCTGAAGCATGAAGGAGACAAGGTGATTGTTTTTGAAAGAGCCGGGCTTGTCTTTGTTTTCAATTTCCACCCGAACAACAGTTTCAGTGACTATCGAATCGGGGTCGACGAAGCCGGAACCTACAAGGTTGTCCTGCAGACTGACAGCAAAGACGTTGGTGGCCATAGCAGAATTGATGAAAGCGTCCGCTTCTTCACTACTCCAATGGAGTGGAACGGACGGAAGAACTGGACGCAGGTTTACATCCCGTCCAGAACTGCTCTAGTAAGTCCTCATAGTTCCGGGTGGTGGTATGTGAGCTAATTCTTGTAGATCCTGGCGCGCGAGGATGCCGCTGCCCAGTAATTTTGAGTCCCTGATTTCGGGTTACCAAGTTGAAAGCCTGAGAAGCTACAAATGAGACCAAATTTTACGCAAGCAATGAAATAACGCAGTGTTTTATTGACAGTTGAAAATTGCCTACCTATATATCCCCCTGGCAAGGGGCGCTAGCCAAAGCCTGTTTCCTCAGGCACCACAAGGCCAGGAACGAGGAGTCGGGGACGTGGTCGTTATGGTCGGAATTCCCTAAATTCGCCGAGATTTCGGATTCGCACTGTATACTTTCAACTTTGGTAGCCAGCCCACAGAGCTTTATGTACCTCGGATTACGTCTTGATTTGCGCGAATGCTGTAAATTCAGTCGCAACAGCCTCAATTCGTATACTAAATTAGCCAATTGAAACTGATTTGCCTTTATGCTGAGATTTGAAGTGATCTGACGTTCCTCAAGGGACCAACTCGGTTTTTGAAGAACAGGGAATTCCCGGAGGCTGGCGACTACAACTTTCTGACACTGTCAGGGGAAACTACACATAATTTCTGTCTAGCGCAGCACGTGACTTGTGAGAAAGCTCTAACCGATGAAGTCCTCAGTCCCGGAGCAAAACTGCTCACTCTGCAAAAGTTCTCCCCAGGTTCAACCAATCTCTCTCCACTCACATCACTGATCGCTCTCTGTCATCTGGCAAGATGTTCAAGAGGTACGTTAAAAGTATTGGAGCCATTTTTACCGGCTCAATTGCGCCTGTTGCGCCAATTGGGACGACGATGCTGACCGACCTCCTCGTGTAGCGGCATTTCCTCCTTCGCCCGCGCTGCCCGCCCGTCCTTCGCGGCGGCGGCTCCTCGCCGTGCCATCCGACCTGCTTTCGTCCGATTCCCCCTCAACAGCAGATTCGCGAGCACTGCTGGTGTCGGTGATGGCAAGATTTACCAGGTGAGAACCGGTCGTGTCCACGAAGGCCGTGCGCTGGGCTAACCACAACAAACAGGTCATTGGTGCCGTCGTCGACGGTTAGTTTTCGAGCCCCGATAGCGATGAGCTGCCATTGCACTCTCGTCGATGCGAATTTTCAAATACTGACGGCCGATTTAGTCAAGTTCGACACCGCCAAGCTTCCCCCTATTCTGAACGCCCTGGAAACTCAGAACAACGGCCAGAAGCTCGTCCTGGAAGTCGCTGTACGTGCGCTAATAATGCAGCAGACTTGGAACTTTGCAACTAACTAGTTTCTTTAGCAACACTTGGGTGAGAATGTCGTTCGCTGCATTGCCATGGACGGTAAGTCATTTTAGCACCCTGTTACTATGGAGGAAGCTTTTGCTGACAGGGGACACACAGGTACTGAGGGTCTCGTCCGTGGCGCCAAGGCTGCCGACACTGGTGCCCCCATCACCATTCCCGTCGGCCCTGCCACTCTCGGTCGTATTATCAACGTCACTGGTGACCCCATTGACGAGCGTGGTCCTATCAAGACTGACAAGTTCCTGCCTATCCACACCGAGCCTCCTGAGTTCGTCGACCAGTCGACTTCCGCTGAGATTCTGATCACTGGTATCAAGGTCGTCGATCTGCTTGCCCCCTACGCCCGTGGTGGTAAGATTGGTCTGTTCGGTGGTGCTGGTGTCGGCAAGACTGTCTTCATTCAGGAGCTTATCAACAACATCGCCAAGGCTCACGGTGGTTACTCCGTCTTCACTGGTGTCGGTGAGCGTACCCGTGAGGGTAACGATCTGTACCACGAAATGCAGGAAACCTCCGTCATTCAGCTCGATGGCGAGTCCAAGGTCGCTCTGGTGTTCGGTCAGATGAACGAGCCTCCCGGTGCCCGTGCCCGTGTCGCCCTGACTGGTCTTACAATTGCCGAGTACTTCCGTGATCAGGAAGGCCAGGACGTGCTGCTCTTCATTGACAACATTTTCCGTTTCACCCAGGCCGGTTCCGAAGTGTCCGCTCTTCTCGGTCGTATTCCCTCCGCTGTCGGTTACCAGCCTACCCTCGCTGTCGACATGGGTGGTATGCAGGAGCGCATTACCACCACCAAGAAGGGCTCTATTACCTCCGTCCAGGCCGTTTACGTCCCTGCTGACGATTTGACCGATCCCGCCCCTGCCACCACCTTCGCCCATTTGGACGCCACCACTGTCTTGTCGCGTGGTATCTCCGAGCTGGGTATCTACCCCGCTGTCGACCCTCTCGACTCTACCTCGCGTATGCTCGACCCCCGTATTGTCGGCCAGGAGCACTACGACACTGCCACCCGTGTCCAGCAGATTCTGCAGGAGTACAAGGGTCTCCAGGATATCATTGCCATTCTGGGTATGGACGAACTTTCTGAGGCCGATAAGCTCACTGTTGAGCGTGCCCGTAAGATCCAGCGTTTCCTGAGCCAGCCTTTCACGGTTGCCCAGGTCTTCACTGGTATCGAGGGTGTTCTCGTCGACCTTAAGGACACGATTGCCTCGTTCAAGGCTATCCTGAGCGGTGAGGGTGACAACCTTCCCGAGGGTGCTTTCTACATGGTTGGTGATCTCGCCTCCGCCAGAGCGAAGGGTGAGAAGATTCTGGCCGATCTGGAGAAGAACTAAGGAGCGGCCTTTGCTATAATAATATCAGAGGTGTAGAAGACGGGCCTGTGTATAGATCAGAGGAACGGAAGCCAGCGCGGTTTCTTCTAAAGCTCCTTTAAGTAGTCTCTTTTGTGGGCTGTGTACCAAGAAATCAACAAAAATTCCTCTTGTATTGAATGGAGTTTCCTTTGTTAACATATATCTCTTTCCTATGCCTTGAACTTGTGTCCTTTGCAATTGTGAATGGCCTGAAATTAATGGAGTTAGAAGTAGCAAAGTAACGTGGATGTGCTATGAGAAGTATCTGTGTTGTTGACAGCTAATAGGAAAAGGCTTCTTTTTCTTCATGTCTCTCATCACAGCAGTGTTAGCCATGCCTAGTCAGCAGCGTTGTCCGGACCTTGAGGCACTGTGGCTCGTCCTCTATCAACATAGATGTCCCGGGTCTCGAAGTGCAGCATTTCCTCTGGCGTGAGTACTCTTGCTGGCTCATGCTCCCAGGTTTCGTCATCTAAAAGCAAGCGTCCAATTCGGTCAATGTCGTCAGTTTCCATCGCAGCTGCTGGAACTTCGAGATATTGCAGTTTCTGGGAACAAAGAAATGCAACCAAATCCCCGATGGATCTCTGTCCAACATTCTCCGTCCACCATACCCGAGTCGTAAGCTTCAGAAACACGGCATAATGTGCCACGATGACTAAAGCTTTCCAACGCCGCTCCAGCGCAAGCTGCACAAACTCTCTGGGGAGAAATGTGATCCATGTTATGATTCGTAATGTCATTTCTGGACTAAGCCCAGTTTTCAAATAGTGATATAGCGCACCGAGACAGCGTAATGCTTCGCGGTAGACGGCATGATTGTCGGGATCATCTGGATCCAGGTCCACCATGATCTGGAGCACCTCAGGAATGTTGTCCTTTGACGCATCGAGGTTGAGTGGCGGCCGGTAAAACAAACTCGAGAGCCCGCATCGAATAAGACCAGGGATTGTGATGCGCTCCATCATGATGCCGATTCCGCACCATATTTTCATCCAGTTGAGGATGAAGAGGTTCGCTCCAAAACGCTCGTCCCTGAATTGTTCCGAAGATATGGCCGTCATGAGAAGTGATGCTACCACTAGATGTGGGAAGGTCTTCGGGTCGGCCACTTCCATATCGGTCAAGATCTGCGACGTGGAAGCATTGATGTACTCGTGGGCCAACAGCGATATTAAGGCAGGGTCGCCAGCAATTTTCTTCCGCTTTATATGGAGAGCTGATAACGCCAAGATGCAATTCATGAGAGAAACCGACTGGAAGCTGTAGTTGAGAGCGATTTCTTCCAGAATGCCGTCAGTGTACCGCCGGCTGGCGGGGTCAGCGTTGAACGACATGCTGGTGTGCAACTGAAAATGCTGTAAAAGGTGCCCGTGGGTTTCGATACTCGAAAATTGCGGCGTGTAGAATGAGTATAGTCCCAGTTGAGTTCCGCGCAGACACATTTCCCTTGACCACAGCAACTTGTCCAATAGCTCACAAAGGTTATGTATCCGACTCTGTGAGATGGCGTTGTTTTCTTTTGTATCGGGGCATACTTCCTGGGTCTGGAAGTGCTCCAGATAGTGGGAGACAATGCGTTCAAAGGCTAGTATATCCGAAAACTGCTTCCATTTCTGAGCTTCTGTGAGGTTCTGGAACTTGGACGGCCGGTAAAGTCGTTGGAGGAGTGAGAGAGCTGGCAACAAAGGCCTTGATGGCAGTGGGCGTTGCTGGGATGGCGTAGGGGGTGAAACTGGCCCTGTTGGCGTTTGGAGCGGGTATGGATCTCTTTGTGGCTCTTTGAGCTGGGTATGGAATAGGAAGAGTGGATGAGATTGTGGAGGGGATGATGCCTGGGGCTGGAGAAGCATATGCTGTCGAGATGGTCGCGGTTGTTGGACTCTTGAAGATGTCACCTGGCGGTACTGGCAGTCTTCTCTTCTGTTCAAACAAGCGCTGCAGCTGGGCTTTCCTTCATTGCACTTGACTTTGCGCTTTTTGCAGTTTAAGCAGCCGGACCTTGCCTTCTTGTGCGGCCGCTTACAGTGGTACGGTTTGGCAGTCACTGGAGGCGAGCCATCTGGCGACGTCGACGACATTGCGTGGGCTTCGCTGATTAGCGGGGGTGGCTGGTAAGGGTACGATGATTGGGGAACCAAGGAAGGTGTTTATTTATCGTGCGTGCGATTCCACACTGGCTGGTAATTCTGAGCTCGATGCTCGGCCTGGTGCTCATGCGAGTTCGCGACGTCTTGAATGATAGGAGACGTGGCACTGTCAGAAGCTGTATTGGTTTTGCTCTTCTGAAATTCCAGCGCATGGTTGGACGACATGAGATCGGCGCAGCAATGACGGCAGAGCTGGGTGCTGACGACGAGGCTCAGCCATCTATCACGAAAGGTAACGCCCGGCAACTCTTGTAGCGCCTGCTGGCCGTATTCACTAGCCCAACCTGGCCAAGTTACGGATACTTTTGATGGTAGCAACCTTGAACGTGCTGGTAGAACGGAAACGGTGGGCCGTACCTTGTTGTATATAACGCCCACATATATTGTCTCTTGGCGAAATTGAACCCAATCTACCCGGGAGGATTTTATGGCTATCCGTGCAGTGGATGCCAGTGCGTGCCGTATGAGGCTGAGGCTACACTCAGCAGCTTGTCAGTTTCCCCAGGAGCTCGCTATCAACGTCGTCGAGTTAGTGGGTTGGCAGACTATGTACCTGTATCGCTGGAAATAGGACGATATGTCCACAACGCCGAAGGTTAGCGTCTAGAGATGGTCAGCGTAAAAGGCTAGAGAAACCTAACACCATTCATCGGCTGAGCATAAAATAACAACGAGCAAACTCATAAGTTTTAGCCGTAAAATATCCAGCAAAATAGTGCTGAAATTATTTTGCGCCCACCACGCGCACAGGAGTATTCGTAGGCAACACCTGAGTGCAGTTCATTGTTTTATTCGCCCACGCCATCAAACATCAGATGATCTCGCTCACGTAATCCACACTGTGCCAACAGAAATTATCAGATCTGCTTGGCCAGGCAACTCTGACCGCCGTTAAGACTGGCTGGTACGCTTCCGTCACCCGCAAACCAATCAATTCAGCCGTACTGCATACAGGTTCGCGAGTATTATTTATATAATCACAACGCGACCTGCGCTGGTGGCGGCTCACCGCTCGGATGCACTTCCCGTCGTTACGAGCCATCCCGACGACTGCTGTTCTCGCCGCAGGAGCGCAGAGAGGCTGCGCGCCGCACCGTCAATTCCATGCGTCAGCCCGCCGATGCAGTGGCCTTGGCAACGGTGGCCGTCCATCCGAAGAGTCAACGACCGAACAGGACGGCGAGGCGGAGGCGCAGGGCACAGGAGAAGCCTCTGGCGGACGATCGCGGTCGGCTCTAGCGAGCTCACTGAGAACTCGACAAACTCGTCGCAAGCCCGCGTCTGCTCTACCCCCGGTCGAGCTGCCGAGTAGCTTCCTCGAACATAATATCACGATATACGACGAAGCAAAGCAACCCAGGCTTCCGCCCGCGCTGGCAGAAGATACCAAGCGCGAAAAAATATCTCGCCTGTTTCTCGCCCCAAATAGCGATACCCACGCATCGAACGAAGCTATTGAAAACTATTTCGAAACGGCCGTCGAGAAACTGCTCCTTCGAAACTGCGAATTAGCCACCGACTTTACACAATGCCAAACGGAGGAGGACAAGGCCAGATGGGAGTCCCCTGACACCATTGCCAGAGTCGTCAGAATATGGGATATGATACTGGACGCCTCGTGGCATCTGACTGATGCTCTGTATCCTGCCCGCCAAGCAGAGTATGTCTATAAGAAGCGGCCATTTTGGTGGTGGCACGTCCACAAAGACTTTGACCATCGAAGCAATGGCTTTCGCGACCAATTTGTCTCCCTCGGGGTGTCACTTGACCACCACCTGACTGCTGGAGAGCATCTTGATGTACCTCTGTCCCACGCGCTCGCTAGTTTCCATGTAGATACCTTTGTGGCCATACAAAGCTCTGTCGCGCGCGAACTGAATGCGAAACCACCCTCAAATTTCGACGCCAAGACTGGCAAGCGCCCCCTCAACATCCTATCGCTCTCAGGCTACGGTGGCAAGGCTGTTGCGCAATCGATTGCTGCGCAAATAGCCCATGGGGGCTTCGACCTGGTGCACTTGGACGCTCAGGACTTATCGGTCCTTGTCGGCGAATATCTGGGCCAGCACTGGGCGTATTCCCGTGGCGCAGTGTCCATGATGGGCTTCCGCGCAGCTGAGCTCAGCGGCAGGCTTGCCCAGGATCCGGAGATCACCCTCAGACAGGCATCAGAAGATGATGACATGGACTCGGAATCAGTCTTGAGCGCACGCGTTGCAGCAGCAGGAAATTTGGAGGAAGATCTCCAGAAGCTGAAGCAAGGGGGCTTTGACTGCTTCGGAAAATGGGATGCACTGAAGATTGACAAGATTCTGGATCACATCATTCAATCAGCTCAGAGTAAAGAAACGCCCGGCAATCGGCCGGTGCTCCTCCACCTGCACGACGTCGTTGAGCTGTCTATGACCCTGGAAGGATCATTCATCTTGGCTCGCTTGCGTGCCCTCCTCGATGCTGCTTGGCAAAATGGCACCCAGATTGCTATGTTCGCAACGTCTTCGAGCGAAACTCCCTCGGACGAGTACCAGAACGCCGTTCGTGACCTGGCTTTTGCGGAGTTTGTCGTCAGTCGTCACCTACAGTTGAACGCAGGCAACATGGTCAAGCCTCACAAGAAGACGCAAGGCGAGCTTCCCGCTGACCTGCAGACTACTGATTACTTTTTTGAGAATATTCAAAATATTCGACGCATGATGCATGCTCTTCAGCCAAACAGCCAGATCAGCACAGAACCCGTCGAGGCAACGTTGCTTGAATACTTACGTTCTGCCAATACACACCAGTCAACTTTTCGACGAGGCATTCTGCCGATCCCCGAGGTATATCATCTGGCGCAGGCGTTGAACTCGAATAGCACAGACATTGAGGGCTCCGCTCGCAGCGCGTTCATGGAACGATTCATCATGGGCCCCTTGCGAACACAACCGGGCCAGAAACACCTGGATGAAGAGCCCCATGAACATATCTTCCCGGCTGGTGAAACTCAAGGCTCGAATGAAGACGTCAAGTCGGAAACCAGAGCACCGGCAAAACTGAACGAATACGAGAAACGTATACAATCCGGCTTGATTAACAAAGAAAATTTACGAACTAGCTTCGAAGATATTCACGTGCCTCCCGAGACTATCACAGCCCTCAAGCTCCTCACCTCGCTGGCGCTGGTTCGGCCTGACGCCTTCTCATACGGTATCTTGGCAGCAGACAAGATACCAGGCTGCCTGCTCTATGGTCCTCCCGGAACTGGCAAGACCATGCTCGCAAAAGCGGTTGCTAAGGAGAGTGGTGCGAACATGCTGGAAATCAGTGGCGCCACGATCAATGACAAGTGGGTTGGCGAGAGCGAGAAGCTGATCCGCGCTGTCTTCACACTTGCCAAGAAGTACTCACCTTGCGTCGTCTTCATCGACGAGGCAGACTCGCTGCTGGCAAACCGCAGCATGTTTAGCAACCGACCGTCGCACCGTGAGCATATCAACCAGTTCCTCAAGGAGTGGGATGGCATGGAGGAGACCAACGCCTTCATCATGGTGGCGACCAACCGACCGTTCGACCTGGATGACGCCGTCCTCCGACGCCTCCCGCGTAAGCTCCTAGTCGATCTTCCCCTTCGCGACGACCGCGCTGCCATCCTGAAGTTGCTCCTCCGCGAGGAGACTCTGGACAACTCCGTGTCTATCGACGACTATGCTGAGCGGACGCCGTACTACTCGGGCTCCGACCTGAAGAATGTCTGCGTCGCGGCCGCCATGGCCGCGGTGGAGGAGGAGAACGAAATGGCTGCGCGGCACACGGGCCCTGAGCCGTTTGCGTACCCGGAGCGGCGCACGCTGCGCGCGGAGCACTTTGAGAGCGCCTTGCGCCAGATCCCGGCGAGCATCAGCGAGGACATGGCGTCGCTCAAGATGATTCGCAAGTTTGATGAGGAGTATGGGAATCGCAGGCGGGCGAGGAAGAAGTCGATGGGCTTTGGGATTTTGGAGGAGAAGCTCGTGACGGACGCGAATGAGGCGCGCATTCGGAGGTGAGAGAGGCACAGCGGGAAAGGACACTGAAGAGGATCTGGAATGTACATGACACGGATGCATAAGGAGGGTGGCATTTGCCTTGCCTCTTGTATTTCTATCGACAATGGCTACGCGGCAACTGGCCGTTGCCTGTACAGTAATATAGACGTCAGACATGGTTGGACAGGGCAAGCCACGTAATTGTATGTGAAACGGAATAGAACAAGTCGCTTTATTTTGTGAGAAAAGTGCAGATAATCTAGCCCGGCTCTGGGTAAATTGCCAAGCGAAAGATCAACGATGTTACAACCCCGTACCCTTTCCCGGATTGCACACGTCTGCCTACGCCTCGGTCGATACCTGCACGCCCTCCGCGGCCAGAGCGCGCGCGTAGTCGGCCTGCGCCTTTTGAAGGGCGTCGAGCGTGGGCTGCATCAGGGCCACGACGGCGTCACGGCCGCCGCCGACCATATCGGGCTTCCACCGGATCTTCTTGCCGGTGCGCTCAAAGTGATCGCGGATCTCCTGCTTGGCGCGGCGGACAGCCTCGTCGCGCTCGGTGGCGGCCTCGTCGGCCACGGCGTTGATGCGCGTGGACGAGCGCCGCAGCGACTCGGCGAGGTACTGTAGTTCGCCGGCGCGGTCCGGGTCCCCGGACAGGAAAGCGTCCCAGAACTGGTGCAAGAACTCGACGGTGGTGGCGTGCGTGAGCGCGCAGCGCTCGGCGATGGGCGCGGGCAGACCCATGGGTGTGGTCGTGGTAGTGGTGGCGTCGTTTTCGGAGCCGTTGCCGTACTTTTGCGCGCGCCGCTGGGTGATCCCGTTCAGAACGTCCTTTTCGGCGTCGATGATGGCGCGCCGCGAGCTGCTCGGCTTCTTCCGCGGGGGCTCCTCGTCGTCGCTGTCGCTGCCGTCGTCAAAGTCAATGGCAGCCTGCAGGTTTACGCCAGCCACGAAGTCAATGGCCACGGTGTTAAACGTGCCCTGCATTTTCAGCAGGACGCTGGAGGGGTCCTGCTTTGAAAAGACCTTGGCGTTACTGGACGGCGCGGAGTCGTGCTTTGCGAAGAATTTGTTTTGCTCCTTCACGTTGAGCATGATGCGGCGTTCTTCAGCATCGCCGCGTAGATCCCGCAGCGCCAGCTCCCTGTAGTACTCGGCCCTGTCGTCATTTGGAGTATCCGATGGCGCGACGTTTGCCATGATTTTCTCACTGAGACTGTTTAGTGTCTGCACGATGGGGATGTTCGCCCTGGGCCGCATCTCAACGTCTTTGGCGTTACCGCTCTTGAAACCCCCCTGGTTTTCTTCGTTGGCCTCAATGTCAATGATATGAGGGACGTGCTGGGACATGATTTTGCTTTGCACATTTTGCAAGTTTTCGTTGACATCGTATTTGTCAAAGATGGCGTCGGTGGTATCGTTGTCGGTAACACGCTCTCCCCGCAACTTCTTTGATAACCGACTCAGGAAAAACCTAGACCAAAAGTCGGCTTCCGACAGCTTTGGAACATTTTCATTGTATATACGCTTTACGAGGGGGTGCTGGGCGAAAATCATCTGGACCTGCTCGACGCTGATATTCAGTTTCATTTCACCATCCACTGTTCGCGGTTTGACTGTCGAGAGGACGTTGTAAGGGCCTTTTTTCTGATTTGACTCGATGGCGTGTGCCCGTAGCAGATTTGTTCTGGTAGACCAGAATTGTGAGTTAAAGGCGGCGACAGATATCGACTCCGGCTTTGTGGTGAGGGCGTCCATGTACGTTTCATTGAGGCCCAGGTCCTTCTTCATGAGCGACCGCTGCAGCTCGATGTCGTTCTTCAGCTGCTGGTCGTCAAACCAACGAGCCGAGGACTGCTGTGAGTTGGCGGCACTTGCGAATGCCATTGTTGCCGATGCACTGCCACCAGTACCAGGAGCTCCCTGCGGCGTAGATGAGCCGACTGGGCGTGGGACATTAGGGTCGCTGCCTCGTGCCTCTGAGAGTAGACGGGATAGAACATCTTTGAAGGAAGACGCCTCCTTTTTGGCCTCATCGGTATTGAAATGAAAGAGGTAGGTAACAGGATCACCGCCACTGGGATTCTGCTCGAATATCTTAAGCATAACTTTGGGAGCTCCATCTGGCGTCTGCTGCAAGTCTGGGCGTCTTGATCAGCAATTTTGTACGTTAATTATTGAGACTCGTAGTGTTTACTGGTTATTTTGGAAACAGGTAATGAGACGGTAGGAGGACCACCAGAATTGGGCGTCCATGTCACGCCTTGAAGGTCGGGGGTGATTGTTAGGATGCCATCCTTCTTCTTGTACAGAGTACGGCCAGCTGGAGTCGTCGCCATGGCGGCCTCGAGTGGGCACTGGCTGTGCCCGGCAGAGCCTATGACTCAATGCGCTTCACGGTAAAAGGCATACGCGCATGTGAGCTCATGCAGCAGGGCTGAGGTCTCGTGTGGACGGAAGGATTTCTTTCGGGTGCTTTATGGAGCGGGGAAGCAGGGAGTTCTCCTGCGAGGCGACTGCAGAAAATGGGAGTCTAGTCGCCAAATAGCCTGTTCGAAATACTGCACAAAAAAAATGTCCGCCGCGAGGCGTTGAGGCAAACAATGCACGGTGATGATGAATGAGCATGAGTAGGTAGGTGTTGGCCTGGCACCAGGGCGAATGAAGTGCGTAGATTAGGTGGGACCTGGTGTGGCGCCAAAAAGTGTGGTTGGCAAGCGCTATGAGCAGCCCAGCCAGCTCACCAGCCTCAACAAGTGAAAGTGGCTCATACAACCAAGGTTACAAGTGCAGTATTCGCAAGGCACGGGAAGGCTGGAAAATATCGGCGACCCAGGCTCGTACTCCGCAAATACATGTTCGTACCTAACTACAAATCCGTACACTTATGGACCTCGATTTTTATTACATTTAGGTAACAGGTAGGTGGGTTGGGGGAAATCCCGGAATGAAACGGTAAGCGTGTGAATTCTGGCACTGTATAAATACTGTGAGTAAATACGGAGTCTTCTGCAGAGCTCACAGTATATCACACTGTCTTCGGAAGCCTGTACGAAGTACGGAGGGCCAAGCAAGCTGCCAGAGTCGGCGACTGGCTGGGCTTCGCTGAGCGGCTGACCAGTCGTCTATGGTCATTGGAGGAAGTCGGCTACTGAGAAGTCACTGGAACTGCCGACAGGGGCTATTGCGGCAGCCAAGCAGGCCTCCCGGCGCGTCCGAGACTGGTGTTGTGTTGACAGCGTAGCAGGCGAGGCTGGGCTGGGCCGGGCCCTGCAGCCCCCACGCCCAAGCCCAAGCCCAGGCCTGCAGCCACTGAGGAGCCACTGAGCAGCCACTGAGCAAGCAGCCCAAAGGCCCCCCAGGCCCTCCCCAAACTCCCCAAAAACAGAGGGACGGTGCCTCAGCGCCACAGCGCCACCGAAAATGCCTAGGAAGGGAAGCGCACCAAAAAAAAAAACCGCCCAGTCAACCAGCCAAATGCCCCAAATGCACCAAATGGGCAAGGTAATAAACTCACCCGTGCACCGTCATGCTTTTCGTGGAGCCCCAAATCAACCCGCACCCATGAAACCTCGCATCCCAACTTGGCCGTCGTTGTTAGAGGCTCTTTCTTGCTTCATTCTTCCTCCCTGTGCTTCCTAGCTCTCCCGTCTTCAAGGACTTACTCCGCCATTCTTTTTCCTGATCCTATGATCGCGAGATTGGGATGCCTCTCGTCGTTCGTCTTTGATACTCCTTCCTCCTTTGCCCTACTGTTCAATCCCCAGAAAAAAAAGTCTCCTGAAGCTTCGCGAGGCTTTTCACCACCGCCATGTTGAGAAATTCGCTCTGTAGAGCCAGCTCTCAGCTGCTCCGCGGCGCCCGAGTCTCGCCCGCCGTCTCTTCGCTTTCATCTGCTGCTTGCGCTCGTCCTTCATCATGGAGGGTTGCTGCCGCTCGCCGCTCGCTGGCCATGACGGCTCGTCGCAATTATGCTACGACCGATGCCTCCCACGCCGCCCCCGACCCCAACGATAACTTCCTCACCGGAAGCACTGCCAATTACATTGATGAAATGTACATGGAGTGGAAAAAGGATCCCAAGAACGTCCACGTCTCCTGGCAGATCTACTTCAAGAACATGGAGAGTGGCGACATGCCCATCTCCCAGGCCTTCCAGCCTCCTCCCAATCTTGTGCCCAACATGACTGGCGGTGTTCCTCGTCTCGGTGGTGGCCTCGCCATGGAGGATGGCTCTGATGTCACCAACCACTTGAAGGTTCAGCTCCTTGTCCGGGCCTACCAGGCTCGTGGTCACCACAAGGCCAACATCGACCCTCTTGGCATCAGAAACACGGCCGAAGGTTTCGGTAACATCAAACCTAAGGAGTTGACTCTCGATTTCTACGGCTTCACCGAGAAGGACCTCGATACTGAATACACCCTGGGTCCTGGTATCCTGCCCCGTTTCAAGCGCGATGGTCGCGAGAAGATGACTCTTCGCGAGATTGTCGCTGCCTGCGAAAAGATTTACTCTGGCTCCTATGGTGTCGAGTTCATCCATATCCCCGACCGCGAAAAGTGCGACTGGCTTCGCGAGCGCCTCGAGGTGCCCCAGCCTTTCAAGTTCTCCATTGACGAGAAGCGCCGTATTCTTGACCGACTTATCTGGAGTTCCAGCTTCGAATCCTTCCTCATGACAAAATATCCCAACGACAAGCGTTTCGGTCTCGAAGGTTGCGAGACCCTTGTTCCCGGTATGAAGGCCCTCATCGACCGCAGTGTCGACTACGGCGTCAAGGACATTGTCATCGGTATGCCCCACAGAGGTCGTCTCAACGTTCTTTCCAACGTCGTCCGCAAACCCAACGAGTCCATCTTCAGCGAGTTCGCTGGTACTGATACCGCCGAGGAGGGCTCCGGTGATGTCAAGTACCATCTTGGTATGAACTTCGAGCGTCCCACTCCTTCTGGAAAGCGCGTTCAGCTTTCTCTCGTTGCCAACCCCTCGCACTTGGAGGCCGAGGACCCTGTTGTGCTCGGCAAGACTCGTGCTATCCAGCACTACAACAATGACGAGAAGGCTCATCGCACTGCCATGAGCGTTCTTCTGCACGGTGATGCTGCTTTCGCTGCTCAAGGTATCGTGTACGAGTGTCTGGGATTCCACTCTCTGCCTGCCTTCTCCACTGGTGGTACCGTTCATCTGGTTGTAAACAACCAGATTGGTTTCACCACCGATCCCCGTTTCGCTCGTTCCACTGCCTACTGTACCGATATCGCCAAGGCCATCGACGCTCCCGTCTTCCACGTCAATGCTGATGATGTCGAGGCCGTCAACTTTGTCTGCCAGCTTGCTGCTGACTGGCGCGCCGAGTTCCAGCACGATGTCGTCATCGATCTGATCTGCTACCGCAAGCACGGCCACAACGAGACTGACCAGCCCTCGTTCACCCAACCGCTCATGTACAAGCGCATCAACTCGCAGGTTCCCCAGATCGATGTCTACGTCGACAAGCTGCTGAAGGAGGGCACTTTCACGAAGGAGGATATCGATGAGCACAAGCAGTGGGTCTGGGGCATGCTAGAAGAGAGCTTTGCCAAGTCCAAGGACTACACCCCTACGTCCAAGGAATGGACTACTTCCGCTTGGAACGGCTTCAAGTCTCCCAAGGAGCTGGCCACTGAGATCCTTCCCCACAATCCCACAAACGTTGACCGGAAGACCCTTGAGCACATTGGCGAAGTTATTGGCTCAACCCCCGAGGGCTTCACTGCCCACCGCAACCTGAAGCGTATTCTTAACAACCGTACCAAGTCTGTTGTCGAGGGCAAGAACATTGACTTCCCCACGGCTGAGGCTCTGGCCTTTGGCTCTCTCGTCACCGATGGTTACCACGTCCGTGTCTCTGGCCAGGATGTTGAGCGTGGTACCTTTTCTCAACGTCACGCCGTCTTCCACGACCAAGAAAATGAGGCTACCTATACGCCTCTTCAGCACATTAGCAAAGATCAGGGCAAGTTTGTCATCTCCAACTCGTCCTTGAGTGAGTTTGGTGCCCTCGGTTTCGAGTACGGCTACTCGCTGTCGTCTCCTAACGCCCTTGTAATGTGGGAGGCCCAGTTTGGTGACTTTGCCAACAACGCCCAATGCATCATTGACCAGTTCATCGCCTCTGGCGAAGTCAAGTGGATGCAGCGTAGCGGTCTTGTCATGTCTCTGCCCCACGGTTACGACGGACAGGGACCCGAGCACTCCTCTGCTCGTATTGAGCGTTACCTCCAGCTCTCCAATGAGGACCCCCGAGTTTTCCCTAACGAGGACAAGCTCGCTCGTCAGCACCAGGACTGCAACATGCAGATTGCTTACATGACTACCCCTGCCAACTTGTTCCACGCCCTGCGTCGCCAGATGGAGCGCCAGTTCCGCAAGCGTAAGTCGACACTACTGATTTACTGAACCATGCTAACGATTTATAGCCCTCATCATCTTCTTCTCCAAGTCTCTCCTCCGTCACCCTCTCGCCCGCTCTAGCCTTGAAGAGTTCACTGCTGAGGATGCCGGTTTCCAATGGATCATCCCAGACCCTGAGCACCAGACGGGCACCATCAAGTCTCCTGAGGAGATTGACCGTGTCATTCTCTGCACTGGTCAGGTCTGGGCTGCTCTGCACAAGTACCGTGCTGACAACAAGATTGACAATGTTGCCTTCACCCGCATTGAGCAGCTGAACCCTTTCCCCTGGCAGCAGCTGAAGGAGAACCTCGACATGTACCCCAACGCCAAGACCATCGTTTGGGCTCAGGAGGAGCCGCTGAATGCCGGCGCCTGGAGCTTCACCCAACCCCGCATTGAGACCCTGCTCAACCAGACCAAGTATCACGACCGCAAACACGTCATGTACGCTGGCCGTAACCCTAGCGCGTCTGTTGCTACTGGTCTGAAGCATGTCCATAGCAAGGAAGAGAAGGAGTTGCTCGAGAGAGCCTTTACTGTCAAGCAGGACAAGCTCAAGGGCGAGTAAGGCAATGCCGGTCGGCGTAGCAAGAGGTGGGTGACGGAATGTCGGAATGGGGCAGGCTGGGAATATAGAAGTGGAACGAAGACGGAGTAGAGGAAAAGGGAGCTTCCACTGTTGAATTTTCAGGGGAGGGAGTCATCTCCTTTGTGTACTACACTGTATCATACCCCCTCCCTCGAGGAAAAAGAAAACACTTGTCATTGTACTCAGTGCATGGTACGAGTAGGAGCGGATTAAAAATGGCTCTTAATAATATTGCTTTTTCATGTCTAACGACTTTCGCGTGCGCACCTAGGATAAAGTTTAATGTGCATGCATACTCCTCCTGTATCCTTTACTATACACTGGCATATGTTTTGAACAAAGTAAATAACACCTCCCTATGCTGTTTGTCTATGTCGTTTCTTTCTACTCCTTATCCAGAATGACTTGCCACGGTTGCACAACGCCGTTGTCGCCTGTTGTGATGAGCATTTCCTCCTCGCCTCTCGCGCTGGCGCCGCTGTCGTAACGCTTGCACCAGATGATGTGGTTGACCTCGTACGGCCCGTGAGCGTGTTCCTGCGTGCCAATGATCTTCCACCGCGCGGAGCCTGGAGGCGCTGCTGCAGGAGGTTGCTGCACGGCCAACGGCTCTTCTCCTTCCGGCGGTGCGTCCACCATGGGTTGGTCGGAATCACCAAGGGTTGCTGCGGAAGAAGAGGTCGCCTGCTGCTCCTCGGGGTCTTCTCTATACAGCACGATCTTGCCGTCGCTGCCAGTGCTGGCGATGACACCCGTCTGCGCGCTCCACGCGGCGGCGTAGACGTCACGGTGGTGGGCGGCGGGCAGGACCGCGGTGCACGTCCACTCCTCGCGCAGCGACCTGCGCATGGTGTTGGGAATGCCACCGAGCGCGCTGCGGCCACCACCATCGTGCTCGCCGTCGTTCCCTTCATCACCGTCATCCTCCTTGAGGGTCCAGACGCGGATGGTGGCGTCGGCCGAGCACGACAGCAGCCGCGGGAAGCGGTTGCCTGGTCGCGGGCGCGTCTCCCACTGGACGCCCCAGACGGTCTCGGTGTGGCCCTCGAGGGCGGCGACGCACGCCCACTCGCCGTCGGCGTCCTCGCGCCAGACGCGGACCGTGTTGTCGTAGCTGGCGCTGGCAAGCGCGTCGGCGCCGTACCGCCGGCGGGAGTTGCGGCCGGGCACGTCAGGGCACCAGGCGACGGCCTTGACGTCGCCCTCGTGCTCGTTGAGCACAGCGATGGTCTCCCACTCGTCGTCGGCCTCGGAGGCACCAATGTCCTCCCAGATCCAGACTGACTTGTCGCGCGAGCACGTGGCGAGGTGCGCGCCGGACGGGGAGAAGGCGCAGGACTTGATCTCAGAGTCGTGGCCCTCGAGGACGAGCGTGAACTCCCACTCCCTGTCCTCCCCAGCGTTGGACTTGTCTTCTTCTCCTTCGTCCTCGTCGTTGTCGTGGCTGTTTCGGACGTTGGCGGAGGTGACTTCCCGCTCCAGCGCGGTGGCTCCGTCATCAGCGTCGTCGGCTGCCGGCTGGTCGCCGTCCCAGCGCCAGACGCCGGCCGTGGCGTCAAAGCTGCCAGAGACAAGGCAGAGCCTGTGCGGGGCCAGGTTGGGCTTCCAGGCGGCGGAGCGGACGGAGCGCGTGTGCCCGCCGGTGAGGCTGCTGTGGGCGGCGAGCGTGGCGAGCGAGAAGACGGTGACGCCCTTGCCGTGGACGGTGGCGGCGAGGGGGAGCGTCGGGTGCGCAACCGTCTGCCAGGCGCGTTCGCAGAGGTCGGGCTTGAGGGGCGCGAGGGCTAGGACCCGGGCTGCCGCGCCCGTCGTCGAGGGTCCTGATGTTGGCTGCATCGCGGCCGGGGGGCCTCCAGATGTCGAGTGCGGGGGGTTGGGTGCTTGTGAGGTGGGTGAGAGCGGTCGATTCGGTTCGTAGGAGCGATCGATTATAATCAAGGATTATAAATATGTATTAGCGTATTAAAGAGGCGAGTGAGCGCATTATAGAAAAATAGGTCGGAGGGAAAGACTGTGGGCGTGAAGTGGAAGATGGTGGGAGTTGATGTTTGCCCGCAGTCTGCCCCGCCAAAATTCTGGCACGGTGCTAATAAAGTACCGACTACCTATGTAACTTCATCATCCCCAGTTCCTAAAATGTTGTAGTCATTTACTGGAAGGTACATGAAAATTCCGATAGTATTTTCTCTATGGAGAATAAATTTAAAAGTTCGCTAAAAATCGCTTTTGTTCATATGCTACCTAGTTTCTTCGTGCCTTTGCTGCCACCCACTTGCCCGCCTTGACAAAATCACCACCCACAGGTGTCTTTTCCTCACGAGCTCTCTCCAGCCCGCCCTTCTTGAACCCTCCGGGCATGACCAGCCAGCCAATAAGGTCAAAGATGAGAAAGGCCAGGACAATCGGCTGCAGCACGGAGACACCTTTGCTCTGTGCAATGGCCCCAACCCCGAATGGAATGATGGCCGCGCCGCCGCCGCCGAAGCCGCCTGCGAATCCAATCGCACTGACATGGTACTCGGGTGGGAGCAGCTTGGTAGCTGTCACAATTGCGGCTGGGAAGAGGGGACCGAGGAAGAATCCGAGGAGGATGATGAAGACGAGCGACGCGGCAAAGTTGGGCACAAGCCAGTACAGCAACTGCAAGGCGATGCTGAGGAGCATATACACTGTGATGGCGAGCTTCTCGCCAATGCGTCCGGTGACGAAGCCCAGAATGACACGGCCAAGGGTCAATCCAAGCCAGAACATTGTTACCGACAGGCCGGCCAAGAAGGGTTCCGCGTGACGGACCTTTATCATAAAGGTCGGAATCCAGCCTCCGAGACTGACTTCTACACCGACGTAGCCGAGTAAAAATACAGCCACGACCCAGGTAAGAGGCTGTTTGAGGACATGACGCGTGGTGATGCGCTCCTTGCCGTCACCATCGTACGCCAGCCTTCTGCGGTAGGATGCGCCGTCGTGGGGCCAGAAGGCCAGCAGACCGACGACGAACTCAAAGCAGACCATGCCAATCATGACATAGTAGAAGGTGTACCACGGCAGGCCGCCCTTGGTGACCATGGCGGAGGCGATGAGGGGGCTGATGGTGGCGCCGAGGCCGTACGCACCGTGGATGAGGCCGAGGAGCTCGTTGGCGCGGTGCATATTGCCGACCCAGGCGTTGTATCCGCTGTCCTCGATGCCGTTGCCGTAGCCAGCGACGAGGAGGGCGATGGGCAGCACAGGAAAGGGCGGGTGCAGCGCCATTGGCAGGTAACCAGCGACACGGCAGATGGGCCCGATGAGGGCGACGCCGCGCTGGCCAAAGGTGTAGTGAATCCAGTTATTGGAGAGGGCGGCGGCGACGTAGCCGACGAATGGGACGGCGAAGAGGGTCGACACTTGGGTGTAGTTGACGTTGTAGTATGGTTCAATCTGGGTGGGCTGTTAGGCGAATTGCTGAGGGAGTTTGACATAGGCTTACGTACATATGGAAGAAGTGCCTGGCGGTGAGTATCAGTATGATGACGGGACAGAAAGGTGCATTGAATGATGGGAATAGCGGGACTTACACCTATGCAGGCATCGTTCATGCCCATGATGAAGAGAGCCAGGTTGACAACCAGGAAGCGAGCTGTATTATTGCGCGACCCGTTCCAACGCTCCAGTCCGCCTGAAGAATCAGTATCGTTTCCTGCATCTAATGATTTCTCATCGACGGCATTTTGTGTGATGTTGCCAGAGTCTGCCTTTTCAACGCCTGCGACAGGCGAATGGATTGCATGCAGAGGGGCGGCACGTTTCTCCGTGCATGAGTGATCCATTTTGACAAGTGGAAGAGATCAAGCGGTTCGACGAAGCCGAGATCAATAATCGAGCGTTTGCATGGGAGGAAGAAAGGTGGAAGCCAGCAGCAGGAATTTATGGTGAAGTCCACAGCACTAACCCGACAGCGATGCCAGGGATGCCAGGATGTCGACAGCAGCCTCGGACTTGAACACTGATCAGTTTGTTAAATCCAGGAAAGACAAGACATAAGAATGGGCGAAGGAAGATGCTCCTTATACAAGGGTGGTCCCAGCTCTTGTGAGTACTGGGCCGGGAGGAGGAGCACCGAGCAAACGGGCGCGAGCCCACAACCTTAAAAAGAATTCAAAATTGGGGACTCTCGCATCTTGGGCTGGCTCGGGAGTATAATCGGAGCAGAGGGCGTAAAGGAGGGGGGGGGTTAGTTGGGAGACGAAGGCGAAGGAGTTGCTAGGTCCTTTTTCTTTCTCCTTGACTAATTAGTAATGAGCACGAACTTGATCCCAGCCAGATTCCCAAGCCTGCGGCCCCGGAAGCGGAGGGCGAACCACGGAGGGGAGGATGCCCGCTATGCTGGCGGCTCATCTATGGGGGTCACGCCAACCTGGGGAAATCGAGAATTGGGTATTCCCGATAATGGCAGTAGACTCCAGCACTATTACTAGCTAGTACAACAATGGGCTACAACCCACCGTGCTCGGGTTGAAAGCGACGCGAGGGAGAAGAGCAGCAGATTTGTTGTACATGGCGGAGGGAAGCCTCACCGTCGGCAATTCGGGACGGCGGGCCGAAGGGAAACACAGATCAACAACAACCTCTCCAAAGGGCAGCTGACACTTGCTACATGCTGTCGTCTCCGCATCCAAATGATTCCCACCAACTCCAAGACCTTTTGGCTCTTTCGAGACCCTGGACGTGGCGCTGATCCTTGCTCTGGCTTGCGGCCTCCATGAGTTTGCAGGTCCTGTCGGCCCGACATGCCGCTGAGATTCGTTTATTATATAGACGACATCCTGGGATCTTGGCTTGATTAGATTTGCTTGGCCGTTGCATCCCCCTTCCATGTCTTGGCCGAGCCTTGATGCCCGATTCTCGCACCATGCTCACAGAATGACTGATGAATCGTCATGATGCCCTGATGGGTAGCGTCACCCACACTCACCCACAAGTATATATACATACATACTTCCCCGAACCCCAGCCCCCCATCAAGCACTCAGCTCCAGCCGCTGCAAAAAAGAAGCCCACACATGGCTGCAGTCAAGTTAGTAAAGGACCATGGTCCAGCTTACTGGCCCTCGGAGCGTCCCGCCACCACTGGCTGTGCCACGAGCCTTCTCCCTAATATCAGTATCCCCAACCGGGGCGCAGCACTTTTACTTGTGCGACTTGACTGACGGCTGACCCGGCGGCACCGAATTCTCTTAAAAGAGTTCCGGTTGGGCACAGTCATTTGCGCCATTATTAATCCCCAACAAACTTCTCTAGAAAGCGAAAAGACTCATGACGTTTTGATATTTCTGCGCCTGATACTTGCCGCGCTTCCAGTACAACGATAACCGCTTCGGCATTTCAACTCCATAGCCCCCTCCTCTTGCCTTTCACCAACCCGCTCGCCATCACAGGTGAAGGCCCTCAAGCACCAATAGCGCGCACCCCAAACATGCCGCGCTCCAACTACGATGACGATAACGACTTCCGCGGCGGCCACGGCTCGCGCCGCAACCGCTCTCCGGACTACTATTCCGGCGCGGGCGGCGGTCCCGCCGTCGGCTTTGGCGACCCCGGCCGCCCCTTCCGCGACGATGCGCCGTACGAGCGCGACGAGATGACGCTGATGCCGCCCGCCCACAACAGCGCCCGCGCAAACTCGGTGCCGCCCGGCAACGCCCTCGCCTACCGCAACGGCTCCGAGTCGCCGCCGTACGCGCGCTCCCGCGGCAGCCACAGCCGGCACTCCCGCTCCCGCTCCCGCTACGACGATGACGACTCCTCCTCCTCCCGCGATCGTCGCCGTCGCGGATCCCAGAGTCCCATGAGCCGCGCGCGCCACACCGTCGAGGACAACTTCTCCAATTCCTCCGCGGGCATCGGCGCGGGCATTCTCGGCGCCGTGGTCGGCGGCTTCGTGGCCAACAAGGCGACCGAGGCGGCGTACAACCGCTCCGGTAAGGACGGCCACCAGCGCCGCCACAGCGACGAGAACAAGGTGCCGATGGCCGTGTCGACGCTGCTCGGCGCCGTCGCTGGTGGACTCGGGGCCAACGCCCTGGCCCACCACGTCGAGGACAAGCGGCGCGACCGGGAGCGCCCTCACAGAAGCAGGTACGAGGGGGAGCATATGCGAACGAGAGGACATGGAGGGGGTGATGCTGACGCGTGTCTGTAGGGATGACGACAGTGATTATGATGATCGACGCTCCCGCTCCCGCCGCGATGATTATGACGATTACGACGACCGCCGACGTGACGACTACAGACGACACAGAGATTGACCAACAACGACTTGAACCAATTTGATCGACCATGAAGATTATGACGTTTGACGGCCACCTTGCTGCTATCTAATGATGGAAATTGATAGAAAATCTTGAAAAAGGGAGGCTTTCTTCAGTCACGCTTTGCATTTGTGTCGGCCAGAGTTTGTTCATGCCCTTCCGATTTCCGTCTAATACAAGTTATTTACACCATTTCCTAATGCTTTCCTTACCGATTTTCAATATGCCACCAGATACTACCAGACTAGCAAGATATTCACAATCAAAAATATTTCCTCCTCCGTTAATCGTCACGCGGCGCAAGCATGGTGCTGTGCTTTTGCTCCTTTTGTCGCTGCTGCAAGACCTTGTGCTCACGCTCGACAATCACCTTGAAAAAGTGTACAATCTCCACCAGGGCCCTGTTCGCGTCCTCTGCCGCCCCAATCATGTCGAAGAGCGACTGGCTGTCCGCGAGCTGCTTCGCGATGACCGAATCGGGCTGACAAAAGGTGCGGATGCGCATCGCGCGCGCGTTAACCTTCATGGTGTGCAGCAGGCTGCTGACCTCAACCGGGTTGCACTGGCGTCGGCCGCAAAATGTAAACTCGTTGACATGCAGCGCTACGAGGTCGATCTGCGTCTCGAGGTCGAAGCGGAAGCCGACCACACGCGGTCGGCCCTGCTGGTACCAGGCATCTGTGATCTTTTTGAAGTTAATGGGCACGAGGCGTCCCTTTTCAAGCTCGCGCGAAATGTAGTTGTTCAAGGCGCAAGTGAGGTGATACTCCAGTTCGCAATAAAGCAGGCTCTGCTCCCTTGCATCAAGCGATATAAGAAGCTGTGCCCCCGATGCTTTTGCTTGCGGGAGCCGACGATGTGGATGGTGAAGCTCAGTCTAAATGGCAGGTTAGGTGAGGTCCAACGAAGAGCAGATTGTGGCATACCATGTCTTTAGCGATTTTCTTGATGCTATCCAAAATGCCAGCTCTCTTTTGAGGCGTCTTCCTTTCCCCGTCCAACCCAAGACTATCCTGCCCGGTCTTCTCGAGCCATCCGTTGTTACCAATTAGAGTCTTGCCGCCTTGTTTGACTGTGGGAAAGTCTTGCCCTCTGAAATACAGTGGCAGAGGCGAGAACATGGGACTTTCAGAGACCATTTCGGGAGGATAAAAAGCCTGCCGCTCCGATTCTGGGTTTCGTGAGGTTTTGATGGGGCTCCGCTGTCTTCTCATACCCTCTGCCAGGCTCTTGGATCTTCGCGGGTGATGCACCTCGCTGTTGGGGGCTCTAACTGGTTCATGTGAAAGCGGCGATACACCGGACCTGTAAATTTGTGTCCAGTCATTGTAAACATCGATCATGCCATCGTCACCCTGTTGCCACTGCTGGCTTCTCCTATTGCTAGGGATGTTCAGCGGCCTTGGAGGCTGTAGCTCCAAGGCGTGAGAAGAATATGAGGATAAAGATGGTCTTTCTTTTGCGTCTTTCCGCGCGGAAATGTTTGCACTTAGCGGGGATACGGCTGCATCAACGAGTTCCATCTGCGGTCTCTGTGGCTTGTTGATGCTCCGATTCAGGGTAGACACATCGATCCGAGCCAACGCCACCTTCTGTCGCCTCTTTGCTAGCGACTCATCATTTGAGCGAGGCATGAGTTCTGAAAATGTTGGGGAAACGACGTTTATGGTTTCGTGGGGCTTGAGCTGGCGCGCGGAGGACTCAATTTCAGATTGAAATCTTGAGGGAAGACCTGGGGATGAGCGCTTGCTGCCCTGGTCAATCATGTGTGATTTTGCTGAAGTCGGCCTCTCCATGTTAAGCTTTTGCGCAAAACTGCTGAGAATTAGGAGAGCGTAAAGGATTAAAGTTATTGGCCATACGCATCAGTGATTTTGTCCATCTGTGTCTCTGTGAGGTTCATTCGGATGTGCAGGGGCTGATTTATGTTGCGCTTTCTCGGTGAAAGAGATTTTGATCTTGAAGAATGCGGGCTACGCAGCGAAGATGATCGAATGGAATGCACAATAGGAGATTTGGGTTCGGAGCTCCGTTTGTCGGATTTTCTCTGTATTGATGCGGACGACATTTAATAACGGATAAGGCTACGAGGAGGATCTTGTTGTTGTTCTTGACTGCTGATCAAAGATTCTGGAATTTCGTGCCTAAAAAGAAGAAGTCGAAATTTTTCTGAGCGGCAAGCAGCAGGTAGAAGTTAGTAAAGAGCAAACGGCGCTGTCGGTCTGCTTGCCAGCTGGCAAGAGAGCGTCAAACGGGCAGGTCAGGTATACATTACTGAACATCTCATAGGTATCGTTTCTGGGTAAGATTGGAATGGCAAAATGTCACTGCAAAAATAGCCTTCTGGACTGTGTATGCACCTCAATACCCGCTCAAAGACAGGCTATTTATTTCACATGGGACTTGTTGACTTACAGCTCCGTTAATCATTTGCCATTTGATCAACTGGGGTTTAAATACTGCGGAAGTATTTCACTGATATGAAAGCTTCGCTTCTCACTCAATCTCGTTTCGACGCTCAGTATATTTTTTCGGCAACTAGCCAGGCAGGTTTCGTCCTGTCACGGGCTCGTACTTGTCACAGATTTCATCCAGTGAGGAAGCAGCCGTAAACCTCGCTATTTTCCGCTGCCTATGCACCCATAAACATCTTTAAATAAGCAAAAGACAGAGTCTCTCTTGTTCTTGATCGATTGTGGCAACGAAGCGAATCCTCGGCCAGTTCCGCAGATCTTATTACGGGATGTTAACTTTAAGATTCAAGACATGGTAGCAGATAAATCGCTATCAAGATACCCCCGCATATTGTATCATCTTTGCAAAGCCGGGCGGGCTGGTTTCGTGTAAGTGATGCCTCAATTACCGAAGTAGTTCCCGAGCGACCCAACCTGTTTGGTGGACCGCAAAGCTCTGGACGAGACACAACACCACAACGAGGCGGCGCGAAAGTACCGACAATTCCTCCGGGGCGTTCAGATCATACTGATAAATTTTTAGTGTTCCGCTCGGTGCTTCCAGGAGTATTGTCCGCACGAAGCGAAGCGGACTCGTACAAGGCAGTATTATTGGTTTGCTGCTGAGGGTGCTCCTTTGATGCGATCGGTCCGCGTCGTCCATTGCTTATCTACATTGCATAGCCCGTCTGGAAGAAAATTCTACGGACGTCTGTTGTGATAGCTGCCGTCAGCACTTGGCCAGAGTCTCCGCTCAGTGCCTTTGTCCTGATAAAAAATCAGCGTCAGTCAAAACAACAGGACACCGAGACAAGTCACGCAAGGCACGTGAACCCATCTGGGAGACAGTGCCAGTTGTTTGAAATCCATCCACAGGAAGTCCATGTGCATGAATGATAGCGAATTCATGCTCTCAGATTAGCCACGGAGGTGGCGGCATGTGGTACAGCTGGTCCGGATAGCGTTGGGGTTTGCGCGTCTGCCGCCCTTTCTATCCGATATAATATTGATACTAGGCCAGGGCACAGCTGAGCGGCAATGTGACATGGGCGGGAACAAACATCGGCTCTTTCTCACCTGTAAGACTGTGACCCAGAATAGCTGTCGATAGAACGGCCACTCGTAAGAGTGATACAGGGGGGGGATCAATGGGACGCGGATCTGGTGCATGGCAGAAGTAGTGCAGTGCGTCATACAGAAATCGGGCTATTACTACCCGTTAATGTTAGCTACTTGAAAACTACCGTGCGAGACAGCCGACTGACTTCGGTGGCTGACGGCCAGTGCATTGTCGACGAGGTCAACGCAGCTCAGCCAGTGTACTGCCTTGTACCCTTCCTGTATGGGCCTAGATTGAACGCCGCCCCCGCAGAAGCTAGGTATGTATGTACATACATACATACATAGCTCCCTAACAATGCCAAGTCATGGACAGTTTCTCAGGCTACCCATAACCTCTAACGAAAGGCTTATTAGGCTGCCCCAGAAACTTCGGCGGATGGGTGGGGCGGGGTGCTAACACAGCGCATTTTCATGTCGTAGCCGAACAGAACTTGCCCTGGAACACCAGAAGCAAGTCGGTGCCACAGGAGCTGACTGAGAACTATTGAGAACGGGTAACCCGCCGGCGGTCAGTCAGAGCTCATTTTCCGTGTTCCCATAAATTGCAAATGGAACAACGTCTCGGTTCAGTTATCGTAAATTCCGGCTCAAAGAGGAAGAGGCTGCTCGTTCATTCACTTCCCGAATCTGCTGCCGGGCTTTTAGCTCGGCGGCCAGGACCCCACCAGCAGTCTCCTCCACTGGTTTGGTTCATCAGGGCACCAAGCCAGCAAGCCATTCCTCTCTCCGTTTACCAGTATCCATCCATCCACTTCCACACGCCGTCTCGCCTTTCCGGCCGTCATCGCCCAATAGGCTCCCTTCAATAGGCTCTCGAGCGAATGCAATGCGACTGGTTTCCCCTCCATTTAGTCCGGAAGGCTGTCTGGGGCGCGAGCCGTTTTCCATTTTCTACGAAAATGTTCAAGTATATATTCAACGCCAGCCTGGGCTGGTCATGCACGATGCCGTTCTGTGCTTCCCCTGATGCCGCGCGGGACTCTACAGCCTCCTCCTGCTCCGAGTTTAAGCAATCTTCTGTCGTTTGTCCTTGAAGGCAAATAATTACTTAATTTCTCCCCCGCTACATATTTTGCCGTGCCTCTCTGCAATAGCAAACATGGCGTTACAACAACAAACGGCTTCCCAGGCGTCCCACTATGACATCGGTGAGCACTTTGCACTGCTGCCGCTGCCAAACATCGTAGCCACTGACACTTCCCTATTCAGTTATTGTCGGAGCTGGCCCTGTCGGCTTGATGCTTTCCACATGCCTCGCCCGCTGGGGTTATAAAATCAAGCACATCGATAACCGCCCGGAGCCGACGGCCACAGGCCGCGCTGATGGCATCCAGCCACGATCGCTCGATTTGCTCCGTAACATGGGCCTTAAGTCAGCTATCATGGCACACAAGCCTGCTCGTGTCTTTGAGGTTGCATTCTGGGACCCCTCTGATACTTCATCCGGTATCCAGAGGACGGGCACCTGGGCTTCGTGCCCTGACTTCGTCGATGCGCGCTACCCATTCACTACATTGCTTCACCAGGGCCACATTGAACAAGTTTTTCTTTCGGACCTCGAAAAGAACGGCGTCGAGGTACAACGTCCGTGGACTATCACTGGCTTTCAGTCGGACGAGTCTCAAAGTCCTGAACACCCTGTCACGGTGCAGCTTGAGCATGTGGATGGCAACGTCAAGGAGCAAATACATGCCAAGTATCTTTTCGGTGGCGAAGGCTCCAGGTCGTTTGTCCGTCAGCAGTTGAATATTGGTATTCGTCACAAGGATCCAATTTCCCATGTTTGGGGTGTCATGGATGGTGTTGTGCAAACAAACTTTCCCGACATCAAGGTGAGCAACCCCTTGGCTCGATCGCTTTGGCAGCGTATTGAACGGTGTTTAGATGAAATGCACCATCCATAGCCATCATGGATCGATCATGGTGATTCCTCGCGAAGATAACATGGTGCGCTTGTATATCCAAATTGCATCGTCCACGGATCCGGATTGGAACCCTCGCAAAACAGCCACCGCAGAACAGGTCCAAGAATCTGCCAAGAAGATTTTCCAACCCTACTCGATTACATGGGAGCGAGTGGAGTGGTACTCAGTATATCCCATTGGACAGGGCCTGTCTGATCGCTATTCTCTAGACCAACGTGTCTTTCTTGGCGGCGACGCCTGCCATACCCATAGCGTAAGTGTCGGCATTGCTCCGCTAGGAAAGTGTACTAACATCCGTATAGCCCAAAGCTGGCCAGGGCATGAATACGGCTTTCTTGGATGCACAGAACTTAGCTTGGAAGATACATGCCGTGGAGGCTGGCTTCGCTACGCGCGATATTCTCAAGACATATGAGGTGGAACGTCGTAGTGTTGCTGAAGCTCTGCTAGACTTTGACAACCGCTATGCAAAGCTGTTCTCACAACGACCTCCAGAACAAGACGACGTCGAGGCGGCATCAAAATCTCATACTGCAGATGAAATGACTGATAGCGAATTCATCAAGACATTCAAGGAATCTTGCGAATTCACGAGCGGATACGGCGTCTCTTATGGGCCCAACGAGCTCAATTGGTCGTCGAAGCATGTGGCTCAGTCACCATTGATCCATCCTACCGGAACAACGCTTACGACAGGCCGCATTTTCAAGAACTCTGACGTGACGAGAGTTTCTGACGCGAACGTTGTTCATCTTGAACAGGAGGTGCCGTGGAATGGATCTTTTCGGTTATTTCTCTTTGCCGGCAACCCTGGCAAAACTGCGACTGCTGTTGCTGATTTCGCCCACTACATGCAAGATACCCGCTCCTTCTACGCCAGCTATCTGCGAGAAGACATTGACGATGTGTCGCATCATGAGAGACATAATCCTCACAGCAAATTCTTCACCATCTGCACTATCCTCGCCGCTAAACGCCACCACATCGAGATCGAGAAACACCTTCCTCCGCTCTTGGCACGATACCGAGATCATGTATACGCCGATGACCGGTGGGATCGACATTTTCCAAACGCTGATGCCACAGCGCATGCTCGTATGGGCCTAGACCCAGAAGATGGCGGTGTCGTCGTTGTTCGACCCGATGGTTATGTCGCCATTGTCGTGCGCCTAGTTGAGGGCAGCGGTACGGTGGAAGCTCTCAACGATTATTTCTCAGCATTTTGTACCAAGAAGATGGGTGGCCTCACGGCGCACTTGTAAGTACCCCAAGTTCCCGACGTGATGAAGAACGGGTCCTGACTGGTTCTCTAGGGCAGACGGGACAGCAGCATCTCGATGCGTCGACCTCGGAGGCTGGAGGCATGCAAAAAGTCCCGGTATTTCTATTTAAGTCTGTCTGTCTTGCAGCAGCCAATATCCCCTAGGTGGCTAGCAAATGCTTTGGCGTGACGTTTGCGAGGCGGTAAAGGAGATATCGACCCCAGTTGTAAATATTCAGTCGTTCATTTGTAAACACATGCTGGCGCAAATACTGCGCCAATGAGCTAAGCAAAAAAGTCAATATGTCTCGGTATCCTTCTACCCTCGGGCGACGATGGTTTGGTTGTTGAAAGTGCACGCGTGTGTATGAAGTATCATTCTCATTTCATCTCTTGCCTGAGATTCGTCATAAAGGCATACCTTGCTAGAGCTCCCTGAGTGAATGCTGTTAAGCCAGCGCGTACAGGCAGCTGTGAGGTGGCGTGAACTGGGTGCCCCACTAGAATCCCCTGGCGCATTCTGCCGGTATTCTGCCGGCGCATTCCCTCCACTGTAGCAACAACTGAGATCCGGTGCCAGCACCTTCACTTCACATCATTCTCAGTCGCTTTCCAGCATCTAATAACGAATAATGAACAAATAGTCATATAGAGGCAAGAAACAACGGGAAACAATTCCTTCAGTCCTTTTTCTAACAAAGGTATAGGGGCCAGGAGATCTTGACTTCACCGCGTTGGAGTTTCGTTTTTCTAGGCATGATAGGAAACATTCGGTCGGCACTCGGTGATGCCGTTGGAAAGCTTTGTAAGTCACTATTTCGTGTCGCTATTAGACTTCTTCTGACCTCTCAGTTCGCCATGATCATGCCGCCGCGCATACCCGGGAAAAGGACCCCATGGCGAAGCGCCTCAAACTCAGCGCAGCACCAGTGGCTCGCGACGGAGACGGCTGCACGGAAGTCAAGGCAGGATTTCTCCATGAAGTCTCGGACCTAAAGTCAAGTGAGGTCAAGAACTCGTCGCCCGCCGGCGATGCGAGTCTGGGCAGCCACTCTCTACCCTCGCCACCTCCGTCACCAAAGAAGCGCGAGGTGCGTCAACCGCACAGCAAGGCGCGATGGTTCATCAATAAATTTCGGTCGTACTCAGACGATAGGGGGGTTGGACTGAGTCTCGACGATTCTTTTGATGTGACGTACACAAGGCCTTCAACTAGAGACATCTTCAAAAAGAGGCGTCGACTCGCCTCGCGTCAGACGCCAAAACGGCCTGGGATGTCACAGCTTCCCATGCCTGTCAGATTTACAGACAATAAAAGGAATATGGAACAACCCAAGCGGATAATGCCGGTCTCAGACGAACTACCCGACCTTAAGAAGTTGACGCTTGAGACTGAGCCAATAATTTCGACAGCGGCAGATAAGAGGTTTGCTGAACGATTTTTTGCTCCGAGAGAAGTCTTTGACTATGTCCCAAGCTATTCAAAGACGCGTGAACAGCCGGTCAATCATGACGATCGCATTGATGCCATCCTTGATGAGAAGCAGCCATGGTCGCTCGAGCTCAATACCGCCAAGGCAAAAGTTCTCGAGGCACAACGCAAACCGCAAGTCTCAGATGAGGACATCACCCGCGAGTACGTCACGCATATGCAACTACACAAAATCCGGGCTCCCTGTCGACCATTGTTGCATTCATTATCCGACCAGATATGCAAGAGGACCATTAGTACGATACATGCGAGCCCAGATGCTGTCCTCGCAAAGGCGGCTGACTCGACACCTCTGCATCGGCATGACTTTTGTAGGGTTATACCGAAGACGGAGTGGCTTAACGACGAAATTGTCAACGGAGTTTTGTCCTGGCTGGACCAGGCAGTCAACCACATTGGCGGCGTCGACGACCCGAAGACCCAGACGAGAAAATGCCTCGTCATGACATCATTTTACTATAAGCAGATAAAAACGGCCTGCAAAAACACACAAAGGACGTTGAAACGAAAGGGGGTCACAAAGGATAATTTGCTCAGTGTCAACACTATCTTGCTGCCAATCTGCGAACATTCGCATTGGACGTTGATGGTCATCAACCCGTCGAAAAAGACGGTCGCCCACATCGATTCATTAAATCCTCGTGGGACTAGGTCGGTGACGGAACTTGCTCTGATGTGGATGAAGGACGCGTTGGACGACAAGTTTGTGGCTACGGAGTGGAAAACGATTACGTATAATCACCCCGCGCAGACAAATGGATACGACTGTGGTGTGCATACGATATGCAACGCAATATGCGTTGCTGTTGGTGTCGATCCGTCCGTGGCGTACAAGGCTACGGACATGCCTGCACTGCGAGTGCAAATGTCGGCGGTGCTGGTGAATGGTGGATTCACTGGAGAGCTGGATCTTTTGGGATTCTAGGTCCTTGTATGCATGAGAGCACACTATGTTGTTTTGTACTATTCTGTTTGCTATTCAGCACCGATATCCCTCCGCGCCATCATTGAATATAACGCAACACTTGCTCTTACTAGAGCAGCCCGCTATCTCCCGCCCAGATGGCAGTGAAACCAACGTTGAGTCCACTTACGACAAACTCAGCCTTGTTTCATCCGATGATTAGAGTTTCTTTGTTGTCGCTCTAGATGGACGTTTTCTCGTAGATACACATTCGCTCGCAGATGCACCGATGGCTTGACCGCCAACCGCCACCACAATTGAAATTGTCGGCCAACAGAGCGGCTTCCGGAGGCGGCCGTTGAAGGGGGGTGTACAGATCAACGGGGGACGCGGCTTGGCAAGGCCTCTGGTTGGCGGAAAGTAATAATTACGCGAATTATGAGGCTTTTAAAATTGAAAAGGGGATTAGTTTCAGCCTTGTGGCGCGACTTATGGGCAAAAGGGTTGATACGGGAACGAATTTTAGCAGAAGCCCTTGTTATTCTCGTCTCTGATGGTTGCGGCAAGGCTAACTCACTCACTATCCGTACTAACTAAGTTGATGGTTTGTGTGGGCGGGAAGATTTTTGACAGCCTCTTGTGGGTCGCCCAGCCGTTCGGAACCGATGAAGTCGGTCCGGCGTTGCATGAGGCTGAATTCGTGAGGCTTGACGAATCCGTCAGCAGATAGTGGCAAGAAGGGAAGAATCAGGAGACGGATGCAATCAATTCGAGGAGGTCGAGGGCAAGAGATACATGGAACTCTCAAGCCAGATCAGGGAACTCGCGCGAAGAGCACTGACACGTCACATCGTTAACTACGGTACGTACTTGCACTCACCTTCGACATAAAGGCTGCTCCGACATCCGGATGGGGAACCTTAATGTACGGGACGAAGACTTGTCGAGTCGCCGATTCGAATGGGCGGCAGGCAACCATAACCATAAACAGTGCTGTGCGTCGTAATCGTAATCTTTGGCTTTGCTTGGCAGCATTCTATTCGACACATACGAGCCAAACTCGCACGACATCCCTTTGACATCCTAGCCCCGGCTCAATCGCGGCGGGGAGGCTCATCGCGGGCTGACAGCTCGCCGGACCACGGGCAGACCGGGCCTCCGGCAAACTACGGTGCGGTGCTGGCGTCGGCGAACCGCCAGACGCGTGGCGTGGCGTCGTCGGCGGTCTGGCCGGGTTAGCAATGCGCGACGCGGGGGCGGGTGTCAGGGTTTGCGAGGAGCATTGGTGCCAAGACCGTGATGCTGCCCGGTTTGGTTGAGGCAATGCGAAATCGTGCGGAGAGATGTGGCCAGAATTGGCAGTTGACGCGTAAGTTAGAACGGCTTAAGCCCTGAAATCGAGAGCCGCCGACATCCGGAGGCGCAGATTAGACAGACAGGCCACATTTTGTTCGGCAGTGCCTAGCTGAACTTTAAAAACACATCTTTACAAGAGAACCTCCATCCACAACTAGCATGTAGGGGGTAGTTACTGTTGACTACGGGACGGCCATTTAATTGGCCTCGTGCAAGCCAGTGATCAAGGTTGAACACACTTCTGTACATCCATGTATCTACCTTTCTCACGAGTTTCGAACACATGTATCAAACTAATGTACCAGGCTGCGCAGTGTGTCCCACAATGTAGGGAAAGGGGTCCAGACAGACCAGAAGGACAGCGATACCCAGTAACTAACAAGTATCCGTACACTTTGTTGAACGAGAAAGAGCCAAGAGGCTTCTTGGGGCCAGTGACATGCTTTTTTTAGGTCGCGTGCCCCGTTCAGCCCAACAACGCCAGAGGATAGGCTTTCCATTTACTCTTGGCAGATCAATGAATTGGGCATAATTAACCCACTACGATCGGGGACATTTACCCAATTCATGCACAATAATACTTTTGCTATTCATGCATGGGCACTTAAATAGGGTTTATCGACAGGGAATTTGCCACATCTCAGGCCATCTCGACCAAGCACGCATAAAGTGGCGCCACAGTCCAGAGTCAATTTCTCTCTGCGTTTCCTGATATGAAACAAGCAAGGCCTTCTGCCTTCTGGGGACCGTGGGGGTTGACGTGCGGGCTTCCCGTCCCTGCTGGAGCAACCTACATCGGACCGGTTTGGCGAAACCTAGATGTCCCCTACGGTGAAAAGCGTAAGCTGAGCGGACAAGTTTCCTTGATACGTCGCCCAACAAGAACCTGTGGCTTCACTAGGCTTTCACTGCATCTCGGCCACCACGCCAGCCGCCACTAGAATCGCGAGTCAACGGTCCCCCGTATAGGGGTCCCAAGGTTGCAAAGCTCATCGGTGAGCAAGCTGATTGGCAGGCGAAAAGTTTCTTGCTGCCGCACATGAAGTTGAAGACGGACAAGCGGGTTCGCCAGTGTGGTAGTCGATGTGGCCTCTCGCACACCATGTGATCCAGTCAAGACGTCAAGTGCCGAACCCAGAATGCATGCTCGAATCTCGGGTATGAACTTTTGCGCGCAGGTCGCAGGCTTTCTGCTGTAACGGAACCGACTCATGCATGAGGCAAACTGCACACACATCTTCACGGACAGATGAGAGGGTGAGGTATTGATTACCCGATGCTCCTGGCTCCTGTGGTTGCAAGATCTGCCATACCACGGACACGCTGGTCATCACGGTCGCGCCACCATGGTTTCCATAACCTTCCATGCAGACAGACTCTTGCAAAAAAACTTGCTCGATCGACAACAAAATTTTTCTTACGATGTTCTGCATTGCAGTGCTGTCAAAGGCAACACTGTGCGTTGCTTCGACAGACGGTCTAGGTAAATGGGGGTTGGGGGCTGAAGACCTCCGCTAGTGGGGAATACCACCTGGAAAAGCGGACGATGTTCAACCATGTCCCGCAAGACCAACCACTCATCACTCCGTTGCGCGGTCAACACTTGGGACGGATCACGATTGGTTTGCTGATGCTGCGGTTGAATGAGCCAACCCGGCCAGAAAACCAAACCTCGCATGGCCACCCTCCACGTCGGCGGTGCACCTTGCAGGAGGATTCATGTGCCGTGTGCAAGTGGATGGAAACGTGCTTCGCATGTATGTAGTCGCCAGCAAGGGATCCCTCCATCCAACGGCAACACCTCTCGTAATAGGAATGGTACCCGAAATGTAGCTCCGCAGATGGTGATGGGGGTTTGTGTGCATCCTGGGTGAGGGGACGATGAAAATAATACAAGGTCAAGGTATCGGTGTCGCAATGCTCGAACGAGATGTCCATAGTTTTCCAGTCCGAACCACCAGTCTGAGTGGACCGTGTCGGGGAACCAAGAAATGTTCACCAAAAAGAAGAAGGTGAGTGGTGAGAGCAAGGCAAGGGGATACCACCAAATGTGACGTTGAAGGAGAACTATTTTTACAGTTTTGCAGTCGAGGCGGAGATGCAGCGAAGCGGAACTCGGCACTGGTAGCTATTTTAACACAGAGAATTAGCATTGCAGCTATTTTAGCATGGGGGCGCTATTCCTTGGGCAGTTGAAAAAGTTGCCACCACCAAGGTAAATAGTTATTATTGAATGGTGGCATTATTCTTTCTGTACCGTTTGGCTTTATTACACCGAGTAATGAAGTATAGCGTGCCAAGCTTCAGTCGAGCAAAAGGACCCTAATCCTACCTACTAGGCTCATGATCCGGCGATAGTTGTGCCAAAATAAGAGAATGATGGGCTTTCCTTCTCTGGTCGGGCTGCCATTGTGATCTAGTTACGAGTTAGTGTTCGCAAGTGGTTGAAACTCAAAAGCTGAATCAGTTTAGACGTTTACCAAGTCCAACTGTAGCTGACTGACTGAGACGCGCGGCTCACTGTGTCGGTGCTGATGGGAGATACCCGCTTAGCACCATGTTCCAGCAGAACGAGAGCAAGAGATGAGATCATCGGGGCCATTCGATGTGTACGATGACTGGCTTGGAGGTGAATCTCACAACGGCCCACGGATCGCCACACATCCTGAGCCACACGGGATATCATTGCCTATGATGGCAGGCCGTGTGCTAGTTCAACTGCTAGTCAACTAGCCTAATAAGTTAACCGAATGGCTTGAGACTCTGCTTGGCAGTTGAGGGAAACATGGCCTGTGTTGACGTTGGCAGCGAGCGAGTCGTCAGTAGTTAGGAGGAACTTGTCGCGACATGATAAATTGTTCGTCGCCAAGTTCGAGGCAGTTAGCAAACAATTTTGGCGAAGAGGCACGTGGGCGGTGCCTGGTAATTCTCGGTCCGGGTTTGTTTTACCGCCTTCACTGCCTTGGTACGATACAGCGACAGGGCTTTGGGGAAGGCGAACTGCTGGGTGTAATATTCCGACTTACGGTCTCTAACAAACCAGCCACTAAGCGAGGGGCCTAATAAATGAGACCGCAAAGCCGGCGCTTGACAGAATCTGGGCCTCGCTGCACTTGTGTTAGCAGACAAGCAAGCCCGTCGAATTCAGCGCGTCCTCACTTATTAGTCTAATAGTATCCGTAGTCGAAATCAACCCCAAGTATCCGCAGGCGAGCATTCATTTCGGCAGCGGCCGTCGCCAAGGCGTCGGCGGGACTTGGTGAGGAGGGGGGAGGCGAGCTCCGGCCTAGGGACATGCATACGGAGTACACACGGCATGACCGATGGTCGTACGACCTTGGTAGCGGGCCTAGGAAGAAGCGCCGTTTATTAGTTACTGGTACGTGTTGCGAAACAATGGCGCAGGGATATTAAAATTTTCTTTTCCTCTCGAACCGCTGCATGTTGCTCGATAGCAGGCGCGGGCGCGGGCGCCGACGCGGAAAAAATCTGCTCTTGAGTAATGGTTAACGGGCAATGAATGGGTCAAGGGCCATGGGGCTTTATTGGAAAGAGAAACAGGCCACGGTGGAATGGACCACTTGGTGATCAAGACATGAATCGGCGCCGACGGAAGGCCGGCTATTTTTCGTGGAGAAGCAGTGGAAGGGAAGAAGAAAAGAAGAATCGTCAGCGAGGTACGTATGCGAGCAGAAGGTTAGTCGCGGGCCGTTTGGTGACGCAGGGGTTACACAGATGTCCGGGAATGCCGTGGCGGTCATGTCAGTCCCAGCGTTTGCAGGCGTGACTGTGAGTAACGTTTTATTCACTTTATGATTCATTTATGATTTATCTTATAATCCATCATCTTTTCTTTTGTGCGTTTAATAAACTCAAGAGCGGCTGACTCATTTGCGAGAGCGAGATTTGGGCTTTGTTCTTGTTCGGGGCCGAATGCGCGGGTCGTCGTCGACTTTTGTGTTACAGTAGCGTTGGGGGGTGGTTGGCGGCTTTGTCGTGCAGGTAACTATGGATGTACATACATAGCAGCCCTGAGACCCTGGGACCTGGGAGGCACCTAATTCCTTTATGGTGGTGGTGGTGGTGGTGGCGGCGGCGGCGACCACGACGACCACGGGAGGCCAGGGTTCAAAATACAGCCTACCTACTGATGCGTACAAGGCTTTGCGCACGCCACCTCAACGGTGAAAAGGCGTAAAGCAGGGTGTTAAGTGACAAGCGACAGGTCAATTCAGGCAAGAAACGGAGACCGGTGTACGGATATTCGCACCTCCTTGGTAGACAAACAAGGGGTGACATGCCGTTGAGAGCCACGGCCTTGATCCATTGGACCATGGCCGCGATTTGTTCTAGAATGTCGAGGGCCGAGCGGGCGCTCCTGTTTCCTGGATGCCCAGGCGGCGTTGTGCCCTTGCAGCCTTATCTGGATTTCAATCTAGAAATATTTAAGAAGGAAATAAATTAAGTCTTGCTCGTTTGCTTCGTCGAAAGAACTGGAGTCAATAAAGAGGCTGGAATGAAGAACCGAGGCCCTTGCTACATAGCTGCCGAAAGGACTCCTTCATGTGCTTCGTGAATGAACTAGGCAGTGATAAGTCCCGGTACAGTTTTGTTGGGCACTCTAATAAACATTTGTAAAAGTTTGTTCCCTCGTGGGCTTCTCCCCGCTATGCGGAGCAAAGGGCGCCTGTTCCATGACGTTGAGCAACGAGCGGTCACGTCCGTGGACTTTCTCTTCGAGGAAAAATACCATGCGGGTGCCCCAGCACAGACAATTTGCCACCAATTCAACAAGGCCTGGAAATGTTAAAAAGCCGCCATGCAAAATGGACGCTGGCGCCCACTGAACGAATAGCGGGAATGGGACCTCCCATGGGGCTACATGGCCGCTCACTGACTGACGAACCCACTGTCCTGGTTCAATGGGCTCGCAACTTTTCTAGCGTCCTTCTAGCGCCGGGTCAGTGCTCAGTCTCTGTTTTTGCTTGATTGGCCGCTGGTTTGAAGTGTAGCCAGCTTTTGGTTGGTCAGTTGGTCAGCTGGCGATCCACTGGCAGTGTTGCTCCACTTAATGGGCCCATCTTTCTTGCCCAGAATGGCCAAGCTCTGGGTCGTCGGACATCCTTGCAACCAGCAAGGCCGTTGTCAACTGGTCGGTAATGACTTGTATTCTGGAAAAGAGTCGTTGTCGTCGTCGCATAAACGCCATTGTGCTGACACGGACATTCTCATCCTCAGCGTGCAAGGATGGCATGATACTGCTCTGGTTTGCTGCACTGCAGCGATTCTGAAAGTCGTTACCCGAACCGGTGTGTCCCCATTCGCCCGTCAACTGGAATGCCTGTAGCGCCGCATTTTGATGCCATGCGCGCGCTACCAGCAATCATTTCAGTGCCGGGCTTGGACGAGTCCTACTTAGCCATCTACAAAAACCAGTAAACTAACTCAACATGCCTCTGGCTGTTCACAACGGAGGTTCCTTCTGCCCATACCAGCGAGCCCACCAGTTGCGTCAGAAATACGGGGCATTGCACAGCCCGACCCATCAGGGAGGTGCATCGACTCGGTTTCAAAGGGTCACAATGGAATTTAGTTCTCATGAGTTATGCTGGCTATTGACTAGTAACAATAGAAAGATATCAAGACGAAGAATATTCGCCCATTCAATCTCCGAGTCGGACGCCATCCCTTTGCCAGAGTGCAGGGTTGTGATATTAAGACCTGGTACACAGGACTTTGGTAGGTAGTTACCTTATGTATGTACCTATAGCGCCTACATATGTACCTAGTATATCAACTTAGCAGGTCTGCGAAGGTACGGAGTACTTTGATTACCGTTGAAAATGCCTGAGAAGCGCAGGTATCGTGCAAGTGTCAGACCTTCTGGCCGACGCCCACAAAAGGTCGTAACCCGCCTCTCGCCATTCAATGCGTGCATCACCCCATGGTCCAGTTATTATGACTACAGGGTCGCGATAGAATAACACGGCAATCAATGAATACATATCCGTACATGCTTGCCGATGGAGGTATGCGGGTGGTTTAGTGATAGTGTCCTGGCGGTTGGACACTGAATTATTCGTACCACCACATCCCAAAATACGATGCCACGATGCAGCTGTCGAGAGGCACTTGCCCGCCGCTGCATGCTTCAAATGGCACAACACACGACAGCAGCGCACTATCCGTGTCACAGTGTCACCTGGCCACCATGCTGAAATGGCATGTTGACAGCATGATGTTGGGCGGCTCGCAAAAAAGGGTTGACTGGGGCTTGCGTGTTCTAGAAACAACGTGGGTGGCGCTGAAAGGCTGTCGGCCGGTACATGCGATTCAAGGCCGCGCAGGGGGAAGCGCAGACGAGGGCGCGTATATTCGTACTGACCGATGGGGGAGATCCCAGTCAAGTATTGAAAATCCCATGATGCATTCACGAATAAAAAAAAAATGCATGCCATCTGCCATCTATCAGCGTCTCAAGCCCAGCCGTCACTGCTTGAGTGACCAGGTCGGCTTCTTGCAGACATGGTTCATGAGAACACTGCCAACCGTGCTTCGAGGGCCAGCCAGGCTTCTCGCATCATCCACCCACAGACTTGTTCTTCTGGCGGCCTGAGAGGAGCAGGGGAGGGGATGGGAGGATGGGGGCAGGGGGGCTTGAGAGGGTCCTGGCTCTTCACTGCTGGTGCTCTCGCTCTCCCCGGACTTGACTTTTGCTCATCGCCTCGACGCTGAACAAGCCAGGCAGAAAAAAAAAAGCTCCGATCATATCCTCCTTTTAGGCCCCCCCCCCCTTCCTCTTTCCTTCGCTGTTGCTTCCACCCGACTTTCGCCCAATGTTCCAAAACCTTGATGGGTGTATGCCCGATTGCCTTACCAGACACCCCCCCTGCTCCGTTACAAAACTCGGTCGCTCCCACGGTTCTTCCAACCTGTTTCCCGTTTTTTGACTTTCTAATAATAAGTGGCAGACGACCACCAAGCCTATCTACCTCTCTCCTAGCGCATCACCCCCCCTGCAAGCCACCAAAACTAGAAGTTGCTGGTAGAACAACTTATTAACCACCACCAACCACCAACCACCAACCACCAACCACTATTCGAAAACCATTGCCTCCCCGCTTCCACTGGCCGCCCTTTCCTCTCTACTGGCACGCACATCACGCATACTCATCCTCATCAACTCTGCATTCCCAGCGACCCGGTCTCTTCTCGCCATCACCATAATAGGGTTCAGCCGCATCGCTGCACTTTTTTTTTTTCTCTTCTTACCACAAGTCCTTCTGTCGCACACAGTCGGCCCTGTTGTCCGACGTCGGCAAGCGACCTCATCGTCCACTCGCCTCTCCTCCCCAGCATCCGTTACCGGTATTCTGGTCCAGACATCTTGGTCGCACCGCCCTGTGCACCTGTACGCCCTGCTCGCAAACCTAGCCCAACTCTTCCCATCACATACAAAACGACTTGACCACGCGCCTCCACGCTCTCACCCGCGGCCTCTGTTGCACCCTCCCAAGCGAGTCGCTCCCTGCTGCCTCTCTTGGTCTGCTGCAATCACTGGTCCGCCGTCTCTAGAATCACAACCCTTCGCGGGACCCAAAGTAGACATGGTTAGCCTTGTGGTAGACTTGACTCCCAGTCCTACTGAATTGTCCCCGAGACCCTCTTCCGCCTTCGAAGACTTCTACGAAATCGACACATACTCGCGCCCTGCCAGCGACTTCTTCGCCTCACGTCCAGGCTCTCCCAGGTACATCATGGCGGCTCACCAGCCTCCTACCCTCTCCGAGATTCTTCTCGACGTCTCGCCTCCTCCTTATACTCTTGCTGCCTTCATGGCCTACCTATCCCAGAACCACTGCATGGAGACTCTCGAGTTCACCCTCGACTCCCAGCGCTATGCCAACTATTATCAAGAACTCGCCTCCGAAGCTCAATGCGTCACAAACGCCAACACCCGCCTCTCCACTCTCTGGCAGAAGCTCATGCAGGCTTACATTGTTCCCTGCGCTCCGCGCGAGGTCAACATCCCCTCGCGTGTCCGCGACCGTCTTCTTATGACGCACTATAACCCTGTACCCCCTCACCCCTCCGCTCTCGATGAGGCTGGTCGCATCATTTACGAACTTATGAACGACTCGCTTCTGGTCCCCTTTATTGAATCAGTTGCAGCTCTGCAAGTCGACCATGGCGAAGAGCAGCTTCGTTCTCCCCGATCTCACACCACAGCCAAGAGCCGAACCAGCCAGAGCCTCGATTTCGAAGGCCTAACCGATGACAGCGAGGGCAACTCTCCCGCCACCAGCGAGCCCATGACCCCTCCCACAACTCCGCCTACCACCTCGGAGTGGTCTTTCAATGCATCTCCCGGTGGCCTGCAACGCGCTGTCGCTGCCCACAACAAGGGTTGGAAAAAGATGGGAGAGAAACTCGGCTTCACTCGCAAGGCTTCTAGCCGACGACCTAACGCCACCTCTTCCTCGTCGAGCGGTTTCGGCAGCCGTCGCGGCAGTGGTAACAGCACCACCTTATGAAGGTGCGTCGCCGTGACTACGCCCAACGGTCATGCTAAAAACCGGCTTGTGTACTTGCAATTCGCGAGCAACACTCCGCATGTACAATATTTTGAAGACGACCTCGTTGACTGGGCACCGTCACGGCTCTGCATAGGCAACCCCCCCGCCACTGACGACTCATATGGCTGGGAAGCTGAATGGTGGCGCAAATAGCAAGCGACTGCGATTCTTTTCTTCCTTTTTTTCCTCACCTTCCGACACGAATTTGGAATCATGACGGCGATTGATTTTTCGAAATTTCATTGGTGCTGATCGAAGCTACGCATTTTTGATGGTCCAAGAGCGTTCATTCTCCTATTAGACAACGGACAGTTTCTTTCTTCTAGACATGGTCTGCGATTTTTCTTGTTCCTTTTCGTCACGCTGCTTGAGCAGCAAGCGATTCTGTTTATGCGTTTTAGAGAACCTGGGCACGACGGATTGGAGTTTGGTGTCTTTTCTTTTTGCCTTCGATGTGTACAACAGTTTTCGACTCTCGGGCCCAGCATTTTGTTGCACAAGACGCCAGCATATTCTTCATGGCGCAAACCACTTCTTCCAAATGAGACTTTGGCTCTGCGTGTACGCACCAGACCACCCATTACCTTCTTGCACTACTCTGTCTCCCACCTCAATCTCTCCGATTTGTGACCCTGTGACGCGACGGCCGCAGACGCCCACCGCCCTCTAGACAGCCGAGTCGGCTAGGAGGTCTCGCTAACGGCTCAGTAGTTGCCTAATCACAGATAGATTGTGGCAAACATGCAAGCAAACATGTTCTAGATCCAACACAGAATTATTATTAAAATCAATCCATACCTCTAGTAACCTTGCCTTCAAACCCGCCGTATTACCGATACAACGGCCATGATGCTGACTTCTATCTACTCATAGCAGCGCTGTGTCCCTTCTCGCTATTTCTCTACCTCGATTGCAACATTTTAAGCAATAAGATCCTTTGGTGTCATCACATTGAGCGCCCTCGCGCTAGTAGATGGTGGAAACGAACTGGGCTGCCACGTTAGAAGAACCGCCATGACGTGTTCTTGACCACACGTTGCGCGATGCACTTGGGTGAATTTCAAAGTCTTTTTCGACGAAGCAAAAATATAAAACGCCGCTGACTTGCCCATAGAATACACCAACCTTGACAGAAATGACATACCAGATGATGATCTCAAAAATACAAAGTAAATTCTACATGGGAGCAGCGCGACGAACCACGAAAAATAAATGCTTGGAATACCACACAGAAGCAGGCGTACACAGAATTGTAGGGAGTGTTCTTCTCATACCAGCGACTTGTCGACGATGTAGTACGTGCTATCCAGAAAGGGAACTGAGTAGGAGGACGAGCACACGACCAGTTGACAGAAAGTGGGTGGGGATCGAATGAGGCGTTTGGGTCGCCCGCAATTCTCGGGAATCTTCCCCTTGCCTTGCTGGTCGTCATAATCGCAGCACAGAAGGGGGGGGAAGGTGTCCCATGACCGTTTCCGAGGAAAGCTGGCATCTCCCGCCTCTAATAAACCCCGCCAAAAATGCAGACAAAAGGCAAAGGAGAAAGTCTGTCTGCAACCCGGAGACGCCTTTAGAAAATTGAAACACGGTCCCAAGCTGTACTGACTCGGCAGAGCTAGGCGGGAGTGCGTCGCTCGACTCCGTTTATTACTGATAAATGGTCTCCAATGCTGCGCACAGCGAGAGGGCGCGCGGTACCAGGATGGCCACAGTCTGGGGCAGCATGGCACACGCCCTCTCCGTGACCGGATTGAATGTCAGCGACAGGGCGCAGCCCTCCCCCTCCCCCCCCCCCTCCAATCGCTCGTTCAGTTCTCCTGGGGCTTGTCGTGTCGCGAGTACATGTTCCACTCGAGAGAGTTGGCAAAGTCGAGCTTGCCCTGCTCAACCTGCTTGCGCGTGGCCGACAACATCGGCTGGGGGAGACCCATGTACTTGAGGAAGTCGACGGCTGTCGGAGAGATTACAGGTTAGTCCATGAATCGGCAAAATGACTACCGCAGCTGTAAAGAGGCCAACCACGAGGGTGATGACTTACTGTCCTTCCATTCCTTTTCTTGTCTGCGGCGATCCCACTTTAGTTCCTCTGCCATAATATCGATAACTCGAGGAAGAGCCTCCAGGGCTGCTTGAGCGCTGAGAAAGGCCAGGCGCGTGCGTCTCGCCAGGATGTCCACAGGCGTCTGCGCATACTCGTGACGGCAAGCATATCGCACCTCGCCGTCTACAAAGGGGTAGAGCTGGGAGATGCGCTCGCCACGGGCCGGGAAGCGCTGGTTTGTCTGCTTGCAGAGTGCCGCGACAGACCAGGCGCGATCTCCGTAGCTCTCAGTGAGATGCTTGGCAACCTCCGTCTCAACACCAAAGTGCTGGATCAAGGGGATGAAGAGCGTCCTGCTGAAGCCGTGTGCACCGATCAACCTCACGTTATGGGTTTGGCACTTGCCATCTAGGATGGCACCATCGTCTATGTGGTTGGTCCCACTAACTCGCGGGGCATTGTCGACTGCCTTGGTCTGGAGGCTAAACTCCCCGACAGCGACATCAACGCAGTCTTCGGCCATCTGGCGGTACGTCGTCCATTTACCGCCAGCGCAGGTCAACAAGCCGGATTGCGAGACGTCTGTAAGGTGGTTGCGCACGAGAGACTCGGTGTTCTTGGCCTTGGGGTCCTTGACAAGCGGTCGGATGCCTGACCAGGCAGCCAAGACGTCGCCTCGGCGGACACGGATTTCGGGGGAGAGGTAGCCTCGGATTTCATCAAGGATCCATTTGATGGACTCCTCGTCCGGGACAGGGTTGGGGGTGATTGCACAAGGCGAGTCTGTGGTGCCCGCAATGGTGTTGCCCTGCCAAGGGAGGAAGAAGATGACCCGACCGTCAGAGGTGGATGGATCCAACAGACCCATCTTACCCGGACTATAGTAGCCCGGCAGGATGACATGAACGCCCGAGGACGGTGCGACAATGTCCTTGCAGTTTTTGTCGTCCATTTTGCGAATAGCGTCCGTAAAGGGTCCGGTACAATTGACGATGCACTTTGCGCGCACGGAAAAGTCCTCGGCGGGTTTGCCGTCGCGAACAGCAATATTGTCCCGGATCTTGGCGCCGCAGAGGCGGCCACTGTCATCCTTTAAGAGGCTGGTGACCTCGGTGTGGTTTGCGACCGTGGCGCCATAGAGGGCGGCCGTCATGGCGATGGATACGTTCATACGGGAGTCGTTGTGGGCTCCGTCGTAGTATACTAGAGCACCAACGAGGTCCGTCTGCTTTAGCATCGGGAAAGCCTCAAGGGCCTTGCTGCGGGTAAGGAAGTAGGAGCTCTCGATGCCTTCGCTCCCGGCAAGGATGTCGTAAAACTTGGTTCCAGCCCAGTAGTAGGGTGCCTTCCACCATTTATCCAGCGGCAGCATGATTGGCAGCCACATGGAAAGATGAGGCGCAGTTTGTAGAAAGTACTTTCGCTCGGTAAGAGCTTCACGAACAAGTTTGTATTGATTGTAGTCGAGGTTCCACACGGCCTTTTCCAGGTACCGCACGCCGCCATGGACCAGTTTCGTGCTCTTGCTGCTGGTCCCACTGCTGAAGTCGTCGCGTTCCACGACGGCGACGCGGAGGCCACGAGTTACGGCATCGAGGGCGACCCCCGCGCCGGTCGCGCCGCCGCCAATCACGAGCATGTCATATTCGTCGTCGGGGGAGCCGCTGCCGCTCAGGCGCAGGGCGTCGAGCTGCTCCTGGCGGGACTTGACGCGCGGGAATCGTGGCATCGTGAAGGAGCCATCGGGGGCATACGTCGGCGGCGGCACGGCGGCGGACGAGTGGCCAGGGATGTTTCGAGGGCGATAGCTGTAGGCGAGGACGGCTCCGGTGGTCGCGATTGCTCCAGGGAGCAGCATACGGCGCAGCAAACGGCCACCTGCAGGCATGTTGTCGGCTGCTCGGTAAGAGCCTGGTTTGGAAGCCCTTTTTGGTTGTTATGGAAAGTCAAATCAGGATACCCGATGGAAACAATCTTGTCCGCTTTGTGGCCCTGGATGCTGGGCAGACGATTTCGCGCGAACGCTGCAGTCTGGCTGTTCCGGCTGACGCGTGAACTGACGTCAGACTGCCAATTGGCTCGCAGGTTCGCAAGCTAAGGTGATCTATCGGCTCAATGTCTTGAACGCGAGATGAGATGAAGCTAGAGATGAAAAAGATGGCAAGTGATGCAGGGCTGACCCCGCCGATAAGCCAGAAGTTTTGGTGTGAAGCAACTACTAACCTCTTAGCTCAATGAGTCCGGTCTGACAACAACCGAGTTGTTGTCGCGCGTTCCCATTGCGGAGGAAAGCCAGCAGCAAAGCTTGTGCTGTGGGCCAGGAAGCAGGCCAGCCATCGTCCATTTTCACCCAATCGGCTCAACTTTCGACGCACACTCTCACTTTGGTGGCTGTCAAAGATAGACACTTTGCAGGGATCTTTTGAATATTTCTCTTAACAATGTGGTGTGTATAACGGATGTCTTGATCTTTATACAGTGTGCCGCAACTGTTGCTGGCCAACTTTATAGCATTTGCTTGTTCCCTCGGGCTCGAATCCGATGAATCAATTGCTTCCCGCTGCTTGCAACAGCTCATCTGCGAGTCTTGTCAAGTAAAATTTGCGTATCTCTTCTGGCAGTTGTTGGAATTGCTTTGCAATCTTGGCAACGTCTTGTCTGCCCTTTTCATAGGCCGCCAGATCCCTGTTCCCGTACACATCTCGTCCAGAGGCGTACCCGCTGCTCAGATCGCGAAAAAAGACATTTACTGCAACACTCATGTTTGTCGTGGGTGCTGCAGCATGCAGCCAGAGAGGTGGCAGGAATAAAACATCACCAGGGCCAACCATGGCTTCATGAGGCCGCGTACTCGCCAGCTTGGCCGTTTCAAGCGCTGCGAATACGTCCACGCTCGAACTGGAGGCTCCGGGCGCAAATGCTAGTTGAGATACATCACTTGGTGGGAATAGGATCATGCGTTTTGATCCGACAATCTGGGCATACACATTGGCCATGACCTGGTTTGCAATTAGACTCGAGGCACAACAGGACGTCAGCTTCAAACTCACATCATAGTGTAACCACATGTTAACCTTGCCAGAGACGCGCAACACAGAGCTGAAGATCTGCGTCTTTACGTAGCTAAGCTGTTCTGGCAGTGAAAACTCTGCGGCCAATCCAGGGTAGTCATCTTCGAGCTTGGCCGGCTGCTCAGCTGGCTTGTCGTTCGACAGCGAGCGTAGGTACAGTCGATCGCCATTGTTGGCTCTGGTCATGATGGTGCCAAAGTCATCTGTGATATATCTAAAGTTTTTCGCGTTGAAATCCATCTTACCGTTTTCCAGCAGGCATTCGTGCACCACCACCTAGCTCAGAGGTCAGGACATAGACTGACACGGTCAAAACGGAAAGAACTTGCCTTCTTGTCGCGTCCCACTCTGTCAGTCATGTATTCGGCGGTCCATTTTTGGAGGCAGTCTCCCAGGTGTAGGTTTTCGATGACTGCGGGCTGGCCTCGCCGGAGGATACCCTCAAATTCAGACGCAGAGCTCAAGCTAAGACGTGGGATGGTCGACGTCCTAGCTTTCGCATCGGGTCTACCAGCGTCATTCCTCTTTGGAGCAGAGGTGCTGCTTACAACGCGATGAGAAGAAATAAAACTCACCTCAGTAGATTGACCTCCTTCCTTTGGTAGTTTCCGGTCACCACTGAGGATTGTAGGCATTTGGGCTTGATACACATTCGTGTCCCAGAAGGTACCCATGGAAAAGCAGGTCGCACCGCCTCCGGCAATGATGACGCGGCCGCCGTGGCACAATACCGAAGATCCAATCATAAATGGCTTGTTTGCTGCGTCTTCTGAGCACGCCTTGAGTTTGTCGACGTCAACTTTGGATCCCGACGCGGTCAAGCAATACATTGCTTGCCCATTGACGGTCTGACTTCCGCCCATACCTCCGCATACAATCGTGTTTCCATTCATGTCAATAACCTGCGCCCCAAAGATGGACAATTCTGGGCTTATCTCGTTGGTTATTATCCTAAAAGTGATGGTGGGCTATCCACTCGTCAGCTAGGTCTACTTCGGAGAGAGAAAAAATTACTTGCCTGTTGAGAGACCGTCTCGAGTAACCACTCGTATTTATGTTCAACAATGAGACCGCTCCTTTCGATTCCACCGCAGAGGAGACCAACGTGCTTGCCATCGGAAAATCCCGCAGGATTGTTGCATAAGATGGAGCCAAAAGAGGGTTCTGGCACATCCCCAGCGACTTTGCACTGAAGCCAGCCTTTCTCGGGATTGAACACGAAGTAATTCCCCGAGATCTGCGAAGAGCTCGTTTTACCCCCCGCTACAAGAACCAAGGAGGTTCCAGCCAGCCTCAAAGCAGAATGGCGATAAAGGGGAGCCGGCAGCTTCCATGTCTGCTGCCAGCTCCGGTCGTGGTCTTTTCTGAGAAGCCAGCAATCGGAGAATGCGCTGGCGGGAGAACTGCGCCCTCCTACAAGCAAGATGCCGTAGCAACCTAAGTTTGTAACTGTAAAGCACATGCGCGGTGAGGGGCCTGTCAACGGCAGCACTGGAGAATGTGCTGCTCCGCCATCGAGAGAATAGATATCGTAAGTATCCTCTCGGGCATTGTGCCCTAGTCCCATCATGTTCAGTCCGAAACTCCGCCCTTCAACATCTGAGAGCGTTGCAAATGCTCCGAAACGGCGTTTGGTGCTGCCAGGAATCGTTGTGAAGTGTATATCGAGCTCTCTGCCAGGCGGTACTTCAGTGGTATGCAAGTGAACTGTTCCGTTAGCCGCCTGGGTATTCTCAGTCGCTGATGCGTGCAGAACAAAGTAATGACGCGCGAATAGGATGAACTCTTCCCATTCGTCAAAGGGCTCGACATCATCAAGGGCAGCTCTTTCGTCTGCACTCACAAACTCGCCGCAGCACCAAGCATCCCACAAGTCCCATATTCGCACGCTCGACCATCCGCGGGATCTGAACCTGTCGAATTGGTCGCTGACAGTTGGGTAATTCCCAACAGACCGAGGCGGAGTCTTGAGTTTCTCGAAGTGCTTCAGCATTGTCTGAGCGAATGGGTGGGCACGACTGTAGGGCAAAAGCTGCTCCAAGAGGCAGAACTCGGCTCTGCCAACGGAACTCGCCCACCTGAGCAAATTATCTGCGGATTCCGTATCCATATAGGTCACGGAAACTTCAGCAACAAAGAGGACCGGGCAGTTTGACAAGTCAACCAGGCTTTCCAGTACCTGACGCAGCGCTCCCAGTTCGCGAAGATCGCATCCAATTTGGCAGTACTTTTCGCTCTTCAGCAGTACAAGGTCTTGGGCGGATTTAGATATCGCAAATGAGGGCCCAAGTAGTTCTTTCAGTTGCGGTGTCTCCAAAACCATGTCTCGTTTCTTGCGCATCAGGTCTGGGTAATCGATGTCAATGAACAGCGCATCCTTGCATTCATCTCCATATCGAACATGACTTTGCCACGGCAAGACATCGCTGCGTGTCATTTTAGTAGACGCAATTCCGTGAAGGCGGTCCGTAGTCCTTACCTTCCACACCCGAGATTAATGACCACTTTCTGGCCGGCAGACCGGGAAAGGAATTGCTTGACAATGACGTTTATTGCTCTCAGTCTCAGCCAGTAGCCACGGTTGATGAGTGGCGCTCGTCGCTGAAACTTCTTGACAAAATAACGAAAATAATGCGGCTCGTCTGGGTAGTAAAGCCTTTCGACACTGCGCTTGGAAACAATGCTGCTGCTATTGGTCTAACGAGTTACAGAATTAGACATGATCTGGTTACTCCTTGTTGAGTTTCGGGTCCAAGGAAAACCTACACCCATGATCAGATCGTCAAGGGCCTGAGACCTCTGCCGCAGAGGAGCGGCGGGTTTTGTCGGTACCGACAGCGTTGTAGACTCCATCATCGTTCCGCAAGCTCAAAACGAGCCGCGAAAAATATCGCAGTATTATAGCGCAAGATAATTCGAAAAGTCCTGTGCAGGCAGCTACATTCGAATGAGGCTTTCTCACTTTGAGATCAGAGCTTTTTTTTTTCGCGGCGGGCCATGTTTGCCCAAACTGATTAGGTAAGGCAATCGAATTGTCCTGGCAAGAGAAGAGAACTACCGAAATTATTCAATATGCATTGGGTTGGGAGTATTAAAATATAAATTGTCCAATTAGCTGTTTCTTTTTATTGTAACTGTCGCTTCTCCAGAACAGTCGCACGGAGACACAGCCGACGTGCAATGAGAAACCTGGCCGGTTGTTCATCAGGACGCTCCACTTTAACCTGGAGCCGTCCGGGTCATCCTCCGAGTGCAATGGTCATGAGACCTGAATTTATGAGTGTAGAATCCTTCTAAATAAAAGCTCTCTGTTTTGCCTATGTCTAAGCTAGGTTTTATTTCCAGATTACTTGCCGGGTGAACTTGGCGTCATTCATTCGTGGTGTTTGGCTCGTCATCGCACCAAACCTTTGTTATACAAGACGAAGGGAACATGGCCTAGGTATATAGGTATACAAGGTAGCCTGGGACCTGGATCTTCCTGGCTTGCGTTCACCAATGTAGCCTCAACTTTTACATTCGCTAAAGCTCATATAAAACGACTGTTAAATAACTCTCCACTCATTTCTCTCGTCATGTCGCCTAACAAGAACAATTCCGGCATGTCGGTCAGTACCAACTATAAAACCAGGCCTAGGGAGGATCATTCTAACAGTGAATATTTTCTGGCATGGACACATAATCCTTTGCGATTGACTTTACGAGTACGTTTTCTGAGCTCAACTTGGAACTTGTGGCCGCTGACAGCATACAGTGGGCGGTGTTTGTGCTGCGGGTTCCAAGACAGCAGCCGCGCCAATTGAACGTGTCAAACTCCTTGTGCAAAATCATATCCGTTATCAAAGCCACCGAGCTCGCCACCGAGCTCCATTTCCACAAGTGACAATCTCTTCGCGGGTCGCTGTCTCCGGTCGCTGTCTTTGCTAACTTCAGCCTTGTTCACCACACCAGGGGGGTGAACACTCTTATCGTGAAGACAGCGACTTCACTCGACTCCGCGAGTGAAGACCGTCTATTTGGAAGCGTACTCATTCTATAGTAGGACGGGTGATTAAATCCGGTCGCCTGGCTCGCAGATACAATGGTATCACGGACTGCTTCCGCCGTACCGTGGCAGATAAGGGAGCATGGCGCTCTGGCGTGGCAACACGGCCAATGTGCTTCGCTACTTTCCAACGCAGACACTCAACTTTGCCTTTAAGGACATGTACAAGCAGATGTTTGGTTTCAACAAGAAAATGGACGGCTTTGCGATGTGGACATTGGGCAACATTGGATCTGGCGCAGTAAGCACATCTCAATGAAACGGGGATGCAAGACAGCAGCAGCAGATAATTATGACCGTGTCATCAGGCGGCGGGCGCTACCAGCTCCCTCTTTGTCTACTCGTTTGACTACGCGCGAACGCGCCTTGCCAACGATGCCAAGATGGCAGGCGGTAAGCGCCAGTTTCGCAGCATGACTGATGTTTACCGCAAGACGCTCGCGTCTGACGGGGTCGTAGGACTATACCGTGGTTTCATGCCCTCCCTGTGGGGCATCATGGTCTATCGCGGCTTCTACTTCGGCCTGTACGACTCGCTCAAGCCGGTGGTGCTCGTTGGGCAGCTGCAGGACAACTTCGCGGCGTCGTTTTTTGCTGGCGTGGTGCGTGACGACCTTGTCGAGCACTGCAGCGTACCCGCTCGACACCATCCGCCGCCGCATGATGATGACGTCCGGCGAGGCGGTCAAGTATAGGAACATGATCGACGCGGCGAGACAGATTATCGCGCAGAACGGTGTCAGGTCTCTGTTCAACGGATGCGGAGCCAACATTTTGCGAGCCGTCGCAGCTGGCGTGCTGGCCATCCATGACCAAGTCCAGCTGATTGTTTTCGGAAAGGTGTTTTAAGGCTGGTTCTGGCTACCTATGTACATAGTAGGTACCTATGATGTACTAGCTACGTAGGTACCGCAAATGGGGGTGCTAATCAAGGTGGCAGGAGCGCTGGAACTCAGCGGGCCATGCAGGTACATACATATGTACATACATACATACATACATAAGTACATCAGTACTAGGTACCTGTAGGCGCGCAAGGCTGTGTTTAACCTATGTAGGTACCATTGACCTTCTTCGTCTTCTTCCTGTATTCCGTAGATATAGTGTTCTATGGGACTATCCTTGGAGCACTTGCTAATTGATTTCGCTGTAGACTATAGTCTAGTAGCATCTTATTTTATCAAAGTACCCCAGATTACCTCTAGAGGCCTGTGTCATCACAAGTTCCCCTCACCTGTTAACCAAAACCCCACTCCCGCTAAAAAGCGAATCCGCCGTCACCAGAGCTCCCTTGCATTGTCAGTGGCAGCTTGAGCTTCCCCCAGCCTCGCAAGCCGATCCCCTCCCACGTGCGCCATCCTGTCCGTCATTTGACTGCGCCAGCCTTTGGTCCCTTCAAAAACCTTCGACTCCATGCAACACGCCGTCACCATTTTCGCAGCATCTCGAAGCCTCAAACATCATCGCCAAAACGCACGCACCCGCACCCGTAGCGGCCACACCACCTCACCACCGCCCGGCTTTGCACAGAGCTGCCGTCGCCGAGGGCCGTCCGTCATGGCGAGCCCGGCCCTCAACTTCATCACCTTCAATCAGGACCACAGCTGTCTCGCTGTCGGTACGTGGCCATCGTCTTCTCCAACTGCTACCATTTCCAGCTCCTCTCTCAGTACCATGCCCTCCAACTGACTGATTGGCTGGCAGGTACCTCGAAAGGCTTCCGCATCTATCACACCGACCCATTCTCTCGCATCTTCAGCAGCGACGATGGCAATATTTCAATCATCGAGATGCTATTCTCCACCTCTCTTGTTGCCTTGATTTTGTCTCCACGACACCTAGTTATACAAAACACAAAGGTTCGCTCCCGGACCGTCCGTCATGTTCAGCGCCGCGCCGGTTACTGACACTTGCCATCACAGAGAGCCTCGGTAATATGCGAGCTCACCTTCCCTTCCGCCGTTTTAGCAGTACGCCTCAATCGCAAGCGCCTGGCCGTCGTTCTTGAAGAGGAGATCTATCTCTACGATATTAGCAACATGAGTCTCATCTACACTATACCCACATCCCCCAACTCATCAGCCATTTGTGCGTTGTCACCCTCGTCCGAAAATTGCTTCATCGCATATCCGTTGCCGAAACCACGAGAAGATACCGATGCCAGAAGGCCCGCACATGCACCACCGCAGTCCACTTACGTAGCTCCGACGGCAGGCGACGTTCTTGTCTTCGATACCCTCACTCTGAAAGCCGTCAATGTCATCGAGGCGCATCGCTCGCCGCTGTGTAGCATATGCTTAAACAACGACGGAACCTTGCTTGCGACGGCCAGCGAGACTGGTACAATTATTCGAGTGTTCTCCGTCCCTCGAGGCCAGAAACTCTATCAGTTTCGTCGCGGTACATACCCTTCAACCATATACAGCATGTCCTTCAATTTGAGCTCTACGCTGCTCTGTGTTTCCTCGACTTCCGATACTGTTCATATTTTCCGCCTGGCGGTACCTCCAGGGAACAGTACTCCGGGTGGCGCGCCTATTGAGCCGCCTGGGTCTCCAAGACACGATCGCTGGTCTCGTGGTCGACTCCAGGAAGAAGCGGGCTCTCCCGGCGACAGTGCCACCGAATCACCTAGAAGCGATGTGGCGGAGCTTTCGAACAGCCCCGGAAAGGCCGCCAATCGCAGGCAAAGCGGCTCCTTTGGTAACATGCTCCGTCGATCCTCTCAAATCATGGGCCGTGGCGTCGCAGGCGTCATGGGTTCCTATCTTCCTCAGTCGGTCACAGAGATGTGGGAGCCCATCAGAGACTTTGCTTTCATCAAGATCCCCAAGTCAACAGCTTCCTCCAATGCTTCGCGACTCACGGGTGGCTCTCCCACAGGCCCACTACGCAGCGTTGTCGCCATGAGCAGTAGTAGCCCTCAAGTAATGGTGGTAACAAGCGATGGCGGCTTTTACGTTTACAATATCGACATGGAAAATGGCGGCGAGGGCTATCTCGTCAAACAGTTTTCGTAAGTTGCTTCGAGGCTCTATGGCGCTACGTTCCCCCCCCCCCCCCCCAGTGTTCTTGAAGGCGACGACAAAATCGACGGTTCATCGTATGGAGTTTGATTGGACGGGATATCATACAATAGATTACAAACGGCACCCTTCCTCCCTAAGCCACTGCTGTATGCAATAACAGCTACCTACGCTCTCGTTTCACCTACCGCTCATTGCCTCCCACCTCCCAAAGGCTTATCTCTTCTATCTTCATTTCTCTAACTCGTCAAGGCGGAATGAAGGTACCCTCTTACTTTTACGAACTTACCGACTCCCATATGAATTTAACGCAATTTCATAGCATAGGTCATCCAAAGAATCGTGTTTACCAATCTCATCTTCCACCACATTTACGAGTATACATGTAAATAAGAAGCCAAGCGTGAACACCGTCTGAGAACTACCCCAAATCCGTATTTAAAAGCACAAAATGAAATAAACTTCAAAAGCTACATAAATGAGCCTAAAATATCGTATAATTGTAGTGCATTGGCGATAACACCCAAGATCATGGAAAGCATTCAAGCAAGCAAGGACAACCCATCCCAAGATCGCTGCTACTCAGGCTTTGCGATTTTTCCGTCAAAAGCATAAAAAATGAAACTCCTGTCATAATCCATAAACCAACCTGTCTTCGTAATCATTATTTTGTAGGGTTATCTTAATGTTCCCCATCATCCATGCCGTACGCCGTAGCTGGAACTCATTCGCCACACGCAATGCAGATGACGCTCTTACCCATCAAAGTAATCACAATACAACGGCAGACTTCATACTACTTCCCTTTTCTCTCTATCGTGAATACGGGCGGTTCATTAGCGCAATTTCTCGCGTTATCTCGGCCCATTCAAGCTCTCGCCTGAACGTTTCTCGGTCATCGTCAGTCTGCAAAAGGGCTTGCTCCCACTGTAGCAACTCATATGCAAACCGTAGGTGCGGCTGTATGATGACATTCAGCCGCCGGGCTCTCACAAAGCAATATGCTCGTGGGAAGGATAGCCCAAGGACGCGCATAACCTCAGCAATGCAGATGGTTGCGCTTCGCGAAACGCCGACGCGGCAGTGGACCAAAGTTGCCGTGCCCAGTTGTTTCCCGCGATCTGTTTTACACAATGAGTTAGGCAATACCATCATTATATCCAAGTCGCCCCTCGACGCTTACCGATAAAGTCAAGGCATCTCTGAAACTCATCTGTCAATGTGTCAATGCCGTTGTCCTGCACTCCTTGGACAACGCAAATGTTCTCCTCCCCCCATTCCTCTAAGTCTCCTTCGCGCCAAGTAGCAGTCTCGCCGACGGAAAGAACTTGACCAATTCCCATGTCTTTTAAGAGAGATGGATTGTTGGCGTGGCCGAGATTTCCGAGATATAGATAATCGAGGATACGGCTAGGCAGTGAGCCGTCCAGGCTACAGAACCAAGTGGGCTCACTCTTCACCAGGTCCATAAGCTCGCTGGTATCTTTATCTTTGCATTGTGGTGATTCGCAGAGGAGGCGAGGGGAAATGGCCCTCAGGAGAGCAACGTCAGTAGGATAGGCAAAAAAGTTGCGGCGTTTCGTCTTGTGTAGGTTCAACCATGCATCTGGGACTGGAAGCCCAGAGCTATAGCTGTAATATGCTATCCCAAGCATGCTGGATTCGGTATAGCCATCAGCGCAGTGGATCAGGATTTTGCGAGGCCGCAATTGGTTGCTCTCGTTTTCTTGATCAGAATTTGATGCTTCGTATCCATCTTGCCTTCCCATGACCTCGGTGTCAGGAAGCGTGCCATGAGAAATATGATACAGCCATTTGCAAGTGCTCAGAATGCCATCAGCTTCTGTCTGGGAATATGTGGGAGGGAGAATACTCCCAGAAGACGGAAACTCGTGAAATACCACGGGCACTTTGTCCGTGGAGCATAGAGCCACCCGCTTCAGAGACTCAGGGTTCATTTTACCGAGGTCACTGCATTCAATCAGGATGTCAAACCGCTGCTCCTCCAAACTACCCGGCTCCGGGGTCGGTCCCATGTAAACATTGTGAGATATCTCAGATGCGATGGTCATATCCCACATCTCTCTGCGCTCCTGGTGAACCAAGTCCAGGACTTGGCCGGTTAGACAACCCGCGGCATCAAGTGCAACGAGATTGCCATGATGCTGCTCAAAGTCAGGAAAGGGGCAGATACAAACAAAGCAATTATAGTCTTGGATGCCATCAGCGTGGATATCGTTCTGCTCTTTCCATCTCTTCTGCGCCGCAGCAATGTTCCAGGCCATTCGCCTGGTTTCGGGAATGTCTTCGCCGTAAACGATAATATCAGACACAAGGGCCATTTTTGCGACCTGAATCTGAAAATTACGCACCGAGAAGCCATTCTCAGGGTCGGCATTTATGAACTCAGCCGGAGACCGATATTCGATAATTTCGCGAGGACTGATGGCGCCTTTGAGACGACTTTTGGTAAGATCGCCATCAGCCTTCACAAGGGTGATTGCTCTGAGACTGGAGGGGGGCTTGAGAATTGATCCCCGACGACCTGTAAAGAATGTTTGTTGCATGTGGTTGAGAGGATGCAAACCGTGTAGCCATGGGAAGACGCCAGATGGTGCAGGAAGAGACTGACCAGCAGCGTAATCTAGGGCTTCAGCAACTTGCGATGCAACGATCTCGTATATCGCTAGAGGCCCAGCCACGGTCTTGGTGTAGTTGTCCGGGGGATACAAAAGGGATGTTTGGCAGAAATCATGTGCGCTTCCTGGAGAGGGCGGAGGTGTATCTAGGTCGGTATACTTGGCAGGGCCTGTAGGGCATGCGGGGATATGCTTGTTGGGTAGAGCGGCATGTTGTGGCGAGGCACTCGGCACAGTTGATTCAAGAGATGGTGGCGGGGTGATTGTGTCAGCGTCAACGTCGATTGTTGAGGAAGGACGGTGAGGAGGGATAGGTCTCGGTACGGCAATAGTGGCCATCTGTCCGTTTTGACGTTATACTGAATACGGGTATGGTCGTATAAATGTTTGTTCGCAGCCAAGTCGAATTGAATCAATAATCAGGGTCTAATATGCAATGGTTAGAGGCATGCAGACCCCTGTTAGAATAAGAACATACGAAGAGATATGATTGCTTGCGCTCGCGCAACAAAACATGTGTGGTATAACAAATACACCTAACGTCCTTAAGAGGCTCCGAATTTTTGCGCGGCGACGACTTGGAAATGTCAGCATATGCGATGGCTGTGAGGAGTCGCTTGTGGTAGGTCGAGGGCACGCGCCAAGCATTACATTGCACGTACAGAAAGAAAGCCAGGTGCTGCCGATTGAACAGAAAATATGACGGGCTGAACGAAGTCCTAAGACGTCTATTGCGAGCTACCGAAGGGTATGCGCCGTATGGCTGGCGATATTGAATGTAGGTATAGGCGAGATACGGCCGGCGGTCAAATGGCAGCAAGCAGGCAACCTTGGAATCTAGAATTGGGCAATGATGCTGGGGGGGGTGAGCGGAAAGAGCGGTAGCTGAGAATGTCAAAGATGGGCAGGGCAGATGGCAGGCGACAAAAGAGGTGAAATAATAGCCGTGGTTGAAAGGTTGACAACAAGAGGGCGGGGGAGAAGAGAAGAGGGCAAGAGAGAGACAGAGGGCGAGAGAGAATGGGGATGACCTTGTGATGGGTAGAAGGTTTGGAGTTTGTTAGGTAGTTAGGTAGGTAGGTAGGCTACCATAACTAGTAGGTACATGGGTAGGTTTGAAGGCAGCGGCTTGGAGCGAGGCCAGACCAGCCAGCAACAAGCGGGCAAGGTTAAAACAACGAGTCGAGGAGGCAGGCAACGCACACACAGACCACGACAAGTTGACAGGGACACAGGCAAGACCCGACAAAAGAAAAAAAGTTGGGCTGTTCAACGGCGTGGATTGGGTGATAACGCAGCCACCGACCGGCCACAAGACCCCCTCCCCCGGTTTCCCAAGCGTGATGGCGGCAAGGGTGGGATGGAAGATGTGCAAATGGGCCAATGAACCTAAGCAAAAGGTCGCACTTGGCGTGCAGGCCTGCATCAGGGTGGTGGGCGAAGAGCGTTTTATTAGTGCGTGATAGCGGCCGCCATCGCAAGGCGGGGTCAAGATGAGCCGTCATGCTTGACCTCTGGTACTATCAGGGAAGCCAAACTTTGATGCTGCCAATATTGTCATGTACGTCGTGCATTTCCGGCAATCAATTCACATGCAGGGAATCCCCCCCAGGCCATACAATCATCTGCCCGCTTTCATGGCTACGAAGCAATCTGACAACCATCCAACGCTCCAACATCCTCCCGGTTCATATCATCACTTCGTGCAAGGAAGGCGGAATCGCTACGCCCAAGCGCTTGTCTAAAAATGGCAACGAGTGAACAGGCTGTACATTGTACATGCCGATCGCTGGACCAAGCTACCTGTACCGACCAAGTAAGGTAAGTACTAACACCAACCGTGCAGGTCACCTCGACTAATGGTGGTCGTGTGCCTCGAGAGTTTGCGCCGGGAATGATGGAGATGCAAAGCACGGATAAGATTAAGCACAACACGTCCTGATTTAAGTAGAAATATGGCTACCTAAATCATAAGTAGTTCTACCAACAACATTACTTGCCCAAAAACCCAGGCAATTACAACAGGGTCCAGGGCACATGAGCACTGGTGGGCCCGTCCCTTACTTTTAGTACAAGGTACATACATAGGTACATACATAGGTAACTAGGTAAGGTACTTGTAGGTAGGTAGGTACTAAGCTGTGTACATGTATGTACGTACCTCAGCTTTAGGCTCAAGTCCTTATAAGGTAAACGCCCTCGTCTCGTGTTCCCAAAACCATGTCAATCAACAGACACACGTCACCAACTCAACATAATAATGACCAAACAGTCCAATTGCATTCCAAAAATTTGCGCGAAACTATTAGCTTTTGGCCACGGTCAAAGGTCTTGACAGCTTGCAAAATCAGGGCGATTCTCCTCATTGTGGCTGCATATGTAAGGTTGGTCAACTCAAACATTGGTCCACCACCACCAGCACTTGAATATGAAACCCATAGTCTTATTGCAAGAGAAGTCTCTGCAGCACCGATAAACCAGCACTCAAATAAAAACTGCCGTTGAATTTCTCTCCCCTTTTCTTACTGCGCCGTTGATCAATGCAGAGCGACAGTGGTTATAGTCACGTGATTTCGCGACCGCTGGCGTGCTCTTTCAGCAGTCTTCACGTCACCCAGGATCAAACGTGATTCTTCAGCTGCTTGCGATTCTGCAGTTCGACTTCAACCCGCATTCTGCGGTAAAGGCCGCCAAAATGAAGTTCTTCATTGGGTAAATCGACTTTCCCATATCATCATGATCCTTGGGGGTGTATTAACCAAGCTAGGGACCTTCCTGTTCTCTTCCCCTACCCGAGAATTTACCCAGGTTTGTCGAACTCAGCTTTCCCATGCGCCCTCCAGTACGCTGACACGACTCATCACTATAGAGCAATATTCGTACGTCAAAGTCATTGCATATCACTCGACCCAATTTCACTAACCCTGCCTCAGTTATATGTGTGATTTGAAGAGTACGTTCTCCACGTCATGCACCGAATCTTGACCAACCACCTACGCACTACTACGTTCAAAGCCAATTGGCTAACCTTCGCACCACAGAGACTCTCGATGCGGGCGGCCACTGCGTACTGGAAATGCCTTCTGGCACAGGCAAGACAGTATCGCTTCTGTCTCTTATCGTCGCTTACCAGCAATTCATGCCGGAGAAGCGAAAACTCATCTATTGCTCTCGTCCGTATAAAGCCCCTTGAGAAAATACCATGTTTCAGTGTTCTTACATACTATCTACAGGTACCATGTCCGAAATCGAAAAGGCGCTGATGGAGTTAGAAGCTTTGATGAAGTACCGCACAGAACAGTTGGGCTACGAAGAAGACTTCCGAGGCCTCGGCCTAACCAGCAGGAAGAACTTGTGTCTTCATCCTTCTGTCAAGCGCGAGAAGAGCGGATCCGTCGTTGACTCTCGATGTCGAAGCTTGACAGCAGGCTTCGTCAAGGAAAAGAAGGAACGCGGCGAAGACGTAGACCTATGCGTTTACCATGATGTCCGTATCTACTCCCGTCGTCCCATGTCTTGCTGTCCTTTGCTTACTCTTCGGCAGAATCTCGACTTACTCGAAGCACACAATCTCATCCCAAACGGGGTTTGGACTTTTGATGGCCTACTACGCTATGGAGAAGAGAATAAACAATGCCCATACTTCACCGCCCGTCGTATGGTACGTGTCTCAGCTAGCCAATGAACTGTCTGTGCATACTCACTTTTTTTGTTCTAGATGCAGTATTGCAATGTTGTCATTTTCTCCTACCATTACCTCCTAGACCCGAAGATTGCAGAGCGTGTCTCCAAAGACTTTTCCAAAGACTGCATTGTCGTCTTCGATGAAGCACACAACATCGATAACGTATGCATCGAATCACTGAGTACCGATATCACGGAAGAGTCACTACGACGCGCAACACGAGGCGCTCAAAATCTCAAGCAAAAAATCTCAGACATGCGCGAAACGGATCAAGAGCAATTGCAAAATGAATATGAAAAGCTCGTTCAAGGCCTAAGAGAGGCCGACGAAGCCAGACAGGAAGACGCTTTCATGGCAAATCCAGGTATGGTCCAAGCACTTTGTTTCTGGCACAGATAAGCTAACTGTTGGGGGTTCCAGTACTTCCTGATGAACTCCTGAAAGAAGCGGTTCCGGGCAGTATTCGTAGAGCAGAACATTTTGTCTCCTTTTTGCAGCGCTTCATCGAGTATTTGAAGGCAGGTACCCTACTTGCGAACCACATTCCAACCACTAATCATAAAATAGACCCGGATGAAAGTTCGTCAGGTCATCTCAGAGACTCCGCCGTCCTTTCTTGCGCATTTGAAAGAGCACACATTTATCGAAAAGAAGCCTCTTGGCTTCTGTGCCGAGCGTCTGACTTCGCTCGTCAGGACCCTAGAGCTCACCAACATAGAAGACTATCAACCTCTTCAAGAGGTTGCGACGTTTGCCACGCTAGTCGCAACCTATGAAAAGGGGTTTTTATTAATTCTGGAACCATACGAATCAGATACGGCAGAAGTTCCGAATCCAATCCTCCACTTCACCTGTCTTGATGCAGCTATCGCCATTCGGCCAGTTTTTGATCGCTTCTACTCAGTCATTATTACCTCTGGCACTATCTCACCTCTGGAGATGTATCCAAAAATGCTTGACTTTTCCACTGTTATCCAAGAGTCTTACAGCATGACACTTGCTCGTCGCTCCTTCCTGCCAATGATTGTGACAAGAGGTAGCGACCAAGCTTCAATTTCGACAAGCTTTCAAGTGCGAAATGAGCCAAGCGTGGTTCGAAACTACGGAAATCTACTGACAGAATTCGCTAAAATCACACCGGACGGGCTAGTCGTCTTCTTCCCCTCATACTTGTACATGGAATCCATCATCAGCATGTGGCAGGGAATGGGCATACTTGACGAGGTGTGGAAGTACAAACTGATTTTGGTCGAGACACCAGATGCACAAGAAACATCTCTAGCCTTGGAGACTTACAGAACAGCATGCTGCAATGGAAGAGGTGCCATTTTGCTCTGTGTCGCGCGTGGAAAGGTTTCCGAAGGCATCGATTTCGATCACCAATACGGACGCACCGTGTTGTGCATCGGGGTTCCCTTCCAGTACACCGAATCGCGAATTCTCAAGGCAAGACTGGAATTTCTGCGGGAAACATATCGCATCAAGGAGAATGACTTCTTGTCGTTTGACGCGATGCGGCATGCTGCCCAGTGTTTGGGGCGAGTTTTGCGTGGCAAAGACGACTACGGGATCATGGTACTTGCCGACAGGCGGTTCCAAAAGAAGCGTCCACAGCTGCCGAAGTGGATTAACCAGGGTCTAATGGATGTCGATGTTAATCTCAGCACAGACATGGCCGTCAGTAGTGCCCGGCGCTTCTTGAAGACAATGGCGCAGCCTTTTCGCGCCAAAGATCAAGAGGGCATCAGCACATGGGGCTACGAGGACCTGGTACGCAAGGCTGCGCTGGACCGTGAAGAAGCTCGCAAGGCAGAGGAGGCGGCAGCGATCAAGGCGGCACAATTGGCGGCCATGCAAGGCAACAATGGTGGCTACGAATTCGATGATGACGACTTGGATCAAGATATGATGGAGCTTGAAGGCTTCTAAATTTCTATCATCCGCGTCCATAGCAACACGCTGTGTGGCGTATGCGCGACATCTCACAGGTATTCAATCCATCTTTGGCCGTCGCCGTATTATTATTCCCTTCACTAGGCTAGGTGGCGTATTTGAATCGCAGCAACAGATGTATATTAAGAATAGAAGCAGCCGCTCGGAGATGAAATCAAGTAAAAAACATGATGGTTGATGCATGGCAAAGAATCGTACTACTTCTTACCATCCTGCTTCGTGTTTTTGATCGCTCTCATGGCTGGGAATGTGTGGCTGCGTCCTGGCTTGCGACCAATCTCCAAACACACCAATCGAATGAAGTCCTGGTTTGTCCAGTAACTTGTGTGCGCGCTAAGCATGTTCAAGTACTGTATCTCGAGAGGACCTCCGGACGAACGCAGGAACCAATCGATCTGGCCGTTATCATTGAGCAGGTATGCCTTCTTCTCCACGATCTCTTCTCTTGTAAAATTGTGAATCTCTAGCTCCAGTTGAGAGGGCATGCGAGCTGTCGTTGGTCGTTCAGGTTCGACAGCAAGCGGATCTGGCTCCGGCGTCAAGCCCGGGATTACCTGCCTGATGGCATCTCGAACAGTACTCATCAACGATGGTTGCACACTTGGTACATAGGCAACTTTAAGGCTGGATGCATATGAGGGGTCCACTGCTCCGGTCAACAAGTAAGCAATCGGGTCCTCCTTAGCCAGGATGTTGTACACGTTGTCTACCGCTAAGCAGCCAAATGTTCCGGCTTCCCCGACCACGTCCTTTGCGGTGATATCGCCGTTGTCGGCACCTGGTTTTCGCCGACCGCGGCGAGGGATAAGCGTGCCTTTTTCTAGCAGTAAAAAAAATCCAGCCGGGCTACCTGCCAAGAACAGGTTCGTTGTGTTGAATTCAAAATGTTGGCCACCTCGATCCGTTGGCATGGCGAAATTCAGTCTCGGAACGTTGGTGGGCTGCCGAGATAGAATATCGACCGCCATAACACTACCCAGAGAATGCGCAATCAAGTGAACTCTGCCTCTATCAGAGAATCCCGGGTTATTTCGACACCATAGTCTATAGACGCGGTTAGCTTCGCGAACTAAGGCCGTGATCATTTTGCTCTTGTGGTGGGACATGTAAAATGGAATGTCAAACATAACGTCGGAAATCATGCTTCGGATCGCCGGTATAGTGTTGGGCTCGATGTCTTTCAAATCAAAAGCCCCAACCATATCCTCGGCCCCTTTTTGTGCCTCATCAGGGCTATCAAACGATAGCCCAACTCTCCAGTTCAGTGGCAGTATCATGAAGCCATTCTGATCTGCGCGAAGAACATTTTTGATCATCGGGTTGCCAAGCTCAATGTTGACAGCTCGCCGGAAGCTATTGATAGCATGCGTGAAATGATAACTTTCTACCCTCTCTGCAATTTTTTGGCCGATACCATGGGCAACCAATACAAGGTCTGTGATTTGTCCACGGTCCTTCTCTGCTGTGCAAGCAAGACAATCCGTCGTGACTTCTTCATCTTGGGCATCAACCGCAGGTGCTTCTTCTGCTACTACAGCGGTCTTTTGAGGGTTGTGGTGCCGATTCCAGGAGCGCCGATCAAAGCCTCGGACAACGGGCAATCCCACAGTGAGCCCTCGCAGGATCTTTGCAATGGGGCGTCGGCCATGGTATGAGGATGGCGCCAGAGTGGGCTTCAATAGGAATGCCGTCTTGCGATCTTTGTAGATGACTTGATAGCTCGCGAACGGGCGATTTGGGAGAGGTCTCTCCATATTGAGCGAGTGTAAGGAGCCATTAGCGGCAGCATCACCCTGAAAGCACCTTGCCGCGCAGAACAAGTCAGACGATATGAGTGGTTCAAAATCCATCAAGGTAGATCCATTGAGTGGCCGGTGGTGCTTTGGCCAGAGTTGGTGTGAGACTTTCTCTTCGCCAGCTGCCCCAACTTGAAGAGCGCATTCCAATTCCTCCGTCCAAGTGCCTGTCCACGGCTTCAGTTCTTGATATCCAGCCTCCAACTGATTCGCCACCGCCGTCGATACGGGCAGCATTGTATCCCTTCTCAGCTGTTAGGGGACTATTCTCGAAAAGCCAAAGCGGAACGCGGAGACTTGCCTGTAAAACCATGTTGATCTGGTGACAACTGCGATATCATTCACGGGTGACCAGTAAATTGGCTTCATTTGAAGGGCAGGTAGGTCCACCAAGTGTAATCTGGATAGGCCAACGGTAACTTGCGCTATTTTGGGCTCTTTTGTTTCGGAATTGCTTGCGAGTGAGTGCTTGAAGTCCCGTATTGGCTGCGCAGTTTCTTGTTGGCCATCGGTTTGAGTTTGAGGCCAATCCTGCGCCTGCCGGCTTCGTGCACCGTCGGCTGAGCGCACACCGTGAACTTTTGGAGATCCCGCAGAGTCGGAGTCAGACTCTGGATCATCGACTCTAGCAAAGGGTTTCCCCGTGATTCCGTCGTGCGGTACTGAGTTCCTCGGGGCATCATTCGTCCTATTTAGACGGTCGGATAACTGAGAATCTGATCGCATGCGATATTCGGGCTCTACTCCCGACCAGGACAACCGGTTGTACTGGCTAATTCCAGTACTATTTATGGTGTCGACACGAATCTGCTTTGGGGCTGAAGGCTGTGAGGATGCGCCGGTACTGACGACTCCGGGATGCTTATGACTGGTTTCTTTTTGCCAAGGACGTGCAGAGGACCATCCTTCGTCGTCCCGATTTAATTGCCGACGGAGCACAAGAGCCGATATGTCTTTCGCAATAGCCTCCGGACATAGTGTCGGGTCAACAGCTCTCGCAAGCGAACATGTTGTTTTCTGAAGTTGGTGGTCTATCTCTTCTAGCAGTTCAATGCAGCATAGCCCGTCTTGTGACTCTTGGGTCTCAAATGTGCTGTGTGTAACGCGAGTTGAAGCATCTTGCTCGCGACGAGCTCCCCTGTGGACTTTCGCGTGCTTCTGGGCTACTCTCTGCACGAGTTCCTCGCGTGACTCTGCCTCGTATTCGACCGGTCGCCCATTGTTCGGTAGTTCAGCGCGCAGGGTCTCGTGTCGACTACGGCGTTCAGCGGTAGATAGTGATAGCCATGCCGTTTCCAGCGCATTGTTATCTCCTCGGCCGAAAGGTCGCAGTAACTCCTTGTATTTTCTAAGGTCCGTGGTTGCTGTGTGCGCGCTCGCGGAGAGTGGATCGTCTATCGGTATCGACGAGGAGTAGAAGAATTGCGCCTTTATCGGCGGCATCCCTCCAGTCCTCTCGGGGAGGTTGACGGGGGTCTGCCGACATGTAGCATCGAAGGTGTGCTCCACGAGCACCATTGCGTCGATCGTCGATATTGGTCAGCTATTAAGGAGCTGACGGCTGCGTCGATGCTGCCATGTGAGGAGTTAATGGCAGCTATCGGTTGCATGTAGTTGGAAGGTATTGTTGTGGCCAGTCTAGGCAGACATAAATCGAGCCCTCATGCACCTGGTGTCCGACATAATCAGGGCTGAGTTGACGTGGTTGGTGCAGCTCCTTGCGAGGTACGGACGTATGTACATACGTACTAGCCTACCTCCATGGGTACTTAGCAGTAGGTACATAGTACATAGTAGGCCAGTGGTGAGACCAAGGCTCTGAAGTGGTTGGGCCGGCCGCTACCCTGCACGAAAGAACTTCGGACAGCACGACGGCGAATATGGCGAAAGTGTTATGAACGATACGACGGAATAAGATGTATACGTCTTGGACCAGGGGGATGACTCAGGCGTGACGCCTGATAGAAACCTCGCTACACAGTATATGGATCAGAGAAGAAGCACCACTGACCGACCAGCTTATGAATATCTACAAAGACGAAGATGGATGCTCAAAGAGATCCGGTAGCTGCTCGAAGAGAGTTGGTAGCAAGGCGATATACCTCTTCACGTTCTCTAATGAGTCGGGTCAATGATGACGAATAACACACGAAAAGTTTAAACTACATACAGCTTGTGCAAGGAACACGAAAAACATGTCCTCGAACGGCCGGCAACAAGACTGCTTGAAAAGCCAATTCGAACAACTGAAATGGTATTCACACGGGTTTAATAAGTAAGATAGACAGGATAAAACAATCAACATAACCAATATAGCCGATACAGCCCCGTTGAGAGACAAACAGGGTGCGGGAAGCATTACGCCATCCCTTTCGCCAATGTCCAGAAACTCTCCAGTTTAGCTCGAGACAAAGCATCACGGGCCTCTGCATCTGTTTCGCATACCTTACTACCCCATTTGCGGAAACCGCGGGCTTTCTGTTCACCTTCAAATACCAGCGTACATCGATTGAGCGACATATCTTTCAGTTCACCCTTTGCATCTTCTGCCAGGAGCCACTCTCGCGTGGCATTTTTCCCATCCCTGTCTCGAGATGGCGCATTGTCAGTCCAATCAATCCGATTGAGCATGAGTTTCTTGTACTTGTTGATCGCCCAAGAGCCGCCCTCGACGACCAACAGGTTGAATTTCGGGTGCATAATGCAGATTCCAGTCAGAGAAAGCTGCTCTGCGTTGACACCGATCTTGTAGCGGTGCTGCCCGTTTGCCAGGCTATTTATCTTCAAGACTAGCACATAAATGCCCCTTTCGGCATCCTTCTGCTGATTCGCGGCCAACTTCTCGTGTTTTTGGTCTTTTGTTAATTGTCGTTCTTCGTTGGTGTCGACATGCTTCTGATGGCGCTCAGCGATTTCTCGATTTACGCGAGCTTCTACTGCGGTAGGATCTTTCACGGCCACTGGTGCATAGTTAGTAATTGAATATCAACTAGCTTTAAACTCGCAAACATACCATCCCCAAGAACGCGCATGAGGTTACCCTTTTTCACTTTAGGGGGGGGTGCCGGCACTAGACCTAGCCTGATCTTCGCCTGCATCTCCTTCCCTTCCGCCATTCGCCGTTGCCGTCTTATTTTGGCTTGCTCCTTGGATGTGAGATACATGGGCTTCGGTGCGGGTGCCAAGCGATCTTGCGGCGGCTCGAGCGCAATCGGGTGCTGGATATATTCCGTGACGATACTGTCCGGTGAAACGAGTTTTAATTTGTCGGCGTGCTCGATTGCATCGTAGGAGTCCCCGTCTATGAGCCCTTCATCCCACCACTCTACAAGAGGCGGCTCTTCAACGAGGAACTTCTTCTCGGTATCCAGATCCTCATCCATGCCGGTCTTTCTTGTCTGCTCCGCGATGCGCTTCTTCATCGCCTCAAGCGCCTCTTGTCGCCTGAGGGCGTTGGCCTGTTGAATGTATTTGCCCTTTTGGTTGAATACTAGGCGCCTAGGTTCACGATTTCGAGAGCTGGAGGGCTGAGCGACCGCAGATTCGTCAATGTACGGATTCCGCTGACCGTCACTGAACTCCGCTTTGCTTTTGAGTGTAGACGCAGTCGGTCCCTTAGAGCCGTAAGGCATGTTCCTTGCCGTGTTTGTTGAGTTCTGTCCCTTGTTTTGAGGCTTCCATGATGCCAGGTCTTCAAGAGCCGGATGGAGACCAACGTTTAAACCACCTTTCGCCTTGCTAGTCGCGGTCGCAGCCGCAACTCGAGCTTTAAGCGCAGCCAAACGGTCGGCGGCTGACTCCGTTTTATGTATTCTGGAAGAAGAATCATTGTGCGGGCCGAGGCCTGGTGACTTCGACTGGCTCTCCATGATTTGCGCCCCGTGTCTTTCTTGCCTCGTCAGTTTGATAGTTGAGTTTGTATTTGTCGCTTTCGATGTAAGATCGGTTGTGATTATATCGGTCGCATGCGCATCTTGATTTCGTTTGCTAACGGTAACAGGATTAATTGTGCAGAAATAAGTGTGCGGTGATAGAACAAAGGTACTCAAATGAGATGTTCTACGTCGCCAGAATTTTGAGGCGCGAAGAGCATGGCTGTCTAGTGGGTCAGGTACGCTCCACTGCAAAAGGCTGCAACTCTAGCACGAAAAGCTTCGTCCTCAATCGGGCTTTAACTGCAGAACTGAAAGGGTTCGAGCTGATAGGGGCAGGGCAGGGGCTCTGTGTGCTCTCCGTTCTTTGGGATGACATGGTTCTTTTTAGTCTTGCTTGCGTGAACAGCAGGACAGTAGGACAGTGTTGGGATAGCTATTGCTTCAGCTTCGGCCTATGACGCTGAAGGCTCAGGAATTCGGGCTGTGATGCTATAAGCAATTTGCAAGTTCCTTTGCCTACCTATTGCTGCCGCCGACATTTCATATCAGGCTCTTCAACCATGAGCCAGCAAATGCGGTTCCCGAGGCACTCGAAGCGACCTGACAGTGCAAATGTTACCCCGCAGTGCGATGTAGCTAAAAGGACCACAAGCTATCCCTTACTAAATGCCGAGGAGCCGGTTGGCATAGGGCGCAAGCAACTAGGAATATCCATCAACTGCAGTATCTGATTTATGCACACTGGACTTGTTTTTTGCAGTGATGGCGTCTCCGAAAATTACCATCTATCTTGATGCTGTGAGCCCGTTCGCTTATATGGCTTATCACCTCCTGCGGGTATGTGCACCACCGCCGTATCCGCCGTATCCGCGGTGTCCGCATCGTTACTTGTATCGCCTCTGCTTACACTGTCGCTAGCATGATACTGCCTTCGCGAAATGCGAAGTGAAGTACGTGCCAATACTTCTCGGAGGTCTGATGAATCTATGCAACAATGCTGCTCCGATCTCGATCACAAGTGCGTAACGAGTTCTGCGGTGTAGGCAACGCAGGTTTATACCTATCTATGGGTAGGCTATTAACACGCACGGCGGTAGACAAGAAGGACTGGATCAACCAGAATCGACAGTTATGGGCGCGCACGTTTAATATCCCGATCAAGGACGATTTCCCACCAAATTTCCCACCAAGAACACTTTCCGTAATGAGGCACCTCGTCGCGATCCAGGAACTGGACGGCAGCAACCAGGCTCGGTTGCTCAAGGCTTTTGATGTAATCTACGAGGGCTTCTGGAAGAGACACGAGGAAACCTACAGCCCGAACGTTTTTATGCCGATTTTGCGTCACGTGTTGGGGACAAGTGATGCCGCAACCGTGGCTGAGATGGCTGGGAAGGAAGCCAAATCAGCTCTGCTCCGGAACACAGAGAACGCATTCCAGGACGGCGCCTTTGGCATTCCTTGGATGGTCTGCACAAACAGCCAAGGCCAAAAGCAATCCTTCTGGGGAGTTGACCATTTATGCCAGGTCGCAAACTTTCTCGGACTACCGCAGCCAGCTACGCCAGGCTGGAAGGCTGCGTTGTAACGACAGTCAGTTTCTCAGAGACAACTTGTATCGCTGGTGGATTGCGAGGATACTAGCAACCTATGTTTATTCGCTACTTGTAGTAAAAAAAAAAATCAATACTTGGTTTGAGACGTCTGTCATAACGTCCGGAGTGAGTGCTGGTGGATTTGTTTTTTGCACAAACTCGCAGGTTAACTCATGGGTTCCCACAACGTCGCCGTACACACTGGTTCTGATCGCGACGCGATTGTTTGGCCACGCGTCAGGGCGTGTAGCGCGCAAACGGCGCTGCTCTGGCTCTACGCGGACTGCGTATGTGCTACTCGTCACCGGTGCGCATATTGCTTGTGGTCATTTGAGGCAAAGTCCATTGAAGTCCCGCAGCTTTCACCGGCTGCCCGTGGCTTAATATACATCCCAACGGTAAAAAGCAAGTTCTCATAGTAACGCCATGATTAACCCCCTAAAATCCATGATTCCCATCGTATCAAAGCAATGTCGTAATCTGTTCACCCATGACCCCTTCCTTAGTTGCGCTCACCGCGGAGGCGACGGGCAAGCTGAATGTCCTTGGGCTGGATGGTGACACGCTTGGCGTGGATGGCACACAGGTTGGTGTCCTCAAAGAGAGAGACGAGGTAGGACTCGACGGACTCCTGGAGGGCGCCGATGGCGGAAGACTGGAAGCGGAGGTCGCTCTTAAAGTCCTGGGCGATTTCACGGACCTGGTGGCTGTTAGTGTTTGACGATGTTGTCTGTCCTGGTTGTGTGTGCTTACCAGGCGCTGGAAGGGGAGCTTGCGGATCAGGAGCTCGGTGGACTTCTGGTAGCGACGAATCTCACGGAGAGCGACGGTACCAGGCTTATAGCGGTGAGGCTTCTTGACGCCACCGGTGGAGGGGGCGCTCTTGCGGGCAGCCTTGGAGGCAAGCTGTTTGCGAGGAGCCTTGCCACCAGTGGACTTGCGGGCGGTCTGCTTGGTGCGAGCCATTGTAGATGATGTTGAGAGATGAGGAAGTTTGTGGGGTGTTGCTCAACAAGTGGGTGTCTGATGCAGGAGGGAAAAGCCGGGAACCTTGGAGGCGGGGGGAGCCTTTTAATACCTGTGGCTAGCTGGCCACAACTGGGGCGGCTGATCTGAGGCAACGCGGTGTGGGGACCGTGCGCGACTGATCGAATTAATTGGGTGCTTGAAAAATGCTATTCCTGCGTGCCAAAAAAAACAGGGAGCCATTAAAAAATAGGTGGGTAATAAGGCGCTGCTATTGAGAAAAGAGTGACAACGCTTTCCTAGTTAGGCAAGGCCTGGTAGTCATTCAAAACATGCGTCACGGCTATTTGCTGCAATATTGTTGGGGAGTCACGAAGAGTTGCCCAATATTCCAATAGTAAATGGATGTCGAGTCATACATGTCAGACTTCGCCGCTGCAATGGATCGTGCTTGTTATGGCTGCCCTATGTGCCTCTGCCTGGTTTATGCTTTTGGCCGTCCGTAGGTAAACACCGGGCGCCTACCTGGCTCATACATAGCGCGTCATTGGTTCTTTGGCTGGGGTGCATGCCCACACCCTTGGTGTTAGGCAACTACCGCCCATACATTTTCTCTTGGTACTACTGGTTAATGTGCTAGTTAGCTGGCTCTAACTCTGCCGCATGCTGTTAGGATAGTACGTTGCTTGATGCTTCAGCCTTAGTGGTGGCACTGCCAGGAGTCTACCCCAATTACTTTGCTTTGCTGGCTTCGGCGTCACCTACCCTGCAGTTCACTACATTATGTCAGTTTCTGCTGCTTCTGGCACAAAACCTGTAATGTCAATGGTATACTGTAGAGAGAGTTGCGTAGTTACTGTATACCATCCTCGTGTGCCAGTTGATATATCTGGGTGAACTTTGACAAGTAGCAAGCCTTGAGTGATGAGAGGTTGTGTCGACATGGTGGTATCGACATTGCCGTGTGCCGTGGAGGTTCGGAGACAAGGGCCGCTGCATGGAATAGGTAGAAGGTAGATGCGGGCAATACTAAGAGATAACTGCATACTACGATGGCAACTACGTTCGGCCACATAGGTGTAACCTGAATGGCGGACAGCCCAGCAACATCGATCATGGAGTCAAGAAAGCGAGATCGATCAAACTGGCGCCCGTTGAGCCGCTGGACCTCGCCTAGGCGAAACAAGTAAGCAAGTCCTCAGACCACCCCAAAGGCAGGCTATTGGTAGAGGTCCAATCAAATAAATGCAAAAATAGGTACGGACCCACCGTGGCTCATTTTCTAATGCCGCATTTTTCTTGTTGTTTATTTTACGACAGCTGATGCGGCGTTTGCCCCTGTGTCGACGCGTTTTATCGTCTTAAAGTAGCTAGTCAGAGTTCTGCACCACAACTGATCTGTGATCTGGCCCACCTGTACTTAAGCTGCCTGGCTGCCACCGTTCTGCCTCTCTCACGTTTCTTATCAACCGCCGACTTAGCGCAATTTATCCTCCCATCTCACATACACATTTCCATACACACCACCTATCACAATGACTGGACGTGAGTTTTGACCCCCCCCCCCCCCCCCCTCGCCGAGTGCATGGTCATAAACACTTATCTAACATAAACAATCACAGGCGGCAAGGGCGGCAAGGGTCTTGGAAAGGGCGGCGCCAAGCGTCACCGCAAGATTCTCCGTGACAACATCCAGGGCATCACCAAGCCCGCAATCAGACGCCTCGCCCGCCGTGGCGGTGTCAAGCGTATCTCCGCCATGATATACGAGGAAACTCGCAATGTCCTCAAGACGTTCCTCGAGGGCGTCATCCGCGATGCCGTCACATACACTGAGCACGCCAAGCGCAAGACCGTCACTTCCCTCGACGTCGTGTACGCACTCAAGCGCCAAGGTCGCACTCTATACGGCTTCGGTGGTTAAGCGTGATGTTGTCATTTTCATTGCAAATTCTGGTCCATGTGCGGCGTATCGCATACGGGGTGTTTCATGATTACGGAATTGGTTCATGTTTTTGGGTGTTCTGTACCATAGGGGAAACGGTGGGTTACATTTCAGGGTAATAGGAAACAAGCCCGAGAGGCAATTTTGATCTACACGAGTCGCATCGTAAACGCGTCCAGTCCCCGTAATTGTCAACAACGCCCGGGAAGTGCGGGCTTGGACATCCCGCAAGGGCATACACTCCCGCAAATGAGCAAAGAAGCATAGGCAAGGCGCGCTCAGTGGTGGGTAGACAGCCCAGAAAGGTCAGCTGCAATCACGTCGGCGCTACAGACTACTCCGTACGTACGTCAGCTTCCTGGCAAGCGAGGCTGACGGAAAGCAGACAAGAACAGTCACAGGTCGTCAGCAGCTCCGTGTATCCCCAAAAGGATACAGCAGCCTGTAAAGGAAGCGGCATCCAGGGCTTCCAGAAAGCCTCACGATATCGGCACTAAAACTTGCGGAATTAACAACCGCCCAGGCGGCGTGCCGCGAGTGCTCGGAGTAGCAAGGAAGAAGAGGTGGGGTCCTACATTTTGGGTATGAGGGGCGCCGAGGTAGGCCATGATCCGCGTCAAGCCGCTGGTGCGGATAGGAAGAGGAAGATATTAACCCAGAGTACCTGATTGTGGCAGAGGAAAACAGCGTCAAGGCCGCCCGAGGACATGAAGCGTACGCCGTCCGAATTTTCAACCTGCATGACCAAGGGTACCCAAATGCAGCGTCAACGGAGTAGGCACTGGATAGCTGTGGCTGAGCACAGCACTGCAGGGCCTTTTATTGGCCGCTGACGCTCCGTCCGAAACACGGCGATTGCAGGGCCCGGCAAAACCGAGATCTGCTGCTTTCTGGAACTGACCACGTTACTCCAGCACAAAGACGGAAAAAAAATTTACGCATCATGCAGAATTACGACAGCATTAGCAGATGATTAGACAAGGCTTCCATAGGCCTAGATGCATCCCGAATCTACAGCCAGGACGTGCAAAATTGCGACCTTTTAACACGTTACGCGACAGTAGCAACACGCGAAGGTTATTTAGTACCTGAGGTAAGGTACTCAGATGGCAGGGCTGGAGTTTGCGTAGGAGGCACAGGAGGCCTACGTCCGCGTCCAACCATCATAATTCCATACTTAGTCACATGAAAGTGTCATGTGACCTTGGTTTGTCATACTAGCTGAGGGTGTGGCTTAGATATCTTGGCATCGATGTAACCTTGGAACTTTCCAGCCATTGTGGCTGATAAATTTTTTCCATAAGGCCTGCTCGGCTGGATTTGGCACTAGTGACATGCCCAGATACTTGCCGACCAAGTTACAAGCTACGTACTCTGCAGAGGCCCGAGGGAGGAGCTGGAGACGAGTGTCACTGGTTTCTGGATTTCCTGCGCAAGCTGGTGAATTTACATGGGCTCTAATTGCTGACAAAAGTAACTGGTGTCCGTGTAAAATGCCGGAGTCTGTCGTAGTAAGTCACAACTGGGCATATGTACGTAGCCACCGAAAATTTGGCGAAGGTGCTAGAAGCGACTAGCTATAATCCCCGGAGATGCAGCTCAGCGCATGCTCTGAATATTAATAAACTAGTTCCCGGTGTTAGGACTTTTGCAAACCGGCATGGTCGGTATTGTTCTGTGCCGGGAACGACGAAAAGTACGTCGGCCGCACCCTTTCGGGCGAACTCGATCTCATCGACGGGCTTCGCTCAATACACATCAGCGCAACCTGGATCACACACCCCCTACTTACCTACGTATGCTATTACAATTTCTATAAAAGAGTCATCTGCTACGAATTTGCCACCCACGCCCCTGCCCTTAAACTTCCATCTACAACACCATGACATCGCCCTCAACAACTACAGATCGCATCTCAGACTCGCAAAGGAGCGTACCATACCTCAACCTTTCCCAACAGTACCTCGCCGCCTTGCAAGCAGAACCAACCTCACTGGCTCAAGACCTCGATTACGACAGTTGGGCCTCGATAGACTTCTCACCCGAAGCGCTCGATTCTGCACTCCGCGACTCCCACAACTATTCGCATATGCAATCCGACTCAACAGGCGCGATTCCCCAGTTCACGCCCAACCTGGGCCGGCGTTCACACCAGAGAGAATCCTCGCTGTCGTCTCTTGGCTCAGTTGGACCGGCATCGCCTTTTACACAGACTATTTCCAATCCGCGAATCGCCATTAGTGATTCGGCGACGGAGCTATTCTGCGAAATGTACAATAACGATACAAATCTTCACAACTCGGCAGCCTATCATCAGTTCGCCAAGCCCATGGATACCTTCTCTGGATACCAGCACTTTGACGCTGCCAGTCCAGACATGGCCTATCCTGCGGCGCTGCCAGGGCACATGAACCGTCCTCGGTTTGATCGCTCACTGCTGCCAGCCCCCGAATTGAACCATGTCCTTGGTCGCTCTCACCCAGCTTCTGTGACTAGTTCTATTGCTGGAGACTCGCCATCAACGCCTGGCATGGGCGACATTGACCACGCTGATCGCAGAAGAGGTATGCGCGTTACAGACCTCCCCATATCTGATCATAACTCACAATTTTGGTATGCAGCGGCGTACGGAAACATCCCCAAGCTTGACCGCACCATGACGGACGTGTATGGTGACGAGCTTTACAATCCGGGCTTCGCCATCACGTCATCATCGCCTGCGCATCCTGTGAATGCCAGTACGACGAACAACCAAGTTTTCAGCCAACGTCTGAACGCCGCGAATAGCCACCACCTCAATGCCGCTTACTCGCCGGCTTCCACGGCGTCCCGCGGCCTCTCACCATTTCAAGCCACCTCGCCGTATGCTCCGCCCCAATTGCAGGAACTAGGCACGCCACTTGGAAACGCGCAAAACATGGGGCACGGCGGCAATCCAGGTCTTATGGGCACGCAAACAGGCAGCGGTATCGAGCCCGAGACTCCAAAAACCATTTCGCCTCAGGACGCAATGATAGAGTTCACTGCTGTTGACGGTGAACCCAGCTTCTCCCTGTTCCCAGAGAGCTCAAACAGCTTCGACTTCGACGCCTATGGCAAAACTATGACACAAGATGCTGACGCCAGTCATGTCCAGCTTCCATCAGCGCTGGAGACGCATGGCAGCCAAAGGCACTACACCGATATTCCAGTCGAGACCAGGATACCTCAACAGTATCCTTTCGTTTCGCGCGCGCAGGAAATCAAGGAAATTACGCCACCTCCAAGACTGGGATCATCTGGTAGCAGCACCTCCGATGCGAAGACGGCTGCGAGCGACCACCGACCATCTCGGGTTGGGGCAGACAGCGGAACGTACACATGCACGTATCATGGTTGTACTCTACGATTCGACACGCCTGTCCAGCTTCAGAAGCACAAACGCGAGGGACACCGTCAGTCGCAGAATGTTGGCGGCTTGAGACCACAAGAAAACAGCATGGCGGCCCCTGTGCTGAACACTCAAGCCGGCCCGCACCGCTGCGATCGCATTAACCCCAGCACTGGCAAGCCGTGTAGTACCATTTTCTCCCGACCATACGATTTGACGCGCCACGAAGATACCATCCACAACGAGCGGAAACACAAAGTCCAGTGCGATCTTTGCACGGTTGAAAAGACATTCAGCCGAGCTGACGCACTCACCAGACATTACCGTGTGTGTCATCCTGAGGCAGAGCTTCCTGGAAAGCATCGCAGACGAATGGTCTGATGACGATGATGGCACGCAGCCTGGCTGGTTGGTTCCTTTGGGTCACCCGTTCCCTGATGAGCGGATGCGGAGGGGGAGGGGGCGTGTGTGTCACTCTGAACCCTTTGTCTTGCTGTGGGGCTCACCTGCACACGGTCTGGGCCATCGAGCCAACCAGTGCAAAGCTTATGGGGCTCCTGGCCCTGTCTGGCTGCAGGGTCCTTGCCGATCCAGACCGCTGACGTCACTCTTTCGTCAAGCCATTGGTGGGCTGACATCACCGCGGCGCAAGTCATTTTGCATTCGGCCACTTGAAATCAAGCCGTTGCGTCTGCGTTCTAGTACTGGCATCATCGTGCAGCCGCAGACTTTACAGCCCCTCTCCCAGTCAGGATTTATCACATATTCGCATGCGACAAGCAAGGGAGGGAAACAAGCAGATCACACGGTTGACCCTGTTTTTTCGGTCTCGCCTTGCCAAATATCATGCATCAGCGACAGCAAAATTTTTAATTGTGTCATTACGAAACTGCCACTACTTTTTCTTCTTATCCGGTTCCTTTTACCTTTTTTTAATTGGATATAACATTCGGTATACGTTATAGTTGGGTCACCATTCAGCAGAGCTTTTGTACACCACCAAAAATGACCATTATGTCTTGTCTTTGTTTCAACTACCTGTTTTACGTCATACGCTGAGCGGAGTTCTACATTTTCCCTATGATGCACATTTGGGTACGGGTCGATTAAAACCTTTGAGTTTGGGCTATTGTTTTTCGGCGAGGCGCAGATAGAAATTGGGATACATTTTGAGATAATTTTTAGCTAGACACACCGAAAACATGAGATAATGAAATAGTCATGGCCGGTAATTCGAACAGCGAAATCTCATCGGCTCAGCTCCTTGTACATTCGTGATATGGCACTTTGTCTACTTTGCAGAATGAGGTGTCTAGGGAATAAGCTACGACTTCTCATCCCCCAGAACGAGGTGCCTAGCGTCGGTGTAGAGAGGGCAGATACCTGTCCAAAGTTGAAACTGATTCGTGGATTAGCAACTTCTCAGATATGTGAACGACACGGGACGAGTGGACTTACTTGGTACCACCCTTGAGACGCAAGAACTTCGAGTCCAGGAATGGTTGGCCAGCCAGCGCTTTCAGCAATCTTGACCGCTGGAGTCGCACGAGGCTTGTACGCCATGTCCAAGAGCACATGTTGTCTTGAGGCCGCGGTAGCAGCGTTAACGACGGCACTGATGACTTTCTCGGTCATAGGGTCGATGGGCTTGTCGCCCGGAATCGTGCTGACTACCACGTTGGGCGGCGTTGTAATTGCGGCGATGTCAGTGACTGCCTGCAAGTTGTAGTCGTCGGGAAAATCGGCAATCATGGTCGCGACATTTTCGGCGGTGCGACCGACCACGTAGATGCGGCTGAACCCAAGGGAATGCAAAGCAAACACTGCAGCCCTCGTAGTTCCTCCTGACCCGATCACCATGGCAGCGGAGTCGCTAGCGATATCCTGAAGTCCTCCGTTGCGGAGGGCATAGACAATTCCCTTCCAGTCTGTATTGTCTCCGAGGAGACACTGTGTGCCGTCATCTCGACTGCTCGACAGCGGTATGACCGTGTTGACTGCCCCGATTGTACGTGCCGCTTCCGTGAGTTCGTCCAGTTCGTCGATGACATCGAGCTTGAGAGGGATGGTTACTGACGCACCACCAAAACTAGGATCCCGCAGAGTAGCTTTCACATCCGCTATGTCGTCTGTTTCGAACAGGTGGTACTGGTGCGGGAGACCACATTGGCCAAACAAGCCGTTATGCAGTGCGGGCGATCGCGACTGAGAAATGGGCTGTCCAAAAAGATGGAAGTTGCGGGGTTCCAATTGTCCGACCAGTGTAAGAGCTTGTCGAATCTCCGCAGCACTCAGCTGGCCCGGGGCTGCCTTGAATGGCAATGCTGGATGTGACACAGGCGTTAAGAATCCGTTCAGGATGCGGCTTAGTTGGCCAGCCATTCCCATGTTAATAGCGATAACGGGCGGAGCTTCATCGGAGGCCGTTCTGGACTTGAATCGAAGCAGATCGAAATTGTCGTCAACGTTCTGCGCCACACCGACGAGCTTAATGATGTCGCCATATTGAAGAGCGCGATTGTAGTGTGCGATCCAGGAGGCGTTCTTCCATGACAGTGTACCGCGTGGATCGTGGTGGGAAGCAATCAATTTCGTATGACCTCGCGCAGAGCTGACGGATTCTAGTATTTCGTCTGGTGTCGTTATCTCCACATCGAGGTATTCTGAACCAAGTTGCAAACCAAGATGATAGAGCGCTAGCAGAGCTTCAGTTGCATCGTCAGGGAACGAGCCGCCTTGCGACACGGTGCGTACCGTGAAGATGATGGGCAGGTCAGTGTGCTGTCGGAGAATTGAGACCTGCTCTGTTACGAAATCCAGATCCTGACATCTCAGGAGGTCTACGCGCAACTCAACGGCATCTGAGCCAACAACAGCCATGGGCAGTATCTCGGTGGCGGTAGACAAGTCTGCGAGCGTTAGAGAAACAAAGAAACTCTGTTTCTTTTTGCGCAGATGCGGAAGCTGTGCGTCCTTGCCGCAAACGGTTGATATAAAGCGGGAAAAATCGGTCGGAATGATGCTTTTGCTCGTGGGCTCATTGGTGTGCATGCTGTAGTAGCGGAAGTTGCTGCATTGCTCGTACCAATGCTTGCGCCGGTTGTACACTTCTCTCATTTCTGAGGTATATGCAGGGCGTGTCTTGTCCCTCTCCAGGTACTGCATGACGTGATCAATGTTACGCTGGATCAGGATTACCTTGCCTCCGCTGTCAGTGTAGGCTTGGAGCATGTCTCTCGCATCAGGGGTCTCGACGACGCCACCACCGCACGAGAATACATAGCCCACTGGTTGTGTTTCGGCGACGTCTTTGAGTAACTGCAGCTCCTGATCGCGGAACCCATCCCAACCGTGCTCGTCGATTATCTGTGGAATTGACCGACCGGAGCGGCGCTCAAGCTCCTGGTCAAGGTCAATCGACTTCCAGCCAAGGCTCTTCGCAATCCAGTTACCGGCGGTAGTTTTACCAGCGCCGCGCATGCCGATGAGAAATATGGACCGTTCATCTTTGCCCGCAGCCACTGGTGTTTCCTCCTCCTCCGCTTTGCACTTGTCTGTGCCATCCAGGCGTACCTTGAATGACTGCGACATAGTATCCCACCAACCGGGCCAGGTTTTGCCGACGCAATCCTGCTGAGTGATGACAGCACCACCGGGTGTTGCAACAGACAAGACGCTCAGGCTCATGGCAATGCGGTGGTCATCATAGCAGAAAACGCCCTTGCCGGGTGATTTGAGATTGGCGGGGGCAATGCCAAAGATCTCAATGCCATCATCGAGTTCCACACATTGAACGCCAAATTTGGCGAGCTGTATTCGCATGGCGGCGATACGGTTGCACTCCTTGACTCGTTGATTTGCGATGCCTGTGATTTGTGTTTTGCCGCCGGCAACAGCAGCCAGGACTGAGGCGGTTAAGAACGCATCGGTCATAGGCTCCATGTCCACATGTTGTAGTGGTTTCAGAGCCCCAGACTTCGGTCCTGTGACGGTGGTGGATGTTGCAGTCTGCTTGACGGTGCAACCCATAGGACGGAGGACGTCAACGGCGAAACGTGCGTCTCCCTGGAGCGACGCTGAGCCGATGTTGGGGACTGTACAGGTGGTGCCCGTAATAGCCGCCATGGCCAAGGGGTACGTCGCCGAGCTTGCGTCGCCTTCAATTACGTACTCTGCGGGGTTTTTGTACGTTCCTTTTGGGATGTGGTACGTATGCGGTTCGGTTGTCGATGCCGTCACGCAAACGCCAAACGCCTCCATCATTGCGATTGTCAACTCGATGTACAATTGCGAGATGGGCTTGCCACCAACGAGCTTCAGAGTAACAGGGTTCTTCGCGTATGGGGCTGCCATAAGGATGGACGAAACGTATTGAGACGATATTGTGGCTGCGAGTTCGATGGTACCGCCCTCAAACCCCCCTGACGAGCCGATTCTCAAGGGCAAGCTCTTCTCTTGTTCCAGGTAGTCGATAGAGACGCCGTTCAGCCTTAGTGCATCGACGAGCGGACCAATGGGGCGCACTTTCATATGCGAGTTGCCTGTAAGAACAACAGACTTGGCGGTATCAGTGGGCGAGCACAGAGCAGCGATGGTGGTCAGGAAACGCGACGCAGTTCCGGCATTCCCAATGTAGAGCTCCTTGCTACTTGCGCTCAGCTTGCCGGCGTTGCCATTAACAACAAGAAGCTCACCCCCAGCCTCCCATGAGTACGAGGCACCGCGGAGCTTGGCAATGGCGGCAAGCATATAGCCGGTGTCATCGGAATGTAAAAGATTCCTGATTCTGCAGGATCCCGACCCGAGCGCGGCGAGGATAAGCGCTCTGTTGGAGATGCTCTTGGAGCCTGGCGGGCTCACAGTGATGTTGAGGTCGGCAGATACCGTGGGTGAGACAATAATAGCTGGCGACAGAATGGTTCTGATACTTTGGTCATCTACGACGCTGGCCTTTGGCTCGTACGTCTTGCCGATGGCTGAAAGGAGCACGATTTTCTTTTTCATGCCGTCATTCTTCTTGTCAACAGCCATTTTCTGAAGAATCACATCGACAGGACAGGGTCTGCCCGCCGTTAAGCGCTGGACGCGTTTATCTTGGAGCGAAACAGGCAAGCCGTAGGCTGCAATGCATTTGACCAGCCTAGCAACTGCTTCTGGGCGCAGCACACCGAGGTAGCGAGCCAGCTCCGCCTCCTTGACCATGCCAACAGCCACGGCCTCTCCATGAAGTAGCTGCGGTGTGAGGATGGCCTCAATTCCGTGACCGATGGAGTGGCCGAAGTTGAGGAGATTGCGCAGGCCACCCTCGCGTTCATCGCTGGAGACGACCTCGGCCTTGACGCCGGCGGAGCCGACCACGATGCGCTTCAGTGTGTCCTTGATTGGCGTCAGACGGTCTGCAGCCCGAGAGCGAACGCATTCTAGGATCTTGGAGGCAGATGTCTCCAAGAACTCAAATTCAGTCTCGTTCCAAATGGCGGCCGTTTTGACTACCTCGGCCATGCCGTTGATGAACTCGCGGACGGGCAAGGTTTCCAGGAACTGCAGATCAATGTAGATGCGGCGCGGCTGCCAGAAAGCGCCGACCAAGTTCTTGCCCATGGGGGTGTCAATGGCCGTCTTGCCGCCAATGGAGGAGTCGACCATGGCGAGCAGCGTAGTCGGGACCTGCACGAAGCGGACGCCGCGCATGAACGTGGCTGCAACATATCCTATCATGTCACCAATTACGCCGCCTCCGAGGGCGATAATGACAGTGTCGCGTGTGCATTGCTGCGAAAGCATCCAGTCTTCAACTTCTCCTTTTGTCTCTCTGTTCTTGGAAGCTTCGCCTGGCGGAATCGTGTACGTGACAAGGCGGGTGTTGTGGCCTTTGACGACGGAGTCGAAGCTCGCTCGAAATCGCGGCACATAGACGTCGTTCAGGTTCGTGTCGGTAATGAGGACGTAAGTGGACGAGGCGACATTCTTTAAGAGATCCTGCACGATGTAGTCTGCCCAGAGGCCATTGTCGACCACTATGCTAGGCTGACCTAGAATGGGGATAGTGACGGGAGACGCCGATGCCGATTCGGCCATTTTGCGCGGTTGTGATGCAAAAAGCCGGTTAGACAGCTGCCATACAGAGGTGTAGAGCCGGGAAGAATGTTTGTGCAAAGTGGTATCGGTGGTCGAGCAGACGGCGGCATCCAGCAACGTGACTAACCTTGTGCTGGGTGGCAGAAGTTCTGCCGGTATCGGTTAGGTTTCACGAGTGGAGACACAATATGGTCGACTCAGGGTTGCTGACCTGCAAAGGATGCCAAAATCACTGCATAGCTGGTATTTGATGATATTTTAACGAATAAGGTACGGACTTCTGTATTATCTTGTTCAAAATGAGATGCACAACTGTTTCTACACTTTGAATTCTGTTGCTGTTGTTGGGGGAGGTGGGAGGGAGCAGTTTGAGCCATCACAGTCTTAACAGCCAAAATCAGTCAGTGATGGAAAAAGTGAGGGTCGCGGTCCTCTTATTACACGGAGTATCGGCGCCTCTTCGAACGAGCCCTTGGAAAAAAAAAAGCATGCCACGCTTGCGAATTTTGCATCTTGACTCGGCATCTATGTACGTATATAACTGGGCCTGTAGGGACGGACCTAACGGTCCAACCACCCAACCACACCACAAGGTACCAGGTACTAGCACCGCCCGACCCAATCGAATGTTTAGTGGAGAACTCGACCAGGTTGCCCCTGGTCGCAGGAGCAGCAGGTACCTGCGATCTCTGGAGCAGAAGTACCTCCTCGAGCAGCACTGCTCTGCCACTAACACCACCTGCATCGAGCACGCGTCTCAAATCACAATGAGCTGTGACCACCCTTTGTCAGCAACTTTGCACACACACACATGGTAAGCAATACATACCTCAATCAACTTCTCCGTCAGTTCGAAGCAATCGGCCCGGTTCTCCTCTGCCACCCCCTGGAACGAGGCTTTCCACAAGCCCCGAAAGCCCATCTCCTCCAGCGCCTCCTCAAGTGACTCCATAGACCCTGTTGCACTTGCGTATTCCCTCTCCGAGGTCAGTGTCCGCACAAGTGTGTGTGCTGCCTCCAACGCCGCAGAATCCTGTCCGTGCCTGAGCACGTCGTTGAGGATGGTCGGCATCGCGCCGCAGCTGGTTGTCATTAGCATGCCAATGCAAGACAATAACGCGAGGCATAGATCACTCACAGGTACGCAAAGACGGTTCGTCTCGATAGCGCCAGTTCATTGAGCCACAGAAGCGTCCTCGCCTGTATGGCGTCTTCTAGATACTGGAAATCCACCAGCTCAATCGCGGATATAAGAAGCAAGTCTCGGTCCTCCATGACGTCAGCGTGGCGGCGCTGACTGCCCTCCGGCATGCCGCTGATCCCGTCCGGGTTGATGCCCGCCAGCCACATGTTATCGCGGAAGTTGTCCTGGTCGACGCACCGGGCAAGCATGAGAGCCAGATACGGCGAGTCGACCATCGTGTGCACAAGCTTTGCTGGCAGCTGCGACGCCGGCGCCGTCATTTCTAGGAACGACCAGAGCACCCGCACGGCGGCCAACCGGGTCGCATTGTCCGTCAGGCCACGGACCAAGCAGGCACATACAGCAAAGTGGAAGTTGTCCTCGTCGAAATGGATGCCGTAAGCCTCATCCAGCGGCTCCACGGCCTCGTCCAACTGGCTGCGACTGTGAAGCAGCATCGGAACCATTTTGTCACCGCGGACGCCGCCGATGTTGCCAATGTTGATCAACAACGCTTCCAGGAACTGCGCGGTGCAATTGAAGAGGCTGCCTGGCACGAGTCGGATGAGAGACATGGCCAGCCAGAACAGCTGCAGCCCGTACCGTGACGCGGACGGAAGGTTGGCCATCATCCGAGACAAACAGGTGATGATGGACGTGAGCATCTCGCTGTGACCATCCTCGCCGAACTGGCTCACACTGTTGCGCAGCGCGACCAGAACCTGGTAAAGCAGGTCATCGTCCACTTCCTCCTTGGCCAGGTAGCCCATGACGGCAAAGGCGCGCGGCTGCACCGCCGGGTTGTTTTGAAACGCGGTGCTCGCTACCAGACTCATCCAGCGCGACCGCCAGGCGTTGGCTGTGTCGACGGACGGCGCCGCCACGGTGCATATGTCGAACAGGATGGCGACGAGATTCTCCATGGCCGGCAGCGTAGACCCTTGGTCGCCAGGGAGTGAGACGGAGGCTGCGTCCCGTCTACCGGGAGACGGCGAGGAGAAGATGCCGCTGCGGCGCTCCGAGAGCACATCCAGCGATGCGCGTAGCTTGGTGAACTTGGACTCATCCAGGATAAATGACGTGCAGACGGCATGGACCGTGTTGGTGAGTAGCCTGTGCACCTGCACCCTCACGTTGGCGCTGCCCGTGTTCACCAGCATTGTGACGATGTGGAATATCTCTGGCAGGAAAAGCTGAGACTGCACACCGCTGCCGAAGGACAGCGAGGTGCACATTTGTAGCATGACGCAGATTTCAGGCCAGACTGCGTTATCAGGCAGGCTCTTGGTCGGCCGCAGTGAGGAGCGGTTCAGCGCCTTTCGTAGCCTTGACAGGAACCGCGCACGCAGTGTCACTGTTCCGATGTTGGCGATGGTAGATGCCATGGTTTCGATGAGTTCCTGCTGCGTGCCAAACCCGATGGCCATCTTCATCACTTCCTCGAGGAAGATGTCAAGCAGAACTTCATCCTGGCTCAGCGAGGGCCAGACAAATTGCTCCAGCGCATAGCTTAGCGACTGGTCGAGCGCGATGAGGTCAATGAACTTGCGAAAGATGGCAGCCACTTTTTCTTTACCTTTCTCGCCATCCACCTCGCCTGTTAGCACGTCTTTTCGAAGCCCAGATAGCCAGGGTGCCATGTAGGCGAGACCCAGTGGTTTCTGCTCTTCCGTAAAAGTGTCCCAGCTCTCCATAAACTCGGACAAGAAGTCACAGGTGAGCTGAGGCTCTGAAGCAGCAAGCTCCCGGCTGACATTCACAATGAAGCGTGTCGGGTCTATGGGAATCGAGAGATCTGGATTCGTGGTCAGCATGGTAAACAGGAGCCGCTTCGTTATCCAACCCCTGGACCCTACCTCGCGAGCAAACAAGCCGTGTGGTCGTGCGAAATTTAAAAGTGATACACAGCGCGCCAAGCAAGTTGTAAGAAGCTAACCGAAGCTGGTGGTCGAGGCTCGACAGGTTCATGAACGCGAGATTCAACAGCGTGCCAGGGACATCTTGAGGCCGCAGCAGCCGTTCCACCGGCTTGTGCATGCGATTGTCCTTGCTATTATTAGCCTTGGCGCTCCTGATGGCTTGGAGAATGGTCGCCTTCTGAGTGCTCGTGAAGCACATGACGATGCGTCCACCATCGGCCCGCAACCCGAAAGAAAACCCATCATCACTAGAAATCGCCGTTGCCGCTTCATCGATATCACTGAGACGGAAGATGTCGTTGATAGTCGTGCTAAGCCGCATGCTAGAGAATATTTCCTGGTGCTTGCTGGTCGTCACCTGCACATGATGGCTGCCCACTTTGATGATGACGTCTACCTTGCCCTTGGATTTAGACAAACGCGTGACATTGTTGTACATGAAGCGTACGTCGGAGATGATGGACGAGTGTTCTTTGGGAACCTGCAACGATTCAATCATGAAATGGGGTCGCATGTTCTGCATACCGTCAGGCAGCACATATTTGACGTTCTTCGGGTGGAAAGCACTCAAGTCATTCTTGGTCACGATCCGTAATAGTCGCCGGAAGCAGCGTCTAGAAAGCCAGTTAGCCCGGTTCAGACGCCGGCATCATGGCGCCACGTACTTGAAGGCGCTGTTCATGTTGTAGATGTAGATCCGAGTAAGACTCTGCAACACCTCGCAGGGCATCAGGAGATCGAGCATTTTAAAGAAGTCGTCTCTGGGGTCATTCTTGCCGCTATAACAAGTCGCATCGACGAGAATAGCGAAGGGCTCGTGCCATAGCCTGCTTGCAATCTGTCTCGTGTTAGTTTGATAACAATATGCGCAAGATTCAGCCGTTGACAAGACAAGACTTGACCTATCAACCTCACCTTTAGGAAGCAGTGCAGCAATGTCTCGTGGTCAATGCCCTCGGTCTCGCTATAGCGGAGGATGATGAGGATGGTTGATAGCCCATCCTAATAAGAGTCAGCGACATTACGCCGAACCTCCCGAAAACATCCACTCACCTGTGTCATGCCGCCATCATAGATAGTACGAGATGTTAAAAATGACTCTGTGCCGCGGAAGGCATTACGAAGCATGAAGTTCTGGAAGCGCGAATACAGCGTTGGTCCATTTAGGGAAATTTGCGGCCTATTCCAGGATATCGCAAGAGGAGGCGGGCCGAGATTTGTGATGAGGTTGCGTAGAGGCTCGAAAACAGGCGAGTGGCTGCGTGGTGAGCTGTCTTGGAGGCGGAGATACTCGCGGCGCTCCCTGGAAACCAAGGTTTGGCGCAGGTGGTCCCAGTGGTCATAGAGAAAACGATGAAAGGATACACAGGAGCCAAAGTCGGTCGTCTCTTTAGAGACGGCGATGTCTAGCTTGGCTGGGGGCACCTGTTACAGTCGGGTCAGCATAGAGCAGGCAGCAAGGTGGTTGGTTGGTTGCTCACAGATATGGTGCGAAGGAAGCCAGTCACGACAGAGATGTTTACTACCAAGAACCGATTCAGGGGGAACATGTATGGCTCCTTGGTGCCAAAAAGAACATTATTGGCAAGGTTCTGGAGGACCTTGGCGATAAGCAACAGTCCTCGACGGAGTTCCTTGGATGGCGGCGTGTCGACGAGTCCCTCTGCTTCTGGTGCTACTATTGCAGGGCAAAAGAATCGCAGGAAAAGAAACGCCCCGACAGCCGTGTATTTGGCGTCCGGAAACCTGGGTGCAACAGCATCATGAATCTGTTGTACGCGTGAGCATGCTGAGGCAACGTACCCGACGCATTTCTGATCAACCTACAATACTGCAAATCTTGCGAAAGGAAGGTGGGATCCTCGGAGCCGAGGCGCAAATATCGTCCATGAACACCTTGGCGACGATTTGGAGCTGTGCAGCGTTCTTCTTCAGCTCTTCCGCGGAGGAGACCCTGGCTGGATCGAGCTCCAGGTCCAGTTCCTGCGAGGTCATCATGAGTCTATCGAGGATCTTGGACAGCGTGCCCTTCAGATAGTCAAACCCTCTCCATTTTGCATATATCGACAACATCTTGGTCGCAACACAACTTCTCCGCAGGATTTCGGTGGCGTGTTCTGCCGATGTTAGCAGCGATGCGACGTGCAGTACAGACCGGTGTATTACCTGTCTGTTCTATTTCTTCCTTGATCAGTGCTTCCAGCAGCTCAAATGTGCGGCCTCTCTGTTCAAAGACTATCAAGAGACACACGGTGAGCTCGTCAATCTCAGTGCTAGGGCAGATGGAGCTCATGGACACGGCCAGCGATAGATCTTTCGTGAGAAGCTATACCCCGATTAGCGGTGAGTTAATTGTATGGCCGGCGAGCACGATCGGGAGGCATACCCCGAGAAGCTCCTCATATCTCTCGCTAACGGCAGAGTCGGACAGATTGCTGAATTCTGTTCCCTGCGTCAGGATGTTGTACAACACTTTGACGAATACAGTCCGGACTTCGACAGTTTCATGATATCCATGAGAGAGAGAGTGCTTCAATCCGACGTCGATATTCGCACTGAGGAGGTTTGACAAGATGGTAATTGCCATCTCGGAACTAGAGAGGCCGTCCGTGGGCTCAGAGGCGGCATCTACCCCCCCAGTACTAATGAGATCCAAGAAGCGTTTAAAGTAGCGCTGAAAAAGCTCCGATTTCTTCGCGCTCATGCCAGCATCTGAATGTATGTCCTGTGTCTGCAACGGTAGTCTAAAGGTTAGCTCTGACAGTGCTTTGAGGCATGCTCTGGTGAGTTCTTTTTGCATCCGTTCAAGTTCCTCCAGTCTGGACGTTCCTCGGCTGGCCTCCAGAACAGGCCCGGGCGGACGGATCCATGCAATCATGTATTCCAGCAGCTGGCTGCGTATCAGGACGTCATCTCGGAGATTCAGATGCTCTCTTCTATGCATCACTGCTTCGGACAGTTGGCAAATGCGCGTTTTGATGCGTAGCGATGTCGCCGTTTCGGGATACTCGGCAATGAACTTGGCGAAGCTCAGAGTGAGTGAGCCTAGATGTACAGCTGACGCGGCTGCGAGCTCTTGAGGACTATGAAGCCGCTCTACCATGTCCTTCAAGAGGGAGACAGCTTGCTCGGCAAAGATGATATCACTATCCTGTGCGCGCTCAGCGTGCGGAGCAAAGGCATCAGTGAAAAAAGCCTCTGTCTCAGACTCCAGAGACTTGAGTAGAGGCTGAAATAAGCAGGAGGGTACCTCATGAGTGAATATGTCTCTCATGGTCTCTCGCACTTTGACGTTTGCACAGCCCATGAGCTGAATACCCAGGCGAAGATATCGCGCCAGAAGAGTCTCCTGGTCCTCGCCAGCGGGATAACGATCGATCCAGCGTAATGCGTTCAATGCGGGCTCTTCCAGGGCGAGAGCCTGCTGTGCTGTGCAGATTCCACCCATGGATGCAAGGAAGCCGCCCAGATCTCGCCACTGCGAAAGTGTCATGGCCTCTGTAGCATCTGCTGACGTTACTGACACTTTTCTGCCCAGGTGTATCCATGTATCAAATGCCGACTCCCATGCATGGATGATGCCCGCCGTCGGATACTGTATCCGGCGAAGAAGACTTCTTGTCCTTTTCTGGAAGGCCACGAGCCCAGTCACCCGGAAAGTGGGAGAGGATATCTCCTGAAACGTATCGGCATTGCGCATGAAAGCTACGCGGGAGCTCATGGAGTCGGACTCGGAATGGCTAGCAACCCATCGACACTCTTCCACAAAGATGCTGAGGCAAGACGCGGCAACCTCGCAGTCCTCGATGCCCGGAAGGCACAAGGATACCAAAAGAGCAGTTTCCAACTTTGATGTACAGGCGGCAATCAAGTTCAAGATGCCACCAGGCATATGCGAAAGCCCCTGTGACAACGTTAGCAGCGGTGAGGATGCAAGCAGGATCAGGTCGGCATACCGGGAGCTCCCTGAGAAGAGCAAAGCGATCTCTCAGATAACTATGAATCTCCGAAAGCGCAGAGTGGTCGTTTTCATCGACAAGACGCTCGCCAAGCTTGAGCAAATTACCCGAGCTGCTCACATTGCGTCAGCATTGTACTAACAAGGGCATTGCCGGGGCAGTACCTTCGATTCCAAACGACCCTTCTTATCTTCAGCATGTCAGGTTCTTCTCTGCTCTCGAATTCATTGAGGAGGATCGGGAGATCAGCTTGTAGTCTTTCCATGACCTCGGCAGCCTGTTGGCGGATAGCAGGCTCGGCGGAGACGGCGCAAAGCAGGAGTGATTTGAAGAATACGGAATCCGATGTAGGTCCTGAGAACTCTCCAATAATCGGGGACTGATCTATGCTGAGAAATTTCAGAATACTGCAGATCATGTTTGTCTTGCCCCTTTCCCGGTCACGGTGCTTCTCATCGTGATGAAGCTGCTCTTCGGTCTGCAGATTAATCAGCACGCCTGTCCGACAGATGTGTATGAGACTCACCGTACCTCTAGCTGTATTCTCATCAAGGGTATAGATTTCTCAAAGAGATCCTTATACTTCTCGGGCTCAGGAAGCTGGGCAAAATAGCAGCAGGCCTGGATCATGGCAAGTTTGGACCCATCTGGAGCAGAAGACGCTACACAGTCACCATAAAGGTTGTCCACGCAGCCGTCTAGATTTAGATGTGATAAGCTCACAAGTGCCGCAGTAATCATACTCTGGTCCCAGACTGGTAGAACGGACGCGGACGCGAGGGGCGGGCGAAATATCGCATCTCGCACTTCATCTTGCACGTCCATCGCATAGCTCACCAGTGCCGAATCGCTTTCGACGTCGAAATGCCGAGCAACTCGAAGAAGAGATACTAGACAATACCCTGCCTGTTCGTTTCCATTCCTGAGAGCCTTGCGTAAGCTATCGAGAAAGGAGACCTTCTTGATGACGCTGTGGCCTTTGGTCTCCCGCAGATTGCTAGCCACTTCAAAGACATCGGGCATCAAAAATAGTAGAGTCGTTTGAAGGGGATAGAGGTATAACCTCCGCCGCCCTGTTTCTGTGGCGGTTTGCGTCATGTCAAACAGGGTATCAGCACCACCATCCAACCTCTTGTGAAGGCGATGGAGCAACACGAACTCTGATGGGTATCTGTCTATCCATCGAGTAATCAGAAGAGGTATTGCTACCGCCACAGTATTCTGGTATGGCCCTCTGAAGTGAAGGTAGCTGGAACAGAGTTCCTGGATGAGAAGCCCCAGCTTCGTCCCGTCAACCCAGCAAAAGGACAGCAGTCTTAGAACAATCAAGGCACCACGTTCATGCTGTTGACTATTTTTCGCTGTATCGGCATGAGAGTCTCCGGTCGCAGAGCGAATAGCGTGAACGACGTTGCGAATGTAGCTAAAGGTCACCGCCCAGCTTGAGACCGTCATGTACTCCACGATTACTTTGACATGTCTGTCGATTTCAATGAGCTGTGAATCCAGGGATTCCAAACCATCCGTGAAACGGAGTGCCGCTCCGGTCGTCGATCCTCTACCAGGCCGTGGAATTGTGATGTTGGCCACGGATGTTTGGTCTAGGAGCGTTTGTGCGGGAAGCACGTAATCATCCGGTATGGGCTCAAGAACAGACTTGAATACTTCAAAGAGACGGATAACAAGTTCCTCACTCAGCTTTTCTGGCAACAGGCCTTCCTTCTTTCTGGCTGACCAGTTTGCAGAGCAGCATGCCGACACAAGACTCAAAACGTAAAGCTCGGACTGGAGAATATGGTTGGGGTGCGTTGAGATTTTGGCGAAAGGACGTGAGAGATCTTCTAGAAGATCAAGTAGCGAGTCAACCACAACTGCGGATGTTGTTTTGCTGAGCTTGATGAGGGTTGCTTGTGTTGTTTGCACAACTTCATCGTCGTCTGGCCGGGCACCGCTAGCTCCCACCCGATGAGGCAGCTTTTAGTTGGTTAATATGGTGCTATGGCGAATAATACAGGATGATGACTCGCCTTGGCAGCGATTCTATCGACTAGGTAGCCGACCAACCCTGCGTCACCGCTCATTGTATCATCACGATGGTGAAGTCGGCCAACTGGGTGAATTATGGTGTATCATTGCAGACATGGGGGGGCGATGGATTTAGGTGATGCAAGCAATATGGTGCGTAGGTCGGCGGTGGACATTACCCCGCTTGGGTGTTTGTATGTTGATTTTGCCAGTTCAATTCTATTATTTTGTGATTTTTGATTCTACATATATTCTTTCGTGGCTATCTATAGTTTTTTGCGTGGACATCCTTAAAAGCGATTAATCGGTGCTAAAACTTGTCTAATACTAAATTTTATATTCATTGTGCGCGGAGGCTAACATGCACTGCGGTGGCGTCCCTTTCTTTTTTTTTTTTTTTTTTTCCTCGCTCATGCTTTTACTAAAAGTAAGAACCGCCTACGACATGCACTCTACACGCTTGCAAACAATTCAATGCTCCTGAAAAAAAAAAGGTGTACCGCCTGCAGTTGGTGGGTGGTTTTTTTATTTATGTTTACTGGTCTTATCGAGCGGTAGGCTTTATTTTCTTTTTTTTCGTTCCAGATAATGGATAATGTGCTCCTGCCCCATTTCGGAGGTCAGGAAGTAAAGCCAAGCGCTCTAAAAGTTTCCCGTTTTATTATTAGTACTATCTTTATAAGCCACTTCCAAGTAGCATATTCTTTATGTGTCTCGAAAAGTCTATTTGAGTAAATAATAATATCACATTGTTTTATCTTTGTAGCTTTACACGCAGAATACTTTTAAAACTTTTGACTACTAAAACTTGAAGCGCGTATTTACACGAGAGACACAGCACAGGTTGGGGGGTATTTGCTATCCCCAAAGCCCAGTATTCGTAGGTGAGCTCTTTAGCGATAGATAATCCGCAACGATTCTATGTTGTATCGATTCATGGGGTTTGTGAGCAGCCCCCATCTTCCAGTGTGTTTTCATGCATCTCAGCCCATGTGTCGTTGCCGTCAAGTCGTTACCACATAATCTCAAGACATGTTTTCGCCGTGTCCATCCTGGGCATTGAGGGCAAGCATATCAGTCTTCCAGGCAAGAGTAGTGCATCCGTCGTTGAGCATATCTGCGGCTATTTCCGATTTTGCATTCAATATCAGGATATGGGGGCAGGAAATCACACCCATCGGCAATGCCTCTGTAGTCTGTCGGGTTCCGCTTTTGTGTTGTCGTTACCTCTCCTTGACCCGGTGCGGGACATGCTTTGCAAGGTATTCCTGCGCCGTGGTGGCGGCCTCTGCCCACATAACTAACCTTGCTCCAGTTTGGTTGGAATAAATATCATGTTTTCTTGAATGAGATTTTTCGCCTCCTTTCCCTGCCAGTACTCGAACTCGAGGGGCCGTCAGGATGTGCGTGTGGAAGGACAGATACGGCGTTCCTCTGCATGTTATGTCAAGCATATGTTGCGTGGTTCCGTCGTGGTTTTCCCCGTCGTGGTTTCCCGGTCTTGTTTTGTCCTTGTTCTTCGCGGGCTGTTACCGGCCTGCAGCTTATTAGGCGCACCTCGGTATCGTGGCCTCTCTATCTGTTTCCGCGGGGGGTGCAGCAAGCCTCGCGTGGGGGGCAGCGGTTCTCGCAACCGATTCCGCAAGCATAACAAAAGTATGGTGGTGGACTAGGTCGTGTTTCTGACCGCAGGCAGAACATATATGGAGTGGGCTAGCATTGAGAGTCTGTGTTCGTCACGTAGAGCATAGACCCCGATACAACGGTATTTCGTACTCGCGGCTGCATTGGCAAAATTGTATCGCGTAGTTGATGGGCGGCCGTTTACTTGTACTATGGGCTGCGTAAGTTGGAAAGCCATGGATGGTGTGTTGCTGTCTTTTTGGGCGGGGAATGCATCAGTGCAAACTGCACACAATTTTGAATGTGGTGATAACCCGCAGTGAATATGCCAGAATCGTGGACTCGGCTCGGGGCAGGCAATTACTATTATTAGTTAGTAGGCAGGCACAGGCACAGGCACAGGCAAAATTGGACATGTTCTTCGACCCCGCTGTTGTATGGGCTGATGCTGACAGACACCGGAGGGTTTCGCCGATGGCCATCCAAGCGGCGATACATTTGATAATTGATATTTCACCGCATAGGTACGTGAGCCCTTTAGATATGGTGAGCATCTCGGCGCTTCCCAATGTGGTGATTGCCAGTCTCTGTTACTGGTAGCTGCTAACAAAGACATGTATGCAACAATGGCCACCACACCTGTCAAAGTCAACCCAATCAACCATGTTCCAATTACGGGGATTAAGCCGAATGAATTAAGCTTACAACGCAGACAAAGACTGAATAACGGCCGTTAGTAAAACTGACATAACGGCATTGACGATAACTAAAGCGATTCCTTCGCACGCCAATAATAGTAGTAAATGAACAAAGTACCCCCGTGGCCTCCCCAGCTGCTGCTTCCTTTAGCGAGTTAGTGCACCCCAGCCCGCTTGACTCTAAGCAGGAGGAGTTCCAGCATGACCTTGAAGCACCTGGTGGTCAATCCACGAGGGTAATAACAATTGCTGCAGCTAGTCTCAAATCTGGCAATGCCAAAGGGGGGTCTCGGCCGTCACTATCGCGCCCCCTCCCTCCATCAATAGCCAGCGGGCGTTCGTTCACGGCCCCTGCGACCACCTCCGGTGGCGGTAGCCCGTCCCCAGCGGAGGATCAGCCCTTGCATCGCAGTCCAGAGATCGAGCCCTCCAGCAGGTGGGTATGTCTGAGAACCCCGCCGCCTTTCATGTCAATCTCCAAGACTTCCAATTTCCCCATATCCCCATGCAGTTCACTTCCCACACAAGTCTAGGTCAATACGGCGATCTGGGAGCCCGGCGGAGACGCGTTCAAGTACCCCCAACAGCCATTTCAGACGACTCGGCCATTCCTAATATTATTAACAGAAGCAAAGGGATGGAAAAGTGAAAAGAGATGCGCCAAGGCATGTGCCAGTAAATGCCGCCGGTTCAATGTGCTATCTGTCGGCTTACTCTCTTCTCGGAAGGTCGCAACTGTTGTGGGGTTGACTTTCTCGGGCCCTCTAAGTTCTCACGGCAAAGGCCCATGACCACGTCCCCAGCTGCACTACTACTGCCCTTCTCCGCGTCTGATTATTGATTGAGTCTTCGGCATTTTGTGCTCTAACTACCACCTCTGCCCCGGAGGCGCGCCTGCGGTGGCCGCCGGGCTGCCCGAATGGCACATATATCAATCAGCATCCCCCCGTTCTTCTTGCAGCGGCAGGTAGTCTTCCTATCATAGACTTGGCTGCCCGGATCACGGTGAACCCAAAATGCGGTGGTCCTTCGTCTCCCTCCTGTCTCTGCTGGTCCCTCTGCTGGAGGCCAGCCCGGTTGGCGATGTTCAAGCTTTTGCCCAAGCTTCTGCCCAAGCTTCTGCCACCGCCACGGCAACGACAGGACTACCCAGACTTGTTGTGTACTTCCAGACCACGCATGACCAGGCTGGCAACCCAATCTCCATGCTGCCACTCATCAACGAGAAGGGAATAGCATTGACTCACCTCATCGTCTGCTCTCTTCATATCAACAAAGACTCCGAGGTTCACCTCAATGACTACCCTCCTGGAGACCCCCACTTCTACACGCTGTGGAATGAGACGACACATATGAAGAAGGCTGGAGTGAAGGTGATGGGTATGATTGGAGGTGCTGCGCCTGGCTCCTTTGACTCGTCGACTCTCGACGGAGATGATGCGACCTTTGAAAAGTACTATGGCCAAGTTCACAACGTCATCACTCAGTTTGGTCTTGAGGGCATGGATCTGGATGTTGAACAGCCGATGAGCCAATCTGGCATCTCTAGACTCATCACCCGGCTGCGCAACGATTTTGGATCCGGTTTCATCATCACGCTCGCACCTGTCGCATCCGCACTGGAGAATGGCGGAAATCTCAGCGGGTTCGACTACAAATCTCTTGAATCCAGCAATGGCGGTGACATCGACTTCTATAACGGACAATTCTACAGCGGGTTCGGCACCATGTCACGCACCGATGACTACGTCAAAATTGTGTCCAACGGCTTTGCGGCGTCAAAAGTGCTTGCTGGACAGCTGACATCTCCTTCTAATGGCTATGGCTATATTCCCTACAGCCAGCTGAATGCTACCATCATCTCTCTGCGCAAGAAATATGGTCAAATTGGTGGCGTCATGGGTTGGGAGTACTTCAACAGCCAGCCTGGTGGCACTGATGAACCATGGAAATGGGCACAAATCATGACCGAGATTCTCCGTCCAAACTCGGTTGGCAACATAGCGATTACAATTGATGACGCTGACCACCTCACTACTGTGTACGACCACACAGTGGGTGATGAATCTCGCAAAGCTCGTCCCGGATCACGATCCATTGACTATTATGCCATGGTTAATGCTTGAGTCGCACATGAAAAGCAAGCGGAGACGAGCATGGATACTGTACATAGAGACTAGATAGATGTACCTACGCCACGAATATATGGATATTGACTGCGCATGAATTACTCCTGCTGATCTAGCCAGTTTCTCCAGCCGTCATCACACAGTATTGACCGAACACGGGCTTGCAACCAAGTCGTGTTTCCCCAAAAGCCCCAAGAAGCCTGAAAACGACACCAGTCGACGAGTGCCGTTTCCCAGTGACGCAGAAATTCCGAAAATTCATATTTGTAGCCAGTTTTTACCTGGTGATGGGTGAGCAGCTGGTGGTAATGCGCCAGTAGACGCAGCTCGCCTTCTTGCATGCCGATTTTATGTGAGATTGACGACCCTTTGCCCATGAGCATCTGCAAAGGAACGGAGCAAGTGAACAATTTGGCGAGATCGCCTGCTCCAAGGCCCAACCCAACGTATTGGAAATCAAAAAAGGCAACATTGTCTCCTGATTTGGTAGAGAACAAGTTCTCGGATTTTACGTCACCATGTATCAAGGTTTCAAATGGTCGTCCTCTTGGAATAAGAAACTTGGAGACTTTCTCAGCAGTAGAGACTGTGCCGTCAGGGGTACAGAATACCGCCGACCATTCCGAGTCAGAACTACTGGCCAGCGATGAATATTCTTTCTGTCTTGTGGCAAGGTAAGTGTATCCGCCATTGAGCCATATTGATCTAGGGGCCAGTCTCTCACTGGTTTTCCTGGCTTCCAGCTCAACCATGGGAGGCAAGACAAGCCCATTCATTGTAGTGTTGTCCTGCATTGACCAGGAGCTGCCATGGAAATCTGCAAGCCACTTGATTGCCGAGTGGACTTGGGCGGTGGACAAGTCGCCTCTCTTTTCACAGGCGACGGGGAAAAGTACCCTCAAGTCAGTCATCAAGGTTGCAGTAACCTTGTTCGTGTCGTGTTCAGATATGCCACTCATCGAGTTTAAGCTGCGCGTTGAGGCCAGACACTTGGCCACCGCAACACCTGGCGGCAACGAGGGGGCAATGACCTCATAGAAATACTGCTCGACTTGATAGCTGAATAATTTCCGTATATGGCCCTCCTCATTCTGCATCTTTGGGGGACAGATGATCTTGAGCACAAGGCGGATTGTGCCGTCAGATTCCAAGAGGCACCCAAGAGGTGAGGCAGGAGTCGAAGCCAAGCCAAAGGTTGCAAGGCGCTTCGCCCTTACAGAGTAGATGAACCCGTAGCCTAGTGACAAGACACAGTTAGCCATTTAATAAGTATAGCGCAATGTAAGCAGTAGCCCTGAGGTGGCCAGCTCCCAGTTACCTGCCCAGAGGGCTTGAAGTTGCTCAAAATGTAACAGCTCAAGCCCGGCATCGGCGAGGAGTTCGCCTGCCACTCGCTCCAGATCTGCCGGTCCAAGCATGTTCAACGGACTCAAGACATATCACGCTGAGGCTTGGTTGTATACGAAAGCGGTATCTACCCTGCAGTCGAGCGCGATGCGTCCTTTGACATAAAAAAAAGCGTTTGTTGCTGGCCGGCGCAGTGGTGTTGTGGGGAAGTTGGCCAGCTGGCGGTTGACAGCTGCCACGCATGTCTGAGATTGATGGCGAAACAAAAACGAGGCGGATCCGCACCAAATTAATACGCATACTCCGTACTTGATACGGGGAATGCAGACTTACTAGCGACTTCAGTAACAAAAATAATCAATTCAAACTTATAAGTTCAATGGTGTAACTTCATGTTGTTTTAAAGAAAAGAAAATGTGATTTATGTGTCCTGCTGGGCTCCTACTTGGCCAGCTTATTGTAACTCTAGGTGGCTTCTTTTCCTGGGGAGTGAGGCCAATATTCTCTTCACCGAATGTAAAAGATAAGATGAGCTACGCCAGCATTAAGCCTCGTATACCTGCTGTGTGGGGAACTGTACGTAAGAACAAGTTACACGTCGGGTTGTTGGTGAAATTTCGTCATTCCTGGCATCGATCAGATCATTTGCCGTGGTGGACCTGGCATTAGCGAAACTAATCACGACGTGCGCCCGCGGGCAAGATGCAACTGCTGGAAAGGGAGTTTGCACAAACATGTCGATATCGATGCAGAGAGCAAACATACTTGCAGCGTCATATGATCGAATGGAAATTTGAAAAGGTAGCCAACTGCTGGCGCATGAAGGAAGAAGGAGACTAACTGCTAGGGTAGGTAGCTGATGACACCACGGAACCCAAGCCAGCTGTAACGGTACTTGCGCGGACGGACACTTTCTCGGTATGACCCGGAATTATATGAATAATATGACCAATTGGGATCGGAATGATGAACAAAGGGCACAAATTCGCATCATGCAACCCCAGACTTGGCAGCTCGCCATGGCCCCCATTGTTAGTAAGGTGTGGCCCACGCCTGGCTGGCCACAGCCCACAGCCTAACCATACATTGACATTACAACATCACACCCATCCATGCGCCATGCGCCATGATGAGCTGTGGGACAGCCGACGGATCAACCATTGCTGACCGTCCCGCTCGCCTCACCGGGTTTCTTCGCCGTTTGCAACCTCTATTGGCGCTCCTCCTACTCCCTGGGTTACTATCTATCATCCCCAAAAGTCCGGGCGTCGGCCGCTATGACAGACTCTACAACAGCAAGATGGGGGAGTCAATTCGCCCCGCAGAAGCCATCCCCTTGTATAAATAACCAGCGTCGTCGTCTCCCCCATCGCAATGCCGCCACAGCGGCCAAGCCTCCCGTTGGTAATCGTCAGTACAGAATACAAGGCTGATCAAGCTTGACCAACACAATGAAGGTCGCCGCATCACTGGCTGCCTTGCTGCTTGGCGCTACGGTGCAGGCAACTGCTCCTGCCAAGCCCAACTTCATCTTCATCATCACCGATGACCAGGACCAGCAGCTTGGCTCTGTCGACTACATGGACTCTGTCAAGAAACACCTCAAAAACGAGGGCATCACCCTCTCCAAGCATTTCTGCACCGTTTCTCTCTGCTGCCCCTCTAGGGTCTCGCTCCTCACCGGCAAAGCTGCCCATAACACCAACGTAACTGATGTCGAGCCAGTATGTTCCCTTCCAACAGGGCACCGCCTAAATCATGCTTAATTTCTTTGCTTACAGTCTTAAACAGCCGTGGGGTAATTCACGTTCCATGCTTACTGCCTGTTGCAGCAGCTAATGAAAAACAGGTGGCTACCCCAAGTTCATTTCGCAGGGACTGAACGACGACTATTTGCCTATTTGGCTCCAGGACGCTGGCTACAACACGTACTACACCGGAAAATTGATGAACAAGCTTGGAATCAGAACGTATCAAAGCCCGGCACCTCGTGGATGGAACCGCTCTGACTGTGCGCACATCGTAATTCAGTTTCACATGCTGTCGCTGATCGTCCTTACAGTTTTGCTCGACCCAAACACCTACGTGTATAACAACGCTTATTTTACTCTTGACAACAAGAAGTGGCGAGCTTTTCCAGGGGAGTATTCTACTGATTTGGTCGCAAAAAGATCCCTCGAGTTCCTCAAGCAAGGCATAGATGCTCAAAAGCCCTTCTTTCTCGGGGTAGCTCCGATCGCGCCACATTCTGAGTTGACGGATACCTTCAGAGAACCTGTACCTGCTAGTCGTCACCAGGACTTGTTCCCCGGTGCACAGGTCCCAAGAAATAAAAATTTTAACCCTTCTCAGGTAATTGGGATCAAATTATTACGACACCATGGAGCTAAGACTCTATTTGCTAACATCACCATGCAGCCCGGGACTGCAAGTTACTTCAAAAATCTGCCCAGACTCAGTGCTGCGCAAGTTCAATACCTCGACAACTTCCAAAGAAGACGTTTACAATCCCTGCAAGCGGTCGACGACCTTATTGATGGCATCTTTGACACCCTCCAGGACCACCCCGATGTTTTGGCCAACACCTACATCATATACACTGCTGACAACGGTTTCCACCTCGGACAGCATAGATTGCCTGCCGGTAAGACCTGCGGAATCGAGGAAGATGTCAATGTGCCATTTATTATTCGTGGCCCCGGAATCGCCAAAAACAAGACAGTCAATTTTCCATCCTCTCATACCGACCTTGCGCCGACTTTCCTTAAGTTGGCTGACATTCCTCTCCGAGACGACTTTGATGGATTACCCATTCCTGTCAGGTCCGTTGATCAGACCCCAGACTCCATCAAGAACGAACACGTCAACATTGAGTATTGGGGAAGAGGGATAATTGAAGGAACTGCGTTTGACAACCTGAGTAAGCACATGCCTCCTTACCAAGTAGTACATGGACTGACAGCCGATATAGAAGGCTATTTCGGTCAGAACACCTACAAGACACTACGAATCGTCTCTGAAAGCTACGAATTCATGTACACTGTGTGGTGTAATGGTGACCATGAGTTGTACAACATGAAAGTAAGTTCGCCCCTAGGGCTGAATCGGGTTTCAGCTGAATACTAACTCAGCACACAGAGAGACCCTTACCAAACATCCAACTTGTACGGTACCGAGTCTCAATGTAGTCCGTACGACGTCGGTCGCCTCACCAAGCGTCTTGATACCCTGGTCCTTACACTCAAGAACTGCAAGGGAGATTCGTGCCGCTATCCATGGAAGACTATTTTTCCGTCTGGTCAAGTAAAGAGCCTGCAGGATGCCCTGGACGAGAGCTACGATGATTTTTTTGATTCGCAGCCCTGGGTTTCATTCGATGAATGTACGCTTGGATACATACCGGAGCTTGAAGGTCCTGCTGGCCCCAACCCGTATCAAGGTTCATTTGCTCGCAATACGGAGCTTCGTGATGAGCACTGGATTTAGACGAAATCTAGGTTCTATCTGCAAGGCTGACGAGTTGAAAATATTTAGTAAGGATCATAAACAAAGATGAGACATAAAGAGAAAGACAAGAAAGACATTCCAGAAAGATGAAACAAGAAAGATGAAAGCCACTGAAGGCCACACGCTAATGTCGTTACACGAGCGTCTGCCGGCCTTCTCGACGGTGGAAGCAAGAGGACGCACGCCATTTATCCCCCAAGGAATGTGTTACTCACAGCGAAATTGGTACTGCTCATGCCGTGGATTTGATCATACTACGAGACGTGTCAACCACTGCAAGAGGGCATAGCTACTATGCAGGGAAACCAGCACACGTAAAATACACTATGACAGACAGATTGTACATTGGCAACATAGCCACAACAAGATTCCCAAACCGATCGCAAGTAATTTACCGGTGCCCATTCCATCCACCACGGTAATACTGACCCCTTGGCGGCGGGTAGCTTTGCCTAGGACCGTTGTTGTAGCCACCGCCATTGGAGCCCTGGGAACCCCAACCTTGTTGATAATGTGCTGAATGCGGTGGTGGAGGACCACCTCTTCCAAATCCTGACGACCCAGGATGGGGGGGCTGCCATCCGCTACCCTGACCTTGAAAGTGTTGATGCTGTGAAGGACCCGAATAGTGTCCATGATAGTTCGACTGCGGACGGCCATGGCCAAAGTCTTGCCCCCGGCCCCTTCCGTTCTGTCTGAACTGGTGATGACCACCAGGATCGTAGCGACCTCCGCGATTGCCACCGCCATATCCGCCTCTTGATACCTTCCCTCTCAAGATTTCGATATCACTTCGTGTGAGTGCAGGAGTGGGCATTTTTACTCCACGTAAGAGCATTGACTTATGATCGTGGGTCATTTTTGGCATGTCGTAATTAACACTGTAGTAGTTGTTAGCTGAATGTGTGTGCTTTAACATTTTTTTTTTCGTAACCGTACCTCACCGACCGGTCATAGTCCACATCCGGCATAGACTTGCGTTCGAGGGGATAGTGAAGAGTACCGTGTGGCACATACTCGTCTTGCTTCTCAACATATCCAGAGAGCCCGTCGCTCGTCTTTGGATTGAGTTTGAACTGCGCAGAGCCTTGCTTTTTCGAGTAGAAGTTCGTCAAGATTTCGTCGTAAATGCTTTCATGGCTATCCGACAGCAGCAAGACGTCCCTTCCGACACCATTGCGCCTCTTGTCCTCGTCGCTAAGAAGTGGATATTTTTTTTGCACAGCTGCCAGGAGGCGGTCCATCTCAATAAATGGTAGTAGTGCAACACCTTGCCATGCCATCTTCTTCCCGTTCAAGTCAACTTCAAACTCCTCTGGGTAGAAGTCAATAATATCACTGTCCTGGTCAGTCATCAGGCTGTGAAATACTTCCGGCAAGTTATCGCGCGAAGCGGCTGGAAGAACGCTCATGAGCTGTTCGAATGGCCGGGAGATGGTGCCTTTCTCGAATGTGACATTGGCCCCTGATATTTCTTGGAAATCAGCTGCGAATGGGGCGTAGTGATATGGATAATACCACTCCCACGAAGGGCAGCCTTGAAAGTAATACTGCAAAACCCATGCCAACCCCTCCACATATGCGTGGGCAACTTTCTTGCGAAACGCTATGTCGCTAGGATCTCTGTGAAATTTGAGCTGATAGTACCGATCCGCGTATCCATCCTCCCATAGCCTGACCGGGTCTGTGGGAGCCTCAGGGTTACCAGCTGGAGTGGTTGTGCCTTGTGTATCATTGGGAGTCGAATCGTTAGTTCCTTCGACAGCCGAGATTTTGCGTTTTCCCAATGCCGGCTGTGGCGTGCCTTCTTCCGTATCATTCACTTTTGATTCAGAGCCCGGGGCTCCTTGGCTTGCCTTTAAGCGCTCTTTGAGGACACTCGCCGCGCTTTTGTTGGCAACATTTGCGTCGTTCGCGCTTGTTCGATTGACAATCATATCGTGAGTGATTGCTTTCAAGGGTGCTGTTGGCATTGATCCAATTGGATGAAGAGCAAGCCCACGTGAAGGGTCTTCGTGCCCGCTTCTGAAGCTCTGTCCACCATTGCGGCTTCCCCGTCCGTTTCCGCCGTTGTTTTGAAGTTTGCGACGTTTGGCACTCGCTTCACGGCGCTCTTCTTGCTCTCGTCTTTTCTTGAATATGGAATCCTCCTGCACCGCAAGGCCGTTCAAGATGCACTGAGCTCGTTCCAAGTCAATGTGGCCATCCTTTGTGATATAGCCGCCCAGGGCGGGCAAATTGCGCTTCCAAATGGTCGTGAGTGTGTCAATGCCGTGCTCACGGATTTCCAATGCTGGCAAATGTGGAAGGAAATCGTTTCCAACAAAGCAACACATGAAGATCCAGTCATCGATGACGCGCTCGAGATCAAAACGAAACGGGAGATCCGGGATGGCAAGCTCGGCAGCCAAGTATTCTCTTAACACTGAGACGTGTAGCCAAATGAAAGGCTTCAGTGTCACTGGCTTGTCTTTCTCATCAAACTCTCCAGTTTTCTCTTTCGTTTCGCCTTTGCAATTTTGCGCATCGTGCCCTCTTTGACCGCAAAGCTTACAGGTACGTGCTTTGCCGTCCTGGAAGAACACATCCTCACGGAGGACACGAAAATGAGGCTCATGAGTTGCGAGTCCTAGCATAATCAAATCGGCATCCAGGCCATAAATGACATGTCGAGTGTTGGGGTCGTAATCTGGGCTGGCTCTCTGGGACCTGACAAAATTCATGATTTTGTGCTCGCCCTCACCCGGTACAGTGGCGTCCGAGATGATGATTTTCAGTTTCGCCCAGCCAGGATCTGTGTTCAGTTTGTACTGGCACCAATAGCGCAGGCTGCTTGCCAGGATATCCATAAAGGGGGTGCCGGGTGTGATCGAATTGTTGTCAAACGCCTTCTTGATTATAGCTTCCGTGCTCTCAGCAGCGAGATGCCCTCCGTTTTGCTGTTTGAGCAGTTTCATCAGCTCTTGCTTGTCGTTTTCTTTTTCTTTGGCTTCCTGGGCTGATCGGAACCGTCTCGATCGCTGCTGATTCATCTTGGCTCGGGGTGCAACACCGTCTTATGGAATATGTTAGCAAATAATGGAAAGAATGGCAAATTGACGGCGGCATAGTGGAAGCTCACCAACTGCTATCATGAGAATTTTTCGTGGCCTGACCATGTTGACCACTCTGTCAGTGTATTTGAAAATTTCAAGCATCATTGCCTCTTCGTCCTCGGGAGCTGGTTTGTCCTCCGGATGTGCACACGGATGAACGATGCCATTCATGTCAAGATAAAGATTGTCTAGCTCTTCGCCGTTCGGATTCGCGCGCGTGATGTCGACCGGTATCTCGGTGCCATCGTCCATGACGACAGGCCGATCCTCAACGACAGGAGATATAATCTTGGGATACTTGTTCGAAAGCCATCGAAAGGCAGCTGGGATACCCATCTTGACTTGTTGATACCACTTCGTGGTAATGAAAACACCATTAACGAACTGATTGGTCTTGTCGAGGGGGCGCAGCGATGCTAAATTGTTCCAGTCGTAATGTGGTATCTATCACGAGCTATCTAATGTTTTTGTTGACAACAAGAGATGACGGCCAGGGATAATAGATCGCACGAAATTGTCGGCCAGAATATATTCTTCTCTGAAGACTGGTTACGCGACATCGAAGCCCAGTCGCGAAGTCGAAGTGAGAAATTGGAGTTTATCAGCCAGGTGGATAAGATAAGGCTCATGCTTATGTAACCACCATCCTTCTTACCATCCGTGCTAACAACGAAACAATGTGAAAAAGATATCCAGGGAAATTTTAATGTGAACAAATCTAAAATTGAGATAGACCTCAAGACTCCTTTATTTTTTTTTTGGTATAGAAGCAGTAGTACTTGAAAACCATGGCTCTCGGGTGTCTATGCGCGAGGCATGTGCTCTTCCTCATGCCTGGCTAAAACTAGTTAGTGGGACAAGCTCCTTACCAGGTTGCTGGCGGAGCTCTGCCCGCTGTTGAGGACAGCAAGACCTCGATCTCCCATCCCAAGAGAGTACCTGGAAGCTTTCCACGGCCGACTCTGTCGCATTGGGCGGCCTGTATATACTTCGACCGACATATACCCACGAGGAACCCAATGGCACGGAAAACATAGTATAACCCCCGACGCTATGTTCTCAATCGCGACTGCACCGGCCAAGCAGTCCGCTACGGATACCATTTCCGTTCTAAGTGGCCGGTTAAGCTCTGCCACCTTGTTGGAGGACCGCCGGGCTGCCATCCTAGGGCTGCGGAGCTTTGCGAAAGATTTCCCGGCCACTGTCTCGTCCAGCGCGTTGAGAGGGCTTATTGGGAGTCTGGCAAAGGATGGCGAGGATGTCGACACTGTGAAGGTTGTGCTAGAAACGCTGCTTATGCTCTTCACGCCCAATGAAGATAGTCCGGAAGCCTCTGATGAGGTTGTATTATGGCTCGCTGACGAGTTTACGCAACGCCAAGAGAATGTCACCTTGCTTCTCGACTTTCTCGAAACGAACGATTTCTATTCCCGACTATACTCGTTGCAACTACTGGGAGCAATCCTTTCTGCCCGGACTGAGCGAACCGAGGAATGTGTTTTTACTGCACCGCTAGGAATATCCCGCCTGGTTTCTACTCTTGACGATCAGCGTGACGCCATTCGAACCGAAGGTATAAGCCTTCTTACAAGTTTAACGCCCGCCTCAGTCGACATACAAAAGCTAGTTGCTTTCGAAAATACCTTTGAGAAATTATTTGCAATCATTGAGTCTGACGGCTCGTTATCTGAAGGAGGGCGGACGGTGGAAGATTGTCTCATTCTATTAGCGAATCTACTACGTCGCAATGCATCCAACCAGACACTCTTCCGTGAGTCTGGATGCATGAAGAAGTTAGCAGACCTGTTGCGCAGCGTTTCGCAATTTGGGGGTGGCGACGAAGTCGCAATTTGGGCCCAAGCACAAAGAAATAGGAATTTATACGCGTTTCTAGCAATTCTGAGGCTACTTCTTAGCCCTGGTTCCGCGGGCGTTTCGCGTAACCAAAAGTTACTCTGGAAACACGGGCTTTGCGCCGACGTTCTTCATCTGGCATTTAGCTCCGACATTCAGATGGAAATCAGAGCTGAGGTGAGTAGAGAAGAATACCGATGCAAGTTTCTAATCACAATATCGAGCTAACCCTGTACAAGGCTTTGATCGCGTGCGGTGACATGATTCGTGACTGTGAAGCATTGCAGGAGAGCTTTGCTCAGCTCAGTGTATCACGGATAGGGAACAAGCACGCTCCTTCGAGTGAACCGAAAAGCCACTCACAAGTATACGTCATTGATGGGTTACTTGACCTTATCCTAAACCTGCAAGACAGTGCTGCTTTCAATGTCCGTTATGCGGCTAGTGAGTGTTTAAAGGCCTACTTCTCTAATCACTTGAATGTTCGGTTGCATTTCCTTACACGGGCTATCGAAGGCTACTTGACGGGTAGCGAGGATGCAACTAATGCACTGGCAGTATTGCTTGCGCCCTCTTCCGAGCAATCGGCAAGCGACCCATATCATCTATGGTTTGCCGCGATAATTACATTCCACTTGCTCTATGATAATTCTGCTGCCAAGACGAAAGCCCTATCACTCACTGAGGGTGATGCTGCCGAAGATGAGGAGCTTGTTACAAGCATCCAAACCGTGACAGCACATCTTTTGACAGGTATTCGACGAGGTGATGACGCTCGCATTTCTGTCGGTTACTTAATGCTCCTTACAATATGGCTGTTCGAGGATTTGGATGCGGTCAACGACTTTCTATCCGAAGGGAGCAATGTTCAGAGCCTGATCCAAACAATTTCGCAGCCTATCGTGCAAGGGAGCGAAATAGTTCAGGGTCTTTGTGCTATGCTTCTTGGAACCGTCTATGAATTTTCTACGAAGGATTCGCCTGTGCCAAGAACGACGCTACATACCATCCTGACGACTCGGCTAGACCGAGAACAATACCTTGATCGACTACTCAAACTGCGCTCACACCCATTGCTGCGAGACTTTGAAACAATACCACAAAGGAGAGACCCAGCCTTGGCTAGCGGTCTAGCAGACGTATATTTCGACTCTGTATTCGTCAACTTCTTCAAAGACAACTACAGTCGCATTGCAAGAGCTCTCGACAGAAGCCCTGAGCTTGAAATTTCCGTCATCACCAATGGTGTCCAGAAAGGAATCTCCAGGGACCTGGTGGATTCCCTGCGTGAGCAAATACAAGAGAAGGATAGGGCCATCGAAGAGGCGAAGATAGCTTCCGAATCCCAAGCATCGCGTCTTGGCCAGGAGCAAGGCGAGTACCGCCGCTTCAAGGAAGAAGCAAATAAAGAGCTGCAAAAGGCGCAGGAGGAAACCAAACGAGAAAAGGCAATGGCTAAGGCCGCACAGGAAGGACTTCAGAGGTCCCACGAAGCAGAAATCAAGTTCGTTCGCAACGCTGCTTGAAATTATGTCAGTCTAACTGTGGATAGGAAGTTGCAGAGCCTTCTTTCTGCGAAGGACGTTGACACTCAAAAGCAGATCGCAGCCGTGAAGTCAACCTTGGCCTTAACGGAAGCAGAACATGAGAAAAAGGCCGCGGCCCTCAAAGCAGCCATCGCTGCTAAGGATTCTTCTCTAGAACAGCAATTGAATGCAGTGAAAAGGATCGCCGAAACCGAAGCGGAACATGCGAAAAGGCGCCACGAGGGAGAAATTGCGGATCTTCGCGCAACAATCAGCAGCCTAGAAGCCTCTCTTCAAAAGGCAAGCATTTCTGGCAATTGAGCGCAACCAGTCCCTAGACTAATGCATACAAAAACAGACCAATAATGAGCGAGAGAGAGACTCGCAGAATAAGCACGTCCAGTTGCAAGCGTTCGTACGCGAAGCGGACGAACTTCGCGACGAACTGAATTCGACCCGCGAAAAGCAGGCCACAACGATAGAGGAGCTGCGCAAACGGATTAAGGAACTAGACGAACAACTCGATGGAGCCAGGCGACAAATTGATGACACGCGGAAAGAGAAAATCAAGGCATGCTGCGTATCTCCGCTTCAAATCCCGGCTTGACTAACGCAATTTCAGATCGAATCAACACTGGCAACCAGTAAAAAGGAAAAGGAGAGCGTCCAGTCCGAACTTGATGACCTGCTGATCGTGTTTACGGACTTGGAAGATCAAGTGGCCAAGTACAAGGTACGATACCGATGACGACGCTGTTTCTTAACCCTGAGCGAAGCTAACACCTGGGTTCTTCTTTTTTCCTCTACAGAAACGCCTTCGAGAACTTGGCGAGCCTGTGTCGGATGGTGAGGACGAAAGTGATGACGACGACGACGTTGACTAGGGCTGTAAAACAAGGGGTTGCCTATGTGGAAATGGACCGTATTCTGTGCCGTTGCCGGCAATGTCAGTGCATGCTGGTTGCAATTATCTTCTGAGCCGTAGTACTTGTACTAAAATGAAGCTGTTGTGTGAGTGCGGCACCTCACAAAAAAAAAGGCAGAGTGGAGTGACGAATTTGTGAACTCTACGTGTGGGCCCCGCGAGAAAGAATTTCTTGGACAATATCTCTCCTCGTCATAACCATCTTGAGCTCCTGTGAAGTAGAAAGGTCGCAAGAATGTCTGTCTTTAGCGATTCTGAGAACTCGGATGCAGCCGACTGGTTGGATGTAGAGCCCGATGAGGAACAAATCACATTTGTGTCGCTGTTTGACGCGGAGACCTTCGCCAGCATCGAGGACCTGCTCACCCACTGCAAGACCCGGCACGCATTTGATCTGGTCGCCACTGTGCACCGCCTCAGACTCGAGTTCCACGATGCCATCAAGCTAATAAATTTCATAAGAGCTTGTACCCGGAAGGGCAAGAATTTACCTGATGCTCTCTCCGCGGAAGATTTTGCCGACGACAAGTACCTCAAGCCAGTCCTTGAGAACGACGCCGTGCTCTTCTCCTTGGGCGAGATTCTAAACGAAGAGTCTGGGAATCCGGAGCCTGAATCTTCGCAGCCAAGCGCATCACTCGAATCTAGAAACAAAGAGCTCGAGGCCGAATTAGCCGCGGTCAAGGAGCGATTTGCTAGCTACCGACTCGCAGTAGAGGAGACGCTGGACAAGCGCTGGGGCGACGAAAACGAGGCCGGAAATCTAGCAAAAGAAAAGAAAAAAGACTCCTCAGATTACTACTTCGAGTCGTACGCCTACAATGGTAAAGGAATCCGATTCTGAGGAGCACAGAAGATCCAGGCAGGGAAGCTGACATGCTCTAGACATTCACGAGACTATGCTCAAGGACGAGATCCGCACTGACGCCTACCGAGACTTTATTTACGAGAACAAGCAATTATTCGAAGGAAAAGTAGTTCTTGATATTGGATGTGGCACCGGTAAGTCGAAGCAGGGGAGAAAGATCTGCTCACAACATGAACGTAGCTAACACGCTCAGGCATCCTGAGCATGTTCTGTGCAAAGGCAGGTGCTGCGCAGGTTATCGCAGTCGATAGGTCAGACATCATTGATAAAGCCCGAGAGAACGTGTTCAACAACGGACTGGCAGGAATTATCACCTGTCTACGCGGTGCTATCGAAGACGTCAAGCTCCCTGTTGACCAGGTCGACATCATCGTCAGTGAATGGATGGGCTACTGCTTGCTCTATGAAGCTATGCTGCCTAGCGTTTTATACGCCCGTGACAAATACCTTCGGCCAGACGGCCTCCTTGTGCCCAGCTCCGCCACTATTTGGGTGGCACCGGTTCGGGATTCGGAATACGTGACGGATACAGTGTCATTTTGGAGAGATGTCTACGGGTTCGACATGAAGGCTATGCAAGAGTGCATCTACGACGAGGCCAGGATTCTCACAATGCCACCAGCTGCAGTTTGCGGAAAGCCCTACCCGTTCAAGGTTCTCGATCTTCACACTGTCAAGCCAGAGGACTTATTTTTCACGGCGAATTGGGAGTCCCAAGTAACGGGCGACACTGATTCATTGGATGGCTTTTTAATATGGTTCGACAACTTCTTTGCGAACTCCCGGGCTGATAAATTGCCGGAACCTGAAACGACACCTCAGAATTTCGTGAGAAGGAAGCCTGGCTATGTGGCTTTCACTACTGGACCCTACGGGAAGGAAACGCATTGGAAGCAGGGGCTTTTGCTCCAGCCTCCAGCACAGCTGAACGTTCCGCAGCCGAGACTTTCCGGTCGAATTGTCTTCTCTGCCTTGGAAGAAAATGCCAGAGCGCTTCAGATCCAGCTGACTTGGAGTGAGCAAGGTCAGGAGGAGAAGGACAGGACTTGGAAGTTGAAGTGATTTGAGGTGGAATTCGATTTTGTTCGACTTGCGTCTTAAAAATGAGGAACCGATAAGCCTTCCATGATCAGATTCGCGATGCTCAAGAATCCTTCACCGAGAATAAACCCCTGTAATTGTCAGTAACGGGCCGGAGAAGTGGGAGGTGCAGCACTGGCTTACAGAAGCTAGAATGATGAGCGGTGTGCTAGAACGCTTCATAACGTGTAGCCAGACCCAGGCCAAAATACCACCGATGGCTCTAGCAAGGGTAAATGAAGGCACATTATACATGCCTAATAACAGGGCAAGTGTCAGTTTTCGACAGATTCCGAGACTACTACGCCTGACTCACCAACAGCCACGGCAATGCCTCCTGGTATCCACGAGCGCCAGGGTTTGCCAACGGCAATAGTTCTTAGAATAGTTGTGCAGGCGAAAATGGCGCCAGCCGCAATCGCCCAATCTTTCGCCATGTAAGGCAGGCCTTGACCTGTCACGAGCCGTGCAGTAAATATCCATACATACGCTGTAGGTACCTGGAAGAGGTCGCCCGGTATCTCATAGATGCTGAGATAAGTCAGTAAATGAGGTAGATCCCAGAATGTTGCCTGCAGGCTTACCGCGTATAGAGGCGGTAGATGAAGGCGCTCAGAATTGCTCCGGCTGTTGCTCCTATCATTTGCCCCCAGAATTGCGCTTTAGGCGATGCGCCGAGAAGGTGACCGGTTTTCAGATCTTGCATCAGGTCTCCAGCTTGAAGGGCGCCCTGTTCAAAAGGAATCAAAGTGAGCCCCAGAAAATCTTCACTGTAGCAGGTATTTAAGGCGTAATCTTACCGCTTCGGACTATGGTTGCGCGTTGTATTAGCTGGTTGCCAGCGTGCAGTTGTGAGAGGGGGCAAGAGACTTACCACTGCTCCGGCGACGAGATTGATGAGCACGCTTGATTTATTCGACTGCGGGATTATTAGTGCAAAAAAGAGCTGCGCCAGCTTGCTAATCCCGGATACTGGGTTCAAATCAGTTTCACCGAGAGCCCTAACACCCATGATACTCAGTACCAGCGCCATAAACACCGCAATTACGGTGGCATATAGGGGTACCAGGTCTCCGAAAACCGTATGTATGGTGATTATGCAGAGAATTATCGAGAGTAACAGGCCGATAACAACAATCTTGTTGCTGATACGCTGGTTCTCTGGGGCGTCCTCACTGTCTTGGCCTGCGCTCTGTCCGGATCCATCACCTTCATCGTCGCTTGAGTCGTCATCGTCAGCTCGTCTTTGTAAAAGAGCATAGCGAGCTCTGCTACCCGAGAAGAGAAGTCTTCCCGGCCAAGTTTGGCGTATGGAGTCGAGAAAGCCAGAAAACGAGGGATCGTAATATGCAACGAAAATTGATCTGGTCGCGACATATCCGAGGCTGACGACAGCATCCACAAGCATGATGGCTAGAGATATCCATACGATCCAGCCCTTGCTTCCACTTTCCCAGTCATCGACCGGACCTGGCGCCCATCCTTTATGCTTCGCCAGGGGGCTAAGGATAGCCCATCCAATTATGGCGCCCAGCGTCATATGCATGGTTGTCTCTGTTCCCATGATGATGCCCTGCCCAACGTATGCCAGGCTAGGGTTCAGCGTCCACAGCCATGTTTGGGCTACTGCAGTTCCAAAAATTGGTATGTTTCGGAGAATGGGGAAGAAGTATGTCAGAACGGTGGCAAGGCCTGATATGATGAAACAGAGGAGTAGAAGTCGCAAATTCGCGGCCCAATGCGAATCACGCGGGCCGGTGATGGGCTCATCCACCAAAGCAGCGGCTTCATTCACTTGGTCCTGCTGCATGTCGTGTTCGTTGTCTTTGGGAACAAGACTGGCAAAGCCGCCTTTCGATGCCTCATCCAGTGCCTGCTTCGACTGTGTTCCCTGGCCGTGGAGCACGGAGATAAGAACGGCAGTGCTGAAGCCGCTTGGGAATCGCAGACGTTCTCTGATAATGACTTGCTTACGTCTGATAGTAGTTAGCAATTTATTCCATATAAATGAGGACCAATGATGGCCAAGTAGAACATACAGAGGCACCGCAAAGACGACTCCGAAGTAGCACAGGCCAAGTGACCAAGTCACAAGCTGCCAGAGGCTGAGGTTCAGTGGCCCTCTTTCATCTGGTGAAAGAAGATAGTTCATCGCGGGTATCTGCCGATTGGTCAGGAGACGACGGGGATTGAGCTAATAGGGACGCAGAAGCCGCGTCCAGCATTCGGGAAAGCATGTCTCGTACGTACCACGCCGACAAATCCGCAGCCAAGTGGCATGATGGCCATACCACACGCGACGCTTTGAACAAAAACATTTTCTACGGGCGAAAATGGCAGTTCAAGGTGACTTCTAAGCAGACGAAAAATGCCGAACCCCATCAGACTGGCAGGCATGGACATAATGGAGACCCATCCTGTCTGGAGCCCAAAGTAGACGTTGGCAGCACAGATCACGGTGCCGATGGCCAGGCCGGCCACAACGCCGCGAACCGTGAAATTCTGCCCGTGTATGTCAGGCGCCATTTTCTTCACCCTGCGGTTGTGCTGACCCGTTCCCACGCTTGTTGATGCTGGGGATGCAATCAGCCGCCAGTTCCTTGGTGGTGTCGGCCATGGCGGAGGTCATTAGTGAGATTAGTCATGAACGCGGAGCTCGGGCTCGTGTACCCGCGACAACCAGGAAGGTGATGCCATGGTGAAATGAGGACGGGTTACCCTAGACGTTCATGGGGAGCTCACAACAAAACCAAGGGCGGCGTGGCCCGGTGCAATTAGTATTCATAATGACTAGAGATGGGGGAGAAAGCCGGTCGCACAATGTGTGATGTATTAGAATTGCGGTCGTGGTATCTACTAGGGCAACGGAGCGGCGTAACCTCGCCCTGCCTACTACAGTCCAAAGCTATCGAGCAACGAACCTGCATCAGGTTCTTCAAAGGTCGTCGGTGCTGGAGGCTCTGTTTTCGCACCGCGCTGTTTCAAGCCAGGAACTCCCGCCTGCAGCTGCACCTGAGGCAGAGGCAGGTCATTGACGACAAGGGAGCTTCTTCGCCTGAGGAGCTTCAATGGGTTCATCTCCCCTCCAATGCCTCTTGACGATGGCTGCTGGAATTCCCAGTTCCTCACTGTCTCCGCGTAAGCAGCCATTCAGCAACAAAATGCAATTGCGACTCCTCTTACCTAGGTCCAAACCAAGAAGATCACACCCCATGCGATCGTATATTTTTGCGCTGTGCAGGACAAATTCCCACTCTACTCTCGGGTTAACTTTCGAAGCACCACGCAAGGTCTGCAAACTTTGATGGCGCAGCTGTCCATATAGAACAACCAAAGCTGGATCATCTGTTAAGAACAGTCGTGATCGAAACTCCGGGGAGCTCGGAGTCTCCAACAATGTGTAGACTGGCGTCTGTATCGAACTGTTAGCGGAGGATAAGCCTGGGCAAGGACTGACATACTATAAGTGCCCGCACAGCCATATCTTTGCGCCCTAACATCCAGAAAGCCCACGATGCCAGCCACCTATCCCCTTGCTGAGCCGCCAACGGCAAAACTTCATCATGCAGTAGTTTGCGCAAAGTAGGGCCGCCATCGCCCTCGTAAACACGAGAAATGGCGATGGCTAATTGTATGTCCTTTAATTGGCGGAGGCAGACTTCAACAGCGTCGCCAAGCCTACCAGCAAGAAGGAAAAAGGCCGCAGCGTATTCTATCATGTTAGCGCTAAGATGGAGCACCCCGGCGGGTTCACTTACGGAAACGACGTTTGCCGAGCAATGCGTATGCATTCTTTTGCGCCACTGTCTTCCATTTCTCCTCCTCAAAGTTGTTCAGCAACAGGCGCTGCGTCGCTGCCTGCTCCTTGTTTCCAGCAGCCATGCGCCAGAGACCATGGAGGACGGTCTTCTTCTTCAGAGCCAGGTAAAACAGGCTGCAATCAACAGGACTCTTGGTTTCGCTGCTTGTGTATTCGTTTCTCGCAACAATCTCAAATTGTGCCCGCAAAGCAGACACGTCCGTCATCCACATAAAAATGCCACTTTCCCGAGCATGCCTCCAGAGAACAGGGCCATGTGTCTGTCGTGTAACAAAGTCGACAAGGATATCTTGGGTAGTAGAGTGGTACGCCCAGTTTATTTCTCTCCAGGACAACTGGATTTCGCTAGTTCGTCCCTTGCGAAGTGCGTGCTGGCGGAAGAAAAGCATGAAACGTGCACCGTTCTCGTCCATAGACCGGCGGTGCTTCTCAACGAATGCCGCGCACTCAATCATGTCCATAAGTTGAATCTGTTCATGACCAGAGAGTTGCGGAATCCGAACTTTCTTCAGAATTTCATTAATGGAAGCAGCTGTGGTTTCTTGAAACGGCTCGTCGTCTTCGTCTTCATCATCTTCAGAATTTAGATATTGTACTTGGCCCTTTCTGAAAAAGGGCGCTGTTGCCTGTTTCGGTCGTTAGTCCATGTCTGAAGGGTCTCTGAGGATCAACATACTGTTGATGCATATATCTCCGCCATATCTAATCCCACATAGTCGTCGACAGATTCCCCGGGCACAATATATTTTAGGGTCCTATGCAGCGCTTTGAGAATTCGTCCAACCAGCACACCCTTCCCAGACAAAACACACTGGCTCAAGAATTGCGGGTGAAAGATAGGCAGAGGGCCATTGAATCGCTGAACGGCCTCAAATATATCCCACGAGCCGTCGCGACGCTGCGGTAAACGTATGTCTAAAGTGTTAGCATCGTCGCTACTGACAAGCCGATCCTGGACGAACAACTGATTGCCAGCGCCAATGACAAGATGGCCGTCGCCAAGCCACGTGGAATCCCCAATTGGATGAGGAGTTAGTTCTCGAATGCTTATTTCGCGGATTTGTGCCCATGCTGGTCCTTTGTTGAGGTAGTCAAAACGCATTTGGGAGAGAAGGATAACTCGGTACGGGAACCCAACTGCCAGTATTGACTGTCCGTCCGGTGTTGACGTCCAATCTAGGTCCTGAATAACGTTGTGCGCATCGTAATCTTCCTCAAATTCCAGGCGAGAGCCACCAATATCCCAAATTGTAAGCTGAGACCGCGAGGAGTTTACCAAGGCGGCCTTTTTCAGAGTACTTCCACTCGCTAGTGCCGGCTCTTCCATCCCGGTTTCTGTGCAGCAGGTAGAAAGCCAATCGACTGTGTGATTTTCCAGATCCACTCTCGCGGTCCAAAAGTTCACGCAACCACTCCTGCTGTAAGATATGGCGACGTCCCGAGCAAACACATCCAGGAAACCCGATGCGACAGGCGTTTTCCCAGCAGGGTCAACAGGGAGCACGTATTTGAGTCCGTCCGTAACATCCAGCTGAAACCGACAAAACTCGATAATACTGCCACCGGCTGGGTCAGAAGCCCCGGTGGAATACGCCGGCAATGTGGCTTCCCAAACGATCCCCATACGTTCAGATGTTATCATAGATATATGGGCCCTGGTTCTTTCACCAGGTTCTGGACGAGGCAGCGCAATCAGACAAAGAGCCTTGCCATCCCACTGTGTCGAACACCTTGCAAGCATGCAAGCTCTACTGGGACGGCAATCCCAGAGAGACACTCTGTCTGTGCCGAGAAAGACAACAAACCTGCCCTTACGAAGAACGCAAACTCTGTGGATATGGCCAGCGTATGGTATGACGCTCATCCGGTTCAGCCCGATATTTGCCATACCTCTCTGTTCCGGGTGATTCCATACAATACACTCTCCTGTCTCTGTTCGTGACACTACTGCACGCCCGCTGAAATTGCGATTGATCTTGGAAATGGCGTCCGAATGCCCAGACCAAACAGTTTGAAGAGATATGCGCTGATCGTTTGTTGTCGGGCTGAATAAATTTGCGACGTCGCTATAGAACACCCCAATTCTACCATCAAATGAATGTAGGAGAAGTGCTAGTTGGCCGGCTTTCCTGTCGAAATATGACTGAATTTCCGAATAGTGTGACTCTGGAGAAATCCTGAAGCCCACCAATGACTCAAAGGCCGCGGACTTGACCTGAGCGATATTGAATACACGGTCGCTTTGCGGGCTATTGTTACCGACGTTGTCCAGGGCCCAAGCTGACATTGTGCCGTTGCGGTTTATCGCTAGACAAATTTCCGGTGTCTTATTCGCAATAGCAACCAGGTGCTCCATAGCCAGTTCGTCGGTAGCTGGATCATCAGACATTCGCACCTGAACTAGATGCTCGACACAGGGTATGAAGTCTCGTCCGTCAATGATACAGACAAGCCAGTCGCATGGGTCGATCGGTAGGCCTTTAGAGAGTCTATTTATATCGACAGACCCCCAAAGTTGCCAGTGCTGCCCATCTGCAGTCTCCGTAGGTGTCCAAATACGAACATGGCCGTCCAGACAGAAGGTATACAGAACGTTGGCCGCGGATTGGTCAAAATGGAGAGGCTTGCGCCAGCGCACGGCAGTTACCACATCTGGGTGTGGAAGATATGAGTGGTCGAATCGAACTTCGTCTCGGCCGTATGCTAGACGACGCCATACCTTAGGCAACTTGTCGTGGTCGGATATGGAGGCAATGTAGGCTGAGTCGTACGAGAGTTTCGCAACCTTGGCTCTATTCGGGAGTGATTTTTGCCACGAGCATCGAATTTCTGCCTTCGTAGAATACAGCGACAGAAAAGACGATGCAGCGAGGAGCTCCTCCTCTCGGCCCCATGATAAGGCAAACGACTCGCCAGTCGCAACTTGTGGTGTTTCGAATGATGCCTCTAGCGCCCACTAAGTCAGAGTCAGCTCAGTTTTGTAGTATGAATATTAATCAGTTGCCAATTTGACCTTTAATGGATCTTCTGGTCTGGTACTCGGTCGGTACACTCGAATTGAGTTGGTGGTACAGACAGCGATTTTGCCACTCGCTTCATCGAATGCAATAGCTTCCAGCTCGTCGTCATTGTCGTCGTAAACGGTCTGGATGATCTTTTGCGGATCATCCAAAATAGTCAGCGCGCTGCCAGTGATATAAGCCTGCGGTGATGTGATACACTGGTTAGCTTGGCTACCATCGCGTAGTCGGAGAGCTCACATTGACGTGTCTGTTAGCCCAGGAGCCAGTAGCAAGCCCTTGAAGCCTTGACTGCGGCTTGCCCGGTAGAACGGCACTCATACTACCAGCTGTTTTTGTATGCGAACATTTGCGCTATTTCTGGCGACTGTGCCGTTCATTGATGCAGGTCGGTTATCAAGTTTACGAGTAACTTAAGCTCTCGGTCGTTGCTGGAAAGTCATGGGCCAAGCTCACATGCCATGTGGGGCCGCGTGCATCATCGCTTGGAGAGAGGGACCCTGGCAAAAGCCTAGATCATTCCCTCTCCATGATCCTCCACCGGTATTTCACAAAGGCATGTTTACGTAGTAATAAAGTGAATATCCAGTTAATGTCTTCATTCGCCGTAATCATATTGTAACAAGTTGAAAGCCCCAGCGCCAAATTTCCTCCGGTCCTAGCGCCAGTCATGTATGTGAACAACCAAAATATGCCAGACCAGGTATGTAAAGAATTCTAAAACAACAGGCAAATATCCAAGTCCTAATTGCAACTGCATAAAATTTCAAGCCGCATTGATTTCACGATGTCTAGCGGCGCAGGACAACTTTACACCTCCAGTTCGGTGTTTCTGCACCAGTTGTTATGTATAACGCCCTTGCCGAGTAAACCGCGAGGGCTGCGGTGCGGTTTTCGCCGCGTTTGTCCAGCTGGGCAATTCGTTCCCAGATTCAACCCTGGTGATGTTTCCGACTGGCCGCCTACTCGGTGTTTCGATACCAGGCCAGTTTAATGTTGGAGGACCATATCCAAGTGGTCCGGATCTGCCTGGCAAACCGGGTCGGTTTGCAGCATCGACATGGTCTGATAGCTGACTTGGTTTTGCTTCGCCGGCCTCCCTGTGCTTATACAAAGTTCTTCCGAGCTGGAAGGGTTTCTCAGAAACGGTAGATGTCCTTGCAGGAAATGCTGGGTCGCGTACTGGAACGGTCCGATGCAAATTCCTGGGTGGTGGCGCCTGGGGTGTTGTGGAAGCCATCTTGCGACTTCGCAGAGCCAGACTTCGATCGAATCGTCGTTGCGAGCTTTTCGTGTTCGCGGTTGCCAGATCATGGCCAATTTCGGCCTCGTCGCTCAAACTAGACGCCGTTGCGGACCGCTCATCTGCTTCTCTTAGAGGCGGCATGGCAGGTTTAGCAACTGTACTCGGCATTACCACCAGCCTCCCGGTCCAACGTGTAGGAGTATTTAAGTGAGATGCAGGCGTTTTGAGGGCTCGCAGGTCCTGGGGCGTAGCCTCATACTTCGCGGTCTGCTTCCTTGACGACTGTGTCCTCCAGGAGCGTCGGTCATTGAAAGCGAGGCTACGCACATGCGGTGTCGTTGCAGTGGAGTTGGCATCGGTATTTTCCATCTTCTGGCTTGAGTGTCGCCAAAGTTGAAATGCCCGGTTTCGTTGGTCTGTTTCGTGCCTTTGATGTACCATTGCCGCTGTGTGTGCTCGGCCACTCCCTTGCAAAGAGGAGATTGACCAAGACTTAAGTGCTTGCCGCTGCTTGCGCTGAATCCACTTGTCCCAGCTTTGCGCGTTTTGTTGCGCCGCTTCGCCAGAAGACTCTCCCCAGGAGTTCAGCACATGATGAATCGCGTGTCTTTGACCCGTGGCATGCTGCTCCTGCGATCGACTTGTGGCCCCTAGCCATGTTTTGACGGCATCTAGCTTTAAAGCCTGGGTTTGGGTTTCAAGATGCTCCTTCGTTTCTACCGCAATAGAGGCGTGACGCCGAGCCGAAGAACGCCACAATTCCAAGGTGGAATGGAATTGTCTTTTTTTCCTCGCAGAAGACACTTCTTTATACCGGCCCCTGAGCTGCTGCCTTATTTCTTCCTTTCGAGAGGCCTTTTTTACCTCGTGAGCGTGATCGAGCACCCGTAAAAATTTCGAGGCCATGATAAACAGCCGCGCCCGGTACGCGTAATATCCAAGTTTGCTCACATAGTTGACAAAGTGGTCAACTCGGCTCAGGGTAGCGGGGACCTGACATCGTTCAATAGTGAGAGCTGCTCTGCTCTGCTGCAGTCTTCCACTCTCTTTTGTTCGACTCCACTTGTTCAGCGCATATGTAGCGCTCTGATAGTCGCTCCGCCAAACACACGCTTGGGCGCGAGCACGTAAATTCCAGTTATCCAGGGCAGAATGTGCTCTCTTCCATATCAGATTCGCACGATATACTTCTGCTCTTTTTTCAACTTCCGCGTGATCCCACCAGGTTGCGAGATGAGCAAACATTGGCCGTACCAGTCCAACATGTTTACTGATAGTGAGCTGCCTTTCGGCTTGTTGAGCCCTGCTAGCCCAGTGATGGATTAGATGCTTTTTCTGGTAATCTTGTCGGTTTTTAGCGGTCGATTCAGCGTGTGTTTTGTGTAGAACCGCCAAGTCGTTCCAGGAGCGAGCCACGCCTTTTCTGGCGCGATGAACGGTCTCACGTTGAACATTGTGTTGAGTAGTGCTGCAGAGCCATCGACACATAGCACGCTTTGCTTTCTGGATGCGGTTTGTCTCGTACATAGCCGATGCAGTCGCTCGCAGCTGTTCTTCTTGACATGCAACAGCACGACGAAGCTTTTGCACAGCTGTAGCGGCCCTGAGATGATCAACAGCAGGCGATCTCGAGCTGGGGGCATTGCTCCAGCCCCTAAAGCAACGAAATCGGATCATGTGCCGGCGAGCTACAGCTTCTTTCTCTAACCTTGCTGCAGTTCTCTCTGCCCAGTGATTGAAGGTCCTGCTAGCCAAATATATCTCTCGAGCTCTGCTAGCACGATTCAACATGACCGTGTACTCGCCATAGCTGCCACTTTCCTGCTCTCTGGGCGTTGCTGCTCGGCGATTGGTAGCAAAAGCTGGAATAAGTGATCCCGTAGCGTCGGCCTGCTTGTTCTGTTGGCTTGAAACTTCTGCTTGGCGAGGAGGGAACGTAATTGTTTGGGGGGCAGTCTGTCGCCGAGGGATAATTGGGTCAGGTTCTCCAGACCCTGCAGCATCAATTACATGGGAGGCCGAGCTTTCCGATCTTTCAATTTTCCCACTCTTTGTCGCAGTGCGCCATCGATCCAGGATGGCAAGGAGGGGTGGTCGCGATAAGGCGGCTCGTAACATAGGCACCTCTTCGTCACCGTCCGGAAACTCCAGGGCATCCCGTGCGGATGGTTCGGGGTGCGAAATTATGGGTTGTGCTGAAGAAGTTTCGATCCGGATCTGAGCGCTTGGTCGAGAGTCCTGCGGAAGTGAAAGGCCACTGTTTCCCGTTGGATTTGGATTTGGACTTGGCTCAATGATCAGATTGGCGACGGGAATAGGTGTGAATCCGTCAGCCGGCTTCCATTCCATTTCCATACTTTCCTCTCCATACTCTGCGATGCCAGGCCGCGGCGAAACGAGGGGTCCCAATTTACTGCGAGTCTGCGGCGATGGTAATGGTGAGCCGCGATATTCCATCTCATCCTGGTTTGGGATATCCAGGGACGAGTGCAAAGAGTGAGCAGCTCTCTGCGAACTTGGGCTATTGTCTCCATACTCCAGCGAAATTCCCATACTAGCCAGGACGGCTTGGAACTTTTCAGGAAGGCTGAGGGTGCCCTTTTCTCCTCCAATACGGAATATCAAGCGTGAGAGATGATTTTCGTCGTCCGGGTCGATGCCATGCTGGGGGAGTACTTCGTCGTAAGCCTTGAACAGAGCAGCGGCAGGAAGTAGTCGCGCGCCGCCGACATTGTCCAACTTTTCTTGGGCGATGGAAACAATCTCGTGCAGAATCTCGATATCTTCAACGTGTTAATCCTATATTGATAGCGCTTGGGTTCTTTAACAGACCTTCATTTGAGTAATAAGGCTCTTGGGTAGTTGAGGTCCACGCTGGGGATTGAGAATCGACATGACGCCGAGGCGAGGGCGATTTATTCGTCGTGTTTAGGAGCGGCGCGTAAGCCACTGGATGTAGATAGCTTTTATTAGCTCATACGTTTATTGGACAATTCTCAGGACTTACTTGAGCCCATATTCGGGAACGCTTGCTAGCGACCCATAATCGAGGCAGAAGGCAAACTTGCAATGGGACTGTCGAAGTTGGCCAGCTCAGAAACGGGTTGCTGTTGACGCCTCATGACCAGTCTTGATCAAAGTAGTTGCTAAGATGTCTGTTCAGATCGTGCCGAAGTTTCCTGGTAATAGAGAATTTGGGCGAGCGAGATGGAAGAGACCGTTGCAAGGTGAAGCTGGGATCCATCGAAAAGAAAGATTGGGGAACGCGCGCAACCACGGCTTTACGCGTCGAGAGCATTGAAGTACATCGGTACCTACAAGGTATGTGGGTCATCGCGCGATACCAACTTGCCAGGCGGGACCACAGTTCAGCATTTCACGGACGATTCGCCCAAAAAAATAATTTTGTATCATTAATCGCAGATGGTCTCTTTAAATGGATGCATCTGCGCTCCTCAATTTATTTCATAGCGGCAGCAGCGTAAGTGTGCAGCGTAGCGATCGAAGATTTATCCTAGCCAGAATGCTGGCATGTTATTAGGTAAGACATGTAGAAGAGCGAGACTAGTAGGAGGTGTGTGTGTACACCGCGCCAAAGAAATTCGGATGTAACTAGTCATTTCGCCCGTGACATACAACTTTGAAATAGAAGGATTATAAGCGCGCCGTACAGTAAAGTATAGTACCATTAATTCATGTTTTACAATTCGCCATGACGCGTCCTCGTCCGATCACAAAATTTGCTAAGGCAGCAGCACAGTGCCACGTCGAGGTTAGTGAAGAGATTTGAGCCAGCAGAGAGCAATGTTACTGACGACCTACGTCCTACACAGGCAGCTGCGTATGGCAAATGTATTGTCGCTGATTACAACGCGGTGGAAAAGGATAAATGCGCGAGGGAATTCATGAAATTGAAAAACTGCTACTTGGTAAGTTCAAATCGTGAAGTAAAGTTGGCAGAAGCTGATGGCCAGTTGCAGCGAGCTGCCAAAAATATACAATAGAGTCATAGAAATTGATCAGTACTTTTTTGGTGGCAATCTAAATCGACTCAAAATAGGTGGCGCAAGCTAATGTAGCTATGCAGCTATCAACAGAGCCTAAATACGACTGCAAAGCTATAGCTTCAGCAACCTCAGCATCCAAGTTGCTTTCTGGATCTCTTGCTCTTCCTCCGCAATGAGTTCGCCTGTGTTTCGCTCCTGATGTTTATCAAGTGGTCTACGGAGAACTCTCTCGAAGGCAGCAGATTGAGTGTTGAGAACATCCTCCAAGCCAATCGACTCTGGGTCAGAAAGCATTCGATACTCCATCTTGACGTCGTCCGTCTGCTGCAGGCCTGCCTTTTTACGCAACTTCTGGACTCGGTTGATGACTTCCCGCGCAAGGCCTTCCTGTGCCAGACCTTCGTAAATGTGAACGTCCAAAAGGGTGAGTACATCGCTATCCGTGTTAGTTTCCCACGTCTTGGATGTCTCGTCGTCTTTAACACCTCGTCTGACCACCAGATCGCCTTCTTCGAGTTTGATCCCATCAACTAAAATCTCCTTATCGCGCACGTATCCCTGGCATTGTTCGCTTGTCAAGGAAGGAAGCGCCTTCTTCACACGGGCCATGTCCTTCTTAAGCTTCTTTCCTAGGACAGGCCAGTCGGCGGTGACACTATACTGGACACCGTATTTGGCCTCATCACTGGTGAGAACAAGATCTCGAACATTGAGTTCCTCGTTAATGTAATTTTCCAGAGACTTGACGTCGTCAAGATATTGCTGGTCGTGGTGAAGCACCACCAACGTTTTCAGTGGTGTTTTCAGCCCGATGCTGCGTCGTTCTCTAGAAACTCGAGCAAGCTCGATAACTTTTTGCATTCTCGAGACACGTCGTTCCACAGCAGAGTCAAACAATTCACTCCTTACATCGGGGAATCGGAGGAAGTGTACACTGCGAGCATCTTCTGCTTGAAGGTTCTTCGGGATATGGGTTAAAAGGCGACCGTAAATATTGTCGGTTAAGAATGGCGTAAATGGTGCGAGGCCGCGGCAAAGGGTAAAAAGCACCTCGAATAGCGCATTGAGCGCGTGTTGTGTATCGTCCAGGCCATTTTCGCCCTTGAGACGACGACGATTGAAGCGAATATACCAATTTGTGGTGTTGTCAATCAGTTCCAGCAAGCGGGGAACGACGGTGTAGAGCCGATATCCTGACAAATTTGTTAGAATTTGATGACTCGATTAGCATCGAAGCATTGGGCTAACCTTTCATTTCCTTGTTTACGAACTCTAACAGGCTCTGGCAGCTTGCTAAAATCCAACGGTCCATCACATTCGTGTTTGTGCTCTCCAGATCGGGGTTCCACATGTAATCAACCCCTTCAACCTTCTTAAGAAGAGCAACCTGGCCTTCAAAGAATTTGAAACTGTTCCAGAGGGGCAATAATACCTTTTGGACAACTTCTTTTACGCCAGACTCCTTGAAACGAAGAGGCTCAGCTCTGACGACTGGGGAGTTGATCAAGTACAGGCGTAGGGCATCTGAGCCATACTTCTGCATAACGATTGCTGGATCCGGATAGTTCTTCAGGCGTTTCGACATTTTCTTTCCGTCTTCTGCTAAGACAATTCCATTTACCACGCAGTTCTGGAAGGGCGACTTGCCGAAGAGATGAGTACCCAAGACCAGCAGTGTATAGAACCACCCACGGGTTTGGTCCAGGCCCTCGGCAATAAAGTCGCCAGGGAATGATGCTTGAAACTTATCCACATTTTCGAAAGGATAGTGTTGGCTGGCATATGGCATACTGCCAGATTCGAACCAACAGTCGAAGACCTCATCGACACGTCTCAGTACGCCCTTGCCCATCTTGCTGGGAATGGTGATGTGATCAATTTTGTCGCGGTGAAGGTCGGTAATCTCGCCTTCATGTCCGCTGAGCTTACGCAGCTCTTCCACGCTTCCGATGCACACGCGTTCTTCGAGGTCGTCACTGACCCATAGAGGGATAGGTGTGCCCCAATATCTATTCCTCCCAACATTCCAATCACGAGCATTGGCAATCCAGCTGGCGAAACGCTTCTCTTTGACAAAGCTCGGAACCCAGTGCGAGCTCTCAATGTTCTTCAGCATATCTGGGATGATTTCGGGAATGCGGATGAACCACGATGGGACTGCTCTATAAATGAGCGGGGTATCGGATCGAGGACACATAGGGTATGAGTGTCTGATCTGGGATTCAACAACCAAGCGGCCAGAATTCTTAAGGTACTTGATGATATGCTTGTCTGCTTCCTTGACATGCATTCCCGCGAAATCTCTCACACGTTCCGTGAAATGAGCTGTGTCATTAATGGGATCCGGTGGTGGACGGTTCTCAGAAATGATACCAGCCTCAAGCGCAACGTTGTAATCATCCTCACCATATGCCGGCGCTTGGTGAACAATGCCAACACCACTTTCAGCAGTGACATAGGTGGCATTCAGAACACGAAAGCCCTTGTCTTTGAAGTCTTCATAGAAGTAGTCAAACAAGGGTTCGTATCTCCACCCCAGCATGTCTTTGCCCTTGATCTTTTCCAAGATCTTGAAGTCGGCTTTCTTGGGATCCTTGTAGAGGGTGCTCAACAGCTTTTCCAGGAGGATAAAAATCTTCCCAGATTTTCCATCCTGAAGCTTGATGTATTCGAAGTCGGGGTGTGCCGCCAGGCCGAGATGTGAAGGAAGTGTCCATGGTGTGGTGGTCCAGGCGAGGAGGTTAACATTCGGGTCCTCAATGAGGGGGAATGACACCACAATAGCAGGATCCGTCACATCCTGGTAGTTTTGGTTGGCCTCGAAGTTGCTCAGCGCAGTTGTGAGAACCGTTGAGTACGGCATGACTCGATAGCCCTGGTAGACGCTTCCTTTATCGAACAGCTGCTTGAAAACCCACCAAAGCGTCTCCATAAATGTAGGATCCATGGTCTGTATCATACTGTTAGCTTTTGGCTCGCGTAGTTAGGCTATCATGCCAGGCAGCCATACTTTGTAGTCGTTGTCAAAGTCAATCCAACGGCCAAGTCGCTCAATAGTAGCCCTCCACTCAGAAGCGTATCGCATGACAATCGCTCGACATTCTTCGTTATATTTTCCAATTCCAAGCTCGTTCACAGCGGCTTTGCCAGAAATTCCCAACTTCTTGTCAATCTCGTGTTCGATGGGGAGGCCATGGGTATCCCACCCGAAGCGACGTTCGACATGATATCCCTTCATTGCCCAATAGCGCGGGATAATGTCCTTGATAGTGGATGCAAGGAGATGTCCATAGTGAGGCAAGCCTGTGGCGAAAGGAGGACCATCGTAGAATGTGTATCGTGGGAGATTGGCCGTCAGCTCAAGCTGCAGGAAATGGTCAGATTCAGTGCGCTGAGGTTTTCTTATTGGGAAGGATGAGACCAACTTGACGATGGAAAGCGTTGAGCTCTCTCCATTTCTCAAGGATGACCTCCTCCTCCTTCGGGAAGTCAATAGACATGGTGAGGAATTTCTAGACGAAACCTTTTTTTTCCGTCCTGATCTTGCCGTCACCGATTCGTGCCCAACGGTGAAGAGATCCTCTGCCGAACCCAGGCTGCTCCAAGGCAAAATTCGACGTTCAAATGGCGGGTCACAGCGCTCAATTACTCTGGTCCTGTACTTGAGGTACAATGGCCAGAACAGAATAGCCAGGCGGGAAGTTTGGGAACGGATGGTGGGTGAGTCAACCTCGAAGCGCATTTGAAAATGGTGGGGTTGAACAAGTTATTGCCGTTGCCCCCCACCACTCACTTGCCCTTCCGCCCAACATAGAGGAGGGGTAGATGATACCTACTGTAGGTACCTGTAGATATGGATTGCCTCTAACTTCTAACTAATTCGTACCTAAAATCAAATACTGCCTACCTACCTTCGGTATTTGCGAGGGAGAAAGGGAGAACCATTTTCACCATGCTCAGTGCGATGCACTAGATATATTACTCTAATCACCAGTGATAAGCAGTATGACTACAAGGCTCACCTAAGTAGGTACCTACACAAGCAGGCAGGCAAGGCAGGAAGCACACATCGGCGACTTCAGGTACACATGCTTCGGTGCGGGGCAACGGTTTGCTGGGGGGACTGGAGGGAATTCCAGTGCAACACGCAAGAATCAATGTACACAAATAGTTGCCTGTAATTCATATTGATTACTCCCAGTATCTTTTATCCTGCTAAAACCACATTTTAAGTAGACGCACTGTTGCGGAGCTTCCCTGGGTGCAGAGCAAACGCGGGCAAAAGTTACCCTTGTGATGAGCCGATCCTACTACGGCTAGCGTGGCTGTCCTATTGTTACCCAGGTACCTACAACCAACCCTATGTAAATAAGTTTGGCCAGCAACCCCTGTTTGACAAACAATCACAACCACACGCGGCAACTAAGTTACCTACCTACCAACGTCAAACAAGCAGCAGACAGCAGACAGCGCGCTGGTCCTGGCGGCCGAAAAGGATACCGCCTCTGATACAATATCTAACCAAGTAACATCAAGGCGCACGAAAAGGACACCCGCAGCACCCGGCGCCACTTCCGATGTCGTTCCTGTTCGGTCGGGCTCGAGCTCGCACCGTAGCCGATCTCCCCAAGCAAGCTCGCGAACATGTCCTGAAGCTTGATGGTCCTACCGGCACCGCAAAGGTTCATTCATTTTCTTACTCTGACACAAAACCACCTGCTGACAATAAAAGGCCGAGGAGCTGTCTCGCGTTCTGGCGCAGATGAAGGTGATATTGCAAGGCACACAAGGCATGTACATGTTCCTTTCTGGATGCGGACCTCAGCCATATACTCGACTGAATATTAACACTGAACCTTTAAGAGACCGATAGTTCCCCAGAACAAATATATCAACTGGTTACGGGAATGATCGACGAAGATCTTCTTCACTTGCTGGCCGTCAATCTCCATCGTCTACCGTTCGAATCACGAAAGGATACCCAAGTCATCTTTTCATACGTATTTCGATTTCGTCCCGCCGCGGCAGCTCCGAAAAGTGACCCAATAGCTCTGTCATACGTCGTCTGCAATCGGCCCCAAGTTCTTGTGGAGCTGTGTCGTGCGTACGATCATAAAGAGAGCGCAACTCCAGCAGGATCAGTGCTCCGCGAATTATTGAAAAACGAAGCTGCGGCTGCCGTCATTCTCTATGATGACGGCGATGCTCCAGGATCTAGTGCAAAAGGTCTGAATGCTATCGACAGGGACCGACCCCAGAGCGGAAGGGGCATTTTTTGGAGGTTCTTTGACTGGATCAATAAGAGCTCATTCGAGGTCGCTGCTGATGCTTTCACAACATTTCGGGTGATTTAAACAACTACACACGAGTCTTGACTGTCTACTGATATGCTTTTCTAGGAGCTTCTAACCCGACACAAAGACCTCGTCCCACGCTACCTCTCTGCGAACTTCGACCTCTTCTTCGACAAATACAATAATACACTCGTCCAATCAAATAGTTATGTTACGAAGCGCCAGTCTATCAAGCTTCTCGGTGAGATTCTGCTGGACCGCTCAAACTATAGCGTCATGACTGCATATGTCGACAGTGGCGAACACTTGAAGATATGCATGAACCTACTCCGAGACGATCGAAAAATGGTCCAGTACGAGGGTTTCCATGTGTTCAAAGTTTTTGTCGCAAATCCCCATAAATCGTTGCCGGTTCAGAAAATTCTGCTGATGAATCGCGAGAAACTTTTGACCTTTCTATCACATTTCTTGGAAGACAGGACAGATGACGAACAATTCATTGACGAACGAGAATTTTTGATCAAGCAAATTAGAAATATGCCCTCAACACCAGTTCCATCACAACGATAGATTCACTAGCATTCAGGATAGTAACCAGAGCCACTGAGGACTAATCCGTCACTGTTGGAGTATTTGTTCTCAGTTGTCAATGCCTTCACACCTAATGATTGCGAAAATAAGTCCACTTCAAATAAAAATGTCTAGCATACAATGTTATCAATCGTACATAACGCCAATCACACCCTATCCATACCCAGTGGCGAGTTTGCGATCCTACGCAGACGTGCAGTTTCCCCGGCCTTTGGGATTTTGTATCGTGGAACTTGCCCTGGCAGTGCCCTACCATTAACGTTGACGAGAAAGGAGTACATTGACGCTTTCTCTTGCAGTCTGTGTCGCCCAAACGCTGTTGCTCCCGCCCCTGCGCCATTCGTCGCCATAGCCATTGTCACCTCCGTTGGAACCTTCGCCCATGATGACTTCCAAGTCCCGCTTCTGCGAACTTAGCCAGTTCTTGACGAAAGTCGCGGGATCATCACCCAGTGATTTCATGAACGTGTGCTTAGCCTTAGAGGCCGATACAGCTTGTACAAGGCGCGCAAGTTGTTCATCGAGGCCGCTGATATCCTTGAGCATGGCCAAATATTGAGGGTTGTTGATCAGCTCCTGCAGGCTCGCTCTCAACGGGTCGTCAGTCGTCACTTGTATATCGTAGATGGTTGGCTGCGGGTCTCTGTGAAAGTCTTCGTCGACACGGATGGTATATGGCAGGGCAATGGGCGGAAGAGGCCTCAGGTTTTGTGCCACGTATTCGTTGAGCATCGGGATAAATCCAACCTCGCCTCTCACGACCTGTTGTATAGTTAGCAAGGCATCAAAATACAATCCCTGGTTGAGCGGGGTCAAACGCCGGTAATAGGAATCTCACCTGCTTCAATAATTCGTCGCAGCGAAAGTTGCGCTTTTCTTCATCTTCTTGAAGGCCGCGTTGCCTCACGTATTCCCAAAGTCCCATGACTGCTTCTTGCTGTGTGCCCTCTTTCATATCTACAACGTCGGCGAGTTCTGGGCTGAATTGGTACCGCTCAGGTATTTCCTGTCGAAACATGTTGATTGTGATGTTTGCATTTTCATCGCCGTTGCGCTTGAATGTTATCTCATCAAAATCAGCGGCAGCAGGAAGATTGGGCGCGTTTGGCTGTCGCATTGCTGCATCGGGCTTCTTCCACTCAACGCTCTGCTCAGCACCGTTGCGGAAGCGCGAACGATCAAAGTCGACAGTCATGGCTTTAAAGAAATGTGAAAGCTTCAGTTTGTCGGCAGTAGCGTTCAGTTTCTCTTTTTTGACCTGGCCTTCATCCATGATGTGGTCATTGTCCTCCTTAACACGGTCGGTGGCGGGGTCTTTTGATTTATTCTGGTCCTCGTCGTCGAGAAGACGGCCTTCGATTTTCACGCGGTAAGAGGCCTCTGCAGCGCCCGAAAAGTCGAATGAGTCAGAAGTTGGTCCATTTCCCTGCCAGACTTGATCCTGCACAGTGTTGGTGATCCAAATGCGAAGAGTTTTTGTCAACTAGGTCAATGTTAGCCTCAGTTGTCCATCCTAGCCACCCCCCGAGTTGACCTACCTTCGTCGGGTGCTGGGTATTGTCAAGGACATCGAGCCTTTTGCGGGTAATGGTTGCATCAAGCAAGCGCTCGATATCTCTGAGGTCTCTGTATCGCTGGGCGCTCTCTGGGTTGACAATGCTATCATCGATGCCATCGGGTATGTTTTTGTCGGTCGGTTTGCGGCTGCGTCGCTTTGCGAGCTCAGCCGCCTGCACCTGGGCTTGTTGTTGTTGTGCCATTTGTGCCTGTGTTAGTGGTACTGCTGGGTGCGGCCCGGCAGACATCATTGGACCTGTCGCGTTGTCAGTAACAGATCGAAGGTAAGGTACAACCCTTCGAGCCAGACGTAGAATTCAGCATACCAATGCCACCCCGACGGGCAGTCGCATGTGGCGACCTCTGGGGCGCTTGCTGAGCAAAGGCGCGATACTGTTGCTGCATTTTTGGAAGGTTAAAATTGCTCAATGTCGCTGCATATCAATCGTTGTTAACCGTTTGGCGCTTGATGCTTTGCGCTGAGAATCCGCGTCGCGACGGCTCAAGCGCCATTAGCTTTGAGTCACGTGCCGGCAGTGGTACAAGGTCTGCCATGAGCCATCCCCCAACCACAAACCCCAGGCATCCAACAGACGCCGGAAAGCATCCAAAGATAACAATGTCCAGAATATGAGTCCTTGCTACAGGTTGTTTTTGTATGCTGCCAACCGTCACAGCATGCTTCTCTCATCACTGCATCTTAAGCAGCGTCAGCGCGTAAGCAGCACATTGTAGTTCATGAGTAGGTACGGACTTTTTCTTTGAAACCAATCGTTTAGAGGGGCGATAAAACTAAGTTTATGAGCTGATATATCCGTAGTGATCAGCAGCAATCAGCCCTTGATTGCCGGACACCGCCATCAAATGCTGTGAACTAATAAAATGCCAAGAAAAGACGTATGTGCCCAAATAGGACACAGATTCCCAAAAAATACGCCATGCTTTAAATGCTAGGATGGACTTCTTACTCAGTAAAGAGTCCCAATGGAAACATCAAATTCGCTGTAGGTGTAAATCGGCTCCAAGCATGCACAAGGCAGCATCCCTCCTTCAGAAAGCGGCACCAAGGCCACTGCGTGATTGTCGTTTACTAAAGCGATTCCTCTTCGGAGCAGGCTCCTCGGCGGCGCCTTGGCCTTTGGTAAGATGCCCGCGCGCTGGTCGCTCATTGATGCTGTATGAATCAGGACCATTGCCCCGACCGCCGAGGGTGCTAGAAGGGCTGGGCACGGTCGAGGACATTTCGGAAAACCCATTCTCGCCGCCCTGGGCTACAAGGTTCTGAGAAATAGCAAGGTCACGCGCTCGCTCCAGGCTGCTTATCCATTCTTCTGCGTACGATGTACCGCTTTCCGATGGCGCTGTGCCTTTATTTTCTTCAAATGTATAGCGGTTTCCTCCCTGAGAGATCTTTTGTTAGCGCAGTTGACAGGTGATATTTCACTGAGCAAACTTACAACGTCGACACACCAAACCAGTTGACCTTTTGCGTCATTCTGGGTGTGCCATGAGCTGTCTGTTGCGAGGAGTGAAAGCTCCTGTTTGGATCGCTTTTCTTCCCCTCCGGCAGGAGCAAGAACAATTCTTCCGCTCGATGTAACCATGACGAGTCTTTGACGCTTCTTTGTCGTGCTGCCTCCGAAGAACCGAGAGAGCTTTCTGTGGCCCTCATCTGCGCCCTTGCCATTGGCACCGTTCTGCAGTGGACTCGAAATGACCAACAAGTCAGCCAGCTTTAATATGCGTTCGTTGTCCTTCGTGAGAACTGGAGACCATTCGATATCGAGTTGGGTGGGAGGCGGAAGCTCCGTGATAATTCGCCCCGGACGAGGCGCTGTTTTTTGATTCATTTGCTGTCGCGGTTGGCTAGCATTGGGGGCATTGCTGTTCTGGAAGCCATTCAACTGGATGATGTTTGGCTCTTGTGGAGGGGGAACATATGGCCGAAGTCTCGGCGCTTTGGTCTTCCATAAACCTCTCCCAAACTGCTGCCCTTCAAAGAACTCGTGGTTCTTTATATGCTCGATTGTTAGCCTTCTAGCAGGATCGAGGACCAGACAACGTTCCACAAGGTCGCTTGCAGCTGGTGGAAAACCAGCGGGAAATTCGTATTCGAGGTTGACGATTTTTTGAAAGGTGAGGTACTCGCTTCCAGCTTTGAAGGGCGGTCTTCCAACGAGTAATTGGAAGATGATACACCCGAACGCCCAGATATCACTTGCTTTTGAGGCGGTCTTGTGCGTTAAGAGCTCGGGGCTCACATACTCTGCAGTACCAACAAAAGACGCAGCTCTGTCTTCATCTTGATCAGCACCGGTATCGTTGCTATATGTTGCATTTTGCAGGTCCCTCGGATCTCTCAGCAACTTCGCAGTACCAAAATCCGTGATCTTGACGTGCATCTGATTGTCTAGGAGGACATTCTCCGGTTTCAGATCACGATGGATAACGCCTCGAGAATGCATATAGTCGATAGCGTCCAGGATCTGGGCTCCGTAGAATCTCACACAGTCGATATCAAAAGTTCCTGTTTTCTTCAGGACGCCGAGAAGCTCTCCGCCATTGCAAAGATCCAGGACGTAGTAAAGAGACGCCTCGTCTTGAAACGTATAGTACAGTCTGACGATGCCGGGATGCTCGGTGAGTCTGTTGAGGGTGTTTTTTTCGATATTGACGTATTTGATCTTCTTCTCTTTGATGATGTGCCGTTTTTCTAGAACCTTGATCGCGTATTCTTTCAAGGTTTGTCTGTCGGTTGCCAGATATACGGTGCTGTATGAACCCTCTCCGAGTATCCGGCCGAAGGAGAAGTCTCGAACTCCCTTTTTAACTTGTCGTACTATCGACCTGCCATTTGCATCAACTTCTCTCCTGATGCCCACAGCAGCACCGCGGTCTTTCCAGTCTTCTGCACTGGGTTGGCCGGGAGCTGCCCCAGCATAGGCGACCGATTGGCCCGGTTCGTTGCGCAGGTAGTCATCAGGTCTTCCTCTCGATGATTGCCTGCGTGGGATGGACTCGTTTGCGGTGCCTGTAGCGAGTGCCATCAGTCGATTTGACTGTTGTTGCAATGGTGACTCGCCGTAGCTACCTTCGTATACAGTCTGACTGTGTGTTGGCATAGGGTGATGCGTGGGCAGATCGGGTACGCCCATGGGCGGCTGTGTGTAGACGAGAGGCTGTGGTCCGTTCCCATGGGGATATTGTTCCATTTTGAAGCCGTGGGGGTCATTATCAAGGTTGCCAGCGGCAGGTGCTTCGTGATCTCTCCGTGACGTCTCATGTACCGCAGTAGGGGCAGGAGAAGTTTGGTCGACGTGGATTGGGGTACGGTCATGTGTCGCATCATCAGGATTGGCTATTCGAAGGCCACCAAGAGCCTGGGAGAGACTCAGGTCCCCGTTCATTTCTGGAGTCCGGGGGCGCCTCGCTGCTCCCTTGGACAATGAGCGGTGCAGCTGTCGATTGATGATGCGTCTTTGTGCACTCCGCCACTGGGGACGGATGCTTCCTCTAACTAGTTGGGTAACTTCTGGGGTTCTAACCTGATTTGGCGAAAGGCTCACCAGTATACGTTGCGGGTACAATTGGAAATAGGCCTTGACCGCAAAAGTTGCCGCTTTTGGCGTGTACCTTTGATGTACCTCTCTTTTCTTTTGGGGTCTTCTTATCATTATGTAATGTGAAATCTATCTGTGAAGGGAGCAAGTTACATGATTCAGTACTAACCTGGTTACGAGAGGTATCGTAACTACAATGGCGGCCTCGTATTTACGCACATGCTAAACTAAAGAGCCGTATTCTTTTACGTGCCTGTGTGCAACTCTGTGGTCTTTTATTGTCTATGCCTCAGTGTCTTTTTGATTACATTGGTTTGCCGTTTGCCGACGCTCAAATGGGCCGTGTCGTAGCAGTTACTATTTTGTAACTGCTGGATGTGTAAATACATAGGTACATAGGTATCAGGTACTACACTTACACCAGTGCTGCAACCAGCCTGTTGCTACGATTGCATATGTTTAAATACACGGGCCAGACAGTAAATCCCAGGGGCAGAGGCAATACCAAGCTCCACTTCAGTGGTAGGGAATACTGAACCGTGTTGGTGTACCAAATGCACCATTTCACGAAAGGCAATGCCATAGATATTCCAATAACCACAGTCTGTAGGGTACGGACACCCGGCGTCTGTGCAAGGGCCGGATTCGCAAAATTTACGGGGTGTGGTGAGTAGCACCTACAGCGAAATAGCGATCTTGCCTGGCCCGCAGGCGTTGGCCGGAAACATTCGAATCTCGTCCCCGCCCAGGCAAACTCGGACGCCGACTGGACAACCGTGACAACCCTGGCCAGCCACAGCCATGCTCAACCCACCCAAGCCTCTGCCCCGCCAGTACTGACCAATTAGACATGGGATTCCCACCCAAGCCGCTGCGCTTCTTTGCATCAAAGTCAACTGACAACTGGGGCTAGCGTCGCTGGCCACCAATCTTTAAACAGCATCCATCCTGCATCAGTGTCTGCTCAGCGATCCAAACTCTCACCCGAGTAACATCAGCACCAGGGCATTTTTCGTTACACCAATCCACCAGCCCGCTGCCCACCTCCCACCACTTCGTCCGGATGCTCCAAGCTACCGACTCTTGTCTCATCCTCTGCCATACACTCCCATTGTCCCACGCTCCTCTTCTTACATCGCCCACTGGGAGCACGCTTGCTACCAACATTGCACCGCACGTGTTCGCCAAACACCAGTCTCGCCGCCGCCCATCACACCGACTCGAAGCGCATCCATTGGTTTGTTGACTCATCACACACTAACCTCATAGCTATAGCCTAAATCACCACCGACATACACACAAGATGGCCTCCTTCCAACGCCAATTCACGACCGCGTCTCCCGTGCTGGCCCTTCCCCAGCCATCACACCCCAATCAGATCGCGGGATCGGTATTCGCGCCACCCCATGTTCAGATGCAGATCCAATCGCAACCTTTCGACCGACCTACCGCCTCACAAGGTAGAAAACGTTCCAGAGACGAAGCCGGCGCCAACCTCGAGCCCGACGCGCCTCCCGAGCCAATGGTCGACCCTCAGGATGACTGGGTGTATGGCGAAGGCATGACACTGATCAAGCCCAACGCTGGCTACGTTGCAGATGCCAGCACCCAATCGGGCACCTGGATGGAAGAAAAGAACGTCGCAGCCGACGCAGAAATGAAGCGCCAGGTCGAAGCCGCCCAAGTCGACGTCCGAAGCCACAAACTCCAGCGCATGGCGAGCGACGAAACATCATCCGTCACTAGTCCTACAAGTGTACCGCCGACCATGCCTGCTCCGCAACCCGATGGCCCAGTCATTGATAGCTTCACTCTCCACCTCGGCATCGGTTGGCGCAAGATCAGCGACGATGAGCATATCCAAGCGGCCGCCCGAGGCTGGGCCAAGTTCATCGAGAACCACTACCCGCTCAGCGACGTTCAAATATGCCTCGAAAGCAAAGGGCTCCAGTCCTACCTCGTGAAAGCTACCGAGGGCTTTTTCCTCTGCTCAGAGGACCTCCGCCAGGCGCGACTGGTCAGTCGTGATGCCGACACTGCCCTTCGCAATTTACAACAATCTCCACCGACCTTTGAAGGTGCTGAAGCTATTGCAAGCGTCGGCACTCCTGCTTCTCTCACACCAAACGCCACCGACATGGACATCAACATGAACTGAAGCAAATGAAAACACCAATCACCACGGCACTCATGTTAAAATTGACCTAGCCAAACCAGGCCCAGTCTCGCTCTTTCTTCGTGATTTCAAACTCGTGGCGTATTAACAGGATGGAGGTAGACCGGCTCTTGGGCCACGGTATCAACCAGGCGCAAAAATGTACTTTATTTACTCCAACGATGGCAACATATGTATGCCAAACATAGATTTGGAAACAATGACCAAGCTACCCACTGTACCCCTAGGCAAAGTGAACGTCTCCGTGCATGTCTGGCATGAGCTGCGAATGGTGACTCTGAATTGTAGCAGTTGAAACTTTTACCGTGTTACACATTTACCTTTTCCCCATCCCACGTCGAAGAGACGCCAAAAATCCCGTCTAATCGATATGTAGCCAGTGTGTTAACCATTTAACGTTCTGCCTGCTCCTGCATTGTCGTATAAAATGCTAGACAGGTAGGTACCTTTGCAGTGCCATTGCTTCTGGAAAGATACATGGCTACTAACGGTGCACGTTGGCATGTATTGCTGGTACCCGCCTAGTTACGTCGCTGTGGGGTCCGCTCATGCAGCACGCCGTCTCCGTCCTCCACGTCCGTCTCTCCTGCTTCGCCTACAACCTGTCTCATCATCATCATCGCTGTAAACGAGGTCGAATAACCACCGCACCACAAGCCGAGCCAGAAATTTGCGACAAAAACCCGCCCCCGTCTCCTCCCATCTCCCTCCACGAGTAGCCTCCGCCACGATGAGCAGCGCCGAACAGCTGTACCTCCTCGCCGACCACATCAAGCTGTCCTTGCTGGAGCGGCAGCGGGCCCAGAGTCTCGGCCTGGACAATGACAGCCAGGACGGGCACCTGTCGCGGTCGCTCGAGCAGCTCAAGTCCGGGCTGGCGTCGCTGGAGATGGAGAAGACCAGGCTGCGAGACAGCGGGGATGACAGGTATTAAGACGCTGCCAGGCCACCAGTCACTTTTGCTCTAACCACTCCGCCAGTGCCGCGTCCGCCCTGAGTGACTCGATATCCTCTCTCCAGGAGCAACTCGACCACCTGACGTCGCAGTTCCACGGCTTCGTATCGCCCCAAACCATCGAGACCGTCACCCACCCCAACTCCGAGGCGCTGGCGGACGACTTCCAACACGCGACGTCCACGCCGTCCGCCTACCGCAAGTCCAAGTCCGTCAGGTTCAGCGACACGCCGTCGTCACCGTCCGAGGAGCTGTTCGGGCGCTATCGGGATGATCCGGCCAACAACCCGGCCGCCTACCGCGACCAGGCCGACGAGATGTCGAATCAGCAAATTCACGAATACCACTCCCAGATCATGGAACAGCAAGACGAGCAGCTCGATCGCCTAGGGGAATCCATAAACCGCCAGAGGGAGCTGAGTATGCAAATTGGGGATGAACTGGACAGCCACGTCGTCATGTTGGATGAGGTAGACGGTGTCGTTGACAGGCACCAGAGCCGTCTCGACAGAGGGCAGAGAATGCTCAGCAACATTGCAAGGGGCGCTGGCGAGAACAAGCAAATGACCGCCATTGTTGTGCTGATAATAATTCTAGTCCTTTTGATTGCCATTTTGAAATAGCTGGGGAGCTGCTGTTGGTCGCATAGAGGAGCATGGTGCTGGCGTTCTAATGTTTGGTGCATTCAAGCGTTTGTCTTTTCTCATCATTTCCTTCACCTACTTAATCAATCTTTTTGTTTGTATTGAACCTGCTAATGGAAGACGAAGTCGAATTCTGTCAATGTAAAGCATCTGTTGAACTGCCACCTCTACCCCTCTCCCTCGCATTCGAGTTCCTGCATCACTTCGACGCAGTGTCTTGTCCACGGTGTGAAATAGGGGTTTGTACAATTTTCAGTAGGGACTATCGTATTACCTCGCCTTCTTTGTTGATTCCCTCGAGGCTTTCCAGAATATCACTGCTTCTGAAGTACCCTGGTAAGCCGAGGGCTTTCTTGCTTCCTGCCTCCCAGACCTCATGGAACTTGACTGTCTGATCGCTTGCGGCAACAACAATGCAACCGTCCCCAGAAGGCCGAGAAGATCGAGATTGCGCCGATCCAGTATGTTGCCAAGGATATGGGATCGCGTACAACGCTCGAAGCTCCAAGGACCACGGTATTGCAGCAACTTGCTTGCAGTCTGGCCAACTGAAGACCGCGATTCTGTATGGGTGGTCAGGGGCGTAACCGAATGTCGCGGCGATTTCTCGGCGTGTCGTAGACCAAATAAGCGAGGTGACCTGGGCGGCAACGGCGATTGTTGCCAGCGGAGATCCAGAAGTTGTATGGAAAAAGTGTATGCATTTGTCATTCGACCCGCCTCCGGTTGCAAGTAAGCCATCACGCCAAGGGCAGAATGCTATGGCTTTGACGGCTGCTCCATGGACCTACCGATGTCTTTCGCAACCGTGAGTAAGGGTCCGAAGACTGTCCGTAGAAGTCTGAACTCGTCTCACATCGGTGTCTTCCTCGATAACGTTTCCAATAAAATTGAGAGAAGAACTTCGACGGGCCCTTTGAGTTGATTGAAAACGAAATTGCAGCCCGTGCCGAACCAATGGAGCCCGTGGCCCATCCTGAGGAACCCTGGTGGCCTGGCCCTCGCTTAAAACATCGTCGACATCAAATAGGCAACAAAGATTGTCGTTGCCACCCGACGCAAATAGTCGACCGATTGGAGACCAAGAAAGACCGCAGACCTGCTGATTGTGGATGACAATCTTGGCGACCAAATACATCGAACCCGGCCAATTATCTCGAGAGACTTCCCAGTTCATTGGCCATTCAATGATGTAGTAATAGATTGTTCCTGTATCATCACCTACTAGCAGATCTTCCGTTTGAATTGGAACTCCAGGATTGAAAGGGTTCTTTGATGGCCTCAGTGTGCACACTGGCCGCTAGCTGAGGCAGCTGATACCAAAAGGTTGCCTTACTTCGAAGCGCGGCAGTGCATCAGACGTCGACTGTAGCACGAGCGATCCATCATTTCTGCCGCTAGCAAGGATACATTTCTTTCCCTGAACTGACGAAAAGGCAACGGAAGACAGGTAGATCCCCGCCGAAGGGCGCCCATGCATTACGCGGACACTGCTCTCTTCTGTCCAAGTATATAGCGTGTTTCCCAAGCCAACAGCGAGGGTCTGGCATACAGGAGAATAGGCCAAAGTAGAACAATAAAAGTCGTCTCTTAGAAAGGGGGCATCCAAAACCCTAAGAACAGTTAGGAAAAGCCATGGTACGGGGTCTGTAATACTTGCTTGAATGGTGCCGAAGGCAGTACCCTTGACTTTGGCGCTGGTAGTTGTCCTACGGCGGATTAGCTAGCGTCTCAAGATGTAGGTTGAAGTATGAACAGACTGGGTGCATCGTTTATCCATTCACAGCCAGTCCAATACGTTCTTCCAAGATCGCATTGTTCCATGATGCTGATGGCGAGCGGCGGTGGGGCGAGCAGCGGAGAGAATTGTAATATTTTACCAGCTTGGTTGATATCGAGAGCATAGGCAACACGATCTTGATAATTTGCCAAATCTTCTTTCATACTTGATTCGCTGGGAGGCTGTTGGTAACCTGTGGATGTATCAATATTGATGGATTGTCGAAGCTCATTTGGAGCAGAAGTTCGCGTAAGACGAGGCGGGAGATTACCGATGTTCCACACGGTTCCTACGCTTGTCTGTCTTTGCTGGAATCTTCGGAAGTCGTGATGGGTCGCATGAGATTGATCTGAAGATTAGAAAATAATTAGTCTCTTGGCAATGCGACTGGCCCTAGTAAAACCTACCGTGAGGCTCTTCAAGCGGGTAGAATCGCGCCATGAGCGAAGATGATTGTCTAGGCTGTGGCAAGAAGGGATCGCGGCCCGGGAGATCTCGCCTGGAAATTCTTTCTGTGTTCGAAAGCAATGCCAACGGCTTGATAGTTCGGTAGCGCTCGCAAGTAGATTGATTAGCCCTGAAGGGGATAAATCTGTCGGGCGAGGGTGATGAGGTAGCCTTGCCAGCTTTCGTAGGTGTAGAATGTGTTGGCACATTCTCGGTACTGTTAGAAAGCCATTCCTTGACGGTGTCTGTAACATGCAGCTTTGTTGCGACATCCTCATTTGTGATGTCGACGGCAAAGGCAGAAGTGTGACGCTGGTCGTTGGAGGAGGCTCCTCCGATATCGCGAGAAACTTGTTGACCATCTAGACCGCATATACTAGCAAAACGATCCTTGGAGCACGGAGAACCGAAACTGCTGCATTCGTCAAAAGAACCGTATCCCGAGTCTGGAGTCCCTTGAGATAACCAGGCTGGACTGGTAACACTGCGGCGTTCAGCGCGGCTGTGAAGTGGTGTTCCATTCGACCAGCAATCTTCGGAATCAGAATCCATTGGTAGCTACCTTTGTGGTAGCGGAAATCTGGCCAAACAGCGACCGTGCAGCATTGAGCTAGGGAGAGGTGAAGAACAAAGCGGTCAGCGATGATTACTATTAATTAGCTGGCGTTGGGCAGACAGAGCTGGTTCTCGGTCAGGTAGAAATATTTAGCTAAAAGTGACGGAGCCGTAGGAGAGAGGAGAAGAGAAGAGGAGACGCGGAGCAAAAGAAAAAAGAAATGTTATACCGAGGCGGGAAAAAAAAGAAGGCAAATTCCGGCTCGATAAATGGGAAGGCGCGGCGGCGGTGTGGTTATGAATGGTGCTGTCTAGGCTTTCGCTGTCAGCTCCCCAATGCAGCAACATGAAATACTTGAATACTGATCGGTAGAAAATATCAAGCCAGTTGATTGATTAGATGGATGCCGGTGGCACTAGTATAATCTACAAAAATATACAATAAAAGATCAGATGTCTTGTCGAGCTGCACCCGTGGCCACCCATGTATACAGAAGCCGTTGAATCCAATGCCGGCTCTCAAAATGCCCAACGTCCAAACCCCTAAGCCATGCTATTCCTGATATTGTCGAACTTCGAGTCGGGATAGGAGAGACAGTTCTGCGACCTGTCCAGGCTGCCGAGAGCCGTACTGCCCCTCTCGATGAGAGACTCGGAGTTGTTTTTGTCACCGGAGGCTTCCCAAACCATGATACCGCCCAGTCCCTGCTGCTTGAGCCAGGCAGCCTTAGCCTCGACCATCTCTGGGGTGTCAAATGAAACCAGTGTCTTGGTTTTCGGGTTGTAGCAGTAGCAGCCCATAACAATGTAATCGCATTTGACAATGGCGCCCTCGCTGGGTAGGGACTTGTAGTCGTATACTCCTGCCTCCCAGCTACCACTGCCGACACCGTTAAATGGCTTGGCGATGCCTTCAGTCTGTTCGAAGGCTCGGCCGTAGATTGGTACACCGAGAACAAGTTTTTCGGCCGGCACACCGCCCTCTTTGTACGCCTGAACAGCATCGTTCGTGTTGAATGGGGTCGCGCTGGTATTGTTGGCGTTCGGAAATACATTGGCGTTGTAACCGGTGGTATTGCTCCAGGATCCAGCATAATCATAGGCCATTAGATTCACAAGATCGAGAACCTTTCCAAGCTCGGGAAGCTTCAGTAGGCCAATTGTATTGAGCCCAGCAGGCGCGGCAATAGAAAGCAGGAAGTGGTAACCCTCAGCGTGTCGCGAAGCGTAGGAGTCGAGCTCATCGCGGATCGCCTGGAGCAGCAAAATCATGTTCTGACCATCTTCTTCAGTCTCAGGATACTCCCAATCGATATCAATACCGTCAAGACCCCAATCCTTCAGAAACGTAACCACGGACTTGGCAAAAGCTTTTCGGGTAGTGTCAGAGCTGGCGACAACGGCAAAGTTTTTAGACCAGGTCCAACCACCAATCGATAGCAGAACCTTGATGTGGCGATGTTCCTTCTTGAGAAGATTGATTTGTTTGACGCATCCAAAAACGTTATTACCGGGTTCATTCCAAGCTAGAATATGTAAGTAAATTAGTTTTGCAGGGAAGAGGGGGACGTGTATACAGTCATTGTAGTAGTGCTTTTCCAAGTCAGCGTAGGTGTCACCGGAAAACCTATTAAACCTCGTTAGAGTCTGTAATCCCCCGCATCGTTTCAAGTGTCAAATACACTGTGCCAGTCTCATCGAAGTTCATGAAAGAGTAGAGCAGATGGGTGATATTTTCGGCTGGAAGGTCGGCTACGTGGTAGTTACGGCCGTAGATACCCCTGACCGATTATTAATAAAGCCTCGAGACTATAAATAGGAAGGGAGAGTGACAAACCAGTTGGTAAAGTAAACGACATTTTTATAGCCACCATCACGCTTTGGGAAACCAACTTCACTGGAAATTGGTGTGGCGAAAGTGGCGACTGCTCGCAGCGCCACGACCGTAGCGATTGATTTCCTGAGGAAACCCAGCATTGTAGCGGAGGAGAAGAGATGAAGAAAGGAAGAGTAAAGTTTGGGTTAAATAGAAAAGAGTAGATTCAGATTTTGGGCTTTAGATTTGTTGCTGAGGGGGTATGAGCATTGGTAGGTGGGAGCAACGCCTTGATATATATACAAATACACATACATGTGTGCATTCGTCGTTGCGTCTTTGACGATGTTTCCGGCAGCTCCAATGAGACTAGGTAACGAAACAGTAGAGCCGGCGTCTCGCCAACGTTGTCTGGAGACGGACGGCATTCCGCCTCGACGAAGGCTGAGTGATTGAAGGTTGTGGGCTCGCGGTTACTGCAACGCAAGGAAAGTACGGAAGCTCGCGATGGAAGAAGAATTGGCGGTTAACTCGAGCAGCGTTGCTCAGTCTGTCCAACGAGCCACCTGAGTAAGAATTGCTCCGGCCATGGACAGTATGCAATCAGCTGGCAATCCGTGTGACTGCTCTCATACGAATGCCTCCAATCTTACAAAATGGCATGCGCGCAACGGTTGAAACTTGGGGGATATTTGCGGGGGCAACAAATTAGGAATGCAAGGCGTTTCCTGAGTGGCAGCAGTCGTCTCTGGGCAGTCTCGATAACGCGAGACTGCCCATGCACGGCATCTGCACCACATACTGCGGGCCAAAACGGTAGCGCTGCCCTTTCCAGAAGCTCCAGAGGCTATGATGCATCGACCCGGGCGGTTCGTGTGACGACAAATGGCAGCGTTCTGGGGTAATGGTACGTGTTGTTGTATGGGGTTGAGTTGTACAGGCGCTGGCTAGAAAAGACTTGCAACGTGGACGCGATGAATAGCTCGCGGCATACAGGCGGCATGTGCAATGTATCCCACCTGTCAGTCCACCCTCGCCTGATAGCATCCGGACGCACCTGAAGCCGAAGAGAAATTTGACGCGCGAAGCATGCAGTTCGTGTTGGCCGCACTGAAGAGGAGTTGTAGTGCGAGCGGGTAACCAGGGTGTTGGCCAGAGACTGGCTGTGAGTACTTGCCTTGCAATAGGCTTTTGGTCATATTTGTACATATCCGCCCTCTGGCTTCACAGGCCAGCCGATGCAAGTCGGTGAGAGGACAGAATGGAACAAAGTTCGCCGTCTGGTCGTTAGTTAGTAGTTTAGTAGTTGTGTACTGGTAGAGAAGTGAGAGCCGCTCCACCAAATTTCTCTACAACCAAGTGGCAGGCAGGGTAGGCCAGCGCAGCAGAGCACTTCAACGCATTCGATTCTACCACAAATCGACGTAATTGGCATGCCAATTGAATTAAATACATAATTTTCTTAAGGATTAGCAGTTATCTCAAAAAATTGTCCTCCTTGTATTTGACGTGCCCGAATGTCTCGAGCATTTCACTGTCAATGCTTGCGCCACCAATCATCCATCCTCTTTGGCTGGTTAGTTGCTACCTATGTACTGTACATACATACATACATAGGTAGTTAGAGGTCTACCCCGCCATGTGGCTGCTTCACCTTGAAAAAAAAAGTTCCTTCCCCCACGCTACATCTACTGTGTTAGAACGCCAGCACCCGTTATATAATTCAGATCAAATGTCCAGCGTATGAATTTAACCCTTGTCGATGCATTTTAGCCCCGTTGCTGATCGTCAACCCCTAGCATGGCGTGCCTAGGATTGAGCGTGACCGGAGTCCAGAGCAGCTGAAGAAAGACCTCGAGAAGATCGACAAATACCGAGCCCTTGAAAGCCAACTACGCGCTCAGGTAAATTGAAAACGTCCCTCCATACATAGCTGGAGAGTGATATTGAGTAACACAGGCACGCATCGTTAGACTCCGGAGTCGCGCTTCGATTCGGCCACCTTGGAGCTGACCACAAAGCTCCTGCGCATAAACCCCGAATACTATACTGTATGGAATGCGCGGCGACGTTGCCTAGTATCCGGGCCTTTAAAAAGGGAAGATAAGAGACCATTACCAAAAGATGCCTCGGAGCGCCACGACACGGGCGACTCGCCCATCGATGCGCCTCAGTCTTTGCCACAAACCGACTCTAGCGACAGTGAACTGACACGACGCCGACTTGCTACAGGCCAAGGTCACACGGAAAAGGACAGGGAACAGGACGACAGCGATGGAGATAACACTAGAAAGAAGACCTCCGAAGTCATTCGAGACGAGCTTACATTTACTGTGCCGCTGTTGATGGCCCATCCCAAGTGCTACTGGATATGGAACTACAGAATGTGGACTCTGGAACAGGCCACATCGTTGCTACCCGCCGAGATTGCCAAGTCTATTTGGCAAGAAGAGCTCCGGCTCGTGACCAAGATGCTGGAACGGGACCGACGCAACTACCATGCCTGGGCTTACCGGCGCTACGTTGTATCTCACCTGGAGTCCACGAAGCTCCAGGGACAGAGCATGGCAGAATCGGAGTTTGCTTACACGACGAAAATGATTGGAAGCGACTTGTCAAACTTCTCCGCCTGGCATAACCGCGCCCAGCTGATACCAAGGCTGCTTGTGGAGCGCGAGGCGAATGACACGTCGCGCAGAGCGTTTCTCGACCAAGGTGAGTGAAAATGCGATGCTGGCCGGCTCTGGCGCTTTGTACTCACTCAGGCCTTAGAATTTTCAATGGTAGATAATGGGCTAAATGTTGGCCCGGACGATCAGTCACTATGGTACTACCACCAGTACCTTAACTTGAATGTCACTGAGCTGCCCGAAAATCTAGCCATTGTGCCTGGGATGCTCGTTGAAGACCGAGCCAAGGTGCTCAGTCGCGAAATTGACTTCATCAAGGACCTTCTTGAGGACTACAAGGATGTTAAGTGGATATTCGAAATGCTACTTGAATATACACTGCTCTTGCATAAACTTCGCAACCAGCCAGTCAGCAGCGAGCAAAAGAGTGAACTCGAGACCTGGGTAGCGAGCATAAAGAAGCTTGATCCCCAGCGGTCTAATCGCTGGAGAGAATTAGCAGAAGAACTAGATGTTTCTCAATAATATATCGACTTGTATTAGATGCATCAAGCTAGTCCGATGCTAATATAACCTCCGCGTTGACGCGCGAATCGACGTTCTAATTGCCGCATTTCGACTTGATCTGACTGGCATTTTGGCCAACCAAACCATCAAAGTAGGCCAGCAGTTTCTCAATCGGAATCATGTCCATCAATCCCAGCGCAGGCGTAGATGAGCGCATCGTCTGCCCTCCGAAAAGCACACGCACGTAGTATCCGCTGGCAGACGCCTCGCTTGTATTTGTAGGTGTGGCAGTCGCGGTAGCAGTAGTGGGAAGGTCAAGGCACGAACAAGCGGACGCGACGCGAGACTCGCTACCGCCACATTGCGTCGGCCACGAGGCGGTTGCGGTTGCCAGCTGAAGGCAGTAAGAGGAGGCTGTGGAGGACTGTCGAATGATGTGGCGAAGACAGTTATCGTGGTTGCAGTTGGGGGCGATGGTCGCGGTGGGCGTGGGCGGTGACTGCTTCTTCTTCTGGTAGACCTCGAAGACGACCTCGGATCCCATTCCAGGCCAGACCATCTCGTCGATTTGCAAAATGGACAGCAGGCGGGATAACGATCCGTCGTGGGCGACGTTGTGGTAATAGATGGTGTCACTCTTGCCCGCAATCACATTGCGAATGTTTGCAGCAAGTTCGGCGATCCACACGCCGAGGGACCCAGTGCTTGCATCAAGAGACGAGGAGCTGTCACGGTAAATCTGGCTGTACTCCCAGTTACCCCATCGATAGACCGCATCTGCAAGCTCCTGAGATACGCAGTCTGTGCTGTTGCGACCGTCCACGAGCTTGCACGGCAGCGGCTTCGCATGGCACTGGCGAGCAGACAAGTTGTCATAGTAGTGGTCAAAAGACTCGTGGAAGCCGCCATCGGACGACGGAACACCGGAGATGCCGTCGAGCGTGCGATAAAGGTCTGCGGCCAGGTCGAAATGGCGACGCCATTGTTGGTTGGAACTGGACTTGATGGTGTTGAACAAGTTGCTGGAGGCTTTGCACTGATACTGCGGCTCTAAGCTGTCGACGCCCTGCGCCTGCACAAGAATCGGGACGGGCTCTGTGATGTCCCACATCGCATTGATAACCATACCGACCACTTGACTAGTGATGACGTTGTTGGTCACACGGTATTTGACGGACGGCGGAAGCCCAGAAGAGCCCCTGGGCGGCAGGAATCCAAGAAGATCGTGGTAGACGCTATACAGGTCGGCGCCATGCTGCCACGAGTCCACCAAGCCCTCGGCAGTGATCTGAGGAAATTTGCAGCTGCCGATCCAGCCAGACGGCACAAAAGGGTTGATGGCAGAGATATAGCCCTGCTGATAAACCCTGTCGGCCTTGGGACCGGAGAAGGGCTCTCCGTAGTAATTGAGCATGGAATCATCACAATTCCACTGGTACGACTCCACCGGGAACGCGTTGGAGGAGTACGGCGTGCGCTTGTGATGACGATGAATCTGTAAGAGTTAGTAAAATGGGAAGAGAGAAAGAGTATGAACGAAGAACACTTGCCAGCTCGACGTATTTCAACTCGTAATCTGCACTCGGCTTCACGTACTCGGTGCGGCGAACGTGAGGCATGTTGCACCAATTGTAGACTCCATAATCACTGTCCGGGGTCTTGGAAGAGTTGAAGATGAAGCCGTACACGCCAGTGGCAGTAGGCACAGCGTCAAGGTCGTTGACTTGATTCTTGCTGGGCGCGTACCACTTGGTGTCGACCTCTGCTGCCCACACACTTTGAAGCGGCATGCCGCAGCCCAGGAGGAGGCCGAACGCGGCAGCGGCGGCGGATCGAAAGGATGACGCCATGAAAAAGACTTGTATTCCCGTGCCTTGTTTTTTAGTCCAGGCTGCTATGTGGCAAGCCGTGCACCGATGCCGGCAGTGATCGATGACGGGGTGCGTAACCTTGGCAGCTGGTGGTTAGGTTCACGAGAGCGTCAAGAGGAAGGGAGATGGCGATGGTTTTATAGAAGAAGAAAAAAGAGATGGGCAGTAGAGAAAATTAATTTTGACTTCATGCGGCGTTATCGACGCCACGTGGTTTTAATTGAAAAGCCATGGCTGTTCGGATACTGGACAAATGGTGCAGGTTCCGCCAGGTAATAAGAACCTCTTGCCTGGGCTCAGTTCACATTGTTCAGCGATCACTGCACGTGGGCGCTGGGCTCGCGGCCATTTCAGCGCCACCAAAAAGCCACACCGAGAACCCGGTAAACTACTGAAGTTAGGTAGTTTATTAGTGGCAAATGGGGGGGCGATAAAACCCGACGGCTGCGGATATACTTCACAATCGCGTCCTATTTGAATAATGTTTCTGTAGCCTGTATTTTGATTACATGGTGATGACCGCGAGTACGCCCATAAGCTATATTTGGTATCAAGATATTGAATGGTGGCTCTGTGAGGCCTGTCATTAAATAGTGGTACAAGAATAATACAGAAGACGAACGCAATTCTCCTTGCGTCGTGATATAGCCGCTTTCCTCCTTTCCAGTCGATTTAAGGGCGCCCTCGCCCACGGGGTCGCATGCTCGGTCGTCCTCTCGGCCGCCCGCGCCCCCTGAGCGCGACAAAAATCGGCCTAGACGTACTTCCCGACCGGTCAATTCTTGCCGGAATATCATTGTCACTGGAACCTGAATCGCTCCCCGAACCGCCTGTTTCTTCTGCATAGGTGACGTTCACACCACTCTCTTGCCGAGAGGCAGTGCTGGTGTTTTCGTCAACATCCTCGAAGGACTGTTTGCGAACCATCGTAGGCTTATTAACCGCAGTAAAGCTGGGCAGCTGCACAGTCATGCTTGCCGATCTCTTGGGGGAATTAGGCTGCGGGGCGCTGGGTGATGATGTACTATCCCAACCTCGCTTTGCAATCTTGAACGTTTTTCCACGGAGCGCCATACGCTCCTTCAGAGACATGAACTGTTGACCTGCAGTGCCAGCCCGCTTAGGAGCTGGTGATCGGGAGGGCTCGGAAGCACGAGGTCGACCTCTGCGTGGTTTGTGGGCAGTAGAAGCGGGCTCATAATCGGCTTCTTCAGCTCTTATCCGCTTTGAGGCGATCCCTGGGCCGGACTTCCTAGGACGTCCAACGCCGCGTCGCCGTGTATCGCTGCTGGCTTTCGTCTTTTCCGTGATATCAGCTCTCGTAGACCGGATTTCTAGGCTTACTGAAGGTGGGCGTTTGCTGTGCGCGGGGGGTCGGCCACGGCGTTTTTGTCCTGTAGGGGCGCTGCTGTGGGAATGGACTTGAGCTGATGAATCATTCTTGTCGATAGTCGCGTCGTCAGCTTCTACCTCAGGCGCAGCATCCATTGTTGGCTTAGGTGATGGTTTTCCGGGTGCGCTTGCTGGTGGCGTATTGGCTTGCTCATTGTCGTTGAACTCTTCCACCTCTAAGTCTTCCAATTCAACATAAGATGCCTTGGGCTTTGCATGCCTTAGTAGGGGTTCGCTCGCATCATAGCGGAGATTCCCCTTCCTTTTCGGTTCTTCAGAGCCAGGTTGTACCGAAGTCATGTCCTCAGTATTCCCAGCGCCGCTTTCTGGAGCTGGTTCTTGCGCAGACGCAACAGGGGCTTCATTAAACAACGCAGGATCCATGCTGTCGAGGAAATCATGCTCGCGTTGGGGCTTTGGCCGTTTCCGCGAGTGACTCTTGATGATGAACTCTGGGTCTTCATTGTCCTTTTTCGCCTTTCTCTTTGCGCTGCGAATAGATTTCTTAACCAAGTCCGGTATGTCTGCTTCCTCCTCCCTCAAATCCTCGGTGGTTGGGGCTTGGTATGGGTCAAAGAGAATCTTGTCTGGAGTATCATCTTGTTCGTAGTAGCCCATTCCGATCCTTTGAGCTGCGAATACAGGTGGGTCAGGGTAAGACGAATCATCTCCATCTTGCCCATTCATAGCCTGATCTCTATTAATAAGCCAGGGTGCTGATTGCGGCGATGGCCCCGCTGCCTGTTGATTGAGACTGAGCTGCGCAAAGCCGGCTGGTTCCGCCCCTTGTTGGTAAGAAGTACCGCCAGCTATCGGTGTTGGCCGTTCGTGATGGGATGAATCATGGGTTGAGCTTTCAGCAGCCGGGCCTGCGTCGTCGTCTTCATGGTGTTCACCCTCCGCCTTGGCTGTGTCCGCTTGTTCTCGCAACCGCTGCATGCGCTTGGTATCCTGGCCGCGGCTTTTTTCACCAGCGGCCTTCAACCAAGCCAAATTGTGTAGTCGAAAATCAACAAGAGCTTCGACACTTCGGTCATCCGCAACAGCCCTTGTATCGTGCCCAAGCGATGTGTTTTTCGGCGTATATGGGTTGGTAGTTCCTGTTCGGCGACAGTAGCCGCAATTGCATATTCCTAAGCACTTTGGACACTGCCAATTTTCGTCCTGGAGGACTTCTTGTGGCATCATGTCGAAGGCTCTATAAAGGACACCAAAGCAATATCCTTCTAAGCAATCGGGATTTGAGCACATCTGCATGCGATAAACAAGCTCCTTGTGACAACACACATGGCATCGCCGCACATTGCCTTTCTTTTTCCTCCTGCTCCGGCTCTTCTTCGCTTTGGACTGCTCTCCCTCTTCGCCTTCCTCGGATTCGCTTGGAGCTAGTTCTTTTTCGGTTTGAGTGATGTCCTTCCACGGTCGTTGTCGCAGTGCCTCTTGGCAGATTTGTGCAACTGATTTCTTGCCACTTAGTTGTTTCGCAACTTCAAGTGGCTGTGGAGAAATATTGACATCGATGAACCCATCATTAGAGATGATCATTGAGCGCCATTTTTCATGGTTTTCAACAAGCTCACTCCAGTGCCACTGCTCACACCATTGCAAACCCGACAGACAGCCGCAAGACCGGCCCATGGCATAGCATTCCATGCAGACGTCGTATGTATCTTCATCGCCGTTGACGAGAGTCCGAACACATCTCTTGCAAGTAAGAAAACGATTAAAAATATTTCCGCGGCAGTATGAGCAAGTGATGCAGGAGTCAAAAGGGACGAATTCAACCTCCCGCTCCCTGAATAAAAACACTTCATCCACGACTGTTTTCGTAAAGAGAATGAAAAGTTTCTTGAAATCCGATGCCAGCTGTTTGGCCCGGAAGGAGTTTCGTATGTCATCCCGATGAGTTTTTCGAGCATGTTCATCGAGCGATTGCAGGCGTTGGTAATAGATTTGAAGTGTATAATAGATCATGGCCTTGTTCTTATACTGTTCATCTCGACACACCAGCCGAGCTTTCGGAAGTGCCTCTTGCAAAGCTAACTCGAGTGTTTCGACAGTCGTTCGGTTCCATGCAACCTTCATTGTTCTTGTCCCTCTGTTCCACACTTGATGAGCGGCAAGAGGAGGAACTAGGATAAAGTCACCGACGCGTTGTTCTACCACATAAACATCGAAAGGGGCCTTCTTCCACGCGTTGACTTGTGCGAAATGTTTCTCAATCTCAATGTCATGGCCAAGCATTGACAAAAAGTACTCTCGGACGACTGCACGGTCTTTGCTTTCCGTCATAAACCAGATCGAGCTGCCGGGCTTTTCACCATTTGCGTCACCTGAGGCCTCCACCATGATATTTTGCCCGAGAGACGCACACATTTCACGATGCGCTGGTGTGTAGGTGCCTTCATGGCCGATGTAACACATCAGGTTTTCAGCGCGCATCTCTCGAGGTAGGCTGGACATGAGATCTCCAGCTGAGGCGGCGTCGCTCTGAGGGTTCCGCGGCTCATCCTCAGTTTCTGACATGGCTCCAGTGCGGGTGACAGTGTTGTTGAGATAGAATAGAACTGGATTGACAATGTTTTGCAGTGCCTCCTGCCATTCGGGTGGGCAATCAATGTCCTTGAGGTAGAGACGCTGTCGTCGGTCATCACGAAAGTTGGTAGGAGTCCACTGATTGGTCAACTGCTTCATGGATCGTAAGTAATGACCTGTCGTCATGGGAATATCGCTCTGCGACACGATGTCGCGAACTCTTTCCTCTAAAGCGCAGTCAGTATCGCGGTTGATGAGTCAACAGGATCTAATCGCTTCTCACCTTTCTTGTCGTACTTTTTCTCCAGCCACTCAGAGCTGAAAAGCCACTTTGGCAAAACCGCATCGAGGCCTTCGATGACAAGCGGTTTTCCTCCATTGATAACGTGCATGAGGACGAGCTTTTCGAATTCCTGAGGACCTAAGCCGCGCAGTTGGCCTATCGAAACTCGCTGTGCCCATTTTAAATTGGGCACCTCATCTACCAATGAGCGCAAGTCGAGATCCGGCGATATAGGATCGAACTTCGCCTGAGGGTGAGATGCCGCAGGCATCGTGTCTGATTCTAAGGTTGAGCCTAATAATTGTGATCAGATGTCGTGTCTGCAGAGCAAGCGCGTTTGGCACTTCATTATTGGGTCGTATTGCTTGTTTGCCGACAAAAATAGAGGAATTGTGATACAGCAGCACTATACAACGGACTTTCACAATAGTTGAACGCCTTGGAGTGCTTTCCCCATGTCGAACACGAGGAGCGTCTCGCGGGTGGCAAGCTGCTGGCTCGCGTTCTCACGTGATAGTGCCTAAGCCTTCTGCGGCGCCTGAGGCTGGAGGTGTGTACCTTGGACTCGGAGCGATTCCATCTAAATTTAGTGCCCGTCATTAAACCAGCCGACCAGAGAAAATGCTACAGTGAGAACATATACTACATAATAAAACGGGACTTCGCACCTCGTGGTCAATACTGGCGCATACTGTACTATTGGACTACTCCTCCGACCTTGAAGGTGCGTTGCTAGTCCTGAGCTCTTTGTCGAGCACCAATTTCTCACCATTGTTGCTTAGATGACCCTCTCCTTGCTGCAGCGCGGCCTTAATGGCAATCTCGCTCGGGGACTATTCTCGTCCCGCTTGGCGAAGGCACATCAGGGCCTGAGGTGTCGCGATGCGAGAAGGATGCAGCTCCGATCGAGTATCCGGCAAAGCACAACGTTCCATGCAAGTGATCGTCGCCTTCAAGCTGCAGCCGAGCCTACGGGGCCAACCACTCAACAAGGCCCATCGCCCTATGAAGCACCAAAAACTGGCATCCTCTCGATGTTACCTGCAAAATGGATTCCCTATGGAGAGCTCATTCGAATTGATAAGCCAACCGGAACTTATTATCTCTTCTTCCCTTGTCTCTTCTCGACTCTTTTGGCGGCGCCCATGGCAGAACCCATAACATCAATTGCGTCCGTTGCCGGTACCTCACTGCTTTTCTTTTCCGGAGCTCTGATAATGCGCGGCGCTGGATGTACAATTAATGATTTATGGGATCGGAATCTTGACCCGCACGTTGCGCGAACGCGACTGCGACCCATTGCACGCAAAGCGGTGACTCCTTTCAATGGCCTGGTGTTTACTGGCCTCCAACTGCTGGCTGGGCTCGGAATTTTGCTCCAATTTCCGTTCCAGTGTCTCTACTACGGTGTCCCTAGCTTGCTCTTTGTTGCCATCTATCCATTGGCAAAGAGAGTCACTTATTACCCACAGGCTGTACTGGGGCTGACGTTCTCCTGGGGAGCTATCATGGGGTTCCCGGCGCTTGGAATCGACTTGTTGTCCAACAGCTATGCCTTGACCGCTGCTGCTTGCTTGTATACGTCCAACATCGCCTGGACTGTTTTATACGACATGATCTATGCCCATATGGACATCAAGGATGACGCCAAGGCTGGAATCAAGAGTATTGCTCTGAAGCACGATGCGGATACCAAAAAGGTCTTGACGGGACTTGCAGCTGTTCAAATTGGGCTTCTCGCTGCCGCAGGAACTGCCGCAGGGGCTGGACCTGCATTCTTCATCGGGAGCTGTGGCGGTGCAGCAGTTGCTTTGGGCGTCATGATCAAGCGCGTCAATCTCAAGAGCGTTAAGGATTGTTGGTGGTGGTTTGTCAATGGCTGCTGGATAACTGGCGGCGTCATCAGCACAGGTCTTGCGACAGACTATCTGCTTCGTCTGAGCAAATCGGAGCCAGAAAAGGCCATCTCAACGTAAGTTGAGCGTAGCATTGAAAAAAATTGTACAACAGCATGCATAGTAGCGATTTGATTGTGGAATAGATGGTGGCCGGTCGCATGGGAGTTGCATATGTATCATTCATAGTTCATGTTTTTTTTTTGAAGACTTTTTGTCTAAATCTCAATAGCAGTCTCCATTGATACATTTCCCAACCTTTAATGCCAATGTAAGCACGCCGATAGGACTCCTCATGCCGAAATAGGATGTGTTTTTCTTCCACCACACGCCGCATTTAAGAACGGGGCTTCTCCTTCTTCTCCTTCCACAGAGCGAGCAGACCGACACCGGAAACCTTGACGACCTTGAAACGAACACCGGGAATATCACCCTTGGCCTTGCCCTTGCGACCGAAACCAGCCAGGAGAACCTCGTCGTTCTCGTCGACGAAGTTCAAGCAACCGTCATTGGGGACTAGAGTCACGTATTAGACAGGCATCCCCTGTATGATGCGAAATGACAGTCTTGTGCTGCCCGTACGTACCGAAAGCTGTGACCTTCTTGCCGTTCTTGATCAACTGAACACGAACGCACTTTCGGATAGCCGAGTTAGGCTGCTTGGCCTCGACACCGACCTTCTCGAGAACAATTCCCTTGGCGTGAGAAGAGCCACCGAAAGGAGAAGACTTGAAAGCAGTGCCTAAAGCACGCTTCTTATAGTGAAGATCGGCCCATTTCTGGTCCTTGCGGTTCGTTCGCAGCTTTCTAGCGGCGTTAAGACCACGGGGTTTGCCTCCAGCCATGATTGCTTCGATATATTAGTCGGACGTGTTCGATGTATAGACGGGGGTTTCCAAGGGTTGGAGTCGAATTGCACGTACCGAATTATCTGGGTATCGCGGGACGGTTGGTGATGTGACTTCTTGCGGAGCAGGCGAAAAGTTGGACCAAAGTCCCGCCAGAATTTCATGGTAGGGTTTTCGGCCCTAGGAGCCAACTCACAATTGGTGGGCGAGGTCACGTGATACAATCTTCCCAGCCGGGGATGAGGTAAGCAATCTCAAAACACAGTCTAAACTAGATCGGGGCTAGTAATTGCGCCGCTTGCTGGCGTTTGCCTGGTCATTTTGCCAGGAGGCTGTCTGCTTTATTGAGATGAATTGCTGGAATTTATGAGGCAGTATTCGCAAAACACCGTCAGTATGTCTCTCTCTAAAACTAAGAGCAAGCAAAGAGATCCTCCTCCATCTTTGTTTCTTCATCCCTCTCCAGGCGCTTCCCGCGTTTCTTTACCCGGGATTTTAGCTCCTGGCTCTTCTGTACCCGGACCAGCAAGCATCAAGCGAGAGCGTTCGTCATATGACAGCAGCGCTTCGATACGGCATGCACCAGCAACTACATCAGACCAGCAAAGAGCTGGCCGCGCTGTGAAGCCAGCGGATAGCAATCGGGCAGCAGACCGGACAGATGCCCTTTGGGCGGAGATGCAGGCAACTCTAGAGGAAGTTGAGCTGTCAGCATCTGCGGGCACTCATGTATTCGGTCGCTCGCACGATATCAAATTGGCTGAGTTGCGAGCAGCACAAATTGCACTGGCACAGGCTTGGGCACGCAGCGAAGCAGATGGCACGATGGAGAAGGCTTCCCATGAAGAGGGAAGCCCAGACGTTGGCGATGACCTCCGGAGCGCAAAGGGGTCGTTCGCAGACGCCGCCAAGCCGGGTACCAGCGATACAGAGCCTAATAATAATAATAAGGGAAATACAAGTCTGCCACGGCAATTCGGTGAGGACGTTGAACGACTGGGAGCCAAGTTGGAAGAAGAGACCGAGGCAGACATATTATTAGCCAGGAAACGGCGCGAGGCAAACGATGAATACTTTCAACGTGTAAATGCTGGTGTTATCGACGTAGTATCAAAGCTGGAGAAGGTTGCGATAGCGATGCGAGCGGTGGAACAGGAAAGTAAGGATGTCTGGAACGAAGGTGAAAACGAAGGTGGCAGCGAATAGCAGCAGGTAGTATCCCATGTATTATATCCGCAGCAGCATGGCTTGTACCTTGAGAAACCCTCCCATAACGATCTCAAACTTGGAGTAAAGCTCTAAGAATAATAATGACCAATTGCGCATGATGCGCACAAGAGAGAAAAGCCAACAAGGAGAACTGAACGCTGCATCGTCCATCAAGGGTTTCATAAAAACCCGAGCTCCAGTTTCAGAATTAAGGTTGTCGGTAGGGTAAATAAATATGAGAACTCTGTATAATAATCCAGTAATCTAATTTCAAATTGTATTGCGTGGCCCTGTGTATTCTCATCCACAGGAACTTGTAAGGACCTGCCCAAAGAAGGAGGTTGTGCAAGCACCTGTGCGGGGAAGACTCTTGGCTGGGCTTGTGCCGAGGCGGAAGAACTAAGTTGCGCGCCGTGCTCGCGGGCAGTAAATAGGCTGGTCCTCCCTGTATTAGTGTCTATGTCATCAGGTGTCATTGCCACTTCCCATTCATCACAACCCGCCACGTTCCTTTGAAGTTACAAAGAAACTGCCTGATACCGCGCTCCTAGCGATTCAAACAGAGTCCCAACTTCAGCAAAAGCGCATAGGCGATAACAACTTTCAGTCGAGATGAAGCTTCTGCCGCAAATCATCGCCGCGTTGGCCCTGCTTCCAGGCGGGTTCGCTGTGGATCGCAAGATGTCGGTCATCGTCTCCTTTGACGACTCTACACCCGATTATATTGTAGCCGAAGCACGGCAGAAGATTGTTAATGGCGGCGGACAGATAACGCATGACTATCAGATAATCAAGTATGTTTCATATTGCCTGCCACTTGTTCCAGATGCTAATCATGCTATCTGCAGGGGCTTCTCTGCTATCGCGCCCGAGAAATCGCTGGAAATAGTGCAGGCCTTTGGCAGTGAACACAACATCCAGGTGGAAGAAGATCAGATTATGACGGCCAACAGTGGTTGATCACGGGCTTCCATTCGGCACGTGTATATGACTATTCGAGAGTATTGCTATAGGGACATGATCATTGATGTATATGAGACGGCGTTGGGTTAGCTGGTTTTATTCCTTCTTTCTTTATAGGTTCGTGCCATCTGAGCTTTCGGAACAGTTAGGTACATGTCTCGTGATACTCTGCGGAAATGCATCCGGCTTTTGCGACCACTATTTCGCAAGACACAGATGTGAACACCTAGTCGACCAAGGCATGTATGCTGAACAAGCTGAGCGATTTTTGTATTCATTTTTGGGTACCTAGTCATCACTTTCGCTCAAATGTTTTGTCTTTAAAGTATGTACATAGCGCGGCTGGTCCCTGTAAGATTGCAGCTCCTCGGAAAGTGGGTCTGACATGGTGAATGTCGTAGCCTTTGACGTGTCGAGGATGATGCTCATTTTGGACCTTGCATCTACCTAGCTGCCGTACAGGCAAACAGTGGCTTTTATGTACGGTATTTGCGAGCGAGAAGCACCATATTTTGGGAGACAAAGCATTATTATCGCTGGCACTCAACCCGGCTCTACCTATTCGTCATGCCGCCACGTTCGAAAGCTCTCTACTCTGCCGTTAGACTTCCCTGCTCGTTTTGAAAGCTGAGCGCCACCTAGGTAGCCAGCGTATACCACCAGCTCGTCACGGCGTATCCGATTATTCTCAAAGGACATAATGCCGGTATACAGCGGGCGCGCGCAAACCGCGCTTTTAAAGGCTGTGAGTTTTGCTGGCTTTGCTATCTCCCGTGCTGCGAGAAACTAACCCAGCCATGCTCAGGTAAACCACGTGTTTAGCCTGGACCGCAAGGCCGACTCTTTAGAAGATCTAACAAATGGCATAATATTAGCGAATATTCTGCATGAGTTGGACCCCGAGTTTGATCCGTCCCATCTTGAATCCAATCCCGCCACCTCCAGATACCTGACGAACAAACGCAATATCCAAGCTGTCTACAAGGGCTTATTTCGCTTCATCCGTCGACAAATTCCCGAACTAGGCTGTCAGGCTAAAAAGTTCGACTACCATGCCGTTGCCGAGAACCCCGAGCCGCAAGGGCTCAGCCAGGTACGTGATAGCTTCGACAAGACGGTAGTCTGTGGAAGATCGCAAGCTAAGATACAATACTCATAGCTCCTTGCCGTCATGGTTTCTGCGGCTGCAATGGGGCCGGATAACAAGAAATACGTTCCTTTGATTCAAACCAGCCTCGACAAAGTCAACCAAGCGGAAATTATGACCATCATCCGCGCAATGCAAATCGATGCAGCGAACGCCGGCGATGAAGACAAGCTCAACGAAGACATCGATGCAGTAATGGAAGCCAGAGATATGGACCTCGTAGTTGAGGAGCAGAATGCAGCCTTGCGGCAGCAACTCGAGATCAACAAAAAGGCACTCTCTGACTATATTACCCGCCTGGAGCACCTGCAACAGAGCCATGAAGAACTCAAGTACGAAAAAGAGCGAAACGACCGGGAACTCGAAGTGTTACGCAAAGCTACGAAGGATGGCGCCAACAATGCCGAGGCTATCCGTCTTTTAGAGGATCAAGTGCACGAACAGATGGAGATCATTGCGAAAAACGAAGAAGCCATCCGTGACCATGAAAGAGCGCGGGCACAGCTGGAAAGCGAAGTCCAGAAGCTTACACAAAAGAGTCAACATGCGGACGAGCTGCGAGATCAAGCTACGGAATGGCGCCACAAGGCTGAGGAGCTGGAGAAGAAAGCCAACGCTGCCGAGCGCTATAAACAGAAGCTTGAATCGCAACAGCATCTTGTGAAGGAAGTGCAAAATCTACAATATGAGCGCGCAGAATTGCAGGAGCAGCTTCGGTCTCTGATGGACGAACGAGATAAAGGGGATCGGACGAGGAACGCTGAGGATGAGCTGACGCGCATGTTGACCCAATCCGAACAGCATCTGTGGGATGAGCGCAGCCAGAAAACTCAACTTCTGAAGGACATGCAGACGCTAGAAGATGAGCTACTGCGACTAAAGGCGCAGCGCAGCCACGACGAGCACTTTATCCAAGACCTGCAGGATCAGTTGCAGCAAGATGGTGGAGCTTCGCAAGGAGATGCTCTAGCGCTGCCTGTATCTTCAAGCTTGGAGGATGAACTGAACAGTGCAGCAAGCGACGATGGACAGAAAAACATCCCCCTTGAGCTATCTCGGCTAAAAGCGGAGAATGACCTACTTCGGAGAACCATTGGGTCTACAGGAGACGCAGTCACTCTGCGCAAAGAGGCCGATGATGAGAAGAAGCAACGTGAAAGACTTCAACAGAGCTTGAATGAAATGTTTGAGAAACATACGATAGTTCAGGACCAGATAGATGCTCTGATGAAGAGCTCTACAGGAGAGAAGTCTGCAATCCTAGGCCATCACCCCATTGTTTTAAGCGCCTGCTAATATCAGCTATAGTTCAAAAGCGTTTATCAATCTGCGATCTGAGCATGGCCAAACTCAACATGAGCTCGAGCAGCTAAAGAAGCGCACTGCTGCTCTGCAAGCAACACTCGCAGACAAGGAACGAGAGTTGATGGGCGCAAAGACAGAGCTCTCGGCTGTTGAGAAAGACGGCATCTCCGCCCTAGACGAACTCAAGAGTACCGATAAACTTATATCTGAGTCACTCAAGGTGGAACTGGATCGTCTGCGAGAGGAACTCGCTTTTGTTAGCAATGAAAGAGAAGCCCAAAAAACGCAGCTGATTGACGCCCTGCTCGCGAAAGACAAGTTTCGCAAGGACGCCGAAGAGGCAAAGGAGCTTCAAGAAACGGCTGCACTTAGTGCTGCAAACCAAGATTCTTCAGAAGCGGCCAAGAAGGCAGCAGAGAAGATTGAGAAGTTGCGAGACCGCCTCGTTGAAAGAAAACAGGTGAGAACATCGGGAAGGCGTCTCAGTGGCCTTGGCCTCAAACTATATGTTTTTGAGAATTTTGAGAAAAGCGCTAACATTTTTCAAAGCAACTTGAACAAGCTGAGCAAGATAAGATCGACCTGCAGAGAGAACTCAAAGCTTTGCAGGGCGGCGAACTTGCCACTGCGCAGAAGGTAGGTGTATTTGGCATTGAGTTTCCTGAGAGCATCATCGCGACCGGCGAGGAAAGGCTAACCACACTTTCAAACAGGCTGCTGCGGATCAAATGATCAAAAATCTGCAGCGCGAGAACGCACTTATTGCTACGGCGTGGTACGACCTCACCAGCCGTCTACAGAGTAACCACGTCGTGCTTCAGCGCCGGCACGATGCGCCCAAGAGCTGGCTGAACAAGCAGAGGCAGATGGTCAATGGTCAGTTGCGCCAACGCGACATGCTCTACCTCTACTGACCTATTCTTCTCAGCTTCCCCGCGGAGATAAGGACGTAAGGTTGAGCTCCGTGTCTGCTCCGCGACTTTGCCCGCCAAAACTGCACCCCCTCTTCGAGCCGGTGTGAAAGTACCAACGGCCCACACCTAAGCCGTTCAGAAGAGAAGAAGAGAAGAACAAGGTGAACCACTCTTTACAGACTGGCCATCAATCTTCGGTTGTATACACCTGGGCACAGCCTAGAAGCCCGTTCAAATGTCCAAGCCAAGCTTCCTTTTATAGACCTTAGCGCTCTTTTATTAATATCCCATGTACATTTCTCTAATTGGCAATTTTCTGGTTAGCAGCACGTGGTTTCTGGAATGCGAAACGGTTGGTATTAGATAGCTTATGTAGATATCATCTTCAAGGGAGGCAGAACAAAAGACCACAATCATCCAGCTGGTCACGGCAGAACGCAATGTGAGTCGTTAAGAAGTTTATCCTCTAACTGCAGTAAAAATGCCAAACGCCGTTTACCTAGACGTTGAAGCACTCGATACATAGATTTTATCATAACCCTAGGACTACACGCGGCAAAGTTCAGTACCGCTGCCGAAAAAGACACGCACGCCATGTGGCCCCCTTCCTGCCTTGACAGCTTGATTTTATCCAATTGCGCCTCCCATCCCCAGCGTATGAGAAGATGAGGTCGGTTGAGACGACGGGGGTTCTTACTTCTGCCCCTCGAGGATGGTCAGCATGTTCTTCCAGACCTGGCCGGGCTTCTGGCTGGCGTCGATGCCGTGCCAGATACCGTGCTTGCGGTAGTAATCGACGACGGGGGTGGTCTGCTTGTGGTAGGAGCCGAGGCGCTTCTGGAGGGCCTCGGCGTTGTCGTCGCTGCGCTGGATGAGAGGCTCGCCGGTGATGTCGTCCTTCATGGCCTCCTTGGGGGGGTTGAAGGTTGTGTGGTAGGATCGGCCGGAGGCGGGGTGGATCAGTCGGCCGGTGATGCGCGCAACGAGGAGGGCGTCGTCGATTTGCAGCTCGACGGCGTGCTTGAGGTCACGCTTGCGCTCCTTGAGCATGGCATCGAGGCCCTCGGCCTGGGCAACGGTGCGGGGGAAGCCGTCGAGAATGAAACTGTAGAGGCGCGTGTTAGTAAAACGCAGGGTGAGGAGCTTGGTTTGTACACTCACCCGCCCTGGCACTCCTTGTTGTTGTCAAGCTCTTCCTTGATCATGCCAATGACGATGTCGTCAGAGACAAGACCGCCTTGATCCATGATCTTCTTGGCTTCACGCCCCAGAGGAGTCTTCTTGGCAACCTGCGAGCGAAGCATGTCGCCAGTGGCCTGCAGTGTGGTAAGAAACAATGCGTCAGTTTGCGTGATCACTTGGTGGGTTTCGTTCCGGAGGCGCGATTTGGACGTACCAGGTGGCAGCATGAGAAACGCTCCTTGATTTTGGGCGCCTGTGTTCCCTTGCCTGAATTGAGAGGAAATATTAGCAATTGGCCCGGTCCGACGGCACGGGATGGGACCATGCGGTCGCGGGCGGCTGGGGGTCAATCTGGCGTTGACGGGCTTCGCTACTAACCAGCTCCAGGGGGTCCGATGAGCAGCATGCGAATCTCCTCGGTCGAAACAGGCGCGACAGAGCCGGTGGCACGCTGCTCCAGGCTCTTGATGCGGGCGTCAAGGTTGCCAATGACATCCTTCAGCTGCTTGAGCTCATCCTCAACGAAACCCATCTTGGCGGGCGGGCTAAGACGCTTTGTGGGAAATTTAAGGAAATAATCGGGACAAAGGCTTTTTCTGGCAGCCGGTGTCTGTGGCTAGTCGAGGGGAGAGCACGAGGACGCGGAGGAGGCAACGGAGGCGCAATGCCTGGGATGTGGGCTCGGACGAGGCGGAATAGAAATAGGATGAGGAAGTGAGGTGAAAGAGGTCGAAAAAATGGCAGTGACGCTGGAATCTTGACCTTGGCTGCCGGCCACGGCAAACGCACGGGGATTAAATGGCCTTGGTAGCGGAAGCTCCGTTGGTGCGGGCGCCCTGATTGGCCTGCTGGGCTCGGTCCCAGGCTTACAATGTTTTTTTAGGCGCAAGGTAACGTAGCGGATACTGGAAAGGCACATCCACGTGCAGGCCCTTCACAGCGCTACGTTTGCAGCTCCCTGATGAGCAGCTCGCTGTAAATCGGGGCTTCTGGGGCCGGGGACCGAGGAACCTGTCAAGTACTAAACTGGTACACGGGTAGAGCTCGGTACTGGCGATCGAATCCCGGGCGTACGGCCGCATTGTGCTCATTATCATCCTACAAACCTGCTATGTCCGAACTCGCCAAATCCAAGCTCTGCGTAGTTTTCTTGCCCACAAGTTTGTCTCTCTTCTTTGAGCAACTTCCCATCCTTTTTCTCCCGACAAGTCTTTTGTACAATATGCAGTGCACGCTCACGTGATGATTCCCTCCACGGGATGATATTACTACATTGTAAGATTAGGAGGAGCATTCTGACTACCAGGAACGTAATATTTGGATTGTTTTAGTTCTGTGCCTGATCATTGTCCCCATCGCTGCAATGATAGAGAGCCTCGATTCAGCAAAAAGAGCGACCATTATTTAAGTGGACTGATGGCTTCCGCATCCCCATCGCAGGGTGTTTCTGGGACTCCGCTAATAAAAGACGCGGCGAGGTGCCTGGGTCTGGGTCCTTGGATGTGCCGCCTTCAAGTGAAGTGACGCAGCTCAGAGCATTTCCTGCACTAGCCATGCCTCGACTGTGGCTTCCCAACCCTCTCATCATTAGCAGAGCGTGTATGTGATGCTCTCGAGCTGTTTCTTTTTCCTCGGAATGATGGCTCGACCCCCTCATCGGAATGCTGCTACTGTTGGTAAACTGCATCGGCTGACCGGAATCCCATTGAAGTACCTTATTAGCTACCTACTACTAAACAATACTGTGACACGGCAGCAAGTATCGGTAGTCCAGGATCGCACCAGCTGTCACAGATGCCACACACATCTAGCCAATCGATGGCACTACCCCGCGTTTTTATTGCGACCATATCATAGCTGAAAGGTAGCCTCTGGCGCTTTCAACCCTGCAAGTAGGCTTTTGTTTCCATTCATTGAGAGCTGATTGTATACGCCCAGCGAAAACCCAAATCAGTGGATATGACCATGCTGCCTTTGCTTGAAGTGCAAAATTTGATCCTATTTAAGCTGAGAACACCTCTCGCCTCTCTTTCACTTGAAGCCTCAGAAACCGCATCGTACATCTAAGAATGGTGACAGAAAAAGTTGCTGCTGTCCCTGCCAGGGTAGGTAGGAGTAGCCACACCTTTTCAACCCGCAGCCATGCAGCTGCACGAACACAGACTCCCTGCCAATAGTAAGCTGGTAAAATATTTGGAATACCTCACTTATGCTGCGCGGATTCGGAACTGAGATCGGAAAACTTGGCTTGATCAATAATTGCCAAACTACATGTACCTATTGTGGCTATAAAGTTCGCTCCCCGCCCCTCACCTCCTCCCATATGCACCAGCTCCTATCTACACTAATGGGAACTTTTATTTAGAAAGCCTCCCAAAAGAAGCATCTCTGAGAAATCATGGAGTCTAAAACACAGGATACCAGAGAATCTTACGATTTCGTCGTATGCGGGTATGCCATTACACCCAGCCGCGGCGAGGCTATATTGCTAACACCCTGAAGAGGGGGCACCGCTGGCTGTGTCGTGGCTGCAGGCTTAGCAGAAGACCCAAACATCACGGTTCTGGTTATCGAAGCCGGTCCGCACAATGAGCACCTTGAGAACGTCCACATGGTCGGCGGGTAGGTCGCCCCTATCGTGCACAAATGTAGATGATAACTAATCCACTTCTGAAGCTGGGCGGACAATTTTGACAAGGGAACTGATTGGAATATCATCACGCCGCCCGGAACTGGGATCAATAACCGCCAAGTGAAATTGAGCAGGGGAAAGTTCCTCGGCGGCTGCTCCGGCTGCAATGGCACGCTGTGCATTCGCGGATCCAAGCAAGACTACGATGATTGGCAGGTGCCGGGTTGGAGTGGCGAAGAGTTTTTCGAGTACATGCGGAAAGTAAGGCGCAGAATATTCTCCCCTCGTTCTCGAGGACCTTCTTTGCAGCGAGATTCTTGCTAACTTGAGTCAAGGCCGAGTCGTTTGTTAGCAAACCTTGGTTCAAGGCCTCAGAAGTGTCTCACGGATACGGCGGCAAGCTGGGTGTAGAACCACATGATTTAGCCCCGATCTCACAGCTGATGCTGAAGTCCATGGAGTCCAAAGGCCTTAAACTCGACGACGACATGTTTTCACACGGAGAAAATCCCCACGGCTGCGGACATGCGCCGCGAACTGTGACCAACGGCCTTCGAACGACAGGGGCTGACTTCGTTACGAATGTGAATGCCAGGAAAAACATCATAATCTTGACGAATGCTCACGTCGAAAAGGTCATTCTAGAGCGTGATGCAGATGGAGAGCTTAAGGCCACTGGTGTGAAGTTCATTTCAGGAGATGGGCAGGCAGTTGAGGTTGTCGCGAAAAAGGAAGTGATCGTGAGTGGCGGTGCTTACTGCAGCCCGAATATCTTGAACCGGTCCGGAATTGGCGCCAAGGAGGAGCTAGAAAAAGTCGGCGTTGCTACTCTCGTTGACCTGCCTGGAGTTGGAAAGAATTTGACGGATCATCTTGTAAGTCTGCTCACCAAAACCCGCGGCTGACGAAATACTGATATTAGACTAGATTGTTTTCATCTTCTATGAAGTCGAACCACCTGGATTGACGACTGACCACCTTCTTTATCATTCAGGCGCCTTGGCTCAGTCATACAAACTTTGGTTGACGGAGAAGAAGGGCGTCTTGTCCACATTCCCATTCGGTGCCTTTGCTTTTGCGCGTCTTGATGAGCGCTTGAGTGACTCTGAGCTGTGGAATAAGGCGCCGCGTGACGCGGGTCGGGACCCGATGGGACTGACACCAAGACAACCCAACGTCGAGTTTTTCACGACTGAATGCTATGGCGGCCCCAAGCAATATTCTGACTTCCCGACCAATGGAAAGTCGGCCTTTAGCATCATAGCAGAGCTTTTCGCACCCAGGTCACGAGGAACAGTGACTCTGAAAGATGCAAACCCACTCTCGGCTCCCGTGGTCGACTGTCAGTACTTGACCGACCCTTTGGATGTGGAAGTTCTCGCAGAAGCATGTCGTTTCGGAAATGAAATCGTCATGCAGGGCTCGGGAACCAAAGACGTTGTCAAGGGTTCCTGGCCACCGGAGGCTAGGCACCACACATTCTCTTCCCGTGAGGATTGGGTGCCGTTTGTCAAGAACAACGCGACAACATGTAAGTCTTCCTCAACGGATAGGATCTTGAAGTGTTGTGCTAAATAATTTGCTAGGCTATCATGCTTCTGGTACATGCCGCATGGGTGACTTGTCGGACGAGCGCACTGTTGTCGACCAAAACCTGTGCGTGAAGGGAGTTAAGTCCCTGCGCGTTGTTGATGTTAGCATCATGCCGATTCTTCACGGTGGCCATACGCAGATGCCTGCATTCGGTATCGGGGAGAAGGCTGCTGATCTTATCAGGAAGACCTGGAAACTGAGCTCAGAGGCAAAATAGCCTGTAGTTTCGACGGCCCTTTGTGATGAGTTGTCAAGTTTAAAGCGGCAACTGTACATCTCTGTAAAGTCATTCACTCCACCGGATAGGCGCCAGTCTGGAAATTTGAGCTCTGCGCCTTTTTCATGTTTTTTTTCTAGTATTCACAATCAATTTTATTGTTTTGTATCCACGCTTAAACACTATTTTCTCTTTTTAATTTCTATTGCAGCTTTGCTGAGTAACCACCTAGTTCGCAGCTTCGGCCACGGCAGGTCTTAAAGCGGCGTCAGAATTGGCCAGCGCTCTGGGCTTCTGGCGGGTTGACTAACGAGGACATGCGTATCCACAGCTGCCTGCCACCCTTGCTTGCCTCATCGCCTGTCGACCGGGTGAGCTTCCAATCTGCATCTTACTTGACATCACAATCAGTGCCGCACACGAACAGGCTACACGCTGAGCGCAAGCCGTGACCGCATTAACTTTGTGGTACCCAATTCATTCATCGAGACCTCAAGTTCACCGCGCCGACAGCCTCATTGCCCACCTCGAATTGCTCTGATCGCACGCATCCAGCCCGTTGCGCAAACCACCCACAATGCCAACCACAACCGCTGAGACGCTCTCACTCGTGACGCGCAATGTATCCGTCGCACCTCTCGTTCTCCTCTCTGCTGTCGATCATTACAACCGCACCGCCCAAGGCAACAAAGTCAAGAGGAGAGTTGTTGGTGTCCTGCTGGGCCAGAATGATGGCAAGAATGTGAGAGTGTCGAACAGCTTCGCAGGTACGTATCCATGCCCTAGAAATGGCAAGATGATACTTTTCGAAACGTCGAAAGCTAACACTCGTCATTCTAGTCCCATTTGAGGAGGATGAGAGGGACCCATCCGTGTGGTTCCTCGACCACAACTACGTCGAGTCTATGAACGACATGTTCAAAAAGATCAATGCACGAGAGAAGCTGATAGGATGGTACCACTCCGGTCCTAAGCTGCGCGCATCCGACTTGGAGATCAATGAGCTCTTCAAGCGTTATACACCAAACCCTTTGCTGGTAATTATCGATGTTCAGCCTAAGGAGTCTGGCGTACCCACGGATGCGTATTTTGCTGTTGAGGAAATCAAAGACGTAAGTTGCGGAGCTAAAGATCATGCACCAATTTCCAATTCAGCCCGCTAACTTGAGTGAAGGACGGTACTACGACGACGAGAACGTTTTTCCATACCCCGTCGATAATCGAAGCCGAGGAAGCCGAGGAGATTGGTGTCGAGCACCTGCTACGAGACATCCGCGATGTCGCTGTGGGCACGTTGTCGACGCGAATCACAAACCAGCTACAATCACTCCAGGGTCTTCACTTGCGCCTGCGTGACATTGGCATTTACCTGCAAAAAGTGCTCGATGGCCAGCTTCCTGTAAACCATGCCATCCTTGGCAACCTCCAAGACGTGTTCAATCTGCTGCCCAATCTCTCCACCCCCGAGACTGATGGAAAGTCCAGCGGCAGTGAACTTGCTCATGCCATGAGCGTTAAGACCAACGATCAGCTTATGACCATCTATCTCAGCAGTCTGATCCGCGCCATCACTGCATTCCACGACTTGATAGAAAACAAGATTCAGAACCGCCAACAGCAGGAAGAGAAGGATGCCAAGAAGGAGGAACTCAACACCAAGGACGAGAAGAAGACCAATGGCTCGAGCGATTCGGTTACGGAAACCAAAGAAATCACGGACAAGGAGAAGGAGGCAAAGGAGAAGAAGAAATAGAGGACTGGAACGAAAGATGTAAGACAAAGCCTTGCCGAGCATATCTGTTGTCAGCATGCTCAGGTCCAGGCCATGCCGTCTCACAGCAGAAGAAGATAATAGAGATGCCTTCTTGTACACATATCGCTTATCTGTTCTTTAAAAAAGCATTAGAGTACGGTCATGCCAAAACACACAACTAGTGACTTCTTCAGCCGTATAACGAGCGAGTGCCTCTGCCACCGCTCAATCGCGAACCTTCTAGATCCCTGCGACGATGCCCGCTAACTCCTCCCTCGTACAGCTCCTCTCCTCGACGTGCGCGGCCATCAGCTTCTCCCACTCGTCCACCAGGAGGCACGCCAGCAGATGCTTACAGCACGGCGTGGCCTCGGCGCCTTGGTCGTCCAGCCACGTCTTGCTGCGCCCGCCAAACCCGCCCACCTCCGTCGTCGTCGTCGGCGGCGGCGCCTCCTCCCTCTCGCCAGTGCTAGCGTACGCGTCGACCGCAAAGGCGGCACAGGAGCAGCTCCACGCCTCAAGATGCACCAGGTACGCGCGCGTCGCCGCCGCCGCGGCGCGTCGAGGCTGCGTGGACGCCGCGGAGCGAACCGTGTACGCTGCGTGGCGCGACCGCGCTGTCTTCTCGTCCTGGCCCGAAGCGGCGGCGGGGTCCTCCTTGCCCGGCGCCGCGGCCAGAGAGAGGCGCCGCACCAGGTTCCTGTCGAGCAGGTCCAGCGCGGGGAGCAGCATTCCGGGGAAGACGACGTGCAGCGTCAGGATGAGCGTCCTCCGCCGCGGCGAGCCCCACGGCCCCGTGCTGCTGCTGCTGCCGCCGGGTTCGTCGTGATGCGTTTCGGATAGCGCCCGTACGAGGGTGGTGAGCAGCGCGCGCTGCGAGGGGAGCGTGTCTGGCATCCTTCCCTAGCCTTGTTTTCGTCAAATCTGTGGTGTACGAACCATTGGATTTCTCAACTATGTTTCAGCCGGGTTCGAGAACGCGCTGGCGAGCTCATAGCGCCATTCTGACTATAGATGCAACCGGGCAAGTTGGTGATGCGGTCGTCCCCACTGGTTGACAAGTGGGCATGTAGATGGTCGTTCATTGTGCCGCCGCATACTGAAGTGCTGAGGAGCTTAACAGCAGCACATGTAATATGGGAAACCAACATTCGATTATATGGTAGTGTAATTTATATGCTACAATATTGATACATCGATTGACCTACAGCTTGCATTTTACGCCCAGCACATGCGGCAGTGGGCTCAAACCCATTCTTTCGGCTTCTGAAGTACGTCGACCAGACGCTGCTCCCGGCTATTAGGCTCGGGGATATGCATATATCCCCACGAGGCAGTTCGTGGCAAGCTCATGAGAATACTTTCCACACGCGGCCCTGGGGTGTGAAGCCCGAATGCCGTTCCGCGATCGTGCACCAAGTTGAACTCCACGTATCGTCCTCTGCGAATCTGCTGCCACTCCTTCTCCTTCTCATTGAAAGGCATATCCTTGCGCCTCTCTAGAATAGGGAGGTATGAAGGTAGGAACGATTTGAGGCAGTCCTGGACAAAGGCAAAGGTATTCTCCTGGTCACGCTCTGACTCATCCAAGTCGTCAAAGAAGATGCCCCCGACACCGCGGCTCTCTTTGCGATGCTTGTTGTAAAAGTATTCGTCGCACCACTTTTTGAAGCGAGGATAGTAGTCCTTGCTGTGAGAGTCACATGCGTCCTTGAGCGACTTGTGGAAGTGGATGGCGTCCTCGTCAAAGAGGTAGGATGGGGTTAGATCGCTGCCGCCTCCAAACCACCACGCCTGAGATGTTCCGTCGGGATTCGCCGTTTCGAAGTAGCGATAGTTCAAGTGCACAGTCGGTGCCATGGGGTTCTTGGGATGGAACACAAGGCTGAGGCCAGCGACGAAGAAGTCGAGGGAATCGACGTTGGTGGCAAGGTTTTTGTGATCCGCGCGCATCCTTTCTATGGCAGCCTTTGGCAGAGTCCCGTAGATGATACTGACTGCAACTCCGGCTTTCTCAAAGACGTTGCCATCCTGCAACACAGCAGTAATTCCGCCGCCGTTGCCGTGGTCTCGGTCCCACTTGTCTTGAAAGAACTTCTTGCCGTCAATCTGCTCAATAGCCTTGATGATTTCTTGTTGCTGTTCTTTGACGAACTTTTCCATTCGAAGTCGCATGGGCGAATTATCACCAACGGGGCCATCTTGTTTCGTTCGCATATCCATCTCGAAGAGCGACGCGGCATCCAGTTTCGCACTGCCTGGGGCATTCTAATTGAGACGCAGGTTAGATATCTGCTCCGAATAATAACACGACTAGCCTAGCTCATCATACCGAGCTGTAGAATTGATACGCCAGAGGGACAGCGAAGCCAATTGCGGTGGCTGTCAGCCATGTAGCTGCGCCTAGCCGCTTAGCAGCAGGATTCTGGTTGCTCGAGAACATTCGGGTAGTACTGGCGCAGTGGCCTCGAGATGAGTGGCATGCTCCATTGCGCAACATTGACAGCATGCGCTGGCCTTGTCGTCGTGTCGCCATTGCTATGATGTGTTGCGCTGCTGATATCGTCACTGGTTAGTGGCAATGCTCAATTCATCGATTGAGGGCTCTGGGCTCGCAATGGGTTGCTTACGCTTTGATCAACACCACTTATTCACGACCGCTTCGTATGCAGGGCACTCTCGGTACTTAATAGACGACACGGGTTGAGAAGCCGCATCTAACGCAGTTCAGCGTGGACTGATTTCTTTCCAGTGGCGTGGTTCTCGGGTAGACTCAGCAGCTTCCATCGCGCTAGCGGGGCCGAGCTGCGAGCTCACTGGAAGAGGAGCTGGAGCTGCTTCAGTGCGAAAATGACGGTATCCGCACTGTACGTGTACGCAGTGGTTGGCTATGTTGAATCATGAAGGTAGTCAAGGTTTAGTACTTCGGTATTGTTCCCGGAATACAAAACAATTGGTTTCTCGATATTCCAAAAGCATGCCGAATTTATCTCTTGTAATTTCATTGCTTCTGGGGTCTGTTCGGAACCTCTCACGACAAAGGCGGCAAACTAGCAAAGCACAATCTGGTTTGTAATCCAACCCAGCTGGTCGTTTACGTTCGGTCGATGACACACTCGGTCGTAGAGCCAACTAGAACGTGGTAGAGTACCGAAAATCGCCTCACGGAACATTACAAAGTTCAATAAGTGGCTCACCTCTTTACCAAAGGGGCGGACTTAGGCGAGAGCTACAAAATGTTAGTAGTTATTCAGGTGTTTCTTGGGTTACTCATGGTGGCTGCAAATTGCCTGACCCGTCAAGCAAAGATTTTTGCCAATAAATGCTGAAATATTTCAATCTCTATTTGGAACATGTATTATGTGCTTACTTGTCAATCATGACAGTTAACCTATGACTACAACACCACCATGGTGGCCGCTTTCGTGATACGCCTGATTGCAAGTAGGAGGCTGACTGCGTCAGCTGGGAGCGGCGTGCGGGCCATGATTCACACAGTACGTCCCAGTACGCCAAAGAAAGCTAGCGTTACAGCCCCGCGCCCTTCGTCCTCGTGCCTGGTCTGGTCGCCGCCAGCCATTCGCCATCATCTTGCCTGCCTGGTGCTTTTGCCTGACTGCAGCGTCGTCACTCTCCCTCCGCGCCCCTCTTCTCATCCACCTATTCCGTCCCTCCGCCTTACCGCTGCCTAGAACTTGGCTTCATCAAACAAATCATCGCGCCTCTGCCAGATTTTCTCCCATCATCTCACCAAGCAACACGTATTGATCGTTATTAGCTGTTTGTGCTACCTTCTCGCCCAACATGCGCAGCAAGTTCAAGGACGAGCACCCTTTCGAGAAGCGCAAGGCCGAGGCCGAGCGCATCCGCCAAAAGTATGCGGACCGCATTCCCGTAAGTACCGATTCTCTTTTTTGTGTCTTGCATCACGAAGCGAATCCCGCCTAGTCTACTTGATGCAGGCTGCCAATACTTTATGTGCCATCAGCAACCTGTTGACCGACGAGTGGACGCAATACCTGGGCCAACGCTTCACCGACTCGTGCATTGGTGCTAACAGTTTTTTGCTCAGGTCATCTGCGAAAAGGTCGAGAAGAGCGACATCGCCACCATCGATAAGAAGAAGTATCTTGTGCCTTCGGACCTCACCGTCGGGCAGTTTGTCTATGTCATCCGGAAGCGGATTAAGCTGTCCCCCGAGAAGGCTATCTTCATCTTCGTCGACGAGGTTCTGCCCCCCACGGCGGCTCTCATGAGCAGCATCTACGAGGAACACAAGGACGAGGACGGCTTCCTCTACATCACTTACTCCGGCGAGAACACGTTCGGCAGCGCTTGAAGCGTTGCAGTCGTGGCAGCAAGCTCACACGCCGAGAGATGACGAGAATGGCGTTCGGGTTTACTTTTGACTACTATGCATTCAGAATGCAGCCAATTTGGCTTTGATGTAATGAATCGTTATGGAACTACTTGCTCAGAGAGGGACGCGGATAGACTGTGCAATATTCTTTACCTTGTTAGGTAATGCTGCAAGGCCTATTTATCCACGAGATGCATCTACAAGGTGATGCGGTTCAAGTGATTGCCGTACCAGGCAGGCTCTTGAGGAGGATATAGGATGCTGCGTCGCCTGGTAGCTGAAGCGTCAGATGCAAGGAGTACCTCCTGTTTACTGTGCTAGCGGGTGAGAGTCTTTGAAATAGCCGTACTATCTGCCTTTCATGCTGTTTCATGTTCGGGGTTCTGCAATGAATACACATACAAATAAGCTGAGAGAGATCGCCTGTACATTTCGAGTGAGGGCAAGAATAACTGGACTGCTACCTCAGCGGCGCATGGATGTGGCACTTGTTCAAGAAATGTTTTATGCGAAGGGACACGCTCTGGGTTATCGTAGAAACGATCTAATACAGCTGCGACTCTGGCAAAAAAATGGGCATCGATTTCGTGTTGGATTTCCATACTAAAGGATCTGCCTCGCTGCTTCAGAGCTGAAGACAGTGGGTGGCAACATGTATTTGTCCCTCTCTCACCTCTCAGTATTATACCTCTTCTCAGTATTATTACCTGGCGTGCTCATCCCACCTCTCTTGGATATCTTACCTCTCTTAGCTATTTTAGGTGAGATATGTGGTAGAGGACAAAGACATATTGCTACCTGCAGTATAGCGCATACTCGATACAGTCACTGGCGGCCTCTTTAATAACAGACAGCAGAGCAATATGCAGATCAGCGAATGTGAAAAGAGTCGTACATAAATCCAGCAGAGGCCGGAAAGTCCAAAGGAGTCATGGTCATGAAGCAAAGAACAAAGAACAAAAAACCTGTTTGTGCCCCTGTTCTTGGTGGACAAACTGGGCGGGGGACTGGCCAAAGAAGAGCAGATCGATTGGATGCTGGATTGGTGATGCTTGGCAGGAGATGATGGAAGGCAAAGAAATCAGCCAAGTTGGGGTTGCTGTGGGGGATTCCAGTGGGCACGGCGATCGCCCTACCTTATTACGGACGGGCACTGCGCGTTAAAATGCAGGTACCTACTTTTGCTATCATGTTACATAGATGACTTAGGTACTCGAAAGCTGCGTAGGGCAGACTGTGTGGCGGACCTGCGCCACTCGAGGCAAAAACCTGTTTTAGTGGCGGCGGCAAATGGGACAGTTGGGACGGCCCGGAGGGACAAGTGCATTGCTTGGGTTTCTGATTCCAGATTGTGCATGAAATGCATTTTGGCCTAGGTCGTGACAATAATGCATTCTACACTCGATGCCTAGTATTGTCCTGCGGAAACTAAGCCTGTAGTGAGCCGCTGACAATGGAAATATGCTATTGACAGGGACTTGACCTTCACCTGCAGGGCTTCGCCACAGCAAGTCAGCAGGGGTCTTGACGCACCTCACCGCCAGATGATTGGGCCACAGCGACTTGTTGATCCTGGACCCCAGCGCCAACGACGACATCTATTCACTTCTGACCCTGCTTGCCAGCAGCACCCGGCATTGCCAGCCTTTCGCACCAACACGCCCACGAAGACGCTGCTCTCGAGCCAATCATTTGGCCTCGTACACCCCGGCCATGATACGTTCCCCCATCCTGCCAGGTGCTCACTATAAGCCGCCATCAACGTCGACGGCGCGCCGCTCGCCACACTCTTCCCGGATTCCGAGTGTAGCCATGGCGTCAGTGTGCATCTTCATCGTGCAGCCCAAAGCGGTAGTCGTCTCTTCGAATAAAGAAGAGCGACGGACCCCCAGGGTATCGCGAGGCGGCCTTGGACCGATGGGCACCTGCAAAGTATCTCTTGCCGCTCCGAGGTGAACCCCCTTGGTCGTTGGAGTCTAGACGAATCTCCAGCGAAGCCTCGTCCCTGGCTTGCTGAGATTTATTTACAGGCTTTTATACAAGAATCAAGTATATTGACGCGTTTGCTGTGGCACATTCATTCAGTTGAATCGCCGCGTTGTGGACACTATTGTCAGTCTACTCATTTATTGTTTTAAGCCGCCCTCCAACGCACACCGAGACACTCAAAGGAGCACAGTTTCTTTCTTGCTTGCTTTCTTTTCGCCTTTTGAAAACGAAAACAAGAACGAAATCGCAATACTCTGCCCGGCCCCCTCTTTTCCGATTCTGCTTCCCGTGGTACAGAAATAGCTTGGCCGGTCTGCGTTTGAGAAGTGCTTGCCGCTGGCACCACGGCGCACGCTGACTGGTCCGCTATCACACTCGGCGCTTAATCGCAGCAACACAAGCAAATCGTCGTCGTGCGAACCCAAGCAGGGCCACAACTAGGGGTTTTGCAGTTTCGTTATTTTCCATTTCCATTTCTCCTCTTGTGGAGGCGCCTGGTAAGTTTTCCATGTCGCTTTGCTACCGCCCTTCCTTCTTCTCTCTTACACCTTACCCTCTCTTTGTGCACTTCGTCCGTCTCCTCCATTGTGCTTCGCCCTTTGCTTTCTTCCTTATTGTCCTTCTCTCTATATTCTCGGTAAGCCAGATAAAAAGCTGGGCCTACTCGCTTAATACTTCGTCTGGTTTCGTTTCTTGACCGTCTTTTCCACGCTTCCGTCATCTGACCGGAGCTGCCCGTTGTTCACTGTCGACCAGGAACACAGACTTAATCCTCTTACACTGTCACAACCTCTGTCACACCCGGCCGCCCTCTTTTCTCCAACACTTACAGAGAACTTCAATCTTTCGTCTCGACAACATCATTAACATCACGGATAGAATCATGTTCTTCTCTCGGAAACGTGACGACCAGGCGTCGTATCCCAAGGTCCCGCTCACTCTACGTTCTGATCCGTATCAGACCATCGATACTCCGCAACATGATGCCCGTCCAGCCGACAACTCCAAGATCACCCCGTACCTCGGTATTCGGTCTCAAATGTCCCAAATCTGGCTCAATCGTTGGACTATTCTTCTCCTCCTCGTCCTTGTCCGCGTTGTTCTTCTTATAGCCTCACTCAATGACAATGTCCAAAATGCCAAGGACAAGGCCCTTTCGGCTTGCAGCAAGGTTGAAGATGTCGGGAGTGCCATGGCCTCCATGCCGCACTACTTATCCGCCGGCGTGAACGCGTTGGCGGCCAAAGGCATGGAGGAGGCTGTGCACGGAATGGTCACGATGCTGGATCTCATCTTGCAAGCTGTGCCGGCAATGATTGTTTTCTACATCAATTGGTTGGTCGCTACCTACGCCTGTCTCATCACTGCCTTGGTTCACGCCAGTTTGGAAGTGGTAGCATCGGTTGCAGAAGACGCCACCAAAGCCTTCAACACCGTGATTGACGGCGCTACGAAAGAAATAAAGGAAATTGGCCAGGGGCTGGAAGATGCCATCAACAGTGTCACAAAGGGCATTCAAAACTCCGTCTTTGGAAAGCTGATTCCCAAAATCCCCACAGTCGATTTCTCAAAGCCACTTGACGAGCTCAAGGCCTTCAATCTCAACGCAAGTGGCTTCGTCAAGGACGTGCAACAGCTCGACCAAGATCTTCCTACTTTCAAGGAAGTTCAGAACCTCACCAGTCAAGCCGTCTCATTCCCCTTTAAGCTTGTCCGCGAAGCCCTCAACGAGTCGTATGGCAGCTGGACCTTCAAGAAAGACATCTTTCCACTAGCCCAGAAAAAGAAGATGACGTTTTGCTCCGACAACGACACGCTGAGCAATTTTTTCCAAAAGCTGTTCGATCTCATCCACAAATTCAAGGTCATTTTTCTGGTGGTCCTCAGCTTGCTCGCTGCGCTCGCCATTGCACCCATGGCTGCGTTTGAGATATACCGATGGAAGCGCCGGGCGAAGCACGGCGAGCGCATCGAACAGAACCGAGTTGATAACATAGATATGATGTACATTGCATCGCGTCCGCTGACTTCCCGGGTCGGCATCAAGTTTGCCTCGCGTCTTGAAGGAGACAGAAAGCTTCTCATGAGGTGGTGCGTCGCCTACGCCACATCTCCATCGGCTCTTTTCGTCCTGTCCCTCGCCATGGCTGGCCTCTTTTCGTGCCTCTGCCAGTGGATCCTGCTCAAAGCTGTGCAGAAGGAAGTTCCCGAAATCACAGCAAAGATTGGCGAATTCATCGAAGACGTGGTCAAGTCCTTGGAGCAGGTCTCGGCGGACTGGGCCAAGGACGCGAACAAAGTCGTCACTGGCTTCAGCGACGAAATTAACCATGACGTGTTGGGATACGTTACCAACGCCACAGATGCTGTCAATAACACCATTAACATCTTTGTTGACAACATGAACAAGGGCCTGGAGACAGTGTTTAACGGCACGATTCTCATGAAACCGATCAAGGACGTCGTCTACTGTGTCATTGGCATGAAGGTGGAAAGCGTCCAAAAGGGCTTGACATGGGTGCACGACCACGCGCACGTTAGCTTTCCCCTGTTCCCCAACGACACCTTTAGCAAGGGCGCGAACGAGTCCGTGTCCGGCGACAACGACCTCCACTCGTTCCTCGCCTCGCCCTCCGCTGTAACAACCGACGAGGTGAGCGGTGCCGTCGAGCACGTCGTCAAGTGGCTGGTCAACAGCATAATAAAGGAGGCACTCATCTCGACCGGCATCCTCCTCCTCTACGTCATCGTTGTGCTGATGGGCGTGGTCCGCACGCTGGTGGGCATGGTGACGGCTGGACGCTCGAAGCAGGCGGAGGTGGAGGTGCGGTACACGGGCGATGATCGGCCGTCACAGAGCACTGGCGTCGCCAATGGCAAGTTCAGGAACGAGGGGAATGAGGATTCCCAGCTGAGGTACGCCCAGATGAATGAGAAGAGCGCGGCATACGGGGGTCATGGACCGAGCGGCGGCTTCTAACGTCGGCTCGACGAATGACGCTTGCCATGCCGGATGGCTTTCTGTGGGAACGATTGTTTGCTGGTACTGGCGTTGAGGACTAGAATTTTGGGTACATTTCCTTTTCAGCAATGATTATAAACGGGAGGTAATACCTTGCTACATTCATTATTTTTCGCTTTATTAAACGTTGCAGAATTAGAGATTGGACACGATTCATGTGAGTCGTTTACATTGATTCTCTTTGTACAATAACATGAACAAGAATGCATCGCGTTTGCTTGTGAGAGCTGTAATTGCCGTTTGTGTATTGTGCTGTAATGTTGAGTCTAACTAGAGTACAACCGTCGTTGGAACGATGGGGTTATTATTGATGGAAGGGGCTTGGAAAAGACAACAACATGGTTCGTACGGAGGTACCGAGGTCCGTCTCTAAAAAGTACTTTTCCATTGCATCATTATTACCAACAGTTTTACTAGTACAATACATCGCAGTGAATAAAGCCTACAGATTGCTTCCGTGTCTTTCCCCTTTCGGAAAGTCCGGCTCGAGATGCGCACTGCAGATGCGGAGTGCGGCAACCTGCAGCTCTAGCGGCACAGAAAAGTGGCGGAGGCTACCCTTCCGGTTTCGCCCATCGAGCCCTTGCCGCTGTGGCCCTGCTTCTTTTGGAACAGGTACAGCGCAGCAGCAGGTGGCGCGGGGTGGTGCCGGTGTCGCCACTGAAAAAAGAGCCACTCTCTTGTACGACTCAAGATATAACTTGAACGTCTTCCCCAAATATCAGCTTTGTTCCTTCAGCCCTTTTTCTTCGTTTTTGTACCATTCGTCTCCAGGCTTGAGCTATTCTTTCTTCTCATCAAGTAACCATGGAGGCTATCAAGCAAACATTTCAGCGTTGCAAGGCGCAGAAGCGAGTAGGTTGAAATGGCGGGGTAGAACGAGAGAACCGATGGCTAACCGTTGCGGCCTCCCCCAACAGTCTGCTCTCGTCGGCTATGTCACAGCTGGATATCCCAGACCTCAGGACACTCCAGAGATCCTCCTTTCCATGCAAAAGGGTGGTTGCGGTATGTTGGCGTCTTCAATCGCTGATCCCACCAGCTAGCTAACACCCCTCCAGACGTTATCGAAGTCGGATCCCCCTTTACCGATCCCATTGCCGACGGCCCTACGATTCAAAAAGCCAATGCTGTATGCAATTCAATTCCTGTGTGGCATTTCCTATCCGGAAACCACCTCACTGACTCAATCGCAGATTGCGCTGAGCAATGATGTTACGATTTCATCGACTCTCGACATTGTTCGTGATGCCCGTAGCAAGGGCTTAACCGTTCCCGTCATCATCATGGGCTACTACAACCCTCTCCTCAACTACGGCGAGGAGCGTCTCCTCACCGACTGCAAGTCCGCCGGCGTCAACGGCTTTATCGTCGTCGATCTGCCTCCCGAGGAGGCCATTTCCTTCCGCAAGTTCTGCACCAAGGGCGGCCTCTCCTACGTGCCCCTCATCGCCCCCGCCACCTCCGATGCTCGTATGAAGATTCTCTGCCAGCTTGCCGACTCCTTCATCTACGTCGTCTCGCGGCAGGGTGTCACTGGTGCCACGGGTACCCTCAGCGCCAACATCCCCGAGCTCCTCAGCCGCGTCAAGAACTACAGCGGCAACAAGCCCGCTGCTGTCGGTTTCGGCGTCAGCACCCCTGAGCACTTCAACAGCGTCGCCTCCGTCGCCGACGGCGTTGTCGTCGGTAGCCAAATCATCACGACAATCGCCGAAGCGCCTTCCGGCCAGATCTGCGACACCGTGCAAAACTACTGCTCCAGCCTCTGCGGGCGCTCGGCCGAACAAGTTGCTGCCGACGCCAGCAACGTCGCCGCTCACGATATCCAAAACAGCGAGGCTACTCTTGCCGAAGCAACCATCACGCCTGAGAAGGACAAGGAGTTGGTTGCGCAGCTAGCTGCCATGCATGCCAAGATCCCCGACCGTTTCGGCGAATTTGGTGGTCAGTTTGTCCCCGAGAGCTTGATGGACTGCCTGTCCCAGCTCGAGGACGGTTTCAACAAAATCAAGGACGATCCTGCATTCTGGGACGAGATCCGCTCCTACTACGACTACATGGGTCGTCAGTCCAAGCTCTACCTTGCCAGCCGCCTGACCGAGCATGCCGGCGGTGCCAATATCTGGCTAAAGCGTGAAGACCTGAACCATACTGGAAGCCACAAGATCAACAATGCCATTGGACAGCTTCTCCTCGCTAAACGTCTGGGCAAGACCAAGATCATCGCCGAGACTGGTGCTGGCCAGCACGGCGTTGCCACAGCCACGATTTGCGCCAAGTTTGGTATGGAGTGCACAGTCTACATGGGTGCTGTAAGTCATCTTCTCTGAGTTCACTACGCTGCTGCTCGAAACATAGTCACTAACACACATTTTAGGAGGATGTTCGCCGTCAGGCGCTCAACGTTTTCCGTATGAGGCTTCTAGGAGCCAAGGTTGTCCCGGTTACTGCTGGCAGCCAGACTCTCCGTGATGCCGTCAATGAGGCTCTTCGCGCCTGGGTTGTCGAGCTAGACACTACTCACTATATCATCGGCTCTGCCATTGGCCCTCACCCCTTCCCTACCATTGTGCGCACCCTGCAGTCCGTCATTGGCGAGGAGACAAAGCAGCAGATGATGGAGAAACGCGGAAAGCTCCCCGACGCCGTCGTTGCCTGTGTCGGTGGCGGCTCCAACGCCGCGGGCATGTTCTACCCCTTCTCCAAGGACCCGAGCGTCAGAATTCTCGGTGTTGAGGCTGGTGGCGAGGGCATCGGCACGGGCAGACACGGTGCCCCTCTCAGCGCTGGCTCCAAGGGTGTCCTGCACGGTGTCCGCACCTACGTCGTGCAAGACGAGCATGGCCAGATCTCCGAGACGCACTCCATTTCCGCTGGTCTCGATTACCCCGGTGTCGGCCCCGAGCTGAGCTCCTGGAAGGACAGCGGCCGTGCCGAGTTCGTCGCCGCTGACGATGCGCAGGCCCTGATTGGCTTCCGTCTGTGCAGTCAGCTGGAGGGCATCATCCCAGCCCTCGAGTCCGCGCACGGTATCTACGGCGGCATCGAGCTGGCCAAGACGATGAAGAAGGGCGAGGATATCGTCATCTGCCTGAGCGGTCGCGGTGACAAGGATGTCCAGAGCGTTGCCGAGGAGCTGCCCAAGCTTGGTCCCAAGATTGGCTGGGACCTCCGCTTTGAGTAGAAGCATTGATTTTAGAACGCATGTTCATTTGTACAGATTTCGTCGGCGTATAAAGGATAGGGTCATATTTTGCTGGTAGACGAAACCATCTGCCGTATGGATATATAAGGGCGTTAAAAAGGGTTGATAGAGGACAATTCACAAAGATTCGGCATGCAAGCATGAACTTAATCGTACATTATGTGGTGCTATAAAATACATACAGGAAAGCTACAGCTGCCTCTCCTTTTCAACATGGATATCCATCTCATCCACCCCTTCTTGCCCTCTTCACACTTGCGGCTGCTTCTGCTGCGCCTGCGTCTCCTGCTGTGCAGCCGCCTCAGCCGCGTCCGCCTCGTCCAGCTGCTGCAGCAGCCTCGCCTCCTCCTCGTCCGTCAGCTCCTCCACGCCCTCCACCTCGCCCAGCTCCTCCGGGCCGAGCACGAACGCGCCACCACCGCTATGGAACGCCGCCCGCAGCTCCTCGAGCGTCTCCTGGCTGCGCGCGCTCAGGTTTCCCGGCGTCGCATAATCCAGCGCGAAGCGGATCAGGTCGTCCCTGTCCTCCACCTCCCTCGGCTCCATGCCCAGGGCCACGCGCTCCTCGTTGAACCGGCGCTGCACCGCTTGGCTCTGCATCAGCAGCCAGCGCATGTTCCACCCGCCGGGGCCGAGCTCGCGCAGGCGCGCCGGCTTGTTCTTAAGCAGGTAGCCCTCCAGGCCGCCCTCGCGGCGGATGGTCTTGAGGACGCGCAGGGTCAGGCGCGTCTTGATGCGGGCGCCGAGGGCGGGCAGGTAAAAGGCCTTGACGTGCACGTTGGGGCGCCAGGTGCGCCGCGTCTTATTGCCGCGGCCGGCGACGATGTTGCCGTAGCGGATGCGCGCGGAGCCGTACAGGCCCCGGTTCGACTGCTTGTAGACGCGCCGCTCGCCGTAGGGGTATGGCGGGATGAGCTCGGCGGGCAGCCGGTGCGCCTTGACCGTCTTGGCCTGCGCGGCCGGCGTCGTCGAGAAGGGGTGGGCGGTGGCGGCGGCTTTTGTGAGGAACGGGCTCGTCGTCGTTGGCAGCAGAGCGGCGCGCGGGCATTGAGCCGCCCGCAAGAGGATTGACCTCGTGGCGGCGAATCTAAAGGCCATGGTTGACGAGAACGGGGGGCCGGAACAGTTGCGGAGGGTTCGTCTTCCCAATGTCCAATTTCAGGTTGTCAATGTTGTCTTGTCGATATGAGTCGTTGTTATCTCATTGTATCAAATCGATTGGTCGGATATTGCACAATTGGAGCTGACACGGCCGTTTTGCGCCTCTCCTTGTCGATGCGAATGTCTCGTGTGAGGTGGCCGTCACTCGAGAATAATTTTGGCTCCTCGGAGCCGCTAATGATCCGGGTGCTCGTTTTAGGCGCACTTCACCCCGGCACATGGCTGGTGGGGGGCTGTTAGTAACTTCTCCACTGAACAATTGGAGGGCGACTTGGCACAGGCGAGCCAGAACTTATTATTGACATTCATTGTCATGATATCACAAGTTCCAACACCGCTTCTACGTCCGACCATTGCCGGGGCTCACTCCCAAGACTCTTTCCTTACTTGTTTTTCTGTTTAGCGTCATTGCGTTTCTTCTTTCTCTGGCATTGCATTACACATACCGCTCCGATACCCATTTGTCGCTTCTTGCATCTACAACCTCCGTCATGTTTCCACCCGTCGATGACCATGTTCTCGAGAACAATCCCGACTTCGCAAGACTATACAGAACCCTCACAACCTCCATTTTAAACCCCGATGGCACATCAAGACGTAGCAAAGAATCAAAAGAAAACGAGGCCATTCGAAAGGTAAATTGAATCTCAGGCATCCACAAGCCAAACCATCACCACACTCCCCTCCCACTAACCAGCGCCGTCACAAACAGCACACCGACCAACACCGCCTGCAAGCTGCCAAGCAGCACCTCCTCGAGCGAGCCATCGCCACGGCCTCTCCCGCCGACCAATCCCGGCGCGTACCCGGCTCGCGCGCCCCGAGCGGCTCCCACGACCCTACCCACGCCGACCACGCCGAGTCCCTCGTCGACCTGCTCCTCGCCCTTCCACCGCTCCTCGACACCACAAGCCCCATCCCACCCGACTCCGCCGCGCTGCTCCTGCGCAGCAAACCCCTATCTGACCTCGCCACCCTCGCACCCTCTCTCGCCGCGCTCGTGTCCTCCCACCTGCACGCCGCCGCGCTGGACCTGACCCTGCTCACGCACCACCCCGCCTCCCCTTCCACCGCGCCGCGGCACATCCCCGCGCTCGAGCACGACTACGCCTCCCTCCGAGACCGTCTCGCCTCCTCTCGCGCCACGCTCCTCTCCGCGCGCCTTCGCGCCGCCGCGGCGCTCACGCGGCTCCTGCACGTGCACGCCGAGACGCTCGCGCAGCTCTCGCCCGAGGCGGCGGCGGCCCTGCGCGCGTACGGGGCGCACCTGCGCGATGCCAAGGTGCGCGGTGCGGAGAGGGTGCGGAACCTGCAGCGCGAGCTTAGGGAGTACGGCGTCGACGCGGATGACGGGGGCGGCAGCGCGAAGGAGCGGATGATGAGGGAGATGGCAAAGGCGCACGAAGAGATTGGCAGGCAGGTGGACGAGGTGACGCTGGACTTGGAACGCTTACATACCGGGCAGTAGAATAAATACAGGGAGATGCACAATCAACGATTCAAGAGCTGCTTTCCATATACCAGAACAAGTTGAAGATTGTTTGCTCGATCTAAATATCTAGTGTATAAGTACATTTGCTACCATAAGCGTAAACCCCCAGGACAGGCCGGTCGGTGATAAAGAAGAACATGAAAAAAGATTCACGCGAATCCTTCCCTTTTTTATGCTTTTTCTTCTCTTCCAGTTATGACAGACCACAGCCCACTTATTAAAAATCAACGCGACCCGCCAGCATTTCTTTTACATCCCTCCTTCTAACCCTTGACCTTGAAGATGGCCTCGGCGAGGCGGCCGACGTTGTCGCTGGTGATGCCGGCGACCGAGATGCGGCCGTCCTTGGTGGCGTAGACGGAGAACTCCTGGGCGAGCTTGGTCATCTCGTCGGCGCTGAGGCCGGTGTAGGCGAACATGCCGATCTGGGAGGTGATGTGGGACCAGTCGTGCTTGGAGCCGAGGCGCTCGAGGTTCTCCTTGAGCAGGGCGCGCATGGTGATGATGCGGTCGGCCATGCCCTTGAGCTCGTCGAGCCACTGCGCACGCAGCCGGGGGTCGGCGAGGATGGTCGAGGCGATGCGGGCGCCGTGGATGGGCGGGTTCGAGTAGATGGGGCGGATGATGATCTTGAGCTGCGAGTCGACGCGCTTCTTCTCGGCGGCATCCTCGCAGACAATGGAGAAGGCACCAACACGCTCACCATAGAGACCCTAGAAACGGTGGGGTTAGCATGCACGCCTGTTTGCCATCTGCCAGGCCATTGACTGGGGCTTCTTACCATGTTCTTGGCGAAAGACTGGCAGAGGGCAATGTTGTGGCCCTGCTCGACAAAGTGGCGGACGGCAAAGGCGTCCTGGTCGATGTTGCCACTGGCGAAGCCCTGGTAGGCCATGTCGAAGAAGGCAAAGTGGCCCTGCTCCTTGGTGATCTGGGCCAGCTGCTTCCACTGCTCCTGCGTGGGATCGACACCGGTGGGGTTGTGCGCGCAGGCGTGGAAGAGGAAGACGCTGCCGCGCGGCGCGGCCTTGATGTCGGCGACCATGCCCTCGAAGTCGAGACCAATGGTGTCCTTGTTGTAGTAGCGGTACTGCTCGACCTTGAGGCCAGCGTCCGTGAAGACAGCCTTATGGTTGGCCCAGGACGGCGTGGGGATGTAGATCTTCTTCTCGCCCGGGTAGAAGCGGGCGAGGAAGTCGGCGCCGATGCGCAGCGCGCCGGTGCCTGAGATGGACTGCGTGATAGCGAGGCGGTCGAGGGCTGACGAGTTCTCGCCGTAGGCGAGCTTGGCGGCAAGGGGAGGCAACTCGGGGACACCGGTGATGCCAGCGTACTCCTTGTTCAGCTTCTCGTCGATAACCTTTTGCTCGGCCTCGCGAACGGAAGGCAGGACATAGGGCTTGCCCTTGTCATCACGGTAAGCACCAACACCTAAGAGGAGGGTCGGCATGTTAGCTTGCGCATGTTCATCGTCGGTTGTGTGGTGGTGGTGTGTTTTCGGGGTTGGGCAAACGAACCGAGGTTGATCTTCTTGTCGAAGCTGTCGGCCTTGAAAGCTTCAGTGATGCCTAGAAAGGACTTTTGTTAGAAATTGCGATTGATGCAAGCGCTTTTCTGGGGGTCACATACCGAGAATGGCCTGAATGCGAAAGCAAAGAGCAGATCGTTAGCACATGACAAACAGACACACCAGGGTTTTCAGCCGAGCTAGAATTTGTCGCCGAGCGGCGCGAGCAGGAACCAGACTCACATCCTAGCATTGACAGAAAAACATTAGTTTCAACGGAAGTCGCAATTGGCCAGACTTGATCAATTCACTCACAGGAGGACCCTGAGGGACATTGGCCCAGGTGGAAGCGGCGGCGCGACCAGCAGCAGCGGCAAGGGTCGTGCGCTGGGTAGCCTGGCGGCTGGCGATGCGAAGAGTAGACAGCATGGTGTATGATTGGGGTAGTGTGCAAGCGCGAGAAAGATGATGTAGGAGAAAAGAGAGAGTACAGGGAGAGAAAGAGGAAAAGGGAGCAAAGATCTGATTACGCTCCAAAGAGATGGGGGTTGAGGGGGGGACGGGAGTGGACAAAGCTTCTTGTCGGGCGTTTTGGGGAAAAACAGCGGCTTGGATGGAGTCAGAGTTCAGTCAGTCAAGTCAGATGCCAGCGAAGCCCAGGGAAGGAAAAAAAAGGCTCCAGCCCAGCCAGCCAGAAATATCGGGGGTGGGTCGGACTGCTCGGGATGAGTTTACTGAACCTGATTGATGGCGTGAGCTGTTTTACCGCCTGTGCAAGGGCCCTGGCAAGTCCATATTTAATCTTCTACTCCGAAACGGAGTACCTACAATAACTATCTGGCGGTGATTCCATTACTCCAATTGACCTGGCTCCTTACCATCAAGGTCTTGCCAGAATTCCCTGCATGCCTTCTCCGAGGAAGTTTCTCCATTTGTCCAAGCTTGACGCTCCAAGTTAAACAGCTCCAGCTGGCTGACGACAGGCACCGCTTTTCTTACTGACACCTAAGGGTAGATATTACGGCACGAGCAGAGACGCCGGCTTATTATGCGAGACCCCTTGTCTTAATCTAGTCTTTAGTAAATGTTTATCCTTGAGCTAATTGTGCTTTTCTGCTGCACTAAAATTATACATGTCCGCGACGAGGAAACAAAACAACCCAAGCTGCTCCAACGGCGAGACGGTGAAACCGCCAGCATCCCCCCCCCGCCTTGCAGTGGGTCATCGGAGCGCTGCCGGCGATGCTCGGAGGCCGCGGCATCTCTCTTGTCGTGTTGCGTCTGCCCACAATCAACAAGGCCACATTCTACAAGAGTCACGACACCGCACGGCCGCCACCAACAACAACCATGCAAGAGTAGCTGCAAAACACGACCTGGCAATAAACAGACGGCCAAAATCGAGCGTTATCAAATTCGTCATATTTGCATGCTATGCTACGTTAAAAAGTCAACCCTGCTTACAATCCCGCTCACCTCCCCCCAGCCCATCTGGCTCAAACAAACTGTCCCTTGCCGCGATCCACCTCGTCGTACGCATTCATCACGTCCTGCTCGACATTCTCGCCAAACACGTCCACCTCGGTCGACGCGAACTTGCGCGCGCTCACGCCCTTCTCAAACAGCACGTCCAGCTCCGCAAACGTGCGGCCTCGCGGCTCCGGCAGCCGAAAGTAGACGTAGACGATGCACAGAAAGCAGATGCCGCCCCAGAAGAAGCCCGCGTAGTTTTTCCAGTTCCACGCCGTCGGGTTGAGCATGTACGGCGTGATGACGTTGTTGATGATGGCGACGATGTTGCTGCAGCCCCCTCTAGTTAGATCTTGGCTTACGGTCAATGATGGGGGGTGTTTACTTACTACAAGTTTCGGCCGAGAACGACCGTCTTGATCTGGAGGCGACGCGATGACAGCTCGCCCACCAGCGAGTAGCACACGGTGCCAACGGTGAGCTGGTAGAAGAGCGCCCACACAACCATGACGGCGCCCGTCGCCAGCGCCCCCTCCCTGCGCTGCGCTTCCGGCACCAGCCCCAGGAAGCCCAGGATGAACAACATGCTGCACAGGCCGCAAAGCCCGTACAGGTACAGCGAGCGGCGGCCGACGCCCATCGACATCAGGCCCCAGGCGCCGAACACGCCCACCATGTTGATGGCGTACTGGCCGAGCGCGAACGAGTACGAGTCGTGATCCGTCAGGCCCGCCTGCTTCAAAAAGTACGTCGAGTAGTTGGAGAAGGAGTTGCCGCTCAGGTTCTGGATCGCCCAGACCATGCAAACGATCTCGGTGCGGCGCAGGTCCACGCCCTTGAAGCAATCCCAGTAGGACGCGCCCGCCGTCATCTTCTCCTCCATCGCCGTCGTGTGCACCATCATCGCGATCGTCTCGTCCGGGTCGAACTCACTCTCCTCACTCTTGCTCGTCAGCCGCAGCAGCGAGTGCTTCGCCTCGTCCATCTTGCCACGGCGGACGAGCCACCACGGCGACTCGGGCGCGAAGTAGATGCCGATGGCCAGGGGCAGCGGCCACATCCACTGCAGCGCGTACGGGATCCGGTAGGCCCACTCGTCCTCGCGCTTGAGCATGGAGAAGATGACGCCGATGCCGATCTCCTGGCCCAGGCCCCAGCAAAAGTTGACGTAGGTCGTGAGGTAGCCGCGCAGCGCAACGGGGCACACCTCGGAGGCGTAGGTGATGGTCAGCGTCTGGAAGATGCCCCAGGGGATACCGCACAGGATCTCGGCGACCAGGAGCATCTGCACGTTTTGCGCGGTGAAGAAGATGGTGGTGAAGGCGGCGACGAGGGCGAGGCAGCCGATGACGGTCCAGCGGTAGCCGAAGCGCTCGGAGACGAAACCGTTGATGAAGAGGCCGATAATTTCTCCGACTTGGGCGCCCTAGAATGTGCGGGTTAGACTTGCATACAATCAAGCATGGACCAACAGGCTCTTGGAACTTGGTACTTACGTTGCTCAGGCCGGCTTGCCAGCGCGCCGGAACCTCGTACGTGCCCTTGTCGGTGAGCTCACCATACTTTCTGTTGAACTGGGGGAAAGCATCTAGAGAACGCTGGTTAGCCATAATACTCGCCAGCTTTTCACACGCACAACGCTGCTACTCACAAAAGTTGTTGACCAGAGTAATGTCGTAGCCCTCCATGACGATGCAGGTCGAGATGAGGACGCTCCATGCGACTGCCTTGGGGTAGAGGCGCAGACCCTGCATGAGGGTCATCTTGCGCTCCTTCTCGGCCGCCGCGCGCGCGCCGTCAATGACGCGGCTGTTTACATTGTCCGCCTCCTTGTTCATGGTCACCGGATGAGCAGTCTCAGCCGCAACGTCTTCCACGGGGTGCACGTCGACGTCCTTTTCAGAGCCCATGGCAGGAAAGAAGGGCGTCCGTCACCAGAGGTTGAGGTGCAGCCTGTGCGGGGGATGGGTATGGTATTGTTTGCAGGAAAGAGAGCAGGGTGAGAGACTGCTCTCAGAGAGAGATCAAGCTGAGGAAAGAGGGAGAAAGGGGAAAGTCTAGTTGGCGTCGATGAAGGGCCGCGAGAAGCCAACGGAGGAGGTTCCACAGCGGGCTTCTTATACCGGTGGTCTCTTGGCAAGGATGTATGGTGGAAGACAAGGCAGAGGGTCGAGGCGGAAAGTAGAAGGTCTCCCCGGAAGTTATTATGGTGGCTTTGGCTATGGGGGAGAGGAGGAAGATGGGATCGCCAACGAGAAATTTAAGCCGTTCTCGACCCTAGGTGTATGCTTTGAAAGCGGCGAGGGCTTATTAGCGGCTTGAACAGTGTGGGGGAGCCATGCATGCCACTATCTGTGTGCCACAAGGCTTAAAAGCAACTAGAGTATGCGAGCAGACAAGTGGCCAGTCTGCGGAAGGATATCTCCTGTTTACTGAGAATAAAGAAAAGGATTTTTCACGCATCGGAATATTTTGTAATTTTTCGAATGTCTGAATGGAAACTGTCGACCTCAAGAATCAGTACCAGCATTGGCATTCCCCAAGTCATGAACAACCCCCAAACGTGGCGGCGCCGCCACCATGCACAAGCCCGCCGCCTCGTCAAGGTTCAGCATATGTCACGTTCGGTTTTCAATTGCCGTCGGCCGCTTTCCTATAATGTGACTCTACAACTTCCAAAGAAAACAAAGCAGAAGTAAGGTACGTAGGTTCGGTTCCGGCTAGTTTAGCCCGGCCCTTGCTTGGATGCTACGATCCGGAAGGTTTCACAATCAATTGGCTGAAAACCAGTCCGATGCCGTAATGTAGAGCCTGCCTGGAGAACTACCTGCACACCTGATCCCGGTTCCCTCTCTGAAATTATTAGTGGTGCGAGAAAAACAAGTAAGAAAAATTTTTCACTGTCCCAGTCTGTTAGTGCTCGGAGGAGCAGTAGGCCCGGGCACTACGGTGTGAAGCATCAGCCTGTCGTTGTCGTTGTCGTCTTCGTGGTCGTCGTCGTCGTTTACCCCAGGATCTTCACCCGCAAAAAAAAATAAACAGACGAAGCGGAACAATGCAAATTCGATTTTAGCTTCCGTCCGGGGTAATCTTTTCGAATTAGAAACAAGCCCATGCACCCCAGGGTTACTTTCCTGCCGCCGTGACAAGGCAACGTCTTTTCTTCGCGAACCCAGATGTGGAGAACTTGAAAAATTCCCTATTCTGGTACCTTGCCGCCGGCGCTAGCTGCTCCCCTACTCCCCGAGACGGTGCTCCTCCGCCGACGCCTTCCTTTTCCAGCTCCACCAGGAAAGCCTCGCCGAGATCTTGGTGGCTCAGACAATAAAACGTCCCGATCCACTCCCCAACTTCTTTCTAGAAGTGGCAGTTTTGCGGCTACGCTCCCGTTATTGTGGCTTACTTCTCCATTCGTCTGTTGGCTTTTAATTTCCATGTTTGGGAATGGGAACCCTTTCATTGGCGACTCAAATCACGGTTCAATAGCCGAGAGGCCATGATGTGCCCCGGGCCCCGGATTCTCACTCGCATGTTACGTCAACTCGGTGTTTGACATCAAGGCTTGGCCTGTTACAATGAAGCATTCGTTGCCATGTGCTCATCACGGCGCAGGAGCCGTACCATCTACCATTCTGATATACACAGTCGCTGTCTTGCCATCCCCAAAGCGCTCCCTTCTACTTCTTCCAAAAGTCTCTCCACCACTCCTTCAGCCCAAACGCCTTTTCATCTCCTTCCACATGAATTTTCACATCCCCCTTGCCCGCCACCGCGCTGCCAACGCCAGTCCCGACCTGTCCCCCTCCCAGCCGTGAGGAGCCCGCCGCCCTCGTCGTCCCCCGGTTCCTAATCTCGTCCGCCAGCAGCGGCGCCACGGTCGCGTAGCACGTCGCCAGCTCCCTCTCCAGCGAAAAGTACGGCTTCCTCGCCAGCTCCGGCGCCATCAGGTTGTACCCGCGCGTCAGCTCGTTGAGCCGCTTCACCGCGAGCGTCATGTACTTGGCCTCCGCCGCCTCCCACGCCGAGTCCCGAAACGGCCGCACGCCCCCGGCATCCACCTCCTCCTCCTCCTCCACCACCGGATCAAGCTGCTGCGGCCCGCCGCCCATGACCGGGTCGTCGGTCGCCGCCGCCGACACCGCGATCTGGTCCGACGTCCGGCGTCGCTGCGGGTTGTGCGCGCGCTCCGCCGCCGAGTAGCGCCCCGCCCGGCGCACCTGCTCCGACAGCGTCCCGCCCTCGGACGAGATCAGCCTCGCCGCATGCCTCTTCCAGTCGCTGCGCAGGCGCGCGCGGAACGCATCGGTCTCGCGCACCAGCTGCTGCTGCTTCTCGATCCACGGCGGCACGAGGTCCTGGCGCTGGATCAGCCGGTTCATGAGGTACTCGGTCGTCTCCACGTACGGGTTGTTGGCTCCCCCGTCGCGTTCGACGCCCTTGCCCCGCGGGATGTTCTTGAACTGCCCTCGTGCGATGGCATTCTCGATGCGCTCGTTGGCCATGGACGCGATGGCGGAGATTGAAGCTGGTGCTATCCGACCCTCGGGCTCGAAGCGCTCCCGAAACTGCCTCCTCATCTCCTCCTTTTCCTTGGCGCTGAGTCCCGGGCTCTCCTTCATTCCCATACCCGAGTACGCCGACGCCCTGTCCCGTGCGGAGGCGGCCCTTTGCCCAGGGCTCAGTCCCGGCCCACGCTTCAGCCGTGTATCGATCGGCTTGCCTCGTAATTCTGGCTTCAGCGGCTTCTTTGCATCATCCAGCATCCGTAGCACTGCATCCTCTGTCCGCTCTTCCCCCGCCCATGCCTGATGTGTGCAAAAAGAGCCGCTGCGTAATTCTTCACCCTTGGATGTGACACCAGCTTCTGCCAGCGCCCCGGCAAAGTCACTTTCAAACTTTGCGCCCTGTATTTCACTCATAAGCTTCTTCTTGAGCTCCTCGGAAAACCCTGCATCCTGCACAGCCTGCCGCCCGGCTCTGCCACCAGTAAAAAGCGCCTCCTCCGTCGCCTCCTGCAGACGACGCGCCAACGGACCTAGTTCCTCCGATTCGTTGGGTTTCTCCTCATTCGCCTTTTCTGGGCTGTTTCCAGACTTGCGAGTGCCCGCCGAGCTGTCGAGAGATGCGCCGTCCCCACGCTGGGATGAATATGAGACGGCGCATGGGACCTTAGTTGGCGGATGACACTTGCGACATGCTCGCAGCATATTGCGTCCCGCGGTTAAGCTCATCTTCCCCACACGTATTCTTCTCTCTGGCGATTGAACCTGCAAAGAGGTGCATTATGTACCGAGCAGATCGTTGGATGGCGTTGAAGGAGCGAGCCCTTGCCATGCTTAGCTTTCGCCACTTGCACCAAAACCACCCTTAGTCAGCCAACCAAAGAACTCAACGAGAGGCACGAAACAATGACACTGCATCAAGAACAAAGAATTCACAGATGGCTAAAATTGAGCACTGGGAAGTTACTTCAATAGAATATATCTGATACGAATGCTTCGCATATTTACAGAGCCACGGGGCTAACTAACCAAACTCCAGGCTTACCCAAGGTATCGTGTGTATACAGCCAGAAACTAAATCGCACCAAACGCCATTCCGCGGAAAGCAACTACGAACTTCTCTTGCCATAAGGCTCAAATGGAAAGCTCGCAGAAATGATAGCCGTCACAATGAAAATTCCAGCACAGACATACAGGGGTGCCGAGGTTGACGTATCAGCCACAGTACCGATGACCGCGGAAATAATACCCATGATACGGTTTAGGGCAACGGCAATACCATTGCCGGTGCCTCTGTGCGCGCTGGGGAGGACCTCAGGGGTGTAAGCATACAGCGTGCCGTAGTAGATGTTAAGGACGCAAGCAATAATGCAAGAGAAGGCAACGTCCTGGTCCGAGGTCTTGACGGCCGTGTAGGCAAAGAAGAAAGCCATGGTAAGAAGGGATCCAACGACCATGGTATATTTGCGACCAAAGAAGCGCGTGTTGCACATGAGACCGGCAATTATGGGACCGGGAATGCCGCAAACGTTGGTAAGCGCATAGTTGCGCCACGTCTCAAAGACAGATCGCTGGAATTCACCGCTTCGGTTCTTGAGGTAGGTTCTGGAGTCAGGTTAGTGGTGGTCACATGTGCACAGCGCTGAAAAAAAAAGCTTACGGTAGGAATACATAGAACAGGGGATAGGCAAGGCCGATCAGCATCCAAGAAAACCAGATTAGGGCTGTCGAAAGACCAATTTTCTTGGTACAGAAGAGGCCACGGAAGTGGACCATCGTTTCGCCAACTGAGAATCTGCTCTTGCTGTGAGAGGATCGAATAGAGCCGCAAGCCTCGAGGCGTTGTAGAGTGAGCGAGCAGGGGCGGTTGTACATTTTAGCCAGTGCCTGGATATTTTCGACGAGGAGCGCGTCTTCGCCGGAGCCGAGAAGATACTTGGGCGTCTCCTTCAGACGAATGACAAAGATACGAAGGACGGACATGACGAAGACGAGCGCGCCGCCGGTGAACATGGCATATCGCCAGCCCCAGTTGTCCGCCTTGCTACAGGGACCTTCGTCGGGACAGTTCCACTTGGAAGGAACGAGGAAGCCCCAGGCGATGAAGCCGCAGATGGCCTGACCGAAACCCCACCAGGCGGCCATGAAGGTGACGAGCCACTGCTTGTTGCCAGGTAGGTATTCGAGGAAGACGGTTGTGTCCATGACGAGGTTGCCACCGCCACCGAAACCGAGGAGTGCGATGAAGAAGGCCAGGCTGGCCCAGCTGGGCATGGCGCCAGCGACAATGCAGGCGACGGAGCAGATGAAGAGGGAGATGTTGAAGGCGTACTTGCGGCCAATGACATCGGCGCTGAATCCCCAGAATATAGCACCCGTAAACATGCCGGAATAGACAGCAATTGTGAGGGCGTTCTTGTAGCCATGGGAACCGAACTCCTTGTAGGCGGGGCCGGCGATGACGGACTGGAAGAGGAGAATCATGGAATCGACACAGTAGCCAAAGCCATTGAGGAAGAATAGTTTGAGGTGGTAATTGGTCCATCCAATTTCGTCAATTGCCTATCACAGAGGTCAGCTTTTTGTCCTCCAAAACTAGCAATTCCGAGTCTCGCTGGGTGTAAGTTTACCGCCGCTTCAGAGTGCAAGCTAGCGCCTGAGCCCGCAACATCATCTCGACGAGAGGCGAAAGAGACTTACATTGTTGACAAGGTGCATCTTCATATTCAGCGCCGGGTCCGTATCCTGCATACCGAGGATATCCTCGCCGCTGTGGATGGAACCAAGCTCGTCGGACGAGACCTGGCCATCTTCGGGACTGGCGAGCTTCTTGTCCAGATGTGCAGGGTCGGCATCCTTGTATGAGGGAAGCTGCGCCATCTTGGATGTCGGGGAATGCGGTGCAGCTTGACTTTTTGTATATTCGACGGCACGCAAGTTGAATCACAGTTGGTATTCTCTGGCTCTGGATTTCGCGCGGCTTAGAGTTCTGGATCCACGTGGGGGTGTTGAACGGGTGCTAGGAAACGGCGTAGGCGCCAGCACAGCTCTGTTGCGCGTATAAGAGAATTGCAGTCGTGAGCACGTAACGGTACAACTTTGAGCGTCGCAAGAAATGCGCGATTCGTAGGGAAGTGTGGCGATTGTTGGAAAGGCTCTGCGTATGGGAAATTCGGCCGAGGAGCAAAGGTAGGTAGGGTACTCCGGATTTAGGTCGAGGCGGGTAGTGCAAACGTCTGCATCGGGGATGGGGTTGGGTTGGGTTGGCGGTCAGGAGGCAACAAAAAGTCAATGGAAATCCGACAGAATAGAATGGTCCAGGAGAGCAGACAGATAGGACACGAGGCAAGGTCGACGACAAGAGCAGAAAGTGCGGCTTGCGGCGGGGAGGTGGGCGTATTTCAAGGATTTGGGGTTTGGGGTCAGTCAGTCAGATGGGATTGGCAGCCAAGCCAGCAGCCAGCAAGTTGCAAGCCACAGCCAGCAGCCAAGACGATCACCGCTTTCCGTCTAGAGCTGGCTGGCAAGTTAGTGGACAGCTGCGGCGGGCCGGCCTTGGGGGACACGCTAAAACATGGAGCTGGAAACGAAGATGTGCAGTAAGTAAACCAGCAGCTAATAAGGCTAATAAATAGGTAACTTGGAAGTTAGTGCTCCATACTTGCTCGCCTAACAGTGAAGCTTGCGTCGTTGCCCGCCGGCTGGGTTTGGCTGTTTGGCTGCAAGGCTAACCTCCAAACTTGGTAAGAAAAATTGGCGTCTTTTTGGTTGGACAGTCAGCGGGAGGCGCTGACAACCCTCTGCTTCTTTGACGTTGAGTCCGCCCGTGGTGGCGGCGGTGGGCGGTCATCATGGCCACAAGCTTCCCGCCTAGGTACAAGCTCGCCCACCACCCAGCCTGTCAGCGACGAACATGCCCCCCCAAATTCCCCAATTCAACCCAGACGGTTAATTGCTCCGAGTGGCTTCGTTATTTCCTGTTCATCCTTCACAACCTAACCTCTTTGTGGCCGGCTCAACACTTGCAATAATTAGTAGCAACCACTGCCCCCCCGCTAAACGGAACCCCCGTGCGGCCAGGCCGCCGCGGTGATAGGCCGCTGGTCAACAACGGCAGCAGCCCGTCAATATCCATTCGCGGGCGGGCCGTGGGCTCCTTATTCATTAACAAGGTATGTACCAGCTGACGCTATTGCAAGAAGAACCGCCTGTTAATAGAACACGCCAAATGGACGTTGTCCCACTGGACAGACTCGTTTCTTCCGCCCTGGGCCAATCACGCCCAGCACATGGGCTGCATGCCCAAGTGTGCATGTGCTCTCTTGCCCGGACTTATTATTGGAAGCATTCGGCCCAGATGAGGTTACATGCATCTACCTGCACATCATTTGTTGCTGCCGTACAGCTTATTACTCGCTGTCCTGCTCCCCCACACTGTTCAGACCATCAAGGCAATCGTGTATTTTGATTCGCAAAAGGCCATGTATCTTCATCCCAAACTAATCCAAGCGAATGTTGCCCACGTAGTTATTTATATTCAGCGTTGCACTACGCCCTTGTTAGTATCGGGCTTCACCATAATGAGGCCGTCAACCATCCTCGCGCCGAGGAGAGTGCACTAAAAAGTAGCCACGCCCACGGCGTCTCCGAGGTCTGCCCGGTTCATTACAAGGTCGCCATGAAGGTTCCTGTGGAATAGTTCACAGCCAATGGAGGACTGCCCACCACATTTGACTGCCCGCCCGAGCCAGAGGGCCGACGTCAGTGGCGGGCTGGCCCATGTCGTGGCGTATTCTGCATTGATGTGTTCCAAACATCAGCTCGCTTTGCCCCGCGAGATGGTCTGAGATTTACACCACCCCTGCAACGCGAGGCTTGGCTCCCACCGACTTGCTCAGGTGTGATGCGCTACCCTAGACCGCGAATTGCTTTCTTGCTACCTAGGACGAGCTCGAAATCAGGTCAAGAAAACGTAGAGCAGCACAGAAATTTTCGTGGTGAATAATCATGTTTTAATAAATTGTCTTTTGAGTCCCAAATAGCACCTTCAGAACATGCTTGTGTGACAGAATGTTAGCGTCCGGTTGCGCCCGCTGTACCACCTTGCCTCATGTTCTAACCTGCTCGTTCTACTTGGCATGAAGTCCTTATCCGTTGCCCTGCGTTGGCTATTCTCCGAGACAAGAAGCCACATACAATTCAGGTAGAGCGGTGCTTACCAACTCCCCTGTAACTGATGGACGTCCCTGGATGGCCAACCTCATGTCGCACGGCCCAGTCAAAACCACCATCATCTCTATATTTTCCTGCCGAACAATATCAACACCAAATGTCTTTTGCTTCACACCCCTAGCTCATCTATACGTGTACCAACTCCCCAACCATCTAAACTTTTGCGCCATCTTCTCAATCTTCTCCAGCGCGCTGCCCACCCGCCCGTCCGGGTCGTCCAGCCTGTGGCCCTCAAACTCCACGAAGATGATGTACTGGAACGGCCCCAGCAGGCTCGGCCGGCTGTTGATGCTCGTCAGGTCCAGCTGGAACTCACGGAAGCAGCCGAGGATGTCCGCGAGCGCGCCCGGGCACTTATGCGGCACCGTGAACGTGACGAGCGACTTGGTGCCCGTCCGCCGCGCGGGGTCCTGCCGTAGAGGGTAGTCCCGTGGTAGCGTTGGCCGCGTGCCAATGACCAGGAAGCGCGTCGTGTTGTCGTCGCGGTCCTCGATGGACGCCGCCAGCGTGTCCAGCGCGTACAGGTCGCCGGCGAGCTTGCTCGAGATGGCCGCCGAGGCGCCGCTCGCGTCGGCGGCCACGAGCTCGGCCGCTTTGCTGGTCGAACTGACGTCGAACTTCTCTGCGTTCTTGAGATAGGTCGAGATGAAGTGATTGCACTGCCCGAAAGCCTGCGGGTGCGAGTACAGCTTCTTGATGTGGTCGAGGTTCTCCAATGGCTTGCTCCTGGGCTTGGCGGGCGTCGGGTCTGCTACCGTCGGTGTGGACGCGCCACTTGACCCTTGGTCGGAGGGCTTTGCGGCTTCGGGGTTCTTGTGGCCGAGCAGTTGGTGATGAACGTCGACGTAAATCTCACCGTTGACATATATATCTTTGTAGCGTCCATCTCGATCTGCTAGGTCGTCCAGCGTAAAGACGACAGAGCCATTGGTTGAGTTTTCAATCGGCACCACACCCAGAAGCGCGTGCTTATCTTGTGTCTCGTCGCAGACATCTAGCCATGGTCCCCATGTGAGTGACAGTGCTTGCAATGCATGCACAAGAAGGCATGGTACTAGTCCGTACTTACCGTCGATGGTGGTGACAGGTTTCAGATACCATACATCTTCCGAAAAGGCTTGCAGGGCAGCCTAGTTCAGCCGTTAGTACGAACAAGCCTCCAGTTTGATGGTGCGTTATGTAAATCATACCTGCTGAGAATAAGATGCAATGGGCCCTAGATACGCCGCTATGGGCTTGCTATCGGAGGGCGTCATCCGTGGCAGTTTATTACCAGCGCCAGGGTTGTCCCGATACCTGTGTGTGTGGTGGTACTTCTCAGTTTCCTGCTGCCCCTCCCCTCTTCCGAGACTCGGCCATGCACTATTTATTGATTACCGCCCAGCGCAACACAACGAAGCAATGCTTCAGACCTGGGGAGCTGTAGCAAAGACCGTTTAACCTGCGAGAGAAAAGCTTCGTGCCTATCGCAATGAATTACAAGTGCCGCAAAAAGAAGATGCAAGATGCAAGGCTGACAATAATAGCCCACGGGATGAGTCAGTAACCTTGACTAAGTAGAACTGCAAAAAGAATAGGTCACGGTGGGGATCGAACCCACAATCTTCTGGTTCGTAGCCAGACGCCTTGCCATTTGGCCACGCCGCCTTGCCATTTGGCCACGCGACCGCGACCGTTGGTTGACATGATAAAATTGCCTCTTATTAGAGATTAATAGCCGTTCGCGGATGTGATCCATAAAAAGACAACGATTCTCCAAAAGAGTCAAAAAGAAAGGTCACGGTGGGGATCGAACCCACAATCTTCTGGTTCGTAGCCAGACGCCTCGCCTTGCCATTTGGCCACGCGACCGGATCGAACCCACAATCTTCTGGTTCGTAGCCAGACGCCTTGCCATTTGGCCACGCGACCCGCTGGTTGTTATGCTAATTTGCCGCTAATTTGACAATATAGATCTCACAGACCTTGGTGCAACACCTTGGTGGGGTTTCAACAGCTGGGAGGACAGCCAGCGAGCGTCATACCGTCGGAGCTTGTAGCTCCGGATTGCGCATACATCAACCGCTGAAGCTGTCGCTTCCACCACAATCGCCGTCTGAGCTCTCACCGCATCGATTATGCGGATACGATAGCCGCCATGGCTCTCGATCTCATTGATGGCTTCAATCCAGCCAACGAGCTGGGGGCCAACGGCCATGACCTGCCCATCTTCACCGTGGAGGCGGCGCAACTCGGCTTCTCAGTAACGGCCGACTTTGTCGCCGCCCAAGTTGCCAACGATGTCATGATCCTGGCTCTGTCCAACGGCAGAATTCTACGTATCGATCTGAACAGACCGGAAGATATTGATGGTCCGTGCCGCAAATTTATTTTGACTCGCAGCCTCCAAGAGCGTCCCTGACATGTTAAGCAGACATCGACCTACCCAAGAAGACATCCGAAGTTGGCGTGATTTCCCGCATGTTCCTCGACCCTACCGCATCACATCTAATTGTCTGCACATCTCTTGGCGAAAACTACTATCTTCACTCGCAGTCGCGTCAGCCTCGGCCACTAGGACGACTTCGCGGCGTCTCGATCGAAAACATAGCATGGAACCCTTCCCTGCCCACTGCGTCTACCCGGGAAATCCTTATAGGCGCATCCGACGGCAACATATACGAAACATTCATTGAAGTGTCCAACGAATTTTACAAAAAGGAAGTCAAACACCTGAAGAATCTCCACAAGCTTCCGGACGGACCGATCACGGGTCTTTGGGTCGATAACTTGGACGGTCGATCGGACTTGCGCAGAGTCATCATAGCTACACAAAGCCGGCTGTTTCACCTTGTTGGTAAGATAGGCACTGGTAGCGATGGCAGTGGCTCCGTGTACTCGCGGCTGTTTGAGTCAGAACACCCCATCATTCATGAAATCTCGCGCAACTCGGCGGCGGCGCATTCCTCATTGGCGGTGTCACCTGATCCGCGAGAGACCGAACCATACCAAGACCAAAAGCAAGAGAAGGCATACGCTTGGCTGTCATCGCAAGGCATCTTCCACGGAACACTGCTGGAGTCACCGGCTGAGCAGACCCTTGGCTCCAAGGTCTTTGCGGAGTCGAAGACGCTTTCACGTTCTCACATCTTCTCGGACCCATCAGGGAAAAAGAAGGCTGGGCCGGATAACATTGATGCCATGGCCTTGACGCAGTGGCACATCATCTGCTTGCTTGGAGGCCGAGTGGTGACTATCAACCGTCTTACGGGCGAAACAATATCCGAACACGATGTTCTGAAGAGTGGTCAAAGAGCGATTGGGTTTGCGGTCGACATGCAAAAGTACACATTTTGGCTATTCACAGGCCAAGAGGTCTTCGAAATCGTGCCAAACGACGAAGACCGCAACATCTGGAAGATCTTGATGGACTCGCAGCATTTTGAAGCGGCACTCCAGCAGGCGCATGGCCAGGACCAGAAAGAGACTGTCGCTGCGGCTTACGGTGACTACATGGCCAAGAAAGGAAACTGGAAAGAGGCGGCAGCTCTGTACGGAAACAGCAACAAGCCTTTCGAGGACGTGGCCCTTCAGATGATTGATAATGGCCAGCATGATGCACTACGCAGCTTCATGCTTACCAAGCTGGCAGCCACCAAGCGAACGGCAATTATGCAGAGAATGATGATTGCCGGCTGGCTCATCGAGATCTTCATGGCCAAGCTCAACTCGCTGGACGACACCATCGGCACGCAAGCGGAATTATCCGAATCGCTGAACGCTGGTGAACCTCAAAAGCTCCTGCAAAGCGTGAGAAAACAGTTCCAGGAATTCGTCGTGCGCTCTAAAAACGATCTGGATAAGAAGACAGTGTATGACATTATCAGCAGTCATGGACGGGAAGAAGAACTATTATTTTACGCCAACTCGGTCAACGACTACCAATATGTGCTCTCATACTGGGTACTGCGCGAGAATTGGACTAAAGTTCTGGACGTTTTGAAGCGACAGACGGACCCGGAAGCCTTTTATCGTTACAGCACCGTTCTCATGACACATGCGCCACAAGAGACTGTCGAAATCCTGATGCGGCACGCGGATCTCAAGCCAAGAAGCTTGATTCCAGCCCTACTGGAGTATAGCCGTTCATATCCTAACGAAGCACATGCGAAAAACCAAGCAATCCGGTATCTGAACTATGCCATTCATCAGCTCAATTCTAAAGACTCTGCCATCCACAACACACTCATCTCTATCTACGCCTCCAACCCGTCCAAGGACGAATCTGGGCTGCTTTCATATTTTCAGGCACAGGGTGACGAGCCGCGCTACGACCCCGATTTTGCTCTGCGCCAATGCATCCAGCATCACCGCACTCTTTCCTGCGTCCACATCTACACTAGCATGGGCCAGTACTTGCAGGCGGTGGACTTGGCCCTCTCACACAACGAAGTAGAGCTGGCCGCCGTGATTGCAGACCGACCCATCACGAATCCGCAGCTCCGAAAGCGGCTGTGGCTTGCCGTCGCGCGCAAAGTCATATCGCAGTCGGACGGCATCAAGTCTGCGATTGAATTCCTGCGGCGCTGCGAGCTGCTCAAGATTGAAGACTTGATCCCCTTCTTCCCCGACTTTGTGGTGATTGACGACTTCCGAGAGGAGATTTGCGAGGCGCTGGAGGATTACAGCCGCAGCATCGACGACCTCAAGAAGGAAATGGACGAATCGTCGCAGACGGCGGCCAACATCAAGATGGACATTGCCGCGCTGGACCACCGCTACGCCATCGTGGAACCCGGCGAAAAGTGCTACGTGTGCGGCCTGCCGCTTCTCAGCAGGCAGTTCTTCGTCTTCCCCTGCCAACACGCATTCCACTCGGATTGCATGGGCCGCAAGGTGCTAGAGCAGGCCGGCGTAGGAAAGTCGGGACGCATCAAGGACCTGCAGCTGCAGATCCACAGAGGACTTGTGAGCGGCGCAAAGAGAGACGCTGTTGTGGCAGAATTGGATTCTCTGGTCGCTTCGGCCTGGTGAGCGCTGCCCTCATGCATTCCTAAGATTGTACGCTAATGTGACTGTCTAGTATCCTATGCAGCGATTTTGCAATCAAGCAGATAGACGAACCCTTCATCGCCGAGGGAGAGACGAACGAGTGGGTAGTATGAGGGTGCATAACTGTGCGAGGATTAATGTAGCATTTACGGAGCGCTGGCGGTTGAACATCCTCGACGTGTACAACACTCAAGTGATTTATTATTTATTTATAAGCCAGCATTGCCTATAGCCAAAGATGGATTAATTTACGCGGATGCTCCGTCACCTCGGCACGGGGCTAGTACAGGCATTTGGTCACGTCATTCTTTGACTTGGTAATCATCAAGAGCGAAATGACGAAGCCGTAGAGCCCCAGAACCTCGGAGAAGATGAGGATGAGGACCATGCCCATGTACAGCCGGGGCTGCTGGGAGCTGGCGCGCACTTGTCCCGGTCATGTTAGCACACAAGCCGCACAGAGACGAAAGGAAACTCACCTCCCGCGTCGCCGCAGATGCCGATGGAGAAGCCGGCCGCCAGCGAGCAGAGCCCGACGGCGATGCCGCCGCCGAGCTGGAGGAACGCCGTGTGGACGGCCATCTTCTCGTTGATGGTCGGTATCATGACGACGCAGCAGACCAGGCCGTAGATGGACAGGATCTGCGCCATGACCGCGCAGAGCCTTGTTTCCTCGTCATCAGCGTGTTTCGTCTGAGATGAGGGGAGCGGCGGAGTTTGTAGAGGGGCCAGGTCACTTACGTGTTGGGGACGAGGCGCTCGGGGCGGAGGATGCCGGAGGAGAAGATGCCGGCGGCGGGCTTGGCGGTGCCGTAGGCGGCGCCAAAGGTCGAGAGGACGCTGGCGAAGGCGCAGCCCATGGCGCCGAAGAAGCTCTGCCCGCTGTTAGTATTGACGAGTTTGGGGGGGGGGCTTCATGAAGAGACAGGTTAGACACATGGAAACAAGGTGTGTGAGTATATCCTGGTAGAGCACTTACCAGCGATCCATGCTTGCGATTATTTCGTAATCCATTTTGTCCCTTTTTTTCTTTCAAATTTCTCGGAAATCGATGAAAACTAGATTGAGCTGATGAGGTACGATGTCGGCGTCACGGCGTCACGGCTTCATGGTGGGCTTATATGATGGCAAGCCATGAGCGGAGAGGGTACCCGTCTGTAGGATTCTACCGACAGTACGCCATAAGTTAACATGGATCTGCGCGTTGAGGCTGAAGGCCAAGAGAGCGGGATGCCGCCCGGTAGGCAGCCGAATTAAAATGGCCACATTTCGGGTGCCGTATTGGGCATATTTGCATGGGGCTGACGATGGTTGAAATGTGTCTGCCTAAAAAATGGCCCAAGGCGGGAGGCGTCATACACGTTAATAACGGGCTAGGCAGCCTTTTTTTTTTGTTTTTGTTTTTCGACATGTTGCCCAATGGAAAGGGCGTGTTTTTGGATATTTTTCTAAGAGTTGAGAAATGCCACAACTGAGGTGAGAGTCTTTGCTTTGTCTCGGTTGCACTGCTGATAACAGAGCTTGAGAGGGCGACTACATAGTAAGTGACAAGAGGCGAGGCAGTCTCTCGCCCACCAGTCCGGCCAGGTAAAGAATGGGAGATGTTGCGGATATAATTATGAAAAAATTTAATCTAGTGATTGCCTGTTAAAAAAAAAAAGTCTCAACTCCAACGCAGATCCTTTTGCTCAACGTTGTGTCGACTTGACCCGTCATTCAGGTTATAAGCAGGGCAAGAGGGCTAGCTCCATATCAACTGGAATCACAGAGAGCAATCTTCTTCTCCCTTATCACCCAGTTCTGGACAGGCGAGAAAAGGAAAATCCGCATTTTCAAACTTTCTTTCCCAATCTGTCCTTTATTGCGTCAGCACCTGCACCCTGTTTCGTCTCAGCATCGACGGGGCGCCCATCTTGAGACGCAGGCGAGACAGATCAGGTTGGTTAATCAGGACGTAATGCAACAAGTCGACGCCTGAGGGAGGGAGACCGACAGGAAGCTTTTTCATTCTTCATTTTGTTTTTTACGGATTTGTCACGGCCTGAGCTGGTATGCTTGCTGTTGGCTATGGATGCAATCCGGAGCCAGAGGCCCATGTGCCCGTCAACCACGGATCCCAGGACAAAGCGTCGCAACAACGGGAGGCGAGGAACGACCAAGACGGAGATGAGATGGGACAAGTTAGCGGCGTCTGTAGCGAGGATCAGCAACCGCAGAAAAAGCAAAAAAATCCCGGGAGCCGAGTTACAGGCTGCCAATCACTCAATGCTTTTTTTTCGTAACATCTACACAAAGCCTCTCCCCCGTAAACATCAGCCTTTTTTATTCCCAGAAATCCCGCCAATGTCGACGTCGATCTAACTAGTCGCTTTCTGTAACTCGGCCTGCCAGACTTCCTCCCCCCTCGCTCCTCCGGTTAAAACCCAGCCCAGACACTGCGACGCGTGTAACAGGCTTTGCTTGGTTTCGTCCCTTGCACTTTTAGCCCCGCCGCATCCGAGCATCCGGGGAGGTTGCCACCCGAGCGAGTCCCCGGCGGCGGCGCGGCTGCCGACCGCTTCTTTCCTTGAAGCTTGGCATTTCTCTGATCTGAGGCGGGTTGGTTTTGAAGAGGAAGAGGATGCTGGGTTTTATTGAGCATTGGAGGGGGGCATTGGAGGGGGGCATTGGAGGGGGCCGTGGCACTTACGAATACTTTCGTCGCAAGAAAGAAAAGGCCAACTGAGACTAGCGAAGAAAGAGTTTGCCATTTCCAGGTATTCTTGCCAACTAGTTAGTTATTGGTGTGGTTATACCGGCCCAGACCGCAGCGTTGCATCGGCCAAGGCGGCGGCACCGGATGCATCAGTGCGTTTGCCAAGTACCTATGTACTGTACTGTACGTATGTATGCATGTAATGTGTGTATGTGCCTTCCTTGCACGTTGCTCACCTTGCACCACTTATTACTCGTAAGCTGCGACTGAGTACTTGTTCTTTCATCCGTCAAGCTGTCTGGCTGGCTATGCTTCTAACGCATAAACAAGATATTGAAGATTACCGTGAACAAGGGCGACGAATCGCTCCGTCATTTCTACGTATCCCTCGTCCAAGCTTCGCACCGCATCTCCATCCAACAGTTTCTGATACTCACTCACTTCAGCACCTCAACACCGACGCGCGATTAGACCCATAACTAGGGCGTTTTCTTGGACAGCATTATTATTATCCAAAGTGTCGAAATTTCCAATCCTCAACCTGCCTCTACAAAATCACTACTTTGGCACAGCCACTGTCACCATCTTACCGAGGCTGCCGGACATCCCTCGAGGCTGCAAATCCCGCAGTACCATCCAGCTTGGCACGAAATTGGTCACGCCCACCACCCTCGGTAGCTTCTGGTCATTTTCCAGATCATATCGCCAATTACAACAAAGCGTCTACCCGGCCTGCCTCAGCACACACGGTGTGTACGGAGCAGCTCCGATCCGCAGTGACTCGCATACCGGAGTGTCCTGGGTAGAGCGCAGTGGTTGAAGATGCGCTGGCAACCGGCATCAGCGACACTCTTCTGTCTTTCACAATGGCAACCCAGTGTACAAGCTGCTGCCGGTCAACGAGAAGGCGACCCTCGCGTGGTCCGGCTACCACTCCAGAGGCGCGACATCCCCGATCCCGCAGCCCATGACAGGCAACGAATTATGAGGCGCGAGGGAACCATCCAGGCAGAATTGAACAATCTGGTGAGTTCTCCTCCCCTTGGTGAAAATGCCTTCTTGAATCTAATGACGGTTTGTTATCCAGAAAACCCTGTACTTCTTCAATGCGACACTCGGCACTCCACCACAGAACCTGCGCCTCCATCTTGACACGGGCAGCAGTGATCTCTGGGTAAACACGGCAAGCTCAGCACTTTGCCAATCATCAAACCAGCCCTGTCAGCTTTCGGGAGCCTACACAGCCAATTCATCTTCAACATACGAATACTTGAACAGCCAGTTCAACATATCTTATGTGGACGGATCCAGTGCACACGGCGACTATGTCACCGATACATTTCGGTTTGGGGATATTGGCATAGACAACTTTCAGTTTGGAATCGGATACACCAGTAGCTCACCACAGGGCATTCTGGGAATAGGATACCCTACAAATGAGGTGCAAGCCGCTCGCTTTGGTCACCAACCGTACAGCAATCTTCCCTCAAGATTGCTTACAGACAAGCACGTGGCCACCAACGCGTATAGCATTTGGCTCGACGACATCAACTCAACCACAGGGAGTTTACTATTTGGCGGCGTTGATCGATCGCAATACCGCGGGAGCCTGGTGACTCTCCCCGTCCAAAAGTCCGGCTCCATCTTTCGCGAATTCTTCATCACCATGACGGGACTGGACGCCGGCTCCAAGCCCATCATCGACAACATGGCACTGGCTGTCCTGCTTGACACGGGGTCATCTCTGACATATCTACCCAACGACCTGGCGACTTCAGTTTTCCAAGCTCTCAACGTTACCTGGTTTGAGAAGTCGCAACTCGCCATCATTCCCTGCGACCGAGCACTCAGCGACGAAAGTGTAACATTCCGCTTTAGCGAGCCAGCATCGATATCTGTGTTGTTGAGCGAGCTCGTGCTACCAATTATTACTCCCAGTGGAAGTCAACCAACGCTGCAAGACGGCACCGCTGCCTGTCTGTTTGGCATATTCCCTTCTGGCAATGGAGCTGTGGTGCTCGGGGACACGTTTCTACGCAGCGCCTACGTCGTCTACGACATGGCAAACAATCAAGTGTCTTTAGCCCAGAGCAACTTTGACGCAAAGCCTTCGGGCTCGGAAGTGGTGGAAATCGGTTCTGGGAAGAACCAGATCCCAGACGCGACCATGGCCCGCAACCCAGTGGCTGCGAAATCGGGACTGCCTGTTACAGGTAACATGGCTTCATTTGTGACATTGGAGCGACAGTATTTGGGAATTACCATGTTTGCAATATTTATTTTGGGCGCGTTCGGCGGCTTCTAGACCGCCAACGTGTTTGGAACCAACTCTTAGAGCATTGCGTCGGCGTTTTGCATTGACCCCGTCGGGTTTGGGGTGATTTTAGAAACGAGTTTTTGAATATTCATGAGGAAGTCATCATTTACATAGATTAAAAAAAAAGGCGTACATCTAATCTGCGCCTGTAAACAATGCCCAGTAAACGTGCGAATGGTGACAGGGTGCTGAAGCGGCGCAGAGCAGTCGCAAGAACAGAACACGGTCTTTGATTTTTTTTCTTGGCGTAACGTGGACGCCGTCATTATGATTCATATACAAAGACTTTTTAGGAGTGTACCCATAAACGCCATCCTTGCCCAATTCAAATCAGCGAGTGAAGAAGCATAATCCCCCATATACACCAACCACCAAGAACTTTCCAACTCTAGATAACACAAAGCAGCATGCGCCAAATCAATCCGATGTGGACCATGCCCAGAATAATGCAGAAAAATCCCTAAAGTCATGGCCCGTTCCACGGCGGCAGGTCGTCGCTGGAAAAGTTCCACGGCATGCTTATCCCACCGGGCAGCTCGCCCGTGTCCATCAACGAAGTGGTGATCTGTGCCGCGAACATATCGTCCTGACTAGGCCATGGAGCGTTGATCATGCGATCCTGAAAGGCCCGGAGGTCAATGCGGTTCTCCGCGGGCGTGTTGCCCAGCCCGAACACGGCGCTCGTCCCCAGGCCGCTGACGGCCGCCGGGGACTCGTTGCTGCTGCCCGCGGAGCCGCCCCCGTTGGGATTTTGAAGGACCGGCGATGCGGTGTTGGAGGGCGACGAGCGATCGGGGAGCGAAAACACGCTGCCGAGGCTGTTCGGTCCTCGCCTCCACCGGTTGGACTCGAGTGGGTTGCCCGGCGGAGCGGCATTTTGCGTCGACGCAATGTTGCCATCCCTATCCTGCGACACAGGGCTGTCCATGGTCCTCTTGCGCTTGTTCGTGCAATTGTCGGACACGTCAACCACTGCCGGCTGGTTTGTGTCCACAGAGACGTTTCGACACACGGCCCCGATCATGCACTGGTAGCAATCGGCACCTGTGAGTCTCTTGGCAGTTGCGTGGCCGCTAGGCACGACGTCGAGGTCAAGCCGCTGGCCTTTGGGATTCTCCAGAGGCAATCGTCCCGGCAAGACGGGCATGATTTCCGAGTCGCGCGACACTGAGCTCCGCGCGAAAAGCGGGATGCTGGCCAGCCCGCGGGTTTCCGACTGGCGATATTTCGCCAGTGCTGGAAACCTCATTTTTGAAGCGAGTCCATTTGCATCAATGTCGTGGCAAGTTTGCCGTAGAAGGGATCTGGTTATTAGATTGTTGCGACTGATTGCTTCCATGGCATGGACAAGGATTTCGAGATTGGACGCGTCACGCGGACTGATGTCGTTTGACGGGTCGGTCTTTGCAACGTAGATATAGACAGTCGCTGCACAATACATTGCTATTGCGCACATTGGACTCTTCTACAGTAAAGGTTAGCATGTGCTCGTAAGCGCGGCGAGGTTGTAGTTGGAACTTACAAACATGCCTGTTCTGTGAGCCGTCATTTTGACAATACCGACCACCTCGTCAGCAGACGTCTTCAAACGGCGTATGCTCTCATCTATTATTGCCTGGGAATGGTGATGCTTTTCTGCAAGCTCCAGTGCCGCGTGGTGCAAGCAAATGATGGATGCATGGAGATTGAGGTTGACATGCACGGCGCCAGGATCCTGCGTATGGGCTGGCAGCTGAAATCTTTCTGGTAGAAACATGAAGACACTGGACAGTTGATTATCAAGCTCTCGATGACGCTTCCAGAAGCCTCCATGCGCCAGATCTTCTGGGTTGTCGTCTGGCTTTGGTCTGTGCACGTGTCGTAATATCGACTTGAACAATTGGCAAGTGACAACGGTGCCAGCGAAGCCAGCGTAAGAAGCACCTTCAAAAACTTCATGCAGATAAGCCGTCTTCTCTTCCACTCCAGAAGAGAAAGCGGCCTCGGATGCAGGAAGTCGTGTCATAATCTGGCTCTTTGGTTAACAGAAAATCCAACGGCTCTTGGTATGGGGGAGTACTACATCTTCTGCATTGATGAGATAGGGCCAGCCTGTCGATATGGAGGCATGGCAGTCAATGGCGAAAGCCCCCCAGAAAATACGGCGCCTCTCTTCCAGCTCAATCCAAGACTGTACGGGCCCCAGAGCAGGAGGTAGATCATCAATACCACCGTCCAGCCGATCGAGACCCATCATCTGGCAGATGCGCACAGATCTGGAGCAGCTCATAGATGCCCGGGTGAAGAGCATCTTCTTTGCCTCGAATGTCGCGAGAATCACCCAAGTTTGTGCATGATTGAGGGTAATGAAATGCTCGCCATCGTCCTAATTCTGAAGTTAGCTGGCTCGTGGCAGGGTGTAGACTAATGCCTACTCTCATCTCGTCCGCTTCAATATAGTGCCGTGAGCGGCGATAGAATATATCGGCATGGGCATCATATTTCGCGTGACCAAGTGATGCCAATGCCCAGATAGCGTTTTGAAGACACATGGCTGGGCGACGCAAAGGATCACCGTAAAATGCAGTCAGGTACCTCCCCGAATGTACGACGGGCACCATGTGATATATCGAGGAAAAAAATATGCTGTGTCTGTATTCTTGTCAGAAAGACATGAGAAAAAGAATGTGTAGTCATTCTTACAGCTCCTCGATGATCTCAAAGGGAGGCAAAGCCTCGGTCATGCCAAGACCAATGAGTTGGGAACCACTTGGAGGATATCCATCCTGGCTGCCAGATTGCGTTTCCATGAAGGGGTCTGCAGCGAGGTCTGGGGTCAAATGAGGCATGTGATGTCCAGAATCGAAACCAACATTGGCAAAACTTGCATCTGATGGCTCAATGTCTTCAGTCGAGCCCTGGCTTGGCTCTCTTCCATTAATGTCCTTCAACATGCCCTCAACTTGAGCTGGGTCATGAGTGTCAGCACTGGGAATCGGAGGAAAAGTAGAACTGATCTTGCGTAAGAGATGTACCTAGACGGGCTTCTAATTCTTTGACATTCTTCCGCTTGAATGTCGGTTTCCGACGTGATTCCGGATAGAGGCACTCGCCACTGGCCTTGACGCATCGAGCGCAGGCTGGCTTGCTGCGGTCGCATTTGAGCTTCTTGGCACGGCAGGATACACAAGAGAGAGGCTCAAGGTCTACGGCGGCATCAGCCGGGGGGGCTTCGGGAGCCGTTGTTTCCGCCATATCGGGGCGTCGCTCTCATGAACGGCCGCGCGTTCTGGGACAGAGGCAAACGAGCTATACTGGACCCGGATTATGTCGAGGCGTGCGGTATTTGGGTATCTTGAAGAAGCATGTTCGATGCAGCATACAGCTTGAGGTACTATCAATGCAGAAGTTGCCTAGGAGTCGAGTTGTTGATGAGCTTCTGCGCATTTGGAGTCATCGAATGTGAAGCGCTAGCATCGAATGGCAGGTGCCGCCCAGCGATGATGACCGATTATTAAGCGTTATAATAGCGCCTCACTCAGCCTTATGCCCGCCCTCCTCGGAGTTAGCTGCCAGTAGCCGAAGGCTGACAGACGAGAAGAAAGCACAACAACTATCCATTGGCAACAAATTTTTTTGGGCGCTGCTCGATAGCTTCATTGTTGTTATCGCGAATCTTGACCCAGCGCGATGTCTTGACTAAGAAACATGATCCTCTGGCCATGGGCTGCTGTGGATGCCGGGCACAGATCCGACGTGCGTGGCTTGATCTCGCAGTGGAGGTGCTGGCTGCTGCTAATAAGCACCGAGATATGCTCACAAGTACGGTGTGGTGGGAGGAAATGACTGACCTAGGCTCGGGAAGATCGCATGTCTGCCGGTGCTCAACATGGGGCGTGAATAAGTTTCCTGGAAACTCGGGACATTGTCCATGCAATGTCGGACTCTACCCGCAGCTTTAAATGGAACTCATTCTAACAAAAGCCTGGTCTTAGTATGACAGTCAAAGCGAATGCCGCCATTGCCATGGCTGCGCTGCTTGAATGCCCGCCAACACAAAGCCACGGAGGGATCGGAACATTCCGCCCCTTTTACTGCAAGCAGCAAGTACATAAGCCAGAAAAGTGCCAGAGCTCGAGCTGCATAACTTGATTGCTTCCCGTATCCTTGACACCCCCACGCCGCGGTTCCTCCGTATCGGCCCGGAAATGTGGCAGCTATATAAGGACGGGCGCTCCGCAGCAACGAATTTCCGTCATTGCCTTCAAAGACGAAGAAGCTTTGCTAGGAAGACGAGCTTACGATTTAGACAACCAGAGGGTACAGGTTATCCGTACATGTCCTCCAATTCGCCGTCAACGTCTGGGTGTCTCAGTTGATTCCTGCGAATGGCTGCACCCGAGTAACAGGCCCTGTTTAGTATGCGAGTATAATTACATTCATGTTTTTTGGTGGCCTGTGCAAAGAATGCCCACACTCGGCACTGTCACCAGTGGAGCGAAAAGTTACGAAGCCACTCCCTAACGCCACAGTGCCGGGATCTCGGGAATGATCCAAGACTCTGTTATGATTATGCCTTGGGGCTGTCAGTTATTATTGACGACACGGCTGTCCAAACCTAATTTGTGAGCAGTTCTCTGGCATGGCTCCATCGTGACGGCTTATGCCACCGCTATCGGAATTCGCGTCATGCTGGGGCTCCTAATTTTACGACCTTGCCCAATTCTCTTTCTACTTTATCTTCCCCTTCCCTGGACAGCGCGAATAAGAATTCTCAGCCCGGAACTGACTTCCTTCCGATGCCCCGTAATAGTTGGATCCATCAGTTACCCGAGACTCTTTTTAACTCGTCCGAGCGCCTGCCATTTTGACATGAGCTACTGATTATTAGGCTGTCCAGACCAGACAAGTCTCTGTATGGACGGATACAAGTTGGTATTTTCGGAAACTGGTTTGCCTTCCCGCTTTTGCGCACGTGCTATCATGGGATGCATGATGAATGCTGAAACTTGGACGGGCGGGCGACCAAAGCCCCGTCATACATCGTCCCGATTAGTATTCGCTGCACGTCACTTCCTAACTGAGTCGAGTGGCACATTTTGGGTTACCGGAAATTCGGCCACGGCGCGGATGCTTAACTTTCCAGCCAGGCTGTTAGCAGGCTGTCGTCGAATGAAGAAAGGCTTGGATAGATCCGCCGCCTCGCACGGCCGCGACTACTTTGGCAACCTGAAAAGCCAAGTCATTAGCTCGCGTACAAACCGTTTGTCTGGAGAGTCTATCAAATGCCAGGCCATAGACGCGTAATCTAAATGCTTCCCGACTTTTAGCTGCAACGGAAAACGCTCGCTTATTGCTGCTGCGCCCCAATCCCAACTTCCCGGTTTGAACATGCAAACTTCCAAGGCCAAGAACGAGCTTGCGGGGGTTTCTGTCTCCGCAACACGTCAAAAAGGACCCCGTGCAGGTTTACCCCATAATTCCCAGCTTTAACTTTACGACTTGGGTTGCTATTGGGGTCCAATCGGGGCTCACTCGCGTCGCCAAGGGCTGCCTCCCAGGGGTCGAGGTAGGCATCAAGAGCTTTGACTACGAAAGCCTTCACCGGGAATTTTTGTCCTTGCCCCTTGCGGCCCTCCCACCGCGCCTTGTTGGGGGCGTGCGAGCAACGATGCGGGCAGGTGGGCAAGACGTCAACCGGAACCTGCCCCGGCAGCTCTTGACCTATCTCTGCCCTGCCAGACTTAAACGACAACCCGAGCTTCAGCTCCTTGGTCATGGGCTAGTTAGAGAGGTATGCACATGTGAAGGCAATCCTAAGAAAAGGGAGGAGAGGAGGGGGAGACTCCTCATTCCGAAGCCTACAGTAGAACATTCCCAGGTATGCTCAAACTTGCTACTAGCATAACTGCGGGCAGGATGCTCTTTACACATCGGAGATGAAAATCCTAGTCATCTTTCTTAAAATAGAGAGCTTTTGCTGTCTGCAGCAACTCCGCCACTGTATGATGATTACGGGAGCGACAAGCGAAACGGCGAATCGTAAGCGAGATGCAACTATGTTCCGGTTGCCGAGACGAGCACAACATGGAGGTAAAACGCCAGTACAACTATGAATAAATACCTGGCAATGCATTGCCGGTTTTCATTCCACGATAATGCGCCCTTGTGGCTGAGACCCCACGCATGGGCTGGTACAGAGCCGGCAGTCGCTCAAGCAAGCCCGAAGATCTCTAGGCAGCTGTGCATTGAGTAACCTGCCATGATAGCAAGGTTCCAGCCGTTGCCGTCCTCAGCGGCTCTTCTACAAGCCCACTCACTCTACTTACAAGGCCGACCCTCCCATCCAGCAAGGCACCAGACCCAGACTTGAAACGGGCAAGGAACACAAACATCAGCTGGCATCTTTCAGCTGGCTATCCATGGTTTGGCAGTGCCATAAGCGAAGAGTACTAAGAGTTCAGTCGCCCTGGAAGCATTACTAGGGATGTGCACTACTAACGAAGCCATGACAGTTAGCCAAAGCAGCCAGGTTGGCCTGCGGAGAATATACCAGAGTGTCGAATATTCGATGAATTATCGCTTTGGCAATAGAATATCTTTCCGATCATACTGATGACCAACGTGCTTCCCTACATGTCCCCCTTGCACTGTCGACATTCCCACCCTGGTCAAGCCAAGACAGATGATGTCGTCGACGAGCTGTCAACTCGCAACGCTAATGCCAAGGCCAGCTGTGCGTGATTTGATAGGTGCGGAGAAGCAGCAAGGATTCCAGCACGTGTGTCTGCACGAATAGGAGTACCGGCTACTTACTGCGCTGGCAAACTTTAGTCAAGGTGTAGATATGCTGTACAGTCGCCAATCGACAGAGCTGGAAGTAAGTTCAAGCGTGGAATCGAACGATCTTGGCCGAGATTACAGTACTCTAACAAGCAAGGCAAGTCCTTACGAGAAGCTAGAATGACCTCGACATCGTGGTTGGTTGGCTGTGGAGAGCCAAGCTAGATGACGGGTTCGAACCGCCTTCCTTGTCCCGCCTTTTGCTTCCCTTGCACCAGAGTACATAACCATCATATCCACCAACCCTCAGCCCTTTCCCAGGCCTGTGAGAGCGATGTCCGAGCTGAACAGAGGGGCAGAGGCGGGGAGCACTGTTTGCATGCAGTGTGATGTGTCTCTCATGCATCTTGCACCATGCGCCTGGTGCCACGCAGCCGGGCTCCATATCTGCCTGGAAATCAGTGGCAATCACACCAGTAAAAGCAGGATGACAGAGGATGAAGGAGAGAGCAGAGGAAGGGCTGGACCGGGATGCCGGACCGACTACCAGCTACGGCCCCCCTCCTCTAGGCGAACGTTGACGAAGCAGGGCACATCCATGCTCGCTGCTTCTTTGACAACTTGACAACTTGACAAGTCAGGAAGACATGTCACCCAAGGAAGCGTCTCCCGATGCCTTCCGCATGCAAGACCAACTATCACACCACACCCAACAGTATTCCTGCGGGACCGGGGGTGAGCCCAAGATCTCGGATTGCTCCCAACGGGGAGCCCGGGGCTAGAACGCTGAACTCGCTTCACACATGGCTGTGTGATTTGCCTGAATATCAATGCATCAATTCTGGATCAAGATTTTTCGAGTAGTATCCTATGCTCTGGTGCAACGGCTTGACGAAACAACGCCTAGCGAGCAGGGCTGCCTGGGACTTCTCATGGCATTAATCGGGGAGTTCCACCGGGAGATGTGAGAGACACAACTAAATCAAAATGTAATTAAGGTGTAGACCAGGAAATCGTTCATGTACTATACTTTTTTTTTTTTTTTTTTTTAAGTTTTTTCGCCGTGACTCGCGCCGCCTTGGCCGGCCCCCAAACCGCCATGCGCGGTTTCAATCCCATGCGGGAAGTAAGATAGAAGCACCAGCGTGAGAGGGAAATGAGGTGCACATTGCATTTGCCCGGCCTTGTTGAGCGGCTCGCTTGCCCTTGCTTGGTCTTGGCTCGCGCCTCTGATACAAGTAACTTTGGCACTTTGCTCCACGGCGAAACCCTTCGCCAAAACGTCACATGGCGAGTGAACATGTAGCGAGATTGTGAGAGAAGGTTTATAGTAAATGTATAGCACCAATGCATTGCACCTCACTAATAACTGCAACCGCTGGCAGCAAGTCAATACTACCCATGAGGAGAAGGAGGGCAAGTGTTGATATCGGATGATTACGTTATCAGATCCAACGCCTGAGCTTCTGTCATGTAGAGGCCTCATCACAAAGAATCCGGGGTCCCAATTCCGCGATTCAGACACCTCTCCTATTAGACCCTCTCTCTCTATCACTCTCTAACCTGTAGAATTTAGCGATGACCGTCGGCTCAGACGCCTCGCTTACCAGGGCGTAGTATTTGTTGGTTGCATCGAGGCTATGCACCATGCCCGGAGCCAGGCTCCCGGCAAGTGACGGTGAAACTTGGGCAGATGTCAAGAATAGATTTTGTATTAGTATATCCATTGCTATGCATCCATTGTAACCGCAGCTCTTGCCGCCTTCGTCCAAAATCAAAGGGTATATGGTGGTGATATCGACATCCGCCTCTAGCCGACAACCTTGTTTTGAATCTGTGCTTCCCGCTATCCCAGATCTCCGTAGAGTCATGTAATCATTTCCAATATACTCCGTGTAAAGCCTGATTACACGCATGCTTAAATGCAACATGCGCTAAAAAAATACCCTGTTCTCGCATAAATGAGCAAAAGCCCAATAAAAGCAAAATGGCAATCCACCAGCACAATCGATCACGCCACAACACCCCAGTATCCTGCTTGAGGTTCGCTTACCAGCTCTCTGCTTCACCTTGTGTCGACGCTCTTCATGCTGCTGCACAAGATCTAGTCTCGCTTGAGACTGCCAACGACACGCATCCGAGGGCTAGCATCGTATGTGCTCTCGCGGTCAAGGCCGCCAGCCTCCGCATCCGTACTGCTGCTAATCGACACAACATCGACGCCAGCGCGGCTGTGCATAGCATCGGTTTCGGCGCGCGCGTTGTTGATCATGGCAGGAAGTTGTCGTCGGCGGGCATTGATAAACCAGTTTGAGATTTGGTCTGAAGTCATGTTAGTCTCGCGCGAAGAGAATTGTAAATAGATTGTAGAGCATACTCATTTGTAGGCCGGTTTGACGCATCAACTCCTGCTTCTCGTCCTCAGTAGGGTACGGATGCTGTAGGTGAGCAACGAACCAAGAGCGCAGCTTATCCGTGGTCTCCTTTGGTAGGTTTCCACGACGCTTGCGCTGCTTCGTATCTCCACCCATGCCCATCATACCCATATCATTGTAACGCCCGCTGTCATGCATGCTGTAGCGCGAGGGAGCGAATGGGGATCGCTCTTCCACACGTGCCGGGTGCATGGGCATGGCATGGTATCTGCTGCTGCGGTCACCATGGCGAGAGCCAAATACCGGGCTTCTTGAATGGCCAGCAGCGTGAGCGTCCAATCTTTGGCGCGTGGCATGGTCTTCGGCGTAGTGGTGGATGCCACGGATGCGATCCAAACCCGGCGGTGGCGGCAAGGTGTGGATGGAAGGCCGATGCTCTCGATGAGCAAATTCGGGGGAAGCAGACAAGGATGGCCGGTAGTGAGCAGGAGCCTGGCTTCTCCAGGTGTCGTCGGAAGCGGGAGGGAGTTGCGAGATGGGGGAGGCGTGGCTCGAACCAGGGCGGCGCTCAGGGCTGTGATAGAGGCGGGGAACGTGGAGGGAGCGAAGAGATTCACTCTCCAACTCGTGAGAGATGCGTCTTCTCTTGCTGCTGGGCGAGTGAATATAGTCTGGGGAGCTGGTAGGGCCCGAGTTCGCCCAGCTTGAAGGGACAGGATACGCATGTGGACGTCCTTGGCGCTCTGTGTTTGTTGCCAGTTGAAGTTCCGGAATTGCCTAGAGAGTTGTATTAGTTACAAGTCTATCTATTGCCATGGACGGCTCAGACTGTTTACCTGTCGGATAGAGGGGAGCGCGACAGATCTTGTGTCAGCTCGTGGTAGTGAATAGTCGGCGGAGCGAGTCTCCCAGCGGTCCCTTTGAAAGGTCGAGCTGGGAGGAGGGGCGGGGACAGCAATCATTGCCATATTGGCAGCTGTGCTGGGAAACTGGTTGGGCCTTGAAACTTGAGATTGGTAGCGTGCTGAGCTCTGGGCCATGACCAGGCAAATGCAGTTACAGCAAAGCCAGAATGCCGGTCAAAGACGACTGGGGAGGCAAAGGTCTGCGCAGAAGGAGCGTTGAGGGCCAGTGCAGGTGTCGGCGGTGACTGCGTCGGATGGTTACCTCTGACGGGTTCCGCGCAGAAGATACATGTAATTAAATCGAATATTTGAAGGTTGTGGAATCGAGGCCTGGCAGCCTGGGGGAGCGAAGACTGTGCTATCCGTAGTCAAACGGCCAACGAGCAAGCTGTTGGGAGCGACCAGGTGGCAGCCAGGAAGCAAACGCAGAGAGAATCCGTCCGGCAGAGCGAACGGGTTGGCTACGAGCGTAATGACCAACTGTGACCAGCAACAGGTTCTTAACCGCAAAGGCCGAGGACAAAGGTGTAAAGGTAGGTAGTTAGGGAAGAGTAACAACAAGTCAAGAGAGTGGTCGTGAAGAAGAGCATATCGAGATGGATGGCCATGATGGGCCGACCCAGGTCTTTTGTATAATCGACGGGCTGGTGGGCAGGACAAGCCAGGTACCAGCGCCTTAGCGGTGCTACAGTGGTCCTACGTGGTCTAACAGTGGTCCTAAAGCGGGTGTCCAGGGCAGGCGAGCGCTGTGAGCCCCGGTTGCAGCGGCAACGGGTGCTGTGATGGCGAGTTTACAGTGGGTTGTTCCAGTGGATACAGGTCCTGGGGCTTGCTGGGGAGCATTCTGGGGGTCCCGGGGAAGGGGGTTGTCAATGGAAGCGATGGCCAGAGAGGGGGGGGGGGCCCCTCGTCTTCGTCTTTCTTTCCTTCCTTCCGCAACCCTCGACCAGCCAAGGCCCCCAAGGCTACACACAATCGCCGTTGTTCTTGAGGGGCGTGTTGTCGTGCCTACCCTCTACCCTCTAAGTTACCCTGGTATTACCAGTACAGCGCCTCTTTCACCGGGAACGAGCCCTTGTCTCTCTCAAGCAGGGGTTGTCGACCAGCAAAAAGCCCGGGTGTGTACCGACGAGTCGACGACGTTGTTCCTCCCACGGCAGCGGGTCTACCAAGGGCCACACAGCAGAAGCGCTCGCGCTGCGACACCAACAGGCTACACCCACACGGCAGGGTGTGCACAGAGGAGGCGCGCATGCACACAGTCTCGCAGCAGTGCAGCCAGCCAAGCACAAGCAGGCAGGGGGAGGGGAGAGGGACGATCAGATATGGAGGAGCCAGATCAACCGAAAGAGACGCACGGCTTGCATGACCAGACTAGGAAATTGCTGAGACCGCCGACGGGGCGCAGAGAAGGTTTCCTCAAACGCCGGCCAGCCTTGTACCTGACGACGTTAGTCATGCTGCCGAGATTACAAAAGAAGATGGAGGGACAAAAGCAGCAGTTAACGCATCAAACTACCCGTCGGCTGCTAGCTTTAGGGCCGCTGTCGAGAACTTCAACTAGAGCGCTAGACCTCGTGGCAGGGAAACCGATCCTCTGACTTGGAGCTACCTGACAGCCAGCTACCACTCGAATAGCAACTGGTGACAAGGTACGGAAATAGATTGCTGCAGGCGTGATTCGTGCCCGCGTCCGGATACACGAACCAAATTTCTTTTTCCTTGTCGGTGTTTGGCAGATGCAAGTTGACCTGCCACAAGCGCGTCACCAGTCACGATGTTGTCGTACCAGAGCATATATTACCATGCCAAGTCTCGTGGCTCATGACGCACCGCAGCATGCACGCTCATGTATGCCCTGCACAAAACAGCAATACTATGCTACACCTCGCCTTCTTGCCCGGATTTGTATAAGCATGTCGTTTCAGCAGAAGTTGCCCTTTCGGCGGGAAGACGCATCCTGTCCCAGCCACACAAGACTCTGATAGGTCTGGTGAGAACAATTCGTGGACCTGGCCGGATGCCGCGATACGAGAACTGTGCGCAACTGCCTCTGAGCCCGGTCTTCTTGTGCAGGTGAGTGATGCAGCTGTCATCTAAACGCCTCCCAGCACTGACGGTGCCAGTGCGTTGCTGGCTTTGGGGAAGAGAAATGGCGTCAATAACACCCCAGCGGGAATCGGTAAATGAGAGCCACGCACTCATATTAGCCAGTCCACTTGCCCAAACGCTAATGCTAGTAGGCATCTTGACGTCGCCGAGCCCAAACCCTATTCATGGGCTGCCTCCCCTAGTGTCCTTTGTCGATGTACAACCTGTATACACATGTACGAACTTACAGGCGCCATGTGCTCGGTTCGAGCGTGGTTGTCAAATCTCTAAATTGGGCACGAGGATGAACTATCCTACAGCAAGCCATCTTCACGGAATACCCATCGCCAGAGAGGGAGAAAGAGAACTGTCAGCGCATTCCGTCGATGAACCACACAGTCGGTTTGCTGAGAGCCTGGTAGGGTCCATGAGTCCACCGGAATGCGGGACCGACAGACTTGTCGATCTATTTCTATCGAGTGAACGAAGCACTTGCATTCGTTACTATGACGAATCACGAGTCTCATTGTACACAGTTTAGATACGACTTCGCCAAAGTAGGATGCTAGCCGTTGCCTTTGCATACCGTTAGGCGCCAACGGCTCCGGTATTGGGCTCAAAGGAGGACTACCCGCAAAGGAGGACTACCCGCAAAGAACCCGCCTTGGTTATACTTTGCAACCAACTGTGCGATCTCACGTTCTTATGCCATGCTAATATCCTCAAGGCATTGTCCTACTCACTCAAATCAGCACCCTAATCTGTGTACCTATTACACTGTGGATTTGCACCCATGGACGCGGCGCCAATTGTGCGCCAACAGGCTGGCCGGGTCACGCGGCCAAGTACTACGAATGGCCATGGATAATGAAAGCAACGTATGTTCCTTTCAAACTACATGTTTCTGATAGCGGTCAACAGTCTGTTTTAACGCTGTTGCCATCTGTGTACAGGACCTGTGATCCTGGACGAATGATCAGTTGCGCCTTACAGTCTATCCCCGGATCGCACAACTTTGCCATGCAACACATTTCAGTGCGGATAGCTTACGCTGTGTGGCACACGATGTAATACGGCTGAGTCCGACTTTACTGTCTGTCAGGAAGGTAGATATGGCTTGGGGCCATATCTGCCGACTTACATTGCCCTTCGGCCTGCTATCGTCTCACAACGTGCGCAGTTGAAAATAAAGTCTTTCACCCGCGTCCGATTCGCTGAGCATTCATACGGCGCTTAATATCTGACCCCGACTTGCAGATGTCAAGTACGATACCTCGAGCAGAGTAGCACTGTGCTTCGACCCGAAGCCCTGGTCCCTTGTGCTTGGGCATGGAGGGTTCCCACCATGAGCTATCATCCTGCGACAGGTAATAATACCTACATCATGCACGGAAGAACAAAAGTGTACTAGTGGCTCTTGGAACATTGAAGCCGTGACAGACGCAACATGACAGGGAAGGGAAAGAGAGGGAGAGGGAGAGAGAACGAAATACGGATGCTTCCGACTGGTACTCCATTTCTCTGCTAACAATCCTTTACCATGTCAGAAACCTGCTTGTCTTTGTGCATGCTTGACAAGGACCCCACCGGGCATCCACGCATGACAGCGACTTCTCCGAACAGCTGGCTCAACAAGTCGGCCCCGGCCAGAGACCAGTTAGATGCGATGCGTGACACGGGTCGATATTAACTACCACACGAGCTGTCAACTCTATCTAGGCGCTTTCCGCGACATTCATCAAACCCTGGTTGACGTTTCGGCTCCCAGAGCGAGGTCGGGCGTCCTTTCTGTCAAAGTCAGTCTATCTACCTGCCTGCCAAACTAAAGGGAAGGGACTGGCGCAGAAGCCAGTGCTGCTAGTACCTGGCGTAGCGTTCTCATCTCGGCTTCCAGATGTAGATGGCGCCGCCATTGAGGTTGCTGGCTGCCCTTTTTTCCCACAAATTATTCGGCAGCGTCGCAGACCGGCAGTTTGTCACCGACACTGCCAGACAGACAGACGAAACAAGGCAAGTTAGCCAGCAACTGCGTGCTGGTAGGCAGAATGTAGCTGACGAAGGGCGAGAACACTGCCACTATGGTGTCCTTATTACCTTCTTATTTTGGTTTATCCCTGCCAGCAGGCCTATCCTGGTATGTACAATACGGACCCAGTCCCGCAAGTTAATTTTCATGCTACAGATCCGCAGCCGTATCTTTTCCACACCTGCAAAAAAGTCTAACATGAAACACGGGTCCCTTCCACACAACCCCGACCAGAAAAGACCAACAATTTTCGTTGGTCCAAGCCATCAAACCGTCGGCAAGGAACCCAGGCCCTCCCTGAGAGCAACTCCAAGGGCCCACGGAAACCCGCTGCCCCTCACCACCTTGAGTTCGTGTCCCAGCTGGCATGGCCCAGGGCTGTATAAGTCGACACACGTCTGTCCTGCTGGGGAGAGCGGTGGAGGCGTCTTGGCTGACGATCTCCCTCGCTTAGTTCCTTCTATTCGCCGTCTGGACCTTCTTTGACAGGTCCATGCGACCCCACCATCAGGTGGAATGGACAAGTTGCGGAGTCACTTCCAGCAGCAAGCGTTCTGTGCCTCTTGGCTGGATAATGGATGATGGATGCCAGTGCCGGCTGCTGCTGCGACTTGCTGCTACCGCCGCTAGCTCATCGCCCCCTCTCTGGCCGCGTGTTTTCTGCAACATTTTTGCACAACGCAGCCAATCAATTGCTTGTCGCCCGGCATTACCATCATTTCTTGTAGGAACTGGTGGGCTGCCAAGGTGCTAGTTGGCGACTGCAAACCGTGGCAGCATGGTCCCTACCCGGCCTGGTTTGCAAGGGCTATCGGGGTATTTCGGCGCCCAGAATTTCGGCTTATTGATTTGTGAGATATCGCAACGCACCAAGTATCCGAAGGCGCTACTCCGTGCTGTGCAAGCATATTGGGCTTGCAAGGCGTCTGGGCCCTTGCCATGATGC